TTGAAGAAGGCGGCAGGAATATCCTGAATATCCCCCTCAGAAACGAAGCCATAAACATAATAAAACTAAAACGTATCTTGGAAAACAAAAGCGTAAGACCTCTGGCGAGCATAGCAGCAGAAGCCATAATTACCTTAGCCACCCCCGGGAAAATCCTCCTAGAAGAAATTCATGACCCCAGTATAACAAACATCTACACGCAACGGCTATTCCAGAAATCGAAATACACCAGTAAGATCCTACCCCAAGAACTGAATCGAGTACTCAACACTGGATCGAAATACAACCTGAAATTAGACGCGCCATACCTTCCCAATGAAATAAAAATGAACTTACCCGCATGGCACCACCTGGGGAAAAAAACTAACGGTGCTCACCGAGAAAGAAGCCCGCAGGCAAAATGCCTAAGAAAAAACCACAACTGTTTCAAAACCGGAGACCTAGTTATACAAGCCAGCATCGCAGAAAAAACGACTCACCGCCCGAAAACCAAAAGCTGCCTGTGCCGGCACTGCACAACCTACAGATCCAAGGGATGCAAAAACCCCAACACCTGCTATAACACTGCAGAGAAAGTCCTGGGGAACCTATCCACGAAATTCAACCCATATGACCCAGAACCCCCAAAAACTCCCCCAGATGCCGAAGACCGGGCGAGCATCAAAAAACACGCCATCGGAAACTTCTCCAAAATAAAAATATTCGACCAGCCCGATATGGAACACGATGACTCCCTAGCAAACTATAGAATTCTCAGCAATAAAAATGACTACAAAAAACAAAACGTACCGGCCCCCCAACTCCCCTACAGTAGATCCCCCCAAGACACAGTAGTGTTCACGGATGGCTCATGTACAAACAATGGCGAAACCACAGCCAAAGCCGGGTTCGGAGTCTGGTTCGGCCCAAACGATCATCGCAACATGGATGAAGCAGTAGACCCTAACCTCACCCAGTCAAATAACGTAGCGGAATTGCTCGCCATATACCACGCTGCCAAAAATACCCCCAGTAACTCCCGCCTCCATATTAAATCGGACTCGGACTGGTGTATCAAAACCCTAGGCCCCAACCTCCCATCCAACGAAGACCGCGACTACATAAGAAAAAAGAATGCCAACCTAATTAAAGAAGTGGTTAACCTACTAAGAAATAGACAAGCGATCACCACCTTTGAATGGATAAAGGGACACTCAGGCATCCTGGGCAACACCGAAGCAGACAAACTTGCTGCGAAAGGAGCCGCCAAGACGCCCGATGTAAACAGCCAAACAACACCCAACCACACCTTCCCACACTGCCCAAAAGGGGCAAGACTAAGAACCTTGACCCAAGCCACGGCCCTTAAACTAATAAAAAGAGAAAACTCGCTTAAAAAGGCCATCCAAACCAAGAACTCAGTAAAAACTAACCTGAACGAGATCAGAAAAACGCTCCGCGACCTAAACAACGGGGAACCCACAGACGACAGAATCTGGGTGGCTACCCTAAAAAACAAAAGGGACATCCCCACTAGCATACGCAATTTCCTATGGAAAACGATCCACAACGGCCACAAAATCGGGGACTACTGGAAGAAAATCCATAACCATGAACACAGAGGAATCTGCCAAAAATGCGAGGAAACAGAAAACTTAGACCACGTCCTATTTAACTGCCCGCACAACCAAAGCCAAACTGTATGGGACACCATCAAATCCCTCTGCGCCCGGAAAAGAATACCCTGGCCTACAAATATGAACACCCCACTCATAATGGCGACCCCGCTATGGAACCTCAAGGACGAAGAAGGGCTCGCTAGACCGGGAGACTCCAGAGCCCTAAAAATCCTCATTCTCGAGGGGGCATGGCAAATCTGGAAACTACGCTGCCACAGAGTCATCAACAGCAACGCCGACAACGAAATTAAAATATCGAGAACAGAAGCCCATAATATCATAAGATCTGCCATTAATGACAGACTACAAAGCGACAAAATACTAACTAACAAGAGAAAATACGGCACAAAGGCCCTCCCAGAAAAGATCGCGCTTGAGACATGGAAGAACCTCCTGAACACAGATGTAGACCTTCCTGAGAACTGGCTAAAAACCAACGGGGTTTTAGTGGGTATTCCCGATCCTCCGGATCGGCGTGAGCCCCACACTCAAGGGACGATCCCGGAAAGTGCGTAAAGGCATTTCCCCGCGGTGGAGTCTCAGAAGGCGGTACTTAACACTAACAAGACCACAAGCAACAGGCACAACCTCTCTCCCTGGGGAACAACCCCCCACACTCAAACCCCCAGGTAGCAAGCCTACCCAGCGAAAGCTACGGGCGGTTCCACCAAAAAAAAAAAAAAAAAAAAAAAAAAAAAGAAAAATGTGATTTCATTTTTGACTGTCTCATTTACGCAGTAGCAGGCTCGGCGCTGCTGATCCCACTTCCCACGCCGTGCCAGAACTTGCCAGCAATTTCCCAATCTCCCACGGCTTTTCCTCAGTCCAACAAGTCGACATTGGAAGGATCCCGGTGCTTTACATATACAAATGGGGTATCAATGCTGTGGGGCTATCCCGTCCCGAATGCTTGAAGAACATTTAGTGGAGGCTGGGAGTCGGCGAGTATATTCTAAATCTTTTTACTGTGTAGGCAGGATCCATCCAAAAGGGCCAGGGTCCGGGATCTCGTTCCAGCGGTCGGGGATGGTGTCAGGATTATTAGAAGGTGGGGGAAAGATATTAGGTATCTTTCCTTGCGAGCGCTGACATTGCACACACCGTCGGTCGAGGGTGCCGTGCAGTGGCGCGCACGCGTGACGGAGCATGCCAGACGTGTATGCTGGGCTAATCGTCAGGTCTCAGAAAGCAGGCCGGAGGAGCAGTGAGACTCATTCGCTCATTCACAGTTCCAGTTGCTTGCGCACTCACGTAAGCTCTCGTTACCGAAGTCACGCCATAGTTTAGGTAGTTGCTTTGAGTTCACCAAGACCCCATCATCTCGCTCGATCCCTATGCTGTGCCGGTTGTTCCTTGAAATTTGAAATAGATGCCTTGATTCTAGACAAGCCCCTCTCTAGGCAGGATCCCTAAAGTAGAGGCTGGGACCCGACTGACCCTACTGAATAGAGGTCAGAATGTGGCCAGATATGGAAATGCCGCATAAGGGAATACTGAATAGCGTCTGTGATGTGATTCAAATATTTTGTATTGTACATGTAATTATGATGACCAATGCCGGAGTCCAGTTTGCAGAGGGTCGCGCAACAAGTCATTTAGTGTTAACCCATGCGGTCGTTGCACAACCCAACCCTGGGAGCCACGGTCAAGGTCGTGGAGTCAATACCTGGGCATGTGGAAAAATTAACAGTTTATATATTAGTTGTTACTATAACTGTTGTTGTTGCGCTGTAGTGTAGATGTTATAGCGTGAGTTGAGGCCATGCAGCCTTTTTGGCTGCATGTGTTCAATTCTCGCTTGTTGCAACTTTTTTTTAGCATTCTCCCATGCAATAATCGCATGCCCAGCATTGAGGAAGCGCAGAGTCAAAGCTGCAGAGTCAATACCTGAGCACAGAGAATGCCAGAAAAAGGTGGCAACAAGTGGGAATCGAACACATGCAGCCAAAAAGACTGCATAGCCTCAACTCACGCTATAACAACTAATATATAAACCGTTAATTTTTCCGCATGCCCAGGTATTGACTCCACGACCTTGACCGTGGCTCCCAGGGTTGGGTTGTGCAACGACCGCATGGGTTAACACTAAATGACTTGTTGCGCGACCCTCTGCAAACTGGACTCCGGCATTGGTCATCATAATTACATGTACAATACAAAATATTTGAATCACATCACAGACGCTATTCAGTATTCCCTTATGCGGCATTTCCATATCTGGCCACATTCTGACCTCTATTCAGTAGGGTCAGTCGGGTCCCAGACTAGCCCCTCTCGTTATTTCGTCCAACCACGACCAGCAGTACTTCTCAGGAGGTATGGTCTGTCTGACAAGTTCTGCATCAACCTGATTAAAGGGCACATATCTCGGTCGTAACTAACGGCACTACCATATCAGCCACCGAACCAACCGCCTCTGACGCAGAAAATTCGTGAGCAAATTGTATCCTTCGTTTTTTCACCTGATGCCAATAATTCTGTCCATGACTTATAGAGGTGTTGACATATCCCCCAAGTGGATAAATACTTGGCGCGACCGCGATCGTGATTTACCCATAGCCCATAGGGATTCCCAATCACGAACTACGTGGAATCCCTCCCAACCAGGACAGCAAAAACCAAAGGATAAAGACTCCACTCCCAACGACCAGAGTTGTCGCAGTATCACGTCGATGCCAAATCTGCTCCCGTTGGATACTTAGACGCTGCCTAAATACCAAACAATTTTTTACGATCACCCGGATCTGTCGGAGGATGCTGAGGCTGCAAGATCAAAAGGTGAAAGAAAATTGCTGCTAGAATTGCACCTGCAGTTGGCGTTGTTCCAGACCCTCCCGACGCATGCTTGCCGCGTGCGATCTTCTGTCTTTAATTAGGGTCCCTGGTCAGCGTGTTGGGTGTTCGGAAATACCATCTGGCCCACGCGTGGGCAGGACGATTCAGCAGATCCTGACAATTCTTCCGTTGCTTTCTTTGAAAGAGAGGGTCAGTGTCCATGGGGCCTTTGTCAACTATTTCGAGCTTCTGCTGCTATGCACAGCACGTATGAAGGAATGAGGAGAGACAAAAGATGTTGACAGACAATTCATTTGGGCCAATCAAGCAATGCCATAAAGATCTGGGCCACCCCACCACCAGGAACGAGTCGTTGTTCTAGAAGCCAATGATTGATATCCGATTAAATCTCCGCCTACTCGATTAGGATGAAAGAACACCGCATGCAGAACTGCTCTTTTTGATTTCATCCAACAAAGCACGATCCTCGCTGGTTTTGATGGCGCGATGCATACCTTCGGTCCTCACGTACTAGTAACGTGTGCACTATGGCACGTCTTTGTTACATCAAGAGCGCACCCATGAACCGGTTCCTTGAAAGTTCCCCGCAATCTCTTTCTCATCTGCATAGCCCAACTCCCTGCCAATAGATGATACCTTCCCCTCATCACGTAGCTTCTGTAGATGTAACCAAACACCTCTCTCGGCCGCTGGCCAGATTGATGGAGGGTATGAAGAATATAACGATTTGACGATTTCAGAGATGGAAATACCCTTCTGTTCGTCAGAACGTTGAGGAATGAGGGCAAGAATCTGTGCTTCGCGCTCGTTGCGATGGGCGATGTACGTGGTAAATGTCTCGAGACCATTAGTAAGAATAGGCCCATGGCCGGGATACAGCGTAACCTCATTGGAGGCAAGGCCCGGTCTGAGAAGCAGCCCGGACGCCAGGATAGACAAATTCTTGAGACTGCCTAAATACACGCCTAGCTCCTCGAATACTGCAGTTCCCTCACCAAGAACCGTATCGGCCGTGAATATTACTGGGGGTCCGTCGGTGCTCTCCCCGGAAAGACATAAACATACAGAATCAACGGTGTGTCCAGGGGTGTGGACAACGGTGAGAGTAGATTTAGGAGAATGAGAGGAAAGATGGAATGTTTGTTTATCGTGCAATGAATGTATAATTGGCCATACCCCTTCGGCCGCTAAACTATTGTGCTCAAATATGGCTGGGGAAAGGCGAGACACTGCCTCCAGTGTAGATTCGAAAGTCGATCCCTCTCTCTCGGCTGATGATACTCCAGGAAGAGTTGGCGATGGTTGAGGCGGGAGAGGAAACTTATGTACCCGCGGGGGGGTGTATTCTGCTCCTCCGTCCGTCGAGGCTGTCCATAATCTGTGCAAGAGGGTGAGAACAGATGGCAAGCCTCCGTGATGATCATGATGACGATGAGAAATAATGATGTCCGACACAAAGGGGTTGGTTGCCTTCTTAAGAGCGCCATGCAAAGACACTGCCTGGCTGCCTGATTCTTCATTCATTAGGATTGCAGACTCTAGGAGTGGAATGTATCCATGCTCTCCTTCCCCGACATCGAAAAGAACGAAGGGCCGGGATGACCCAATGAGATAGGTATTTGTACCCTGTAATGTGAATTTCCCGGGATTCTGGATCATGGGAAATGAGCGAGGCATGCATATGTGGAGGAAATAAAGGAAGGAAAGAGGACAGAGAAAACAGGAATAGGAGAACGGAAGAGAATCGGGGAACAATAAGGTTACGATAGCATAGAAAGAACCAAACATGCCTGACCGAGAATGCGAATAACATATGAACTAGCTAGTAGTTTACCGGAGACAAGCGGGGGCATTATCAGCAATGGAGCAGGGCGCTGAGGACAGACGGGCAATGCTGACTCGTGTGATTGCATCAAGGCGCTGCATGGGTGCTGACGAGTCAAGATGAGCAAAGAGAAGAATGACCGATGTCTGTTGCAAGAAGAAAGATTGGTGATCACGTTCTGTTGTCCAAATAAAGCTGATTTGTTTACATAACCGGAACAATGTGAATTGGCAACGTGGCAGTGCTTTTGTTTGTCACAATGGGATCTAGCCGAGCATTAGATTGTAACCGTGTGTCCATCATCCACTACTTTCCTGTGTCTCTGTTTCTGTTTTTCTCTCTCACTGTTGTTGTTTAAGTAAAGGATCCACGTCGCTTTATCCCCACCCCACCCCCCCTTGTATATCTTGACAGGTTCTCGCGGCCATGACCTCTCTACCGCCCTTCGTTCAGTTCTTCATGCCTCGACAACCTATTAATCGTCCATCCAGCCATTCTAACTCTATATCAGGGAAAGAGAATGAGGAGACATCGATTCCCCCTGGGTCGCCTTGCAATAATAGTAGATATACCAGGCGCAGCCGCAATCGATCCACCTCTACGGTTTCCCCCGTCAGCGTAACACCTCCCCTGTCATCTTGTGCACCGCGTCGACAGTCTCCCAGCTTTTCCTCTCACGAAATTAACTTCGGGAGCCACCCAAGACCCACAAGCAGGTCCAGCAATACCCGAACTGGGCGACGTCGCTCAGTTTCAACAATCCCACTACAATCCCCCCAAGCACTCTCCAATACGGTGACTTTCACATTGCCACGTAATCTACCAAGGCATCCGGCCATTGTTACCTCGGAGCACCTGGCCTCCCTCGATGAGCGTCTTAGGGGAATTCCTATCAGGTTCCTTCACAAACGCCTAAGAGAGATGTCTCCTTTGTGAGCACGGATACTAGCTCATTGTTTTAGCGTTGCATTAACTTACGTACCTTCTGCGCTTAGACTTCAACAAGGACTGACAGCTATCGGCAACGGCGTTCGCCGACCATCAAGTGCTTCCCCTCCTAGCTCCCCACCCTCATCTATTCCACCTAAAATTACCGTTAAAAATGGTAACGCAAGATCAGTCGAAGTAACGCTCAATCACGCAACAGGGAAACTCCCCACACACGCAGTAGCAATCATCGGTTCCCCTTCTGCTGGTCACATTTACCCCATCCATGGCCTTCTTTACGCAGCCCATTGTGCACTGTTTCCACTCCCGCCAGGCTCGTTGTCGGCTTCAGATCCGGAGCCTCAGCGGTCACCAACCAATCATCGCCTGACACTTTCCCTTCCTCTCATAAGCCTCAAACTGCCCCACCCCGATTCTTTCTCGGCTATCAACACTTTCTTCTACACTGAAAATCCCGCTGGCCTCCTTAGAGTCCTCCTTCCTGTGCCGCACTCAATCTTGGACAAATTCCCCGCCAATAAGGACCCAGACACAACATCTCTGCGGCCCGCCCTCAGCACACAGATTGCTGCGACTTTTAACCCTCCGTTCTACTAGATTCAGCTCGCAAGATTCATGGACTGTGGAGCAACCTGATTGCGCTCGGTATTGTGCACAGGGACTTGTGGAGGCTTGTGGACCTTGCGTGGGAAGTTGTTATCGCGAGCATGGAGATCCAAAGGCAACCAGGACCCGCAGCCTCGGGTTTTCTTGTGTCTTACCCTGCGGCCCCTCTGGGTACCCCTGCTTGGGACATAGTCCCTCCCTTTTGGCATTCCTACGCCTACGCACAAAGAAATACCGATTCGTTCCAATCACCGCTGACGGGTCGGGATCGGAAGTGCTCCTGTCCGCCACCCTTTTTGTCCACACCACAATAACTTATTGGGCATCTTTATTTGTTTTCGCGTACTCTTTCCCTTCGATGTTCGCCATCCTTTTGTTCGTGGAATCAGCTGATGGACGGTCGCACCTGTATTTGTACTAGTGTCACAGCGCTTGTGTACTTCCTTGGGGCCTCAAATGATATGTGGTCCTGGAGCGTCCGCATGGATCATGTCTTTCCCCAAAGAGGGAGGCCCGCCCGCTGCTCAATCAACGTTCAGTCTATATCGCTCAAATACAAACACAAAAGACTTTAGGATAATCGCACAACGGTGAACAAGAAACTATTTCCCCAATTGGCATGAACTATCCACTGAATTGATGTTGCATGAAGCGTTACACTCAGACCGCCAAAATACTAGGACTGCATCTTCATAAACTTGGTAACGTCCTTACTGGTGCCCGAACGAGCTTGAGGATTGCTGGCGTGTGGCATGATGACTGTGGGTGTGTCATTGGTATCCGTAATAAGATAGGGATAACGTGTTCCCAACGCTGGGCGCGATCCCTTTGGTCGACTCAAAACCACAGTCCCCGACGACATCAGTCCACGTCAAGCCAGGGTCAGAGTTTATCGCGAGTGACGATGTGCAGCGTCAGGGGATCCTTATGTTTGGGTAAAATTTATGGCCCCGTTGCCGCCTCCCGTTTTGCTCCAATCCTTGACACAGTGAGATTTGGGTGCAGACGAAGCGCATCCGCTACGTCGGGGCTAAAGTACTTACAGTAATACCTGTCTGCACAGAACATGCCACGACCAGACGATCCAACTGCTGAGGGCGACAATGGCGACAACAGGACTCAGTACCATTTGCCTTGTTATTATACTGATTCTAAACATCACGCGAAGGATTCACTTCGACAAGGATCGTATCCTGTTCTTGCCCACGTCGGACTCATGAAATAATTTCCGCGAGGATGGTGTCTTTCGCCCCTGTGACTCTCATGGCGACATCTCATCACTGAGATCGAAGTTCTCTCGCTCCACTTAAACAATGAGTCTCTCCCTTAAATCAATGTTACCGATACAGTGGAGCTGTTGACATTGCGAGGGGGTACTCTCGCTCCCGCCTCTCGCTAAGATCGTGCTTTGCTCGCACGGACAGTCAGAATAGGTGAGCCCTGCGAGCGTCGGTTCCGCTTTCAGGTCGAGAAATCATAGACACAAACAGGAGCCACCTCCAACAGCGCGAACAGTCCTCAACCAACTATCGAGAGCACCACCAGGTTCGGGACAAACACAAGACAGCTGGCGCCTAGAATCCTGCGGGTTACTGTATCTGTAATTGAACATGAGTGAAACGCCATTTGACAGGGATCCGTTCCAGTCCCGGCGAACCGAAAGAGTGCAGGCGATATCTCATTGCGGCCCCCGTACCGGGGCAAATGGCGAAGATGACCGATATTCGGTGGTTCTCAAGCGAGGCGGGCAGAACCCCGTGTTGAATCCAATTTCTTACAGATAACGAGATACCAGGGGAACACTCGCTGGAAGAGGTTATGGGTGTATAGAGAATTTGCGTGGCGTTTGCAGTGGATCACCCAAAGAGATCTTGTGCCGAAACGTCACCTCCGGCTTGCTAATTTGGAATATGCGATTGAGTCGGTATTCGTTGTAGCCCCTCATCGGGAAGTGGTGTCATGGTATATCGGGGAAGGTGATCATTGCACGGTTCATCTCCAGCGAAATCCCCCATGACGCAGACCACCCAGAGTCATTGCCAAGAACGGAGGTGACTTGCTGGGCATGGCGAGTCGGAGAACCGAGCCAGCTGGCAAAGCTTCCCATGGTGCCGAGGTAAACGAAAGCTCCTACACACCAAGTGCCACTTCCGAGATAAATAACCCTTTCGTGCCCACGTAACATCTTCGGGGATGAGGAGGCATGTGATTGCGGCATGGGAACAGAAGCCTTTACGACCAAGAACAGTGAACGTGGTATTAGGTCCATCTAGGTAATGAAAAAAAAAGAATTCAAGGAAGAGAATAAGGATTACGTCGAAAAATCCGCGAGTTGCCACAAGTGCATGAGGAATGTCTAATGAATGCTAAATTTAGTTGAGACGGAAATACGTAATAGTGCATCGCTTTCTTGCCTTGTACAAGGCGGAGTCGTTCAGTGATGAGGAAAAGAGCGGATTATGAGAACCAGTGGGTCGTCGTAAAGACAACAGCGAAGACTGTAATGATAGACCCAACGAAGCTGGCCATAACTTTGGAACCCTATTGATATGACCATCACCAGGACCTTGCGGCAGCGACCCAGTCCCTCCGGGAACAGGTGCAGGTGCGGTTGTTCCTCCACCACCCAGCGGAATCGTCGTTGGTGCAATAGGGTATGTTGTTGGGGTGGTGCTGGTGGAAGTTTGGATTGTGGTGCCATTGCCTCCAGATGTAGTGGCCGTAGAGTTCCCCACTTGAGTCAAAGTGCTGCCTGCTGCAGAACTCGTACTTGTAGCCCCCAACGTGATACCCACAGGGACACTAAGAGTGGTATATACACGATTGCCATTGGTGATGAGGAATGTCGGTGTTTGATACCAGGAAGTGGAGACGCTATTTCCATTAGAGGAGCTCGTTTGACCCTGGCTCGTGTGACCCTGGCTCGTGTGGTCCTGTTGCTGGCTCGAGGAGCGGCTGGACTGTGCGGTCACCAACGATGCAAGCATTGTAATGAAGAGAGAGGTAAGGCACAGAAGGTGCATGGTGGAGGGGCTCTATAGGTAGATAAATGAAACCCCCGCAATCGATCTCGATTCTAGTTCGAAACTTACGCGCTTAGACCGGTGCACAGATGCGTGTCAGTCGGGGATGGTGGACTCAAGCTTGTATGTAATTAAAAATGAGCGTGTTCACGTGGTCAATTTCATGCCATAAGCGTGATCGAGCCCGGGTTGGATTAATTTATATGCTCCGGAATTCTATGAGTTCTCCCCTATAAGACGGACAGCACTGAAAAGGGGCACGTCATCCAACTCGAGCCCCCTTTCAGTATCCCCAGTGGGACCAAAGCCACTCGCCATGATAAGGCCGCCGCCCCTCCCAGATGATTGGTCAACCTGACTCTGCAGTACTTGCTTCCACCGATCGCGCCAATTCCGCGACACCTCATATCCAAAGACTCGCTTCAAAGACATCACTTCCTTAACATCGACCCCTCTGATACTGAGTCATACTTCTGCTGGCCACAATCGCGCTCTCCTGACCCCATCGAATCCCCTATCCGCGCGCTAGAGTTGCTGGCGGGGAATAGCGAACTGTTGGAGAAGTTGAATCACACCGTGAATTATGATGGCGATGCTGAGACGACCCGTGCACGCGTTCAAGTCGGCGATAATGTGCAAGTTGTCTTTGTATGGCAGGATGTTTCTGAGGAAAGCGCCTCGATGGGCGGATCGCGGGAGAGTGGATGGCGCTTTCATGATGTGAAGCGATTCACAGCTCCGTCGCAAGAGTCATCGTTGAAACCGCAGGTTGATGACTCTGAGCAGGTGTCATGTGAGGGTGTTTCGCGCCCATCCAGCCCCTCGTCTGACGTGTACTGGAACAGTTATGGTAGGAGTAAGTGCTGGTATAAATTTGGTACCCTGCTTATCTGCCTCACATTCACAATATGATTATCTCCCCTGATCACAAGTTTCCGCTGGTGACTCCCCTGAACTGCCCCGAACTGCTCGACTGCCAACCTCTGCTCAAGATTCCGCTGAAGACGCATATTGGAACTCTTACTCAATGGTTCAAGGGACTGCTGATTCGACCATACCTTCGCCACAACTGGATACCCGGGTCGGCGGAGGCAAGAGCCTGACATGTCTGGATTTGTGTATGAGACACAGGGCTTGGACCAAGAATTACTTTATGCATACGGGAGAGATAATGAGTCTTACACAGTAGAAAGGGGCCTGGAAACCCATTATGACGAGTTTACAGATGTTCATCACGAAGAGACTCGGGCCGTCGTTTTCGAGGGCGATGGACATGTGGATCAACGCAGAATACTGAGTGCCTATGAGCCGGGCCGGTATACTATGGAAGCTGTGGAGAAGGTAGAGTCCCATGCTGCGCGGTTAACCCGCGCCCTTCTTCCTTTGCTGTCACTTCAGGAGTACATTGAGAAGAACCCCCCACAGGAGGGAGACCCTTCCCCCGACAGCAGCGTGGACGATCGCGACACGACCGGAGCTACCCACTCGCCGCTACCCCTCTCTCGGGAAGATGGAGTCGTGGTTGCGTTGGAGAAGGCGGCACCCTCTACAAATCCATCTTTGTCTGCGGCGCCACTCGATGAAGTCGAAACAGCAGTTGCCGACTCTGTCCGTGGACTTTATAAACTCTGGATCTCATCAAAGACTAGCCCAATCGGTCACGTTTCCCAAGACGCAGGACATTTGCGGAAGATGTTCTTGTCGCTTGTTGAGAATGCCCTTCCTTGTGGAGATTAAGCATCAGAGAGTTATCTTGCCCTCCTTCGTCGAGCGCAGGGATTCAACTTGGCCCATATGTCAATTTCCTTTGCACATCGTCAATATCTGTTCGCCCCCGCACCAACCTTCTTCTCTTATTCATTCACCTCGGCTCGGGCCCACGCATTCGCTTCATACCAACCAATTATCACAGCACTCAATCCTTCCCCAGCATTATGGCTCAATTATACAAATTACAGCGCATAAGAAATCATATCTTTCATTGCAATAAATTGTAACTTGTTGATCCGCCTGCAATTACCACAGTCATTTTCTCTTTTCTTATTCCTTGTTGGCTAAGGGGGCTCACGAGTCATCGATAAATCTTCCCTCTTTGATTGTCACGTCCTGGGCTCAAAGTGCGCATGATCGAGTTCGTTGAGCAGGCTCATGGTGTACTCTTGATTAGGGACTTGTTGACACCCAGGCCAATTTCCGGCCATTGAAAAACCAATATTTGCCGTGAGTTATTGAAGGGTGTAATGAACCATGAACCACTGAACTCACAGGCATTAATCTGGACGAGTGAAAACTACCAGGGTCACAAGAACCAATTCAATAATACGCATTTTGATTTGGGACAGCAGGATCAGTGCAGATCGATCCAGACGTGTACATAACTCGGAGCCCGAGATCCACTGAGAATGCACACCGTGATTCCGAGAGCCGGAAAAGGCCATGCCGCTGAGGAATTAATGGAAGATCGAAACATGACAACGCCCGAAATGAAATCGGAAACCAGGAAAAAGGGCCTCCTCGAGTCCGGTATTAATTTCAATGTTATCGGTGATCCAGGTAAAAGTATCGCCCGAAAGCTGGGATCGCTAGATAAAATTAAGCGGGGCACAATGGACAAGATTATGAGCAGAGAATCACAACGGAAAAGTCCATCCTAGGGGGGCATGTAAGATGCTGAGATCGAGAGGCTGACAAGGCACTAACTGCATGACTGGGTTAGCTTTCGTCGCCAGTCGCAAGAAACGCAAGAAATATTCAAACTATGCCAGCGATATGTTCGCACTGCGCCCGGCGTACCCTGCTACTACAGCGTCAATTCCTGTAACAGTACAGTGGACCTTGGTATTCATGTGGAGAATATTTGTGACATGATCATTGAATTGGGCTGGTGTTTTCTGTGTGCCTCACTGGTTTTGACAATGACTGTGGTAGGTCACACGACTCTCGTTCCTCCGCTCCATTAATCGATTGTACAAATGAGATCCAACCCGCCAAAGGGGGATTGATGACATTTCGGGTTTCCGAAGCACTGTCGGTCTTCTATGGACATTGATGAACCCGACCTTGGGGTTCCTATGCCAAGGTTTCGACCAATAGCCTGCTGTGTCTAGTTGCCGTCCGAATTTTCACGGAGATGTGGAAGCCCTTATTATCCTTTCCCCTTGCGTTCCCTCCATTCCACTCTCCAGCCCTGAGGCTTCATCTGTGTTAGTGCTGCAGGATGGGCAAACACCCTCGAGAGGCGAAGGAGAAAGTAACACCGACTACCTCGAATGATGGTGCTACCGAACTTGGACCAGATGGGGCCTCTCATGTACAGGGACATTTGAAGCGACAGCTCAAGTCTCGCCACATAGCCATGATAAGGTTCGCCCTTCGAACTCTGACTTTTGAACGGCCTCAGAATGTATCTGCGAAGTATCGGGGGTGTCATCGGCACGGGCCTTTTCCTCGGTACGGGTACGGCCCTTTCTCATGGAGGACCTGTTGGGTGAAGAAATTTTCCTCAGAGCCCCAGAGCATACTAACGCCATCCTCGCAAAACTAGCCTCTTGCTTGGGTATTCCATCATGGGCTCCATCTGCTATTCAACCATGATTTCGCTCGGGGAGATGATTGCGTACCTTCCGATCGCCGGCGGACATATCAAGCTTGCCGAGCGATTCGTAGGAAAATTCTTCTCGTTCTCCATGGGATGGAACTATTGGTATAACTGGTACGGGGTTTGGTTCTCGGTTCTCGGATGTACACCTAGGGATCCCTCATTCGGATAGGGTCATTGTGCTTCCAGCTGAGTTAAGCGCTGCCGCCAGTGAGTATTCTAATCGGAAACAGTTTAAGATATTTTGGTACTGATGTGCCCTCTAGTACTTATTGATTACTGGGAGCATCATTCCGTCAGCAAGTGACTCTTCCGCATATTCCTTGCGTTCGGCCTAATTGCATTCATAGGTGATGCCGTCTGGATCGCCATATTCATGGTTATTGTCATAATCATCAATTTGTACGTGGAACAAAAAACGACATGATTTCTGGCTAATGGTCCGTGTCCAAGACTCGGCGCCGGAGCCTATGGGGAGACGGAATTCGTTTTTGCTTCATTAAAGTGATTACCATTACTGGGTTAATTGTAAGCAATGACTTATTGCGTCATTGACCCTCTCACCCCGCCATAGATTCTCGGTATAGTGCTTGATTTAGGTGGGGGACCGAATCGCGACCGACTAGGGTTCCGTTATTGGGTGCATCCTGGTCCGTTCGTTCAGTTCCATGGCATCAAGGGCTCTTGGGGTCGTTTTCTCGGATTTTGGACGGTTCTCACTCAAGCTGCATTCTCTTTCATTGGCACCGAGATCGTCGCTATCGCGGCTGGTGAAGCCAAGAACCCTCGACGCAACATCCCAAAAGCGATCAAACGCGTCTACATCCGAATCTTGCTCTTTTACATTGGGGGTACTGCTACCATTGGGCTGTTGGTCCCAAGTAACGACAAATCACTTGGACTTACGTCTGACGCCGCATCATCGCCATTCGTTATTGCGTAAATTTGATGATTTAATGATCTAGGACACTGCTGATATATTCCCGCAGAATCAAGCGCGCAGGGATTGGAGGACTCCCTTCCACTATTAATGCTGCGCTCCTTACTTCTGCATTGTCAGCAGCAAGTTCCGACCTTTATACCAGTTCACGCGCCTTATGTATGCTTGTCGTTTTCTACGTATCAGCGATTTCCGACTGATTGTTGTGCGCATAGACGGGTTGGCAATCGCAGGGAACGCCCCGAAGATCTTCACTCGGACTTCCAAAAGTGGCCTTCCTTACTTCTCTGTGTTTTTCTGCGCCTTATTCTGCTGCCTCGCTTATTTGGACGTATCGTCTGGCTCTGGGAAGGTTTTTGGGTGGTTCACGAATATGACTTCCATCGCTGGTCTGATGACCTGGTTTGGCATAAATTTCACATATTGGAGGTTCTATCAGGGAATGAAGGCGCAAGGTTTCGATCGGAGCAAACTCCCTTTCATAGGAATTCTCCAGCCATATGCAGCGTGGTATGCCATGATTTGGATATGGCTTGTTTGTATTGTAAGTAGCCATGACCCCAGCCCTACCAACCACTTCACGTCCTTTTTAGTTCGCCGCGTATCCAGTGTTCCTCAGGAACAATTGGGATACAGCAACTTTCATCACATATTATTCACCCCTGGCATTGTTCCCTGTTATGGTGTTCGGCACCAAATTCTGGTACAAGGAGACAATGATTGCTCCAGGAGATATGGACTTTTACAGTGGCCTCGCTGAGATAGAGGCTGATTCGTGGGTATTCGTCCTAGTGGTATCTGGCCCATGATTGACTCCTTGATTAGGTACGACGAGCCACCTCCCGCTAACTGGATCGAAAGATTCTGGTCTTGGCTTATGTGAAAAGTAGAAGCTCCATGCGAATTCTATCTCAGATGCAGATGATTTCCAAACTCGTTATTTTAGGTTACATGCCCGCTTGGCAGCTGATACAATCACTTTCATCGAATTAATTACGAACTTGCTACATTCCAGCCAATCTTAATGCTATTCGTTCTACTAATGCGGGCTTGCCAAGGAGAACCCATGCGTATTCTACTAGTAAGACGGTAAGATTCAGAATACCATATCCAAGCATGGGGATAATTCCCATGAAGAAATTCCCAAGTGCCCCACGGCGTGTGATTGTCTCCCACAGTTCCGTCTTGACAATCTCTGGGGCCACCCGTGAGCGATAGGGACCTGTCAGACGATAGAAGGTTGTGAAAGCTGCACCGAAACTTTCCAACAGAAGAGTAAGCACAATAAATTTCGGTTTCTATGCGATGCTTACCAGTAGCAGACAAGCACGCGGGTTCCGTATTCTTTCCAAAGATCCCAAAGGCCGGGAGCAGCACCGATATCTTTCGCTAATGTACTCATATACGTGCTGTGATCAACACCATACTTAATACGAGCCGTCTCTTTCACCAGTAAAAGATAATCGGGTTTAGATGTAGGGGCAGGAATCCTCCTCGTTATGACTGATATCCAGAACATCGACTGCATCTCGGAAATAGGGGGTATCGCGCCTGAAGAACGCTGCGTTAGCATTTCAAGGCCAGAACCTCACATCCCTCCGAGTACTGATGACTTGCCAACACCGGGTCGGACGAAACCAATAAAACCCAGGCTGTCGTCGCCCCTCTTAAAAACATTACGAACGTCAGCATCTCCAGCAGTTCCATAGTCACCAGTCTCATCAAAGAAATCGAATTTCTGACTGATGCACCTCAAATTTCAACATGACATAAGCTTCCGATGAAAAGGCACACGTACGTGTAGCCGGTCGCAAAAATCACAGTCTGGGGCGAAATGTCCATTTGCTGTATCCTTTTACTTTCTTTCCGGTGGTTCAGAGGGAAAACTGCCATACCGCTCTGGGTGAAGCTTGAAGGGAATGGCGCGAGTTCTACTGAAAAACCAGTCTGTGGCGGGGAGTCTTCTGGTGGGTCAATATAGCGACTGAGATAGTCAAGGAACTTGGGTCGATTGCGGTATGGCCGGTTGATGTAAGGCATCGCCTTGCTCGACTGGAATGGAAGGTGAGCAGGAGGGTGTAATGTTGCTCAGTGGCACACACTTTGTTTAGAAATACATACGCGCGCCCTAGACGATCATCATCTAGTTCGCCAACCCATTGATTACACCCCGCCATAGTACCCGATATAATCCACAACAATCGCTTGATAACGAAATCGCTTATACTGTAGAATATGAGTTTGAAAGCGGTCAAGAGTGGGTCAATACAACTTACAACCACCGCCAATGTAGCTTAGCCACCCATGGGTGCTGATTACCACTGAGCCTTCGATACACGGCTATTACAAGGCAACTCACCACGTAAGCGGTTTCGAACAAGTTGGTGATAAGTCCTATGTCAAACACTGGTCATCTAGATGGCTTCGCGACGCAGTCGTTTCATTGGCTCACCGTCGATGGGTATCTTCCCGTCAAACTTGAAACCAAATACCTCAAAATCGTTCTGGAAGCCCAGAATGAGCAGGTAGCAATGAAAGTTGGAGGCACGAAGAACGGACCAAAGCTTTTGGAAATGAAAGAAATCCGCCTGCCCATTTAGTGAGTATTTGGTGGCGCAATTTACCGAGCGGCAGATTATACCTCTAGTACACAGAATCACTTCGGTTGCTCCAGCTTTTACTGCTTCGTAGGCTAAGTCATGGCCAGTCTCTCCTGTTCCCAAGATCATTACGCGTCGCCCAGCCAATTGAGCACGCCCCTTGTATTCCACAGAGTGGTACACTTCACGCACAACTCCATCGCGCGAAGCCTCCTCCGAGTCCAGAACATTCTCTATCCCTTCTATGTAGGGAATGTAAGGGGTAACGTGAAGACCACTGCATACAGCGATGTAGTCTGCCCGAATGGTCTTCAGTTGTGGGACGGCGCCACGTTGGTCGATATACTCGACGTCATGACCAGTGTCTGACCCAGGAGCAGGCCTGATTTTCGTGACTTTACACTGAAGATGTATACGATCCTCGAAACCAAATCGCCTGATGTATGCTCGTAGATACTCGACGTACTCAAGAAGCGTTAAGTGGTCTGGATGTTCCAATGGAAGGCGAAAGTCGGAGAAAGATGTCAACTGCTTCGAGCTCACGAGTGTTGCATTCTCGTACGAACGATGCCTGAATGGCAGTCATCTACGTCAAACATTCCTGTCACAACAACATAGACCGTGCGAACCGAAACGTGCCACCAATGTCGTCTTCGGCTTCAAGAATGATAGGATCGAATGGGAAATCTTCTGAAGCTTCCTGGAGGAGTGTCTTTGTGACAACTAAACCACTTGGGCCAGCACCTATGACTACGACCTTCATTACGCACGCAGGACTCCAGCCTCTATGAGTCAGACCTTCGAGGTGTTGAGGCGGCAGTGGCCGAGGGTTCATGTGGCTCCTTGATGTCGGGCTGCGCTTTCCCTCCTGGACTTCCAAAATCCACTGCCACCGTCCTTGGTTTTTCGTTTCCCCTTCCCTTCTCCCAGTTCCCGTAGTCGTTGGGGCCGGGGCTTGTTCATTCTTTCCGCTTCTCTTTGGTTTGCGGTGTGTCGCCCGACTCGGTTCCATTGGGCAGATCACTAATTCAGATTCAGTTCTCACAACGGGTATTGCATGATGCTGAGCTGGACTCCGTTCCACTGGACATCATACCGGCGCTCGTTCCGTCTCATCGTGCTCGATCAGAAGAGCTACACATTGACGTCATGCACGATGCGGCGAGTCGGGTCCGCCGCACTGAATGGCATCCTTGACTTTTGTCTGAGGCTCGGATTAGTATTGGATGCGATACGAATTATACCTAGCCATGCAGACCGTGGACTGACGTATCCTGGCACGAACAGAGTTCGAGTTCATCGCGTGGGGAGGCTGAACTTAGTGATCTGTGCATAAGCGGCTGATTCCGGGCTGCTCCCGAGATGGTTCTTTATTGACATCAAACAATCAAGAAATGCGGGATCGATAACAATGGTGATCTATTGCTACACCAAGGCGGATATGCGCAGAAGAAAGAGCCATTACGTTTGCGCAATAAACGTGAGTATGTACGGTATCCATGTCAGACGCCATCTGTTTGTTTAGGCCGAAAGGAAGCACGAAGGGGGGAAGATCGGGGATACATTGCATGGATCGGATTGAGTCTCAAGTCCGGCGACAATTGTTGGGTGCGTACGTGATTGAAAAATTGACACGCGTGGGCACTTTGGCAATTGGGTGGGATCTCAGCCTTCTCAATGAATCGTCCAGGACCATCTGAACCCGAACTCGTTGGCAGGGATACCACACTATGACATGCCAGTAGCGAACCGAAGCAACCACTCGGTTGGCCAACTTCGAATAATCCCCAGAACCGTTGGATGGTCTTATTGTTCACCTCGTACCCTTGTCCAATGATGATGGAAGTGCTAGATTAGCAGTCCAACGTCAGTGGTGCCAACGGGCTTTGGGTCAGGTTCACGCTTTGTTCTGTTTCAGGTTTACCCTTTGACGGATAAATGCTTTTAATAATTGTGAGTGGTGCACTTGGGACGCCCCTCCCAGTCAGTTTTACCTTGCTTGCCACAATTCGTAGGAATCTTAACTTTCCCAACCTGTTGATATTGCTTCTTCTTCAGGGCACAAGGCAGCGCATCGGCCCTTCTAGCACGCGCAAGGAGCACTATAGTATCATGCTCTGATCGTCCGCCTCGCCGCTGATAACAGGATGACGAGTACAAATGACCTGACGCCGACTTGAACGGGGTTACGTAAACGTCGACCGGGATTTACATACCGGGCCACTTTTGGTATGGAGACCGGGCTTGCTGTGTTACATTTTCAAAAAGAAAAATACGAGCAGTGAAATGTGTGCCTGAACTCCAGATCAGACTCCTGTCAATTATCCAAGAAGAAAGTTTCACGGTTGCAGAGAAACGGTGTTGAAATGGGAGGGAGTGGCCTCTGCCGGCACAACGAGGTTAGAATAATGCGCCCTGGGCTTTTCTTTACTCGGGGAAACCTCTCCTGCAAGCGCAAAACTTACACAAAGGTTCGCGTTGTCGACTGATACACAAGATACACTGGAGTATTAGTGCTATTTTATCAATATTGTCAAATGCAGACGGGACTTGCCAAGAAAGCATCATTCTTCTCAACTGTATTGTTGCTGATGCATTTTTATCCAAGGCCATAGTTAGGCGATTCAGGCAGCAACGCTCCACGATCGCGGTTTCTCCGTCGGCGGATTATCCACTTTCCCAAGTCGAGTCACAAGTACCAGATGGCTGTTCTCAAGCCGACTTCATCCGTATTGAGCCGCAGTAAATTTGCATTACATGGATAATCAACTTGTTCTCATCACCCAATGTTGGATTCGCCTGCAATAATTAGGGAAGCCACATCTAAACATAAGAGAGATAAACTGCACCATTATCTAGAGAAAGAGTCAAAGTTGCCGTCTACGAATACAAATACACAAATTTGAATCCTTCGTCTCGGCACGGGGTTGCATAAGGTGGTGTGGGTTGTGCAAATTACACCTAACATCGTTTGACCGACTCCAAATCTGATCAGGACTGAAGCGGTTGAGTGCAAGAATGAGGTTGAATGCCGGCTGCTAACTACATAGTTACCCCACTTCAGCCTCGAAGGGGATCACTTTGATACGTTGGTGAGTTCGAAGAAGCATTCCCATTCCCAGAGCTACCTTGGGTATCGTCCTTATTGGTGATGCCACGGAGGTCAGGACTTTCCGAACCATAAAAGGACAGGGACGGAGCGGGCCGTTGGAGTATCTCAGACCCTGATACGCGTGGGTTCAAAAGTGTCTGGCGGACTCCATGGGCTACGCGGCCGGCGTCAAAATTTGACAGAGTACTTATCCAGGGAGGGGTGATCGAAGCGGAGCTGACGGCAACTGTCTCCTTAGGTTTGCCATCGAAATGGGAAGCGAGAGAACGGTCTGGCTTATGTATACTAGTTGATATGTTACGGAACGCGTTGGTTGATGGGGGAGGCGAAATTAGCGGAGTTCGGGTGAGAGTGGCTGTGGGTGTAGAGTTCCGGTTGGACTGATAAGAAGCTAAGACCTGGCGAGACACTGGTTTACTAGCGCTGTCTAGGACCACACCTTGTGCTGCTCGGGCTGGGAAAGTAAGGGCAGCACGACGGCCAAGGGGTTCCTGGGCAGATGTACTTCCTTCGCTGTTCTTCCCGCTTAAAGAGTTGTACTGTCCAGCCTTTGCTCGCTCTTCACGGAGACTATGGTATTCCGTTTCTCCCAGCAGTCTTTCCTCATCAAGCTGAGAAGCAGGCGTAGCCTGATCCGCGTTCAATAAATCTCGTGTATAAGCCAGGCATTCGAGAGCCTCGCGCCTCTTCGCTGATTCTGCACTGTTCTCCGACAGGGGATCGGGTGTATCCTCTGCACCTTGCAAGAGTGTGTCGACGACCCAGGAGAGCGCTTTACCCAATCTCTTGTTCATACTTGAGTAAGCTGCGACTTCCCGTTCGATCTCAAAGCGTGTTCGGGGTTCCCATGGCGGCTTATCCATCCCTTCGGTCCCATCTCTTTCCAGACTCGGTCGGGTCTTGGAAGTCATCAACGACTGGTATGAGAAGGGGATGCTAGGATCCGGCGAAGATGGATGTCTAATGTGCTGAGCAAACTCAGGGAGATTGCGCTGGAGTTGTGAGACTCAGACGCCGGATAAATGTTCGTAAGTGCAAATACTAACCCGTATCTCTGAAACAGTGTTGTACACTGCACCATTGATATCTGACAGCCCTTTACTGAATAGTTCGGGGATTGGAAGAGGAAGCCCGAATGGGTCCTTGCGGGTTTCCGCTCCTGACGTCGAACTACCGCTGGGAGGATGACCATGGGCATTCCGCGTGTCCTCGGGAGACTCCCTACTTTTCGCGCGCCGAAGGGGAGCAGGGGATCCTGGAGACTCTGCAGGAATTCCAAGGGCAGTTTTGTTTTGCATGACGAGTGAGACAGCGGTAGCCGGGTTAGGGTCGGCTTTGAGGGCTTGAGCTTGCTGAAGGAGGAGGGAGATGTGAGATATGGGTTCGGCAGGAGTAACAGAAGGGTAACGGAGTAGATAACCAAGTTGAGTACTATAGTCTGATGTTATTACTGTAACGAAACTCGTTTTATTAGCGCAAATTGATAAGCTGTAGTGGAATGGGGACGAACAGTGATTGCGAATGCGAATGAGCATTGCGACACAAATCCATTTGGATAATTGCAGCGTTGGGTCGGAAGCGAATAGACCATCCCAAAGCACCATGGAATCCCCAACACCGAACTCACGTGTGAACAACAATCTGAGCCATCGACTGTCGGACGGGAATAAGTCTCATGGTATCAGAGATAGTGATATTAAAACCTCACATCCCAAATATCTGAGGCTCTATCTGAGAATTTTGTAACGCCGACCACAGAGCCGGATCGCTGTGCTGGAGATAATCTGAATGGATAGCTCTGCATGCTTCCACAATAGGCGCGACCCAAGGTTTCATAGAGATGGGCTCGAAACTCCCTGGAATAGTCTGGCTGATAGGTTGTTTATGCGTTGGCTCGCGCCACTCGTACCAGGCGCCGATTCCATTCATAATGATGCTAAACAAGGCATGAGCATCGGCAGCTATCCACGTCCTATCGCAAAATTCGGCGAGGACTTCATTCTCCTCAGGCTGTGAAACAGAGCACTTGAGTGAGTCGAAATCGATCGCATAAAGGAGAGGTGCCAGGAGTTCGTGCATTCCTTGACGATACCCGACATTCTTGTCTTGTATGCTATAGACATAGAGGATGGATGTTAGGAGTGACTGAATGTGAGGATCACGAAAATATTCGATATCTGGAAACCTTGAATTAACGATAATGCGATAATTGAGATGGGATTCTGACTCTTCAAGCAAGAGTGACAATGACAATGTACATACGTCCGTTCCACATCCTGCCGTATAACTTTCCGCAGCTCCACGGCATCAAACCAGTCATTCCATCCAGAGTCTGCATCGAGGCTCAGTGGGTTGTTTCTTGTCCAGTTCTCTATCGTGTTGCGGTCGGGAACTGCAGCGTCGGCACCTGGGAGATCAACCCATTCTTCGTAACTGCCATCTGGAGCACGCAATTCTATTCTGATAAGGCTCGCATATCGGCTCCTTGCAGATCGTAGGGCATCTAAAGGCGGAGAAGGAATAGGCGACAGTGAATCAGTCAGGGGAGCTGCGGGGAGGAGGAAAAGTTTCCACGCCAGGCTTCGGCCTGGGAGCATTCCATTCAACGACGGGTCGTAGGCATTTTCTGGGTTAGAGAGAAGTTCGCCTGATAGTGCGGCATCTCGGATTTTGTCCAACGAGGTTCTGTTATCAAATAGCCGCTCGAATGAATTTCTGCAGTCATACGGGTGCCAAATCTCAGATTGGCGCTCGGCATTGCTCTCAGAAGGACGAACCGTATGTCATGTGGAGAAGCTCTGAGTGTCATATTACTGCAAGGTCAACGTTTGCGCATGTTGAGACGGTCGCGGCGTCCGCCGTGATATTGAAAGGTGTTTGGCAATTCACAGTGCCCGAATGCAACGACATGCACGATGAAAAATCTAGGTAGCAACAGCTTCTGCAACCGTATTCTTCACAGTCGCTGGGACAGTTGCAGTGGCACTGCCTGTTGACAATGTCCTCAATTCCTCAATTCAAATGCGATTTTTCTTAATGTAAAATTTTCCCTGTCCTTCGATCCGTCGAACCTGAAGGCCCTGGCATGGTTCAAAACGGCGTAAAGGCTCAGAAATGGTGGGCCGCGAGGTTAGTGAGAGTATCTAATAGGATTTCAAGCACGTAACCTGAAGGCGACGTTTACACGTTGACACGATTGACAAACAGGCGCCGAAACACATGGTAGCGAAGAGAAAAAATACCAAGGGATGGAAACGGTGTGTTTGTGAGAGCTGGTAATACGACGGTGACTGCGAGAATGTCCAGGGTTCTGGCGTTGAGTTGCATCGGATGCATAAAATAAAAAGTGATCAGAGCCGTTGGCGTATTTAAGAAGAGGGGGTCCAAGTTCCCTTGAGGCAACTTCCCCCGGCCAAAAATTCCCACGCTGGGGACGTGTGGGCCACATGACCTCTCGGTGAGCGATTAAATCGTTGCGGTCATATTTGGAAATACTCACGAGTAAGCGCCGTGGTGTGCACAATTTGCGGAAACAGACTCGACCGGCTTCTTTTACTGCTTGATACTGGTTCCTCGTCTTCCATCAGAGAGACAGCGGCGCGTCAGATTGCGCAAATTGCGGCCAAGAATGTTGCAAAGGATGCCGGAGCTGACATCGTGTTCAAGGATCTGCTTCCACCAATACTCATGGCTGGCAAGGCACTAGCGCAGAATGGGCTGACGTGATGAAAGTGGTTGGGAAGGTTTGCCCTAGTTGTTATGATGTTTTTAGCTCAAGCTCACGAGTGATACGACTGAACAGATCCTTCCGTACCTTCGCTCTAAATCATTTGAGACTCGCACTGCTGCCACCTCCGCCCTCTCTCATGTATGCCAAATGACGCCTGCTTGGTCTCCTCCAATAATTAGTCCATCCGATCCTTCCAGCTCAACTACAGCCCCCGACTTTCCCCCATTCTCTGTCGAACAGCTTCTCAAGACTGGGACTCTTCTTCTTTCCTCGTCAGGCACTGAATTCTCGGAACCCGTTCCCTTAGGGACGCCTTCAGAAGTCGCTCGGGCCCGTAAGGAAGCCATGAACAGGATCGGTCTCGGCTTCATGGACGGCGTGGATGATGATGATCTTGGTTTAGAAAAGGAGCTTGTACAGGAGTCCGAAACACGCAGTCAAAGTCAAATGGATATTGATGTCAAACAAGAGCGTTCAAGCTCTCTTGTTGCGATGAGTGACAGCGAGGACGTCAGGATGTCATCCCCACGCCCTGTTGCAAAACGTGCTCGACCTCCAATGAAACTGGATTTGGAAACATTCGTGCAACCAATTAAGCCGGAGGATCTTGGGTCGCCGGCTCCTACCGACACCCCTATGGATGAATCATCCGACTTTGATTTATCTGGATTGTCGGCACGAGAGAGGAACAGGTTGAAGCGCAAGCGAAAGTTGGGGGGAGCTGCTTTCGTCTCAGCCCTATCGAATTCCACAAAGGCATCGCCTTCAACAGCCACCCCCGCTTCAAAGTAAGTAGTATGTGTTCGAATGTGACGTGGAGGCCGATTCATTCTGCTGTCAGAGTGAGAGTCGTACCGACAGGCGACGGACCCCAAGCGCGTCCACTTGAATCATCGCCCAAAGCCAACTCACCTGTAGACTCGCCCTCGGGGACTTTGCCTCCTGGTGAAAAAGTAGTTGTCGATCCCACTAAAGGCGGTCAGGTCGAGGCCAAAGAGAAAGCCGAGGAGGCGCTCGCCCTTAACGCTCCAGATGGTTGCTGGGTCTGGGGTGGTGTTGTTGAGGTTTTGCAGATTGATTTATTTAGGTTTGAATGATTTATTCCTCTCCTTTATGTACACTCTCACTTCGCCGGATTTTTGATAGCGCGAAATGGGAAATTCGACATGGCGCAGCGATGGCGTTAAGAGAAATCATCAGGGTGCGTGGGGCGTCGGGGGGGATGAAAGGTAGGTTACTAATGACAGTGCTCTGCGCCGAAGCAAAGTGATATTCGTTTTTCAGCAAACACAAGCTCCCAAGATAATCTAGTTTTGCATGAAAAGTGGTGCAACAATCTGGCATCCAAGTTTTTGTGTTTGTTTGTATTGGATAGATTCAGTGATTTCGTTTCTGATCAGGTCGGTCTGGAGCTTACTCTTCCATTGCGGCGATGCTAATCCCTCCGTTCAACTTAGGTCGTTGCGCCAGTTAGAGAAACTGTTTCCCAGACTTTAGCCGCACTCTTGTCTCACATGCCTCGTCGCTCAGTCCTGCATGTGCATAAAGCTCTCCTCGAGATGATTCGAGTGTCAGCAAGCAGTCCTTTAAAGCAAGCCCCCCCTAAGGCCACAACAAGGAGAGGAAAAGCACCTGCAAACGGGGATGCAAAAGCAAATGGGCAGGGGAATGAAATCGCATGGCAGGTCCGTCATGCCGGTCTTGTTGGAATTAAATACGAGGTCGCGGTTCGGACAGACTTGTTTGACGATATGGAGCATGGTTTGGATATATTGCAGGAGGTTTTAGATGCCGCCGTCTCGGGGTACGCCATTCTTCCTGATCGCATTGGTGGTCATTTCTTACACATTCCTCGTCACTAGGATGCGGGATCCTGTTGACGATGTTCGATCAGTAGCAGCTACTTGCATTACACCTATTGTACATCATGTTATTGAGCGACTATCAGGTTATGTTGATAGGATCTTGGATGTACTGTGGGATTGCCTTGGAGATATGAAGGATGACTTGTCGTTGAGTGTGGGCTTCGTTATGGATCTACTTGGTAATCCAGCATCTTTCTCATGCTTACCGAGACTTCAGCTGACTAGGGATTTGTAGGGAGGCTGCTCTCTTTCGACCGAATCATTACGTCCCTGATAAGGTCTGGCGTCTCGTAAGTCCTGACTGCGTCGTGAGAGCTCAATATTTCTAACGGGATTTCGCAAGACGACCTTTGAATCAACTTATCCCTCTCCTCCATCCATTCTTCCGGCACACTATCTCGAATGTTCGACTTTCTGTCGTAAACACGTTGCATAACTTCCTCTCAGCTCCAAACTTCCCAGACGATTGGATCGATCCCCCATTGATGCGTTTACTTATGCAAAATCTTGTTGTCGAAGATCGTACCGACGTACGTGGTGTGACGCTTCAGGTGTGGCGTATGTGCATCGCAAAGCTTGATGCGTCACCTCCACGACTTCAGATGACTGTTGGGCCATTTATTCGGGATTGGTTCTCACTGGTCATGGCTCCACTCGGAACCCCAATGGATGCTGCTTTGTTTTACAGGCCGCGGAGTGATGCAGATCAAGGGCATAATGTCGACAAGAATATGCTTCTCCAGGACTTGTCTTTGGTCTCGTCGGAAACTCTCCTCCGAGCTCGGGTAGTCGCATGTAAGGCTCTGGCGATTGCATTGTCCGTGTGGCCTGTTGAGGTCAGTGATGTGACAATTTTTTGTGGGGTGAACCATTCTGACCTGTTTCTAGGAGCAACAAGAATTATTTGGCGTTTTTCTTGAGTTTTACATGGACTCTGCCAGTATGCTTCAACAATTCCTGGCTGCGACCATTGTCCAAGAATGGGCAGTCGAGGCTGACTCGACTAAGTCCTCTGCTGCCGAATCCAAGCTGGTCTCAGCGTCGCCTCTTGCTTTTGCGATGGTAACCCGCTTCTTCAAATATCTCCAATCCGATCCTCCTTCGTCATACTATGAGATGTACGCTCTTTTGTCCCGCATCGCCAATGATTGTAGAGGTCTATTCGCACAGTTCGTCACTGATGGGAAGGTGCCACCTGCTAAAATACCAGAGCTTCCGGCGAAAGTGGACGCATTCGGCCGAGAACAAGGTGGATTCACTCTCAGCACGGCTAATGAAACCGTTCAGTCTTCTTTCGAAATGCTCAAAGGCCACATCGCCAAGAGCCGAAAGAAGGAGCTTCCTGCTCTTGAAACAAAACGGAAGAATATTATGTTCAGCATTAAGCAGTATCAGGAAACGAAGGAACAGCATGATTCTCGTGTTGCAGCGGCCGTCGCTGGGGCACTGATTGCACTGCACACCATGCCAACAAAACTCAACCCTGTCATCAGGAGTGTCATGAATGGAGTCAAGGTTTGTTCATCTGTCGATCATTTCATCAACACTTTAATCACCTTCTCTAGTTCGAGACTAATCTTGATCTACAAACACGGGCAGCAAAGTCTGTTGCTGCGTTTGTGTCGTACTCAGTCGCTTCGTCTTCGGCTAAAGCGACTCCGACGGACAAAATTATAAAGAATCTATGCACGTTCATTTGCCAAGATACCGATTATACCCCTGTTTTCGCTGAAATGCGAAACGAGTTGGATGGAATCTTACCAAAGAAACTACCAGCTAGTCCCCCTGCCAAGTCCAATGGAGGCGAAGAAACACCTGCTGAGACGTCTGGTGTGAGTCTCATTCGGCGTGGTGCTGAGCTCGCTCTTGGTGAAGTAGCAGCGGAGTTTGGCGAATCATTGTTTGGTACTATCCCCATTCTTTGGGATTGTATGGTTCAACCACTTGTGGATTCATACTGTAAGCGGACATGTCTTTGTCCCTGGAACATGTACTCATGCTTTGTTTAGGTGATGGCGCAGATCACGAAAAGGAGAACGGCCAAAACATTGTCGACTGCCTCACTCTTTTGCACGCCCTCGTTCCAACATTTCATCCCAGCTTGCGACCGAGGGTCGTCGGCATCTTACCTACTGTCCTCAGTGCTCTTAAGAGTCAGTATGCCGTCATAAGGCGGTGTGCAGCTCAATGTTTCGCTGCCATATGTAATGTCTTTACTGAAGAGGCGATGAAGGTCGTTGTAGAAGATGTCATTCCTCTGTTGGGTGACAACACCGCCGTCCGACATAGACAGGGAGCTATTGAGGTTATTGCTAGTGAGTAACCCATCTGGGATAATGCTGACCTTCCGAGGCGCTGACGGGACGGTTCAGATATCGTTCAACTGTTGGACTCGAAAGTTTTACCATATCTTATTTTCTTGATTGTTCCGGTCCTTGGCAGAATGAGCGATTCCGATGACGAACTCCGTTTTATCGCTACGAACACCTTTGCATTATTAGTCAAGATGGTGCCGCTTGAGGTGAGCTCGGCAGCGAGATGGGACCGACGATACTCTAATTCCTTTCATCAGGCTGGTCTTCCAGATCCGCCTGGTTTCTCTGAAGAACTTCTTCGGAAGCGAGAGAATGAACGTGCTTTTCTTATACAGCTGCTTGATGGCTCAAAGGTTGAGGAATACGAGATTCCTGTGCCTATCAAAGCGGAACTGCGGAAGTACCAGCAAGACGGTGTCAACTGGCTTGCTTTCCTTGCGAAGTACCAACTGCACGGGATACTGTGCGATGGTGGGTTTTCCCACCTTCACGTATTCTTTCATTTCAAGCTTAATTCTACGTAGATATGGGTCTTGGGAAGACTTTACAAACCATTTGTATTGTCGCCAGCAGGCACCACGAACGGAAAGTAAAGTTCCGCAAAACCAAGTCCCCCGACTCAACACCGCTCCCTTCCCTTATTGTTTGCCCCCCCACCCTTGCTGGCCATTGGTACCACGAGATTCTTAAATACACGGAAAGCCTCAAGCCTATGGTATACGTGGGTAGTGTGCGCGAGAGAAACAAGAAGGCTTCCCAAATCCCCCATCATGATGTCGTTATTACATCGTACGATGTCGTTCGCAACGACTTGAGCGTGCTCTCTCGACACCACTGGCATTATTGCGTTCTCGACGAGGGGCACGTTATAAAGAATGCCAAAGCAAAATTGACGAAAGCTGTGAAGAGTATCCAGGCATTTCATCGGCTTATTCTTTCTGGGACGCCGATTCAGAACAATGTCTTAGAACTCTGGAGTTTGTTCGACTTCCTCATGCCTGGATTTTTGGGTACAGAATCTTATTTCAATGAGAAGTTCGGTCGACCCATCTCGCTCAGCCGGGATAACAGGGCCACACCCAAGATCCGTGACGCCGGTATGTGTGTTTTTTATGCTGACGGCCGACCTAGACCCACATTTGTCGTTAGCGGCGCTCGCGCTTGAGGCATTGCACAAGCAAGTCTTGCCGTTCCTCTTACGTCGTCTCAAGGAGGATGTGCTGAATGATCTGCCACCTAAGATCATCCAGGACTATCAATGCGAGCTTTCAGATCTTCAGAAGAGGCTGTACGACGAATACGCTAGCTCTCAAGCGAGGCTCAGCGTTGAGAATGAGATTAAGAAGGCTAACGGGCAGAAGGATGGGGGCGGTCAGAAACACGTCTTCCAGTCGCTTCAGTACTTGCGCAAGCTCTGCAATCATCCGGCTCTAGTCATCAAAGACCCCGCCACCCTGGCGTCCCTTGCTGAACCCGGACAATCACCGCCAGATTTGAAAGATATCTCGAATGCACCGAAGTTAGAAGCCCTGAGGTATGGCATGTTCATACGTCACAGCTAGACACTTATCCGACTCTTTCCTCAGGCAACTTCTCACTGATTGTGGTGTTGGTGTAGCATCGACATCAGGAAAGGATAACGAGGTTGCACTGGACACTTCGGAAGCGGCCATATCCCAGCATCGCGTTCTCATTTTCTGTCAAATGAAGCAAATGCTTGACATCATCGAAAACGATCTTTTCCAGACGCTTATGCCGTCCGTCACCTATATGAGACTTGATGGGACCACAGACGCTACTAAACGTCATGCCGTCGTGGAAACATTCAATGCGGATCCGAGTATTGACTGTCTACTCCTAACGACTCATGTTGGTGGGTTGGGACTTACTCTAACTGGGGCTGATACGGTCATCTTCGTGGAGCACGACTGGAACCCAATGAAAGATTTGCAGGCCATGGATCGTGCACACCGCTTGGGTCAGAAGAAGGTTGTGAATGTTTACCGTTTAATCACAAAAGGGACCCTCGAGGAGAAGATCATGGGGTAATATTCGATTTACTGCGTACTATATCCCACAGCTCACCGTTTGTTCACCAGCCTGCAACGCTTTAAGCTCAATATTGCCAACTCCGTTATCACCCAGCAGAATTCGGGTCTGGCGTCAATGGACACTGACTTAGTGCTCGATCTCTTTAAACGCACCACAGAGGAAGAGGATGTTTCCTCAAAGAAACAGAAGCAGATGGATGCAGACCGGTCGGTGTCACAAAGGAATGTACTGGAGGGTTTAGAGGACCTTCCCCCCGAGGATGAGTACAATTTTGACTTCTCCGCTTTCCTGGGCTCTCTTGGACCTTCATCTCAGTAATACCGTGTATAATGTGTGCCTTTACTAAATCATAATAAGGATTATTACCTGCCGGGCGACCGACCGGAGAACGCCGGTGTCAAAGTTCTCAAGGTCACATGACCCGGTAATTTAATTTAAACTCGGGTATCACCGCGTCTTAAAGCCAGCTTCCAGGTTTCCTTGCTATTTCCGTTCCCTACCTATGCTGCGTTCTTCCCTCCTGCGCTCATCAAGAGCGCTTCCTCTATCCCGCCGCTTCCATGCATCTACAATATCTCGGCGTGCCATTGCTAATGAGGGTCTAAATGGGAAAGATGCCAAGGTCAGCCCGATGGCATTTCTCACGAGTTGCAACCACTGTAACGTTCTCGTTCCGGAAAGGGATGGGGCAAATATCCCCTCATTGACCACGAGTATGACGCGATAGTTGTGTGAGTATAGTGCATCCACTGTCTACGGTCAAAAAGCTTAATAGAGTATTTATGAATCCAGCGGTGCTGGTGGCGCCGGCCTTCGTGCTGCATTTGGACTTGCTGAGGCTGGATTAAACACCGCGTGCATAACTAAGCTTTTCCCTACACGCAGTCATACTGTCGCTGCTCAGGTGAACTCTGCGTCGTCTATTCTCATATATGTTTAAGTGCTAATTGGTCTGCACACGCTTCCCAGGGCGGTGTGAACGCTGCACTTGGGGTAGGCCAATGTTCACATAATACAGAGCCCTAGTTGTCCTTACTCCAGTCTCTGACTACCGTCAGAATATGACCGAAGATGATTGGCGCTGGCACATGTACGATACCGTGAGTATCTTCCAGATAACTTTCAGCTGATTCCCACGAACTTAATGCAGGTCAAAGGCTCAGACTGGCTTGGTGACCAGGACGCCATCCACTACATGACCAAAGAGGCACCTAATACCGTCATCGAGGCAAGTTAGCGGTCCCACATTGCCACGCAGACCCAATGATTGTTTGTCATTTAGCTCGAACGTTTTGGTGTACCATTCTCCCGAACAAAGGATGGGAAGATTTACCAACGTGCTTTTGGCGGCCAATCCTTGAAGTTCGGAAAGGGCGGTCAAGCGTACCGTTGCGCTGCGGCTGCTGATCGCACAGGACACGCTATCCTCCATACCCTGTACGGGCAGTCGTTGCGGCACAACACCAACTTCTTTATTGAGTACTTTGCTCTCGATCTCATTATGCACGAGGGGGAATGTGTCGGAGTCATTGCGCTGAACATGGAAGATGGCACACTTCATCGCTTCCGAGCTCATAAGACGGTCCTAGCCACAGGTGGATATGGACGAGCGTACTTCAGTTGCACAAGTGCACATACCTGCTCGGGTGATGGGAATGCTATGGTGGTTCGCGCTGGCCTGCCTCTCCAAGATCTTGAGTTCGTGCAGTTCCACCCAACCGGCATCTACGGTGCGGGGTGCCTGATCACTGAGGGTAAGCTTGTCTAGTTACTTAAAACGCTATAGCGACGCCAATACTGCCTACAGGTTCCCGCGGCGAGGGCGGTTATCTGCTTAATTCTGAGGGCGAACGCTTCATGGAACGTTATGCTCCTACCGCTAAGGATCTCGCTTCGCGTGACGTCGTCTCTCGTAGTATGACAGTTGAAATTCGCGAGGGACGTGGCGTTGGACCAGAGAAAGACCACATCTACCTGCAACTCAGCCACTTGCCTCCCGAGGTACTCCATGAGCGCCTTCCTGGTATATCTGAGACTGCTGCTATCTTTGCTGGTGTTGATGTGACAAAGGAGTCAATACCTGTGCTTCCCACTGTGCACTACAACAGTTCGTACAATCTTTTCTGACGACATCTCCGCCGCAATTAACGATACGTATCAGTGGGCGGTATCCCAACAAGGTACACAGGCGAAGTCATTAGCGTCGACAAGGTTCGTTTGGATCCATGATGACTGCGCCGAAATGAATTGGCTCAGACCCTTTATACAGGATGGCAAGGACCACATTGTTCCAGGACTCTACGCTGCTGGCGAGGCCGCCTGCGTGTCTGTCCATGGTGCTAACCGTCTCGGCGCAAACTCACTGCTGGATATTGTTGTCTTCGGTCGCGCATGTGCGAACCATATCAAAGAAAGCCTTTCTCCGGGCAAGCCACACAAGGCCATCGCTGAGGACGCCTGTCTTAGCAGCATTGAATATCTCGACAAGATCAGGTTAGCCGACGTCACCACCCGCAGATGATGCTACCTGCTGACCCACTAATCAGGCGCTCCGACGGTCCAAAGCCCACCGCGGAAATTCGTCTGGCGATGCAAAAGGCAATGCAGTCAGATGCTGCTGTGTTCAGGTGGATGCTAAATCGCGCTAGCTCCTGGGTTTGACTTCGAACTTACCTGATTTACAACAGAACGCAGAAAAGTCTGGATGAGGGTGTCGTGAAACTAAAGGAGGTCTACACCAGTTTCGACCAAGTTGGCATCAAGGATCGGAGCATGATCTGGAACTCGTCAGTGATTGTTGCCCCCCTTCCCCGAACTGGCTGAAAACATCCAATTGCAGGGACCTTGTTGAGACTCTTGAGCTCCGCAACATTCTGCAAAATGCCGTGCAAACTATTGTGGCAGCCGCCGCTCGCAAGGAGAGTCGTGGTGCTCATGCTCGTGAAGACTTCAAGGAGGTAATGTCGGCTGAATACATGTATGATTCCTTTCTCTAATGCAACACGACTGTACAGCGTGACGACGAAAATTGGATGAAACACACGTTGACATGGCAGCATGACGTTAACTCACCCGAGGTGACCGTCAAGTACCGGGACGTGATAACCACCACGTTAGATGAAAAGGAATGTGCACCTGTTCCACCATTCAAGCGTGTCTATTAGAGGAAAGGATGTATCCCGAAAATCTATAGGACAGTTTTCGTTTTCTATTGTCGTATTCCCACTTTGCAATGGATCGCTTCACTTGTGCATACGAATGACCTGTTCAAATACGATGTAGCACTAATTCACCGCCACGCTTGCGCGCATGGGCGTAAATCCCAAGAACACTTTTCTGTGCAGAGGCGTCGTCTACGTTCATCTTGGCTTTTGACTGCGTGCACTACTTGCAGAAGCCAGATGCAGATGAACCCGATGGGCTGACGGGTGGAATTAAGTCTCGGTGCCTGGAACGAGGGGCATGATTAATCAAGGCTCGGCGTGGGCGAACATGAGCTTGGTCAGCCCAAAGATACTGTAAGTCGGTATTTTATAGGAATCTATTCAGTGATGATGGAGCACTCATTCAAGTGATGGCATGACTCCGTCTGAAGCCCCTCGGGGAAAAATCTTGTTGCATGACCCCAACATTCCGAAAGCGATCAGGCTAGGACGGAAAAGTAAGGGAACCCGACCTCGGGATCACTCGCCAATCATGGATGCGCGGACTAATCCCTTGAACAATGTTTCCTGAATGTCGGGCCTACATGCATGTCCCGAGAAACCGCTCCTGTATGCTGGATGCGTAAATCATTTCTCCAAAAAACTGAGGACCCCGATGTGGTTCCCTGGTAGTTCCCTGGAGCGAACAGCGAACTGCCCAGTACCGTCACTTCCTAATTGGGTGGGTTTCCGTGAAGTGGCCGAGATGCGTAACCAAATATCTATTGCCAAGCGGAGAACCTATGTCCGCACAGCTCTCTCAATCCTGTACGTAACATACTCCTATGAGGGGTTAGGCGCGTATAAGTATGTTCCAGGGGATCTTGCGCACGGTTTTCCCGGTAGTTTAGAGAAGCGCCAAGTGAAACCATGCATATGGTCGATCTTCCATCTACACTAGATGCAGCGCCTAACCCTAACTCGTCAACAGTTGCATCGCAGAGCGGCTACATGACCGAAATTCAGCGTCGTCTAATCACGACATCCCGCCTGGACCATCAAGCACCCGCACTTTGTCTGATCTCCCACATATAATACTTAATAAATACCATACGCATCAAATTTGCGCAATCAATTCCCCTAAAAATATGTGCGTTGCCAATGGGGCGAGTGCGATTGGTTTGCCCCACCGTCTGGAATTAATAGTCAGAAGCGGCGGCACTGAAGGTTGAGGTAGAGAAGCACAGCGATGCAGGCTTACCGAGCGCGTGGAGGTCGTGAGCGAAACAAGCTACAAAGAGCGCCTATCTCCATATTCGGCGCGTCTAAAAGCTGTGCACAAGGGCGTGCCTGACATTTGAATAAAGTGTGCACTTGCCTTATTACAAAGATCGGACCCCTATAAGAGCCGTAACCTGCCCTTGGCAGGCGTCCTCAGACGTCCCGCAGTCATTTCGTTACAGTCTCGCTCTTCAACATGGGGGCAAGGATATCAAAGGTGCATGCTAGGTTTGCCTCTCGCCACTCCCTGATTCTAACACACAGGCGATCGCCGCGTAGCCAGATGGCATCGTCAGGCTTATCGAACTCCCATACGATATCCAATCCATGATCTTGGGCCACTTTGATATATACACTCTTCTTGCCTTGACCTTGGTCAACAAGCAATTCCGAAGTGCGGTCAATGCCAGGTTGTGGCGCTCGTTCTCGATCACCGAGAGCTATCGTTTCCTGTGCCCATCGAAAGATAATGGGCACAAACGCCTTGGCTGCAGCGTCTCTCGTTTGTTCTTGAAGCGGTGCGAGTTCATCTCCAGGAAACCGCACATCGCGAAACACGTTAGACGTCTGGAGATAAAGCTATATAGCCTTTGTACACACGCAAGATCGCCTCTGTCCTTCTGCCGCTCCATATCCGGAAGATATCGAAAGCTCTTATGGCCTTACCCAACCTCGACACCCTCGTCATTTATACCAACTTCCATCTTAATCGGATATCATCGTCACTTTCTGCTAACGCAAACCGCTTTCCGTTCAAACTCCGAGTCATTGAGAGCAATCTCATCTGCAAACCTGAACTCCTCGGTTTTCTCGAAGCCCAACCTCAAATCGTGGAGCTCGGCGAACTACGTCCCGGTACGGACTTATACCTAGAAGTGCCGTACTTTTTCCGACCACGGCACCCGTACCTCCCCCCACATGTCCTTCCCTCTCTGCGCGTCATCCGCGGATCCATAGACGAAATCCAGGAACTGGCTCCGGGCCGACCTATCAACTCAATTTTGATCCACCAAGCTTACGATCGAGTGCTCGCCCTTACCCTTGAGCGTTTTAACCTCGAAAACGGTCATGTGCAGAGCATATGCAAACGGCCAATCAAGGAAAATGACTCGAATCAACCTGTTATCTCCATGCCTCAGGTTCATGTCATCATCGAAAGCGATCATTCTCGCGACAAGAACCTTCCTGCCATTCTTCTCCACTGGACCCTCGATTTACAGGCCATCCAAACGCTTACTTTAACCATGGCCCGACTACCCGACTTTACCCACTTCCCATTCTGTCTCGAAGTATTCACGTCACTCACCGAGATTCAATGGATCAACCGGAACGAGTACGGGAACATGTACCAAGAATTGGCGATCTCTGCCGGTTTACCCTACCTTTCGAACGATAAGATCGATCCCGAGTTAGTTCGCAAACTGCTTGATCCATTCATCCTTGCATGCGTGAAGCATTGTCCGAGCATCGTGAGATTCTCGTTTGTAGGATACTCCATGTCTCAGCCGTGCACGGACGATCTCCATCCTCTGCTTTGGTGGAGACCGCCAGCGTTTGTCCCTTTCAATTTCGACAAAACGACGCCTATCCGAGATCACTGGGGAACGAATTGGAAGCTGGCGGTCTCGGACGAAAAGAAGACGCTGAGCTATGCGGCGATGATGGACACCGGTTTGATGTCGTTCCAACAATTCTGTCTCGCCTGATAAGGACACTGTATTATGTGCGCGATAGCTGCCGCCACCCCTATTCGTCTGGACATCTGAAATGACCTCGGGCTCGCGGTTGCGCAAGCCCATATTCCCATCAGTTTTCTCGGAGAACGGGTTACCCATTTTATGTAATAATATAATGTATATACATTGGGAACGCAAAAATGCCTCATTCAAGGCACTGCGAACAATAAGTGAGGAATCAGGGCCAGTTGTTGGGTCGGAATGACCGGCTGCCTCGCGGGATCGCTATTTGTTTTTTTTTTGGTGGATTTCTCGATAGCTTTCGCTGGGCGCAAACGCTAGCTCTGTGCCTGAGAGTTTGTAGCATTTTAGGATTTAGGGAGAGTCTCGGCTCCCGGGAGATATGGGTATGGGCGTCCTTGTCCCCCCCGCGGACTTGGCCCAGGCCTGTGTGGAGCTCCCCTGGCCTAGGGGTATCGGCGCTGTGTAGCCACTCTTCGGGGAGGCTTAGTTCATTTTCTAGGGCACCGCTCCTGCATATGGCTTTACTCCTGTACAAGTACCCACGCTCACTTGTCGGGCCGGGGTCATACGCTGTCGGAGCTTGTCGTTGAGGGCTGCACATATATATTGTCCAGGCCATGATTAATATTATGAATCTTGACGTTCGTGTGTTGTTTGCCTATATAATCCCACGCACATCCACCAAAAGTTTCTCTCAATGCTTTACACTCCGGATCTGGATCCTTCTCCATTCAGCACTCCCTTACACTCGCCAGCAATAACTCACGACCGAACTTGATCACCTAACAACTGGTTTTCATCTTTCAGCTTCATCGATGTCACAAGGAAGTGAGGTTTTTTGCCTGTTCAGCGGAACAGCAAAGAAATTCTCTCGTATAGCTCCTATTTTATTGGCTGTCTCGTGTCGGCATCATTTTGCTCCAGAGGAAATTGATGAACTGGATAAATGGGAGGACATTGACAATTTTGGAAAAATGGAAAATAACGATGATGATAGTTGCTGGTTGGATTCTAATGACCGTCCCCATCCTCGTCTAGCCCAAAGGAGCCGATCCCGCAGTGATCCTTAAGACTCTTGACCCGGGAGGGCTCCAGATATGTTTTACAGCATCCAACCATGTGGTTTCGATCGTCAAAGAAAATCATCCAAGCACCGAAAAGGCTAATGTTAAAGGGGTCATTTGTCCTCTTTGATTCCCAACGTAGCTGGAAGTCCAAGGTTTATGGATACCTTCGAGTTTGATGCACCGGGGTTAACCCTTCGCTACATTCTTCCGCCATCCATGTCTATCATACCGCTGCATTTGCTACGCTGTTGGAGATGTTTACAGAAAGGTCGGTCCCCATTCGGGAACCACATGGCATTCGTCCACAATGACATGACTCGGTCTACCCAAGCCAAGAAGGGAAGGAATTCAATGTCCATATCTCCAGAAAGCGATGATCCATATAGCCAGCTCAGAAGAGAGAATAATGACGCAGTATTTTTGATCGTAGATGTACTATAGATATACGCCATGCATAGTGAATGTTAGTGACAAACAAAGCAAACGTCAAGAAGTTCCGGCGATAGGTTATCCGTTGAGATACAGACAGATCTTTCACCAAGAGCACCCCAGTCACTTGCCTCAGCAAGAACAGTAAGCGACTACTAATATCCTTCCACCATTGGCATCTAGTATATATCAAAGTTTTAACATGCAGAGCCAGTTCCGGATGTCAAGAGTCAATCCCTCCGGTAGGTCTGGGCGAACAACTGCTCTCAGCTAAATAATTGCAGAGTCTTTCCAAAGACATCAGCAACATTTTTTGTATCTTCCCTTCCGCACATTGTGGAAGGATAGGGGTTGGTTGTACTCTATTTTGTTACCCCGCGGCCTCGTGTCAACATGGGCAGTGGGAAGGATAGGGGTGGACGGAGTGGACGGAGTGGACGGAGTGGCGTTCTGTGTCATGAGTTTGCATCGAAGCCGGCGTAATAGTACATAATCCGGATGTTTCCCGCCAGTTGGTCCAACTGTTTATTACTATTTACACCCACTTCGACGTAAGCACTTGAAGTTGAAATGCTGCCAGATCTCCCTGTCAGTGTCATTCCCCAACACAGTTACAAAGCTCAGTAAGCATATCTCTGCCTAGCTATTCCCCTCCATCTTATCAGAACAGTTGATTGGGAAACATTTTCCTGCGACAGTTGCATATTGGGTTCAACTGATCTCGGTCTGTGCAATCTTCGGTCCGTGATATGGAACGTATGGACAAATCATAACGAATTGTCGGTGCCCCTGGCATCCATAGCGCGGGATGCTCAGCCATGGTACTGATATTATCTGTCACCGCTTTTACACAGCTCCTTTATGTTGTTGCTTCTGGCCGTCGTTCTTTCGGCCGTGAGCCTCACTCTTCAGCGTCACTGTGACTACAAGTACGGTAATCACAACTCTATGATTTTGATCTGATACTTTTCTTTCGGGATCAGGCCCCTAACATGAGACTGAGATGAGGCGGTAGGCGCTGCTTTTTGTTTTGATTCTGATTAACAGGCGTTCTTTCAATTGTGCTGTGGGGGGCTTCTGGGTAGATTGATAGGGTACGTGTGCTTGATCTCTTACGGCAGAAAGTACCCAATAACTTGTCTCCTGTAGGCAGTGCTTTGTATGGGGATCGGCAAACCAGTTATTAGAGTTTGGGATGCACACGTACATTTAAAAATCGATCTGAGAATATCCAGAGCATGTTCAAAAGTGCCCACTCTAAATTTAGGAATCTCCTTTCTCGAGGATCCAAAAACAATAATATTGGTGCGAGTCAAAATCGGGGAAACTTTTCGAGGATCTGACTGTATCTCGAGGAGAAAAACCCTGAGTGTTCGTTATGTAACCGCGCTGGTGAATGCAGGTGGCTGGCCAATTTCTCCCTCTGCAATGTTTCCCCCCCTTCCCCAACAACGAATGCAAAAGCCATGTTGCTCACTCGCTACTTCGCCTATCGTTCCATTCTCTTTTGGAGCACTACTAACACTGCGCCATCCTATGACGGGCAGACCAAATTTCTGGTCGCTGCTGGCCTCTAGATACCGACGTGCAAACTAAAATCCATTCTGTTAGGCCGTTTACCTCGCCGTCGATGGCCGGAACTCGAACTCTACGCGGACTGGACCACCGTCCTCTCCACGAGCACCACCTTTACGAGCACCGAATTCAACAGCGAGGGCTATTGATCCTCATCGAACCCTGCATGTCCACGATCTAACTGGAAGTAATTCGAGTTTATATAATGTTCGTTCCAACGATTATTTACTGTTTCCTCTCCTGAGCATGATATATTGCATTTTCTTCGGCGGCAGCCGTCGCCCGTCCTCATCCGGACATCTGAATCGTACAAGTGACTTTTTGGCTTGCAACCGTGAGCCAATCGTGGATAGGACCCTGTCTTATATCCTTCATCACTTTCCTCAGAGAAGCCGGTTGCCTTGGTTGTATCCCAACCGAATGGATATTTTGAGCTCTCGGTTGTTCAAACACTGATCAGGCCATTTACATATATCTATATATGCATTATTCGAAGATCATGAAGTAAAAATCACGTAAAGCTATAATCACACACGGTCAGCTTGCTGTGCGTTGGATGTGACCGCTTCGTAAGTGGCCATCCCAGCCTCAACCTGTCTTTCTCTCGTCTCAGTATTCATGTCTGCCGCCGGACCCGCCTGACACCCGCGCAAAAATCGTTGCAAGGGGTTTGCCCAGCGGAGATTTTCAAAAATAGAAATCTGAATGCAAAAATAGTCATTTCATTCACAGGCCAACTCATTCAATATGTATGTAATCAATAAAATAAAAAGTATTGCACCACAATGTGTCATCGCCATGGCATTGTCTGCGGAAAAACCCTGATCTTCTTTCAGAGCACGTGTGCTCATTTGTCTAGCTATAAAGCACTGGCGTTCGTCACTTTTTCTTTCTCAGCAACGTTTCCTCCCCCCCAAAAAGTACCTCTGCTTAAGAAAAGCGTCCAGAAGCCATGTTGCTCGCTCGTTACTTCACCTTTATTCCATTCTTTTTGGCCGTCACTGTTCTGGCCCAGAGTCTCAACACCACTGGAACTAGGTATGTTTGCCGACGGACGCGTTTCCCCCGCGTCTGGTGCCTAGATGCTGGCGTGCAAAAATCTAAATCTCTTTCTTTGTCATTAGCACCTCGCTCTCGACGACGACGACGCTGCGTGCATCCACTACCAGCTCTGTCTCGCTCAACGGCACCTCTACTCGCCGCACCAACTCCACCAGCACGCGCGGTGGAAACGAGACGAGCACCACTGGCCCCGGCACCACACCCGTGTCCACCTCCACAGGTTCGGCCCCGTCCTCGTCGAAGAAGGGTGCCGCGATGGTTCACGCTGCTATTCCTCGCATCTTCGGAGATGAGCATGGTATCTTCATGGGTAGTTTGATGGGTTTCGTTGGCCTCCTTCTAGGACTTGTCCTCGTCTAAGAGTTTAATGCCCTTTTGTTTTCTTTTTCATCATTGTGCCTGTCTTGTGGTGGTGGAGTATTTTTCATAACCTATTAGTTCCGTCGAAGCGCATAGACGGGTTTGTGGCTACAGACTGATACCATTGGTTACGCCTTCACTATATGATTCCTACATTATACTTCTCCAATGCAACATGTTTGCGGTTGTTTTTGATTGAAAACCCTGTGTTCTTCCCGGTTCAGTTGCACATCAACACCGCACGGCTTCTGTCGTTCGTGATAATATTTATTCTGAAACATGACATATATATATACATGTGTCTCAATAACCGCCAATGTCTCCGCCACGATGTGAGGCCATCGTTCGGCGCTGTGTTTCTTCTAATTTTGGACAGTTTGATATACTATGTCCCAAACCTGAAGGGTTTCATGAGTACTTCGATGTTGAGAAGCGTGCGCGTAATGTACGTACCTCCGCAAACTGGGCAGCCTTTCATGGCTCCCCCTTGCGCTACGCGAGGATCCTGGATTGACGTTAAACATGGTGGTACTCTGCAAAAAAATACATGTACATGATTCGATCAACATACTAAAAAAAGGTTTTGTGCTTACTTCTGTCCAGCCTCGATCAGCAAGTACTTCAGATCCAAGAGCGTCTGTTCTGGTGTGTTCATGTTCACAAACGTCGTAGCGATCCCCGTCTTCCCGTTCCGTCCCGTCCGTCCGATCTGGTGAACGTAATCTTCGATTTCCTTTGGCATACTGAAAATGATGACGTGCTGGATTTCGGAAAAATCAAGACCCTTGGAGGCAACGCCTGAAGCAACCATCACGTCTTTTGCACCTGATTTGAAAGATTTGATGGCATATTGTCGTTCTTCCTGTGCTGAGCAAAGGGGGTTGAGGGTTGAGGGTTACGTTGTTTTTTTCTTTTACTTTAGCAAAAAGGATGGATCTCACTTTTGCTTCCATGAATAGCCACAGCTTCGACGCCTTTGAGTAAAAGGTATTCTTGTATGTCTGCACAAAAATAGATTTTTGAACCACGCGCTAGAAGAACCCACATTTTTTCCCACACTTACCATCAACTTCATTTTTGTTCTCGCTAAAAACGATCACGGGAGGCGGCGTCTTTTGCAGGCATTCCAGTAAATATACCATCTTCGCTTCTTGTTTCACGTATTCGACCACTTGCAACACGTCCAAATTGGCAGCACCTGCACGCCCAACGTTGACCACGACTGGTTTCACTAAAGATTGTTGTGCAAAATCTTGGATCTTCCTTGGCATCGTGGCGGAAAACAAGAGTGTTTGACGTTGATGCTGAATTGAAGTTTCATATAATTTCGTTAGAAAACATGATACTAAATAAATGGCTTGCTTTACTTACTTTCAAATAGCTCATAATGTTCCGTACATCGTCCTCAAATCCGAGATCGATCATACGGTCAGCTTCATCCATACACAAAAACTTGCATCCAAGGAAGTTGAATCGATTCTTGGATAACATATCGATGAGGCGACCGGGAGTTGCGACGACGATGTGAATTCCCTTGTTGAAGACATGTGATTGGTCCCCCATCGATATGCCACCAATACAAAGAAGGTTGTTGAGTTTGGTGTACCCGCCTTGGACCATGACTTCGCTCCATTCTTGAATATTCTCGAATGTCTGGGTGGCTAGCTCCCGCTGAAAAAAAGGGACACACACACCCGCCCGCTTGTTTATGACATTGTTGATGTAAACGGAACAAGAACTTTGCTTACGGAAGGACAAAGTATTACGCCAACCGGACCTTCACCTCGTTCCAATGGAAGCTTTGCGTCTTCCTCCAATGCCATCATTATCAGCGGCAGGGAAAAGGCAAGTGTTTTTCCTGAGCCAGTGAAAGCTATCCCTATCATGTCCCGGCCGGAGAACCTGATTCAGAAACAACAAGTGAGCCCTTCTTCGTCCATTGGGGAAATAGAGGAGTGTTAGGCATACGCTGTTGGTAAACCCTGGATTTGAATCGGAGTTGGCGTTATTATCCCTTTCTTCTTGAAGTGCGTAAGCAGAGGGGTTGGTATTTTCATGTCCTGAGAAGTTCCGGCACCGATTCAGCGATTCAGCGATTGGGGGGGAAGCTCGACACACGCACACACGTGCGGAGGGAAAAAAAAAACGTAAATACTTACGCCGAATTTCTCGATAGGTGGAGGGATACCCTCTCCGTCAACTATGATGTGGTACTTCTCGCGAAGTTTTGAATGCTGAGCCTCCGTTCGTTCACGTATGTATCGGGGTGCCCGCCACCTGCCAAGGTCCCAAGGTCAAATCGGCGTCAGCAGAAAAAAAGGCAGGGGGAGAAGACATAAATGAAGAAATAAATGATAAAAGAAAGCGTACGAAGTCTTCAAAGATTCGGTATACGATATTCCTTTTGCCAACTCAAGGTCAGAGGCTAACTTGCGCTGGTGAGCGATAGCAGCCAGAATCTTCTCATCCGTCTCCTCTGCCTTCTCTCGATCAGTCTTCTGAGCATCTATTTAAAAATTAAGATAAGTAGTCAGACACCAAGTGTCCAATAATTGCTTTTTACTTTACCTTCCAAATCTTTCTTACGATGCACTTCTTGAGCCTCCTCAAGAAGAGTCCGTTCCTTCCGCAGTTTCTCTTTTAGCCTTTCTTCCTCTTCCTCTTCCTCCCTCTCCTCATCACGCTCTCGATCGGGATCACGAGACAATTTCAGCTTCGACAAACGATTCGTCGACACACCACGGGTGGCAAACTTGGCGAGCTTCTGCTGACGTCGCTGGGCCACTGGGATATATGGTTCATAATCATCATCATCGGCATAGTCATACGTTTTCTGGGCTTCATTTCCTTGATCCTGCTTGGGAGATGAAGGCACGGGAGTCATAGGCATAACCGGTCAAGCTGACTGCTTCACCGAAGGGTAGCAGTGGCAGTGCAGAATGTTTGTTTACATAAGCATATATAGCCCAAAAGAGCACTGGCGACCATATTCTTCAATCGAGAACGAACGAAAATCATATTCATCATAACAGTTGGGGAGTGGTGACATGGTCTGGGGTATGTCACTGAAAAAAAGTGATACGAAAAACAAAAGAATCGAAGATCCCAAAATATAAGACAGCCAGAGGACGAGACAAGGGAACAAGCGTTCATCGCCTTGCAGGTCGCGTTGCATAATTGACCGGCACTCTCGGAAGAGGTTTTGTCTCGGTGGACGCTCCCCTCGGTGACTCCGTCGGAACGTCCATGTACGAGTTGAGGGTAGCTTGGTTAGAAGAACGACTTGCATCATTCTCAATGATGGGAGGCGTCGGGAGATCCAGAGATCCATCCGAGCCATGCGATGTCCAGGACCTTATCCCAGGGCGGAGAACATATGGTAAGGAACTAGATGAAGATAGCGAGCTTTCCCGAGATATGGTTGCGTAAGGCTGGCCGACATGCTGAGGCAGTTTACTCTTTAGATTGAGATGGGTTAGTGACGGACGCGGGACAGGGTTGGTGTAGACTCCAGGGTCATAGTATTGCTGCGGAACAGCAATATGCTGAGGAACTAGAACAGAGGCCGGATCCACACCGGGTGAGAACAGAGTCCCTTGATGGGGAATAAAGGTTGGTTGCTGATGGTACGGATATGATTGAACGGGCATGTATGATGAAGTCATCACTGGCTGAGCATATATCGGAGGCCGAATAGTTGCGTGATTGCCACCACCAGCCCGGGAAAGCTGTTCCCAAGTAGTTCCATGGCTGGAAACACTAGCGGGAACTGTTTGCACCGCGGGTAATTGAGGCAACTCCAGATGATCTAGTTGTTGGCTCCGTTGGCTGGTGATCGAGGCTGCGGAACCCTTTTCCATTTCAGAGGACGAAACGGGCCCTGTCTCCGTAAGTTTCTGGATAGAATCGCTGGTATAACTGGAAGGAATGTTTGCCAATTTCTCTTCTTGTCCATGGAATCGTCTCTCCTTTTTTTTCCTGGACCAGACGCAAACCACAGCACCCAAGGAAGCTGCGGCAGCCATAATGGAAAGAGGAATGCCTACGGCAGCAGCGACAGCTTTTGACTGCCTGGAGGTAGCATCGACTACCATCTGGGGAGATGTCGGGGAAACTACGCTAGACGGTGGGCCTGAGATCGCAGCGCCGCTTACGGAAAAAGAGGGGGAGAGAGGACCGATGGGTTGAAGAATTGGAGTACCCGTTATCTTTCCAGTGAGACGGGATGGAAGGATGCCTGTGGATCCTTCGAGAGGGGCGCTGGTAGATAGGGTAGACAGAGTCTGTAGGACAGAGGCGGTTGAGGCGTCATCTAGAGTGCTGGTTATTGCGTTAGTCGATGCGAGTGCAGGTCCACTCTGAGCAAGACCCGCATCAAGGTTTGACAGGACTTGGAAAGTAGGACTCCGATACAAATCTCCAAAATCAGACTGCATGAGGAGGTAAAAGATGCCCGAAGCAGATAACTCTGGGATAGATCTGATACTTGAACGGTTATAACCCCCACTTCTGCGAGTAACGGGATGAAACTTACAACGAGGCACTGTACTGGTCTTCTGCATTGTCCTCGCGCACAGTTGGCCATACGCTTGCACCACAATTACTGGAGGAAGTAGTAGAGTTCAAGCCAGAGGACGGGGTTGGTTCGTCAGGTTGATCCCCCAACCAGGATACAGGCGATTGGTCGTCTCCGCTATCCTTATACGTGTCTCGATTTTTTGGCCAACGCTTAGCTTGTGTTGATCGACGGCCACTTGACAATGAAGTGCTTGTCGCGGGTTTGGCGCAGAGCTTGAACGAAGGCGAGACAACCTCCTTCGAGACAGTCCTTAAAGAAGGGAGACTCCTTTAGACAAAGGATCCTCCAAATGAGGATCTAGAACATACCATGAGACATTAAGCATACTTGATGCAGTGTACGTACTGCCGAGCGAAGGATTCATCCACGTAACTTGACTTTGTGGGTATACGCCTCGGCAGAAAAGAATAAGTCCAACCGCAAGCTCTTTTACACTGGGGCGGAGAACCATCTTTCAGGGAGCTACTGAATCCAGCGTGAAGGAACTGACTTCGGATACAGACGGAGCGAGGTCAATGCGAAGCTAACTGAAAGAGAGTGGGAAAAAAGACTCGAATGAGTCTGCTGCACTTGGACAGCATATATACAGGCTTCATGAACCAAGACATGGGACATTGGTTTAGTCTACTTCCAAATGAGACATCTAAGGCGCAGGATCGGGAGGCGCCGAGCGTAACATCGGGGCACAATTCATTCCTGAAGATGCCTTGCACTTTCTGAACCCCAGCCTTTGGGCATTCCGGTGCTAGCTGTAACGGGGAAGACATAGGCGGGATGCTGGTGTGGCAGTGAGCTCACGGTCGAAGCAGGGTCGGGGAAGCTTTGAGTGGCTCGCGCAAATGGTTCCGATACTTGTTGGGAACTGCCTGAGGTTCACCTATGAACGTCATTTGGCCCCCAGATGACAACATCGTGCGGATACAGATTGCCAAGTTCTGCAAGCACGCAATATTTCGCCACAGCTCAGCCCTAAGTGAAGCGGTCCCAGTTCAAACCAACGACTGCACCGACTCCTCATTTGCCCAAGCATGACTGTCGCCGACGAGTTTGCGCTAGCTAACGTCTCCTATGTTCAAAACTTAGCCTCGGATAGGAAGGGTCTGCCTCTACCACCTGCTCGCAAGGCGAGCCCTTTTTCTGTTCCAAATGAAGGGGCTATTTTGATAACCCTTGAAATTCTCAGGTTCTTGTTCTTACTTGCATGGATGCAAGGATCCAGTCGGTCGCCTGAATTTGCGTTTCTTGGAAAGTTTCCCTTACTAGTCCCTCCTCAAGCCCTGCACAATCCCTTGGTCTTAAGGAAGGCGATGCCCATGTCGTTAGGAATGCAGGCGGAAGAGCGTGGGTACTAATTCCGTTCTTGCCTGTTTGCACGCTCGTTTATCGTACACAGTTCAGATGCATTGCGCAGCATTGTGATATCCCAGCAATTACTTGGCACGAAAGAAATTGTTGTTCTCCATCACGTCAGTGTTTACATGCTCCGTTGCATTGCAATTCCTAATTCCTCCTCTAGACGGATTGCGGCATGCTCACCTTCCAGGATAATAGTCTCCGCGACAAGCTCAAAGAAAACCCTCCGAAGCCCAATGCCCCGATTGCGTCCACCGTCGAGAGCATTGCGTTTCTGGCGTTTAGTAATCTCGATCAGAGCGTTAAAGATGATGTATCCTTCCTCAAGGAGCACCCCCTCGTCCTTCCTGAGACCGTGATTACTGGATGGATTCACGACGTCAAAGATGGTAGCATCAAGCAGGTGGTGTGAATCGGAATCGAAATTAGTCAAGTTTACTGTCCGTGTCTATGTAGTTTTCGTACAAATGCAACTTCTTGCTTTGTGCAATATCGTGGGAAGTCAATACTGAGATCACGTTCATGTCCTTGCGGATCGACGATTTCGTTCCAACAAGTCGACCGATCTTCGCTCAAATATTGTGGAAACTAGTGGCTGCCACTTCAAAGCTGTTGGATAAGCATGGGTGTACTAGAAAAGGTCTTTCCAACCTCCACACCTACAACAGATTGCGATCTGACTGGACTTGAACCTGAATGTTCGGAACTGCAGATTAAGGAGATAGAAGGCAAGTGCTGTACTCTTCACTCCCGTCATCATTGGATGCTAAATATCCACCTTTTATTAATATATCGTGAATATCTCTCAATTCACAGAGGAAATGGCGAGGAGTGAGCCTTTCTGCCACTTTCGGTTTTCGTTCTGCTACCTAATCGATAAAATCACCTCTCACTCGGGGTACAATAGCCCAGAAAAACAAAGTAGGAGAGATTTAGAGATAGCCAAAATACCTATCTCTTTGTGGTGCTTTACATCTGCCACTGAGTTTTACTCGCACACTTAGGCAACAGAGTATCATTTGGGGCTTTTGAAAGCAAAGCTTGCGAAGTATCGTCAGCAACTTTTGGAGCCAAGCTCCAAAGGTGGAAAATCGGGTGAAGGGTTCGATGTTCAAAAAAGTGGAGGTTCGTAATAATACTCCCCCACTACTAAGATCCTCGTCTTAACGGCACTTCCGATGCGCACAATTCTAACATTTCTTCTCCGAAGATGCCCGTGTTGCTCTTATTGGTTTTCCCTCCGTAGGGAAGTCCACATTCTTATCCAAGATGACGAATACGATGTCTGAAGCGGCTGCATATGAATTCACTACTCTTACCGCAATTCCCGTAGGCATCAACGCTCAGGTGCTAATCAGTGGGGAGCATTTATACTGAATTTCCCCCCAGGGTGTACTGGAGTATCATGGAGCCCGTCTTCAACTGCTCGATCTTCCTGTGGGTCTTAAATTTTATGTGATTGGTCATACCATTCATTTGACTGAGGAATAGGGAATCGTTGAAGGGGCCAGTCAAGGCAAGTGGTGCGCAAGATCGATTGACCTTGATTTGGCAATTCGGGGAGTCTGCATGACTGAGAACTTGCCTTCAGGCCGAGGCAGAGGGCGGCAAGTTGTTGCCGCCGCGAAGACAGCAGACTTGGTCGTCATCATGCTGGATGCCACGAAAAGTCTGGAACAGAAGCAACTATTAGAAAACGAACTGGATGCCGTTGGAATCCGTCTTAATAAAACGAAGCCTGATGGTATGTGTCGTCATCATGCCCAAACTTACACACGTTGGACTCTATCACCTCTTGTTGCAGTGGTGTTCAAAAAGAAAGCAGCTGGTGGAGTACGTAAATTGTCTCACCTCTGTAGCAAGAACTCATTCGGTTTTTGGATGCCTCGTCGTTTCGTAAAGATTACAGTGAGTTTCAACTCACAGTGGGCCTCGTATTCTGAAAGACTACATAACTTTCCTATCGTATTTACATCTCAGATTAATGCAACTGTCAAGCTCACCAAAATAGACGAGAAGACTATTCGTACCGTTCTTGCTGGTTATAAGATACACAACTGCGACGTCATGATACGAGAAGACGTATGTGACGAATCTTCTTGCCCTTTCCGGCGGTGTTCCACGGGGTTGACCTACCATACTTACTTTTCCTATGTTGGTGTTTAGATTACTGTGGACGAGCTGATCGATGTGCTGCTCGGGAACCGAAAGTACATACCGTGCCTTTTCGCCCTCAACAAGATAGACGGCATCAGCCTTGAAGAAGTTGACCAATTAGCACGACAACCCCATACGGTGGTGATCAGCTGTGAACTGAGTTTAAAGTGCGTGTTGTTTCAACTCTTGCTCCGCATGCTGCATAGATAATGGTCACTCCGTGTCCCCACCTTCGTCGTTTAGTTTGGATTACCTAATCGACCGAGTTTGGGAGGTGAGCTTCGGCGTGCTTTCCGTGGCCCGGACTGCATTGTTTCTCGTTGAATCATGCCGAAAGCTCGCTACTTTCATGCGTTTATCTCATTCAATAACTCACGGAAATTCAGGACTTAGGTCTAGTTAAGGTATACACTAAGAAACGGGGCCAGCACCCGGATCTCACCGATCCCATTTGCTTGCGGAAGGGCTCGACTATAGAGGCGAGTTATCTGATATCTGTTTCCGCTCGTGTTGGGAGCGGCTTTCTGTATTTAGTTGCCTCCCACTCACTGCGAGGGTTATGCCTGAAACTGCGTCCATTCGTACTGACGCGCAAACTAGGATGTTTGTCATGGGATTCACCGCTCCCTTGCTGACAAATTCCGATATGCATTAGTATGGTGAGCTGCGCTTCGCATGGATGTCCTTTCCAGCCCGTTGATGTATTGTCTGTTTGCCGTTTATCAACCCGAATACCCTGATGATCTTGGAATCACGGTAACTTAAAAATCCACTCCAATCCCTGAACACTCAATCTTCCAGGGGGAAGTCTTCGAAATTCTCGCCCCACGCGCAGAAGGTGTGCTTTTCCTCTCTGAATGTCGGAAATCCGCGTGTCGCACATACCTCCGCCCAGGGTTCGGTGCACAGCGATTCCCACAGCATGTATCGTCCCTGGAGCTTTATTCCTCCTAATCGGGATGAGCTTGTTGGATTCCACGCTGTATGGACGTGCACTAACCACGCCGCATCATTCATTCTAGGTTGGCCTGACACACTTGGTGCAAGACGAAGATGTGGTCAGCAGTAAGTTGCTACCAATTTAGGTGTGCACTGAGGTTGCACGGCCAGATACACTCAGTGCACAACTACATCGCGCTTCGTTACTAACATGATTCTCATGAATCTCTATTGCTTAGTTTTTACGAAATGAAATTGGTCATCGGGGGCCAATGCTCGAGATACATCCACTTCTAGTATTCTTATCTCTTCGTTGGATTCGCGAGCGTTGGAACGCTGCTGTCGACCATCATCAGGGTCGTGATGATCATGGACTTTTAAGAGCATGATAATTGGAATAGTGGAAGCCAGCTCTTTTCGCTGAAGGGCCCAAGTCGCTATCAATTCTGTACAACCACCGCTTGCGCTATCGCCTTGAGCGTGCGGCTGAGACGAGTAACAGCATGCGCCGCGTGAGAATGGGCCGACAATTGATCCTGGCAAGCGTGCAATCAAGGATGAGGTCGGCACTATCCCCAGATAACGCCTTTGGCATAGCACTACTGAGCCGGTTCAAGCATGACTAAGAGAAGCCTGGACGGCGCATGATCATGGAAACCTCGGCGAGAAGACTCCCATTTCGAAATGAGCAGCGAACCCAAGAACCTTCCATAGCGGCTCTGGAAAACTCGTCACACCATTAGTAGTTCTTTCTGGGTTTAGTACAATTGATTATCACCGAATGATTGTAACCAAAATATCGAGTTCAAGTACTATGGACCGGTGGACATCCGGTGTGGCCATTTCACACACTCCTGGCCCAGCGAACAATCGAGTCAGGGGTCCAAGGATAGAACTAGAAATTCACGCATTGAATATAGAGTCCATTGTGTCTGTGGAGAGATCAGTGCTATTAATCGCTCAGCTAACTCATGAAACCAATGACACGAACGATTACGAAGGGCGAGAGAAGCGGGGTGATAAATCGAGGACGGATTGACTGAAACTCTGAACTCTAGACGGATGAATGTGGCTGGTAGCATGGAGGGTTATGCGTCAACTAAATCTAATCGGCCATAGGAAGATCGAGATGACCAGGCACATGTAAGGCTAGTATAGACGTATGCGTATGGAGGTTGAGACATACCCAACGCTACAAGGATCGAGCGTGGTATACGACGGTGTTCTAAGGAGGGAGAGGTAGCGTAGAGAGCTCGACATACGAGCAATTGAAGGGTTAGTATCGCCACAGTGCGCGTGCGGCTCCACGAGGAGTGGAAGGATGAAGATGTCATTGATAGCGGTGTTGGGGTATAGGGATGATCAGGTGGATGGAGTAATGTGAAGGTGCGCGCGATATATGCTACGACGCGCAGGTCGCCTCTGGAAGGCGATAAGGGCAGGTACGAATTGGTCGATATGGAATGATGGGAGACGATGATGTAGCGCAATGAGCTCGAGGTGGCGCAGGGGTCATCTGAAGAGGGTGCGTGATCAGCGTTTAGCCGGACTGCACGAGGTGTCTTGATCGAGGGCGTTGTGGAGAAGTGCCGAGAAGGGGGTGGTGATGGTCTGTCTGTGGCGCAGCGACGTTTGAGATCAGCTCATCTCGCACGTAGGCCATGATCCATCGCGGGAGTGAAGCGGCGGCAGGAGCGTGACACGACCGGGCGTCAGAAGCTGATTCTTGGATCCAATCCTTCATACCAGCCGGCGGAAGTCGGATGGAGGCGATAAATAGCTATAGGCAGGAGATAAAGCGAAGCACCAGCTCACCCACCGAGAACTCAATTCCCGATGCCAGGAGGCTCCAAATGGGATAAGGTTAATGTGTGTCAAATGAGGCATTTGTTGATATAGCGGGTTTTTCGTCAACCAGCGAAAGTAGAAAGAAAGATCCAGATGAACAGACGAAACACGGAAACAGAAAGCAGAAGCGCTCCCAGTATCATATCACTGGTGACATTATTGTTAATTGTTCATCTGGATCGCGTGAGGAACAATGCGGTGAGACGTCCATTCACAGAAACACAGTAATACAAAGAGTCCAGGCTCACAAAGAAGAGTGTTGTGAAAGCGCTTCATTAAGGTAGCGGGCTACCTTGTTGACGCCTTCCTTTACGGCAGAGCGGTCGTTCTCGCAAACACGGCTAAGCCATCGCCCCTCAAAGCGGTCGGGGTGGAAGCGAAGGAGCTGATCACGCAGCCTCTGCTTAGCCGGTTTGCCCTGTGAATGGGCGGGGGAAAGGATAAAAGATTTAACCAAGGCGCCATCGAGCTCATCAACGGAAGTGGGTCGAGGATTCATCGGCCATGGAATAGATTCGAATGACAATGGAGCAGCGCTTCCGATCTCGTCCGACATGGTGAAATGCCACCTCTGCTCGTACATCTCCCACGCATCGCTCATGGACAGGTACGCGTGAGGGGACGTCGGCCTAGAAGCCTGCTGGCGCCTCTTCCTCAACTCATGCTCTCGCTCCTGAGCCACTCGCTGCTGCTGTTCGTCCCGTTCCCGTCGCTGACGTTTGAGCTCAGCCAGGAGGCGAGCTTCATCAGCTGCTCGACGACGCTGCTCATAAAGTTGTTCCTGTAATCTACGCGCCTCATACGCAGCGGCCGTGGCCGCGGCTGCAGCTTCTGCATCCCTCTTCCTTTGGCGAGTAGCTTCCTCCTCCTTTAATCTCGCTTCCTCAGCAGCCCGAAGTCTCGCCGCTTCGGACTCGGCTCGTCGACGTTCCGCTTCCTGATGCTGTTGGGCCTTTTGCTGCTGAAGGAGTCGTGCGTGCTCGGCTGCACGTCGTCTCATTTTTTCAGATTCGTGTTGTTCACGTTGCTGACGGTCCATCTCGGTTTTCCGGAGAAGCTCATCGGTGTGCCACGAATTGAAGATCGGTTCATCGTTTTGTGAGATGTTTGGAGGGGTGGTAGCTCGTCTGGGGAAGCCACCAGCAGATCGGATTGGGGAAGTGGTCGATGCAACGGTCGCACGTCTCATGGAGACAGTTGGGGTGGACTGACGCATTGAAATGGGGGAAGATTGGTGTCTGGACAACGTTGGCGACTGTGATTGGGCACGAGGACTCCTCGGCGTGCTCCTGTATAGAGATGGAGAGGTTGGGGTATTGCTAACACCATGTGTAAATAGCAGTCAAAGGATATGAAATTGTTCCTGGACGCACCCATTCGTCAGCTCGGTTGGGCTAGCCACCATAGCATCACCTCGCTTGAACCCATCCGATCGCAGCCAGTCCAGTGAAGGTGACTTGAACCCCGTGTCAATGGAGATGTCTATGCTGGTTTTGGACCTTGTGGGTAGTCTCAGTGACCTCTGGTTATACTCCTTCCACCTCTGTTGGGCGTCGCCTTTCGTCCTCTCGTACTCTGCCCAGCGCGCCTCTGCAGAGGCAACCTTGTTCGTTTCGTACTCGATCCATGCATTGAGCCATGTGGCTTTGCTGTCCTCGTAGACTTTCCAAGATTGGAGGGAGGGGGGTTGTTCTTCTTCCTGGTGTTGCGAACAAGGATTTGTGGAAATCGCACTGCCTTCGGGTCCATCCCCCGTAGGCATAGTGCTATAAGTCAAGACCTGAGGGGCGCTCATCTCTGCGTGGTCCCAAAGGAGCCTGGCGGATAGAGCGGTGTCGATCTCAATCAGTTTGACGGCTGTGGTGGGGTGATAGAGACTCAGGATGGACGGAGGAAAGAGAGAAAGAAAAGAAATCGGGCCAGAGGGACAGACTAGCTGTACGTCGTTTGGGGACGAAGGAACACAGATGAGGGGATACTACTGTAGAGAGGTACAAGGGAGAGAAAATTAAGTATCGGTAACTCTGCACGCGAATATGGCCTGTCTGTTGTCGACTAAATTGTGTACGGAATAGGGAGAAGCTAGGAAAGTAAGGGATGACCGCTCCAGATCCGTTAAGCCATCTATTTCTGTTGGATGTGAACGGCAGCGGCAGCTCATACCAGGTGAACAAGTTCATTTGCAGCAAGAACCCAGCACACCTTCCAAGAATGGATGATTCTCTCTCTTTGACACCGTTGCCTCAAGTCCACCGCATTGCCAAAACTCGGTTGGACACACGGCCGGCCCCGTCTCCTCGGCTTTCTTTCGGGGCTTCCGGGCTGTTTGTCACCAATGAGAAGGACAGTGTAAGATAGTACGTTGTACTTAAAAAGATCAACTGATCCAAACCAGACACAATGTTTAGGGATCTACATTTATGAATGCAAATCCACAGTGGTACCTAGAGCTAAATGCGATCACAAAGAAAATTCAGGTCCAGATGCGATAGGAAACGAGCCTCAAGTCATTCCTCTCTGGGTTCTTCAGACCTCCGTGGCGAACCAGGCGTCCGCGCATGCAAGTAAGAAAAGCACAACAACTGGAATTAGTAGGATGCCTATCATCATGATTGCTCTCAAACACCGGACCCTGACATCCCTGATCGTTCCAGTTCCTATAAAGTCGGCGGAAGCAAATTGCGTGCTTTTTCCAACAACTGCAACCTCTCGCTGCGACGGCTTGAAGCAGTACTAAACTGTCGTCCGCAACTCTGCGCCAGATCTCCAACGCAAAGGGTAAAGGACGAGGGGGACCAAGTAACGCTGTCGCGCCCAATTAAGCCGGGATCTCTCCGTAGCTCTTCTCTCCATGAGAGAAAGGGAAGATTGGACACTTGTATCTGGCAAATGCGGCTCGTACATCCATTTACCTCACCTTCATCATGTTCATTGGCACCCCATTCCGCTCTAATGTACATACCACACTCTACCAATGATTTTTGTTCGTTCCTCTTCAAACAGTTCACCACGTGAAATCTAGACCCTAGACTGGCTTTTGCCGCATAAACACAATGAAACGTGGCCAGTCTTCTGCACTCGTGCGATAGGTCCGAAATCAAGCTTGTGGTACACGTTCTCCTTCCAGCATAAACCCATTGAAGGGCCCCCAACCCCGCACAACTTAATGAGTTTATCCGAGCTCACCGAACTCATCAGAACTCCAGGGTTCAGTTGCATCTTCCTTGACCCGCCAATAGCCATCATTTAGTGCATCTCCGATCCAGATAAGCCTATCTCAAATACATACTAAACCCTTGCGCCTTGCAAGAGCAATATCCGCATCCGTGACGCGTGCAGCGCAACTGGCCAGTGCTTATTCCGGTGATCTGATTTCTCTCATGGGGAAAGCGCGATTTCATCGTCGAGGCGTCAGCCTTGCGCTCGCCTCACCTCATGTATTTTCCACTTCCATCAAAACGCAGATGTAGTGTGGCCCCACATCAGGTTCATTCACAATGTGATCGACAGATGTTGTTGTCTCATTCCTGGCGCGCTCTAAAACCAAAATCGGGCCTCTCCCTTGATCGACTTGTTCAGAGATGTTCTATTGCCCTTCTTCGACACTCTACAGCACAAGATGAAGGGACTTCGACGTTAGGCTTCAATATATTTGTAATCGCCTTGGAAACCCGACGTCCCGCCGAGAAGCACATAATCTATCCTCTTGAACTTGCTCCAATGTGCGTGTCTCTAGCTGGGAGCAGGCTTTGTTTCTTGAGCAATATTATTGTAATTTCAACTTTGCGCCTATCAATCTTCCCATGACTTTCCATGCAAGTTGCCCGTTGCTGAAGCTCGAACTATAACTGGGACTCAACTGTCGAACAGCATCTTGAGAGTGTGTCCCTTCAGACACAAGTGTGAAAGATCCTTCTCCACAACTGGGAAAGGTTTTCCAAAGGCACTGCTAGTATCCAATTCGCCAATGTACACCAGGGCCACTTTCCATTTCGGGGATGTGCACATATGACCACGACCCAAACTCTAAAACGCCACAATTTCCACGCCAGTGCAACCGTACGTGCTTCTTACGGCAGGAGATTGTGGATGGACCTTCTAAGGCCGTGACCGCCACCAAGAACGTGTATCCGAGATTCGCACCACGATCGGCATGCTGTCCAACTGACCTCGCAGACATGGATAATCGTATAATTTAGTTAATCATACATGCAGGGCCCACATGAATCTTGCTGCTAATATGCGCGAACCGGCATTTGCGTGGCTTAGGCAGCAGACTGCAGGCAAATCATGAATCTTGCATCACATTACACCAGAAACTGGGCCCCAGTTGGAAATGCCAGAAAATTCGATCGGGGATCAACTAGAATGGTCGATCGTGACTGCGTTGCGTGCTTCCTGGAGTGCGTTACCCATCTTTCCTAGTTTTCCCGACTACAGATTTCTTCGTCATTGTTCCATCCCAGTCTCCGATTACCTGTGTAGAGCCACGATGGATGCTGGGATGGCGACAAGGGCCTGGTCGGAGTATTGGGTGTATGCCGCTCGAGTGCCTCGGCCAACACACTCGCAGATTGAGAGCCTGCATGACAATGGATGGGTAGCCAGATAACTGGACCATATGGGCTGCTCTGCTTGACTCTCCACCGCAATGACCGCTTGCGTGGCGGTCTATCAGTTCTCTCGCTAGAGTCGAATAGGCCATCAATTTATCACTAGTCCCCCTTATCAATCTCGCTGCCTGTGAGCTCGGCAACATAGTCGTCTGATGTGTCCCTACATCACGCCTTCTGGACATCACCTCCTAGTTCCGCGCATTTGGCATAGGGATTGAGGCTAAGGTGGAACTTGAATGAATAGCCCATCATAACCGTTCAGCACTGCTTGGGAATGAGCACACACGGTGACGCAGGGGAAGCTCTGAGTATCAGTGCCGGTATCCAGTTATGAGTAGCGGCCGTCATGTCTCGCGTTATTTGAGACCATCATCGTGAGTGCAACGTGGCTTTTCCATCGATGACATCAGTCTAATCCGTGCCCGGGCCTACGCCATGCACGAAAGCTTGCGTGCCAGTTTCAGACTGGTGTCACCTGCCATGGACGATTTTACCTAATGTAACGGTGACGACTTGCGAATTGCCATTGATGATTCGCCCTGAACTATTCAAGAGAAACTCAACGGAATCGTGTACATTTCGGTTGGCGGAATGAACAATTTCGCTTGTTAATTTTGTTGCCATACGCTTGGGAGCAAGGTTCCAGGGAACTTCAGAGCAAAGGAAACCGGGCACGGCTTCCCGCCCGTTGCGAGTCGTAACCGATAAACTTGCCCTTTGCCAGATCGCCGGATATGCATCGGCGCGGCGATGTACAGAAATGTGCAACGGCCCGCTTGACATACCGACAACTGACACAATTGTTGTCGATCAGCGTTGACTCTAAAATCCTCAGAGTGAGCCATCCTATCAGGATACTTGCTGAATCCAATGGACCATGCAAGGCTGGTGACTACTGGTAAATTAACAGGGGATCACCAGTCGCGGATTTCCACGCGGATTAGTCCCGTTCCACAAATAGAGGCGAAACAATTGGCCATGAATTAAAAAATCAATGACAGTCTTGACTCGCTGCGCCAGCAATTTGGTGGGAGCTGCGATCGGAGCTGAAATTGTTGCTTAAAGTGGGGATCGCAAGTGACATCGTAGATGTTTAGTGACACAGCCCACCGGGCCCATCTATTAAGTAGCGGCCTTGTGGTCTGCGATGGAATACGGGGGTCTGACGTTAGACGAGTCAATGCTAGGGCATGAACACAGTGCGAAAATGCGCTCAATGAGACAGATACATTTTACGCGATGCGCAGAAGTTACCAAGCCATTATTGATCGACCAGTGAACAACCCACCATCTCACTCCAAATATTGGGTCTACCGTGCCTTCCAAAGTACTTTGTGTCCGCGGAAATGATGGCTGTTCTCCCGGTTCCTCGATCACTTAGAGTAGGAGCCGATTATTCCTGGATGAAACAGAACCAGGGGGCCGAGGCAAGGTGCTCACAATTTTACGACCATTATATACGAACGTTGCAAGCCGCTGACAGCGTCATGACAGCTGTAGCTCTCAACACCACAAAGTATTTAGGTATCAATTAAAGCAAGACTGTCTGTCCCAGATACAGCATAAAGGGATAAGTTAAGGTCATGATGGAATGGCAGTTGTGAAGTTGTGATATGTTCAGCTGTAATCTATTGGTTGTCGATATCGCAGGCCAGCATCAGTTCTATATGCGCACTGTCCACATCCTTTTTAATTGCTTAAACGGCCCATATCAGAAATGTTTGGCCCGTACATTAGAACGGAGCGTCCACGTACCTCTAGGAAGACGAACATGAGCACCGTGTTGGGTGCTAGCCGGACAAAGGCCGGAGTCCACCCTTTAAATAGAGAGCGTACACCATCTTGTCTTAGCATTTTGCGCAAGACTTCCAAGAAAGGACGAGGCTACGACGTGTTGGATCAGATTGTAAAGAATGCTCGTTGAGTGCATGCTCACATCAGATTTGCTCATTATGCGGGACCTGATCACATCAACTGGGGAGGAGACAGCTACAGAATAAGGCATTAGTGATGGCGGGCGAAAAGTATGGCATTAACTTGCTAGTTGCAACTGCCCCTGCGAATGTGCTAGATATTATGTGGAGACCAATGCCATCTTTCAGTCCATGTCTGCGAATTATCAGTGCTTTGATATAGTCGTAACTATCGGAAAGTGAGCGTCTCTAGATCTAAGTGCAAGAGCAATATGACCTACGATGCTAATTGGGAGCTCTACCCATTTAAACGTGTTACATTGCGGGAACTGCATCTGCTGTTACATTAGCACTCACATTCATGAGAATTGCTCTGATCTAAGAACGTACTTTCATCATATCACGTACTGAAGATCTCAGGGGAAAAGGGGGCGTACAGTGTTGGGTCCCAATCCACGAGTGAGCCCGATAATTCTTTCCTCCCTGACGAGGCGCATCAGACCATCGAAGCCATGCCGGTACCGATACTGATTCTCCGGTTTCCTTAAAGAATCAGTCGTCATTCTAACTAGAACAATATCAGCCGGATTCCCAGCAATGCCTCCCAGAGCCCCTGCAACTGCCGCAGAAAGGATTAGACGGGTCGGGTTTTTGGGATCTTGGCCTGCATATTTAGCAACATGAGTGCCAAGGAAAAGAAGTAGCAAATGGAACGTACCTTGTGTAATGCGGCGCTTTATAGTCTCATAGGAACCGATGCGAATGAGGGAATAGGTCATTTGCCGCATTAAGCATGCGGATATCCCTGTGTATGTACTAGCCCACCCAAACTTTCGTACTGTCCACCGGATCGTAGAGAACATAGTTGGCCTCCTTCCTGACGGTAAGAGCGGCATGATTTGCATTCGCCTGCATTATGCGACCGTCAATTTCCTGAATGCCTCAGTCGATCATTTACGCACACTTTGGTAAGGTCCAGCGGATGCGTAAAGCTTGCTGCAGCTACAACGGCATATAAGGTGTACCATTTGCAGTCGGACCAGATGGCGCACCTGATGCGGCAAGACCTGGATGGCAAAATGGACGGCAGAAACTCAGCGATCCCACACAGTGGTGACCTGAAAATCCTACAGACCTCCGAGCCTTATAATGGGGTAAGTAAAGTAGCATAAGGTGTAGAAGGGGTGCACAATGGGCCTACCAGAAAGGGTACTGAGGCTCTGGCATTGTGGACGCACAAGCGCTCGCCCGTTGAGCCATGCTCCAGTCACGTGGAGATCCCGCAGACCCAGCGACGAGGGGGTTCCAGCAAGCTTCACGTGGTACGGAAACTGCTTGGGCTTTTCGAAGATGCGCCGGTGAAGGCTGTTTAATTTTGAGTTGTTAGTTTGTGCCGGCGCTTATGGGTAATTCCAAAAACAGCTGAACGTGGAATATCCGGAAGCAAATTCTTAACTTTCCTTTGCCCTTGCACCCATCGCTTAAAAATGTCTGCCCACGATAACGACAATGATGAACTCATTGATTACGAGGATGGAAATGAGGCCGAAATTTCCACGGTCCCTTCTGCCACCAACGGGGCGGCTACTACAACTTCCGCTGCTGTCAGCGCGGCTGCCGACAAAGAGAAGAAAGGCTACGTTGGTGTTCACTCAACAGGTTTTCGGTATGTCTTCGTGGTCCTTGTCACGGCTCTTTACTCATAATCACGTTTTCCCCTCAGAGACTTCCTCCTGAAACCCGAGTTGCTTCGCGCCATTACCGATCTGGGCTTTGAACACCCCTCCGAAGGTGTGTAAGATGGCGTGTCCTATATGATGCGTGTTGACAAATCTTTGCTTGCAGTGCAACAAGAGTGCATCCCCCAGGCTGTCCTCGGCATGGACGTACTCTGTCAAGCGAAGTCTGGACATGGCAAAACCGCTGTGTTCGTTCTGGCTACCTTGCAGCAGCTCGAGCCAGTTGATGGAGAGGTTTCGGTGATTGTACTTTGCCACACTCGAGAGCTGGCGTATCAGATCAAGAACGAATATGGTCGATTTTCAAAGTACATGCCAGACGTCCGAACCTCTGTGGTGTATGGAGGAACCTCTGTTGCCAAAGACGCCGAACTTCTGAAGGACAAGACCAAGTGTCCCCATATCATTGTCGCCACCCCCGGTCGCCTAAACGCCCTTGGACGGGAGAAAATTCTGGACGCTTCGAACGTAAAACACTTCGTCCTAGACGAATGCGACAAAATGCTCGAGCAACTTGGTTAGTTCAACCCTTCGGCCGTTCCTCCTTTACCCAATATGTACGCAATGCACAAGGCATTGCCATCAATTGCCCCCCGATGATTAAGACTCGTTTCGACACCACCTTTGTATTGCCGCATCACGGACGAGTTGGTGTTCGTCTTCCACACACATCCGCAGTCCACGAATGATTCGGCAGGAGTGTTGTTGTGTTTGGGAGCTTGATTGTCGTGTTCCTTCATCCACTCGATCCGTTTTATCGAACCAAACAAGATTCTTACATGGATCCTCCCTACCCTACTTCAGACATGCGTCGGGACGTCCAAGAGATCTTCCGCATTACACCCCACCATAAACAAGTAATGATGTTCAGCGCGACTTTAGCCAAGGACATTCGAATGACCTGTAAAAAGTTCATGACGAATGTGGGTGTCCATCTCTACTGCGATATGCGTCTTGATCGAGTTTCTCTATAGCCCCTCGAAATCTTTATTGATGATGAAAGCAAGCTGACCTTGCATGGTCTTCAGCAACATTATATCAAGTTGGACGAGAACGGAAAAAACCGAAAACTCAATGATCTTTTGGATCAACTGGAATTCAATCAAGTATGCTCCGATCAACCGAGGGTTTCCAAGTCACTAAGGCACTGTCGCAGGTTGTGATCTTCGTCAAATCGGTTACACGAGCCAACGAGTTGGACAAGTTGTTGCGAGAGTACAACTTCCCCAGCATCTGCATCCACTCAGGTCTTCCTCAAGAGGAGCGGTAAGCAACATTTAACTGCGCTTTCACTGTTACTGAGTTGTCTTCATTAGAATCAAGAGATATACTTCTTTCAAGGCATTTGAAAAACGTATCCTTGTAGCGACAGACATCTTTGGTCGTGGTATCGATGTCGAACGTGTTAACATTGTCGTCAACTATGATGCGCCTCTAGATGCTGACAGCTATCTTCACCGCGTTGGGTAAGTCTATCCACCTACCCACCGGAGCTCGCCGCTGATCTATTCCATGCCTTCGGAATGAAGGCGTGCCGGACGTTTTGGTACCAAGGGTCTTTCCATCACGTTCATTTCCTCCGATGTGGATCAAGAAGTTCTTAATGCTATCCAATCCCGCTTTGAAGTTGCTATTCCGGAACTGCCTGAAACTATTGATCCGACGACTTATAGTACGTCGCCTACTACTGTCCAGTGTCGTTGATCTAACGCATGCAATCAGTGACATCTTAGAATCGGGTCTAGTTTCGTTTCTTAGTGTCATATTCGTGCAACTGCATTGAAGTTCTCTGTGTTTTTGCCTCTTGTCTACGTGTGTATATCTATACAAGCTGATAACATGAGTTTGTGAGCCACAAATTTGAGTGGCGGTGCTTTTCGGCATCAAGCGGCTGTCGGTGAGAAGTTCTGCAGCAAGTCTTTGTTGTCACTTTTGCGTCAGAATATGGGTGATACGGGTGACTCTGCTATGTCAGAGGGTGTAGAACTCATTAACCCAGTGCCTGTGAATGCATCTGGAGAGGAGCACCCACTTATTGACGCCCCGCCCCAACCGCAAGAAGGCCCCTCTCCGCATTTTACATTGGACAGCGTTATGGGGGAGCCGAGTGAGGCTATTGAGCCACCATTGCCTGCTGATGAAGAGCATCCGGTGCCGCAGCAAGACCAAGAAGCGCAGTTAGCCTCTCAGTTGGATGACATGGCTGTGGCTTCAGAATTGGGCGCAAACACCGCGCAATCAACACCTGCCCTCAATGTTGCCCAGGACCCGCTACCTGAGTCTCGATCTGTGGTAGAGGTCCTGCCGCCTCAGAATGATTCTGAACCAATCGTTCCTGCTACTCAGCCTGAGCAGATTCAACATGAGGCACAACCCGCCACTGGTGACCCAGGACAAATAGCCCCCACTCCCCAGATTGAGCAAGTGCAACATGCTGCCCAGGCAGTCCTGGATGTAACTGGGGGGCAGCCGTCGACTGTTCCGGCGCCCTCCCATACTGAATACGAAACGTTGTCTGAACACTTAACAAAAGATCCATTTGATGGTGCTGCTTGGCAAGCGCTGACCACTCTAGCAGATCATTCCGGAGACCTGGAGATGATATCGAATGTCTATGACCGTCTGCTAGATGCATTTCCCAATACCGTGCGTTCAATGGATCTGTCATGGATTTGCTGTTCTGATGACGTTTTCCTAACAATTAGCCATCGGCACAAATTGCGTACCTAACGCATTTCTTGACCCCAACTAACTTCCCAAAAGCTGAAGCTCTGTTCTCCCGCTTCCTTCGTCCTTCGCCTTCTGTTGAATTATGGACGTTTTATCTGATTTACGTGCGGTACGTATGAACATCATGGCGGGATCTCCTGATGTTGACGACTGTAAGGTCAGCCGTGTAAACCCAAACCCCACTGAAACTGCAGCCCGCTTGACCATTAAGAAAGCGTACGAGTTCGCCCTCAACCATGTAGGACATGATAAGGATTCGGGGGAGATTTGGCGTGATTATATAGATTTCCTCAAAAGTGGAGGGGTATGTATCTATTTCAGCTATCCTGCGTTAATCGTTCTTGACATTCAGCCAGACAAGTACCACATGGGATGCCCAACAAAAGATGGACGCCCTTAGGAGTGCCTACCATCGGGCCGTAGTTGTTCCGATAGAGAATGTTGAATCTATATGGCGCGAACTTGATGCCTTCGAAACTAATTTGAACAAGATCACGGTATGTAAGTAGGGTGTTGTGGCGAGCTCACATCTGATAGGTCGTTTCGTATCAGGCTAAAAAGTTTCTGGGGGATTTGTCTCCACCTTACATGACTGCGAGAACTACTTTACGAGATTTGCGTCGAATGATGGAGCCATTGTCGATACCAACAATCAAGCTTCCTTCAGCTGCTGTGACATCACTGCCTGCTCTGAACTTGCCCGCACGTCCTACATGGATTGGAGAGTCTGACCGATCACTTTGTCATGCGTGGAAAACGTACCTCAAATGGGAAGAGACCAATCCGCTTGATATTGATGATCCCGCCGTGCTCCAAGCCAGAGTATCAGCGGCTTATAAGAAGGCTGTTATCCGAATGCGCTTTTTCCCCGAAATATGGTTCGCATTTTCCATTGAGATCGATCCACTGGTTTTTATTCGATGAGATGGTGTCTAATTGGCGTGCACAGGTTTATGGCATCCACTTATACGAACTCGATCGGGAAAACTGAAGAAGCTGCGTCAGTGCTGAAACAAGGAATGGAAGCTAACCGTACATCGTAAGACAGATTCATTAGATTGAGCTGAAATATTGGGTTTGGTGACGAAGTCTCAAATGACAGGTTTCTCCTTCACTTTGCCTATGCCGAGCTGCAGGAATCGTTGGGCAAATTCCCTGAGGTTCACAAGACATATGATACTCTTTTAGCAGCGTTGCATGCTCAGCTTGAGTCCCTTGAAACTTCAATCAATGCAGAGGTTGAGGCAGCTAGGAACTCTATTCCATCCACTGGTGCGATCAATGGCGAACTCTCAGCAGAACGAGATGAACGCGCAAAGCAAGTTCTCGACCGTCGTAACAAGGAGCTCGAGTCCATGAAGGGAGAGTTGGGGACGGTTTGGATAATGCTTATGAGATTCGCCAGGAGGGCAGAAGGGCTAAAGCCGGCTCGGACCGTTTTTGCGCGAGCACGGAAAGACAAATTTTGTCATTGGGGTGTGTACGAAGCTGCGGGTGAGTCACTCATGGTAGGGATACTTTGAGGTGTATGTGATGACGAGGTGCTTCTTTGTAGCGCTTATGGAGTATCACTGTACCAAGGCCGCCGATGTCGCTACCAAGATTTTTGAAATTGGGCTCAAGATATTCGGAGAAGATGCCGAGTTCGTTCTGCGGTATCTCGGATTCTTGATATCGATCAATGATGAAAATAGTAAGCTATCTGGTTGGTGTTAGCTGAAAGATATACTGAGCGCGAACAATACAGATGCCCGAGCTTTATTTGAGCGGGTAATACCCACGTCTTCACCCGAAGTTGCCCGTCCTCTGTGGGAACGCTGGGCTCGGTATGAATATAACTTTGGTGACTTCTCGGCATCCCAAAAATTAGAGAAACGGCTAGCCGAGATCTATCCGAACGGTTTGTCGGCGCTTCTGCTCGTTTAGCCTACTACTGATCCTAAATGACACAGAACCACCAATCAAGCGTTTTGCTCAGAGATTTACATACTTAGGGATCGATGCCATCGCTTCTCGGGATCTTGGGTTTGCATACCGTCAAAAGCAAACATCTTCTAGTCCTACAGTCCAGTCTACAACCCCCACTGTTGGGACCATAGTGGATAAAGCAACTGCAACTACCACCACTAGCGCTCCGCCCCGTCCTCCCTCCCCGGAACGAAGGCGACGGGATCCTTCTCCTCCTCCAGCCAAGCGCTTCAAGGCGTCATCGCCCATTCGAAGAGACCGGGATCGGGACCGAGATCGTGATCGTGACGACAGATGGGAAGATCGTGGCCTTCCTCGACGAAGTAGTCCAAGGCCCCACGTAAAACGAGACGAGGATCGTGGCGAACGCAGCACGATACCCAGTCAGGTGTCATGGTTCCTTGGCATACTGCCATCTGCAGCTGTCTTTGATGGTATTAGCATTTCTTTCTGGCTACTTTCTCATGAATTGACCTTCTTTCAGGCCCCGTTTTCCGTACCGATGATCTGATGGAGCTATTGCGTCATGGAAATATTCCCCCTCCTTCGAACTCTGCAACGAGTGGCGGACGTGTGCACTCACCTTTGCCGTCTCGCGCCGGAGGTGAGACTTCCCCCAGAAACTGTCTGGGCGCTCGACCTCACCTTTTTCCAGGTCGACTTCCGCCAGATCATCAAGGGCCCGGTGGTGGCCGGCGCACTCGCTACTAGTTGCCTGCGACATTCTCGTTGGAGCTCATTACACGCTATGAAGGGGGTTTCTTTGTAGTACTGATCACGAATACCATTGGAGGATTATCTTGCCATGTTATGTTTCCGGAATGCGTTCCGCACTTGAGATCTGAGACTGAGCTCGGCGGGATCCGTATATTGAGGGCGCGCGCATACTCTGGAATAAGCCATGTGGAACACTAATACTTACAGACTATCCTCGACTAAGAACAGACAAGCGACTCAGCCTTGTCATGGTATATCAATAAGCTTACAGACAGTAGGCTTGCGGAGACCTTTCAGTCAGCTGCGGTATGCACGCTGTCCCTCTTCGCCCCTGGATCAAGATCGTCCTTTTCGGTGCCCCCGTATCTGACGATCCACTGAGCCACTTAGACGTGGACTGCAGTGGGACCGTTGTGCATTGGATCGATGGCGTTTCTCATCAGAGGGTCGCTTGAGTATGGTCCGGCGTAGGTGACAGAATTGGCATTGAGTCCGTCGATTGACGAATTCAGGGGTCAAACGATACCGATGCTGCATGGTCCACACCATGTACAAAAGTGGAAGAAGAAAATCCAAATCAGTTGCCCGTACGAAAGCTTGATGCTTAAACCACTCCCTCTTGCCATTAACGAAGAGCAGATTGGGGACGTCGGCATTGGTCCCAACCACCACGACTATGGTTGGAAGCGGTAGTATCTGGTTGGACAGATCTAACCGGGGGAACGTTGAAGGGAAATGGGGTACACTGACGCCAGATGGACTGAAATCAGACCAGATAATAGTTCGAAAGCAGGACAATAGGATGACTTGCCCTACCGTACGCATAAGTAATGAAGCGAGAGGCAAAAGATGGCATCCCGGATGGTGCATCAGGTATCCGCCAACCTGGAACACGCCATCGAGAGTGACACTCATGGGCCCTCGCCCTACCCCTCCAGTAGTTGCAAATCAGTCAAGCAAGCAGCAACTGTCTAATGCTACTACCATTGAATGCATCACTACTGAATACCGTGACAGGGGTTCTCATGTATCTGGATGCCGAGGGATTCGGGGCGGGACTGCACAGCGGACATGGGAAAGACAGGAAATACGGTACTGGTGAGCCGCGTGGGAACCTTGGGCCCGACATCGCTGAGCCTACCCAAAAGGTGGTTTTTACTAAGAAGCCCCCATATTGATCCTGGGGAGGCCCTTTATAAGTTTACCCAGCTAGAATCGGATGCAGCGTTGTACATGCCTTTCCGTATGACACTGCCTGTTCCACTTCTTTCACTTTTATATATTTTAATTCAACGCGGAGTATCACCCGACAGTACTAGACAAAAACACTGGTAGGATAAGAGTGTGAGAGCCGAACTAAAGTGCATGACACGAGCAAAGTCAAAACCAAGGGGGTCCGAATGAATATTTGCCAGCTTTCTGAGGAACCGATGTATGGGCATGCGGTTTAATGCTTGCTCATCAGGAAGAGAAGCCATCATTACAACCGCAGAGGGTGGGCGCTAAATTCGTAACCAGAGTCATTGGAATGCAATGTAACGCAATCAGCGACCCGCGAGCGCTCGACGCGAACGGGAAGTGGGCGTTTGTTGTTTAGTGATGTTGAATCATGCACGCTTGTAGTTGAGTTGCGCCGCAAAAGCCCGACATACCTCTCCACACTCCAAACCGAAGCGCCCTGGCCCCGAGCATGGCCTGGGCCGCTATCGACTTCCTTGCAGGCTCCCCGAACCCGTGCCGCCAACCCGTCGTCGACTCAGGATCGCAACGAAAGCCACCACGATTGGCATGAGTCAGCCGGATCTCATTTCGGGTCTCGAACACGCTTGTACTAGATTCCCAAGGCCATCCCTCGACGATTCCGAACCGTGGCTATCTCTCTCCACTCCATCGATGATTTCAACTCGACTCTATGCGTCATGTCACTTCTACACAACAAATTACTCCGATGCGTATGGGTGATCCCTACCTGTGAATCACTGAACCAAACATCGAGCGAGAAGTCTCTGCATAACTAGAGGAGGTAAATCATCTTGCGTCTTACAGGACGGTGGATCCCACCATTAAGGACTATTGAAAAGTGACCTGAATGGAAACTACGACACGACTTTATTGGCCCCTTGACGACGCCACCAAGCTTAATCTCAACCACGGAGCAGTTGAATGAGCCAGAGGTTGAATCAAGGCTTCGTTATAGTTCATCTGGTGCCTTATATCGCGTCTAACGCGTAGGATCGTTGGCCAAGCATTGGGACTTCTCAACATACATGTAATGTACAGGCGCAGGTCACAACCCCAGGAAGCCATCTATTCCAATAGAGGCTGTAACCCGGCTAAAGAAAGCAGTCCCCCACTCGCGTATGCTCTCTGTTCACTGGAAAGTTGATCCCCGTTTACGGCGAAGCAACGCGCTGGGGAACGCACTTGGCATCGGTGACGACACTCGGCTATGCAGATGTATCCAAACAGGAGGTACGGATTAACCATGCGACGCAATCATATCGCAATCGACTGACTCATTTCATATCGCGTTATTGAGATGAATGTCAAGGTACAACCCCGAACTCCCTTCCGGAATCACACGTTGCAACTGATCTCCCTTCGTTTCTAAAGGTGACAGCAAAGGAATGAGCAAGGCCGGGGCACAGCACGGCGATGACCGAGGCACGTACAAGCCCCAACCACTGTATTGAAGTGTTATATATACATTTGTTTCAAAATCAGGGAAACCCCATGCTGTGGCGCTAATGTCATGCCATCCTAACCGCTCCAAGGTGTCCGTACTCCAGGCCAGGAACTGTCCCAAGAATCAGCTCCCAGATCCACCCAACAGAATCCGCATTCCTCGCACCATCGCGCCACTTGAGGGGGATCGCAATGATTATGTACGAAGAGTGCCTCGATGGGATCCATGGGTCCTGAAATCGCACAGACACTTGAACGAAGCCCATGTCGTATCCGGCGTTTATATTAGAGCATCGGATCATGAGAATGGGCTGCAACAGAGGATGACCTGCATTGGACGCCAGACCATGAGAGCCTCGGCCTGTGTTACAAGAAGGTTGGTTAGTTTGACATGGGGGATATGAGAACGGTGCTTTTTGTCGTGAATGGTGGTGAATGGTGGGAGTGGGGTGAAATCCTAATGAACTGGGGTCAGCGACATCGGACAAGAGGAGCGCTTATCGTTGAGGGGAGGTAGTGGTCCGTAGACCTAACAAATGTGGTTAGTAATAAGCCTAAAGGAATGGGCATACTTACCGTCGAGAGAAGTTGTCTGTGGACCTTAAAAATGGAAGAGGAAGGGTAAGGAGTGCGCATACTCGGTTGGGGTCAGCGACATCGGATATATAATAAAAGCGCCTATCGTTGAGGGGAGGTAGTGGTGCGTAACGAATGGAAGGAGATGTGGTTAGTAATGAGCCTAAACGAGTAGGGTGTGGAAATACTTACCGTCGAGAACAGGTAGTCCATAGACCAAGAATATGTAGTTCTAGAGTAGGGAATGCGCATACTTACCGTCATAGAGGAGTGGTCCGTAGGCCTTAAAAATGGAAGGGGATGTGGTTAGTAATAGGCCTAAATGGGTAGGGAATGCACATACTTACCGCCAAGAGTAAGTGGCCCGCAGGCCTAAAAAACGGAAGGGAATGTGGTTAGTAATAAGCCTAAATGGGTAGGAGTGCGCATACTTACCGTCAAGATGTGGTTAGTGACAAACATAAACGCCGGGGGTGGAAATACTTACCGTCATGAGTAAGTGGCCCGTAGACCTAAAAATGGAAGAAGATGTGGTTAGTAATAAGCCTAGACGGGTAGGGTGCGCGCATACTTACCACTGAGAGTAGTGGTCTGTAAACCCAAAAAAATAAAAACGGAAGAAGCTGTGGTTAGTAGTACGCCTAAAGGAATAAGAGGCGAAAATACTTACCGTCGAGGTTATTGATTACATGCGGCAGAGGCGCACAAGGAGATGGAAGATCCCTAGAGAACAAAATGACAAAATAAATACCAGCAGCGGGCGTGGGTTGCTGTGAAAGGCAAAACTGTCAGTAGTCCCACGGAAGGAGGAAAGGAAACGGAGAAAAGGAAACCACGCACCTTGCGACCGTCCCGGAAGAGCCAGAGCTATGTACCTAGCCGCTCCCCCGACCCGCTTTGGGTTTCGGAAGAGCTCGTATGAAACTAAGCACAAGTCCCTGGCAGGACCAAGGACGGCCCAGATTTTAAAAAAGCAAAAGAGGAAGAAAGAGGAAGGAAATTTAAAAGGGAACTGCATTCCCCGATCCAATCCCCTCCAGCCTAGGCCATACTCCTGACGACATACAGCACTCTGATGTGGTGCATATTTCGCCGCAGGGCATGACGTTCGGCATTGGGGATCCAGGAACATGCACATCGCGTTATACAGCGTTCTGATGTGACGATATTTTGCGGGGCATGGCCTGGCACAGAGGCATACGGCATACAGCACTCTGATGTGGTGCATATTTAGGCACGGGATGATCTCTGGGGGAGGGGGAAAGCAGGAGGAGAAAGAGAAGATACAGCCGACGACGCATTTTGGTCGGCATATTTAAGGAAAGGGAAACATACAGCCGGCAGCGCATTTCAATTGGCCGGCATTAGGGAGAGGAACACATAGGATACAGCCGAAAACTCATTTGGTCGTCCGGCATATTTAGGGAGAGAAACACATAGGATACAGCCGAAAACCCATTTGGTCGTTCGGCATATTTGGAAGGAGTAAAGAGAGTGGCATAGAGTGGCATAGGGGGCATAGGGTGGCATAGGGTGGCATAGGGTGGCATAGAGTGGCATAGAGTTTGGAAGACATAGAGGAATGCATAGGGTATACAGCCGAAATCGCGTTTCCATCGGTCGGCATATTTTCAAGTAGAGGAGAGAGAGTAGGAGCCAGACAGGGAGCGGGAGAGAGTGGCCGCTGAATGCAGTGGGGCCGTCCATTTCGGGAGAGAAATAAGGGAATGGGAACGTGAGAGTAGTCAGGATGCTAGCGGGAGAGATAAATGAGTGACAAGGTCAGTGTAGAACAGAAACTTTTAGCGGAAGAGAGTGGCCGCTGAACACAGTGGGGCCGTCTATTTCGAGAGAGATATTAGGGAGTGGGAAGGCGAGAATGTCAGGATGCTTATAGCGGGAGAGATAAACGAGTGACAAGGTCAGAGTAAAAAAGAAACTTATAACGGAAGAGAGTGGCCGCTGAACACAGTGGGGCCGTCTATTTCGGGAGAGAGATCAGGGAGTGGCCAAGTGGGGACAGTTAGGCCGGGTATATTCCATAGGAGGGGTATATTCTACGCGGAGGGTATCCACGCAGAGGGGTATATTCCATAGGAAGGGTATATTTCGTGCGGAGGGCATCCACGCGAAGGGGTATATTCCATGGGAGGGGTATATTCTATGTGGAGGGTATCCACGCAGAGGGGTATATTCCATGGGAGGGCGTGATTCCCTGGGGGGAAAGAGAAGGTCCCTCTCAAGGACTCCTCAATTTATGCACGAAACCAGGCGTGTTCTGTTTGTTTTTGTTTATCGTTTCGGAGCGCACGAAAGCTGCCGTGAAGCAAACAAAGGACAGGATTTTCATGACAAATGTGACTGAGACACAGATGCCGAGACCAAAAATCCAGTCCAGCCGACTTCGAATGTATTCCTCGGTGAAATCCCACACTGCTCCTTTAGACAGTATGTTTTGCTTTTGAATTTAGTTTTCGTCCTCACCATTTCGATGATGACAAATGCATAGAAGACGGCATCATAGAGTCTCGAACCGGATACTGGACGAGCTCATTGTTTTGACAACATGCCATTTAACTCCGCTTCAGATCTTTTACTTCCGCATGAAACAGAAATGGCTCAGTCCAGCAAAAATATGCCTGTATTCCAACAGGCGAGTGTAGCCTGCTGAATCGATTACCTTGATTTTTTCGTCGGGCCTAAAGGCCGCCCGAATTCACAAAGAGGAGAGTGGGAAGGAATGTACAAAGTTCATTACTGGGCTCCCATATTAGAGATCGGTCGATTTACATGCACCACCCAACCATGATTACACTCATGATCCATTCAAATTTATGGGTCTCGGTTTTTGATCAGATCGTACCATTTGGTTCCCCTGTGCGCGATGCGATGGCTAGAGTTCACTTAGGTGCGCGCCCGGTCACCCATTAACGGGCGCATTGACATGTCGAAAGTACTGCATTGGATGTGTTTAATGCGTAACTGATCGAGAAACAGCCTGAGCGACATTCGTGGGACACCAAACTAAATCGGGAGTGACAAGTTGGATTCTAATTAGGTAAGCCGGGGACCACGTGAGTGGCGGGGTCACGATGTTGTTTAGGTGGTATGCGTATGAACGCTCAATCCTTTCTCTGCTCCATTCTTCGTGCGACACTGTTGTCCCCAAGCCTCTGCACTCGCTCCTGTTCAGTATTTGCACTGAATCTCTCAGTTAGATCCTCATATTGAGAGGCTAGATCAACTTTTCGATTCTGCCTGTCGCTACTGAACTGTCGGATATCGACCGCCAACTCTCAATCGCTTGTAGACCACTCTCACGGCTCAGCCTGTGGCCTTTGAGTCTCACGGTGGGATCGGCTTTTCCTTGTGTTCATGGCCTCCATAGCGTCACTATTTGCACCCGTGGTCCTTATCAAACTGCCCATACAAAACTCCCATATCTCATCTCATTTCAAACTCCGAAGGTTCCTTATTCCTCCTCGCGACATTCCCGCAATTTTTGTGAGAGCTAGAGACGCGACGAATTCCGCCCTTAGGCAACTCAAAGCCCTCAACAAAGCCGCCCCATCGATACTACCTCAGAGATGTCCTTGGTGAACAGAGCATACGTGGGTGGGTCAGACCTTGTATCATCAGGAAAGACGCGAAGGGTATTGGCAACGAAATCAGGCGTGTTATGTTTGTTTTTGTTTATCATTTCAGAGCGCACGAAAGCTACCGTGAAGCAAACAAAGGACAGGATTTGCATGACAAATGTGACTGAGACACAGATGCCGAGACTAAAAAGCCAGTCCAGCCGACTTCGAATGTATTCCTCGGTGGGAATCCTCCACTTTTCCTTTAGACAGTATGTTTTGCTTTTGAATGTAGTTTCCGTCCTCGCCATTCTGATGTTTGGAAGATGCCATTATAGAGTCTCGAACCGTATACTGGACGAGCGCATTGTTTTGACAACATGCTATTTAACTCCGCTTCAGATCTTTTACTTCCGTGTGAAACAGAAACTGCTCAGAGATATCCCTGTATTTCAACAGGTGAGTGGTGCGATGTAGCCTACTGAATCAATTATAGCTAATGCCCTTGATTTTTCGTTGAGCATTTCTTTCTTTTCCTCAGTCACACAGAAGCAGTGCTCGACCTCCCGCAGAACAACAAAAGGCGGCTCGAACGCACAAAGCGAAGAGTGGGAAGGGAGGGGAAGGACAGTGTAAAAATTTAATTACTGAGCTCTCATTAGATATCGGTCGATTTACATGCACCACCCAGACACTCAACATGATGCATTCAAATTGTGGGTCTCGGTTTTCTATTAGATCATACCGCTCTGTTCCCCTGTACGCGATGCGATGGATAGAGTTCGCTTGGGGGCGAGTCTGGCCCCCATTCACGGGCGCATTGGAAGGAATCATAATGCGTAACTGATTGAGAACAGTCTGGGCGACATTCGTGGGACATCAAACTAAATTGGGAGTGACAGGTCCAGATTGGTTCGTTTCCTTCACCGCGAAGTTCTGCCCACGCGAGGTTGCGGACAGTCAGCATTACATGAGTCACGATGTCGCTTGGGAGGTAACGTATGAACGCTGTTTTTGACATGTTACGCTTACAACCCTTTCTCCACTCCCTGCTGTTGCATTGTTCGTGCGACACCGTCGTCCCCAAGCCTCTGCACTCGCCCATGCTCACACGTGTCCCTCAGTTTGATCCATCCCTTACATTGAGAGGCCAGATCTTTTCGGTTCTGCCTGTCGCTACTAAACCGTCGGATCAACTCTCAATCGCTTGTAGACCACTTCCATGGCTCAGCCTATGGCCTTTGAGTCTCACGGTGGGATTGAGTTTATCACGCTGGCTCCCTACCCTTCACCAACTCATCTAACTCAGCGCTTCTCTTCGACTCGAACCCTTCCAGCACAACAGATACGGACCTATCCTCGATTTAGGTCCAAAAAGATGCAAGGGAAGCGGATAGAAAAGTCAATGTTTACGATCCCGTGGTGTCCAGACCTCCAATGCAGCAGGTGTTAAAGCGAGGGTTCGCCCCGATATCATAACGAGGGGAGGGGCACTGCAGAGTGGGTCTCGATAACGTTTTTCGTCGGGGAGCGGTATATCGAAGTAAATGTGTCGGCATTATTTGCGATAGCGCCTGAGCGCGATATGGTGGTGTATCGTTGCAGGTAGGCTGCTACCCTCCAGTTGTCATTATATGGTAGCTAATTTGGGTAATGGATGCTGCTGAAGGCAGTGACCAACAAAGCACCGACATCCTTCTGATGCATTGGAAGTGGCAATGCGCAAGCTCGGCCAACTGCGGGGCCAAAGTTTCCAACCTCTCATCATGGACGTGCTTGTCCTTTCGGTGTCGTGACGCAACATGGAGTAAATCTTTACGCGTGACTCATTCACTCATTTCTCAATGGGTGCTGGAGTGCCTACAAGTTGTGTTCGGCCAACCACATCGCGTGCGATTTTAGTTGATCGCTTTGACATGTTGAAGGGCGACACGGACGACTCCACCTTGCGCAACACGCTTTCTACAGCTTTATAACCGCGCTGAAAGATGCGTTTGCCGCAAGGCCACAAGTAATTTTCTTATGCCACAGGGAACGTGTGACAGACCATCTTCGCCGGGATTCCCCAAAAACATGATACTCAACTGGTTACTTATTTATGGTGAGTCCATATTTGATGGCGGTGAATCCACTACACCGGATTGAAAGTTTCGACGCATTTGAATTACTTACCGGGATCGTCGATCTTCTCGCATGCGATATATGTATAACTTTCCTGGGTGCTTTGTTTGAGGATCCACTTTGTTGCGCTTTCTTTGCAATCACTGGCAACCTGGCAATTGATATTGCCATGATCGCGAACAATTTACAAAATTCACGTGTTGGTAAAAATAACTTGGACTTCTCTCGAGCATAGACTCTGGCCTCTGCAGGATTTCGATGTCAACAGTAAGGATGGCAAGAACTGTCATGCCAGTGCATGATGAGGAACATGGTGGGGCAAAGCTAGGACTGAGGATACAGAATCGCTACGTTTTGGGCTCAACACAATCCTGCGCAGGATTTCTCATAAACGCCGTTGTATTACACGATTTTATCATGGATCCACTTTCCTCAGCGACTCCTTGGGCATGGGGATAAGGCGTAGCGACCAATCGGACACGGCTAGAGACTCAAGGAGCGATTGCCAGTGGGTAATTCTCACCGTATCAACAGCAACCAGTGAACTGGCTCAATTGCATCACTTTCATACGGGTTGACAAGTACATAAGATCATGACGGCAACATCAAAGCACTGCGAAGAAATCACTTTGCTTCGCTTCAAAGATGTTCCTCAGAGGCATTCGTCCGCGCCCACAAAGTGGATTTAAGGATCGCATTTGGCCTCTTTGCAAAACACCTGTGTCCCCTCGTCCTCAATCCTTGAGTACTTGAGTTGGAGGTGTCTCGGAATGATTCCCTCGTTGGCATGGTTCGTTTCGGCCCTCCCCTTATTGAGTTGGATGTGCACCGCACTTCCGGAACACCACTTTGTCGAGAAGAGCTCGATCCGACGTCTGCCACGGGGATGGTTCTACCATGGAACTCCTTCCCCTCGCACTCCCATCACTCTCCATTTTGGGCTCACCCAGCCTCACTTTCACCAGATTGAATCTGCGTTGCTTGAGATAAGCGACCCATCCAGCCCTCGATGGATGCAGCACTTGACCAAAGAAGAGGTCGAAGAGTTCTCCGCTCCTCACACAGACAGTGTCATCTTGCTCGAATCTTTCCTTGTCTCGCATGGCATAGACATCACAGGCGATGCGCTCCAACGGACACCCGCAAATGATTGGATCTCACTCAAGACCACCATTGGAATTGCAGAGAAATTTCTTAACACAACCTATTCAATATATGTGAACCACGAGACTGGGCTCACTGCGATTCGTACAACGTCATATAGTCTTCCTGCCCACCTTCACGACCATATTGACGTCGTTCAGCCTACGGACTATTTCCCTTCTGGTCGACCTCTCTTGTCGTCTTTGATAGTTGATGATGGCTCCCTCAACCAGCGAAGCGCTTCCGCCTCAGCACCGTTACCACAGTTAAACATGTCGCTCCCACAGCTCAAACAGCTCTATCACACTGATGCGTACAAGGCTAAAGGAACGCGAAGTTCAATCGGTATCGCCGGGTAGGTATCATCACAGCTTGATTGTCTCGCTCTCGGAATCCCCGTTAGAGAACCATATAACTAAAACATGGTATTTCTCATTTAGGTACCTCGAGCAATATGCAAACCTTGCTGACCTTAAACAGTTTTATTCCCTTTTCTATCCTCCAGCGGTGAATAGTACCCCTCATGTGGAGCTTATCAACGGTAAAGTTCATCGTTGTGGCATTTCGTTATCATCGATGCAAACATTGATGCTTATTTTTTCCATTGTTGTCTTTGTTACATAGGAGCGATCAACTCTCAGAACATTTCTGAGGCTGGCGTCGAAGCTGTAAGTTCCTTTGAATCTCGCTTCTTCCATTCCCACTTTCTCCGCTTCCTTTTCACACCCTTATATGTATAAAATTTGATCACTAACCTCTTGGCCTTTTGGCATTCCTCTTGACGTAAAACGAAAATTTTACAGAATTTGGATGTCCAATTCACGGGAGGGATCTCGGTGAGCTACCTCACGTCTACGCTATGGAGATTCCAGGTTATTCAATTGCCCCATGAAATTTGTTTTGATGACAGTACCCTCTCAAGCAAAGTACGTATAGCTCTAATCAATACTGTTTTAACTATTGTAACGCCATTTCTTAATTAGTATTCTACAGTACATATGGTCGCGGCGAAAATACGAACAAGAGCGTCAGCTATCAGGACAACGGGAATGAACCGTGAGCAGATGCCAAACCTATATTCATACGAATCAATATACAACTAAATTATCCCAATCAATCATGACAGCTACCACATTTTTCTCCCTTACCTCCTTGGGAAGAAAACGGAGGATCTTCCCCTAGTGTTGACTTCCAGTTACGGTGAGTCTCTGGATCCAAAAATTTCACTCTGACACTCATGCGGGGACCGCGGAATTTTCGAAACTATATGAAGGTGAGGATGAGGATACAGTTCCAATCGATTACGCCCGGCGTGTGTGCAAGCTTTACGCTGCACTGGGGTCGCGGGGTGTTAGCGCTCTGCATTCCTCGGGCGATGGCGGCGTAGACGGCGTAGGCCACGCGGGGGGAAGTGGAGCTTGTTCCACCCCCAATAGGTTCGTGCCTGTCTTCCCTGCTGGATGCCCACAGTGAGTTTTCTATGTATTTTACCTATATCTGTGCTGAGCATCAAGTTGGGCTTAAAGTGTCACGACTGTTGGGGCGACGTACCAAATTCCCGAAACAGCATGGACCTCCTCAGGAGGGGGATTTAGTAACTACTTCCCCTCCCCACAGTACCAACATCGTGCGGTATCAAGCTACCTTGAAACACTCGGAAGTGTGTATGAAGGACTGTTCAACAAAAGTGGGAGAGCCTATCCTGACTGTGCATCTCAGTGAGTTTCTTTTTGCGTATGGCTCCCTTCGTTCTCGAGGGATTGCTTGATCTGATGGGTTCTCACCCCACCCTTTGTGCAGGGGCTATCGGTGTTCCATCGTGTATCAAGGGGAAGTCAAACATGCCTCCGGTACAAGCGTTTCATCACCCACTTTTGCTGCGATAGTGGGTTCCTTTTCTCTTTTCATATTCTCCTCGCAGGCCTATATTACTTGCGTCTTAGATTGCGCTCTTAAACGATGCTCTACTCTCCAAAGGTCGTGGACCTCTCGGATTTCTGTATGTTTGTTTGCTTCTCCTTTCCTCAGGCACCCACTCACTGAAGCGCTATGCTCTACATGGGCAGCAACCCATGGATTTACTCTCTCGAACCAGGCGTCCTGAATGACATTACTACGGGTAGCAACCCAGGTTGTGGAACGACAGGGTTCAATGCCACGAAAGGTTGGGACCCTGTAACTGGATTTGGAACGCCTGATTTGCCGAGACTTCTCAAGGCACTCCAGCTTTGATCATTCCTCGTTGTTGGCCAGTCGTTGTTATTATGACACTAAAGCCTGAGCACGCAGATATTCCCATCCGGAGCAGTGGTGACCAAAGGTCTACTTTGGGCTATTGTCAGACTGCCCTTCCCTTTTCTGTTATTCTTGATACCTGTATTGATTTGTTCTTTTTCCTCAATTCTCAAAGCCGTCTTATGCTTGAGGCTGAGTCCTGCTGGACTTGATATGTGGCTTTTTTTGTATTCCGTAATATTTAGATACAACAATAAGACATGCATCCTGTGCAGTGTTCGACAACTAAAACTCACTTTTTTGGTATTGGTACTTGTTGCAGGCTAGTTAGCCAAGCATAAGACCTTTTAAGGGGTGTTGTTTTGCGCTTCAGATAGGGCCTAAATGGCCTATTTCACTGTGGACGCAGCTTGCTGCCAAAAAGGGGCCGATTTGGACGAAATAGATATCGTTGGAAAGCTAGAAAAAGGAGAATTTTAACGAACCCAGCGAGAAGACGCGGTGAGCATAGCTTGAGTGCGCCGGTTTCCCTTCATTATCACCGGCCTGCTTTCACCCACCATCATAACCAGCTCCCCTCATATATTCATTCAATTCATATTCCTTCCACCACTCTGCCGCTCCTTATCAGTCTTTCGTCTTTCGGGGCCGCTCATTGGCTCGTACACGTTCGATTTAGAGCTCTACTGTCCAGTTCCCTATATAAGGGTACAGTGAACAGTTGTAATCGAAATCCAGTCGAGTATCAAGTATACTTCCGGCAAACAAAGCAGCAGTCATGTACAGGTGTAGGGAGAGACTAGGTAGATATACTCAAACAGAACAGACTAGGGCTACATCGAAGAAGGTACAACCACCCCATGCTAGACAGAAGAAATACAAGAAATATTTGTTTCTTTCGATGATGCACAGAACTTCACTTTCAGTAAGGACTAGAAGGACAAGCCGCAGTACAGGCTTTCCCAAAGTGTATTCTTAACGAAGAAAAAGATTGTAAAAAAAAAAAAAAAAAAAAAAAAAAGAAAAAACTTGTGCTTCAAGGTCGCAAGTCAGCATACGTGCCGGGGTGGTGCTGCACGTGAAATCGACTCACACAAGAATTGAACAACTACTGTTTCATCCCATCCCACCCAGTTCCATAATCGTAGATGTCGCCCGGTGAGAAGTCAACAGAGGTTGTCGGCCACGCTGTCATCTGTGCGGTAGCACGCGAAGGAGAAGTCAAAGTGAACCTGGGATGATTGTGTCAGGTGTATGAACCAGTAGAGAAGAGAAGGGATCCCCCGCAAGTGGGGGGGGGGGGGGCTCACGCTGTCGACGGGTCGAATCCAACTTGAGGTGATTCGTCCATGATATAAGTATTGGTTTGGAAACCTGATTGTTGAAGGGGGGTAATACATCGCTGATGATGATGATAAGTTTATCTCAACTCACAATCGCCTACAAGAGCCTGCGACCAGCTAGGCGCTTCGTCGCCGTAGAGAAACATATCACTATGCATCGCTAGCGGAGTGGGGACGTATCCAACAATAGGCGAAGCATCGGACAGCGGGATATACATGGGAGCTCCATGATATGACGATGAGAAACTGGGAAGCGCCTCTGTAGGGACAGGCGTCACACTATTCAGAAGAGACGATAAAGATGAACCGATTTGCCGTACGGGCAAGAGCACGTCGTCTCCGCCTGACGGGTTGGCCATCCCATCCATCTGCTTCTCAATAGGTGGCTGTCTCCTCGTTAGACAGTCCATCAGAATTCTAGACAAGTCCAGCGGCGACACCGATATGTTTCGATTCTTCACATCTTTAATCCACGGTTTTGTAGCAGAATTACGAACTTCCTCGAGAATTGATTCATCCTATTACATATATGGACGTGAGTGAAGGCGGAAACGGGGGGCGGGCCTGATGGAAAAATTTTTTGAAACGAGATTAAGCTAAGAATGACGCTTACACTCGTGAGCCATTCGCCCCGTCCGCAGCAATAGATGTTGAACTTCACGCAATCATGGCACGCAGGGGTAGGGACCAAGCCTAGGGCGATATCGGCTGTCCAACCTCTACAGAGCTTCTTCCGCAATCTACACGAAAAACACGCCTCGCTTCCACGATACTTCAAGTCGCTTGGACGCAGGCCAGGTAACGACATCCTAGGTGCGTAAGATCGAGGGTAGTTTGAGATGGTTGAGGTTCTAGTCACTGGTGAAACGGAAGTGGGTCGTTGGAACGGCTCAGCGTGATGTGAGATGGGAGGTGAACACAGGTCTACCGCGCCTATCAGCGGCAACACGCGGATTCCTCCCTCCCCTCCCTCCTCCCATTTGGAGTTAAATCGGCTGACTTGCGGGAAAAGGTTATGGTTATGGTCAATAACCAATTCCGGTCGATGGATATCGCTCCACAGTTTGACCATTACCTCGTGTCAACCACGCCTCACCCCCTTTGTTCGGATCCCAGAAAAGCGAAACCCCTTCATTCTCGCCCCACACTCTACATAGAACAGTTCTTCCGACTTGCAGAACGTCCAATAGGACCGTGAACGGCGGCAACACTCCGACGGCCCCTTTGGGCTCCTTCAGGTTTCAAGAGCCGAACCTATGATAGAGCTCAGGCTTGACAGTTTTTCCTCACGGTCCGTCCTAGGAAATGAAAGCCCAAAATGCAATGGACAAACAACGGTGGCGATTTCCAATTACATAATGAATTCGGCTAATTCCGCTGCGATTGCGTCATTCCCGTCTAACGGTGAGCCATTGGCACATCGACCAAAGAGATCCTTACAACAACCTACGCGTGCACTGAGTGGAGATTCGCGCTAAATGCGCCCCTGACACTGTATTAGCAGTCATGTAGATGGGTGGGGACAAGAGGCAGAAACGTAGGTAAGGAATGTACAAAACGGGGAAGAAACGGGGAAGTTCGGGGGGGGGGATGATACATGACTGTGCCAAACAATAGAATGGGGAAAGGCGACGACGTAGCTGGTTACATTTACATTTACACGCTAAGCCCTTTAACAAAATTTACAATTTACAATTTACAATATTGCACTAAAGGCACAAGTCGTAACTTTACCAGTGCTATTCAACAAAGCAGCAACCAAAAGGATAAGCTGGCATCAGGATCGCACGTGCGAGTCAGCCGATAGCGGAAGTGTGACGTTGGTCAAGTCCACTCACAAAAGCCAATAAAAATCGAATCCATCCCCCCGGCAAGGTCCTCAATAGTAGTGGGTATCATCTGGGGAGTCATCGCCCGATCTCGGCCATGCCTTCATTTGTGTGATGGCGTAGGTGTCTGTGAACCTATGACGATAGTACGTCAGGTCTACGAACGATGGAGAGGAGTTAGTACGAGTGGGGCTCACGCTGACTGGTCACATCCAGATTGAAATGATTCATCCACACTACCAGCATTGACTTGCATCGATGAATATGATTGTTGAGAATGACACACATCATTGAAAGCAAATCCAGTGTCAGCCTCATAGGGTGGAGGCGGACTCATGGGCGTCGGTGTGCCATCGGGAAACGTATCGTGCGTGGGTGGTAGAGTAGGCATGTGTCCAACGAATAACGAATTTGTCTCCACCTCAACCTCACAGATTCGACGGTGATTTGGAACCGGGAATCCAGCAAATATCCCCACGACAGGAGGAGCACTATGAGGTGGAGAGAACCCCGAGCGGCCTGGTTGCCACACAGACAAGAGCGGATTTTCTGACAAGAGTAAATCCCCTCGATCTGGCGGGACGGCCGTCGTGTCCACCTGCCACCTAATATACTGCCTCCGCCTGGGATAACCCTTTAGAACCTTAGTCAAGTTTAACGGCATCACTGCATTGAAGTCTCTGTTGCTTCGGTTTCGGATCCACTGCTTCGAGGCATAACGAGCTTCGCTGAGAATCGATTCACACTAATGGACGAGTAATGAATGTGAGAAAACGTGCGAGTGGCCGATTCATCTCAAGGGAATTGGCTAGAGGTGGTGCTCACCAACGGAAGCTGTTTTCCATGGCCATCGCAAAAGATGTTGAATTTGAAGCACTCGAAGCAGACGGGCACATCAGAGTAGGTGATCCCATCAAGTGTCCAGCCTTGACAGTGTTTTTTTCGGACTCTGCAGGCGAAGCAAGCTGCAGCGCCACGATGACTGGGGGTGGAGTGTGAACGCAAGCGGGAGGATAACATTTTATTCAGCAGTGAGTGGTGCAGTGACATGGCTTGAGGGGGGAGGGGGGGAGTGAGGTGGGGTTGGTTATACTTGTGTCCTTTACGCAGTAGTGGGTGGTGCAGTGACGTGGACTGGGGGGGGGGGAATGAGGTGGGGGAAGGATGTCGTTTCAAATATGCGGATCCATTACATAATAACTGAGACGACACTGCCCCAACGGAATTTCATTTCCGATTCTTGGTCGGGCTGTATTATTAATCACACAACACCCAAGGCTTTTTTCCAGAGGGGCTCAATAAGCCCCGCATAATAATGAATCATAACCGAGATTTTGGTAAAATCGTGACACCCCCGCATCACCAATTTCACAACCCCTCTTTTCATGATTTCACGAGTAAGTGGTGCACAAAGTTTGGCGAGTCCATTTCAACTTGTCGATTTTGGTCTTCTAGGTCACTTCACGTTGATCTCGGTTGTCTGAGAACCGCTGTATATACCTGATGGTTCGGTTTTGAACCAGAGACCGAACTGTCGCCGACAAAATTACTGGTTCCAGTTTAACCATTTTTTTATTTTCGCAGTTTTCAAGCCACCGTGGTTTGTGTTGGTTGAAGCACAAGGCAATCGAATCGTTTGATTCGGTTTCTTCCCACAACCGAACTGTTAATTAGGAGCTGTTTGGCGTCCCTCATCTTCCGACTTACAAACATATAGTTTCCCCTTGAGCTTACAAAGCAACAGTCAATCCCAGACCTAATTATTCATCCCCCGAAGGCACAGCAGGTGCCTCGGCCACTCAGTTTAAAGGACAACATGCATGTAAAAGAAGCAGCCTGAGATGGCGAAGATAATGCCAGTATCATATCAATTGGCGGAAATCAAGGTCCTAGCATGCAAAGAATCAATTGCAAGCTGCTAAGATCTAGAATCACAACATATATACAACATTCGGCCAGTTATGTAAACAAGAAGCATCCAAGGCTACGACATTCCCCACACGAACACCCAACTCCAGATACAAGGGACTCTATCAACAACAAACCCCTGAGATCCGTCCCCCTGAATATTTTTCTTTTGCCAACACCCTCCTTTAATTTGACCAGTTTTTGACGTGTGGATTGTACAACACATGCTAACCGGCACCCGGTACTTTGAAATTCATTCATTCATTCGCCAAGAAATTGGCGCAAAACATAGTCAGCTTAGCAATGCTCATGCAACAGGAGGTGCATGTAGAAGGTGACGTCGCAAGGTATACAGAGATTCTCGAAAAAGATGACAAGAGGAGTACATTGGAGGAGCTCCAAGCTGGCCAAGTATATTGTGTGTGTGACACGTACATGATTTTTTCCAAAAACAGAAGAATACAACGAGACTGAAAGCACACAAAAAAAAATATACATTTCCAGGAAGGTTACCTCCTACAGCGAACGCAATGGCCGTGTCCGGTGGGTTTCTCCTAGGCGGAAGTCCCGTTTGAGTGAAGAAATCCTGAGATGAAAAATCAGTCCAGGTTGTCGACCCTATCCAAACCCCCGTCCCCCGTTAACAACTATGGTTGTTGGCTATGCGCACTGTATATGGATCTTTACCTTCTCAAAATCCGGACACATTTGCCCCATTGTTTGCTTCCCGTCCCGATTATGAGGCTTGGACGTGACCGAAATGCATACGCTGCAAAATGGCGCTCCCCCCTTTCCAATTCCACTTCATAGGACAAGTCGTAACTTTCCCATAGTGGGTTCCTCAATGACGCAAAGGCAGTTAGCCAAAAAAATGTCATGCGATATTCATAAATCGACTCACAACGATCAATCTACATCATGCCCAAATTCCATGACAGTGTTTCATCGAAGGGAAACCCTCCGTCGCCCGCTGGCCACAGCGGGGTTGTGTCGAATGTGAATGTGGGCCTAAGACGATTGTATTAGGACTAGCAATAATAGGGTTTCCGCGAGTGAGGCTCACGCAGTTGGTTCAGGCCCAGCTTGGGGTGGCCCGTCCAAAGGACCGTCGGCCGTTAGGTACGGTGTCGTGTCCGACGCAAATCTAAGATAGTTTCATTAGGCCTAGCGTAGGTCAGGGTTTTCCGCAAGTGAGACTCACACAGGTCCGAGCAACCCATCCACAAAACCGTCAGTCGGCAGCCATGGCATCGTACCCGATGTAGGCCTGGGGATGATTGTATTAAGCATATGAATGACAGGCTAGGGTTTCTGTGAGAGAGGCTCACGGAGCTGATTCAAATTGGAGTTGTCCGTCCATAGGACCCAGGTTGGCCGGCAGGCCCGCATTGGGGCCATACGCCGTGAGGATCAGTTCATTCCGCTCAAAATCAGACAGGTAAGGCTGCGACTGGCTGGGGTTTTCGGCGTAGGTAAATGCATCATATGGAGGAGGAGGGAAGTATGTATCGAACGGTGGGGGGGTCTGTAGGAGTGGTGGCTGGCCTGAAGCCGGGAAACTGGTGAAGGTCTCCGTCGTAGCAGGGGTATCGCTATGTGGGAGAGGGAACATCTGTGAACCGTGTTGCCGCACGAACAAGAAATCGTCATGATTTCGATTCGCCGGTAAGTAGTCCATGATATCCTGCATCTCCCCAATAGGGAACTTCCTCCTCCCGACATCGCCCACAAAAGTCTCAGCCAAATCCAATGGCTTTGTGGAATGCCGATTCTTCACGTCCTTGATCCAAAGCTTTGTCACGTAGCGAGCTTTGTTGAGGATCGAATCGTCCTATTAGACAAGGTATATAAATGCAGACGTGGACGTGGTTGTGAATCGTCTGAATGAATTTTTAACTAAGGGTCGCACTCACTTTGATAAGATCTTTCCCCTGCCCCTGGCAAGAGATATTGAACCGAGCGCAATCATAGCAACCTCGGATGACATTGGAGTGAGGGTCGTCATGGCCGTCGACCATCAATTCCTGGCAACTTTTCCGCCGCAATCGGCAGGCGCAACATGCCTCGACTCCACGACGTTTGACACCATTCGGACGGAGGTAAGGTATCATAGCTGGGTGCAACATGAGAAAGAGAGTAATCCGGAAAAAGGTGGGTGGGGTTTGGTCACAGTGATATGAGATTATTGTTATATATAATCCAATGGCTGATCACCTGCCGGCTACAGCGCCTAAGTAATCGTACGAAAGGAATAGTGCGTTGGTATTAAAAGGACTCGCAATGCGGAGAAGGCGTGTAATCACAGGATTTTTCCCAGGACAAATATGAAATACTCCAAAGCCGACGGAACTTTGAATGATGGCGGACTTGCCTAATCCTTCATCTCCGCGGGCGCTTGTTCGATATCATGATCGCGAGGTGACTGTGCAACCGGTTCCTGATGACACCAGAGGTATGATCGATGATGTGAACCGATAACGGTCCATTCACCCATTTTATGGAGGTCCTCAAGACGATCATGGCGTGCCTGACAGTAAGATTCATGAGTACAACCCTGCAGAACTCCAGGAGGGAAGAGCGTCTCCCTCAGTCCGACGGGGTTGACCTGATATGGCGTATGTACCTCGCTCGCATCAGAAGCTTCCAAAGTTCCATATGTAATACACATTTTCGTCCCACGGGACATGTACACAAGCACAGCTTTCAATTGTATCATGACAAAAATGCAAAAGGACCAAATCCGTCATTTTCAATTTGTTGAACCCGCAGTACTGGTGGCGGAGTTTGTGAAGAAATTCACCAAGCGCCCGTACACATCCTTGTACTGAGCCAAATTTTTCTCATCGTCGAGGTTGGCATGTGCGCCGGTCCAGCCGTGATGCCTGAGCGGAGATGGAGATGGAGATGGAGGTGGTTCGTTAACCGAGCTGATGAGTTTTAGAACGAGATGAACCCATACATATCCCTGTAAGCTTTGAAATCGCTTGTTGCGCCGAAGCTTTGATTCTTCGCCTCGTTCACAATCTTCTCGGCCTGATCGTGTTCTCATTGTGCTTAGCGCACAACAACAGCAGAGGAAAGAGGACGCCTCACAAGGTCAATCTGATCCGTTTTAGCTGGGTAGAGCGCCACAGGTACCCGAACCTTTCCAATATCATCTTGTTTCAATTGGCTTTCGGCGTGAAGGAGGGATTCAATGTAAGCGGGCGTAAATTCGCTGATTAAAGATTGAACATACGCCGGATGGGTTGAGGCAACGGCATCAACTAGCTTTTCTTCCGCTCCTCCGACGGTGAGGACAACACGCCCGCCCCTGGGTTAAATTGAAGCCGATCAGAGGAAATGGAGAAACCAGATTATGACATTCCGGCTTTACCAACAAAGGCCAAGAGTCTAGGGAGTGAACTTGCGTCAGTGTCCTATTCCGACGGAAACCCCCTATCATCAAATTACGCACTCCAACGAAAGTCTTTCCGTCCGATCTGAGTTGCTTTGCAACCTCTTTCACCTCGTTGACACGATCTTCAAAGAATTGCGGCTGTTCAAGAAAAAACCCAAACACTCAGACTGTTTGATCTGCTTCGGGCAGACTTGCCACTCTCACCGCAAAGAAAGTGGACAAGATTTCTTGCCCCACGTTCACACCGGGCGGAGGGTTCGAAAAACGCTGAACATTGTAAGCTTTTTCTCGCGCAAAATCGGGTACGACGACAAGTGCCCCGAGGCCCTCCGAAAGTATGTCGGCGCCTTGTTGAGTGTGGAGGTGATACCTGGGAAAAAAAAAAAGTCGCGTTGAATCAGGGGAAAGGGGTTATAGGGGAGCAATTAGGGGAGAGAGGGAACCAAATCGGTCAGGGATGCCTGTTGATCACAGGGTAGAAGCTTTGAGGGGAATCTTGATTCCTACCCGAAAATATCATAGCTTCCCGGAAACCGATCATCAGATACGTCTCGAATATGAAAGTCGACCATGACGAGCTTACACAAAGATGATTGCTCGGTTGGTATCAGCGGGGCCAACAATGTAGGCCTTTTCGAATGGTCCGTACGGCTTGTAGTCACCCTTTAAAGTGTAATCACTGATCGCAGGAGCAGGATCGGCACAGCACGCATGAGTGATGGTGGAAGGGATAGTGGGGTTAGCCTCAGATGAACTCATAGTACTCGCTGTGTTGCTGGGGTTTGGATGTAGCAGCTCGTTCTGGAGAGCAACCAGGCTTTTGGGTAATACAAAACTGGATCCGGGGTTGGGAGAAAATCGCCGTCGACACCTTTGTCAGCTTGACTACTTGAAAAACTCTGGAATATCTGGAGACTACATCGGCGAGCGGGCCAAACCCACGAACGCGATGAACCATCGAGGGCGCGCTCGCCAACTTGGGCGATCTGATTACGTAATTTCTTTGAAATTCCTTCGCCTTTTTGCGGGGTCAGGGCCCGGTTGGGTCCATTCGTCAACATAGAGAGCTGCGTTCCTTTGTAATTAGCTGATTTGGCAGCAATGTCTAGAGCATCATGCACCTAACCACTGCGCAGAACGTGTCCCCTATCTGCCACGGTCCCGGTCCTCCGATAACCCTCCAGTTTTTTGGCGACTTCCTTTTTTCAAATTGCAATAAAAATGCACTAGTCCCCAATTGTTTAATCGGCTCCCATGGATCTCACGTCAAGGCGAATCCCGAACCCCAAATCTCGCGGCTTTCTTTTGTTACCCGGCTGTGCACTTGACCGTTGTTGCCCTTCCTTTGATTGCGTCCGCCATGAGTGTACCAAGTAAGGAATTGCACTACATCACTGTTAAGCGAGATGACCAGTTCCATTTGCAGACTTCGCTGTATCTGAGCTGTTCTCTGTCAAGGGTCAGGTAGCCGTTGTTACCGGCGGTGCTACCGGGCTTGGTTACGCGATGGCGGCCGCCCTGGTCCAGAACGGTTGCAAGGTGTACATCTCTTCGCGGAAGGAGTCTCAGTTGAGAGAAGTAAAGCCTTTAAGAGATACTGTCTCGACTTTTGTGGGAACACTCACGACAGTCTATCTCGCGCGTACAAACAGGCTGCAGAGAAACTCAATAAACTCGGTCCAGGAACATGCTATTATTTTGCCACCAATCTACTGGTCAGTCACTGGTGAATGTCTGTGATGCCTCCATCAAGTAATTTTCTTCGGCTAGACAAAAGCTGGGTGCGAAGCGCTAGGGGATCACATCAAATCTCGAGAATCAAACGTTCATATCCTCATCAACAACTCCGGCGCCACTTGGGCAGGTCCATGGGACAATTTCCCCGAAAAAGGATGGGACAACATAATGGCTCTCAACGTGAAAGCCATCTTTTACGTTACCGCTTCCCTGACACCAGCCCTCATCAAGGACAAAACAGCACTTGCTCCCGGACGAGTAATTAATATTTCCTCCGTCGCCAGTTATGAAACCCAAGTGGAGGATTCTGTCCTGGCGCCCAAAGGAGTAGGGTTCTATTCATACGCCGTGAGCAAAGCGGCTGTGAACCATCTCACGAAGCTCCAGGCCGTAAAACTGGCACCGCATCACGTCACCGCGAACGCCATACTGCCAGGGATGTTTCCTACGAAAATGACGGATTATTCATTCTCTCAGAATTCTGATGCTCTCACGCAAAGCCAACCAACAGGTTAGTTGGCAAAATTGGGGAATGAATGACTTCAAAGGATCCGTCCGACCTACCTAATTTTGACATCTACTTATTAGGACGAGCGGGAATTCCCCAGGACATTGCTGGCACACTACTGTATCTCGTCAGTCCAGCATCAGCGCACACCACTGGAGCGCTTGTTCCCCTTGATGGAGGAAAACAGGTTTCCGGGATAGTGTTCTCGGCTAGAGAGAACGTTCCAACGAAGCTTTGAGCAACGTGTATATTGCATTTCATCTAGACCGTGGTCCCTTGTTGGACACGCCTTTTCCTGCCCTCGCTTGGGTGATTAACTTGTTTCGGCGCTTCATCCCGTCGCATCACAGAAAGGAGATGGGTTCGATGGTAGATCACTGTATTACTCTTTGATCCCCACGGAAAATGAAACGTGTCCTTCTACCCGATTCTGAAGAAAAATATTCTTCTCCCGGCCCCGATCAACAAGCGACGGTCTACACCTGTGCACCCTCTGGGGTAGCAGCGGGAGTCGTTTGTACGATCTCATGATTCCCATCCAATGCATGAGCGTGAAAGGCATTGCAATTTACATGTAGAACCGTAGGTGCAACGACGGACGCCCCGACCTCGATGCTTCACACGCCGTTCCTTCAACCTGTTCTTCATCCCTCAGGCTTATCGCCCCTTGCACCAAATCTCACTCGCTTCTGGTTCCCCATGGGGCTCCATCCCTCATGTCATTGTACGTGTGGTCGGTCGAGTTCATTGTGTTTATTGTCTTTTGTATTCCACATTTAGTATCGACGCCGTGATCGATCATCGGCCTGATGCCTATTCTGTACCTCAATGACTACTGGAGAGTAAAATCCTTCGTTTTCGGTCTCATGGTTGGGCTCACTGAACGAAGCGTGTTTCGACATATCTGAATTAGGAGCAATCTAGTTTGTCCAATCTTCAGTCGTATTGCACAAATGATGGCCCTGAAGGTGTGGATGTAGCTGGAGCAAGACGAAATTGGAAGTATTGATCGATGATACCAAATTCTCAGCTAGCCCTCGCCACCTTCAAGATTGTCGAGCCTAATAGAGTCGGTAGTTGAGCCACGCGGAGAGATCCCAGGCCGGTGGCCCGGTTGTGGAGGATTTATGTGCGATTCGGAAGGCAGAGGTATGCAATTTGATTGTTTTCCGAGTGCGGCGATGTGACTGTCCCAGATATGTTCCTGGGTTTCCAAGGCCCATGTGCGCATCCCCGGATGCCTTGTTCTGTCCTCGAACGTTGTGAGGAACCTGATCTGCCAGTGCTCAACGTTTTCCTTCACTTGGTGTCTTTCCTGGCGGTGTAAGGTCTGCCGCACTCGCAGGCTTCTACGGAAGCGGCTCGTAGGGTCTGCGTGCGTGATATCTGTAAGATAATCTCGGGGGAAAGGGCTTTTTTTGAGAGGAATGTGGTACTGTTCAAGGGAGGTATTCACGGGTTCTCTTCGGATTTTGGGAATGCCGGGATGAGTGAAGACGTAGACCGCACTTCCAAAGTTCGAAGAGAAATGGGAGACAGGAGTTTTGTATGGGCAATCGGTGACGATCGCAGGTAAGATCATTGATATCACGTAGCCTGTCACCATGATTGCAGTACAAACAAGGAGAAATTTTGCCGTGAGTTCATCCAGCTTCCAGAGATGAACGATGAGCCCTCCGGCGAACAGCACCAAAGCGGTGTGCAGAACAATAGGAAGTATTCCAAGGATATGGGGAACTGTCCATTCTTCCAGCCCTTGAGGCTGATATGCAACGAGAGCTGCCTGATATTTGATCTCCTTCAGCAAATCCTGATCAAGGGACTTGGAACTCATTTCCGGCGTCTTATATTCTTCTAGCCATTGTTTGGCCAGCATTAAGACGACGGCAGAGCCAAGTGTAAGGGCTAGGGAAATGTACCATAATCGGTTCACGGTAATAGTGGTGGATGTTGGCCGAAATCGTCCTCTCGCAATGCCAACTTGGGAGTCGACGCCCCCTGAAGTGCCATTAGCGAGTAGCATGGCTATCTGAGCAAGCAAGTCCACCGTTGCGTCGGCCTTCAAGTCCTTGGACGATTCGATAAGAAATGCAGATAGGATGGCAGCAAACAGTGTGGCCTAGATAGCGGTGTGAAGGGTGTGTCCTAGGGTATTCGCGAATGATTCACGTACAAAAAGCATGAGTACATCTAGTGCACTTTGCCAGCCACTGATAACGTCTCTGTCGTGATCTATGAATTCATTGACGGCTTCCTGCCACTTCACTTCATCTTCTTGTAAGGAGCGCGGCTTTGGTATACTACTAGTGCACTTGGATGCCAGTTGGCCGTGGGCCCACACTAGCACAGGAATAGGGCTGCCATCACCATACTAGGCGTAAACATGGAAGAATGCTTACTTGAGAGTTAGTGCTCATATTAGGCGAGCAGAGGTTGCCACTCTATTCTAATGGAGTTCGGCAACTGTTCTGATGACTAGCCCGATCGATATGGACGTAGCGCTTCAGCGACTACACTCGGACAATAACGAGACAAAAGGTAAGACTAAAAGCTATTGTATTTTATAGTACATCGGGGCTATGCCGCAGATTAGGGGGACGCACAGACGCGTCACGCGCGTCATGTGTTGCCGAACCCTGCCAAACTCACCACAAGGCTGTTAGCTTGTGTAAACTTCAAACCGTCGAAAGTGAGAATTGCTCATTCCGCGGGCCATCTGGTGGGTGGCACTACTGGTGAAACCCGCTCACAATCATGTTTACGACGTTTAATTCGAAGCTGCGACTGGCTCTCAGACACAAGAAATCCCGTACCAACAACTTCCTCACGACGCCACCAATGTCGCATCTGTGCAGAATCCCAGCCACCAGCACATTCTTGCTAGCCATTCACGTGCTCAGCAACTCTTGCGGGGGATTTTGTTCAATGGCCAATTTGGAGCTGAGGCATGGCTTAAAAGCCAACCTCGTTGGTCCGCAAACAGAAAATACACGCATACTATGTTAACAAAACTCCGGGGTGCAGTTGTTTGGTAAGGGTGTCCATATCTGTCAGCGAGCGCCGTTCCCGCGTCAGCCGCGCTATTAGATCCGGGCGCACGAGTGCAGGGCGTTGTGAGGGTACTACCATTTGACGCTGCTGCCGGATATGATCCTAGTTTCTCTGGGCCCATTCGCGCAACTTTGGGTGTCTCGTCATATCCTTGAACAATGTGAGCAGCCCCTCCTGCCAATACCCTTCGCGTCTTTCCTTGTGATACGAGGTCTGACCCACCCACATATGCTCTGTTCACCAAGGACATCTCTGAGGCAATATCGATGAAAGGCCGCTTTGTTGAGGGCCTAAGGGCGGAATTCTTCGCCTCTCTAGCTCTCACGGAAATTGCGGGAATGTCGCGAGGAGGAATAAGGAACCTTCGGAGTTTGAAATGAGATGAGATATGGGAGTTTTGTATGGGCAGTCTGATAAGGACCACGGGCGCAAATAGTGACGCTGTGGAGGCCAGGAGAGCACAAGGACAACCCGATCCAAAAGGCCACAGGCTGAGCCGCGAGAGTGGTCTAAAAGCGATTGGGAGTTGGCGGTCGATATCTGACAGTTCAGTAGCGACAGGCAGAACCGAGAAGTTGATCTGGCCCCCCAATATCAGGATCTAACTGATTCAGTGCAAAGACTGACACATGTGAACATGAGCGAGTGCAGAGGCTTGGAGACAACAGTGTCGCACGAAGAATGGAGCAGAGAAAGCATTGAGCGTCCATACGTTGCCTCCCAATCAACATCGTGAGAGTATTGTCCAACGACGCAACCGGAACCCCCCGGTTGAATTCGACTTGTCACTCCCGATTTAGTTTGCTATCCCACGAATGTCGCCTGGACTGCTCTCAACCAGTTACGCATTATCATTCCTTCCAACACATTCAATGAAATGCGATGGTGAATGGGTGACCGGAAGCGCACCTAAGTGACTCTAGCCATCGCATCGCGCACAGGGGAACCAAATGGTATGATCTGATCGAAAACCGAGACCCATAAACTTGAACGGATCATGGATCATGGGTGTAATCATAGTTGGGTGGTGCATGTAGTTCGACCGATCTCTAATGCGGGAGCCCAGTAATGAACTTTGTACATCCCTTCCCACTCTCCTCTTTGTGAATTCGGGCCGCTTTTAGGCCCGACGAAAAATCAAGGGGATATGCTATAATCGATTCAACAGGCTACATCACACCACTCGCCTGTTAGAATGCAGGCATATATTTGCTGGACTGAGCCGTTTCTGTTTCATGCGGAAGTAAAAGACCTAAAGCGGAGTTAAATAGCATGTTGTCAAAACAATGAGCTCGTCCAGTATCCGGTTCGAGACTCTATAATGCCGTCTTCTATGCATTTGTCATCATCGAAATGGTGAGGACGAAAACTAAATTCAAAAGCAAAACATACTGTCTTAAGGAGAAGTGTGGGATTTCACCGAGGAATACATTCGAAGTCGGCTGGACTGGATTTTTGGTCTCGGCATCTGGGTCTCAGTCACATCTGTCATGAAAATCCTGTCCTTTGTTTGCTTCACGCAGCTTTCGTGCGCTCTGAAACGATAAACAAAAACAAACAGAACACGCCTGGTTTCGTGCATAAATTGAGGAGTCCTTGAGAGGGACCTTCTCTTTTCCCCCCAGGGAATCACAGCCCTCCCATGGAATATACCCCTCTGCGTGGATACCCTCCGCGTGGAATATACCCCTCCCATGGAATATACCCCTTCGCGTGGATGCCCTCCGCACGAAATATACCCTTCCTATGGAATATACCCCTCTGCGTGGATACCCTCCGCGTAGAATATACCCCTCCTATGGAATATACCCGGCCTAACTGTCCCCACTTGGCCACTCCCTGATCTCTCTCCCGAAATAGACGGCCCCACTGTGTTCAGCGGCCACTCTCTTCCGTTATAAGTTTCTTTTTTACTCTGACCTTGTCACTCGTTTATCTCTCCCGCTATAAGCATCCTGACATTCTCGCCTTCCCACTCCCTAATATCTCTCTCGAAATAGACGGCCCCACTGTGTTCAGCGGCCACTCTCTTCCGCTATAAGTTTCTGTTCTACACTGACCTTGTCACTCATTTATCTCTCCCGCTAGCATCCTGACTACTCTCACGTTCCCATTCCCTTATTTCTCTCCCGAAATGGACGGCCCCACTGCATTCAGCGGCCACTCTCTCCCGCTTCCTCACTGGCTCCTACTTTCTCTCCTCTACTTGAAAATATGCCGACCGATGGAAACGCGATTTCGGCTGTATACCCTATGCATTCCTCTATGTCTTCCAAACTCTATGCCACTCTATGCCACTCTATGCCACCCTATGCCACCCTATGCCACCCTATGCCACCCTATGCCACTCTCTTTACTCCTTCCAAATATGCCGAACGACCAAATGGGTTTTCGGCTGTATCCTATGTGTTTCTCTCCCTAAATATGCCGGACGACCAAATGAGTTTTCGGCTGTATCCTATGTGTTCCTCTCCCTAATGCCGGCCAATTGAAATGCGCTGCCGGCTGTATGTTTCCCTTTCCTTAAATATGCCGACCAAAATGCGTCGTCGGCTGTATCTTCTCTTTCTCCTCCTGCTTTCCCCCTCCCCCAGAGATCATCCCGTGCCTAAATATGCACCACATCAGAGTGCTGTATGCCGTATGCCTCTGTGCCAGGCCATGCCCCGCAAAATATGCGTCACATCAGAGCGCTGTATAACGCGATGTGCATGTTCTGGATCCCCAATGCCGAACGTCATGCCCTGCGGCGAAATATGCACCACATCAGAGTGCTGTATGTCGTCAGGAGTATGGCCTAGGCTGGAAGGGATTGGATCGGGGAATGCAGTTCCCTTTTAAATTTCCTTCCTCTTTCTTCCTCTTTTGCTTTTTTAAAATTTGGGCCGCCCTTGGTCCTGCCGGGGACTTGTGCTTAGTTTCATACGAGCTCTTCCGAAACCCAAAGCGGGTCGGGGGAGCGGCTAGGTACATAGCTCTGGCTCTTCCGGGACGGTCGCAAGGTGCGTGGTTTCCTTTTCTCTCTTTCTTTTTCTCTGTTTCCTCCCTTCCTTCCGTGGGACTACTGACAGTTTTGCCTTTCACAGCAAACCACGCCCGCTGCTAATATTTATTTTGTCATTTTGTTCTCTAGGGATCTTCCATCTCCTTGTGCGCCTCTGCCGCATGTAATCAATAACCTCGACGGTAAGTATTTTCGCCTCTTATTCCTTTAGGCGTATTACTAACCACAGCTTCTTCCGTTTTTATTTTATTTTGGGTTCACAGACCACTACTCTCGGTGGTAAGTATGCGCGCACCCTACCCGTCTAGGCTTATTACTAACCACATCTTCTTCCATTTTTAGGTCTACGGGCCACTTACTCATGACGGTAAGTATTTCCACACCCTACTCGTTTAGGCTCATTACTAACCACATCTCCTTCCATTCGTTACGCACCACTACCTCCCCTCAACGATAAGCGCTTTTATTATATATCCGATGTCGCTGACCCCAACCAAGTATGCGCACTCCTTACCCTTCCTCTTCCATTTTTAAGGTCTACAGACAACTTCTCTCGACGGTAAGTATGCCCATTCCTTTAGGCTTATTACTAACCACATCTCTTAGGTCTACGGACCACTACCTCCCCTCAACGATAAGCGCTCCTCTTGTCCGATGTCACTGACCCCAGTTCATTAGGATTTCACCCCACTCTCACCATTCACGACAAAAAGCACCGTTCTCATATCCCCCATGTCAAACTAACCAACCTTCTTGTAACACAGGCCGAGGCTCTCATGGTCTGGCGTCCAATGCAGGTCATCCTCTGTTGCAGCCCATTCTCATGATCCGATGCTCTAATATAAACGCCGGATACGACATGGGCTTCGTTCAAGTGTCTGTGCGATTTCAGGACCCATGGATCCCATCGAGGCACTCTTCGTACATAATCATTGCGATCCCCCTCAAGTGGCGCGATGGTGCGAGGAATGCGGATTCTGTTGGGTGGATCTGGGAGCTGATTCTTGGGACAGTTCCTGGCCTGGAGTACGGACACCTTGGAGCGGTTAGGATGGCATGACATTAGCGCGACAGCATGGGGTTTCCCTGATTTTGAAACAAATGTATATATAACACTTCAATACAGTGGTTGGGGCTTGTACGTGCCTCGGTCATCGCCGTGCTGTGCCCCGGCCTTGCTCATTCCTTTGCTGTCACCTTTAGAAACGAAGGGAGATCAGTTGCAACGTGTGATTCCGGAAGGGAGTTCGGGGTTGTACCTTGACATTCATCTCAATAACGCGACATGAAATGAGTCAGTCGATTGCGATATGATTGCGTCGCATGGTTAATCCGTACCTCCTGTTTGGATACATCTGCATAGCCGAGTGTCGTCACCGATGCCAAGTGCGTTCCCCAGCGTGTTGCTTCGCCGTAAACGGGGATCAACTTTCCAGTGAACAGAGAGCATACGCGAGTGGGGGACTGCTTTCTTTAGCCGGGTTACAGCCTCTATTGGAATAGATGGCTTCCTGGGGTTGTGACCTGCGCCTGTACATTACATGTATGTTGAGAAGTCCCAATGCTTGGCCAACGATCCTACGCGTTAGACGCGATATAAGGCACCAGATGAACTATAACGAGGCCTTGATTCAACCTCTGGCTCATTCAACTGCTCCGTGGTTGAGATTAAGCTTGGTGGCGTCGTCAAGGGGCCAATAAAGTCGCGTCGTAGTTTCCATTCAGGTCACTTTTCAATAGTCCTTAATGGTGGGATCCACCGTCCTGTAAGACGCAAGATGATTTACCTCCTCTAGTTATGCAGAGACTTCTCGCTCGATGTTTGGTTCAGTGATTCACAGGTAGGGATCACCCATACGCATCGGAGTAATTTGTTGTGTAGAAGTGACATGACGCATAGAGTCGAGTTGGAATCATCGATGGAGTGGAGAGAGATAGCCACGGTTCGGAATCGTCGAGGGATGGCCTTGGGAATCTAGTACAAGCGTGTTCGAGACCCGAAATGAGATCCGGCTGACTCATGCCAATCGTGGTGGCTTTCGTTGCGATCCTGAGTCGACGACGGGTTGGCGGCACGGGTTCGGGGAGCCTGCAAGGAAGTCGATAGCGGCCCAGGCCATGCTCGGGGCCAGGGCGCTTCGGTTTGGAGTGTGGAGAGGTATGTCGGGCTTTTGCGGCGCAACTCAACTACAAGCGTGCATGATTCAACATCACTAAACAACAAACGCCCACTTCCCGTTCGCGTCGAGCGCTCGCGGGTCGCTGATTGCGTTCCAATGACTCTGGTTACGAATTTAGCGCCCACCTTCTTCGGTTGTAATGATTCCTGATGAGCAAGCATTAAACCGCATTCCCATACATTGGTTCCTCAGAAAGCTGGCAAATATTCATTCGGATCCCCTTGGTACGGTTGCCCAGCAGGGCCAGGTTGAACTTTCGCATTGTGGCCACAATGCGAAAGTTCAACCTGGCAACCGTAAACAGTCACTACTGCTGTGCAGTGTGATGCTGGGGACCTTATCCACCTTTAAGGTGCTATCTAGTTGGCCCCTAATCAGGGGGGAAAGGAAATTGGTTGCAGAGAACGATTTTAGCCGGACTTGAAAAAAAGTATGTATACTTGTCCAGGGCCCGTTTTTTTTATCAACGTCCGCGACGCCGGCGCCCGGCCATTTGCCGGCATCCTACTAGTAGAGCTCGTGAAAGCTCATTGCTGCGCTCCTGGACCCGGATGGATGACGTACGTCGCGAACGCGTGCCTAGCACCGCTTATCGCCGGCTATCTGTACGAAGCCAACGCCGCAACCAGTGCCTCAGTTTGACGCCCCATAGTCTTCTCATTCCTAGTCACATTCATCCTGCTTCCAGTTCCAGGCAGCGCTGTAATACTGGCTCTCGTGCAGTAGACTTACAGTAACGTCATCCTCCGCACCAATTGCCTAACTAGTCTGGGTCATGTCACCGCTATAATTCGCCACTGATAGCACTGGATCAGAGGTCTGTATGGCGTCGACCAAATAGTCAATGCATATATCATATCTTTCCGCAACCTTCCATAATCAGACGGACGCCTCGTGGCTCTAGCTTCTCTTTAGGAGCTTATACGTGCGTTGCGCGCCCAAAGCTCTCTTTCCTCCATCCACTCGTCCGCTATCAACCATGTCAAAGGCTGAAGCTCTCAGGCAAACGATCGATAGTCTCCTCGTGGCGGGAGTTGACATGGCGGTCCCAATTCTCAGGGTCGTCAATGCTACCGCTGATTGGTGCCCCCCTCTAAAGATGGCGGCTGGCGCTTGCACTCTCCATCTTCGACGAGGCTAAAGTTGGTAATGATTCAAGCTTGACCACCAATGGAAGCTCACGCTAGTTTGCGCTACGTAGAAGACAAGGATCAATGGGTTGGTTTGGCAAATACGTAGCTAGCTACGGCCAAGGTGGTTTCAGCCATAAAGTCTTATGACGTGTCAGCAGGGGAGGCAGGGTCATGGGTGGAAGGTGTCGCGGAGCCTGGGAGGTGCGTTGTATTGGTTTTGGTGGTTTCCGACATCATACTTACGTCCAGTACCAGCGCGCTACAGGAGATTCAGTCTAAAATCAAACGAAGACTTACAAGAGTAGAGGAACGGTCAGCTGTAACGAATGTATGGTCCTACTATCGAGACCCTGGAAGAATTGAGGGCCTAAAGAAAGATTTTGACAAAGCATTGGCATCGTTTCAGGTAGCTTTCCTCACAGCATTGTTCCATAATCATTCTGATTTTCGTCCGGTGCAGCTTAGGACGAATTTAACAATTGGTGTCAAATTATCGACTATAGAGGACAGCTTAGACCGTCTGGAGGGTGCGATTGGCGTCAAATTATCGACCATGGAGGACAGCTTGGACCGTCTCAAAATGAACGGCCCCACTGCGTTCAGCGGCCACTCTCTCCCGCTTCCTCACTGGCTCCTGCTCTCTCTCCTTTACTTGAAAATATGCCGACCGATGGAACGGCTGTATACCCTATGAATGAAATGCTTTTTCGGCTGTATACTCTATGTGTAAGGTTGTTGTAGTGCATTTGAGAATAATGCCTCACACTCCTAGTCCATCAAGTGATATGCTTTAATAGGCAGTATTATCAATGGGGGGAGTAAAGGCTGGAAAGCCTTAACTCGCCTGCATGCAAGTTTATATATAAGGGGGGGAGAGCACATGCAGCCTATGTGGCTTGCAGGGTCTCCAAGTATATACATATGTAGTGGTGTGTGCAAAGTTACAAGATGATTATGATAAAGTATGTTACAAGTGATGACAAGTGAGAGCAAAGTAAAATGAGTTAGGAGGGGATGCATATGCCCCCTTTCTGTACACTAGGCCTCTATGCCTCTCTATGCCTCTAGCCTTGCCTTTCAAATATGCCGACCGACGAAATGCGTTTCCAGCTGTGTGTCAGGGACAGCTGGAAGTGCATAAATCGGCCATGCATAGTGGTATAGTGGCAGGCCCGGTGCAGAGTAGGCATCCCTGGCCACTCAGTCTGAAGTGGGATGGGTGAGAAGAAGACTGCTTCTTCAGTTCCCACTTCGGCTGTGCTTATATACATGCAGCTGAGGTCACGTGAACGGTGTCACGTCACAGCCGCACCTCTCCGGGTGTCTCCATGGGAGATCCCGAGGGTGTCCGCTGCAGGCGTGGGGTGGATGTACAGGATGGTTGTGCAGTGTGTCTGGAGCTGGGCATATTGCATGCACTCCGCAGGCAGGTCAGCAATACATTGATACAAGGAAAGAAAGGGGGAAAGGAAGAGAGGGGAGGAGGGATAGCAGGGCACAGGGTGGAGCGGAGTAGAGTCGGGCGGAACAGGGTCGGATGGGGTGGCCCTGACACTGTATCCGATGTTTTTCTCTCCTGGCCAATCGAAATGCGTTGCCGGCTGTATCTTATGTTTCAATATGCCGAACAATCGAAATACGTTGTATCTCCTTCCATTTGTTAGGTCTACAGACTTGACCCCAATCAAGTATGCGCACTCCTTACCCTTCCTCTTCCATTTTTAAGGTCTACGGACCACTTCTCTCGATGGTAAGTATGCGCATTCCTTTATTACTAACCACAGCTTCCTGGTCTATGGGTTACTTGTTCTCGACGGTAAGTATTTCCACACCATACTTGTTTGCATCCAATGCAGGTCATGTTGGAATATCAACAATCGGTTCTGACGACGGAGTGGCGAGGACGGGGTTGATTGTTGGTGGCGAAAGCGAGGTTTGGGGGATTGTTTCTTACACCCCCGTTATTCTCTTTATGCGACGGACACGCCACTCGTGTAGCTCGCGTATAAGAAGGGAGCTTTTTGGTCTCCCCCTCCCTCAGACTTCTACTACGAGTCTGAGGTGAGATTGGTTTTATTATTCTTTACAAAAACTGTCTAACTGTTGGCGCAGATACTTACGCGCCATAGCCTTATATTTAAAAGGTCATCCTCTGTTGCAGCCCATTCTCATGATCCGATGCTCTAATATAAACGTCGGATACGACATGGGCTTCGTTCAAGTGTCTGTACGATTTCAGGACCCATGGATCCCATCGAGGCACTCTTCGTACATAACCATTGCGATCCGTCTCAAGTGACGCGATGGTGCGAGGAATGCGGATACTGTCGGGTGGATCTGGGAGCTGATTCTTGGGACAGTTCCTGGCCTGGAGTACGGACACCTTGAAGCGGTTAGGATGTCATGACATTAGCGCGACAGCATGGGGTTTCCCTGATTTTGAAACAAATGTATATATAACGCTTCAATACAATGGTCGGTTATCGCCGTGCTGTGAGATGTTCATCCTCATTCCTTTGCTGTCACCTTTAGAGGAGGGAGATCAGTTGCAACGTGTGATTCCGGAATAAGCTTGATATGAAGGTTCGGGTTGTACCTGACACTCATCTGAATAACGCGATACAGAATGGTTTAGGGCCGGGCACGGGCACCAGTCAGTCAATCGCGATATAATTGCGGCGCATGGTTAATTGGGAGAATCTCGCGTACCTCCTGTTTGGATACCGCACTAAATTCATCTAGCTAGGTTCCAGAATTAAGCAATGTACGGTCTGAAGCAGGGCGGCCGGGAGTGGTATCATTGCCTAAATAACTTCTTCACAGATTCCCTTGGTTTCAAGAAGACCCTTGCGGATCGTTCAATCTATGTCTACGACGCTGATGGTTCCACGGTCATTATCCCCCTGTATGTTGACAACCTCCTGATCCGTTATGATGAGGACACATGGACCGTATTGAGTCGCAACTGGAGGCGCGCTTCAAAATGGTGGATGCTGGCCCCGCCTCGTGGGTGCTGGTTACTAATGATCCCGTGAAAGGTCGCGTTACGCTAGACCAACCACAGTACCCTCCCAGGCCCTTGAGAAGTTTGGCAAGGTGGGTTGCAAGCCAGCATTCACACCGCTCCCCGAGAGACTAAGCCTTGTTGCCCGCCACGGATGAAGAGGTAGCAGCTGTCAAACACTACCCTTATCTCTCGGTTATTGGCTCTCTCATGTGCGCCATACTGGGCACCCGCACTGACATCGCATATGTCGTCAGCACGCTCACGTTTCGCCTCACGCCCAGGAATTAAGCACATCCGTCCAAGCACTAAAACATTTGTTCCGTTACCTTGGCAGGGGCACGACCGACTTATGGCATCGTCTATCCGCGAATGGTGGCAACCTCCTTGGCTACGAATCTGAACCGCCCGATCCGGACTCGGTAGTTGGTCACTCCGACTCGGATTACGCCATGGATCCTACCACAAGACGCTCCGTCTCCAGCTCTATTTTCTTACTCGCAGGTGGCCCCAGCTCTTGGAGCCCCAAGCTGCAGCCATCCGTGTCCCAGTCCTCCACTGAGGCGGAGTATGTGACCTCTGCCGAGGCCGCCAAGGAGGCCATCTGACTTCGGCAGCTTATGTGCGATTTAAAACAGGACGTGACCGAGCCTACCACACTCTTCATCAACAACCGTGGCGCAGAAATGTTGGTGAAGAGTCCAGTTCATCATTCGAGTACAACACATGTCGATGTCCTGCACCATTTCATCCGGGAATGCAACATGTCTTCCTTTGTCATCATTTCCTATATACAACGCGTCTGACTCTACGGCTCCTCGTCCAGCTAATTGACGAGTCGTAGTTGTCGTAATTCCATATAACCTACTCCTCCGAAACGTACAGATCCTGAACCTCCCCAGAGTACAGGGCGTTTGGGAACCGAGCCCACACTGGGGAGCCGTGCAATTCCGACTAATTCATCTAATCCTTGCACCCCTTTCTCCATCTGGCAGGTCATCGTTGATCAGGCGATGCAGAGCTTGTTGATGGCTGGCAGAGATCCATGGATGTTCTCCTCATCTACGAAGGTAACGACGGCAGGCAAACAGTGGTGCTATTGCTATTGCGCGAAACCTGAACAATACATCGTCTGCTTATTTCCCATTAGAATCGTGGGGACCCACTCCTACTAAGTTGCTGCTCATTAATTTTCTCCTACCTTGGCACTTGGATCCGCAATTGGCGCTATGGTTGCTAAACAATGGTTGTTTGAGGTACATGACAGACTTGACATTTGAGTTCCGGAAACAGGACTCGCCGGAACGATACCAGCGAGAGGCTCGACTTCATAAATTCCGCTACAACGGACTTACGAAGTGGTATGTGCCAGAGATCATCGCTCATTGCGTTGCGAATTGCCTTGCTGCTCTTCTGGGTGAAGCTTATTCATTATCTGTGTGTGACCTTGACCTCTACACATCCATCCTAGTCCTTGCCATCACCGGGGCCTTCTTCATATTCTACTTACGCTGGATCCACGATTTTTCCTTCTATATTCAGGTATCCCTATAAACCCCCTATCTCTCATCTCATTCCAACACAAATCGATTTGAACAACTTCAAGGAGCGCAGCAGCGGCCGCACAGCCCGCAGTAGACACTGCCGAAAGGACATACCGCAGCAGATGGAAGGAGTAGGAACGACAGAGGGGTCGTTGCCATTAATGATCTTGGAATGATGGCAATGTAACAACATGGGAGAATTACGTTCTTTCGCAGCGCATTCCTTTACTGGTGAGGCCTTTACTGGTGAGGGATTATGGATGTGTTCAATTATTGTCTTAGAACAACCAACACGGTTCTAGTTTAATCTTAATTAGATATAGACACTTTGAGCCATTACGTCAATTGAAGGGCATGGCGGATTCTTCACTGGATGATATCGCATAATAAGATAACGATGGGTATTGGGTAATTGGGACTGATCGTGAACCGTTTACGGAATCAAGAGGCTGCGGATGATGCGGATTGGAAAATAGTCCGACAGCCATAAGTGAACTATGAATGTGTAATTAACCGCCGGATAATTTCAATAGACCTATCTTAAGCTCTTGAGGGTTTGACCTGTACCGTGGGCTGTTGTTCACTCTGCTGCTGTGTACTTACTTGCATCAGGATCGCTGCCCTTTGTTCCGGATCTCATGGAAACGATCCTCACAGAACCACACAAAAACATCTGAATTCGACAGTGTCACAGTGTTCGACTGAAAACCAGCCACCCCAGTAAGTATTCATGGTATCGCCCCTTTTTCATGCCCCTATTAACTATGGAAGCGTTAGTGGACACCCCATCAGCGATCCCTGTGCCGATAGGGAATTCATGACTAACTGGCATTCAAGCGCGGCCACTAGTCTTGATGCAGTTTTCCATATAAAAAGAATCGAATTGGAAAGAGCCATAAAATGTGTAAATCACGACAGAAACCTTATCAATGGCTGATGAGGACGATCATCCTTTTGGAACTTGCAAAAAATGTTTGTAAGTACTTACGACACACTGTTCGTTTAACCGAATTTATCGTTACGGCCGTGTCATTTCGAAGATGCAAACGGATCCAAAGATAATCAAGGATCCGCCTAATTAAGCATGCATTCTCGAGGATTTAAAGAGCGGGGCAGTGTCTAGGTGGTTGTACAGTCCGAGTTCTCCTTTCCCTCCGTCAGCGTACGTCTGACTATTTCAACATCTTCTCCTTGCCATGAGCGCTTCCAAGCACTCCGAAAATGATTCACGACAGGGCCCGCAAACGATGTCAAGGAGCTTCTTGAACGAGGTCAACCGAGCGTACGAGTTCTGCACTGGATAGTGTTGCTGATCTAGTCCTGAATTTGGGGTGCGATGCAGGAAGATATAGAGAACCGGTACACAACTCTCGCGCAGACCAGGGCTGCAACATCAGAGGGGCCAATATACTTGAACCCTAAATATCGATCGGAGTCGCCAGTACGCAGCTCATTCCCTGTTGGTGCAGTCTACTTATGAGACTTATTTTTCAATTAGGCTTCGTTTCGAGGGAGTGATGGACACCGTATGCCCGTCATCCCTCATGCTGGCCTCACCGAACCCACTCCAATACGTGCACATCCTGAGCTCCCCCAAGTGCGACCCACTGAGACGGATCCAAGACATTTGGAAAGTGGGACGACGCTGGGGGGGAGTCATGCGGCTCCGAATTCATCTAATCCTTCCGACCCCTCCTCTATCTGGCAGACCGTCGTTGAGCGTGCTACCTCCCACGATAACCAGTTGGTCAAGGACTGGCAGAAATCCATGAATGTCCTCCTTATCTTCGTAAGGCCGTCTTTCTCTCTTTTGTTGAATGGTTGTCGATGTGGTTTCATAGGCTGCATTGTTCGCAGGCATCCTCACAGCCTTCTTGATCGAATCTACCAAGCGGTTGGAGGGGAATTATTCGGAAAAAACGGTGGTATTGTTGCGGCAGATTGCGCAAAACCTAAACAATACCTTACCTACTTATGTCCCACCAGAACCGCGGAGATCCACATCTACTCTGCTTCTTATCAACCGTCTATGGTTCTCTTCTCTTTCCTTGACCCTTGGATCTGCAGTCGGTGCTATGGTCGTTAAACAATGGTTATATGAGTACAGGAAGGATTTAAAATTTCAGTTCCGGGACCATACATCGCGGGGACGGTACCAACGGGGGGCTCGCCTTCGTGAATTCCGCTACAATGGGCTTTTGAGGTGGTATGTGCCAGAGATCATTGGGTTCTTTCCCATTGCGCTACACGCTGCTTTACTGCTCTTCTGGGTGGGACTCGTCCATTATTTGTGGGAACTTGACCTCTATACATCCATCCTCGTCCTTGTCACCGCTGGGACTGCCCTTGTGGCCTACATTATATCCATGATCCTTCCTTCTATATTCACAGGATGTCCCTATAAGACGCCCATCTCACACCTTATTTCCAACACAAATCGTGCAATTTGGATCATACTCAATCGCTGGCCCAAACCCGAACCTACCGATCTAAGCGAGGAAAAGAAGATAAAGGCTCGGTTCCGGGATGCCATTCGTGTTCACCGAGTTCTATGGGAAGATGAGAAGGAGGTGGTGGAACGCCACGCACCCGATTTGGCCAAGAAATGCCTTGAACGCCTGAGAGCATCTACGATGAGCGAAGCAATTGTCGCCCTGGTCACGGAAGAACTTCAGAGACTCTCACACACCACACCACACCATCCCATATCTATTCCTCAGCATGCCACCTACAATATCACTTCAGGTACCCAACCTTAGGAAAATTCAGTGGTAGTGGGAATGGGAGCGCGGACGCATTGATACCCAACAGGTATTGATCTTGGAATAGTAACGACTTAGGGATATAGGGATAACTGCCGTGAACGGTGACCTTGGGACCTTCTTTTCTGTTGAAGGCCAGGGTCGCGTTCCGTTATTGTTTGATCTCCAGCTCCCCAACTCACAGTGTAGTTCCGACACTTCATATAGTCACTCTGAGCTACCGCGTCTCGGGTTTGGAATCAATATCGCTGCCCACACTAGCACAGGAACAGGGCTGCTATCACCATACTAGGCGTAAACATGGAAGAATGCTTACTTGAGAGTTAGCGCTCATATCAGGCGAGCAGAGGTTGCCACTCTATTCCAATGGAGTTCGGCACATGGACGTAGCGCTTCAGCGGCTACACTCGAACAATAACAAAAGGTACTATATTTTATAGCACATCGGAGCTATGCTGCAGATCAGGGGGACGCACAGACGCATCAAAGAGGCGGTGTCTGCGCCTCAGCGCAGCGCGAGGGTGTTACCGAACCCTGCCAAACTCGCCACAAGGCTGCTAGCTCGCGTAAACTGCAAACTGTCCGAAGTGAGAATTGCTCATTCCGCGGGCCATCCGGTGGGTGGCACTACTGGTGAAACCCACTCACAATCATGTTTACGACGTTTAATTCGGAGCTGCGACTGGTTCTCAGACACAAGGAATCCCGTACCAACAACTTCCTCACGACGCCACCAATGTCGCATCTGTGCAGAACCCCAGCCACCAGCACATTCTCGCTGCCACTCATATGCTCAGTAACTCTTGTGGGGGATTTCGTTTATTTGCGTCGAATGGCCAATTTGGAGCCAAGGCATGACTTAAAAAAGCCAACCTCGTTGGTCCGCAAACAGAAAACACACGCATACTATGTTAACGAAACTCTGGGGTGCAGTTGTTTGGTAAGGGTGTCCATATCTGTCAGCGGGCGCCGTGACCGCACCAGCCATGCTATTAGACCCGGGCACACGAGTGCAGCGCGTTGTCGGGGTACTTCCATTTGACGCTGCTGCCGGATATGATCCTAGGTTCTCTAGGCCCGTTCGCGCAACGTTGAGTGTCTCGTCATATCATTGAGCAGCTCCTCCTCCAATACCCTTCGCGTCATTCCTTGTGATACAAGGTCTGACCCCCCACGTATGCTCTGTTCACCATGCAGGACATTTAATATCGATAGAAGGCGGCTTTGTTGAGGGCTTTGAGTTGCCTAAGGGCGGAATTCGTGGCATCTCTAGCTCTCACGGAAATTGTGGGAATGTCGCGAGGAGGAATAAGGAACCTTCGGAGTTTGAAATGAGATGAGATATGAGAGTTTTGTATGGCGGTTTGATAAGGACCACGGCGCAAACAGTGACGCTGTGGAGGCTATGGAGCACAAGGACAAGCCGATCCCACCGTGAGACTCAAAGGCCACAGGTTGAGCCGTGAGAGTGGCCTACAAGCGATTGGGAGTTGGCAGTCGATATCCGACAGTTCAGTAGCGACAGGCAAGCCGAAAAGTTGATCTGCCTCTCAATATGAGGATCCAACTGAGAGATTCAGTGCAAAGTCTGACACATGTGAACATGAGCGAGTGCAGAGGCTTGGGGACAACAGTGTCGCACGAAGAATGGAGCAGAGAAAGGATTGAGCGCCGTGAGACTAGATCCAACGCAACCAGAACCTCACGTGGTCCCGGCTTACCTAATCAGAATTCGACTTGTCACTCCCGATTTAGTTTAGTGTCCCACGAATGTCGCTCAGTCAATCAGCCACGCATTATGATTCCTTCCAACACATTCAATGCAGCACTCTCAGCATGCAATGCTAATGCGCCGGTGAATGGGTGACCGGACGCGCACCTAAGTGAACTCTAGCCACCGCATCGCGCACAGGGGAACCAAATGGTATGATCTAATCGAAAACCGAGACCCATAATTTGAATGGATTATGAGTGTAATCATCGTTGGGGGGTGCATGTACGGCCGGTGTCTAATGTGGGAGCCCAGTAATGAATTTCGTACATTCCTTCCCACTCTTCTCTTTGTGAATTCGGGCCGCCTTTAGGCCTGACGAAAAATCAAGGGGATATGCTATAATTGATTCAGCAGGCTGCATTACACCACTCACTTGTTGGAATACAGGCATATCTTTGCTGGGCTGAGCCATTTCTGTTTCATGCGGAAGTAAGAGATCTGAAGCGGAGTTAAATAGCATGTTGTCAAAACAATGAGCTCGTCCAGTATCCGGTTCGAGACTCTATAATGCCGTCTTCTATGCATTCGTCATCATCGAAATGGTGAGGACGAAAACTAAATTCAAAAGTAAAACATACTGTCTAAAGGAGGGGTGTGGGATTTCACCGAGGAATACATTCGAAGTCGGCTGGACTGACTTTTTGGTCTCGGCATCTGGGTCTCAGTCACATTTGTCATGAAAATCCTGTCCTTTGTTTGCTTCACGCAGCTTTCGTGCGCTCTGAAACGATAAACAAAAACAAACAGAACACGCCTGGTTTCGTGCATAAATTGAGGAGTCCTTGAGAGGGACCTTCTCTTTCCCCCCAGGGAATCACAGCCCTCCCATGGAATATACCCCTCTGCGTGGATACCCTCCACGTGGAATATACCCCTCCCATGGAATATACCCCTTCGCGTGGATGCCCTCCGCACGAAATATACCCTTCCTATGGAATATACCCCTCTGCGTGGATACCCTCCGCGTAGAATATACCCCTCCTATGGAATATACCCGGCCTAACTGTCCCCACTTGGCCACTCCCTGATCTCTCTCCCGAAATAGACGGCCCCACTGTGTTCAGCGGCCACTCTCTTCCGTTATAAGTTTCTTTTTTACTCTGACCTTGTCACTCGTTTATCTCTCCCGCTATAAGCATCCTGGCATCCTCGCCTTCCCACTCCCTAATATCTCTCTCGAAATAGACGGCCCCACTGTGTTCAGCGGCCACTCTCTTCCGCTATAAGTTTCTGTTCTACTCTGACCTTGTCACTCATTTATCTCTCCCGCTAGCATCCTGACTACTCTCACGTTCCCATTCCCTTATTTCTCTTCCGAAATGGACGGCCCCACTGCATTCAGTAGCCACTCTCTCCCGCTTCTCACTGGCTCCTACTTTCTCTCCTCTACTTGAAAATATGCCGACCGATGGAAACGCGATTTCGGCTGTATACCCTATGCATTCCTCTATGTCTTCCAAACTCTATGCCACCCTATGCCACTCTATGCCACCTATGCCACCCTATGCCACCCTATGCCACCCTATGTTACCCTATGCCACTCTATGCCACTCTATGCCCCCCTATGCCACTCTATGCCACTCTCTTTACTCCTTCCAAATATGCCGAACGACCAAATGGGTTTTTGGCTGTATCCTATGTGTTTCTCTCCCTAAATATGCCGGACGACCAAATGGGTTTTCGGCTGTATCCTATGTGTTTCTCTCCCTAAATATGCCGGACGACCAAATGGGTTTTCGGCTGTATCCTATGTGTTCCTCTCCCTAATGCCGGCCAATTTAAATGCGCTGCCGGCTGTATGTTTCCCTTTCCTTAAATATGCCGACCAAAATGCATCGTCGGCTGTATCTTCTCTTTCTCCTCCTGCTTTCCCCCTCCCCAGAGATCATCCCGTGCCTAAATATGCACCACATCAGAGTGCTGTATGCCGTATGCCTCTGTGCCAGGCCATGCCCCGCAAAATATGCGTCACATCAGAGCGCTGTATAACGCGATGTGCATGTTCCTGGATCCCCAATGCCGAACGTCATGCCCTGCGGCGAAATATGCACCACATCAGAGTGCTGTATGTCATCAGGAGTATGACCTAGGCTGGAAGGGATTGGATCGGGGAATGCAGTTCCCTTTTAAATTTCCTTCCTCTTTCTTCCTCTTTTACTTTTTTAAAATCTGGGCCGTCCTTGGTCCTGCCGGGGACTTGTGCTTAGTTTCATACGAGCTCTTCCGAAACCCAAAGCGGGTCGGGGGAGCGGCTAGGTACACAGCTCTGGCTCTTCAGGGACGGTCGCAAGGTGCGTGGTTTCCTTTCTCTCTTTCTTTTTCTCTGTTTCCTTTCTTCCTTCCGTGGGACTACTGACAGTTTTGCCTTTCACAGCAAACCACGCCCGCTGCTAATATTTATTTTGTCATTTTGTTCACTAGGGATTTTCCATCTCCTCGTGCGCCGCTGCCCCATGTAATCAACAACCTCGGCGGTAAGTATTTTCGCCTCTTATTCCTTTAGGCGTATCACTAACCACATCTTCTTCCGTCTTTAATTTTTTGGGTCTACGGACCACTACTCTCGGTGGTAAGTATGCGCGCACTCTACCCGTCTAGGCTTATTACTAACCACATCTTCTTCCATTTTTAGGCCTACAGGCCACTTCCTCTTGACGGTAAGTATTTCCACCCCTAGCATTTATGTTTGTCACCAACCACATCTTGACGGTAAGTATGCGCACTCCCTACCCATTTAGGCTTATTACTAACCACATCCCCTCCCGTTTTTTAGGCCTACGGGCCACTTACTCTTGGCGGTAAGTATGCGCATTCCCTAGTACCCATTTAGGCTTATTACTAACCACATTCTCAAGGTCTACGGACCACTTCTCTCGATGGTGAGTATCTGCATTCCCTACTCTAGGCTCATTACTAACTACATCTTCTTGGTCTATGGACTACCTGTTCTCGACGGTAAGTATTTCCACCCCCTACTCGTTTAGGCTTATTACTAACCACATTTGTCAGGTCTACAGACCACTACCTCCCCCCAACGATAAGCGCTTTTATTTTATACCCGACGTCGCTGACCCCAGTTCATTAGGATTTGACCCTCACCAAGTATGCGCATCCCTTCATTACTAACTACACCTTCCTGGTCTATGGACTACTTGTTCTCGACGGTAAGTATTTCCACACCCTACTCGTTTAAGCTTATTGCTAACCACACCTCCTTCCATTTGTTAGGTCTACGGACCACTACCTCCCCTCAACGATAAGCGCTTCTATTATATATCCTTGTCCAATGTCGCTGAACCCCAGTTCATTAGGATTTCACCCCACTCCCGCCATTCACGACGACAAGCACCGTTCTCATATCCCCCATGTCAAACTAACCTTCTTGTAACACAGGTCGAGGCTCTCATGGTCTGGCGTCCAATGCAGGTCATCCTCTGTTGCAGCCCATTCTCATGATCCGATGCTCTAATATAAACATCGGATACGACATGGGCTTCGTTCAAGTGTCTGTACGATTTCAGGACCCATGGATCCCAGGCACTCTTCGTACATGGCCATTGCGATCCGTCTGTGCGAGGAATGCGGATTCTGTCGGGTGGATCTGGGAGCTGATTCTTGGGACAGTTCCTGGCCTGGAGTACGGACACCTTGAAGCGGTTAGGATGTCATGACATTAGTGCGACAGCATGGGCCCGGGGTTTCCCTGATTTTGAAACAAATGTATATATAACGCTTCAATACAATGGTTGGTCATCGCCGTGCCGTGCCCCAGGGTGAGATGTTCATCCTTGCGTGCCTCATTGGGCTCATTCCTTTGCTGTCACGGGTTGTACCTGACATTCATCTGCATGGTTAATCGGGAGAATCTCCTGTTTGGATACCGCACTAAATTCATTTCGATACGCAACGAAAGACGCTTGGTACTTGATTTCCTCTAGCGAGTCCTGATTAACTGGCGCTGAACTCATTTTTGGTGTTTCGTAGTACTCCTCCAACTATTGTTTGGCCAGCATCAGGACCATGGCACAAACTAACGTAAGGCCGAGGGAAATATATCACAGTCAGGCAGTATACGTCGGCCGAAACCGGCTGCTTGAAAGACCAACTAGAGCTGAGATGCTACTTTGGGGGAAACCCTCTTTGAAGTGCCATTGGTGGGCGTTCGCAGCTCCGTTACCTGGGTAGGTCAACTGTTACATCATCCTTCGAATCTTCGGATACTTGGATGATGAATGCTGCTAGAAAATGATGTGAACGGTGCGTCTCAGGTATCCACGAAGATTTGACGTGCGAAAAGCAAAAACATATCCAGTGCACCTCCCCAGGTATCGGCATCGTTTCTGTCATGATTTACGAACTCGTTGTCGGCCTCGTGCCACTTCAATTCATCTTCCTGTGGGGAGCGCGCTTGGGTGCCAGTCGGTCATGGGAGCCCCTGCCAGCGCAGGAATAACTGATGGGATGCCCACCACGTCTTTCTGCTATTGCCATAGCTATCACAGGTGCAAACAAGAATCGTACAAATGCTCACTTGGGGCGGCTGGTTGTTAGCGGTCATGCATGCTCATGCTGGGGGGGCGACAAGGGAGCGGGCGGTCACCGATGTCATCGCCCCAATTTGTAAGTTGCCGCATAGCCAACCAGGTACCGCCAAACACCTTAACCCGACCAGGAGTGCTCCCTCCCAAACCATTCCTCGACAAACCAATAAACCGTGAAAATGGGGACACACCTGTCGAAAATCACGGTAGCCGAAATCGCCAAGATCTTTGCATCACATCCGAATGCTCTCCAGTGTTAAAATCCCGTGTGTAAGAACCGTTCCACAGGATCCAGGACGAAAGGCAGTGATACCGACATAGGCGGATACGAAGACCCTTAGCACCTGCAAAAAGAGCAGCCCACAGTGTGGGTCAATCTCCAACAAAGAAGTATATAGAGACCATCACAAAGAATTGGTCGGTCACACGCTCACAAGGATTGATAGCTCACCGCCATTGAACCATCATCCAATCCGTATCATCCACGATACCCGCCTCATGAGACCCCACTCGCACCCCCCAAACCCGCATCGGCTGGTATTTTAGACCAACACCATTGTGAACACCAGCGGGACGAATAGGTGTGAATGGTCAGCAAAGTTATTGAGAGCAATAAACATCGAAGGATGTTCGTGGATACAGTGGTCGTCCGGGCGTACAAGCGTAGCAATGCATTTATTGGACTGGGCCTGACAAAGCATTTTAGAAATCGTAATCAGCGGCACCAGTGCACTCGGTGCAGCAGAAAGAACATTATATGTGAGAAACCTAATAGCCAGAGCCAAGTCATCATTCGTAAACTGCCTTGCAAGGCCCCTGGTACTCATTGTGCACGTCCCCTCGGCGATTAAAGTGGAGGCCATCCCAAGATCCTGACATATGCTGGTGCCAAACACCTCAGATTTCAACGTCGTGCGATGACTAATCATTTGATGGCTGTGGCGCTCCTGTTAATGTCGCTAACCCTTGAGCCGTTCCCTGCTGGAGTCCTCTCACTAGAGCGAGCCAACCAAACCACAGCCTGTCGTTGAGTGTTGGATTCCAAAATGTCTACATTCTCGTTGGCGCGCCACCAATCGAAGGTCATATACTACAGGCCCTGTACGAAGTAATGCTGTCAATCGGATAAATTTGAGCCTGGCCCCAGAACAAGACAACATAGGTGAGCCCTAGTATACATGGCGCAACTTCTTTTGTTTGGTTAAATATGGAACGGCCGCGGTTCGTGGCGCGAGGGACGTCGTCGGTAATATCCTGCGCGATGTCATCCAACGGAGAAACCAGTTCTGTTGGTCACCGTTCACGGGAGTTACCCCTATATTCTCAGGTCGCTACTGTTCCAAGATCAATAGCAAGGGCCCCGTCGGGTATCAATGGGGCCGCGTTCCCATTCGCCTCTACCATTACATCTTCCTTGGGCTCCTGGACACCTGAAGTAGTATCGTTGGTGGTGACATGCCGAGAAATGGATGTGGGATGGTATGGCACAGTGTGTGTTCGCCGCCGCAGAAGTCCCTGGAGTTCTTCCGCGGCCCAGACGGCAGTTGACTCACTTCTCGTCGATTCTTTCAGGCGCTCAAGGCATTTCTCATCTAAATCGTATGAGTGTCGCTCTACCACTTCCCTCTCGTCTTCCCATAAAACTCGGTGAACACGAAGGGCTTCCCGGAATCGAACTTTGATATTCTCTTTCCCACTTGGACCATTAGGCTCGGGTGTAGAATTTTTGGGCCACCAATTGAGTATGATTCGAAATGCACGATTTGTGTTGGAAATGAGATGGGAGATGGGCGTTTTATAGGGACATCCTGTGAATATAGAAGGAAGGATCGTGGATCCGATGTAGGATGCAAAGATGGTCCCGGAGATGACAAGGACGAGGATGGTTGTATAGAGGTCAAGTTCCCACAGATAATGAACAAGGCCCACCCAGAAGAGCAGCAAAGCAACATGCAGCGCAATGGGCAAGAATCCGATGATCTCTGGCACATACCACTTCGTAAGTCCGTTGTAGCGGAATTCACGAAGGCGAGCCTCTCGTTGGTATCGTTCCTGCGAATAATGGTTCCGGGACTCAAATGTCAAATCCGTCATGTACTCAGATAACCATTGTTTAGCGACCATGCCACCGATTGCAGATCCAAGCGTTAAGGAAAGAGAAGAGAACCATAAACGGTTGATAAGAAGTAGGGTGGAAGCAGATCTTCGCGATTCCGGTGGGACATAAGCAGGTAAGGTACCGTTTAGGCTTTGTGCAATCTGCCGCAACAATACTACCATTTCTTCCGGATAGTTGCCCTCCAACCGCTTGGTAGATTCGATCAAGAATGCTGTGAGGATGCCTGCGAACAATGCGGCCTATGAAATTACATTAACAACTATTCAACAAAGGAGAAAGATGACCCTACGAAGAGAAGGAGGACATCCATGGATCTCTGCCAGCCATCGACGAGCTCTGCATCGCGGTGAGTAGCCTGATCCACGATGACCTGCCAGATAGAGGAAGAGCCGGAAGGATTAGATGAATGGGTCGTAGCCACATGGCCCCCTAGTGCGGACCCGCTTTCTAGACGTCCTGGATCCTTCTCAGTGAGTCCCACTTGGGGAAGCTCAGGACCTGCACGTATTGGAGTGGGTTCGATGAGGTCAATACGAGGGATGGTTGGCACGCGACTTCCATCTTTCCCTCGAAGCGGATCCTAATCGAAAAATGTGAGTACATCAACAAGGAATATCCTCATGGGGCAGCGTACCGGCGACTCTGATCTGGGTTTGTGAGGCCAATATATTGACCTCTCTAATGTTGCACCCTCGGCCCGCGCAAGTGTTGCGTCCCACCGGCGACCCACTGTACCTTCCTACATCGTAGCACCAAATTCAGTAATACCCCGACATATCCTGTGCAAGATTCATACGTCCTCAGCGTTCGGTCGAACCTGTTCAACAGGTTCGACGATTTCGTTAGGTAATCGTGGTAGGCCCTCATTTTCGGAGTGCTTGGAAGTGCTCATGGCAAGCAGAGGATGTTGGAATACTAGCGTGTACTCCCAGACGTGAACTGACGTGCTCGAGCACACAACCACGCAAACACTTGAATTCTCGAGGACGCACCAGCACCCGAATCTTTAATCCTTTTTGGATCCGTTGCGGCATGCTTAATGCTGAAAATGGGAAAATGGAGGCACTAACCCCTCCGGACACGAGGCTCCGTAGGAACAATACATTCGGCCAACTCCGCTATAATTCATCAACCAAGGACCAACCCTGATCAGCCTCTCTTCAACGGGCACCCTTGGATCGTCCAAAGTGAATATTGGTAACAAAGGCAAAGAATCCTGTGGCTACCGGATTCGTCGCATTGCCAATTGTGGAGTTGCTAGAATCGGTGCCCAAGTTGGGTGCGTGTCACGTTTCCACAAAGATTCTTATGCCTGAATCATGGTTTACGCACATGGTTTACTAGCGCTGTCTGAGTGAGCAATTTCGATTGGCACATTCGTCTCCAATGTAGATGCTGCTACACTAGCAGCACCTTAGTGACGTGATCATGAACAGTGTGTCATTTGACGTATGAGAAAGATAATCTCTTCAGCCAACATTGCCAGCTATCGATAAGGTTTCTGTCGTGATATACAAACTTATTGATGGCTTCGTGCCACTTCAATTCATCTCCCTGTATGAAGGTCTGGAAACCCGGGTGTCACTGTCAGGACTATGCACGCACTAGCGTGTGGTAATAAGTGTAATGGGAACAGCCACTCAGCCTAGTTGCCGGACACCCAGCTAGGTACTGCCAAACCCCTTGACCCGACCTACAAAAGCACTCGACAAACCAATACGGCTTGACAACCGTGAGAATGAATGCTCCACGGAACACGCGTTGAGCATTATGAATTTAAACTAACAGGTAGGCAAAAACTACATTGTGTAGCTAAATCCCTCGTGTGATCATTATTTCCGTGACGAGGGGTCGATATCGATGCAAGTGAATACACAAAGTAGGAGCGCAGAATGCAGGTCAAACCCCTCAAGAAAAGGCTATCGAGACTGTCACAAAGACACATGCCAACAGGGATCCACAGGTCACCACTGTCATACTATCGTCCAACCCCAATCTCTCGATTCAGCAACGACATGGCTGCGGGGCGTGTCAGGCGTCTGATCCCACGACGAAATCATCAAATAAAAACCCGGAAAAGTGCTGCTCAAGCGAATGCAGCGACATTGATTCCAGACCCGAGAAACGGTAGCTCAGAGTGACTATATGAAGTGTCGGAATTACACTGTGAGTTGGGGAGATGGAGACCAGACAATAACGAAACGCGACCCTGGCCTTCAACAGAAAAGAGGGTCCCAATGTCACCGTTCACGGCAGTTGTCCCTATATCACTAAGTCGCTACTACTCCAAGATCAATACCTGTTGGGTATCAATGCGTCCGCGCTCCCATTCCCACTACCACTACATTTTCCTAAGACCGGGCACCTGAAGCGATATCGTAGGTGGCATGCCGAGGAATAGATACGGGATGGTGTGGCGCGGTGTGTGAGAGTCTCTGAAGTTCTTCCGTGATCAGGGCGAGAATTGTTTCGCTCATCGTAGATGCTCTCAGGCGTTCAAGGCATTTCTTGGCTAAATCGGTTTCGTGGCGTTCTACCTCCTCCTTCTCATCTTCCCATAGAACTCGGTGAACACGAATGGCATCCTGGAACCGAGCCGTTATCTTCTTTCCCTCGCTTAGGTCGGTAGGTTCGGGTTTGGGCCACCAATTGAGTATGATCCAAATTGCACGATTTGTGTTGGAAATAAGATGTGAGACGGGCGTCTTATAGGGACACCCTGTGAATATAGAAGGAAGGATCATGGATACAATGTAGGCCACAAGGGCAGTCCCGGCGGTGACAAGGACGAGGATGGATGTATAGAGGTCAAGTTCCCACAGATAATGAATGAGTCCCACCCAGAAGAGCAGTAAAGCAGCGTGTAGCGCAATGGGAAAGAACCCAATGATCTCTGGCACATACCACCTCAAAAGCCCATTGTAGCGGAATTCACGAAGGCGAGCCCCCCGTTGGTACCGTCCCTGTGATGTATGGTCCCCGAACTCAAATTTTAAATCCTTCCTGTACTCATATAGCCATTGTTTAACGACCATAGCACCGACTGCAGATCCAAGGGTTAAGGAAAGAGAAGAGAACCATAGACGATTGATAAGAAGCAGGGTAGAAGCGGATCTCCGCGGTTCTGGTGGGACATAAGCAGATGGGGTATTGTTTAGGTTTTGCGCAATCTGCCGCAACAATACCACCGTTTCTTCCGGATAATTCCCCTCCAACCGCTTGGTAGATTCAATCAAGAAGGCTGTGAGGATGCCCGCGAACAATGCAGCCTATGAAACCACATGGACAACCATTCAACAAAAGAGAGAGAGAGAGAGAGAGAGAGAGATGGCCTCACGAAGATAAGGAGGACATCCATGGATTTCTGCTAGTCCTTGACCAACTGGTTATCATGGGAGGTAGCACGCTCAACGACGGTCTGCCAGATAGAAGAGGGGTCGGAAGGATTAGATGGATTCGGAGCCGCATGACTCCCCCCCAGCGTGGTCCCACTTTCCAAATGTCTTGGATCCGTCTCAGTGGGTCGCACTTGGGGGAGCTCAGGATGTGCACGTATTGGAGTGGGTTCGTTGAGACCAGCATGAGGGATGATGGGCAGGCGATATCCACTCCCTCGAAACGAAGCCTAATTGAAAAATGAGTATCACAAGTGGACTGCATCAACAAGGAATGAGCTGCGTACTGGCGACTCCGAAGGGTTCAACTTGAAGTATATTGGCCCCTCTGATATTGCAGCCCCGGTCCACGCGAGAGTTGTGTACCGGTTCTCTATATCTTCCTACATCGCACCCCAAATTCAGGAATAGATCAGCAATACTATCCAATGCAGAACTCGTACGTTCGGTTGACCTCCTTCAACAAGCTCGATGGCATCGTTTGGCGGGCCCTGTCGTGAATCATTTTCGGAGTGCTTGGAAGTGCTCATGGCAAGAAGATGTTGAAATAGCCAGTCGTACGCTGACGGAGGGAAAGGAGAACTCTGACGCACAACCACCTAGACACTGCCCGCTCTTTAAATCCTCGAGAATGCATGCTTAAGCGAATCCTTGATTATCTTTGCATCTTCGGAATGACACGGCCGTAACTGGAAATTCGGTTAAACGAACAGTGTGTCGTAAGTACTTACAAACATTTTTTTTGCAAGTTCTAAAAGGACGATCATCCTCATCAGCCATTGATAGGGGTTTCTGTCGTGATCTACATATTTTATGGCTCTTGCCACTTGGATTCTTCCTATATGGAGGACTGGAAGGTCTAGCGTCAAGACTGGTAGCGCGCTTGAATGCCAGTTGGTCATGAAGTCGCTATCGGCACAGGGATCGCTAATGGGGTGTCCACTGCTTCTTGCTAACGCTTTCGTATAGTTGTTAGCGGCATGAAAAAGGCGTGATACCCGTCTTGCCAGTGTATTGAGGGACAGAAAGAAGCACTGGCTGGTTTTCAGTCGAACATCGTGACACCGTCAAATTCAGATGGTTCTGTGAGGTTCATTTCCGTGAGATCCGGAACAAAGGGCAGCGATCGCGATGCAAGTGAGTACACAGCAACAGAGTGAACAGCCCACGGTACAAGTCAAACCCTCAAGATAGGTATCATCCCCAGTCTCTTGATTCCGTAACAGTTCACGATCAGTCCCAACGCAAGGAACGTTACCCAATACCCATCATATCTTATTAAGCGATATCATCCAGTGGAGAATCCGACATGCTCTTCAAGTGAATGGGGGGATATTGACGTAATAGCTCAAAGTGTCTATATCTATATGAAGAATTAGGATTGTACAGCGAAGTGCAAAAAAATCTGCCGGTTTCGATTTTGACGGAAGCGATCTGGGGTGGAGTCACCCGCTACCAAAATCAGGATTTGAATGGAAACCCCAATGGCACCGTAGAACTCCCCCTAAACGTGGTGCTTAAGCGCCCAAACTCATTGCCCTTGCATCAACAAACCGTTAACTCTGTCTAGCTAACACGGGAAAACATCTTGAGCGCAGCGCAAAAGACATCTTGGTGCATTATGACCCAACAAGAGATTGCTGAGGCCTCGGGAGTGTCCACATACTGTTCGGAAGTTGCTCGCTGCTCCATACGCAGACCATCAGGATCGAGTTGAGACAAGAGGGTGACACTGAGCGCTTAGTATCCATGCAGTGAATGTAAGTACAAAAATCACGTCTAAATAGAACTTGTGATATATGATCCCAAGTTCCTTGACAACCTCATCGAACAAAAGCCTGATTTGAAGCTTGACGAATTACAGGCTGCGCTTAGAAATGAGTTTGAGATTGAATCAAGCACTTGGACGATTTCCAGAGCGCTACATAAGCATAGTCTCACCAGAAAGAAGGTTTGTCTTCCGACTCCCAACTGCCTTTCAAACCCTAATAAGCACCTTCTTACTACGAGTTTATGTGCAGGGATGGGTTATTCTTTCACGGGAGTGGAATATGGAAGAGAATGTTATTGTTCGAATAGCGTTACGCGGATTTCGGGTGCTGGTCAACCTGCTCCTGATAGTGATTGTTCGGTCCCATGTATGGGGTTGGGGAGTGCCACATGTGGAGGTGGGTATAGGATTGAGATATATGCACCGTTTGGGTACTCGATGTTTAGCTTTTGGAATATGAAACAGAATTAAGTGAGTTTGTAGGGGGGATGGGAACGCTTGAGCGGATTGGGGGGGCTGATATCGTGAGGTTAGAGTGGATGCCAATGGGTGGATGCTCTTTACTCCACACATGGTAAAGTGCTTCTCGGGTTGTTCAGAGTTTTTGGTTCGCTGATTTTTTTTCTTTTGGCTTGTAGGCGTCGTCCAGTATAGGCATGCGGCTGATTTGGTGCCTAGTTCCCCTCACCTGTTCTTCCACACCATTTCCTTGTGTATTATTAGCTGATTTCTTACCTCGTAAGTGGTCCTTGGGCCTCGTAACTCTGTCCGAATCCAAACTAGATCCAGAGGCCAGCAGCTGAGCGTGATGAACAGCTCCGAGCAGATTTCAGGAGGCATATGGGGGTGACTTACAATGCCAATCAACTCGTTTTTGTGGATGAGACAGGGTCAACCGTCATGCATCGTCGCGTACATATGGCTGGGCCCCTTATGGAGATAGGGCTCGCCGACGTGATTTCTTTGTCCATGGCACTAAGTTTGTACTGAGCATCTAATTGATATTCAATTTTTACTCTTCAAACTGTTGCTGCCCTTGCCGTGATTGCCGAGGGTAAAGACCCCGGCGCTTGAGCTGTTGATCCAAATAAGGAAATCCCTGCCGTGAGCCACGATCTTGCCAACTTTTTTAGGTAGAGGATTCACCTGCCCCACTTACCCGTTCGAATCGAAACCGGCAGATTTTTTTGCACTTCGCTGTAAGCTAGAACCGAGTTGGTTGTTCTGAGATAATAATAGAACGCTTCCATAGTCCCTCACCGGTAAAGGAATGGCCCCTCTGAGTATTGAAGGGTCTTCGTTCCTATTCCTTCCATCTGCTGCGGTATTGTCCTTTCGACTCCTGACGGTATTGTCGACGATATATACCGCGGGCTGTGCACCGCTGCTGTAGATTCCTTCAAGTTGTTCGGTAGCCCAGACGGGCGAGTTGACTCGCTTCTCGTTTCTCGTTGATTCTTTCAAGCGCTCGAGGCATTTCTTGTCTAAATCGGATGCATGCCGTTCTATGTTTTCCTTCTCGTCTTCCCACAGAACTCAATGAACATGAAAAGCCTCCTGCATGGGACCTGTTGGAATCAAGCACGATACATGTATTTACACATGTTTGCACCGATGTTTTAATCCTAGTGGTCTATCGTTAGCTGGTCCGATCCCGGCCCCGTTGTGGCCTCACTCCTATGGTTTTCTATAGGACCGACCCATTTGCTTCTTGGATCGTCAGGCTCTGGCGTGGAATTTTTTCGTCCGGCGATTGAGTATGATTCAAATGGTTTGTGTTGGAAGATAGGGGGTTTATAGAGACACCTTGTGAATATAGAATATGAAGAAGCTAAGGCCCTGGCGATGGCAAGGACTAGATGGATGTGTAGAAGTCAAGTTCACACAGATAATGAATAAGCCTCACCCAGAAGAGCAGCAAGGCAATGCGCAACGCAGTGAGCGACGATCTCTGGCACATGCCACTTCGTAAGTCCGTTGTAGCAGAATTCACGAAGTCGAGCCTCTCGTTGGTATCGTTCCGGCGAGTCCTGTTTCCGGAACTCAAATGTCAAGTCTGTCATGTACTCAAACAACCATTGTTTAGCAACCATAGCGCCAATTGCGGATCCAAGTGCCGAGGTAAGAGGAGAGGATTAATTTAGTAGGAGTGGGTCCCCACGGGAATAAGTAGGCGATGTATTGTTCAGGTTTCGTGCAATCTGCTATAATAGCGCCACTGTTTGCCTGCCGTTGTTACCTTCTAGTTTCTTACGGTGGCGAACAACGCAGCCGATTAACAAAAGAGAGCGACGATCTTATGAAGATGAGGAGAACATCCATAGATCTCTGCCGGTCATCAACAAGCTCTGCATCGCGATGAGTAACCTGATCAACGATGATCTGCCAGATGGAGTAAGGGGTGGAAAGGATTAGATGAATTAGTCGGAGTTGCACGGCTCCCCAGTGTGGACTGGGTTCCCAAACGCCCTGAAGTTCAGGATCTGTACGTTTCGGAGGAGTGGGTTATATGGAACTATGACGACTACGACAACTCGTCGGTTCGCTGGACGAAGAGCCGTAGAGTCAGACGCGTTGTATATATAGGAAATGACGACAAAGGAAGACATGTTGCATTCCCGGATGAAATGGTGCAGGACATCGACATGTGTTGTACTCGAATGATGAACTGGATTCTTCACCAACATTTCTGCGCCACAGTTGTCGATGAAGAGAGTGGTAGGCTCGGTCACGTCCTGTTTTGGAGGACTGGGACACGGATGGCTGCAGCTTGGGGCTCCAAGAGATGGGGCCACCTGCGAGTAAGAAAATCGAGCTGGAGACGGAGCGTCTTGTGGTAGGATCCATGGCGTAATCTGAGTCGGAGTGGCCAACTACGGAGTCCGGATCAGGGGGTTCAGATTCGCAGCCAAGGAGGTTGCCACCATTTCGCGGATAGACGATGCCATAAGTCGGTCGTGCCCCTGCCAAGGTAACGGAACAAATGTTTTAGTGCTTGGACGGATGTGCTTAACTCCTGGGCGTGAGGCGAAACGTTAGCGCGCTGACGACATATGCGATGTCAGTGCGGGTGCCCAGCATGGCGCACATGAGAGAGCCAATGGCCGAGAAATATGGGTAGTGTTTGACAGCTGCTACCTCCTCATCCGTGGCGGGCAACAAGGCTTAGTCTCTCGGGGAGCGGTGTGGATGCTGGCTTGCAACCCACCTTGCCAAACTTCTCAAGGGCCTGGGAGAGGTACTGTGATTGGTCTAGCGTAACACGACCTTTCACGGGATCATTAGTAATTTGCATGCCCACCACCCACGAGGCGGGGCCAGCATCCACCATTTTAAAGCGCGCCTCCAGTTGCGACTTAATGCGGTCCATGTGTCTGTCCTCGTCATAACGGATCAGGAGGTTGTCAACATAATGACCGTGGAACCATCAGCGTCGTAGACATAGATTGAACGATCCGCAAGGGCCCTCTTGAAACCAAGGGAATCTGTGAAGAAATTAACCATGCGCCGCAATTATATCGCGATCGACTGACTGGTGCCCCTAAACCATTCCGTAACGCGTTATTCAGATGAATGTCAGGTACAACCCGAACCCTTCAAGCTTATTCCGGAATCACACGTTGCAACTGATTTCCCTCCGCTTCTAAAGGTGACAGCAAAGGAATGAACCCAATGAGGCACGCAAGGATGAACATCTCACCCTGGGGCACGGCACGGCGATGACCAACCATTGTATTGAAGCGTTATATATACATTTGTTTCAGATCAGGGAAACCCCGGGCCCATGCTGTCGCACTAATGTCATGACATCCTAACCGCTTCAAGGTGTCCGTACTCCAGGCCAGGAACTGTCCCAAGAATCAGCTCCCAGATCCACCCGACAGAATCCGCATTCCTCGCACAGACGGATCGCAATGGCCATGTACGAAGAGTGCCTGGGATCCATGGGTCCTGAAATCGTACAGGCACTTGAACGAAGCCCATGTCGTATCCGATGTTTATATTAGAGCATCGGATCATGAGAATGGGCTGCCACAGAGGATGACCTGCATTAGACGCCAGACCATGAGAGCCTCGACCTGTGTTACAAGAAGGTTAGTTTGACATGGGGGATATGAGAACGGTGCTTGTCGTCGTGAATGGCGGGAGTGGGGTGAAATCCTAATGAACTGGGGTTCAGCGACATCGGACAAGGATATATAATAGAAGCGCTTATCGTTGAGGGGAGGTAGTGGTCCGTAGACCTAACAAATGGAAGGAGATGTGGTTAGCAATAAGCCTAAACGAGTAGGGTGTGGAAATACTTACCGTCGAGAACAAGTAGTCCATAGACCAGGAAGGTGTAGTTAGTAATAAAGGGATGCGCATACTTGGTGGGGGTCAAACCCTAATGAACTGGGGTCAGCGACGTCGGGCATAAAATAAAAGCGCTTGTCGTTGGGGGGAGGTAGTGGTCTGTAGACCTGAAAAATGGAAGGAGATGTGGTTAGTAATGAGCCTAAACGAGTAGGGGGTGGAAATACTTACCGTCGAGAACAGGCAGTCCATAGGCCAAGAAGATGTAGTTAGTAATGAGCCTAGAGTAGGGAATGCACATACTCACCATCGAGAGAAGTGGTCCGTAGACCTTGAGAATGTGGTTAGTAATAAGCCTAAATGGGTACTAGGGAATGCGCATACTTACCGCCAAGAGTAAGTGGCCCGTAGGCCTAAAAAACGGGAGGGGATGTGGTTAGTAATAAGCCTAAATGGGTAGGGAGTGCGCATACTTACCGTCAAGATGTGGTTAGTGACAAACATAAATGCGAGGGTGGAAATACTTACCGTCAAGAGGAAGTGGCCCGTAGGCCTAAAAATGGAAGAAGATGTGGTTAGTAATAACCCTAGACGGGTAGGGTGCGCGCATACTTACCACCGAGAGTAGTGGTCCGTAGACCCAAAAAATTAAAGACGGAAGAAGATGTGGTTAGTGATACGCCTAAAGGAATAAGAGGCGAAAATACTTACCGCCGAGGTTGTTGATTACATGGGGCAGAGGCGCACGAGGAGATGAAAGATCCCTAGAGAACAAAATGACAAAATAAACATTAGCAGCGGGCGTGGTTTGCTGTGAAAGGCAAAACTGTCAGTAGTCACGGAAGGAAGAAAGGAAACAGAGAAAGGGAACAGAGAAAAGGAAACCACGCACCTTGCGACCGTCCCGGAAGAGCCAGAGTTATGTACCTAGCCGCTCCCCCGACCCGCTTTGGGTTTCGGAAGAGCTTGTATGAAACTAAGCACAAGTCCCCGGCAGGACCAAGGACGGCCCAAATTTTCAAAAAGCAAAAGAGGAAGAAAGAGGAAGGAAATTTAAAAGGGAACTGCATTCCCCGATCCAATCCCTTCCAGCCTAGGCCATACTCCTGACGACATACAGCACTCTGATGTGGTGCATATTTCGCCGCAGGGCATGACGTTCGGCATTGGGGATCCAGAACATGCACATCGCGTTATACAGCGCTCTGATGTGACGCATATTTTGCGGGGCATGGCCTGGCACAGAGGCATACGGCATACAGCACTCTGATGTGGTGCATATTTAGGCACGGGATGATCTCTGGGGAGGGGGAAAGCAGGAGGAGAAAGAGAAGATACAGCCGACGATGCATTTTGGTCGGCATATTTAAGGAAAGGGAAACATACAGCCGGCAGCGCATTTAAATTGGCCGGCATTAGGGAGAGGAACACATAGGATACAGCCGAAAACGCATTTGGTCGTTCGGCATATTTGGAAGGAATAAAGAGAGTGGCATAGAGTGGCATAGGGGGGCATAGAGTGGCATAGAGTGGCATAGGGTGGCATAGGGTGGCATAGGGTGGCATAGGGTGGCATAGAGTTTGGAAGACATAGAGGAATGCATAGGGTATACAGCCGAAATCGCGTTTCCGTTGGTCGGCATATTTTCAAGTAGAGGGAGAGAGTAGGAGCCAGACAGGGAGCGGGAGAGAGTGGCCACTGAACGCAGTGGGGCCGTCCATTTCGAGAGAGAGATAAGGGAGTGTGAACGTGAGAGTAGTCTGGATGCTAGCGGGAGAGATAAATGAGTGACAAGGTCAGAGTAGAACAGAAACTTATAGCGGAAGAGAGTGGCCGCTGAACACAGTGGGGCCGTCTATTTCGAGAGAGATATTAGGGAGTGGGAAGGCGAGAATGCCAGGATGCTTATAGCGGGAGAGATAAACGAGTGACAAGGTCAGAGTAAAAAAGAAACTTATAACGGAAGAGAGTGGCCGCTGAACACAGTGGGGCCGTCTATTTCGGGAGAGAGATCAGGGAGTGGCCAAGTGGGGACAGTTAGGCCGGGTATATTCCATAGGAGGGGTATATTCTACGCGGAGGGTATCCACGCAGAGGGGTATATTCCATAGGAAGGGTATATTTCGTGCGGAGGGCATCCACGCGAAGGGGTATATTCCATGGGAGGGGTATATTCCACGTGGAGGGTATCCACGCAGAGGGGTATATTCCATGGGAGGGCTGTGATTCCCTGGGGGAAAGAGAAGGCCCCTCTCAAGGACTCCTCAATTTATGCACGAAACCAGGCGTGTTCTGTTTGTTTTTGTTTATCGTTTCAGAGCGCACGAAAGCTGCCGTTCAGCAAACAAAGGACAAGATTTTCATGACAAATGTGACTGAGACCCAGATGCCGAGACCGAAAATCCAGTCCAGCCGACTTCGAATGTATTCCTCGGTGAAATCCCACACTTCTCCTTAAGACAGTATGTTTTGCTTTTGAATTTAGTTTTCGTCCTCACCATTTCGATGATGACAAATGCATAGAAGACGGCATTATAGAGTCTCGAACCGGGTACTGGACGAGCTCATTGTTTTGACAACATGCTATTTAACTCCGCTTCAGATCTTTTACTTCCGCATAAAACAGAAACGGCTCAGTCCAGCAAAGATATGCCCATATTCCAACAAGTGAGTGGTGCGATGTAGCCTGCTGAATCAATTATAGCATATCCCCTTGATTTTTCGTCGGGCCTGAAGGCGGCCCGAATTCACAAAGAGAAGAGTGGGAAGGAATGTACGAAATCCATTACTGGGCTCCCACATTAGACATCGGCCGATTTACATGCACCACCCAACGATGATTACGCTCATAATCCATTCAAATTATGGGTCTCGGTTTTCGATTAGATCATACCATTTGGTTCCCCTGTGCGCGATGCCATGGCTAGAGTCCACTTAGGTGCGCGTCCGGTCACCCATTCACTGGCGCATTAGCACTGCATGCTGAGAGTGCTGCATTGAATGTGTTGGAAGGAATCATAATGCGTGGCTGATCGACTGAGCGACATTCGTGGGACACCAAACTAAATCGGGAGTGACAAGTCGAATTCTGATCAGGTAAGCCGGGACCACGTGAGGTTCTGGTTGCGCTGGATCTAGTCTCACGATGTTGTTTGGGAGGTAACGTATGGACGCTCAATCCTTTCTCTGCTCCATTCTTCGTGCGACACCGAGCCTCTGCACTCGCTCATGTTCACATGTGTCAGACTTTGCACTGAATCCCTCAGTTAGATCCTCATATTGAGAGGCAGATCAACTTTTCGGCTTGCCTGTCGCTACTGAACTGTCGGATATCGACTGCCAACTCCCAATCGCTTGTAGCCCACTCTCACGGCTCAACCTGTGGCCTTTGAGTCTCACGGTGGGATCGGCTTGTCCTTGTGCTCTATAGCCTCCACAGCGTCACTGTTTGCGCCGTGGTCCTTATCAAACCGCCATACAAAACTCTCATATCTCATCTCATTTCAAACTCCAAAGGTTCCTTATTCCTCCTCGCGACATTCCCACAATTTCCGTGAGAGCTAGAGACGCCACGAATTCCGCCCTTAGGCAACTCAAAGCCCTCAACAAAGCCGCCTTCTATCGATATTAAATGTCCTGCATGGTGAACAGAGCATACGTGGGGGGTCAGACCTTGTATCACAAGGAATGACGCGAAGGGTATTGGAGGAGCTGCTCAAGGATATGACAAGACACCCAACGTTGCGCGAACGGGCCTAGAGAACCTAGGATCATATCCGGCAGCAGCGTCAAATGGAAGTACCCCGACAACGCCCTGCACTCGTGTGCCCGGATCTAATAGCGTGGCTGGCGCGGTCACGGCGCCCGCTGACATATATGGACACCCTTACCAAACAACTGCACCCCAGGGTTTCGTTAACATAGTATGCATGTATTTAATGCAGAACTCGTACGTTCGGTTGACCTCGTTCAACAAGCTCGATGCCATCTTTTGGCGGGCCCTGTCGTGAATCATTTTCGGAGTGCTTGGAAGTGCTCATGGCAAGGAGAAGATGTTGAAATAGCCAGACGTACGCTGACGGAGGGAAAGGAGAGCTCTGGCGTACAACCACCTAGACACTGCCCGCTCTTTAAATCCTCGAGAATGTATGCTTAAGCGAATCCCTGATTATCTTTGCATCTTCGGAATGACACAGCCGTAACTAGAGATTCGGTTAAACGAACAGTGTGTCGTAAGTACTCACAAACATTTTTTGCCAGTTCCAAAAGGATGATCATCCTCATCAGCTATTGATAAGGTTTCTGTCGTGATCTGCATATTTTATGGCTCTTGCCACTTGGATTCTTCCTATATATATGGAGGACTGGAAAGTCGATCTAGCGCCAAGACTAGTAGCGCGCTTGAATGCCAGTCGGTCATGAAGTCCCTACCGGCACAGGGATCGCTGATGGGGTGTCCACTGCTTCTTGCTAACGCTTTCATATAGTTATTAGCGGCATGAAAAGGGGCGATACCATGAGTACTTACTGGGGCGGCTGGTTTTCAGTCGAACATGGTGACACTGTCAAATTCAGATGGTTCTGTGGGGATCATTTCCGTGAGATCCGGAACAAAGGGCAGCGATCGCGATGCGAGTTCAACAGCAGCAGAGTGAACAGCCCACGGTACAGGTCTATTGAGATTATCCAGTTGTTGTTGTTGTTGTTGTTATCATATTTGTTACCCCGCGGTCGCGTTGGCACGTGACAGAGCGGCATATCCCACTACATTACATCTGTACATGAGGGGACTTTCACAACGTGGAGTGTCGTCGGGTTAGTAGGGTCGGGGTGACGGTGTCCTCTGGGGTCTGGTTTCGGGTTGATTTGGTTCGTCTGTGGATGGGGTTACTCCCCGGGTTCAGTGCTGTCACGATGGGTGGTTTTCTTGAAAGTTTCGGTCGATGGGAACCGAGGTACGATCGGGGGTAAGTCTGGGTCTCTTATCGATGGCGTGCGACTTCTTTAGGTATTTTGCCAGCCTGAGGATTCCTTTCGGTCTCCCCATCAGCACCATGGGTCTGGTCTGCCGTCCGCTACCCAGCAGGTGTCGAAACTTCCTGAGTTGCGGGCAGTTTTGTAGGACGTGGGTTCGTGTCTGGACCGCTGCGCCGCACTGGCATTCTTGGCTCTCTGTATGAATGCCGAAGCGCTGGTAGTATTCCCCAATGTGCGCGTGTCCGGTGCGAAACTGGATTAGTCTGCTGAATGTTTTCCGGTCTAGTGACTTAAACCTCAGGGTGGGTCTGAGTGTCGGGGCGATATGGTTCGCCAGGTGGAATCCGGAGCTGGGGGGGTTGGGTGCGGTTGACCATCGTGCCTTCCAAGCTTCTTCCATCTCCGCTCTGTGTAGGCTCTCTACGTATGCGAGTGAGTGGTAACCTGGCCTGTCTGTTCTAAGGTGGGCACCTTCCTTTGCTAGCTCGTCGGCCCGGTCATTTCCTGCAATACTGCAGTGGCCCGGACACCAGCTGATTGCAATTTTTAGGTCCTCCTTTTCCTCAAGCAGCCCTCCTATCGTGTTCCTGAAGACCCACGAGTGTTCTTGTGCCTTCCCGGGTTTCCCCTGGAAGATGCGTTTCACCGCACTGGCGTTGTCTGAGTATAGGACGATGTTCGAAGGGCTGTTCGGGTTGTTCTCTAGGTAGCGTTTGGTTAGTTCGACTGCCGTGCGTAGGCCCATAGATTATCCAGTTACACATTCATAGTTCACTTATGGCTGTCGGACTATTCCCCAATCCGTATCATCCCCAGTCTCTAGCTTGATTCCGTAACAGTTCACGATCAGTCCCAACGCAAGGAACATTACCCAATACCCATCGTATCTTATTACGCGATATCATCCAGTGGAGAATCCGTCATGCTCTTCAAGTGAATGGGGCGATATCGACGTAATAAACTCAAAGTGTCTATATCTATATGAAGAATTAGGATTAGGCTAGAATCGTGTTGGTTGCCCTGAGATAATAATGGAATGCATCCATAGTCCCTCACCAGTAAAGGAATGCTCTGCGAAAGAACGTAGTTGTCACGTTGCCACCATTCCAAGATCATTAATGGCAACGGCCCCTCTGGGTACTGAAGGGTCTTCGTTTCTATCCCTTCCATCTGCTGCGGTATTGTCCTTTCAACTCCTGACGGTGTTATCGATGATATATATACCGCTGCCGCAAGATCCCTTCAAGTTGTTCGGTAGCCCAGACGGGCAAGTTGACTCGCTTCTCGTTTCTCGTGGATTCTTTCGAGCGCTCGAGGCATTTCTTGTCTAAATCGGATGCATGCCGTCCTACCTTTTCCTTCTCGTCCTCCCACAGAACTCAATGGACACGAAAGGCCTCCTGGAATCGATCCATTTGCTTCTTGAATCGTCAGGCTCTGGCGTGGATTTTTTTCGTCCAGCGATTGAGTATGATTCAAATGGTTTGTGTTGAAAGATAGGGGGTTTATAGGAAAGGATTGTGGATCCAGCGCAAGGTCAAGTTCACACAGATAATGAATAAGCCTCACCCAGAAGAGCAGCAAGGCAATGCGCAACGCAGTGAGCGACGATCTCTGGCACATGCCACTTCGTAAGTCCGTTGTAGCGGAATTCACGAGGTCAAGCCTCTCGTTGGTATCGTTCCGGCGAGTCCTGTTTCCGGAACTCAAATGTCAAGTCTGTCATGTACTCAAACAACCATTGTTTAGCAGCCATAGCGCCAATTGCGGATCCAAGTGCCAAGGTAAGAGGAGAAGATTAACTTAGTAGGAGTGGGTCCCCACGGGAAATAAGCAGGCGATGTATTGTTCAGGTTTCGTGCAATCTGCTATAATAGCACCACTGTTTGCCTGCCGTCGTTACCTTCTAGTTTCTTACTGTGGCGAACAACGCAGCCTATTAACGACAAACAAAAGAGAGCGGCGATCTTACGAAGATGAGGAGAACATGCATAGATCTCTCTGCCAGCCATCAACAAGCTCTGCATCGCGGTGAGTAACCTGATCAACGATGACCTGCCAGATGGAGTAAGGGGTGAAAGGATCAGATGAATTAGTCGGAGTTGCACGGCTCCCAGTGTGGACTCGGTTCCCAAACGCCCGGTACTCTGAGGCAGTTCAGGATCTGTACGTTTCGGGGGTGTAGGTTATATGGAACTACGACAACTACGATAACTCGTCGATTAGCTGGACGAGGAGCCGTAGAGTCAGACGCGTTGTATATGTAGGAAATGGCGACAAAGGAAAACATGTGCATTCCCGGATGAAATGGTGCCGGACATCGATATGTGTTGTACTCGAATGATGAACCGGATTCTTCACCAACATTTCTGCGCCACGGTTGTCGATGAAGAGAGTGGTAGGCTCGGTCACGCCCTGTTTTGAATCGCGCATAAGCTGCCGAAGCGGCCTCTGCAGAGGCCACGTACTCCACCTCAGTGGAGGACTGGGACACGGATGACTGCAGCTTGGAGATCCAGGAGATGGGGCCGCCTGCGAGTAAGGAAATCGAGCTAGAGACGGAACGTCTTGTGGTAAGATCCATGGCGTAATCTGAGTCGGAGTAGTCAACTACGGAGTCCAGATCAGGGGGTTCAGACTTGCAGCCAAGGAGGTTGCAACCATTTCGTGAATAGTCGATGCCATAAGTCGATCGTGCCCCTGAGATAACGGAACAAATGTTTTAGTGCTTGGACGGACGGGCTTAACTCCTGGGCGTGAGGCGAAATGTGAGAGCATGCTGACGGCATATGCGATGTCAGGGCGGGCGCCCAGCATGGCGCACATGAGAGAGTCAATGGCCGAAAGATAAGGGTAGTGTTTGACAGCTGCCACCTCCTCATCCGTGCCGGGCGCTTAGTCTCTCGGGGAGCGGTGTGGATGCCGGCTTGCAACCCACCATGCCAAACTTCTCAAGGACCTGGGAGAGGTATATTGTGATTGGTCTAGCGTAACGTGACCCTTCACGGGATCATTAGTAACTCGCATGCCCACCACCCACGAGGCGGGGCCAGCATCCACCATTTTGAAGCGCGCCTCCAGTTGTGACTTAATACGGGCCATGTGTCTGTCCTCATCATACCCGATCAGGAGGTCGTCAACATAATGACCGTGGAACCATCAGCGTTGATACCACTCCCGGCCGCCCTGCTTCAGGCCGCACAAGGCTCTTTTGAGCTTCCATACCTAGGTCTCCTTTCCCGGTTCCTCAAAACCCTTCGGCTGGCGCAATGTAGACCGTTTCCTTGAGCGTCCCATTTGGGAAGGCGCTGGTGACATCCATGTGGCAAATCTTGAGGCACAACCGTGCGGAGAGAGCAAAGAAGACCCGGAGCGATGCCGACTTAACAACTGGGGCAAATGTCTCAGCATAGTCGATGTTCTCGCGCTGGCAGTCACCCCTCGCAGTAAAACGTGGGGAGTGGGGTGGTCATAGTCATCAAGCTCGATGACGATGAGTTGCTCTGGCGATGTATTCTCAAGAAAGCGTGGGGAGTGGCTTAGTCTCATTTCCTAGCATAGGGTCCCAGAACTTGTATCCGCTTACGCCTTCTGGATATCCAGTAAACTTCACCTTGATGCAAGCTTTTGCGCTGATGTTTGGGGCGGTGGATGTAAGCATCACAGTAGAAGGTGCGGAGATATCCGGCGTGTGTCCCTCGAATATTTCATATGGGGTAACACGAGGAAGTGCGGCTCAAGCAGTATGCTGCTGTGCAGAGAGCTTCTCCCCAGAAAGCCGGCGGGTAGTCCTGGTCCTTCATCATAGCACGTATCTTCTCAGTAAGTGCACGTTTGGCCACTCCGTTCTGCTCGGGGGTGTCAGGGACAGAAGTATTCCGCTTCGCTTGCAATAGTCTCGTAGCTAAGTGCTGGTGTATTCTCTGCGCGCAGCGTGCCAATGTGAGTCCCAAGAAAACTGTGTCCATTTCAGTGAACTATGAAAAGAAGTCACTCTTCTGCTTGAGCAGACGAACCCGAAGTACCGATTTCCCCCAAGGAAGGGGTGTTCGAATTCACCACAAAAGCCCGAGTATACTCGCTTAAAGCGCGTGGTTGCACGCTTGTGCACAAGTTGGAACGAATTCCTTGTTATTTTTGCGCAAATGCACGCATCACATACGAGATCATTCGATTCCTGCCAATCTGCATCTAACATTCCCTCCACACGTCCCTCTCTGATCATCCGTCGTAGCGCAGTCAGGGTTGGGTGGTCTAGGCGTTTATGGATGAGATAAAGGAGTAAGCGGTGGGAAGTGACTAGACTTGCCGTGGGATATCGGGTAGGGACAACATGAAGGTCATAGAGGTTTCCTCTTCCCTTCGACTGAGCGATGATCTTGCCGGAAGGGTTTAAAATAGAACATCTGTCCAGCGAGAAGTTGACAGCGTGCCCTCGGCGCGTGGCAGTTCTCACAGAGAGCAGCGAGTTTGCAAGAGCGGGAACATGCAAGACGCTTTTCAGCTGGATGGGAATGCGTTTTCCATCGACGACTGCGGATAGCGCAACATTGCCTTCACCGAGAGCTTCAATGGATGACTTGTTGGCTAGGCGTATGAGATGCGGTTCTGCGTAAGCTTGGTAGGAGATGTAATCGCGAATTACTGGGGTCATGTGATGCGAGCACCCGATGTCAATCACCCAGGTGTGTTGGCGGCGAGGTGAGGATTTAGACGCTAGGTAGGCAGACTCCCTCTGACCAAGGGTGGCATTTACCATCATGGCCTCTGCCTCACCGTCATCTGTTACATCTCCATCCGTAGTGGTGGTGACTTGATTCGCCTTCGACTTTTTGGGCTTGTTCTTTTCTTCTGGGTTCTGGGGTTTCATGGGGCAAGTTGCTTTGACATGACCCACTCCCTTGCAGTGGCGGCATATCGCAGTCCTCAACCACTCAGCATGCCTCGCCTTTTCTTCAGGTGCCTTTGGCTTTCCCCGTCTACCTCCCTTTTTCATCTCATCTGCTTTCAGCGCTTGTAAGGCACTTGTTGCCTTGTCCGCTTCGCTCTGCTTCCTCGCCTGAAGTCTCTCTTCGTTCAGCAGGTCGCCTTTGATGGATTCCAGTATCAGTGCCCCTGTCCCTGCTCGTGACAGGATGTTTCGTTGCGTCACATTGTAGGAGGCCGGCAGGCCCATCAGTGCATGCAGGGCAAGGAGGTGAGGAGGGAATTGGGAGTGCGAGGCAGGTCCGCTGGCAGTGTAGTTGGCTGCGGCGGTTTCAAGAGCTGCACAGTAATCGGTTACGGAGTTGTAATCGGTGAGGGATGCTTTGAAGACGGTCGCGGCGTGATCGAACTGAATGGATAAACTAGAAGGCTCGTACAGCTCTTTTAATTTTTTCCAGATTACGGATGGTGCAGAGTAGGGACGAATCTGATCTTTAATGTTTTGTTCGCAGGTCATCACAATCCTGAACATGGCATCATCTGCCCCTTCTTCCCATGTGGCATAGTCGGGGTTTGGCTTTGTGCTAGATGCATCAGTGATGAATGTGGGAGGCGCGTTTTCGTTTGCCCCTTCGATCCAAGTCCAGCGTTTATGGTGTTTTAAGATGATACGCAGATCAGCGGACCAAGACGTGTAGTTCTCGACTCCGCGCAGCTTGGGAACAGTGATTTTCTCAGTCATGTCGTGGAGAAGTGCAGGCAGTAAGCTAGTGCAAGTGGGGGCGTTGGTGCAGGTAGGCTACAGCCGGTAGAGATGGTAACGCGGGTAATGGGCAAAAAGGCAGGCAGGGATTTCAGCAAGTGAGTGCTTCAGCGGCTTTCAGTTCCTGAGCTCTGAGCTCATAACCTATGGAACTACGACAACTCATCAATTAGCTGGACTTAGCACAAATGTAATATACAATGTGGTTGTATCTTACCTTGTCGATTGGCTGGACAAGGAGTCGTAGAATCAGATGCGTTGTATATATAGGAAATGGCAACAAAGGATGACATGTGCAAGTTACGAGCTTTGAGGCAAAGCGTGTAGCAAAGCGCTTTGGTGTGGCGGGTGCTTGGAGCGGGTGGCCCTAACTCAATAGGTTGTTGTGAGACAGCAACGGTTGACAGACTCGGTGCTTCCGCGCAAGGATACCCGACTCTGCATTATGTCGGTGAGATGACCGATAATTGATGTTGGGTTTTATTTCTGGTCGGTCTCCACTGTCTTATCATTCCATGTTTATTTAGCATTTATCTTCCTTTTTCCAATCTGTTGGTCGCCTCACTTTCTCTTATTTGTGATCACTTTTACTCCTGTTACTTACATTCGAGTAATCAAGGCTTTAAAAGTTTGATGTTTACTTCGCTGACGCCCTCAGCTCTCTTCGTGTTCACACTCGCGAGACTGAGTTCTCTAGTCCGCGTTACATGCAGGTCAGATGGGTATATAGTGAATGGCAGGTGGCTTCCATCATTATTACTAAGTGCGACCTAATTGAAGAGGAGTATGGCACCAATATTGATCCTGAGTAGCATAATTGGTAACTCTATTATAGGCTCATGCATGGGGCCAGTACGTTGGCTTCTCTGATGCTGCACTCCTGAGTGATGTAACAGTCGCAGTCGTGTCCCTTCGGGCCGGCTCCCGCACCTTCCTACATCACCGCAACGAATGCGGGGGAAAGCGAGTTCTGACCGGAACACCGCGCCAAGGCCACATTTTGAGTTCTCAAGCTCTCCGATCACCTTCTGATCCGTTGCGCATTGGAGTTGCAATGTTGATGCTGAGCACGGAAGTGGAACTAGTTTCGGTGGATCGAGCAGACGACACAAGCCTCCGACGCTGGCCGGGCAATATCATATCATAAACCGATGAACCTTAGCTTTGTAACACGACGACTATCGTGCTTCGACACTCATAAGTTGGCTGGGGCCCCGTAACTCAATCCGTCCTCAATCATCACGATCGGTACAGTTGGACTAAGAGTGGGGGTTTGATTCATATGACAATACGAGTATATACACTATTCTGCGACGACAAGGTCCTGAGCGCCGCTTCAGGACAACTCGATTCTCCTGGGGGCATCCTCAGGTTTCGCCTTCGGGAAGGTGACCTTGTAGAACACCGTTTTCAACTGACGCCTTGATCGACTCTGGATTAGTTCCTTCGGGAACGGGGATGGTTCTCGAGAAGCTTCCGTAGTGACGTTCACGAAGGATGTACTTTGGCTTGGACTCCTTCTCAGGGGCTTGGGTACCATCTGTCGATGAACTTGCGCCGTTCTGCGCCGAGTCTTTAGAACTCGGCTCTTCGACCTTCTCTTCAGAGTGCTCGCCACGGATGGTCAGAAGGTTTCCCTGAAGTTCGATGGAAACATCTTCTTTACGTAGGCCTGGAAGCTCGAAGGCTGCTGTGATCGTGTTGTCTGAATTCTCGCGCAAGTCCAGTCTATGAGTAATGGACGTAAGCATGAGATCAAGGAGTGTGATCACGACTTTCCAACGTACCTTGGCTGCCAAATGCGTGGCAATGGTGCTGCAAAGTGTTCCCCAACCCATGGTGCAAGCGCCGTTCTGCCGAACGCTTGATTGAACAGACGATCGAACTCATCGAATATCACCAATGGCCCGGAATTCGAACCAAAGGTTCTTTTCTGCTGCTTCAGTTGGATGAGTTGACGTCGTGGGACGTGGGCACGTTGCTGAAGTAGAACACGACGAAGGGAGGCAATGGACTTCATGAGCCTATATGGGAAGGGAAAGGCTACTGATGCAGATGTGTTAGGAGGGATGCCCTGCAATTGTGCTCGCTCTTATATACGTGCCTTACGGCATGACGCGTCAGCTTATAACACGGAAGAGATAAAGCTCGAAACCTCTGGAAAATACCATAACTCGCAAAAGGTTGTTCCAGGACCTTCTACGAATTCCTAATAAATCATCGAAACTACGGAACCAACCATATCGGCCCACCAAGGCGCAGCTGGTTGTCAGTGTAGAGCTAGAGATTTACGCTAACGGCATAAGCTGTTCATAAGCTGTGCCGAGAATAGGAGGCATCACTTCCGTATTAGGCTCGGGAAAATTCTCACGCTTCAGCTGATGACGCGCATCAGCGTCTACCAGTTATCCCGCAACGAAGCATTCGAAATCAGAAATTAAAACTGAAAATAATCATTCGGGGGGCTAGAAGTACACATTAATGCATTCAATGGTGACAGGAGGTTTCGTTAACATTGAACTAGTAGACCGACAAGAGCCTATCTGAACTTGATCCATCTACGCAATCTGAATCCTCCTCGGCTCCGTTTCCGGCGTCTTCTTTGGGAATGTAACCGTCAAAAGGCCGTCAGCCACGGAAGCCGTAATCGACTCTGGCTTCGTTCCCTGTGGTAGGTTTATCGAACGAGAGAATTTGCCATACGATCGTTCGCGAATAACGTAAGGAGAGGAAGCTGCTTTAACAACTTGCCGCTCCTGTTCGGTCGAGTCCGACGGACGCTCAGTCGTAACGTCTTCAGCTGCCTGGTCTCAAATGAGGAGGTACGCTCCCCGGAGATAGTCAAACGGTCGTCGTGAAGCTCTATGGAGAGATCTCCACGCCTGAATCCGGGGACTTCGACCGTCGCGGTAACGGTCCCGTCGGCGTTCTCGACCAAGTCAAGCCTGTAATAGTAGGAGTTGTGATGAGTAACCTAATATCTTGCCACATTCGTTTGAGACCATGATACTCACCTAGGCTTGAAGAAACGCTGAGTAGAAGGACGAGGAACCACGGTGCTGATGAGAGACAGGAGCCACGTCAACGGAGGGCGCTCCAAGCGCTTCGTCAAGGAAGCGGTCCACCACGTCGAATACACCAATGGTCTGTAACGAAACGACATTATTTCGAGGTCACTTAGAGACTAGAGTGATGAGAAGTGCGCAAGAGAGTAGAAGAGGCAAGTGTACGAGAAGATTGGTGTGATTCTTTTCTCAGAGGAGACGAGGACGCCTCTCCAGGCGCCCTTTTATACGTAAGATGTAGGTACGCGTCATCAATTTGATCACCTAACAGTAGCAAGCGCTCGAAATCTCTAGAAATATCCTGATTACACACATTGGGAAGTGTCCACATCATACCACCAAGTTCTAGAATGTTCCACGACTGCCTCATCCGCACAGCTCGGAGCACGCGTACGTGCACACACATGGAAAGCCCCTTAACGCCAACTGAAAACAACTCATCTTGCATGACCTCACAGTATTTGAGGTTTGAAATTGTACTGACCAGTTTGTTCTTGGGTCGACAAATGTGGCGACCGACTGCGGTCCCATTCAATGCTTCTCCCATTTCGCCAAATGGGTCATATCCGCCAACTGCAGGCTTGCTAGCTCCAGCAAAGTAGCTGGGCAGGGACTTAGAATACCTTGACTGGTAGACAGCAATGAATCTGGCTCAATGTGCTCCTTCCCCATTAGGCAGTTCGTGTGCATTGACGTTGTCAATATTCATCTCAACAGCAATTCAGGACTTATCAAGCACAATTCTTTGAAGGAGAACTACAGATGCGTGTTACAGGCTGTTGATACTACAAGGCAGGGGAGCGCAAAGCAATTTTTCAGAGCACGAGGTGAAATTTTCCACAGTCACAGCAAACAATTGCGTTCCCTTCAAGAAATCGTAATCTTCTTCGGTTCCGCCTGAGGCTTCTGCTTGGGGAACGAAACCGTCAAAATCCCATCCTGAACTGACGCTTTGATGTCTTCGGGTGTAGTACCCTCCGGGACTCCAATGTCCCTAGAAAACTTTCCGTAATAACGTTCACGGAGGACCCACGAGTGTCCCCGCCTTTCGCCCGTTTCTCCTTCCTCGGCGGGGCGAGTCTCTTTCTCGTGCTTGCGTTCGCCGGAGATGGTGAGTCTGTCGCCGTGAAGTTCGATATTAACGTCTTCACGCTTCAAGCCGGGGACTTCGAGAATGGCCGTCAAGGTGTTGTCGGGATTCTCTCGAAGATCCAATCTATAAGGGAGTAAGAACAATCATGGTGAGCCAAACGTCCACCCAATGGAAGCAGGGAGGGAATAAAATGTACGTACTTGGGTCTGAAGAAGCGCTGAGTCTGCTGGGAACGCTGGCCGGATTGAGACCTGGTAGGAATAACGGCCCAACCACTACCGAATGCATCATCAAAGAAGCGATCGAACTCGTCGAATGGTGACGATGTATTGTACTGCCAAAGGGCCATCGTGGTAACAGATGCTGAGCTGAGATGCTGCAGAAACAAGTGCGAGTCGCTTTGGTTTGCAGAACAGCAGGGCGAGAAGGTCTAGGGGTATTTGTACGCAGAGTGAGGCATAGCTCACGTAAGTGTCGGATAATCGGTGGCACGCGCGAGTTTGAACCAGGAAGTTCTGGAAACCAGTGGAGCATGCCAGTGTGTATGTATTATCTCAGCCCTCTGCGTCGTTCTACATCGTTCTCCAGTACCAGAAAATGGGGCGCATGACCCTCCGCCCCCACAGAAGGTGGAGCTTGTGATACTAGCTAGGCAGGTGACCAACCTCTCTTGAACGGGAAGGGAGTCTAAATCACACAAACAGTGGCACGTTCCGGAAGTCAGCACTGGTACTACCGTGGGAACTAACCCGATCTGGCATGGTGCTCTCTGTCTATGCCAACTCAACCGGTATGATATGGCCTGAAATACAAGGATCGGTAGGAGATACGATGTGTCGGGCCAGTCGGGGCGGAGATTTAACCTAGGTTTTGAACTGCCCCCATGACTCATTGAACTTTCATTACCATTTCCGGGATTGGTTTACAGGTTAGCTTGCTGCTACATCGTCTGTGTCAGATCACGAACGCCTAGTGAACTCTTGACTCTATCGGTATCTTGCACGCGCTCTTACTCTTGACCTTAAGGATAATTCGCGATCCCTCATGCTTGAGGATATCCGAGGGGAAGATTCTGGCCGACAATCGAGCCTTCAATCTGAAACGGTTAGGAGGGAGTCCGTGGAGGATGCAAACTTTGCTTTCAATGGCATCCTTCACGATCAACTTGACACCCTTGTCGCAGACTACGGAAAACAAACTGTCGAGTTATCCGAAGCCTGTAGACGGCTTAGAACCTACCTCGGAGATGCAACGGACATTTCCGACGCCCAACGGGATACAATCTTTGATCGATATATTGGATATTTCGAGCAAGCGATCATCAGACGGCGACGGGACCAAAGGGGAATAGAGAGAGGGGAAATTCAAAAGAATGGGCACCAGGGAGCTAACGTTGCTAGAGCGTTTGGAACTACCGATCGGGAAGGAGGGTTTCTCATCAACCAGGGCGACAAACGAAGAAGAGCAGAAGGAGATGAGTTCAAACAAAGGAATAAACGTCCACGCAACATCGAGGATGACCACGATCCACGCTTTGCCTGGAACTGGCAGCATAGCAGAGGTCATCCCCCTGGGATCTCAACGCAGCTCTTACGACCGCCCAAAAAACCCATCAACTCCGAAACGTTTACAACCTCGATGAAGATGAAGCCGTACAGAGCCTTTTGGCTCAAGGAAACACGCCACCATTCCCGCAACATCTCTGGGAAGATGTGCTCTGTGACAGACACGTCAACCTTGCGGCCACCATCGAAGATCACAACTCACAACTTTCTTCGGACTCCTCTGATTCGATGGAGCCACCACCAATGAAGACAAGACCAGTCCAGTCGCAGACAGAGTGGCTCTTGGCATTCGATAAATATAAGCACGCTCTTCTCTGGGCCTATCCACATCGTCGCGACGAGTTGGATCAATACTATGCACACATCATCTTCAAGTTCGCGAGCTGCGTAGATCACTCGCGAGTGATCAATTACGACTCAGCTGTCCGGAAATTCGTCCACGAACGACCCAACCTTACGCTTGCCGACACCCATGAATTCGTCGATCTTGCCTTTAGTCACCTTCACGACGATGGGGCAGCTCATCGCGCAAACATGGGTACTTACGTGGATGGTTCGAAGCCGAAGGGGAAGCAAGGAAGGCGAAAAAGTGGAAAGGGATCCATGCCAATTTGTGGTAGGTTCAACTCGAGGAAGGGTTGTAGCTTCGATCCCTGCCGATTCGGACATATCTGTAAAGAATGTGGAGGGAACCACCCCAAATTCCAATGCGGGACCAAATGAGGGCAGGGAGAACAGTTGGATAAGATGGAGCTCGCCCCGTTGTATCCGATTTATCTTTGGTCAAAACGATTTCTGTCTGTGATGTAAGTACACTGAAAGCCCCCGGGGGTAGTATAATATCAGTAACTGATATGCGCATCGTGACATCGTTGTTGCTTGGTCGTCCAATGGGAGTTACGGTTTATTCTAGGTAGGTGACCAGCCTCCTATTTCTCAAATTTGTTTTATACATTTTGTAACCCGGCCGAATATACCCAGTTCTGCCAAGAAGTGAGCAGCAACTTGAGGGACGACGGCTGGGTGCGACGCTGCGTATTAGTGGTGTAGCATTATGTAATCATGGGGACTGTCCTGCCTAAGGTGGCAGTGGAGAACAGCGGCTGGCAACTGTAACTCTTCGCCCGCTGAAAATCCACCCCTAAATCACAGAAGCTAAAATTCCGATAGGTCGTTTTGGCTCAGCACCTGTAAGTCCAACTTTAAAATTCAAGGTTCCATGAATATCGTGGGAAATAGGTATGCGAATGGCACCGCACTTGTAGTCGTATTATTGATGCAAGAGAATGTACACATGATAATGACAGAGTCACTGAAGGGAAAAGTTACATGAAGGACACGGGTCCTGGTACTGAGAGGGCAACTTCTACATGTCGGCGGGAGCAAGGGGAAATAACAAAGCAAGTAACAAAAACCAAGTGGAACCCAATCAACGGAGTCACGATGAAAGGGCATTATCATTTTTGAATCCCAAGCTAACGGGCTTCGCACTCGAAGCATAAGAATGCCCAGACGGGGACGCTCCAGTTGGGGGGAGCGAGTTTTGAATGGCACGCAATTCTGCGGCCCTGAGGATTCGAAGTTTCTGGGATGGTGGAATAGCCTTTTCCGATTCCTGCTCGAGTCCACCATAAAGAACGCCAACGCGCATCATAGCAAGCAAGTTGTGCGCCGCATTCGAGTGATCGTAAACACCACCATGGAAAGCTGTTGTTGCATCCTTCCCGATGTTCTTCGCTAACAAGTGTCGTCCACCAGGGTGTTCATCCAAGAAAGCGGAAACGTCGTGGATGAATCCACTGACGAGAATCAAAGGACGTTCTCGGCTTTGCTCCTGGAACGCCTCCCAGCTGACGACGGGCATATCTTCTGAATCTGTTGGCCATGTAAGACGATCTTGTTCTGCGTGAAGCTTCTTCAGCTTCATCGTGAGCTGACCCTTCGCTACCTCGTTCTCAGGAAAGACCTTGAGATGCGATGCGAGACCAAGTTTCGCCAGAATTGCAATGAACCACTTGGTAGGATCATACTGATACCATTTGATCGCATTGCGGTAATCCATGGGGAATTCATGATGGAAGTTATGGTAGCCCTCGCCGATCGTGACCAGTGCGGTAAGCATGTGATCACGAGGAGTGTGCTTGTCATCGAAAGGCGTTTCGCCGAGCCAATGAGCAAGAGAATTCACGCAGAACGTCGACTATTGCAGCCGATTAGCAATCACTTTCAAGTCAGGTGTGCAAAACACTCACGTGGTGGACAAAGAGCAAACGGGCAGCCCCCGCATAAAAGAATCCTCCACGGAAATCACCCCAGCACACCCCAGGGATTACGGTAGGGATGATGAATGACACGGTAAGCAGTAACTCGACGTACCAGCGGTGTTGGAAGCGAACAACAGGGTTGTTGGACAAGTCGCTTACATCGGCAACACCGGGTTTCCGACGAGGCTTAAAGACCATCCAACCAATATGGGACCAGAGAAGACCGTGCTGAGCACCATAAGGGTCAAGATCGCTATCTGTATAACGATGATGAGCACGATGTCCGCGGGACCACCATTTAATGGAACCCTGGACAGCACCAGCGCCTGCGAAGGCGAGGAAGTATTCTAGAGGCTTCGAGGCATTATAGGCGCGATGGGCCCAGAGACGGTGATATCCGGCAGTAATGCCCAATCTACAACAAGTCGCCGTCAGCGGCGGCTCCAACAAAAAAAAGAAGTGCGGGATTGTGACTTACCCAGTGACGAAATACCAAAACACAGAGAACACAAAAGTCTGCCATCTGAGCGTGGTAGTAAGCGCACCGTAGAGAGAAAGCAGTGGGGTAATTGTAAGGGCCAGAGTGCTGATCCATTGGATTTCTTTCAAGATATTCTTGAATTGGATTGGGGGAAGCGGCGGAACGGTAGCAATGGTGTGTTGGACGTAGTTGTCGGGAATATGGAGGTCAGCTGGCTCGACGAATCGCTCATCGGCGCGCTTCTCAGGTGGGGGAGATTGGGGAGGGGTAAGGGGGCTGACAATAGGTTCGAATTTGCGGGGAGTTGGGGCTGCCATTGGAATGTCTTTCTCTAGGATCTGAGACATCTAATGAGGGTCTGGAGTCTAAATCGAAGGAACTGTAATCGAAGATGAGAAATTTTGGCGATGCCCAAGATGAAGAAATTGCTCACCAGCCGATGAAGAGAAGGATTTCAGAGACTGAAAAAAATCGTTAAACGTCCACGGCGTACAGGATGCCGAGCGACGTCGATCGGGATTGAGAAAGGGTGAGGTGAGGTAGGTGAATGCAACAGCTTTTCTTCCACCCCAATTTATATATGTATCTTATCCCCAAATAATTTTGGTTCCGCCCCAAGATATCTTTAATTCAGTTAGGCCACAACGACACGTCACGCCGTTTGGGGAATGGAAGAAAATTGCAAGGCCCCGGAACACAGCCAGAATCCAGAAGCAACTGTTTGAAGCGTACCGGATGAGTTGCGCCTGCTCATATCACGCTCTTCGTTGAGAGTGACGTTGTCGAAATCAGTGGGGTTGACACGCCGGTTGCCGAATAAGGGAAGATGGAAACGCAACTCCGAGAGAAAGAGAGACAATTCAATCAACATGACTCCTTCGGAATCTGCCTATCCATCATGGAGGTGATTTTGGTAAGTAATTCACTTCAGCCCGTACACAGCGTTGTTCACGAATAACTCGATTATGTTTTTGCCCAGCAAGGGACTGGGACAAGTTCCGCTCTGCCTCTCATCTCATGTGTGACGCAATACAATGTCCCATGTAACACATGCTGGTCATCATCCCTACCACAAGGCAGGCAAAATAATCGAAGAAACACTGGCGCGTACTTGAGGCGAATTGGAGAGGATAGTGTGGTTGTCATAGATGTCGGGAAGGGCTTTCTTGCGAGCGCTCTTGAGTGGTTTCCAAAATATAAACTTAGGAAGATCGCTGCAGTTGTGCTTACACACGCTCACGCCGACGGTATGGTGGCAGGTTCTTCCCTTCCCAATAGCACTGAAACCGTCCGCACCTTTTTTGTAGCCATCAATGGCTTAGACGATCTCCGAGGCTCGTGAACGAACACCCCGTGTATATGACACTCGACTAATGTCACGTTCGATCTTGTGTCATCTCCAGGTTGGACTCTACGCGGGATTCTACAGGATCACATAGACGTCCACTTATCTAGAGCAACATACGAGGAAGTCAAAAGGGCATTCCCCTACCTCATCGCAAAGGAGTTTGCTACAGGAGGTGGAGACGTAGGTGTTTCTGCTGACTCCAATTCATTCGTTGCGTCCAGCTCACACTGCCCTGTCAACTTTATTCTCCGTTCCTTCTTTCTTATTGGTGGGGCGTCCACCCCGCCGGACCTTAAAAACCCCCAACGAATCTTAAAGGTCCCAGAATTCAAATACCATATTTTCGAAGAGGCTGTGCCTTTCACTATTGATGGCCTGTACTCCTTAGTCCCATTAGCCGGTAAGTGTGCCTTTGTGACACCCGATGGTGTCCCCATCGTCGGGTATAGTAGTCGTTTACCCATTTCTGGCGTGCAGTCCACCACGGTCGATTTTTCAGTACCCCTGCTCCGGCGACGCCTCCAACGCTTACCAATGAATCACCATCGTCTGTTGTGGCTGACAAGGGGGCAGCTGGAGCTCCGCCTATGCAACTCGGTATCCATTTGGCGCCGGAACCGGATTCGTCTCCGTATATTGCATACGGGTTTCTTATCCAGCTTCTTTCATCACCCTTATCTTCCCCACTGAGGGTAGCGTCAACAGCCGGCGGCAGGTCTATACCGGCGGCAGAAACAACAGGAATTGGACCACTAAGCAACGTAATTGAAAACCCTGGGCAGGAGGTGTTGTGCACATCTGCAGCCACTCCCTCCATAGTCTACATCTCAGATGTTTCTTTCATACCGGAAAGTACCTGGAACATACTTGGACGGTATCTTTCTCTGAACACAGGATCTAGACCCCCCTCACTCTTATCAGCCGCGACCCGCGACCCCGCTGAATCCATACCGAAGCCTTCCCTACCCCACGAAACAAACGACTCCATTCCGGCCCTCAACTCGCCCAGCCATCATGTCTCTCCAACTTCCTCTCCACGGATCACATACCGAAATCTAAGGACGCAACATTTCGCCCAAGCGCAACCCTTCTCATCTTAGACTGCCTCCGCACGAGTCCACACTCCTCCCACTTCGGTCTCCTTCAAACGCTCCTTACAGCTCACCGAATTCGTCCACGACGCACGTATCTCGTTGGATTCGGACATGAGCTCACCCATGCAGAGTGGACGCTCATCGGAGAGATTTTACAACGTTTCTCTGCTCCTTCCAAGCCAGTCAACGACAGTAAGGGAGCGATTGTCAAGACGCTCGAAGAGATGAGCTTCGACGAGAGTTGGGAGGCTCCCGGGGGAGGAGTGAGGAAACGGATGATTGAACCGGCTATGAAAGTCTTGGGAAAATACTTAAGACACGTGGAGAGGTATGCAAATGTGGGGGAGGGGTTGTTTGTGAGACCCGCTTACGACGGTATGAGGGTTGTTGTACAGGATAGTGATGTATCTGATGGGTGAGAGGTAATGGAAGGATGGGTTGTCGAGTTAAGGGGGAAATTTCCCACCGGAACCACATGGTGCGTGGAAGGACTTGAATCCTTAGAAGAACACATCTTTGTCTTACTATGCGTGTGAACGGCACTGGACGCTTCGGCAGTATTGTCAGAATCGCCTCACTCACAAGTACGTTTTTGATCTTCCTTCAAGACAACCGCATCTGTGCGCGCTTGTCTTCTGGTGGTGATATGGCATTCCGATGTCCTTTGTGCCGATGGTTGGCTAGTCAACAATATGTTGCCACCATTGAGACAAAGCTAAGGTTTCATTGCTGTTAGTGCTTTGTTCCTTTGTGCCACACGTGCTCAGATTTTTACATGATAAAGCATCATCTGAGTCGCGCCGTTGCGGCATTTTTTAGTCTCCTAAGGAGCTTATATCATCCCTTGTTGCCGGGATTCTTGCGATCCAGGCCGGGCAACTGATCGAACAAAGCCCGGCGCCTTTCAGCCTCGCCGCCTGCTAACTGGTCTTGGATTTTTCGCTCTGCCAGCATAGATTCGGTAGTCCCTTTGGTAGCGTGAATACTGCCGAGAGTCGTGGAAACGGGCTCGGGAAGTATTCACGTCCCAATCATGGGGAGGTTCAAGGCAGAACTTGGCTAAATAGCATACGCTAACAGTCTTTAGCGTGGCAGCCTTTCTTGGTGAGAGACCATATCCATCGTCCGATTTCGCATGATAGTGCGGAAGGGACTGCTTCAGCCCAACCCTGCAGGTGCCATGATTCGTTCATCCGGCATCAATAACGCTATTTCTGGGGAACCGATCGGGTGCTAGGGTGTATGAGACCGACATGGAGAGATCTCTCCGACGTTAGTGAATATCCATACGCGCGGGCGCCAATTACTTCGCAAAGCGAAAAATTAGATGCAGAGAAGAGCTTACAATCGCTGGTATAGGCGGTACTTGGGAGCGTGTTTGCATCCATTCGTGGCTTCAATAGTCTATATGTTTCTGAGCCACTGCGGGAGACCGCAGGTTCCGAAACTCGTTTGGACCAAATCAGCCGGGTTTGTACAGCCGCGCGCGTGAGAGTGTCGCCTAAGAGTACTAGCGCGTGTCTGAGAAGTGATGCGCGAAGTACGAGTGAAGGGATGCATGATGCTGTGATTTGTACGATCTTCCGCGCACCTCACGCATGCACCATACACTCAGCTTCTCGACATTACTTCAACATCGTTGTATCTCTTGCTGGAGTAATGGATGGCGCCGCGACCACCAAATTGAAAAAAAAAAACCTGGCATCATTCCGATGATGTAAACAGATCCAACGATGATCAAGGATTCGGGCACTTAAGTAGGATTTAAGAGCGGGCAGTGTCTAGGTACACTGGAGCTCACCTTTCCCTCCGTCAGTGTACGTCTGGGAGTATACGTTATTTCAACATCTTCCCCTTACCATGAGCACTTCTAAGCACTCCGACAATGACTCACGACAGGGCCCGCCAGACGATGTCATCGAACGCATTGAACGAGGTCAACCGAACGTACGAGTTCCTCACTGGATAATGTTGCTTGTCTATTACTGAATTTGGCGTGCGATTTAGGAAGATATAGAGAACCGGTACACAACTCTTGCGTGGACTGCAACATCAGAGGGGCCAATATACTGGACCCATAAATATGGGTCGGTGTCGCCGATACGTGCGCCTCCTGAGCTCCCCCAAGTGCGACCCACTGAGACGGATCCAAGACGTTTGGAAAGTGGGACCGCGCTGGGGAGCGGTGCGGCTACGAATTCATGTAATCCTTCCAACCCCCCCTCTATCTGGCAGACCGTCGTCGAGCATACTACCCACCACGATAAAGAGTTGGTAAAGGACTGGCAGAAATCCATGGATGTCCTCCTTATCTTCGTAAGGCCGTTTCTCTCTCTTTTGTTGAATGGTTGTCAATGTGGTTTCGTAGGCTGCATTGTTCGCAGGCATCCTCACAGCCTTCTTGATTGAATCTACCAAGCGGTTGGAGGGACATTTTCCGGAAGAAACGGTGGTATTGTTGCGGCAGATTGCGCAAACCCTAAACAATACCTCATCTACTTATGTCCTACCGGAACCGCGGAGATCCACTTCCACTCTGCTTCTTATCAACCGTCTATGGTTCTCTTCTCTTTCCTTGACCATTGGATCCGCAGTCGGTGCTATGGTCGTTAAACAATGGTTATCTGAGTACAAGAAATCCTTGAACGATTTAAAATTCGAGTCCCAGAACCATGCATCACAGGAACGATACCAACAAAGGGCTTGCCTTCGTGAGTTCCGCTACAGTGGACTTACGCAGTGGTATGTGCCAGAGATCATTGGATTCTTGTCCATTGCGCTACACGCTGCTTTACTGCTCTTCTGGGTGGGACTCGTTCATTGTCTGTGGGAACTTGACCTCTATACCTCCATCCTCGTCATTGTCACCTCCGGGATTGCCCTTGTATCCCACATTGGATCCACGATTCTTCCTTCTATAATCCTTGGGTGCCCCTATAAGACGCCCATCTCACATCTTATTTCCAACACAATTCGTGCAATTCGGGTCATATCCAATAAGTGGCCACCCAATCCTCACGATCCAAGGAGGAAAAAGAAGCTAAAGGCTCGGTTCCACGACGCCATTCGTGTTCACCGAATTCTATGGGAAGATGAGAAGGAGAAGGTAGAACGCCACGCATCCGATTTAGCCAAGAAATGCCTTGAACGCCTGAGGGCATCTACGATAAGCGAAGCAACTGCCGCCTGGGTCACGGAAGAACTTCAGAAACTCTCACACACCGCGCCACACCATCCCGTATCTATTCCTCGGCATACCACCTACGATATCGCTTCAGGTGCCCAGCCTGAGTGGAATGCAATAGTAGAGGGAATGGGAGCGCGGACACCTTGATACCCAACGGGGTCCCTTGCTATTAATTTTAGAAGAGTAGCGACCTAAGAATATCGGGGTAACTCCCGTGAACGGTGACCTCCTTGGTTTTCGGATCAACATATCTAGATTCTCTATTGGATGGTATCGCGCAGGATACGATCGACGACGCGAAATGATCACGAACTGCGACCATTTCATATTTAACTCGAAAGACCAAAAGAAATTGCGCCATGTACACTAAGGACGACCTATATGACCTTCGATTGGTGACGCCAACGAAAATGTAGACATTCTGGAATCCAAAATTCAATGACACGTTGTGGGTTTCTCCAGCACCCATTTGCTTGCGGTCTTGGTTGGCTGGCTCTAGTGAGAGGACTCCAGCAGAGAACAGCTCAAGGATTAGCAACATTGACAGGTGTTGTGAATGTGAACGCGGCGTTCCAAATATGGCAACCCGCTTCAGCGGTTCACTCGCAGTCCAGAAGTAATATAGAGGAGAGGAATATAAAGTATATACGACGCTCCAGCGCCCATATTTATACTCTGCAATAATATTCTTCTATGCGCAAGCACTGATGCAGGCGCTTAGTCAGCCGTAAAATAACCGGTTCGGTCGATACATGTGACTCGCATTTCTAACAGAAACCGACGACGTTTCTGTTGGAGTAACAACGACCCGTGACTTACCCCCACCGAGGGTAGCGGCAGGTCTATACCGGCGGCAGAAACAACAGGAACCGGGCCGCTCAGCAACGTAATTGAGAACCCTGTTGTGCACATCTGCAGCTACTCCCTCCAGTGTCTACATCTCAGATGTTTCTTTCATACCGGAAAGTACCTGGAATATACTTGAACAGCATCTTTCTCCTCCGAACGAAGGATCTAGACCTCCCCCACTCTTATCAGCTGTGACCCGCGACCCCGTTGCACCCATACCGAAGCCTTCCCTACCCCACGAAACAAATGACTCCATTCCGACCCTCAACTCGTTCAGCCATCATGTCTCTCCACCTTCCTCTCCTACGGATCGCATACCGAAATCTAAGGACGCAACACTTCGCCCAAGCGCAGCCCTTAGACTGCCTCCGCACGAGTCCACACTCCTCCCACTTCGGCCTCCTTCAAGCACTCCTTACAGCTCACCGACTTCGTCCACCACGCACGTATCTCGTTGGATTCGGACATGAGCTCACCCATGCAGAATGGACGCTCATCGGGGAGACCTTACACCGTTTCTCTGCTCCCGAGCCAGTCGACGACAGTAAGGGAGTGATTGTCAAGACGCTCGAAGAGATGAGCTTCGACGAGAGTTGGGAGGCTTCCGGGGGAGGGGTGAGGAAACGGATGATGAACCGGCCATGAAAGTCTTGGTTAAGAGGTATGCTGATATGGGGAAGGGGTCGTTTGTGAGACCCGCTTACGACGGTATGAGGGTTGTTGTACGGGATAGTGATGTATTTGATGGGTGAGAGGTGATGGAAGGATGGGTACCACATGGTGCGTGGAAGGACTTGAATCCTTAGAAGAACACATCTTTGTCTTACTATGCGTGGGTGCACGGCACTGGACGCTTCGGCAGTATTGCAAGAATCGCCTCACTCACAAGTACGTTTTTGATCTTCAAGACAATCTGCATCTGTGCGCGCTTGTCTTCTGATGGTGATAAAGCATGATGTGAGTCGCGCGTCGTTGCGGCATTTTTTAGTCTTGTATCGCCGGGATTCCTGCGATCCAGGTCGGGCAACTGATCGAACAAAGTCCGGCGCCTTCCAGCTGCCAACTGGTCTTGGATTGACTTTTTCGTTCTGCCAGCATAGATTCGATAGTCCCTTTGGTGAATACTGCCGAGAGTCGTGGAAACGGGTTCGGGAAGTATTCACGTCCGAGGTTCAAGGCAGAACTTGCTAAATAGTATACACCAACAGTCTTTAACGTGCACCTCTCGGGAGCCTTTCTTTGTGAGACCATATCTATCGTCCGATTATGCATGATAGTGCGGAGGGGACTACTTCAGCCCACCCTGCAGGTGCCATGATTCGTTCATCCAATGGGGCCGGCATCAATGACGCTATTTCTGGGGAACTGGTCGGGTGCTAGGGTGTATGGGACCGACACGCAGAGATTTCTCCGACGTTAGTGAATATCCATACGCGCGGGCGCCAATCACTTCGCGAAGCGAAAAATTAGATGCAGAGAAGAGCTTATAATCGCTGGTATAGGCGGTACTTAGGAGCGTGTTTGCATCCATTCGTGGCTTCAATGGTGGTCTATTTCTCGGGAGACGTTTGGACCAAACCAGCCGACAATACATCGCGGGTTTGTACAGCCGTGCGCGCGCGCGACATTGCGCGCGAGAGTGTCGCCTAAGAGTACTAGCGCGTGTACGGCTGAGAAGTGATGCGCGCGAATTACGAGTGAAGGGATGCATGATGCTCTGATTTGTACCATCTTCCGCGCACCTCATGCACCCATGCACTCAACTTCTCAATATTACCTCAACACTGTTGTATCTCCTGCCTGAGTGATGGATGGCGCCGCGACCACCAAATTACAAGAAACCTAGCAGCAACCATGTCATTCCGATGATGTAAATGGATCCAAAGATAATCCGTCAGTGTACGTCTGGGAGCATACGTTATTTCAACGTCTTCCCCTTACCATGAGCACTCCTAAGCACTCCGACAATGACTCACGACACGGCCCGCCAGACGATGTCATCGAACGTGTTGAACAAGGTCAACCGAACGTACGAGTTCCTCACTGGATAATGTTGCTGGTCTATTACTGAATTCGGGGTGCGATTTAGGAAGATATAGAGAACCGGTACACAACTCTTGCGTGGACCGGAGCTGCAACATCAGAGGGGCCAATACACTGGACCCATAAATATGGATCGGTGTCGCCGGTACGCAGCTCATTCCTTGTCGATGCGGTCCCCTTGCATGTGATACTCATTTTCAATTAGGCTCCGCTTCGAGGGAGAGATGGGCACCGCATGCCCATCATCCCTCATACTGGCCTCACAGAATCCACTCCAATACATGCACCTCCTGAGCTCCCCCAGGTGCGACCCACTGAGCCGGAATCAAGACGTTTGGAAAGTGGGACCGCGCTGGGGAGCTCCAACTTCCCCCCTTCTATCTGGCAGGCCGCCGTTCAGCGTGCTACCCCCCACGATAAAGAGTTGGTCAAAGACTGGCAGAAATCCATGGATGTCCTCCTTATCTTCGTAAGGCCGTCTCTCTCTATTGTTGAATTGTTGTCAATGTGGTTGCGTAGACTGCATTGTTCGCAGGCATCCTCACAGCCTTCTTGATTGAATCTACCAATCGATTGGAGGGAAATTATCCAGAAGAAACGGTGGTATTGTTGCGGCAGATTGCGCGAAACCTAAACAATGCCTCATCTACTTATGTCCTACCGGAACCGCGGAGATCCACTTCTACTCTGCTTCTTATCAACCGTCTATGGTTCTCTTCTCTTTCCTTAACCATTGGATCCGCAGCCGGTGCTATGGTCGTTAAACAATGGTTATCTGAGTACAAGAAATCCTTGGGGGATTTAAAATCTGAGTCCCGGAACTATGCATCGCAGGAACAATACAAACGAGTGGCTCGCCTTCGTGAATTCCGCTACAGTGGACTTACGAAGTGGTATGTGCCAGAGATCATTGGATTCTTGCCCATTGCGCTACACGCTGCTTTACTGCTCTTCTGGGTGGGACTCGTTCGTTGTCTGTGGGAACTTGACCTCTATACCTCCATCCTCGTCTCTGTCACCACCGGGATTGCCCTTTTATTCTACATTGGATCCACGATCCTTCCTTCTATATTCCCAGACTGCCCCTATAAGACGCCCATCTCACATCTTATTTCCAACACAAATCGTGCAATTTGTATCATATCCAATCAGTGGCCACCCGATGCTAACGATCCGAGGAGGCAAAAGAAGCTAAAGGCTCGGTTACACGATGTCATTCGTGTTCACGGAGTTCTATGGGAAGATGAGAAGGAGGAGGTAGAACGCTGCGCACCCGATTTAGACAATAAATGCCTTAAACGCCTGAGGGGATCTACAATCAGCGAAGCAACTGCCGCCGGGGTCACGGAAGAGTCTTAGTAACTCTCACACACCACGCCACACCATCTATTCCTCAGCATGCCAACCACAATATCGCTTCAGGTGCCCAGCCCTAGGGAAATGCAGTAGTAGAGGGGGATGGGAGCGTGGACACCTTGAGGGCTGGAAATGATCACGAACCGCGGCGATTTCATATTTAACACGAAAGACCAAAAGAAATTGCGCCATGTACCCTTATTCTGAAGCCAGGATGTCTACTGGCGCAAATTTATCCGATTGACAGCATTACTTCGTACAGGGCCTGTAGTATATGACCTTCGATTGGTGACGCCAACGGAAATGTAGACAGTCTGGAATCCAAAATTCAATGACAGGTTGTGGGCTTCTCCCGCACCCATTGACAGCCTCAATGACAATGACAGGCGTTGTGAACGCGGCGTTCCAAACACGGCAATCCGCTTCAGGGGTTCAAGGCTAGTCCAGAAGCAACCAAAGCACACACGGTGCCCCAGCGCCCATATTTATACTCTGCAACAATATTCTTCTATGCGCAGCACTGATGCAGGCGCTTAGTCAGCCGTAAAATACTGGTTCGGTCGATACATGTGACTCGCATTTCTGGTCATAGAAACTAGTGAAGCAACGGACGACGTCTCGCATCACCACGGGACATTGATATATCTGAGCGATCGTATGTCCCGAAGTTAGGAACCTAGCTCCAAACCCCAGCTGCCAATATATTGGTGATCAGCCGCGACTCGGTATCACCCCAGATGCCCTTGACGACTGGCCACACGGTCATGGGCCGTGGCCCCAAACGTGCATCAAATGTGGCTGGTCCTCTCGCTGGAACGTTCTTGAGCTGGTTTGGTGTTCCGGATATTCTGGATCCTACTTCTGGGAAGAGTCAGTGACCAAGGGGACTGATGTCAGCTTTATTCATCATTCTCTCAGCTCTCACGGCAGAGGATCTCCTGAATCTGCATTAGCACTTTCTTGTCGATGTATGCTCCGCGCAGCGGAGATGGACACTCACTTAAACACTTACCTTGTCACGGAGAATGCGAACCCCACCGGGATGATGCCCATGCCCCAGTGTTTTCTTCCATCAAGAGAACACTGGATTATTTCGCACATATCCTCAATCAGTACTCGCTTTTCGATGAACTTTATACGTGGCAGTTGAATTGACCACATGCTCTCGGAATCCCGTCAGGCGGGTAAATTCCCATGCTAACTGTGTCAGGGGGAGTTCCCCTACAGCTATAATTAATGTCTATGCGACTGGCCCTCCCCTTGGTCAGCCGGCCATTGGACATCGTTTTTGAACTATCCCATGGCTGCGTGACAGGGAAGAAGTTATTTTGCGATTTATCTCACGGCTAACAACTGAATTTGTGTCTCGAGAAGGGAACTGTCAGGCATGGTCCAGTTGCTGGGTGCGCGTCTGTTTTTTTGGGGGTAACTATCTCCTGTGATGTCGAACCATACTAGAAGACTCCGGGGCGTTCCAAAGGTGGTAAAATGGGCACGGGCCCCCTCTTCCCACCGATTCCGACGCCCTGAAGGGCGAACTGAAACAGTTCGTGGTATGCAGGGGCGTGAGCCTGACGACTATCACTAGGACACTGTGTTATATTGTACGCGAGAATGAATCTCACAGATAAATAACTATCGTTCGATTTCTCGGCCGCTGCTTGGCTGCATTCCCCTTCAGATCACATAATTCTGGTTTGTCAAACTGGCCCCTGATTGACCGCATACAACCTTCACTCGATAATGACGTGACCTCATCCGTGAGGTTTGTCTATATGTTAGATATACATACGATCTAAACGGTTAGTACTGTTAGAGGTAACGACAAAGTGGCAACAATCGACATCGACGTCATGGATCATGGTGCGGGACTACTGCCAGTTGCAAGCGCCGAGCGCCGACTGCCGTCAAGACTCGTCCGTTAGGGTCAAACCACTGCTTTGTAATTCATGTTCTTGACCCTTTCATATTTTGGCCGGACCATCCAAGTCCCTTCTGGGGGGTGAAGGTTTTGTTTCCCCGTTATAGCCAGTTCGCGTCCTGAAGCCCACTAGATTGATAATGGGCGTGGTATTTGCGTGGTCATCCGGGCACTTGTTCAGGAGAACCTCGGGACTCTGGCGAGCACTTATTTAAAAGCGGCTGCCTATGATGAGGGTTACGATAGTTGCCCCCAGATGTCTTTTCGTTTCTTACTGGCGCCACTGCTCTTTTTGCTGGCCTCAGCGGCACCAAAAAGCTACACCTTGAACCTCGTAGATGCCAACGTTATACCCGATGGTTTCACCCGGCAGGCTGTCACTGTGGACGGAAGTTTCGCACCATTGCTGACGGCACAGAAGGACGACATCTTCCAGATTACCGTCAACAACCACTTAACTAACTCTACAATGCTCAAGTCTACGTCTATTGTGCGTTCATGAATCCGGCCAAACGTGGAGGTCTGTGCTTACCTTTTCATAAAAGCATTGGCACGGGCTTTTCCAGCATAGGACAGCTGCTATGGATGTATGTGGGTCTAATAACCCCCTTGGAACGAAATCTGACTTGTTGAGAATAAGGGGGTCGCCTTTGTTACCCAATGCCCAATAACTCCAAACACTTCTTTCGTTTACCAATTCGCCACTGCTGGGCAGACTGGCACATATTGGTGAATTTCTAGTTGCATGCTCTCATCATACTAACCGCTGACTGCCGTCCAGGTACCACTCTCATTACTCCCTCCAGTATTGCGACGGTAAGTCGTATCTGGCCGTTGTACTGCTATATTGTTTATAAATGTAAATCAGGATTGCGCGGTCCTATTGTGGTCTGTCAGTTTAGCTCATTTCTAAATTCGGTACATGCGGAAGCTCAATCTTGGTTAGATGATCCGAATGATCCTCAGAACGGTCTGTACGACGTGGATGATGCCAGCACAGTGATCACAATTGCGGACTGGTACCATATGTGAGTCATGTATCAATATGCTAGCCATAGATAGTCTCGAATCTCTGTCCCTTTAGCCCAGCTCAGCTGAATTTCAACCCCAAGACGGGTTTCCCACCAACTCCGTCGTCTCATTTGGTGAGTTATTTTCATGGTTGCGTTCCCGACGCACTTAATTTTGTGTAGATCAATGGAAGGGGGCGTGGTGATTCTACCTCTACCGCGCCGCTTTCCGTGATAACTGTCCAATCAGGGAAAAGATATCGGCTTCGGTTCGTCAGCATGTCCTGCGATCCCAACTATATTGTAACCGTCGAAGGACACAATCTGACGATGATCGAGGCAGATGGAGTTGCCCACCATGTAACGCACCTGTCTTGTTGTTGATGATGGCCGCAGCTTACCCGAAGCCATAGCCTGTGACCATTAACTCGTTCCAAATTTTTGCTGGACAACGATACTCGGCCATCGTAAGGACTTTGCATAATTCCTTTGTGTTAATCAAGAATCGTAATATCTTCTAACAGATTACCGCCGACCAACCTGTGGGTAATTATTGGATCCGCACTCTGCCCTCCAGTGGCCCCACCAGTTTCCTGAATGGAATGAATTCTGGTACGACGGGTTCAATTCACGACGCGAAGCTCAAAGCTAAAAGTGGCGTATTTTTTGTAATTCACTTTGATAGCTATTCTCCGCTACCAGGGCGCGCCAGTCAACGAGCCGTCATCAACGACCCAAAATATCGGAAGCACTCTGAGCGAGTCCGATCTACATCCTCTCGTAAACCCCGGTGCCGTGAGTGGAAAGCCGCTTCCACCCCTATTTCGCTGAGCACTCTCCAAAGCCTGGAGGAAGTGCCTCTCCAGATGTTGCCTTCAATCTGGCCATCGCTTTCCAGAACGCAAGATTCTTCATCAACGGAGCTACTTTCGTTCCGCCTACTGTGCCGGTGTTGCTTCAGATCCTGAGTGGCGCTAGTACAGCATCACAGTTATTGCCATCTGGGTCTGTATTCGTGCTTCCGCCTAATAAGACCATCGAAATTTCGATCCCCGGAGGAACCATCGGCAGTCCACATGCGTTCCACCTCCACGGGGTAAACCATTGTAGTTGATTCTCTGTTTGCCTGCTCACACAAAATAACTACCAGCATAATTTCGATGTAATCCGATCCGCTGGCCAAACTGGGTATAATTATGGTAAGTCTGGCGTGTGGATACGCTCGGTTCTTTGCTAATGCGCATCACACGCCGTCAACAGTTGATCCACCTCGCCGCGACGTGGTCTCCACGGGACCATCCACTAGCGACAATGTTACGATCAGGTACGTCGGGGAATCCCCTTCATATTCCTAGCATGCGCTTAATTCTATAGGTTCCACACCGACAACCCCGGCCCTTGGTTCCTCCATTGCCACGTTGAATGGCATCTCCAAACGTTTGTCCATTCACCACTTATATAAGCAAATAGCTTACTGGACTCGCTTCTAGTGGACTTGCCATTGTCTTTGCGGAGGATCCCACTAGTCAACAGAGCGGCCCAGACTCCGAAATACACAATGCCGCGTGGGATAACCTTTGCAATGCTTGGAACAACCAACCTCCTGGTGACCAGTAGTGGGGCGGACGTCAAACACACTCAGCAGTTACATGGAACAAGAGACGAAGTCTCTGGATCAATTCTTGCCTGGAACTTTTGTACGTCGTAGATCCTGATCCACCGAAAAGGGATCAGCTTGGTGCTCGGTTTTTATTTATTGCCACCCATTCACGTATATATTGTCGAACCAAACCACTGAGTGTAATCTGGAGGATAAGTAATGTAGTAAGACGAACTTGCGTAAATGAACTGCAGCATCATCGAGGATCGAAATTTAGCGGGAGTATTGAAGGCTGACCCATGCCTTATAGTAAGAATCTCGGTCAGGGGCAACACCGGCTTAACAGTTGGGTGATCTGCCCATCGATTAATTTGTTGCGGCCTTGGGTTCCAATGGATGCTGGTAACCTGCCTAAGACCTAAAGCGATACTCAACCCGATATCGTACATAGTCTGGGACTCATCAGTGCGGTTCTGAATGCGGATTTTTTTTAAATTGTTGCTAAGGTCTCATAAAGGGTCCTTGTATCTATGTCCCAATTTGTTAATCAATACAATGAATCACGTGCCGGGAAATCTCGGGTTCTCATCTAGTCATGCCTTAGCAGCGTGATGGCGGGGGTGGCCGAATATATTGTATCTATCCTAAAAAACTTGCCATATGAGTGCACTTATCGAGGGCGCATCATCCCTCAAGCGGAATGAATACGACAACAAGCTCGATCAATTTCGTAGGAGTTTGGCACATTTCGAGACTCGATCCGAAGAATGGATGTGTACAATATTTAAGGAATGGCTGACAATTGCAGCACCCCGACCATGGCAGATTTCACACTCACTCGACCTGTTCAAAGGACAGGAAGTATTTCTAACAGCCAAGACGGGAAGCGGGAAGTCCGTCCTCACCTTAGCGCCGGTGATTGCTCGAAAGATTGCTCAAAAAGATTACATTGCGGTGGTTATCTACCCAACAGAATCACTAATAATTGACCAAGTCAGTACCTGCTTTCAACAATGCTATACACTTACAAACCAAATTGGCATCCAGGAAGCCAAGGCACGTCAGAAAGGCGTCCGGTTTATCGGAGTGAGCGCCAACATCCTTGCCTCCATGGCAGCCAAGGAAGGTCGCGATCTGTGGAAAGAAATTAGTGACGGTATATGGGATGTGATTGGAATGGGCCCGGAGATGCTGCAAAGCCCACCAGTGGCTCGGCTATTCCGGAATGAGAATTTTATGCGGAAGCTTGGGTTCATCTTCATAGATGAAGTCCACCTAGTACTTCAATGGGGATTAACATTCCGGAAAGATTACCTGAAATTATGTGAACTGCGCGCGCGTTTACCAACATGGATCACCTTCCTTGCAATGTCCGCCTCCCTTCATGATGATGCCCGTACCAAAGTCCAGGGAATCCTGGGATTCAAGAAGAATCAGTTCCATGATATCAAACTACCCATTGACCGCCCTGACCTGAAATATTGTCCACGCTTCCTTCTCAATTCCACCGAAGGGACGACATTCCCCGACCTCGCCTGGGTCATTCCCCCAATCATCAATTCATCGCTTGATCTTACCCCGACCCTCTTTGCATGCCGTACTATTAACAAAGTAATGGTGCTTTGTCAGTGGCTTGTGATGGAACTAGCAGAAGGGTTGCCTTGGACGGATGTGATCAAGTGCCGTGGAGTGGCATCAAAGATGGTATCGCCCTTTCACGCGGAAATGGATGACAGCGACCGTCGAGAAGTGCTTGCCGGCCTTTGTGCAGGTTCCATCCGGTACATTGTCGCTACCGTTAGTGCTAATGTCGGAATTGACATGAGTGTTACCAATGTCATCTGTATCGATCTTCCCAACTCGGTCGAAGAGTTGACACAGTGGGCAGGACGAGCAAGTCGGGATGGCAGTGGTGGGATGTTAGTTGTGTACGCAAACGAAGATCTCCAGGTCGTACCTGCTGAGCATCGAGATTTGAAGACATATGTGCCATCGAATGCTAAGGGCCTCACAGCGGCGAAGATCGAGCGTCGTGATAAAGTACAAGCGATGGTACAGCCTGCGCTGGTCGAGTTCTTCAATCCTCACCCCAGTGACTGCCCCCGCATGGTACTATGCCGATACTTTGGTGACGAGTTCAAGGAAGTGGCAAACTGCTGTGAACGGTGTGAACCCGGACCAATGGAATCCCACCTCGCCATGGTAAAAGACTACATGGCCGTTCTTTCTGGGAAAAAGCCGAAAAAGAGCAAGCAGGTTAGCCGCTTGCCTGGGGAGAACTTTCGTAAGCCATCAAAAGACCTTCGCGAGCATGCAATAAATGATCTGCTGAGTTGGAGGCACAGCGTCTGGAGAAAGCGACCATTCAGCTTTGATTCTCCTGATGATATCTCACCTGAAGTTATCGTCGGTGATGGTGATATTCGTGGCCTTGCAGAGCGGCTATACACGATCTCCACGTGCGAGCGTTTAGACTTTGTGGTCAGAACCTGGTTATCAGTCAGGCCTCTGTCGGAAGCCGAGATAGATGGACTGTGGGAGAAAGTTCAAGCACTTAACGCGGAATTGCAAGAGATTATCATTAAACGTGTCAAGGCAACGGAGGCACAGAAAAAGAGGTTGACAAGAAAGAAGGCTACACGCGAGAAGCCCTCAACATCGCATGCAAGTGATGGTGCCGAAGCGATAGATGGTGACGGAGGGGCAGGGCGTGCCACAGGGTCCAAGGAGCCAACAGGGGATAATGGTGAGATGGAAGATGGGGGGAAGTCAAAGCGAAAGAGAGTGCGATCGGCACGTGGCCTGTTAATGGACGAAACCCTGCAATTAGAAAAGCAGGCATAGACAGCTGGGCGCTGATTCATAAATAGAATACTCACCTATCAAGTCATGTACTTGTCCAAGAAGTTGCTCAATGCCCCATTGCGAAGTTTTGCATAACCATGCGAGAGTGCATCAATTGCCAAGTAGGATTGTGATCGGTTTGGATGATAGAGATGATGTCGCTGAACTAAGTACGAGTGACCCAGTAAGTTGATGTCCGCTGTCAATTCGGCATCGGTTCGGTTCGATACGGTTTTGTGAAGACCAAGCCGATCCTTGATCGTGTTTGCAAGTTGACCCAGTGGCACGACATTCAAGGAGACGGCCTCCCGAATGAACCTCGAATCAAACCTTGCCAAGCGTCCATTATGCACCCGCTTGATTGCAAGGTTGTGGTGCTCCTGAAGGAGATCTCTCTCCTTTCGCCCCCCAACTAACCCTGATACATTCAAAATGTACCAGTCAAAGACTGCCTTCTTCGTCGCCGCCGTGAAATTGAACCATAAATCAATCGCTTGATGTAAAAGTTCGTGGCCATAATTGCTCGCCCCAACGCCAAAGAACCACATGCGTAGCCACTGTTGCTTGGTTAGTTGGCACTGTTTAATCCCAAATTCCAACTATTCTCACCTTAATCACTTCAAACGTCCGTCCTACATCTCCTTCCTTCACGCTACTCTTGAGCTCCCAGTAATGAAGCAAATCTCGCCAAAGAAATGCATTGTTGTGCATTAAGATGTCGCCACGAGTGTTGTTTGGCATCTCGAAGGTGAGAGATTCATTATCGAAAGTCAAATCAATATTCATTGATGCTCCGATGCAGTCATTGGCATTACCAGCCTCGTCATCACTTTCGTCCACATCGTCTTCATCGCTTTCACCCTGCTCACAGCTTCGTCGGGCCATATTGGATACAATCGAGGGCTCTTCTGGCATTGGGAAGAGAGAGTCCAGTTGAGGATCGATGAAGCGGGCGAAGTATGACTGGCCATCGCTTACATCGGGTGACAAGGCCATGTAACCGGAACGTGTCGAGCCAAATGCATGGTATGCATCGCAAGCAAGGCGGTAGAGATCGTTGAAACTACATGAATGGAGAAAGTTTCCTTCCTTTGTGTATGCCTCGAGTTCTTCGGTAAGGTGCATCGGCTTCCTGTCCTCCCGGACAGGGCATTTCAAAGATTTCTGGCGAAGTATATGTCTAAGAAAACTTACGAGTGAGCTGTGAAGGAGGAAGTGGGAAGTAAAAAATACCTGATGTAATTTAGCGTCATCGCTGTGAGTACAACTTCAATGAGTCTCTCAGCGGGATAGAAATCCACTTTGTTGGGGTTTAAATTCCGACGAAGTTTATCGGCAGCGAAGCGAAGACCAACGTCGCCCTTTTCGGTCTGCTCTGGCCAGTGAGCTTTAATTATCCCTTTGAGCATTGCGAACTTCATGTGCCAAAGCTCGATAAGCGGTAGGACATAACGGTTTGAAGAGAACCAAGAAGACCCTGAAGCTGTGTGGCGCTTCAGGGTTCGGATGCGTGATATTGTGGCCTGATCACCGGAGAATGGTATGAGTCGTCCTTCGACAGCATGTGGAGGGATCCCAAGTTGGCGTTCGATGATGTCACGGATTGTCTGACGGTTTCCCATAGTAGTTGCCTCATCAAAGCCCGACGTCTCAAGGGGGATAACTTCGGTGATTTGGAGTGGCGTTGGGTGAATCGCAGCAGTTTGCCTGAAATTGTCGAAGTCGTTCTTGTGTCGCTTCAGGCCAGGTATGTGATCGAGTAACAGACGCAATACTGTACTCACACGACCAACTACCAGTTGCATCCGGAGCGTGACAAAAAGTACTGAACCGGCAGCTCATGTTGATGCGTGACACCCAACCGGCGAACTTACCATAAAAGGAATGCAATACTATCGGGTATTGCCATAATAAGTAACTAAATGCAAAAGAATTTGAAAATGTGCTTAGAGCGCCTTTCTGAAAAATTTCCTGCACCCGGATATCACATATGGATGGTTTTGCGCTTGCACAACAAATTTGTTCTTGCACAAATGAACCTATTTCATACAGAAATAATATCCCAAGCCACCAGGTAGTTTTTACCCATAGTAGGCCTATTGGGCCTGGATCCTGGCTGATTAGGCTGCAATGGCACCTTACAAGTTGCATCAACCTGTGCTGAAGATACCCCCCTCAAGCCCACAGAAGTGTGACTTTGGCCGCAGAAAGCGGGCCAGACAGGTGCGCCATTTGGACAAGGAAATGGCCATTTTTTGAATGTATTTACTTCCGAAAAAGGGAAATTTGAATTACAGTTTGCACAGCCACCCTGAAACCAGGTTTACAGCGTGACACAACTAACTCAACCTTTTTCCCAGCGTGACGCGTGACAAAACCTTGATTTGAGCCGGACCTCGAGGCCAGCGTGACGCGTGACAGGTTGTTGGTCATGTTAGTACAGTATGTTGATGACACAGACGTTTTCCAGGTGCTTGCGGTCAACGTCATCCCAAATCCTCGTTAACGTGATGTCATCACGTTTGACGTGCCGCCGGCGTTCCTCATATTCAAAACCATCGAAAGCATCTGCAGCCACGCCAGGCTGCATGATCAAGGTGGCAGCAGTCCCACTTTCCATACATGTTTGTGAAGAGAGGGATGGCCGCCAGTCTTTATGGTACTGATTGATGTTATCATAAACGACATGGAATGAAGCCAGCTTGTTGACCCAGTTAGCCCCTATGTTGCGAATTTTCTCGGATGCAACCGCGCTCATTGAGTATAAGCGCTGAAGAGTTGAGCTATTCGCGACTGCAAGTCCGATGCGGCCAGTGATGGATTGTAATGACTTTGAAGAATTCTCAGAGAACATGAGTAATCCCATGATGCTCTGGAATTTGTTTAACCCTTTATTACGAAAGTACAACAGCACCATCAGCACAACGGTGCATCCCTCACACGATCATCAGTTAATTCGCTAGCAAGTACTGAATCGTTCACTCACTAAATAGGGATCTCGTACGTGATTCAACCCACGTCCCTTCCCAGAGTCCCTTAATTTCGCTTCTTTCAGCTGCTCCGCCCTCTCCCCACCAACTGCAATCCATGTTAACAACATCCAGGTCACAGGTGCGACGCTGAGGGCCATCTTCTGGACTGTGTTAACAGAGAAGTCTAGGACCGTATCCCAGCTAAATCGGCTTGTCGCGGTGTCTCTTGCACGCAAGTAAGGGCTTTTGAGAAGAGCCCTGACTTCTGTCTCCAGCCGGTCAACAACGCGTGCAATAAAGTACTCCTGTAGCTTGCTGTACGTGTTCTTGATGTCTGAATGAGTTCCTGGCTGAGAACTCATCATTGGAATAGCGTATTCTGGCAGTGTGTCATAGGTGGGTTCATACGATTGCTGGGGCCGGGCCCATGGATGACTGTATAATGCATGGACGATGTCAACAGGGTGGTTCTTCACGGTACGTCCCCCTATGAACCACTTGAGCATCTCCTTTGCTGATGTACTTAAGTGCGTGGTATCCCCAAAAAGCGTAATGAGAAACTCGCCGAGTGTGATATCCCGCGATCTCAGTATTGACAGTATCAGTTCTACTGTTGCCAGAGGCTTGGGCCTGGGCTGGCTGCCCAGCAGGTATAATTGCTCGGGGGCAGAGCTATAACATGAAGGGCACCTCGAGGTACTTTGCCATTTATCACACTCCGTCGGTGTCTGGGAAGAACTGGATGCCATCCATTCCGACTCGATGGTATTGAATGCGTTGCAGCTCCTGGCTTGGTCTTCTCTGTTAAGCCGCTTTGATGGTGAGAGTGGTTCTGGTGGGCTTCCAATGAACTCTGCCCGTTGGTTGGCGATAACAGCAGTTCTTCCTGAATTCTCGCAGATTTTTTTCACTGGAGAATCCTGGTCCTCTGCAGCTTTGCGCTTGGGACGGCCCCGTGATGGAATTGAGGTAGCAGGGCTGTAAGTTTCATTGGGGTGAGGTCTAGAAAATATTTTTTGTTGTCTATAGCCTGCAAGATTCCCAGTCTGACCAGGCGTGTAGAATATCGGTAGAGAAGGGATCTTGACTTGGAATGCATCCATTGTGGGATCGAGAAAAGAATTTGCACTTGTTTGTACTGTAAATATAAACAAATATCTTTCATCCCGAAGTTCTCCTTCCATTCACTTAAACTGTATTGCTTAAGTAACCCATGGCAACTGTGAGGACCCTTTCTCGACTGTGACAACCATTCAGTAAAAATCCGCATTCATCAACTGGGGTTTGGTTCCAGCCTCTCTTTATTGTTACGAAGTCAGAGAGGCTGGAGTCCTGCCTATATCGTACAGTAGTTTACATGAACTATCGAGTGGAAGTACCATGATTCTTCCCCGCCGTGTTTCATTGTTCGCGACATACCCCATCCCATGGGAAACGCCCATACGATCGACGTTCCCAGAAGGCTGTGCAGATTCCTGGCCAAGACTTGGATCCGATACAGTTCTCTGGATTCTTGACGTTGTAAGATGCCATTGCCTCCACCGCAGCAACGCGGACCCTACTCGGAGCCAACCATTTGGCAGAAATGTAAGTGAGAAGGGAAGATCGCCTGTGTTTGGAAAATACTGAGGATGTTACGTTGGACTGAGTTTCTAATATATTCTTAATTCTGCAGTGAAGTAAGTCTCGCATATCTGCCGTCGTTCGCCAACTCCTGGTTGCTGAATGCAGCTGGGTTGCCGCGTTTTTGGTCGTTTAGAATGGGGGCTTTGATGGGCTGTGGCGTCGGTCTCACTATTGGTTTCATTTTCGGCTCCTGGAGCATCCTGAGGTTAGTCCTCGCGTTCTCGGATTATGTCATGGTCTGGGGATAATATCCTGATGTTTTGTTCCCGAAATCTTGCAGAGGAGGTGCTGGTCCACGGGGAGCTTTGCCAACTTTGTCACAATATATGCTTAGCAGTGCTGCTACGTTTGGTTTCTTTCTGTCTATCGGTTCGGTATGTTCATTGCATCGAGGGCTCTCGCGGGTCCGTGTTTTAACTTCTACATCACAGGCCATCCGGAATGATGCAGGTCTCATACCACCACACATGGATGCTGTTCATATGAAAATGATGCTCACAACCCCAATCATTGCTTCGCGGGCCGAGGGTGCTCAGCGGATACGGGACCGCTGGGAAAACGAATTCAATGTTCAAAGGCGTCTGCGATAGGCATCGATTTAGCCATGAAAATGCCTTTCTCACTTGCTTATCAACAATATTTTTTACGCTGTTGCGGGTTTCTATCCAGCAACGCCCAAAAAATGGCAGAATGATATTTAAGAGCTGGTGGCTACAGAAAGGTTGGAGGCGAAACTCATTGTAGTAGAATCACTGCACCGGTTGGATAAGTGTGATGCTCTCGCCTTTCAACAATATCCGCCCTGCAGAAGAATTAAGCCATTATTGGTTGCCAGAGCACACATTACTATGAGAAATCGACTGCCTCGAGCCCTGGGAGCTTACCTAGAGGTCGGCGTGGTTTTGGCACTTTCCCGACGAAAACCTCTTCGGCCTCGTCAATAACCAGATTCATGAACTCATCGAATCCCTAAAGAAGGGATCAGCCTTGATACTGATGAATGGGATCTGACTTACGACGATCCGCCCTTCTATCCGCATGTCAGCGTTGTCGTAGAGCCAAACCAATACCTTCGTTTTCTGTTGAAAGCAGTAAGCTCGCTATGGATGGTGCCAGGATACCCTTTAATCGTGCCTGTTGCAAGTTTTTAAAAATGACATTCTACCGTCGAACGTACGTAAGCCACCGATTTTACTGGACCTTCATTCTGCCACTTACGATGGGCTGGACCATCACACGATGTTGGCGGCCGGACATCCTGAATTAGCAAATAGGAAGATAATTGCTTTACGTTGTTGGTCTTCAGCAAGCACTGAATGGCGGCAAGAGCCAGTCACGTTTCTGGAGTCAACCGGTTTGAATCGTAAATGGCATGGGTATCGTCAATGGCGTGCAGGTAAATACATGGTTGTGTGGAGGCGTGATATGTAAATTGAAAGAGGTAGCGTGAAAAAGTGGGCGAGTAAGTCTCTCAGTTAGCCATCCGCTGTTAAGCAAACAGCACGCATCGAAACGAGTTTCTCGACCCCCTTCTCGAAAGGCAGGTTCACCGTAAAGAGCACGTCACTTCTCTCACTGTTGAGGTAAACAGGAAGGTTGACCAAGGGGGAGTGGGGAAAATCTCGTTGTCCACCCGAACCCACCGGACCTGTGATTTCGGGATGCGGACTGACTCCCCACTGTTCAGTGACAAGGTCCCATCGTCCCAAGACGCGCCATCAAGGACAAGACCTGAGGCAGAATGAAGTCAGTAATTATCACCTGTATGAAATTTGGGACATGCCTTCTACCACAAAAGCGGAAGGGTCTCCGGAAGCATGAAGGTCTATTTGCAATGAAAGAGTTTCCAGAGACCAGCCATGACGCTGAGCCACGGCCTGTCTAGTTGCGGTCACGTAGGCCTCGGGGAAGAATAATCCACCAAGCCAAACTTCGACACCGCCATAAGATTCAAGTCGTGAGATACGTTCTAGTTGAGCAAGCCTGGTTGCAAAGTTCGGTATCCATTGTGATACGCCCATACTTCGAGGAACTTTGTACTTGAGCCAGTGAGTAGGGGTCGTGCCTGTAGAAGGGCTAGAGAATCAGCTGAATGTTAAGTCGTGAAGCGACCTGCACTACATGCCCTTAGTAAGCTGGCTCATTAAATTTCGCAGATGGTTCGTCTGTTTCAGCGAGCCCTCGCAGACTCGGATGACATCACCAAGGTCTTTGCGTACTGAGGACAAGAGTTTGCGACCAACAGAAGTCTCTCTCGCGAAGAGGCGGTACAGAGGATCTCGATTTTCCGTGGAGCGAGTGCTGAGAAGACTCGGGGTCTAAGGACGTGTGTCAAATGAAACTCCCATTCGTGAACAAGGCTGTTACCTCAGGTAATACAGTAAGCCATTCCATGCAGTTTTGAAGTAGTGCTTTCATCCAGGCAGGCTGTTGATTAGGCGCGGCTTTGTTGGACAACCCCGAAGAGGTTGCATCATCTTCGTCATCGGTGAGTGTCCTCATTTTTCTCATCTTTCCAAGCAATGTGTTGCCTAACATCAATGGTTACTGCGTTAGCGCAGATGGTGACGAACGGAAACTATCTACCTTGTGATATAGCAATTACACTCTCCGCGCCGGGCGGGAGGCTTAACCACGAAGGGGGTTCACGATCGGGAAGTCGATGGACCCATTGCAGGAAATCATCTATCTTCGTCCCTTCGGGGATGGTTACCAGACTTTCGTCTCCTTGAAAACGCGGGACCAGGTCGAATCCAATGCTGTAAGCATGAGGCGTGAATAGTTCATTCGCGAATGAGTCCAGAATCCGTTGGTCGAAATCGCTATCCACACGCCCTCCATACACAGACTGTTTAACGAGGGTCCGCACGGCGTCCCACGGAATCACAGCCGGATCGATATTCGCACGACCTTTGGCTACGCTTTGCAACCAGGCATCAATGGTCCCGAAGGCGGCGGCTAAATCGGAATCATTGAAATCGTATGTCTTGCTCCATCCGAGAGGCACATAGCGTAACCGCTCTTGAACTACGGCGTGAAACCATGCTAGGATGAAATAAAGGCGGATCTTCTCCGCTGGTCCCCGAGCAAAACGTGTGGCAGATATGCTTCGCAGAGAGTCGAGAAGATTTGCCTTGACGCCAGGTGGAGGCTCGTTCATGAAGACGCGGGATTGTCGTAGGATGTTTACTGGAATAACGGCATTAGCTTCCATGGTGATGAATAGGCGGAAGGAGCGGTTGGAATTAAGGCTTTGCAGACGTTTCTCCAATGAGCTGAGCCACGAAGGGGCAAGGTGGGCATTCTTTAGAAGGACCCATGAGCCCTGTCGTGCGGCAAGAGCAATGGCGCTGTCGGCTTGGGAAAACCCTTCCTCGGAGCCGAGAGCAACTTGCGCACACCTCGCCCCGACAGCTTTGATCAGATTCTCCACGCGATAACTAGCATCGTATCCGGTCACGGAAACTAGGCATAGAGGAGTGGATGGATGAACTTCATTAGCGACAACTTTGCTTAGGTCGTATTCAGCTTCAGCAGTCATATCTGATTCAAAAACGGCTGAAGCAAACGCAGCCGTCGCTTGGAGTAATCGGTCTGGCCGGAAACACTTAATAAGCAAAACAGTCCTGAGAGCTCGAAGAATCGCTAGAGAAGAATTTAGTATCTTATCACACAAGAGGAACACAACTCACGGGTCTCTCTATCTTCCCAAATCCAAGGGATGTTGCGCTCGGGCTCTTTTTGACGTATGAAGCCAGACCACACGGCCTCGTTCTCCATGATATGCCTTTTCACATCAGCGAAAACAGGGTTCTTTGAATACTGCTCGAGACGCTCTTGTTGATCCGCTTGGAGGAACGCTGCTCCCGGTCCGCTGAAATCTACAGCCCCGGACGCTGTTGTTGATACGCCACTCTCGAGGAGAAACTCAATGTCATCTGCAATGGTCCCATCATCAGCTCCCCTCAATTTGATTTGAGCCAAAGAGATTGCAAGCATGACACGGTCACGGTGGAGTAAGGACCGGGAGGTGCGTTGATAAACAGTAATGAACAAATCCGCCGTGAGGATATTAAGTCGCTGTTGATAATCCTTGACGTTCGCCAAATGGGGGTTATGGTGGAGGACATGCTCGAAGATATCCAAGAAAAAGCGGAGAGAGAACTGATAGAAGTGATTGATAACATTCAGTTGTTCGAGCACAAAGAATACCGAGCTGCAAGCCTGTGCCAGTGGTAGATATTCCGTGGTGACGCGGTCGACCTCTTGCATGATAGTGTCGGTCTCTTCGACCTTTTGTGTAATTTCTGCGGCCTCTCTTTTTAGAGTTTCCAGTGTACCAATGACCTTCTCATCATCCAAAATGTTGCCAGTTGACTCATTGAGCGCCTGAAGCAAAGACTTCTCCAAATGGCGGAGTCGAAGTCGGAATTCGCCTTGTATCTTAATCAAGTCAGCCCGCTTCTTGTCGGTATCCGGTCTTTCCACTTTGAGAACCTGGTCCAAGGACTGACTCTGCAGACTGCTGCGAGTCATGGTGAAGTTGACGAAAGTGACCCGGCTGCAAATGTCCGGAGAGAACTCCACGGATGGATCGCGCGTTGAGAGGAACATTGTAAACGCAGGTGAAAAGTCGATGTCTTGGCTTCCCAAACGAATCAGCACACGTCCGCCTGTACGACGCAATTCCTTATTGAGGACAGCGTTCAAGATGGGATCAAGCCGCTCCACATCTTGGATCAAAATGGGGTTTCCAAATCGAAGAGCACTCTCGAGAACTTTGAGGAATGCTTCATCGAGGAAACTTGTCACAGTAATCTTACGGTCCTTGTATTCGTTGAGAAGGAAAGTTGTCGCCTGACCGGTTGGATCGATGATGAGTGGATACCGATTGAACTTTTTGAGCATGATGGCGTTTTCTGTGTATAGATTGTCAACCGGAAGTGACTTCGACTGCCAACTTAACCGGTCGTCCGCTGTCGAGAGGTATTCAGGCAAGGAGAGTTCAGCCTTGAATTTGATTCCAGCATCGACCAGATGTGTGGACCATTCTTGAAGCATCAACTCCCTGTAATGCTGGTCGAAAAAGCCGCCATAGGCCAAGAAAGCCGCAGAGAGCAAGACATCGCCGACAATGGTGCTCATCTCTGTCTCGAACGTGCGGCTACTCGCCTCCCAACGAGCTCGCTCAGACGATAAACTGTTCAGCAGCGTCATACTCCTCTCTACTTTGGATTCGACGCGCTCCATCTCGGCTTTGATATCTTGAGTTTCTCGGATCAGCAAAGCGTACTCGTCCTTGTACTGAGCAATGCTAACTTCGAGGTCTCGAATCATGGTTATAATTGTGGCAGCCTGCTTCTTTGTGTTTTCCGCTTGCGCCTCCAGGTCTTGGACTTCATTTCGTAAAGGTTCGATTTTGTCCAATATCTCCGAGTATCGAACTTGGGCAATAACCCATTTGACTAGGGGCCCACATGCTTTGCTGGCACGATCAACGACACCGAAGTTGAACGCGGGACGGCTTAGATAATCCTTCTTCATCAACTCCCGGATGGCAGGAGTCATCTGGCGCACCGTGTCAAAATTGATGATACTGTCCTTGAAATCCTCGCGCCGAAGAATACCCTGGACCGTTCGCCAGTTGTCAATCCGATAGCCAATGATAGAGCACACCGATTCCATGGCTAGCTTAACAGGCTCCGGAGGATTTGTCATGGAACGAACTTCGCTCAGCTGAGACTTCTTGATGCCTGATACCGCGCTTTTGGCTTCAACTACCGCCGGCTCCGCCTCAGCAAGTTCTTCCATCACCTCAGCCTTACGTTGCGCAATAGCCTTGTCTTGTTCGACCAGCGCGTTTTGGATTTCGATAGATGCAGCTTTCTTTGCTTTCGCTTCCTGTTCCTCAGCCACAATCCCTTTCAACTTCTCGTTGGCCTCGGCATTTTTTGCCTCTAATTGAGTCCTCTTAATGGCTAGACTCTGACGCAGTTCCTCGACCTGAGTTACTGTATCACGGAGCTTATCAAGACCAACGTGAAGATGACGTTGCTGTTCCTCCAACTCATCGCGCTTCTCGTTGAAGAGTTTTACGTAATGTTGGATGCTACCAATAGGAACGTTAGTCCAGCGGCCCAAAGTTAAAGATCTTACTCACAAATCGAGATAATGGCGAGGAGTGACGTAGTTGTAACGACCTTGCCGACGACTCAGCCGCGAATTAAAATCATGCAATGAAAGGTGGATATGCACGAAGGCGTTGATGACGGCTGTGCGATGGACAGGAGGCAGCGACAGCCTCGATAAGCAATGGGGAATGCAGATGGAGGTTTATATGTTGGCAATTCAAGGTCTAGTGTTTGAGTAAATTCTATCCCAACTTGGTAAAAGGCCTGATCAGGCCAATCACCGAACCAATCCAGAACGCAGCGATTGAAAAGGGCTGGTGAAGTCGCTGCACGAGACGCCAGTCCGTTCTCCGGCGGATTCATGGTAAAGACGACATGGAGGTTACGAGCAACTTGTTGAGTGAACCACTTGTAGAGTTCCTCAGGAGAATCCAACATGAGGCCATCCCGTTGAGATCCCTCTTTGCAGGCTGTCATCAGCGAAGCATAGTCATCGCCTTCAAACAATCCAGGGACTTCGGCATTAGCCAGAAGTGTATTCATCCTCTCTAGGAATCCTGAGTCCAGAACGTTGGACTCGTCCATGATAAAGCATATCTTCTCTCCTTTGCACCCAGCACGACGAAGCACCGTCCTTAAATCTTCATCGAAGTCATCCCCGGTATACTTGTTGGACACCTTTATCTGGAAAACGCTAAGTCCATTCATCCAGGCCACAAAACGGGAGAGCGTAGTCTAAGAAATCTGTTGAATAAGTACTACCCACGCTAGACGCATTCTGCAACGCACCTTCCCACTTCCACTAACGCCAATCAAAAGCAGATGGCCCTGGATTTGTCGGAATACTCGGTCTATACGTAGGACGTGATCCAGAACATCATCGAAGAGAACCAGCGGAACGTCCAACTCTTCCTCATGGAAGATCTTTAGACGGGCTTTGGTGTACTCCCGAAGTTGTTCTCTGTCCACAGGTATATAATTACGAGAGGTCCAATTTGAAAAGAGTATTGGTCTCGAGAGCGCTTCATCCGTGTTCAATGTTGGGAAGTGCTGCATAGCACATGCATCGATGTTTTGATCAGTCCAGCGCTTCTCCTCTCCAGTGACGAGACGATCTTGGAACAACCGGAGCGCTTCGTGTCCCCAAACTCTCACGAGACCATCCAGGGTGAGAGACTCGAGTGGCTTGATGGCTTCATATATGCCACGGACCCAGCGCGTGAGTTCTCGTGGACTGTACACATAATGAGCTTGGATGTCAGTCGTGAAACGTTTCTGCGAAGCCAAGTAAAATGAGACCATCGCTTCCGTGAGCGGATTTGCATATGCCTTAAGGTTTGGAACGACTCTGAGAACGGCACGATTATATGTGCCATAGATTTGCTGGAGCGAAATTTCGCCAGGATAATCCACCATAATCAAAGGAGCATGTCGAAGGAACCGATGTGAAAGGGGAATACGACCAGGATCTGTGGGCGGATTGCACGCCCCAACAAATTGTATGCGTTCCAACTTGACCCAGGTCATATCAGAAGTCCGGTAGTAACCACCACTTTCAACAAGCTGACGGAGGAAGGATATGACACGCTGGGTCCCGTACTTGTCCAGTGCAGGAAGGTTAATTTCATCACAAAACACAACAAGCCATCGACCGATTTGTTGAGGTGCCAGGACCACACCATTGGGTGTCCGCCTGAACTCACAATGCTGCTCGAATGTCTTCAATATGAGCTCTGGAGTGGTAGCACTTGAAAAGTTCAATCCGACAACTTCCATGTCTGGGAGTTTACGGAGTGCACTGAAGAGCGTCATAGTTTTACCCGAACCAGGCGGGCCACAAAGCATTAATGGCTTATGCTCTGAGAGCCAGGAGTAGAGCACTTCTTCGTGCCGGACAGTATCAATGGTGGGAACAACCACATCCGCTTGAGTAACAGAATGGGGGTCGATCTCGATAGTCGGTACTTTGGCTTGCCAAGGGATCCATTCACTTGATGAAACCAGAACGTCGTAGTCCAACAGGGACCCGCCCGACTGCTTTGGTGGTAACTCTACGGCAGTCTGCGTTCTCAAGAATTCTCCCAGCTCGGCCCTCAACTCTAATCTTGCGTCACCAGCGAACGCCCAAATGATACTGACTAACATCCTCTTGCTGACATACTGGTCGATGGCTTCGAGGCTCAGAGGAAAGTCTGCGTGGCTGTTGTTATACTCCATAACATTACGGATGGTTTTGTTGATAAGGGAGAAAAGGGTGTTAAGTACGCGTGTGGGAGTGAAATCCATGATGTGTTCAATTGATGAAGAGAATGCAAGCGCGGAGCCGACGACTCCGTCTGATGCAAAGAACGGCTCAAGAATTGTGCCGATGATGCGTTGAGTGCGTAAGAGGGGCGAAGAATCTGCAGGACCCGAATTGGCTCGGTTTGTGGTGTCAGAAGCTTCGTCATCATCGTCAATGGGCACGGAGGACAAAGTACTAAGATAATGGCGGCATATCATATCGGGCGAGATGATGTCCTCGCTAAACCATATCATGCCGCATCGTGAAACGGTAGCAGGAGTAGCAAACCGGAGATGCTCAACTTCGAACATGATGCGCACATTCGGAGGCAGATTGAGTCGCTCTCCATTGGGAAGTGTCAGTAACTTGTTGTCGTCCAACACACTTAGCAGACCAGTCAGAGCCGGCGCAGGCGAAAGCTTCAGGCATACACACCTGTTCAGATTCTCAACCCATTCCGGATCTACATCCCCATCGAAAATAATCCAATGCCTCTTGGCACTCTCTCCACGTACATCATCAACAATCTTCCGAAGGATGTGGGTGAAGAGACCATCATTCCATTCGCGCGTAGTAGGGTCGAGGGTACCGTAAAGTGCTTCTTTGTGTATTGCCTTCGGATCAATCACATACGAAACACCTTCGGTTCCGTCAAGACGCTCCAACGCAGCTAAAAGGACTTGCCAAGCACTGCTTTTGCCCGTGCCAGACGGTCCCACCATCATAAGACCATGCTGAATCTTCTGAATTTGAAACAACTGCAAAATCTTCGCGATCCAGAGGTCCCCGACCACAAAGTTGCGCTCCGCACAGACGTCAACTATGTGTTTACGGAGGACATCCAAATCAAGTGGGACATAATCAATTCCTGGAAAGACATCAGCTAACAAGCTGGCGTTTGGTGAGCTAAACGTACATCAGACTCAAATGGACAAACAAACCTGGTGAGCAGAGGCACATCATCGGCTACGAGTTTTGGAACGATGGTTTCTGTGACACTTTGAATCAATATAACTTGCTCGGTGGCACCATCTGAGATAAGATTTTCTTGATTGTCTCGTGCAAATTGCATCTTATCACGATTGAGGATACCGGCACTGGCAAGGACAGCCTTTAAAGCACGAAGACCAAAATCGTAGTGGGGCTGGGGAGACAATTGTTCCGAACACAGGTTGAAGAATGGGACAATCTTCGATGCCAATGTTTCGGCCGTTCGAAATCCCTGAGAGAACAGGAGAACCTGAGCGATCAGCTCACGATCAGGTCGAGTCATAGCCATCCTGCGGATCGTCAAATCAGTGAGATGAATGGGTCAGGCGAGCCACTACATACGGTCGGAATAATTTAGTGAGATTAGGAGGCAACTGGGACCGTCCAGCATAGTTAGGATTGGTTGTAATAAATATGCCTACAAGTCCGTCAGGCTTGCAACAAGGATGATTCGAACGAAGAACGTACCCATGTTCTTGTCCAATTTCAAACTTTTCCCAACGATTTCAATTTCGGTGTTCGGATTTCTTGCCAATGAAGCCAGTCCTTGCTGGATAGTTTGCACTTGTTGCGATACGGCACTCAAGATTCGTTCTTCTAGGCGGTTAAACTCGTCGAAGCAACCCCACGCGCCGACTTGACATAACCCAATAAATATACGACCCATAGCCTGGAAATCAAAGGTTTCATCGCAACAAAATACCAGGACGAATCGCCCAAGCTGAACGCCGAGCGCCTTTACGGATTCCGTCTTGCCTTTGTTCAGTGCGAGTAGTCCAATGGTCAGGGTCATTCAGTCCAGGGGAAGAGCAGTATAGCACGCGCACCTGTTCCTGCTGGTCCAAATGGTGCTCCGCCAAGTTGAGTCTCCAAGGCTTGGGTGAGATGAGATAGACGCGATCTGTCAAAGGCGTCTGCACCAATTTGTCAGGGACCCCGAGGTATTCCCAACCGTAAGGGAATTCCGCATCAGCCATTTGAATCTTTAGCCTGTCCATTGGAGAAATAGTCGCGGTGTTGATATCAAGATAGTAGCGCATGTGGTACAACCAATCAAATGATTTCGCGTCGGTGACACGACGTTGCACCAAACTCCGAGTCACATCGCGCTGATGCACGAGTTCCGTGATTAAGTGTTCGCATTTGCGACGCGTTGTTGTTCCAAGCTCAGTGAGAACAATGTCAGCGAGGATATCCAAACCGTGAAGGACTACAGCGAGAGGTAGCTCTGGAGGCTGGGAATCGGTGAATGATGACTCTACGGCATTTGTCCATGCAACTTGTACCGCGAGTGAAACGAGCTGAGCTGGATACTTCTCTATCCATGGAATGAATGCGGATTTGTCCAGGGTTTCTACACTGCCATAGAACTGCTGCAACTCGGTCACTGCGTCGTATAACAATGACGCGAGCGAAAACCGCATTTCGGACTCTATCTTGCCAAGCCACTCGTTAATTTTTGGGTAATCTTTGAGAAGGATGTTGTTCCGGAACTGAACAATTTCGCCTTCTCTGGACGCCATCCCCTCTATTTGAGTCACATCATCATCGAGGATGATAGTGGCGACACCCGCAAACATCTTCTTGAGATGCTTCATGATTCGCAGTATATCTTTACTATTGCCGATAATCTCTAGCAGATCCTCGTCTCCAACGAAGTAAAAACGAGGGAACGAAGCACGCTCGCGCTCTAGATATTCGCCAAGAGCTTTCTGAATCTTGGTGAGCGACTCGGCCAGCCGTTCCAGACTCTTCTGAATCCCTTGGATTCCTAAGACATCCAACACGAAAGGAGATTTGTAGACTTTCTTCATAACCGCCATGAACTCGTTGTTGATATTTTGGAAGCGGTTCGATTCCACGGGCAACAAGTGCTTAATATCAGCGCTCCCCGAAAAAATGCCTTCCAAATAGACCCATTGACGTTGGACGTCAATCCACACATCTACGAGGAGCCGTCAATATTGTGAGCTGAGGGCACAATGTCGGTGTGACCGACCAAAAAGAACATGTGTCCGGTTCAGGCGATCCTCCCATGAACCAGCCTAAATATATATTCGTCGAAAGAAGAAAAGTGACGCTGAAGCAAGACAACATACGTCCTCCGCAAAGACTGATGAAATTGTAATGTCAGCTTTATTCCCAGGAACGATTTCAGCATTCAGGCAAACCTTTATAATAAGGGGAAACTTTCATCGCAACCAATGAATTCAGGTTCTCGGAGCACTTGGTAAACAACTCGTCCCAGCCCCTGGACGAGTGTCAACGAGAGCATGGATAGAATATATGAGCTTCCGCACCTAATTAGTCGACATTTATTCTGGTAGTTCACCAAGTCCAGAGTATAGCTGGTCCAAGTCTCGCGCACCTGTGAATTGTGTGGATATGAACGCGACGTCAATGTGAAAGGGAAGAACATACCTGCTTAATGAACTCCTCTAAGGCCATCTCTCCTTGCGCTTGTATGATAACATCCTTGACAATCTGTTCATTCTTCTTAAGGTCAAGATCATATACATGACCCAGTGTCATCCTATCATCAGTCCCCGCCTAAGCCTGGCCCTACATTCACTGTCCATGTGAACTTACTGGAGTGGATTCACGTTCCTCGGCACACGAAGGATCTTGAATAGCTGTCTCCAATGACGTTCTTTAAGCGCATCAGACTTCAATTCCGAAACCAACGTGTTTGACTTCTGAAACGCCTTAAGAACCTCTTGGACATGTTCAAAGGGCGCATATTGACGCATTCGATTGGGCATTTGCTTTGTCGAGGCGAGCAAACCATCAAGTTGTTGTCGAAGCTTTCGAGATTGGACTGTGGCCCAAGCCACGTCCTTGAGTCCAGCAATTTGAATCCAGATTCCGCTAAGTGCGGTCCAGACTTCCTTCAAATCTCGTAGCTCTTCAAAAACTGGCTCCAGCCGTGTGTGACGGACAAGTTCTAGATCCAGAGCTTCCTTCGCACGACATACGAGATCGTACTCCTCCTGAACCTTATTCAATTTGGTTTCGAAAGTGGTGATGGTGCCCATTGCCGTGTCCGCACTTATGGTTCCTTGGACGGGACGAACTTGCATCCACTCGTCAGTCGCCTCGGCTATCCTGTTCTCAACTATCTTATCCTCTGCCTGAATTTTGAGTTGTAATCCTGCTGCGGAGAATGTGAGCTATCGCCATAGATTTACATTATCACCATCAAACGGACATACCAAGCTGCTCCTGAATCGCGTCATTCTTCCGCTTCAAGATCTCCTGCAAAGCACCCCATTCGCCGTTCAATTGGTCGCTATACAGCCAATCCTCTGGAAACTGGAAGCGCATGCGTTCAAGTACTTTCTCTCCTGCAGCGCACACCTCTATTTGAGGCGCCCATGCCTTCATTTTTCGCTTAAGGTCCTGTACATCTAAGAGTATCTATGTTAAATGACTATTGATCATGCAGATGAGTGGAAGGACATGCATGTGATGACTGCAACGGCTTGTGCGGTGGAGGAATTCCCCCCCGCGGTGAGAAACTCCATGATAAATGGCGCTTCTAGAGGCTATCTTCGCCACTTCCACGCGTCTTAGCACGGGAGGACAGTGTAGGCCTTAAGAATGAAGCACTTGTTTGTCGGGGAACGCGTGTGCGGAGAAAGCCGAACTAAATTTGGAGTCCATACACATTCAAGCGAGAATTCAGCGCTCACCTACATGCAGAACGCGATTCCAACGCAAGCATTCGAAGGCCTACTACCGGCTCTTGCTAATGTTGTCTCAGCTATCGATAACACGGGACTTTCATCCTTACAGCACAAGCAGGCCGTCGCTCATGCCGTAAGCCCTCACATGCAAATTGCGCCACAGCTCTCGAGGTTAAGTCAGTGTTAGGCGTCAGAGTTTAAAGAACAGATGAGTAAAGCAAAGGGCTATGTCGAAAATCTGTCTGGAGGGGAGATGCTGCCTGATGATCAGGACAAAGTTATCGCTATGCTGAAAGCGCTGCGAGATCAGAAGAAGTGGCTCATATTCGTCCTTATTTTGCCATGGTTTTCTGAAGCATTGCTAGGAACCAACTTCTAAACTTCTCGTTGATTGGCTCGCATGGCGAAGACACAAGGATGACTTCTAATTCCCATTAAATGCACACTCTCCTCCTGAATGAACCGCGGTCCCAACACCAAGCGCTCCAAGCAACCCGCCGCCGAAACTTTGTGCATGTGATTCATTTGATACACCTGTTTCATGTCGCCCCATTCGACAATGGCGATACATTGAGGCTTATATACCTGTGGGCTACAAAGGTTTTCAGCGCTAATGTAGCCGTCATACATTGTGTATCATACATCAAAATAAACGCATTAATGAGACGCCGGACACGATTTTCCTCACCAGCACAAATGACCAATGCGTCTGCGCGTTGAATTATTGTATGATGGGGAAATTATAGTCCTTCCCTACTCTATGCCCCCGTTCCATCCTGTCTCTCTCCCACTGAATTCCGTTCGGGATCGGGTCCGTCTCAGGTGTTCGTACGTATGTCCACCGCGCGGGACGCCTTCGCCAGTCTGGTGATGGATTGGCCGAGATGCAACTTACGGATGAGTCAATCCGGTGAAACGTGACATGAATTTTTAAAAAATGCCCCGATCGTTCACTTTGCGTGTGCCGTCGACAAGTGCGAACATCGGCCCAGGCTTCGACGTTGTCGGGCTATCGTTATCGTTGTATCTGACGCTCACCGCCTCGCACGATGATTTTCCTCCTGAGCCCATTCTGTCACCGCCACCAAAACTTACACACTCTGGCGAAGGGGCAGACGAAGTCCCCCTGGATCCTTACAAAAATTTGACTACCCGAGTTGCACTTTACGTGCTTCGTTGCCATGCCATTCCTCACTTCCCTCCAAATCTCGCCGTTCACGCTCACAATGAAATTCCTTTCGGACGAGGACTTGGCTCATCAGGAGCAGCAGTCATAGCTGGCGTATTACTTGGGAATGTGATCGGGAAGCTGAATCTGAGTGAATCACGAATGCTTGATTTTGCGTTAATGGTTGAACGGCACCCAGACAATGTCACTGCTGCTCTCGTTGGGGGTTTTGTGGGCTCCTACCTGCGTGAATTGGACCCCGAAGCAACCCAAGCTGCCTCCGTTCCACTTAGTGAGGTGCTTCCCGAGTATCCCCCTGAGGCTGGCGAAGAGTGGGGAAGGGATCCCCCAAGCCCCCCATTGGGAATTGGTCATTACGTCCGATTTCCATGGTCGGGGGAAATTAAAGCGGTCGCTATTATCCCGCAATTCGAACTAAGCACCGCAACGGCCCGTAATGTTCTTCCTCAATCATACTCCAGGAAAGATCTGGTATGTTGTATCTAACGCATGATTATTGGTGTGCTCAATCAGTTCGCAGGTTTTCAACCTCCAACGACTTGCTGTGCTGACAATTGCTCTGGGCCAAACGCCCCCAGACCCAGACCTGATCTATGAAGCAATGAAGGATAGAATACATCAGCCATACCGGAAAGAGTTGGTGAGTCTCTTATCTTGATGGGATCGCCGCCAGTGAGGGACTGAGCATATCCTGCTACAGATCCCCGGCCTGCCCGAAGTGACGTCTTCGCTGACGCCGTCGTCACATCCTGGTCTTCTTGGCATCTGTCTTTCTGGTGCTGGTCCCACGATACTCGCACTCGCCACTGCGAATTTTGAACGTATTGCAGAGGATGCGGCTCGTATCTTCAAGGAGTTCAACGTCGACGTTGACTGGAAGCTTCTGCATGTTGTAGGTGGAAGTCATGTGCAGGAGCCATCTGCAACGTGAAGCCTTTTTGTGGTAAGCGGACAGTGGTGTTGTCAAGATCTCTAGAGCGTCGGCGAAGTAAGGTTGGGGCGTCCAGTGCCTCGACTCATTTCCATATTTTCTCTCTGTTCGGACAACCCGAGGCGACGCCGCGCTAATGCGCGATATTCGTGTATGAATTTTTTGACACCCTCTCCCTCAGGTCTCTGTTACGAGTCTGGGGCGAGAGGTGTTTTATTTCGATTCATTATAATAATCACTCATGTTTTAATTGGCATAGAATATACGCGCCATAGGTGCGATTTTACAATTATAGATCTCTGTTACGAGTCTGAGAATATGCGTACGCGTGATGTCCTTGAATATCTTAATAAAAATTTGACCGTAGCCGGAGACGATGATTCAACCGTTTGTCTTTATGTGCCTCTGGTAAAACTAATGTCCACCATACAGGTAGACTAGCGCGGAAAAGACCGAGGGTGGTGAAGAACGACCAAGAGCTTGGCTAGTTCTAATACATAGAAGTGCATGCACGTTAGCGCAGTACAGACATCACGGCTAATTACATGTCTGTCATCGCCACTGAAGCGTGGCCGATTTGTCCCGCGGCCCCCGCTAGGCTCCATAACGACATGCGAGTCACCCCGGGTAAGGATGCTAGTACTACTTCACACCCCCCTCTTATCGCCTTAGACCTCGATGATGTTCTCTGCCAAACCAACGTCTCGATCGCAAAGTGTATGAAGCCGAGTCAATTCCTGGACAGTTTCAAGCCTCTCAAACACCTTTTTGCATTATAGGGCATAATGCCACGTTTGATACATATATGACGCTGGATGACTTCCATTACGTGAGTAAAGGCTCATAGGGGATGCACAATGTGCTGAGTGCACTCTCAGTACCATTACTGGAAGGTGTGGATCCCATCGAAGCAATGTATGCTGTCACTGATCGAACATTTGACGCCCTCAGAACCCATACTGGGGCTCACCGGAAGGTATTTGTCACACTATCCTCCAAAATATCCCAGTCATCGACAGGGTCATTCCAGAGACGCTTAAGAAAGTGCAACAGTTCCTAAAAAGTCCCGAATTCCTCAACGTACCCGTAGTGGAAGGTGCAAAGGAAGGCGTGGCTGAACTCCGTCGGTTGGGTTTCCGATTAGTAATTGTTACGGCACGAGCCAGCAGGGACAGCAAGCTGACGGATGAGTGGCTCTCTGCTCACCTACCAGGTAAGTACCCCTCCGTGTAACAAGGAAGAGTCAGAACTCTTAGTGGGTTTGTTACGAGGTTCGATCGACGCCGTGTACTATACTGGTGAATTTGTCAAAAAAGATGATTCCGCAGACGCAGTGAGGCCAATGACAAAAGCGGAAGTGAGCCCGTTGTTGGCCCCAATAAAGGACGGGTGTATTCTAACTGCATTATTTCCTCTTCCAAAGGTACTCCGGGATATCGGAGCTGTGCTATTCGTGGATGATTCGTTGAATAATGCAGCCTCTTGCGCGTCTGCCCAAAACGCTCCGCCAGTTCTTCTCTTCGGGAATTACGAATGGAGTAAGAGGTATTCAAAATACGACCCCGTTGACGAGAGAGCAAAAATGAGTTTTGAAGAAAGGTGCAGAATAGATGGAAACCACTTCTGGGAGAAAGAAGTTGTGGATGATGCGAGTCTGCCGCCGCAGTTGACGCGCGTCTCTTCCTGGCCAGAAGTCATAGAAAAGGTCAAGAGCATTTTCGTCCAGTAATAGTGTGTATCTTAGCCAAACTAGAATACGGCCATGTCGTTATAGACGCTGTATTCGTTTCCGAGATCGGAGCGCGGAGTGAGCTTCGGTGAGTGACGGGAGCAAAATTCTCACGTGAAAGGGGCACATAGATTCTTAGGACAGTTAACAAAGAGCAGCATATTCCCGGCCGGGTACGTCGCTGTGAGAATGTCCAAAGCATATTCAGGGAGATTGGGAATAGCAAGAGCGTTTTCGGGATATTATCTCCGTAACCGGCCGGTGATCCAGCGGATTCTCACTGGAGCGCTAACGCTGTACATTGCGGGGACACTAACCGTGGGCCTTCGTTCTGGGTCATCCGCGTCAAGAGCTGGATCAACTAGGAGACGATCCAGAGGCGATGCTAGTGGGAAGGATGGAAAATCAGAAAAAGTCGAGGTATGCCAGCGCCACACTTGCTCGCGCAGGCGCTCAATCCCGGCTCCTCAGATCGATGCCGTCTTCTACGAAAGACTCAAAACACTGTTGCGCATAGTCATACCAGGGATAAGATCGAGAGAAGCCATGCTACTTCTCATGCACACTAGTTTCCTGGTTTTTCGAACAATGCTGTCGTTATACGTCGCTGACCTCGATGGAAAGTGCGCAGCATCCCCTTAACACATATTTAGGTTTTGAACGGTATGCGCCATTTAGAATCGTAGCTGCACTAGTGCGAGCGCAAGGCAAGCAATTTCTGCTCAGAATTCTACACTGGCTCCTCATCGCCGTCCCGGGTACGTCGGGCTCGTCATGATACAATGTCTAACATGTACTGACATTGTCCCTGTCACGCTTTCCAGCTACCTACACAAACAGCATGCTCCAATTCATCCAAAGTAAACTCGCAATGGTACGCGCTTCCCGATGATCACATACCGGAATCGTAGTTGTAACAGAATCGCATCCCTCGCATCCCCCAGGCGTATCGTACGCGACTCACCAAGGAAGTATTCAACATGTATTTCGGTCAGGATGGCGAGGAAGATAAAGTTTTCTACAAAATGGCCAACCTAGACGACAGAATAAAAAACGCTGACCAACTAATCACCGTCGATCTTCATCGCTTCTCATTCCACCTGGCAGAGATCTATTCCAACCTTGCTAAGCCAGTGCTGGATGTCATTCTATATAATGTGCAATTGTCAAGAAATATTGGTGCGGAAGGGTTGTTCGCCCTGACGATTTTAGTTCAAGGGTCCGCAACTCTCTGTAAGCCGGGCGTTCATCCTTTCTCCCTTGAATTATTTTCTTAAATATCACTACGAAAAATACAGTACGAGCACTTACTCCATCATTTGGTAATTATGCGGCACAAGAAGCAGCCCTTACAGGTGCACTCCGACATTCTCATTCTCGATTGCTCGAAGCATCAGAGGAGGTCGCTTTCTACGGTGGCGAAGAGACGGAGAAATACCTCATTGAGCGAGACTACTACGGTTTAATCAAACATCTCAACCGTACGCTGCGGTTACGACTTGCGCACGGCATTGCCGAGGAAGGCATAATCAAGTGGCTTTGGGGAGCGTTCGGTCTCTGTGTTTGTGCTATCCCAGTGTTCGTGAAGATACCTGGTGTTGGCTCTAGTGATCTGGCAGTCGGACGGAGGGTAAGTGACTAGCGTGATCGTGAATGTTTCACGAACCCTCACCCTCAAACAAACAGGCTTCATCACCAACAGAAGACTACTGATATCCAGTTCTGACGCATTTGGTCGTGTGATGTATTCCTACAAGGGCGAGTATAACTTCCCTTTGTCGAGATGGGCGCAATGTTCTAATGCCACTGCAGAACTATCGGAGTTGGCGGCTATACGGCTCGAATGGCTCTACTTCTCGACACAATGAAGGATGTGAAGCAGGGTAAATTCGAGAAAGCATTGGTTAGCAGTTCCGATATTGCAGAGAATGCCAAAGGTGGGATTGTTCGTGAACACTTGTGGTGACTATGTTGAACCGACACTTTTGCTTCTAGTCCTCTCTGGGCGAGGGACGGTGATCGAGTCTGAAGATGACGACATCCAACTTACTGACGTTCCTATCGTAAGCCCGAATGGTGACATTCTTGTTCGCAAGTTGTCGATGCATGTCAAGCGTGGGGTAGGGAACCATTTCCCCTCGAGTTTAGTTTCACGAGGCTAACTGGTACCGTTAGCAACATCTTTTGATTGTTGGACCTAATGGTAAGGTAAATATACACTTGGTGATGCGTTGCATTGATGATGTGGCTAGGCTGCGGCAAGTCATCACTATTCCGAATCCTTGGGGGCCTGTGGCCTGTATATGGTATGTCCCTCATCTTGGAGCCTCCGAGGCCGAATGACGACCGTTCATCACACAGGCGGCACTGTGCGCAAACCACCTGCAAGGGAGTTTACATACATCCCACAACGGCCCTATCTCTCGATGGGCACACTCCGGGACCAAATCATCTATCCGCACTCGAAAGAACAGATGTTGGCTCGTGAGCTCTGTATTCCTCCAAATCCTCCCCGTGCTGAATGGATTCGCAAGGCGGAAAGACGGATAGAGACCTACTTGCGGTGCTTGCCGTTGTACAGATGGAGCATATCGTCGAACGCGAAGGTGGATGGGATAGCACGCGAGATTGGAAAGATGCACTAAGTGGAGGAGATAAACAGAGAGTGAGTGAACCTCCCTCAAAAGCACTTTTAATCGAGGCATGAATTCATGCGATTAGATTGCCATGGCGAGATTATTCTATCATGAGCCGAAATATGCCATCTTGGGTGCGTAATCAGCATCGACTGTGTGGTCTGTACCTTAAGCTCCTCCCTATTCGGATCATTTAGATGAGTGCACGTCTGCTGTTGATTTTGAGATCGAACGTATCATGTTCGAGTATGCTACGGAACGGAACATCACTCTATTAACTGGTCCGTCTCATTCCCTTTGCGTCATTTCTTTCATCTTTGTGTGATTGGCTGATGAATTTTCCTATTAAATCATTTCTCGCAGTTTCGCATCGACCATCACTGTGGCAGTGAGCACTTTTTGCTGCGTCGATGAGTTCATCGGACTAATTCCTATGTGTTGTGTATCAGATACCATCAAATGATCCTGCAGTTTGACGGGCAGGGCAACTATGTTTTGTGAGTGACGACCATCTATCTTCTCTGGCGGCACCATTTCTGATAGTATCAAACGCGCGCGTAATGAGTAGTACGGAGCTCGAAGCTGGCAAGAGGCTAGCTTTGCAAGAGGAGAAGCAAGCGTTGGAGGCTAAATTGCTTGAAGTACCCAAGCTCAAGGCGCGTCTGGAGGAGCTTAAGGCTCTTCGCTCTCCAGTGCTTTGAAGGGTTTTGGGACGAATTATTAGCGTGCATTACATACTATAACATGAATAGTAATCTCTATTAGATTAGGCGTACGACATGGCCAACTCACGATGTGGCTGCGGCGCCTTTCCTTTCTTTGTACATATACTCGCTACCACGCTTGTGCGCCATTCGGAACGCTTTACTTATAAAGCGAGAAAAAGAATTTCCAACAACTTTCCTCAGTTCAAGTACACGACGAGGAGGCTTGCGCCCCCTCTCATCTTGTCATGGTGACTCACTGTATCTAGTTTTACACGCTAGGTAGATACATTCAATTAGTTCACGTACAACGGGACTGAGCTTTATACGCTAGTTCTTCTAATAGTTTCCCCGAGCAGAACGGTCTTCCGTTCGTAAGCTTCGGCAACCCACCCAAGTCCGGAATCGCCTCGTGTCATGTGAGTGCTTTTTTTCCCGGCACTTGTCCTTGTCCTTGCGAAAGAGGCCGATCCCCTCTAGATTCTCTCTCCCATACCTCTTCATTTCATTCCCCTCTCCCCTCTCTCCCCACACCCGGAACTTTCCCTAGAAAGGTCACCTTCTTCTTCGTGGACATTGCCTTCCCAACGCCTGGCGCAGCCCCGCTTGCACATAACGGCTCCAACCCCCACTTCACCAAAAGTAAAATACTTAACTCCAAGATGGTCTACTTCCTATCTCAATCTTTCAACTTTGAGTGAGTAAGAGAGGCTTACACAACCTCGAAAATATTTCGGCTCAACAACCTTTTTTCCCCCCCCTTCCCCAAAACGTCATTTAAAGCCATCCATGGTCACTAGTGAACGTAGGGTTATGGCGCAAGTATCCCAATCCGCGGTGTGCGCATGTTATATCTGTGGATGTTTTAGATCGGTCGATAGACACAAAGACGGGTGTCATACGAACGGAGCGAGTTATCGGCGTTCGTCAAAAGGCACCTCTTTGGGTTCTCAAAGTAAGTAGAGCATGCGCACGCTCAAAGCAAAGATTGAATCTTCTTCCTCATTCGAACAAACACATATCTGATGTTTTATCTCGTTTCTGTTTAGCTCCTGGGAGGTTCAGAGCACGCCTTCGTACGAGAAATTTCCTTCGTGACCCATCACCCAACGCACAACTCTCACATCCGTCAACCTCTCCCTTTCCCAATACGTCACCGTCCTCGAACAAATTTCTTACACTCCATCTCGTACACATCCACAAAATAAAACGCTGTTTACTCAAACGGCCGAAATTCAAGCTCGGATGGCTATTTGGAAGAGTTTAGGTGAGAAATTGGAGACGTGGAGTGCTCAGAGGTTTGGTGATAATGCTGAGAAGGGAAGGATGGCTTTTGAGGATGTGTTGAAGGCGTTGGCTAGGTGGAGACAGGAGGAGAGGATGCAGTTAGGTGTGACACCTCAAGGAGCGCATTCATGATTCTTTCGCTTCCTCTCCCTTTCTCCATATTTCCCATTAACCGATTTGTCTCTGTGAGTATCATCAATCACTCTCCTTCACAATCCTGATTACATTCTGATACTCACCCTTCACCGGCAGACCTACACGGATCTTTTCCCTTTACATCTTTGACCTTCCTTGACGATCGCTCTAAACGAAACCGAAGCGGACTTCACCCCGACTCTAACCTCATCCCAAACCCACGACGTTATAGAAACTAGACTGCGTTTTTACATCCAACACAATCCATTCCTCATCATAGCCCTTTACCACGCTTAATTATTCCCACCTTTCTTCCTCGTCCCCCAAAAAGAAAAGGATATTGCTTTAACCCCCTTCCTCAAACTTTGCACGGTACACCCGCTGCTCCGCTCAATCAATCGCTCAGCTTGGCATTTGTTTGTCGTCCCTTACCCGCTTTTCCCCCCACAATTGGAACTTTTGGCAAACGGAGAGTTGCAGAGCGTCGTCAAGTTATTTTTCACTGGACGTGATGACAGGACGGAACAAGTCGCTGCTTCATCCCATTTCATATTGTAACTTACTAGAGGCATAGTACATGTAGAAGTGCGTGCGTGAATTGCGTACGCAGCCTTGTGCAACCCAGAGCTATGTTGGACTACTACTTGCAGCGGTGACAGCCACGTTCGATTGCGTCTTGACCACATACGCAGGTTGGTTGAGAAAGGTGGTCGCTCAGCCGGCGTTGTTGATGCGGTTACCGACTTAGGAGCGCGCCACTGGTTGCGCAATGGTTCTTTTACAGGGTGCATTAATGTGGCGTGTCAGCATCTGTGTTAACAGAATATTGGTCCGAATCCGTACGTGTTCAGCCCTCACACACAAGTCAGCAAGTGGGGGGTATAACTTTGTCATTCAGAAACTGAGACACATGTTCAGTGAAGGGAAGTGTCCATGAAGGAAACAGAAAGGAAGAAGGGGAAAGACTATAAGGAAAGGTTCATCCGTAAATTACTAGTCGAGACGGGGGCGGCTGCGAATCTGGGGTTGCATGAAAAAGTGGAGTCGTGCCCGTACGGATGATGAGATTGCCTCGACTAATACTTGAGTATAATGTAGAGGGCTGGAAGTTGGAGTTGGGAATTAGTAATTCATCAAAGGAGATTGGAGTGTGGGCGGAGTGCGGGTGGAGTGTTGGTGAGGAAATGCGAATGATGATAGTGTGGGTGAGTTGAGAATTGGGTACGTACCATGTATGATACCCGGACTATGGTGAGGCAATCATCGAGGGGTTCGAGAGGGAAAAGTGGTTAAACACAAAGAGGTAAGCGTGTGCCAGACTGAACGTACATGTAAGCTAGGATAGTCAACAGGCTGGACAAGCGTAGATGAGCTTGGGCGTTTGCCGTGGCGCAAGAGTGAAGAGAAAAACCTACATGTTAATGAGGAAATCGGCACCACATCCTCGTTCGAGGAAAACACCTAGAGGTGGAAGGATCACGGCGAAACTGATCGAGAAAGAGCCGAATGAGCGAAAACATAACTCTCGATCCTCAAAATCGCATGGTAAGGCGGGGATAACCAAGAGGGAATCACATACATGATTTTAATGATATCTGAGCAAGTGAAAGCCATGGGTTGTAAGCTGATGGGGGAGAAGACTGCTTAGGGTGCATGACTGTCTTATATAGTGCAAGTTGGAGTCCTTGGGTTTACCACTACATCATAGTACATAGTACACATGTCTTTTTCGGGCTCGCTGCCGACCCATATCACGTGCATTGCGCCGCTTGCGATATGCGGCGCAGGCTTTATTCGGTATTGGGAGTAGCGATGACGCAGTGATGCGTACGTGATTAGTCTCTCTCACGGCCTGGCGTGCATCGGATTGTGCACGTCTCTTGGCTCGTTTGAGGAGTGGTTTACAATCCCTCGATTCGTCTATCTAAACGTAAGAATCAGCCTCAGCCTTAAGCTTCATCCGAAAGATGATAGAAATCCAAGGCATTCCATACACCCAAGACGATCCTTCAAATCCTCAACTTCAGTACGATCTGTACCTCCCTAGCGCCCTCATCCATCAGGCTGCAGCCGATCATGATCCTCGTGATCAGAATGAAGCGGGAGGTAGAGACCCCTCTCATCGTTTTCGTTCATGGAGGCGGATGGCGTTTTGGAGATAACAAAGACCACATCTCCATGGCCCGTCGTTTCGCAAATACAACTTCTTTACCCGTTTGTCTCCCCAATTATCGACTTTCACCTGCTGTAAAACATCCAACGCATACGAACGACGTTCATACCGCATTAAATCACCTTCTTTCTAAAGCACACGACCTAGTGCAGGATGCGTCTCACTCATCCCCCGACGTTGGTGAACCACCTCTACCCACTACTGCCAATCGACGTATCAGATTTACATCGCTACACCTCATAGGCCACAGCGCAGGTGCACACATCCTCGGGTCACTCTTCCTTTCTCCACCCCTTTCTTCTCCATCAGCAGATGACACCCACCCCTCTCCAACCTCTTCCCCTTGTTACGCATGCTCCCTTTCAACCCCATCCCTTCCGATCCGTAACCGCCCGTCTCCATTCCTCGTCCGAAGCGTCAAAACCATCATCGGTCTTGCCGGTGTTTACGATTTAGATCTCCTGTTGCGTTCTTTCCCGTATGAACTATATCGTTCTATGGCCAGTGATGGTTTCGGAGATCGAGACAATTACGAGGATTTTGATCTAACGACGTATGAACGTTTATCTTCCTCTTCTTCCGCACTGGTCCCGGAGGAGGGTAATGAAGTCATCGATGATGGAATACGCTGGGCGATCGTTCACTCGCAGGGCGATTCGCTGGTGGATATACTCCAACCCGAAGCGTTCTACAAACGCTTGACGGAGCTTTATCCAAACCTGAATCTGAATTCAGAGTTGAAAGAGGACGGGGCCGAAGGTGAGAATGTGAGTGATAGAGACAGTGACGGAAAGGTCAAAGATGGAAGCACAAGGAGCAGGAATCGTGGCACTGTGTTATTGGATGTGACTACGCTGACGGAGAACCACAATGCTTTATTGGAGACTGAACAGTTGGCAGACTTGGTGAAAGATATCGTCCTCAATGAATGGTAATGTTGTGTTCTCTCCATCCAAAATTGTAATACATATACGATATCTATGTGAACATACTTGTCCTTCGTTTGTTCTTCGTTTAACACTTCATGAGACGCACAAATGCGAAACTAGCCATCTACGGCCATAGGACTCGGAGAGCACCGCATCCCGTCCGATCTGCGAAGTTAAGCCGAGTACCGCTTAGTTAGTACCATGGTAGGGGACTACATGGGAATCCTAAGTGCTGTAGTTCTTTTTTCCTTTTTTCCTTTTTGTCGATCCTTCTGTCCTGTTTTATTCCTCGCCTTTTCATCCACCCACATAATTCGACTGACGAGAACGATGTGAATTGCTGAGTTTTTCGAAATCCTATAATCATACACGCATAAACGTACGTTGTCGAAATATCGTCGTCTACTCTCATACCAACTTAACCACCATACACCACTCCTAACATCCAATTGTACACAATACTCATCTTTCTATGGTCATCCAGATCCAGTGCGTTCAACCTTTATCTGTTTGGAAATCAGTGTAACTGACGATTACGAACTTGTTTTCTAATTCACGCATCAAACCCAATCCATCTCGCCGCCGCAGTTGCGCAGTGTTTGCGCAGCCATCAGCCATAACTAATAACCCATTTTCCTCTTTAGCTATTCCCGTCCTTCCCTGTCACAACTCTGTCATCGACTGTTCCATTCACCTTCCGTCCTTACACATCTTCGGACCGGAGCAGCTGAAAGATTCTTAAGATGGCGTGTTAATGTCGCGTTGCGTCAATTTTCTTCATCTACCTCGTCACCGGCCACTTCGGTCTCCCGGCGTGGTGCAATTCGTCGTCGTCAATCTACCACTCGAGCCGCCTCGTCTCCCTCTTTCTCTTCGACGACGATGATCAACGGCGCCCGGATTCGGATTCGGATCTCTTGCCGAATACTTGGATGTAGGCGCTGAAGCAGCCTCTATAGATAGGGTGGAATAGGGGATCTAGGTTCTCTCGCGATGTTCGCGATGCAGCAAATACTCCTAGAAGGGATGACGCTTGATTGGACCTCGTCTTCACGGACGGTGGGTGGTTCATCATTGGGATGGAGTAACTCTCAACGTCCCGGAAATGGGGTAGTACACACCACGTCGCCGCATGGTACCCAGTCGTTGCTCATCTCTTCTGATTGGCTTAGCTCATGTGTATCATATTCTCAGACTTTGCGATTCCACAACTCGAGTTGTGGATGATTCTTGGATGATATGCACTTGGGGGGAGAGGTTCAGCTGGTTCTGTTGGATCTGTGTGGTGCGTGCGTCGGGTTTTACGTGGAACAAATAAATATTCTGAAGATACTGTACTGGCACGACCAACAACCGGTCACGTGGAGCGTGGGAAAAGTTTCGGAAAACCAACCGCAACCTGCGTTATGCGTTACACCGACCGGATTCACACGTGATACAGGTTGGTTTTTTGATTGTTTTTAACGAGATCGGTCTTACCTTAGCTGCGGTGTAGCGGGTTGGCCTAATTTATTCGTCTTAGGAGCATATTATACTGACACACATTTGGCAACGTGTTATGAAATTTACTGTAAATGACAAAAATTTCAAGCACGTGTTCATGATGGCTTCGGAGTTGGCCGAATTTTGCTATTCACATTTTTGAATGTATATACAATACAAAAAGGAAAATTGAATTACATCAGCACAGCCACCACAAAGTCGTGAATCTGCGTTACGCTGGACGGCCGACCGGCTGCCTCGCGTTACGCGTTACAATTTTACATTTGAACCGGACCGGCGGGCCAGCGTTACGCGTTACCGGTTGTTGGTCGTGCCAGTACAGTACTGGAGAGTCGTACCGTTTATGCCGGGATGCACATCCGTCCACAAACGTTGCCCACTTTTGAAGCGAGGGAAATCCAACCATGTTTCCGCAGATAGAGTGGACAGATAGGGTAGCAGTAAGGTGATACAGGTTCAGTGGAATGCAGAAATGTACACTTGGGTTGTGTAAAACATTCCACTGTGACTGGACGGAAAGTGGACCCAAAGCCTGAACAGGATGAAGTGCAAGTCAATCGCGAACCGGAAAGCAGCTCAAAGTACAAAAGAACTCCCAGTTAACGCTCATGTCTGAGCTCTGCTGAACGTCATTCACGGAGGCAGACAAGGCATGTGGAAGGAAGGAATTGGTGGCGGTGCAGGGTTCTGTTTGTTCGCGTCAACAAGCAATGAGCCTCAAGGTTATCTTAAACCTTCAATCAGATCTGTATAGTTATTCGATTATTGTGAGCTGTCTCGAAGCATAATTTACCGACCCCGCTGTAGTGGTGAGTTCTACGTTTTCCCCATCAAACCAAGCAGTCCAAGCGCAATTCTGACTCTTCGGGGCTGGCAGATCACCTCCCCCTCCCCATTGTCTCCATATGCAACAGGATGTATTTTTTTCCGTTTTAGAGCCAGGGAAACAGGGAGCCATGACCCCAGGTTTGTCGTGCGACTCCAAACGCCTTTCTGTTTGACTGACCCTCATAAGCGCATTTGTTATCTAAATTACGACAGAGAACGAAGCGGTTTCTGAGTGGAGCTGGAGTTCATGTCCATAATACTCTCGCGTGTCGGGAACATGAAGACCGATCGTATGGCAAGTCAGATGCACAAACACAAAGTTTGATTGATCTCTCAGCGCCAAGACCCACTGTTGCACCAGCGGAACCCCCACCTAATCCACCCGAGGAAAGCCACATCCAAGTGAATTTTATGGATTTTTTAATGCAGTATTTGGAACGCTACCTCCACAGTTGTCCGAGGTAGCCGAGCGAGTGGTAAAAACTAGGAAATTCCTTTCCTGCAGAAAACGATATATGGAAATGTACGGTTTCAAGAAGGACTTGCCTGTGTTCAGAGCGGACCCGGATATTCAACTTATGCGTCTTTTCAACCTGATACTAATCAAAGTACGCGAATTTGGCTTCGATCAGCAGTACCTCCACGATATACACTATGCCAAGCGTCCCCAACGCGAGTGGCGATCCAAATTGGGCCAATCATCTTCCTCCAGATGTCTCGGCGTTGAAGTTCAGACAACGGCGAACGGGAAGCTCAAATTCGGGTTTTCAAATGCACTCGTAATCATCGATGTAAACCCCAGCCTTGTTCCTTCCCCCTCTTCCAACGCAAGTTCATGGCGACCCCCCGATAATCGAGCCCCGCCTTCGTCTTCGCCTTACCGTTCTCCCGAGCCACGACATGATCACTCTCCAGGAGGAACCAAACCGACATCGCGAGTCGCCACCTGATACGTCCATTGGGTCCAGTCGACATGGGAAACGACAAAAGCCCAAGCTCATTCCCGAAAAACGGTCGCCTCCAACCCCCGATCCTTCTTCGCTCATGCAGTACGCTCTTCGTACCTTATCAGCAATTGGAAATCGACGCCATGTTTCGGGGATTCATGTCGACGGGAACATGTTTCAGCTTTGGTATTTCGATCGTGCCGGTTCAATCTGTTCGAGTAAGATTAGCATCAAGGACGATGCAGAGCTATTCGTTGCCTCCATTGTGTTGTTCTCGCTTGCCAGTAAAGAGCGTCTCGGTTACGAGTCTTTCCTCGGAGCGCCTGCTGGCGTGCGGCGGCGGTCGTGGCTCACCATCCAGAATCACGAGGTCCAAGTGGAAGGTCATCGTCTCAGGTTATTAGGAACCATTCATTCTGCTGCATCATTGTATGGGCGAGGAACGGTTGTGTATGAAGCTGAGCCGATGTCAGGGTTGATGGACCCACCCAGCCGGGTGGTTGTCAAGTGCTCCTGGCAGCCTGTATCGAAGCATTCGGAAGATGAGCTTTATCGCCTAGCCAGTCAACGAGGGGTGAAGGGTTTGGTGACTCTTCACGCCTCATGTACAGCTTCCTCACTGTCCGAGGGCGTACGCGGTGATCTCTGTGGAATTCAGTTCTATCAGGACCGCGAGTTGCGAGTACAGGTATTGAGTCCATTCTGTATACCACTTTATACGGTAAAGGATTCGGATGCGTTCCGAGCGGCCTTCATCTCATTAGTGGAAGGTTCATGCTCTCTTATGCCATCCTTCACCCGCAAGCTTACGATCTCATCTAGCACACCATGAACTCTACGAAAAGGCCGGCATATTGCATCGCGACATAAGTTTCAACAATCTGATGGTTGACTTTAGCGACCAAACCAGAGGGATCCTCATCGACCTCGACATGGCAGTACGGGATCGAAATCCCGATACCGGAGAGACTCTCAATGTTCCTGTGCTTCCTGGTGGTACTGTACCATTCCGGTCAATCGATCTCTGCTACCCAGACCCCCTCCCTCGTGCAATTTATCGCCACGGCTTGGAATCGTTCTTTTACGTGCTTTTTTTAATATGTTATCAACGCGCAAACATTCCAGAGAAGCGAGATTATTTCTCTTACTGGAACTCCGGGACCTGGACAGATATACGCACACACAAAGAAGGGTGGTTGTCGATTGCATTCTCGGACCCAATTCCCGACGCAGTGCCGCTTGCTACCACTTGGTTACAACCTCTTCGGCTGGCATTTCGTGGCGCCTATTCAGCAAGAAACCGAATGAACAGGAGTCTGCTGCTTGGAGTGTCACCTCAGACTCCCTTCAACGACGAAACTCTAGATAATCATATCATATATGAGAAATTTATGGCTATCCTGAATCCTCCTAACCTATGATGTAATTACTGTATGGCAAGCTTTATCGTAGCCATACGCCTGACATATCTGGGCTGCTGGAATATCAGCTCTCGTCCTCTCGCCGATCCATTCTCCCACCACCAGCGTGCCACAGACCATACTTGCGATCGCGAGACCTCTTCACCGCTCAACCTCTGCTCGTCCTCATGCATCAGATGCCTCTGACTCTAGCGCACGTCTCCTGTTTGCCTGCAGCCGCAACGCGTCCTGACCATCAGAAATAAGGTGACTCAACCGTAGAAGGCACTCTACGACGCTAGGGTGGGAAAGGCCGGTCTTTGTACTTTCCTTCAGCCGACGGACAACAGCTTCATGTCCTCGGTCAAGGAAAGCCATCTTCCAAGTCTTGCGTTCATTCAAATCGCCTTGTTCCCATCTGGACACCTTCACAAATTCGTCCAATCCAGCAACATCAGCTCTCGTCAGAACGATAGTCCACAGGACCCAAAAGAAAGACTCGAGATCATGGCGATAGAGGCGAGGATGTGGTTCTTTCTCGAGTAGATCGACCGCGAGGAATGGATGAGGGTGAAAGCGATCTGTTCTGGATCCTCTGGAGGATGGGAAACTGGGCCACTACTGAAATCCCAGTCAATCAGCATTCCAACGGGCTGTCCGTCCACGATCTTCCACATTAAGTTGTTTGTGTGAATGTCACGATGAAGCAACCCTGTCACTTCATATGCTTGATGATGTGCTAGATAGGGATAGGATTTAGCTTGCTTCTGATGACGCAACGCAAAGTCTTGCCGAACTTACTTTCAATGATGGAGAGGAATATTTGAAAAAAGAGTTTAGTTTCCAGGTTAGTGTTGATAGACGTTATGGGTTTAAGCACGTCGGCCATGACGATAGCCTCCAAGTACCGCATTGGGCCAAATTTATAGTTTGAAACGTATTTCATAAGGGCTCCGCGTGGGCCGTCCTCGAGGCTGTCGAGCTTTTCCGAGCAGAGGATTTGGGGTATGCCCTTAATCCCTTTCGTGGAAAGCAGTCGGTAATGATCCACTTCTGACGGGTTGCGATGGGACGGCTGATACGACAGTTTGAGCACGCATGGACAATCTTGGCCACTAACATCGTCCTGTATATTCGCAGCAAAAACGGATGTGCATCTTCCAATAAGACCGCGGGCAGCATATATATCGGTGTAGAGGGATCGAATGAAATGACCCGACCTTCAACGGTTATTCATTGCTTGTCATGAGGAAGTGGCCAGTTGGAAGTAGTAAAATGAGGGCTGAAACCAAACTCCTGAGGAGTTGCATACGTCATCGCCGAGATATGCTTACAGAACAGCTCGAAGTAGTCGTGTCTTCGAATGTCTATAATGCTTGACCCAATCGGTCCACAGTGATCGTAGTACCAAGTCTCCACGAGGGAATCGATAACGAGCATACCAGTGCCGAATCGCTTGAGAGGATTACTTGAAAGTTGTTCCAACCCATATCCGCCCAATTGCTGCCTCCCGTCTAGTGTGGCGTCTCCGACCTTCCCAGACTCGCGCTCCATTTGCTCCTCCGTCATTTCGCTGTCTGAGGTTGGAGGCCGCAATGAGGCACGGAAATTTTCCTTTCGCTTCAGGTCGATGGGAAAGAGAACATCTCTCCAATGAACTTGATCGGGGGTGTCGGGGCCCTCCGCCCGCGTCTCTTGCGAACAAAAACACCATCGGGACTAATGAACTTAAAATTTCAGCATTAAAGCGATGGTGAAATATGGGGGCGAGATGACCTGCCTTCTCATTGCACTATTTAAGGCTCCCAGAAGCTTCTTCTTTCCGTGCGTTTTTACGTAATCAACCCTCCCTCCATTGGCCTTGATAATACTCGTGACCATCTCAGCAAAGGGGGCATACAAATCGCGCTCCAGGCTATCTTTGTTATCGACCACTTTAAGATACTCATCCCGGAGTTTGCGTAGCGGACCTTTGACCTTCCTGAGCAGGTCCGGTGGCAGTTCCTTCAAGGTGGAACGTATGACATCCAAGAACTGGTCGTAGGGGATTCCTCTAGCGTTCATTTTGCCGAGTTCGCATCTTAGTTTATGATGTTCCGTTGATTTGCGTCCATCAGAATTTGGGATTCCCGCGACGGTTGAGGTTGAACGCATTGACCCTAGAGAGACTCAAGAGGTTGTTCACTTGAGAAATAAATAGGCCGCATACCATATACACGATCCTTACAGTCAGCAGCTCTTGGCGCAACATTTAAGTCTTCTACTAGCGTGACACTCGTCAAAAGGCCTGGGAACGGTGGTGAGTGGACGTGGGATTGAAACAGCCGACAAATACCTTTCCCATCCTCAATTTCGATTTCGTCCTTCCATTTTACCGTCCCAGCTGGACAGTCCACGACGCCGTTTGGTGTTATAGTCTCACCTACGCATTCGCTGACAGGCTGAGTCTCCGAGACGATAGGGGAGGGGTCCGAAGTGCTGGAAGTCAAGTGGAGACGCGACGCCCTAGTGCGTCCGATGGTGTCGAAGTGATACACACGCTCATTTGAAAGACGTTTCCGCTTCGTTTTTGCCTTGGGAAGCGTCGTACTGAGGCAGAAGGAGGATGATGCGACGGATGGACTCATGCCCGCCTTGCCAGGGGATCGGAGTGGAACTAAGGAAGCAGGAGAACAAAGACCAACCCAGGGGGAGTACAGGGTGGGTGGTGGCAAGAATGGGCATCCAACTTGGGAACTTCATGAGTAGCTTTGAGTGGTTGGGTTCAGGGCCAGGATCATTCGAAACGCGTACACAGAGGTAAACAACACGTGCCGTACGTCAGCGCATTGACGCGCCACTGACTCCGCGTATAATTGTCTTAAGCAAGCCTTTGTTGGCAATGGATCTGCAGCACTCCACTCCTGACATGTGGCTCATCTTTCTGGTCACCATCAAGCAGGGACACCTAGGCAGGGCGTTCACCTTGGATGAGTTACTCTGAATCGCGGGGAATTCCACGTAATTTCAATCTTGCCGCCCATTTTAGTTCCCTTTTTCCTCAGTTCTCTGCGCTATTGGGCCGCTCAACTTATAATTGCGCCAATGACCAGAAACCCTTTTTTTTTGCCGCTCGCGACCTTGCACTCCCACGTTCGGAGAATTCCGATATAGTACTGAGCATTTCCCACAGTCCCACAGTCCCCAGACTGCACACTCTTAACACTATGCTCTGCTTGTAAACAATCAGTGGGCCAATTCGTTGTCTATCTAACTCGTAAAAATTAAGCCACCCTCTTCCCGCAGTCCGAGATGATTGAGATCCGAGGCATTCCATACACGCAAGACAATCGTTCAAATACTCAACTTCAATACGATCTTTACATTCCCAGCACCCTGATCCATCATGGTTCCCGTGGCCACAAGATAGAGTCCCCCATAATCGTCTTCGTTCATGGCGGCGGATGGTATTCTGGAGATAAGGAAAACCATATCTCCATGGCCTATCGTTTTGCAAATGCAACTTCCTTACCTGTCTGCGTTCCCAATTATCGACTTTCACCTGCCGTAAAGCATCCCACCCATACGAACGACGTCCAAGCCGCATTGAATCACCTCCTTTCTAAAGCGCACGACCTAAGGCAGGGTTCTTTTTACTCCTCTCCTGACGCTGGTCGGCAACCTCCACCCACTGCCACTGCCCGGCACATCAGATTCACATCGCTACACCTCATAGGCCACAGCGCTGGTGCACACATCCTCGGATCACTCTTCCTCTCTCCACCTCCACTGGCAGACGGCGTCTCTCCCCCTTCTCCTTGCTACGCGTGCTCCATCTCAACTCTGCCATGGCGTAAAAACCCATCTCCATCCCTCGTCCGACATGTCAGAAGTATTATCTGTCTTGCTGGTGTGTACAACTTGGATCTCCTGTTACGCTCTTTCCCACAGGAATCGTGTCGCCTTATGATGATTGATGGTTTTGGTGATCGGGATCATTATGTGGATGTTGACCTAACCACATATAATCGTCTTTCATCATCTTCCTCCCTACTGGTCCCGGAGGAGTGTAAAAGAGTCATTGATAATGGAATACGCTGGGTGATCGTTCACTCGCAGGGCGATTCACTGGTGGACATGCTTCAGCCTGAGGCGTTCTATAAACGCTTGATGGAGCTTTATCCGAATCCAAATTCTAAGGAGAGCAGGGCCGAAGTTGCGTATGCAGCAAAAAACCATAATGACGGAAAGGCCAAAGATGGGAGCAGCAGGAATAGCACCGTGTTACTGGATGTGACCACGCTGACGGAGGAGCACAGTGCTTTATTGGAGACCGAGCAGTTGGCGGGCTTGGTGAAGGATATCGTCCTCGATGGACGATAATGTCTGCATTCATTTGATCCACTCAATCTTTTTTAACTGAAGAAAGGAAAGGGAATCGGAATACTCATAATGCTGCACAAGTGTCAAATTCCAGGGATTTCTGGTGCAGCCCCTAGTACAACATAATAGATATCTATGTAATACGTAAATAATATAGATAAATTATAACCAGCCTGACGTGAGGCAGGATCTGAACGAAAACCTTCCAGCCGGCTCAGTTAGCTTGGATCTCCGCCTCTGTTCTTTTAGTTGGTGTATCCTGAACACTTTATCAGACATACAAATGCAGAGTCAGTCATCTACGGACCCAGGGCCCTCCATTCGATCTGTGAAGTCGAATCGAATGCTGTTCAGATCAGTCGGTGCCATGGTAGGGGATTACAGAGTGTCGTTTTTTTCCACTCTTTTTTATGAATTAATTCTAGCTTCTACTCATTCCATGAATAATTCATCAGATCCCCTCGCGACCATAAATATATAAGGTCTACATGGGGACTCTGTGCTGTTTCTTCTCTTTTTGGTTTCCCTTTTCCCTTTTCCAGAGCCTCCCCTCTCAAACCCTCCAGCTTTTCTCAGTGTGGGATTGGATGGGTTCTCCCGCAGTTCTGTACCCTCAAACAATCGTGGGCGGAACGGCTGGGTACGAGCCTGGTTCTCCCGTGGTCAAATGGGTCAACATTCTTCAGATTTAGAATCCTGAGTGTCTTGCACCTGAGCATGGCCCAAGTTATGCGGTGTCCAAACCATCGAGAGCACTGCCCATTCAAGACCCCTGACCGCTGATGACCTTGGCACCCTCTTCGCATCCTCTCCACAGGGCTGATCAAGGACCCGAACTACGTAACCGCCTCCGGGGGAATGAAGATCCTTTTCGAACGACCATCGTGGTCCATAGTGGCGCCGTCTTTGAGAGCATGGGACTTAAGGATCGATCCAGCTTCCGAGTCAGGAGATTGCAGCCATCGGAAAGGAGGAGGGGTGAGGGTGGATTTTGAAGGATTCTGTTATCAGGCAGATTGGAGATGAGATCGGGGTTGATGACGATGAGGAGTTTCCCTCCCTACCAACCCCCTCGCTCGATCGGACAGTTCGCTGCTCGCTGGTGGTTTCGGATTCGACATGATCAATCTCATCGGTGCCCGGTCCGTCGCGCAGGGCATCATCATCTGGGAGGATCCTCAAGGGCGAAGCATTCCACAAGAGGAATACCCCCAGACAACACAAAACCCGAGGAACCCACCAACCAGTATCCCCCGCCACGTATTGACGATCCATAGTCGCACCATGCACATCACAAGGCCGCGGGATATCAAGAGCATCATCAGGATCATCCCCAAGGAGACATCGCGCAGGAGGCCGACATCGAGGGCGCGTTGAGGAGTTGTGGGCCTGGATTAGGACGTCGTGCCCATTGTAGATTATTGGGAGGCGTCTTGATACTTTCGTCATAGTGCATGTAATCGCAAAGCACATAATGGAAATTCTGCCCCTTGAAACTGGGCGAAAGACAGCGTTAGACTCGGCATCCTCACTGCCCTCGCCACCCACAACAGCCTGCACCGGCCCCGACCCCGGATCCTTACACCATTCCGGGGCGCCCCCCGCCACACACGGCCCAGGATTATTTTCCCAACATGGCTTCTTCACCAATCCCTCCGAATCTCCAGGCCAATCCATTGATTGAAAGCCTCCACCATCGGCTCTACCGCACTTGACGCGGTCGCGCACAAAAGCGGTTCATATCCCAGCCTACCTCGCAGATCAGGTAGGCCTATAGATGTGTCACGTACCGCCGAAGTTGGATGCTTGGAGGTAGTATGAATCATGTAGAGGACAGCGGCGGAGGGTGTGTCTGCCCGGCTGGCAGGCAAACAGGAGAAGGCGGGCCACTGTGCCGCTAGAGTCAGAGGCATCTGGATGCATGAGGAGCGAGCAGAGGTTGAAGCGGGTGAGGAGGGTCTCGCGATCGCAAGTAATGGTTCTGTGGCACGCTTTGGTGGCTGGTGAGAAGAATGGATCGGCGAAGAGGACGAGGAGCTGATATTCCCAGCAGCCCAGGATATGGTCAAGGCGTAGTGCGAGGGGTTGATGTCGGCATAGACACGAAGTTGTGGGAGATGATTCAATCGGTGGTCCTATCGGGATATGCCGTACCATTAGGTAACTTGCCGATCCAAAATGCCTTCATCACAGTTCGTGCTTGGGTGCTTGCGGTGGCTATTGGAGCGGCTCGCCTACGCTGGTCCGCCTGAATCGATGCAGAAGGGATCTGGTGTTGGTTTGGTCCCAATTCGGTCCTAGTTCCCTGTCAGCTCTGATCTCAACTTACTTGTGAAGCTTTCACTACGCGCTACGTACGTCCGACGTGAATGCCTGGCTATATCGCGTGCAACCATCTTCATCCCGAAACTAAGGAAATACATTGGCTCTGGGCCCATGATGTATAGTGATGGGAGTTTGGGCGCAACACTTCTGCTGTGCTCTCGGTCTCCGACTCCACTCTTAGAGTAACGTGTTGATCAATCAGTCCTAAGGTCACCTAATGGAAGATCCCGGCGATGCTTTGTCCCCTCGGCTGGTAGTATTGTACCAGTCGAAATTTCTGCACACGATCTTCGTGTTTACCTTAATGCACGCTTTCCACAGTGTCAGCCTACTCCACAGAGTCTGAATTATTGGTGGCGCTGTGTTCACCTTGCCGTGGGCCTAACCTTCCGGGCGTAGGCCATTCGTGGTCGTTTCAAGAGTGGGACAGAGACCGACCGTGGAATATTGATGCGTGATCCGATGCAAAGGATCTACATCCTGGACCTTCCATAGGTCTGACGGGTGAGACAAGCTAAGGAGGAGATGACGAGTATGTAGGTAAAGAAAGGATGGCAGGAATGAATGAAAGCAAAGATGTGACTGTCTAGTTGTACTGGCCGATGGATTGTGTATATTACTTAGTTCGGGGGAGGGGGGGGTGGGGAGAGCGGGCGGACGTGGAAGGCTACAAGAAAAGAAGTAGCGGTCGACCAACTGTCGGTAGGTCAAGGGGGTTGAAGTTGATGCGGGGGATTTTGTGCTAACACTGGCGAAGAGCGGAGCATCCAAATGGCCTACTAGTGCCTTCGAGTAACAGGTAAGCTGCGTAGCAACGGGATGACGAATCCGGGTCAAATTACTTGGGTCAAAAAACAGTTTGGAAAGTATGGAAATGGTATTCGCCAAGTTCCAAAGATGCGCCAATACTAACCACGTGAAACAACACATCACAATATGCTCCATGCTCCCTAAGGATGAAATGGCTGATACCTAGAATCTGGATTGAGGGTGGGCCGTCATCTTTTTCGGGATCCGACGCTGCCGTCAGCGGAAGGGATGATTTGAACCCCTACGCTCATTGAGTTTAAGGAACATTTCATGCTGGCGCGGTCCATAACTGGTGGGGTATACAAGGACATGCGATGGCGAGGCAGTCGATTAGTTTGAATGTAGGCAAAAAGAAAAAATGATCGCTCAACAAATCGGAAGTCCTACCAAATGTTTGAGTCACTTACACGGCATGTGCAATCTTTCAGTTTCTCGGTCTCCGTATAGGAGTAATGAGCCGCCAGGCCGAACGAAACATACCAAGTGTCAAGATGCTAGCAATGGATACCACACACCCGACAGGGTCTTATATTGTGTGGGTAGCTGCCTGTCTTTGAGAGGGCGATCGATAGCTCAAGTCGGTGAATGCAAAGGCAGATCGCTTGGTGCCCATGCATTTCAAAGCAAAGACCGTAACCTATAGCGTGTTTTTTGTTTTTGTTTTTTGGTTGGCCTCATTCCCAGAGTGTTCATTGGCAAGGCTGACTAACCACAGCATTCGAATCGCAGTGTAATGTTACGATAATATAGTACATCCGGGACTTCCCAGTGCACGTAATCATTTGAACGGCGCCTCAGCAAGATCAAGCACCTCCTCAAGCACACGAGCTGCCCTTTCACAATCCGCAAATGAATTATAGAGCGGAACAGGGCTAAACCGGATAACATCCGGGTTCCTCTCATCACCCAACACGCCTCTGCTTCTCATGCCTGTGAACACACGTTGCATCATACCTTCGCCCGAAGGCCAAAGCAGACTAAGCTGAGCACCACGCTCGTCGGAATTCTGAGGTGTGATGATTGTAAAGCCTGTCTTCTTCCTTTCCTCATTGTTCAAAGATATTCTCTCGGACGGAACGAAATGCTTAGATTGCACGAGGAGAGATTCGAGGTATCCCGTCAGCCTGATGCTCTTGGCGCGCAGAGCAGTTATGCCACCAGCTTCTGCGAAGAGTTGTAGAGATCCGAGGAGAGCGGCAGCAAGAAGGCCAGAGGGATTTGATTGCTGAAAGCCCGCGGCCCCGGGTACCCCAACGAAGTCTGGAGGCATCTTAAAGCGTGTCTTGGGGTCATGACCCCACCATCCGTGATATCTAAGACATAAAGGATCATCGTATGGTTGGTGAAAGCCATGGATTTGATGGTAAGCAATAGTTAATCTCCTCGGCGGAGGAAGAAAATTATTCGACATACTTGGGTGGATAATCTGTTTCCCATTTGGAATGGACGAAAAGTCCTCCTATTCCGCCTGGCCCGGAATTGAGGTATTTATACGAACACCAAACAGCGAAATCTACTCCCCAATCATGCAATTTCATTGGAACATTGCCAATTCCATGTGCCAGGTCGAACCCTACTATACATCCCTGGGGATAAGAGAAGACAAAAAAGGACCCGGTGGTCGGCACGTAGATTGACGTTACGCAAGGGACCACGAGTTCTCGTCAGTTACGTAATATAACCCAACGGGGAAGCACTTGATTCGGTCTCGAAGAGATTCACCAAGCTTTTTTCAGACCGTGATACACTCACTTTTGCTTTCGCAATTCTGGTTATCTTCTCCATTGGAAACCATTGCCCAGTATAGTATTGGACAGCCGGGAAGAGAACAACAGCTGTGGTGTCACCGTGCTCTTCGATCCCAGCAAGGATATCTGCTTCGTGAAGAATATGCTCTCTTTGCCGAGGAGAAATTTCAATTAGGGCTTCGACAGGGTTAAATCCATGCGACGCTATCTGGGATTTGATTGCGTACTGGAGACGATAAAGGGAGCAAGAAAAAATTCAATTTCATTTCGGAGAAAATGGCCAATGCGCTGTTGGCACTAACCTGGTCCGATGGAAAGGCTTTTGCTTCACAAATAATTTTATATCGTTCCTTTGAAGGCTTATAAAAGCTGTTCATAAGCAAGTGGAGATTCGCTGTGAGAGTTCCCATGCATGCGACTTCGTTCTCATACGCGCCGACAAGTTCCGCAAGGGTAGGGCGAAGCTTGTCGGTAATGGAGAGCCATTCTCGGTGTTTCGGGTGATTAAAATGGCCCTCGACAGCTCTGTGGGTCCAAAGGTGAGAATTAGGATAGCCTCAAACGCGAAAGATGCGAATAGGTAATATGGCTTCCTCACCGAGTGGCCCAAACGCTGAGTTCCTCATTAATTAATTGCTGTGAGCGCTTCGAAAGCAAACCGAGAGAATTCCCAACAAGGTATGTGATGGGCTCGTCCACTAAGCGGTAAGATGTGGATGCAATCAAACTTTGTTTAGGCAAGTGGCGTACCACCACTGCTCCCTAGAAGGTCAGCTCCCGTCGCACTGGCGACAGGGAGGTGGAATTCGTTTCGGAAGTTTCTCAGCCCATCTTGTGCATCGAGCTCTTGTGCGCTGAGATGACCACCCATGCTGGGATCGCTTTGACGGCGCTTTGAGCAGTTAGATCGGGCAGGCGACTTATTTCGTGCATTTTATTCGGATTGCGGGAGATCGCCGGCTTCTGTGGCGATGACGCTTACTGGGGATTTTTTTCGGTCATATGCATTCAATAGTGATGACGGGAACTGTAGGAGTCATGCTCTCATTCCGGGCCACCAACCACCTTACTCATCCATACTACCAACGATGAGCGCAACTAGGAGGGTGCGAGAGGTGGCTGTTGTAGGCGCAGGCCCTGTTGGGTGCCTCGCTGCGTTATCTTTTGCCAAGATGGGCTTCAAGGTATCAGTGTACGAAGCAAGACCAGGTGAGTCCTCACGCAATGTATTATCGATTACTAAACATTTCCTGCGACACGCCCATATCTTCCACAGACATCCGCCATTCATCTTCTAGAGCTGCTTTTCAACGCCGATCTGTGAATCTTGCTATCTCGTCTCGTGGGCTCGCGGCGCTGGGGTTTGTGGATCCAGCTATCGCTGCACGCTTCTTGGAAACAGCCATACCCATGCCAGGCCGCATTGTGCATCCTGAGCATGGCGAAGCCCAATTCCAACCCTACGACCTCAATGGCAAGGTGAACTGGCACACTTGGGACGAAGTCATGTTCCGCAGCTTACGGTACACCTGCTATGGTTCAGCACATAAACTCTATAGACAGGATGCTTTTGAATGAAGAACTTTTGAACGAGCTTTTGGCTTTCGAAGATATATCTGTGCATTTCCAACATAAGATGGTGGCTGCAGACTATAATGCCCGCACGCTTGTGATAGACGATTCATCATCTGGAGAATCGCTGCGAAAAACTGTCACATTTGATCTTTGCATCGGAGCTGATGGCAGCTTCTCCAACGTCAGGCGCCAGCTCATGCGCGTATTACCGTAAGCATTTATTTCCCGAATCCGCAGGACGGGCTGCTCAACAAGACTGAATTCGCCCAGCATGGACTTTCAGCAGACATATATTCCACACGAGTACATCGAGCTACGGATGCCTCCGCTGGCAGTTTCCACCTCTCAGGACAGTCCTCAATATCGCATCGACCCTCATGGGTTGCATATCTGGCCCCGTCACTCTTTCATGCTCATAGCACTTCCGAACAAAGTAGGAAGATTCCCACATAAAACCTTGGCGGCTTCTGAACTCAAGACTGATGCCAACAGGATGGATCGTTCACTTGCACACTGTTTGCGCCACGTTCTGAACTTTCTCTTCTGCGAGACTGCAATAAAATTATATCATGGTTCCGAAGATACTTTCCAGAAGTTCTACAGCTCATCGGTGAAGACGACATCGTACATGATCTCATGTGCAACCCGAGAAGCCCCTTAATATCTATTAAAGTAAACCTATTGCAGCATCAGGCCTCCTTTGGCTAGTTAGCTAACCCACAGCATGTGGACTGCGAATCCCATAGGCTAACCCCTACCATTACAAAGATCGGGCAATAATTCTGGGTGATGCTGCCCACTCGATGGTGCCATTCTACGGTCAAGGATTGAATTGCGGCCTCGAGGATGTACGAATACTTTCGTCACTGATGCTATCCGGGGCCGTAGACCCCACGGCCTCCATCGATCAGTTGGTGGGCTCGGAGGATCCTGCGCTTTCTAGGGTCCTGGAAGAATATACTCAATCGCGCCACCAGGACCTTGTCGCTATCTGCGACTTGGCCATGGAGAACTAGTGCGTTCCAGGACGTCACGCGCCACCCATTGCTAACATGACCCCAACTCATACAGCGTCGAGATGAGACATTCCGTCACCACTCCGAGTTACCGTTTAAGGAAGGTCACTGATGGATGGCTTTCACAATTGTTTCCTTCCTCCGCCGCACCGATGGAACAACTCATGCAGCCTCAATCGTCGGCGAGCGAAGCAGCACGCCAGTTCCCCAGTGGTTGGCTCTCACTGTACACGATGGTAAGTAACTCACACCTTTGTTATCGTTTCGAGGATCTGGACCGGCCGAACCCATGCTTGATTATCATTCATCTACCCTCTTTTGATAATATTCAATATGCTTAACCGTCTCGTCTCTGTCTTTGTGCTCTGAATAGGTCACATTCCGTCCTGACATTCCGTACGCAATCGCTAAGGAGAAATCGGACTGGCAGCGCAAGCTCTTCGACCGCGCTGGGCTGACGGCAATGATCGGGCTCGTTGGATTGGTCGGATTTTGGGCCATCCGCACCGGCAAACGGTGAATCTGCATCTCCATTCCTGCCGAAAATCCTATGGGCAATCAGAGGTAAGGCACAGCAAATCGAAGAGGATAATAACTATGTATAGCAGATACAGCACACGCCCCCGTCTTTCACGCAATTTACTCGGGTATTCTAAAGAGAATAATATTGTAAATGCAAATTGAACGCTATATCTGATGTAGTTCCCTATGCACCGTGGTCATGCGCTCGCCCTTGAAAGGGTTCTGTGAGATCAACAGAGTATGCTTGCTGGATATAGAGGTTGCCTAGCCCAGCTTAAGGACCCGTCCCGTAATGCTAGGGTTTATTCTATCAAGCACTGTTATCCTTATATAACCTTTGCCTGAATCGAGGACATATCATGATAAACATAGACCCCCTGTACGCACAGTCAAGGATTCAGTTACAGGATTTGGTGGGTCATTTTTGTTTTTTCACTGAATCTGTGTTTATTGAAGATCTATCAATGAGGCTGGTCGTGCCTGCACAGATGTACCCATCAGTACCTGTCATGATTGTGTCTCGACATACTCACAGATGAACAATAGGGTTACAGCTAATAGGGTTACAGCTAATAGGGTTACAGCTGTGGCCATGCTTCACATGATCTTCCGCCCTGCCCATGCAGGCAAGCTGGATGATGCATTCGCGCATGCTGGAGATTCTCATAACATTCATAACTTTGGTGGGTGAGGACTCTAGCTATGGGAGATCTTGGCGCCTCTCGGCGGAACGGAATTTTGATCCTAGAAATCCGTCATTCACCGATGATTATGAGTGAAAATAAATCACACGAAAAAAAAAAGGAAAGGCCGCTGAATAGAGCACACGTCGCTAGACACGTAAAGCTAGGTATGTACGTGTACGGGGAATCGAATCGAATCGGATCGGATAATGGGTGGATGTCCGCCTGTAATGCTGAGGATAATGGTCAACAAGATTAGCTAGGGGCTATATGTATAGCTCAACGTGCTTCAAGCGTCATGACAAATTCTATTACAGGAAGCTAAACGGGGTAAAGTCCACACGAGATTCACGAGTGCACAGCAACACGGCATGGCACCAGTCCAACCCAGAACAGGGAAAGGCGTTTGAATAACCGCAAGGCTTGTGCCGTAGTTCCTTTAGGAAGACTAGAAATTGAGGAACATTTTTTCTTAAAAAAATGAAATGAAAATGAACTGTTATTTACTTGAGATATGAATGGAAGGGAAAAGAAAAAGAAAAAGAAAAAATTGACGATAAATGATCGGTTGGATGAAATGACAGCACTAGTTTTTTGCTGGTTAGTAACGTGCTTGTTATAAAATATAAAGTAATAAGATGTTGCCTGTATATGTTTAAAAACAAAAGAACAAAAAGGATGAAGATGAGAGAAGCCCTGCGATTGCGCAAACGGGCACCCATACATGAGAGGCATCGCGGCAAAAAAGTTTAAAGGGGAAATTCCGGATGCGTATCCTGCGAGCTTGAGTAAAAAGGAGAATCCGAAGTCTCGAACGCATAGAGAGTGGTTGAACGTGCAACGCCGGGTGGGGATGGATACAATCCGAAATACGCCAGTGCGCAGTTGATATGTTTCACACATTTTTTTTAGATGAATTATACGCAGGTCTTGATGTTGGTTGCCCTGGTCAACGGTCAACTGGTTGCCTCCCTTGGTTGAATATATCCGTTCCGATCCATGCATGGGGTTGCTATTTTTTTGTTTTTGTTTGTTTGTTTTTTGACGTTGTTGCTAATCAAATGCACGCGACTTCTTGAGCTGTTTCCTCAATATTTTTTCCACTTCTTCTCTATACGGGTTACGCAGGTGGAGAGATCTGATGCAAGATCAGAGGTGGCTTTGCTTGGTGACATGGTGTTAGTAGATAAACTTGACCATATATTCAATGTTTCGGGACCTTCCTTCGTGCATATGCCCCCCGTTGGCTCCTCATTTGTGTTGAGAAGAATGGGCTTGAAGGGTTGGTTGCGAGACCGAGGCCCAATCCGAGTACTGGCAGTGCTGTTCTGGCTCCCTCCAGATCGAACATACACCCCAAGTCGGACGATCAGGGACGTTACCGTATAGTGTACTAGCCAGCCCTTCCCGTAGGAATTTGCGTGTTGCGAGATCCCTTTTAATTTGAATTACCAATCGCTGTCATTGTTGTTGTTGATTGTCGGAACACAGCAATTTCACCTCAACAAAAGATCAGAGTGGGATTTTCTTCCTTCCGGCTAGGGTAGCATGGGGCGGAGAGTGTAGACCGAGGAGAGCAAGGAGCAGACGAAAGCCGGGTGTGATCAATTTTCGTGACCGTGCTAATGGAAGAGGTACTCAAAACATCGGCAAGGACAACAAAAGAGAAAAGAAGAAAAAAAAGGAAGGGGAGGTGTTGAGTCAATACCAATTTACGGGGTCGTTTGCAGGGGCACAGCGTGGCACCAAATCCAAGAAAAAAATAACAACAACAATCCAAAAGACGGAGGAGCACCCGGACGTAGTAAGCATAGCTTGAAGTCTGAGTTGATTTATGGACCAGGAGATGTGCACTCCGAGAGTCCAACCAGAAACTGGAAAACACAGCCAGATTTGGGTTTAAGAAGTAAAAAGGATTACCAGCACTCATGAAGATGGATTGCTTTGGACGATAACGGAGTGAGCGTTAGACCAATAGATGGAGTAAGCGTGGTATCGCCTTAGAAAACTGTTGGCACGTAAGGAGGCGGCAATGGAGTCATGCATACATTCATGCGTCGTCACCGGAGCCACCAGGCGCCTCAGTTGATGCAACAGCTTTCTTGGTTTCGGTGGCCCCTGATTTGGACGCTGGTTTGGCCTCGGAAGGGGCAACCTTGGGTTTCTTGGGTGGACGACCCCTTGGTTTCTTGGGCGCATTGGCCTTAGCCTCTCGCGCCGCTTTCTCCTCTGGCGTGAGAACCTGAGTTGGGAAAGTAGTAACAATAAAGTAACGAGCAAGTGAATGCGAGTGAGGACAGGGTAACGTCGAATGGGATTATAGTCAGCTGGAGGGGAACGTGTAACAATGATGGATGTTTCCCACCTTCGGCGGCCGACCTCGCTTTCTCTTCTCCGGGGGTCCATTAGATGGCGCAGCTGCAGTGGACGTCGAGGCGGACGCGGCAGGTTTAGAAGATTCCGCCTTCTTGGAAGCGGCTAACAAAGATGTTGGAGGTTGTAAGAATACATGTTTGGACATAGGGATATGATTCAGTAAGTACCTGTTGATGTTGTTGCCCTGGTAGTCTTCGTTGGAACAATGTCATCACCCTCGAGCTCGTCACGAGCCTCTGGGTCGGCTTTCCTCTTCCTCGTGGAGGCAGCTTTGGAGGACATGGCTTAGGGATCGATTGGCGCAGATGATCGAGGGGAAGTCAGAGATAAAACGTGCTAGTAGTCGTGCGTTGGGTCGTCTGATTGGACGCAGATCTTGCTCAACGTTGGAAAGAGGGAAAGTGAGAGGAGGGGACGCCTGGAGGAGGCTCAGACGGGGATGTTGAAGTTGTTCTGTATTTCTGGGTTCGAGTTTATAAGGGAAATTCTGGGGGAAAAAGAAGTTTTCTTGAGTCGTTGTATGGCAGTTTTATGGCTGCACATATTTTTGATCCCATTTTCAGACGCCGACCGAATTCAGCAAAAATATTCCAGCCTGCTCCGTTTCTGGAGGCTTTTCCATTCCAGCATATTCTGCCTCGTACTTGCCCCAGAACCCTCCCTTTGCCCACCATTTTTTTCCTACTGATATGCTCCCCTTTTTCCACTTACTTTTCCTATTCCAACCCGATTTATTTTTGAACGCCATTTGCCCGGGTGAGCAGGCACATTCTTATCGCTGCCATATCGCGTGGCGCCAGGTTGTCGCTCAGGAGACTTTCCCTCACTGCTCCTTTCCATTTCTGTGCTCGACAACCCCCCCAATCGCCAGCGTCTCAACGGTGTTGCTTGGGCCCACAAAAATATACGTAAAAATTTCCAAATTCAATGACCATCATTATTATTTGCATTTATTTCAACATGTGTCTCTTGACCATATGACGACGGAAGCTGAAGAACGTTAGCGCGCACCGGCGCTAATCCAACATGCCGTACAGGATTCTAGGTTGTCCTGTCCGATATAACGTCCGTGTATTCATCCGCAAGGCCTTATGCCCCCCTTAAACATCGATGGATTCCCGCCGTCAATGAAGTTTCGGAGTTCGTGTGAGCGGGGGAAAGAAAATGAGATCCCTGCCGTTTCGGGACGACGTGGCAGTTTACAATCACAGAATTGAGTGGGCGCTGTGCACGTTGCACAAGCTCACACCCGGATTGCTATGATCGCGTACCGCTATAACTTCGTCCTCTCTTTCTTCTTTCCCTACGCCCTCGGCCTCCTTTTGACCTTCGCCCACGCTGCGCACATTTACTTCCCTTCGATACCGGAGGACCTCTATGCGTTCCCAAAGTTTCGCGTTTCCTTCTTGAACGGATTCCCCCTCTTGAATGACACAGCTCAGGGATGGCTCGCTGAGGGTATCCCGGGTGGAGAAGACGAGTTTCTTGGTCGAGTTTCTCACCGAAATGACCAACCATCCAAATTACGAAAAGAAATAAGCGAACATGGCAATGAGCCTTTGACTACAGCCCTTCAGGACTCCGTTGCCGTGAGCGTCGTGTGCTTTTGTTGCCCCCTTGAGTTTGTAATACCTAATTGAAGTGATCGATACAGGCAGCGTCCCCCCCGCTTGGCTTGCATTTGATGAAGATGGGCACAAAAGCGTCTTACCTTTGTCTTATCCCTCAGCCTCCTCCTTCTACTGCCTTCTCCTCGGCCGAGGAATATACCCCCGCTCACCCACGAAGAGCTGGGAACTCTTACAGCCTATGTCTCAAGGGTGTTTGTATGTGCGTGAATTAGTTCTTCTTGCTGGGAATAGTCTCCTTGGTGTGTCCTGACCCTCGATCTCTAATTCAGCATACATTGGGTTGGTTCACGTACGCCTATTGCCATGGAAAATACGTCAAGCAGTTTAGAGAGGCGCCTCATGCCCACCCTCATCCCCCAGGTAAGGTTCAGACATCAACTCTTATTCAAAAAGTTACATTTATTTTTTACCCCTTTATTTTCCCAAATTGACTGATATCTTTTTTTTTATTCGCATATAGGGGGCAGAGAACCAGAAGAAGACTCTGAGGTATGGATTATTGTTTAACTGTCCCTTTTGTTCGCCGGATAACAATCGCCCCTACTTCCTGCTACCTCTTTTCCTTTCCTGCCATTCATGCGAAATCTCCCTCAACTCGCGTCGAATAACGAACTGGACTCAATTCACGCATCATCTCCCATATGGCTTTTAATTTTATCTCTAGTGGATGAGCTACTTTTTGGGGATAGCACCCAGCCCAGAAACATCAGAGCTTCTATCGCCAGAGGAGGTTGCCGCGCGAACAAGCTCGAGCTTGCCAGGGGAGCAGGGCAGAGGTATCTAGTCCAGCGATGGGAATCAGGCACTGTGTGTGACAAAACTGGCGTGCCGCGCAAGGCTGAAGTGCAAGTGAGTTGTCTCCCCTGTCATAATCCCCAGTACTCCTCTTCTCGTAAAGATCTGGGCGCTCGAGCTGACGTACTTAATTATTTATTACGTTAGTTCCACTGTTCCATGACAACAACAGGTAATTGAGGGTTTCCCCATGTCAAATCTCTATCATCAATGCGCTGTTGCGCCATTTTTCCTCTAATTTCTTTATTCTCTCTCTCTCTTGGTCCTTTTTTGAAATTTCAAACGCAACTACTGAGGGACTAACGCTCGTCTTTTCTTGATATTCCGATCACCCATCAAGATAAAATCTTTCTCATCAAGGAGGCCTCGACGTGCAGTTATGTCGTCGTCATTCATACCCCGCGCCTATGCGGGGAACCGGGCTTCAAGTCCGAACGAGACACCCAGGAGGAGAGTGTGATGCGGTGTCGTGAGATTATGTCCGAAGGGGACTACGCACGGCATTTACTCCTTTCTCCACCACAAGCGACCATCCCTAACCCCACTGATGCCTTCCCCCCACTGGAAAGTGACATGTCAGAGTCAACACCGAAACCATCACCTTATTCAGAGGATGCACATCCTTTGAATTTCCCTTCAGTGCGTGGTCCTTCGGCTGCGCCACCTTCTCCGCCACCTCCGCCGCCTGCTGCCGTTCAGAAGGACGCCACTACCGGAACCGCCGGGGATGGCGACGGATCCAATGCCCAATCTAAAGAGGATGCAAGTGCGAAATCATCCAAGCTTCGCCAGGGCTCAAGCGAGGCTCTCAAACAAGCTCTTCGGGCTCTTTTGCGAGGTGCCACACAGGGTGACGGCGCGGAGCCTGGAGGAGAGAACGAGCATCAACAACAGCAGCCAATCAATGGTCGAGAAGAGGTTTTCATGATCGACGGACAGGACGGAGAGAAGATTCACGTCATCATCGGTGATCTCCATGATGAGGACGATGTGGAGCAGCAGTTAAGTTCGCTCATGGAAAATGCCAGACAGGAGGCCGGTCGTAGTAAATTGGATGCCCTTCGGAAGAAACTGATGGAGGTTTCTAATAACAAAGACCCAGGATTGGCTGCTCCCGCTTTGAAGAAAGAGGATGTGGAGGATGCTTCTAAAAATGAGGCTAGTGATTCACAGGAGAATGTCCAGGAAGATGATGGTCTGCCAGCCACTCATGACGAGTTATGAGTTTATCTGTATTTTCCCCCTTGACTGATGTAATTTGTTGAAAAACCATCGTCGGTACAGAAACAACAACTCCAATAGAGGGCTCAAGGCCAAAAACAACATAGAGATTATTCTATTTACGTGCCGTGCCTAAAATCACTCCAAGATATTGAACGTTCCATTCGAATGAATAACAGCAATACGTCCGCTGTCCACCCATTGTTCTCCCACCGGTCCGCTGGCAAGGGGTGGAATAGGCTCGCATAAGGATGGCCCTCGATAAAAGACCTGATTTCGGCAAGATTAATGGATGAGCTGGCTGCGCCCGAAACTCGACTAACCTTTCCACGAGGATCGCCTTTAGTCTCATCCACCTGAGAATCATCGCTGACTGCCACTAACTTGACTTCTATGTTTGGTCCTGGTGGGCCCACATGAGCGTAACTTTCAGCGACCGATGGTGGGAAGTGTTGAAGATCAAACGGATGAGACGCAAAAATAGGTGCGGTGGAAATATATTCAATGTGCGCATTAATGAGAGGAATGGAGAGTGCGATCCTTGCCGAAGGAAACTGGGATTCATCGCATGGACCTGATGGAAGGGCTTTGAGTGCTCATCAGGGTAGATATACATGAATGCGTTCGTACCGCCGGCCGCGACCACGGCATTCAGCCAAGGCTCTGTCTTGCTGTACCCAAGGGTGGCGCGCCTCGCTTGATTAAGGCCGCCGATTCGGTCGAAGAACGTGTTTTCGGCCAGCGCGCCACCGGCTAAATCGACGAGTTTGCGACCCCATGCCCAGCCAGAGTAGAACGAGGAGCTGGCGTGAGCGATGATCGAGGATCTCAGGGTGTCAAGATGGTCCGGAAGACTGGGGGAGGCCTCTAAGACATGAGGACATTAAATGTTCCGAGGAAGCGCTTACATGAACAAGTGCGTGGGACGAGGAATACCAGAGGATGCAGCACGAACAATTTCATCGAGTGTGGGGCGAATAGTAGCTATTGCAGTGAAATTGTTTGGCCATGCCCAAAAATGATCAAAACATTCCTTACCTTTCGCTGACTGGAGAAGAGATGTCGAAGCGAGAGTCGCAAAGTTTGAACCTTGCAGCGATATTAGAAATGAATATTCCTCCCTGAAACAAACAGCTTGCGAGTACCTTCTAGCAGGGCAGTGTAAGCAATTGCACGACCGAAGGGCGTAGCTAATGGAAACGCTGAAAGAACCGTGGATGCTGGGGATAGGGGGCTTGTGAGGGTAAAGAATTGGCGAATGGCCGTGGGGCCCGATGTGAGATTCTAGATGTAAGGGTCAGCTTTCCGGCACAATTCATTGGAAAGGGAAGCTTCTAACCATGTGAGTGATATGCACACCCGTTGGCGTCTGAGAATAATTATATCAGAACTCGAATATAATGGATGCAATAGGTCCAGACCTCCTTTGTCACCCCATGATACGCGGTAGAGAAAATGTCCGCGGGCTCTGTATCACAATTAGGGGTGATCACGAAACACAAATAACCACATACTGATTTTGTCTATCGTCGTATTTTCACCCCCTTTACCACTCCTTTCCACCTCATCAAGAGTAACTACGTTAAAACCGAGGTTACGACCGGCTTCGACCTTGGATGCGGCATCCTTCCCGACCACCACTATCGGAAAATGATTCCCTTCTTCCGCGACTTGCTCGAGGATCAGTTCTAGAAGGCTCGAATCCGTGAATATCACGTCTGGGACGCCCCGGGACAGCACGGAGCCCAATAGTTTGAGCTGCGTCAGAGTAATGGAAGTCATGCCGAATGTAGACAATGTCAAATCGATAAACAACCACTCTGGGACGTTCACTGAGTTCACATAGTGAGAGGTAGTCCATGCATCATGGCTCACCAAAACTGTCATCGAGAAGAATGATTGCACTGGATTTGTTCGGCGCGAGGCCGACGGTCCGTACCAAACCGTTGCCCAGCGCCTGGATTCGCAGCCGCAGTTTCTCATTTGTTATCTGGCCAACCAGCGGTAGTGTGTATAAATAATATCGCTTTGTCGGATTGAATTATACCTTCGTTCCCCACAGGTATTGTTCTCGGGTGGAGTCCGAGTGAAGCACATCGTGCGCTAAGTTGACTTCCTTGCGAGGTCTTGCTGGGAGCTACCAATAATTCGCCTCAGCAACAGGCTGCATAGTCAAGAAAACATTTCATCATACAGCAGCTCCATGACCAACACCATAGTTGCGATAAACAGCCGTCTCCCCAACCTTTCTTACCTTCCCCACATCAGACTGTCGGCCAAGAAGCAATGGATGTGCGAGCGGTACTGGTTGCAAGTACGATCGCACGGCGTATAAAAGGACAACAGCTGCTCCGAGTAGGAGTGTCGAGTTGTTGTAGTCCAAAAGGCGGGATACCTCAACAGCCATAGCAGTTTTGGACGGACAGGTCGCCGAGCTATCAGCTGAAAACGGTGGGAAAGAGAGATTTGCTTCCGTCACGACACTTGGAGCAGTGCTTGACGCTCACACAATAAGCTGCCCCTTTGCGCGGAATACCATCTCCAGATAATCTCCGGATGGCCTAGGACATGCATTTTTCATCGTTGCGCCAGGTTATTGTTATTTGCCGTTTCATTGGAGAGCTCGCAGAAGGCTAGGATTGGCGATCGTTCCAAGGATAGCCGCACAAAGTCCATTTGGGTTTTGCGATGAAATTATGGACACCTGATTGGTCTTTTATCAGCAAATTAACTATGACGCGGATAGAGGCGGAAAGAAGTTCTGGACCTTGTCTGCAAGTTCGGACTTCGAGGATGCGCCCCCATCTAAACGCTTGGGTTTGTTCCAATATTGATCTTCATTCTTTCTTTGCTCTCATAACTCACTGCATCTCCTATGGATTCAACGGTTGTATGAGATATGGATGGCGCTTATCAGGCTTGCGTTCAATTTGTAGCAATGTTCACACCAAGCACTGCCAAAAACAGGTCAAACGAAAGGGGGCAATTGCATTTTTTCTGGGGTTTGAATTTGCACAACCATTGGCCAAAGCCGCGGACGGAGCTTTTTCCCAGCCGTTCGAAATCACATCGCTTCGCCAACAAGCTAACTCTTCGGGGAGAGATAAGTTGAACGCACAATTGAACCCTGAGTTAGTATCCCATTACAACTAAGAGTTCGCCCAGAAATGATCTGGGTCTTCCAAAAGAGTTTATCGCTTCACCTCATTCTTAGCTAGGCCACACCATACTCACAATGAAGGGTTGTGACCTTGCAGCAAGGGTCTGTATCACGTGTGTAGTTGAAAGGGATGCTTATGTAATCACTGAATCATGTTTGGTTGGAACCTGTCGGCGCTAAAGAGCGTGGGAACGGAGCTGAGCTAAGATCACGAGAAGTGAACCAGTTGAAGAATATTTCCAACTTCACAAACATGAAGGTGCCCTAAAACATGCGACATGAAACTAGAGAAAGAGTCCATACATCGAGGAGGAATGGAACTGAAACACGTGAAACGTCCGTTATGTCCGTTCGGGGTTACGGCTTAACATCCAGCTGCAGGTGTGGTTGTATTCATTTTTTTAGAGTTGTATCTGTGCGTATCGGCATATGCCGTACTATAGCGAATCAAAGGAGGAAGGTGGGAAGGACGAGAAAATAGGACATGAAAGAGGTATGAAGAGTTAGATGGGTTTGGTGCATCAATTACTATTGAGGTGAAGACAGTGCAAGTATGCAGCACGTCAGTTCAATCTCCAGCATGTGACCTGAACCAGACAGTTTTTGGGTTCACAAGCAAATACATACCCCAACGCTAAATCGACCTCTTGCGCGTCTGGGTGTTTTGGGACTTCGTCATGTCGTGAATCCCCAATCCCAATCTTACAAGTTTGTTTATGTTTTGGCGATCCGTGCGATAAACAACTTCTAGATTTGCTTCCGACCAATGGAACCCAGTAACTCGCAATAAAGTCTGAACCTTGCGCGTATCGAGACCCCCGTTTATCTTTCCCTTTCTTCTCCTTCCGATCACCGTCCACGCATCCAGATATCATTGTACACGACCCTTGAGCATCTCATCATGTCATCAGCAGGCACTAAGAAGGCGGCAGCCACCAAGAAGACCTCGAGCTCTCAAACTGCCGAACACCCTCCTTTCGTTGAGATGATATCCGTAAGTACTCATCTTCCAGAGGATGCGATTGCCCCGTAAGGCCATGCCAGCATCCTCAATCCATACCTGTACCCTCCAGGGGTCCTCTGGGGTGCAAATTATGCCTTGGTTTCAGGCCTTCTGGCTGTTATCTCATGTCACCGGTTACCTTGAGCCGCCACACCTTTAACAGGCGCGTTACCAGATCCCGAGTTTCTTGAGCTATGACCTTGGCTGCTCGGCCTCTGCGCTACGCGAAGGCTCGGTTACCAGGGTTCTCTGTGCGAGAACTAATCTCATGACCTCACAATCATCACTCCCACATCGCAATAAGCAGCAAACTAATGCAAATATTAAATACAGGAGGCCATTGTTGAGAATGCTGATCGTACGGGGATATCTCGTGCTGCCTTGAAGAAGTAGGAGCTGGAACTCTATCTGGTGAATAAAATCCTAATTGAATTCTCCCAGATATTTGGAGACACGATGGAAGATCGAGTTTAATGCTGCCAACAGCAGTCAGCTAAACCGTTCCATCAAAAATGGCGCTTCGAAGGGGACCTTTGTGTTGCCCAAAGGTATGTGACCGTGATTGTTGCAATCATCTCGCCTATGCCTACGTTTGTGCAAGGGCCTTCTGGAAAGGTCAAGCTGGCCCCCAAGAACGGCTCATCGAAGGAGAACAACCCTATTATCAAGACAAAATCTGCCCAGCCGAAGGCCTCGACTAAATCTACTCCCGCGAAACCGACTACCACGAAGTTGGGCGCTTCTAAGTCGAAGGCGGTCAAGAAGCCTGCTACTGTTGCTGACAAGAAGGCATGGTTTTGCAACGTACTGATTGTATGGATCCTTATATATCTACTAGACTTTGACTGCCAAGGCCAAGGTCAAGGCGACACCTAAATCTGCTGGAAAGTCTTCAGCCAAGGCTCCGTCAAAAGACGTTGGTAAGGCTGCTAGGGATAAGAAGGTAGTGCCACCCAAGACCAGGGTGGCTACTCCTGCAAGAGCTAAGGGGAAGTCTACTTCTGCAAAAAAGGCACCCGCGGCAGCCCCGAAGAAATCGCATACTAAGCCGGCCGCTTCCAAGAAGACGACATCCTCCTCGAAGGTAACCCCTAAGAAGGTGAGGACATTGTCTTCCCAAGGAAATCGATTTTTCTTAGACCTGGTGCAGTCTGTCACTGGTTCCAGGTCGAGGACAATTGGAAACAGCAGGAAGGAAGTTTCTAGAACGCTTACTAGGGCGAAGCCGAAACAAGCCGCTACCAAATCGAGGGTGAGTGTTGAGTGCCTTTCGTTGCAGTTGTAGTTAATCCTCTGCTGCAAGAATAAGTAAATTACGGTCGCTTAGGCAATCATTCCGTCACTGGGCAGTCCTTGAGCATGTTACTGTGCTTCCTAAGTCCGCTATGTGTTATTCTTCTTTCGTTGTGTCAGGGGGCATCTTCGTGCCGTTGCTTTGGATTTGTCCCGTCCCCCTGGTTTTATTTTTTTTGCAGGACTTCGATTGCCTACTTGTCTTGATGTACTAGTGTTGTACGTTTGTTATTAACTTAAGCTTCGGGCCCCCCACTATGGTACCAACCTAACTACGCGAAGCTCAAGTTATTGCGGCGCTGCCATCAAGGATTGTGTTGGCACTTCCTCGGGAAAAACAACCTCGGTGTAAACGAACATGATCACACCGAAGTTTACCTGCACACAGGATGATGAATCTGTTACCGTTTCATGTTACATGCCTTCTATTAGGGTCTGTGTCATCTCGCTCCGAATAGGAAGAGACTTAAATTTCATTGCATAGGCATCAGAGGTGGAGATAGATGTAGATAGAACACATTTTTCTCTCTACGTCCACCCATATTTTTTGCGCCTGACCTTTCCTCAGGCTCTGATAGAGGATGATGATTCCTACGCGAGATATGACCCTTCGTCGGCTTTCCTGAATGTGAAGTTAACGAAGGAGGACAAAGGTGTCTATTTTCCGGATCTCGATTTGTTGTCCCGGCTTCTCGTTCCCCCAGCATCCACATCTCAGAACGCCAGGGGGAGCGACGATGGAGATATTTCTGAGGGCGTGACAGATTCTATCCAGGGTTTGACCCTTGGTGGTCGTAAATCTTCTGCCACACTTGAGGTGTCATCGCGTCCACTCATCGAAGTGCTTAAATCAACTGATTCTAAAGAGGAAAGTGAAGATATGAGGCTTGAGAGGTTGAAAAGGGAGAGGGGAATTTTCCTTAAAGGTGATGTTGAACTTACCTTTTCTCCAATGGCCTTGAGCCTGATCATGCAACTCTACGCACTGTGGCTGTCATTTGCAATGCGCAGCTGCAGCGAATGACTGGCACTATCCAGCGCCCGAGGCAACGGAGGATCCAACTATCACACTCTCCATCAAGAATCAATATGGTTTTCTAGACGCCTACTCTGGGTTTTTCAAACTTTCCAGTCAAACAGGGAATGACGTGAATGAACTTGGAGATCTCGCTGAGACGATCGCCCCTTCGGTCCGCACGGAGATGAGGCTTGCTCATGAAGACGAGAAATGGGACGAAGAATACTACATGTGCGTGATCTCCCGATCTGCGTTCTTGGAGTGTCTGATAGGCTTTTAGTGCTGAGTTTGTAGAAGACGAAGAGATCCAAGAGATTATCAAATGGAAGCATCCCTTTGATGACCCATCACAAGAAATAGAATTTACAGATGCGGAACGCGACAAGATGCTCGAATTGCCTCGGAAGGAATGTATGTACCACTGGGTTTTGCTCCTCTCATCGGGCTGACACATGTTTAGACTTGCCCGCACCACAACAAACAACGTCTCTTTATCTCACACTCGTCAGTATCCTCTTCTCATACTGCTATGACTTGCGCACTACGCAGCATGAACCAACTGCCGAATCCGCTTGGACCATCGCCACCCTCACTCCTTGCATGTCCGCTCTTGACGTCGCTGGTACCAGTCTTCCCAGTGATTACCAGCTGTGCTGGTGAGATCGTATCGTCGGGCCCTTGCTTTCCCGCTCTACCGTAATTGGTTGTTGTGTGAAAGGCTGCGCAAGGATGTCGCCAACATCCTTGCTGCTGGACAACGAGCGGTGACTCGAGCATTGCTCGAAGCGAAAAGCATCCTTGAGCATAGTGACACATATTACGTATACAGCAAGATGTGGATGGAAGATTATTGTGTCTGGATCCAGACAGGAGCCAGGTAATTTCGCACTTCTCTTAAGAATCATGTTTTAAGAGCTCTGTTGGTCAGTGACGAGGCATTGAAGAAACTTAGCCGGGATGTCACTGAGGTGAAAATCAGCAAATCAACCATTGGGTGGCCATTGGAGGAGCTCGAAGAGGCAGTTCTAGATGCACGGCGGGGTGAAGAGCCCGAAGCAGACTCAGATGACGAGTGATAATTACCACCGTGTTCTTCGGGTACCAAATCGCTTCGGATATGGGGGTTCAGGACACAATCTTCGGATCAACCCATAATGCCTTCAGAGAGCATTCAGCTGGGATATTGTTCCTCAAAATTTTGCTTACTTGGCTTGTTGTCCGTTCCTCCCCGTTTTCGACGGTGTGAGTGGTCGTGCTTTCACCGGTACTGGGGGTGTTCACAAAGCGGGCAAGTGTATCAAGAAGAGCAGGGTCTATAGAATGCGCCTTGGCAGTATTGTGGAGCTGAGTGTGCGTCTTAACACCTTTGCGGGCATCCAGCAGCTCGAACAAGGATGAGGCTGCCAAACGGTTTGGTGTTATCTGATCGGACAGGGCTTGAAATTCTGATTCTTCCCTTGATCGGAACATTTGTGAAATTGCTCCAGCTTTGCGCTTTGTGAGGGACAACATACGTTAGACGTGGAAATGGTGAGTAAAAGTCACGTACGTGCGAGTCGTGCTGAACCGACATGCGATTAACATCAACCTGCCCAAGAGTGTAGAGGCTTTGAACGAGCTGAGGATCCTTGGTATCCTCTTTTATAGCTACCATATCGAGGTTAACGCACAGCCCAGATGCCTGAGGACTGTGGCGCATTTATTCACCTTGACTTTTGGGGTCATTGACGCCATAGCGAGCGGCGGGAATTTCTGCCTCTTCCGGACGAGGCGTTCGAGCGCCAGCCCACGCAGGCCTTGGTTTTGTAAGTGGCAATTGCCTCGCTACTTTTGAGGACGTGGTGCCCATTGCGCTTGTTCGTGGGCGGGCGCGACGTGATGAGCGTGAAATCAATTGACCTTTGCTTCCGAACGCGTGGCCAGAGAAAGAAATTGCAACAGCCAAAACGCTGGCGTCGTCGGACATGCTAGAATGTCCTTCACGCCATCTGAAACAAGCTCTGCAGCAGTGCTAAACCCTACCCTAACCAGTGACGCGGTAAATGGAAGTCCTACTCCCTCCTTGACAACATTCGATGTCAGCGTGTTCAAGAAGTATCTGCTGGCGCTCCTTCCTCCGGTGTTGGGTGCTGATGTCGATGATCTTAACGACTCACTCATCGATGACGAGTTTGATGAACGTGCGTTGAGATTTGCGGCCGAAGGGAGTACCGTTATCTACGTTTCCAAAACTCGCAGTGACTCGGAAGGTGTGATCCTTTCCCGTGGTGCTCACACAACGCTTAAATTTATTAAAAAATTCGGTCATCTATGTCAGAGGAAAATTCAACAACTTACTCTTATGAACTTACACCCCACCTTTCATGGACATCAAATACGTTCATGAATATTGCCCTCATAAAGCGAACTCCTGTCTTGGATACTATGGCGCCTCTAGCCGCACAACTCAATATTACCACTCTGTTTGGTGGGGAAGAAACCCCTTACGAAAGCCTTCATGCTGTGGTCTCATACGCAGTCAAGCCATGGTTCGATGCATTCGTTGGGACCAGAAATGGTGCCAAGGATGGTGGCGACGCCAAAATGGGCATACCGATGACCAAGAAGAAGTTTGCCGAGCTCGAATTATCCCTTTTACACCTTCAACAGAACGTGGAGATACCCGATACCCACCTAATCATTCATCCTGTCATTCAACGAGCGGTGGCTCAAGTAAGTGAGGCAATGTTTTAGGGGCCACTCTCACCGAACCTCCTGAATTAGACACAATCACAAAGCATACGACCCAGCATTAATCTCATCCCTACATCTACACTCACTGACAGCACTTTCCTTAATACACTTCAGAGCCATGTTAACATGTGGATTCGGTCGATACAAGGAGTCACCAAGCTGAATCGCGATGTCTCCTCCGGCACCGCATCACAGGAGATCAACTTCTGGCTAAGTCTTGAGCGAGCATTGGAAGGGATTGAGGCCCAATTACGTAGCGATGAGGTTCTCATGGTCATGGACTGCCTGCGGAACGCAAAGCGGTTTCATGCCACTGTCAGTTTCATCGCCGACACGGGTTTAAAGGAGGCTACCGACATGGTCCACAAATACAATCAACTCATGAAGGATTTTCCCCTCAACGAATTATTATCCGCCACAGACCTTGATAAAATACAGGAATCACTATACCTTATCTTCTCGCATATCAACCGTAAACTCCGACTTTCGTAAGTGCCTTTTCTCCTTGCTACCGAACGTCTTGACAATTCTCTGGGCGTTTCTAGCCCATACCCCATACGGCGAGCCCTGCCGCTGGTCGAGGCAATATCCCGCGATTTTAATGATCAACTGTTAAGAGTCCTTACATCCCACCGATTACCTTACACCCCCTATGAGACATTCGATCGCCTCCTCTCACAAACACAAGCTATTTTTCGGGCATGGGACGAACAAATGAAAGAATTTACCAACGTTGCTCGAGAAGTCACTCGCAAGCGGCAGGAGAAGTTCATACCCATCAAGGTTCATCCCGCGCATGCCAAGCTGCAGGAAAGGTGTCGGTATCTGAGAGATTGGAGAAAACAACATGAGCAGCTTGCAGTCATGACCGGACCAACAAAAGGTTTAGGAAATGTCGGCAAGGAGGCGGGTGGAATGGATATGGAAGAGGAAGTGAAGGAGGCATATGAAGCTATCAAGAGTATCGATGTGCTTGATGTTTCCGTGGGTCAGTAGATCTGAGAGATCCACTTCCCCGACAGTTCAGCTGACGAGTCTTGCAGAGGGCACTGAGATTTGGGTTACAGCTGAAAATGCCTACAACGAACGTGTAGCTCGCGTGGAGAATCAGATCATTGCTCGGCTCAGGGACCGGCTAGGGACAGCGCGGAATGCTAATGAAATGTTCCGGGTGTTCTCAAAATTCAACGCACTTTTTGTGAGACCCAAAGTGAGTTGGTTCTTGTTCCTCTGAATAGTGTCGGTAACCTGGGCGAGTGCGTAGATTCGCGGTGCTATTCAAGAATACCAAACTCAGCTGATCGACTCTGTGAAAGAGGACATCAAACGATTACACGATAAAGTATTTCAGCTTGATTCTCAACACCAGAAGTGGAACTGAATGTCCTCCGCAGTTCAAAACCCAATACCGATTCTCCGAAGCATACCACATGTCACAGATGCGCGATTTACCACCTATCGCAGGTGCGATTATCTGGGCTCGAGAGATAGAGCGCCAACTCTCGACATACATGAAAAGAGTCGAGGACGTCCTAGGAAAAGGCTGGGAGCTGTATGCTGAAGGGCAGAAACTCCAAACCGAAAGCACAGCCTTCAGACGCAAGCTTGACACACGTCCGGTGTACGAGGCTTGGCTCCACGACATCAATCGTCGCGATATGGGAATAAACGGACGATTATTCGAAATTATTCGGCTTCGGGGGGGTGGCTTCCAACTTGCCGTAAATTTCGACCCCCAGATTATCACCCTATTCAAGGAAGTCCGGAACTTGCTATGGCTCAACTATCAAGTGCCTCATGCCATATCTAATATGGCGAAGGACGCGAAGAGAGTCTACCCCCATGCCGTTAGCCTCATGGAAACTGTGAGAACGTACGCACAAACATTAGACTTGATCGAAAAAAATCAAGTCATTGAAATCCTTGTGGCCGAGTTTCGAAATGAGACACAACGAATGACATCCAGAGGTGCGATACTAGTCGGTTTAGCGTAACACGTCACAGCGTAGTAATACTTCGTAGGGATGTCTGTCCGGTGGGATTTCTTCGTTAATGCTTACGATACGCATCGATATCTTCCTGCGGCTGGCCTGGAAGGACGGGAGAACCGGAATCTAGCTTTCGTCCGGGAATTCGCAGGAGCTGTCTCCATCTTGCAGGTGAATCAAGAGAAATTTATCCTCGGTTCCCATTTCGCTCACATTTGTCACAGGATAAAACGAATTCCCTGATAGACTCATACAGGGAAATCAATCGTGTGGTCGAAGAGCTATCCACATGCCCTTTCACATCTCAGGCATTTGGCGAGTTGATTGCTAAGATTCAAGCATTAGTGCGTAGTCACCTGCGAGACTCATTTCGCATTAATCGCTCACTCGTTCTGGCATCGATGGATTAGATTGACCGACTCAACTTAGAGGGTTATGCAAATCTTGATCACTGGGTCAATCGCCTAGATAAAAGGATTGAGAGTATCCTTTTGCAGCGATTGACCTCCATCATTCAACTCTTCTGCACAGAGTTTGAGAAGACTGAAGAAGATGTGAGAAGAGACGCAGTCTTGAGAGAGGCTTCGAACAAACGCAGGAGCGATAAGAAATTCAAAGATGATAAGGTGAGCCAAAATACGATCACATCTATCATCAGCCCTTGATATCTTTTATCAGCAAACCGCAGACGGGCCACTGATCCTGAAGCCTATCGTACACGAGATTCGGATACAGGATCAAGTGATCTTTCTTGATCCCCCAATCGAATATGCACGGGAAATCTGGATAAAGCGGCTCCATGATTGGTTGGGTGAGCAAATGAAAAGCAACGCGTTTTTCTGATGCTGTTCGCTCATCTTATCTTGCTCTTTTGTTGCGCCCACCAGCTGTGGTGTGTGTTCAACGGCGAATTCAGAGTTCCCGGTATGAAATCGGGCTCCAAATGCGGGGCACCAGCATGGCCGAAACTACATATGTCTCGCTGGTACGGATATCTCCGTATACTGTCACAAGAGCCGAACACCTGATCCACCATTTGGTGCCTTTCTTAGCTGACTCAATTCGCCGACGACACCTTGGACCGCCCTTTCATGCATATCGAGAATAAGGTCCAGCAAGTCACAGAATACGTCGGCAAATGGCTGCAATTCCAGTCGCTGTGGGATTTGGAGGCAGAATACGTGTTTAACCGATTGGGGGATTCGTTGGCAAGCTGGCAGCAGCTGCTGATTGAGATCAAGAAAACGCGCTCCACATTTGATACGTCAGAAACCGAGAAATCGTTCGGTGTGTGCGTTGTCGACTATGAGCAGGTACAAGCGCGTGTGAACGCAAAGTACGACTCGTGGCAGCGGGATATCCTCAGCAGATTTGGGGTCAAGCTCGGCAATGCAATGAAGGACATGCATGCAGCGATCCTCAAGGCTCGAAACGAGTTGGAGCATCAATCGATTGAAGGCCTGGTGGGAGGTGGAGTATCCCGACGGTTTTGATCCGCTGTCGGACCTATTTCAGAGTTTGGGGTGGTTGGCTCCCCAGCTCCTTGTGTTCATTTTCATTGTGCGCTTCTACAGAACTTTCAGGAACGTTTCCTTCGCTAGTTCATTGGTTTAGTCTTTCCGTGTGTGCTCAACTATATTTACGTTGATCATGATGATTATCTTTCCGCTTGCCCCGGTCACTCGGTTTCATAAGCTGATGCGAGCAGTCAACTAGCACTGATCAATATTGCTGCAGGACTGCAGCTTCCCACTCCTGAGGAAAATTAGGGAAGGAAGCCACGATGGGGCGATTCAGATTCCGCTGCAGCGGATAATATCCGGAAACGTGCGCCCGAATATTGACATTACTTCCAATGGCGATTCAGCCTCATGTACATATTGCATGCCCTCCGTAGATTTCCCGTGAGCGAATTAGTTGGATATTGTTGATTGTTGAGATTTTACATATCACAAACTCCCCCCCCCCAAAAAAAAACCACCATCCGCCCCTTCCTCTTCCCACAGGGCCATGGCCGTTCCTGATCGGAAAAGAATTTAATTTTTATTCATTTATTCGGAGTTCCTCAGATTTCGAGCGGAGTTAGAAATGTATAGCGGTTGGCCCCGTGCAAAGAGATCATCGAAATTATAAATGTGTTGTGTCACATACGAATACATTTAATTTCCGCCCTTTATTAGGATCCGGAGTCGACCTGTTGCTCATCCCCCTTCCACTCCAGAGCGACCATCAACCCGCCAGCCACACGCCAGTATCCCACCCCCGTAACTTCCCCTTCCAGCCTTAAGGACTCAGGGCTGCAAAGCCCAGTCCTCCTGCTGCAGCTTTTCGCTTCTCCTACTCGAACCCCAAACCTTTGTTCTTCCCGCCAAGCTATGTCCGAACAGCTGTGATACTATCACCGGTGTTCGCCAGTGCAGTTTCTGTTAGCGGTCGCCTCTAGCAATCGCTCCAAAAGTCTCATCAGTCGTACTGTCCCATTCTTCATACTTCAACCATGTCCGACCTATCTTCAAAGCCCACAGTCAGCGGTCCAGGGACTTTGGACTCAGAAGAGGAGTCAGCGCCTGGCGACGGTCCAGAAAATCCTAACTGTAACCATCATCGCCATCATCCATCTCACCTCTCAGCGGAGAATCACGTCGCTGTGAAGGTTCTAGTGAACCCCGTCACCGCATACGGATTCGATGACGCCCACTGGACGCCCGTCGCTTCGCAACCTACCCGCGCGAGGTCAGAGTCGAACAAGACCAATGGAGCTCTCAAGCGCATGCTCAAACCCAACCCACCACCAGTACAAACCTCTGACGCCGTGACCAAGCGCGCTGCCAACTCGGTCACTGCGGGCGATTCGGCGTCCCCTACTTCCACGGCACCAACCCCCGAGTTGGAGAGGCTGGAATGGACTCCTCCTTCGTCTCAGCCAGCCAGCAGGCCACCAAGCGTCAAGTCGAAAGGGGAACCATCGTCTCGCAAATCATCTTTCTCCAAACCTGACGTTTCACACATTGGGATACAGGCCTCATCGAACAAGGCTTCATCCACGGCTGGCTCAGATCATGGCGGGCAACGATTCACGCTAAAGGATCTCCTAGCCAGTGGACCCAAGGTGCACCGAAGGCAATCGGCGTCCAGCCGCAAGTCAGATGCCTCCTCAGACCGAGGTGGCACTGACGCCCAGAGTACCACTAGCCTACTCAAGAAGTACGGCGTTTGTGATAGGGTTGCCATTGGAAAGGGAGCGACCAGTGTGGTCCGCCTTGCACACAAGTGGGACCGTTCGGAAGAGAAGCTGTACGCTGTCAAAGTGCGTGTTTACGCTAACATATGTGACTGGGCATCGTTTCTGATGTATTGTTTTGATGTCTAGGAGTTCCGAAAGCGACGAAAAAATGAGACCGAAAAGGAGTATGTTAAGAAGCTCACGGCCGAATTTTGCATTTCGTCCACGCTTCATCACCTTAATATTGTCGAAACTGTGGATCTCGTACAAGACGAAAATCACAACTGGTGTGAAGTAATGGAATTCTGCCCCGGAGGCGATCTGTATGCTGCCATCAAAAGGGGTGGTATGAGTCCATCCGAGGTTGAGTGCTGCTTCAAGCAGATTATCACGGGAATTGCGTATATCCATGGACAAGGTGTCGCCCATCGGGACATAAAGCCGGAGAATCTCTACTTTGATACCCGTGGCCATCTCAAGGTTCGCTTCTACTCAAATTGATTGATTATTGGCTGAACTAATAATATTCTCTTATCTTATGAAAGATTGGTGATTACGGAGCATCGACGGTCTACCGGCTTCCTTGGGAGACGACGGTGCACATGTCTACGGGACTTTGTGGAAGCGAGCCGTACATAGCCCCGGAACAGTTTTCGCGTCAACGTGAGGCTGAACATCCTGCATGAGGCTTCAAGCCGGATCTCTAACATGTCTCCTTTTTTTTCTTTCAAAGCTTACGATGCCCGACTGGTGGACATTTGGGCCGCCGGCGTGGTTTACTATTGCTTGTTGTTCCAGGAGCTGCCTTGGCGAGTTGCTCAGACTTCGGACTCGTTTTTTGCTGCGTATAAGGCCGCATGTGAGGGAACGCCTTGGAGAGGTCCACCTGCACCACCGCCCCAAATTTTCCCAACAACCATCAGCAATTCTTCCCCTCGCGCCGCTCGTCCGCTCCTGCGTCGGATGCTGGAACCTGATCCGACATATAGGTGTACGATTCAGGAGGTCCTGGATCATCCATGGATGAAATGTATCGAAGTTTGCACTCTGGTTGAGAAGCCCTCCCACCAGCACACTAATTTGCGTGCGATTCTCAACCAAGCAGTACTTGTTGAATAGGCTTTCATGTTTTCTTACTTTTGCCTTCACGGCTACTTTTTATGTGAATGATCGTTCTGTCCGGTCAACCGCGACTGTGTGCCTGCTCGTTCGCATCGTTTATCCTGGCATTCCCCACATCCACACTTGATCCTATGATGACATTAATTCGTTGGGTTGCAGGCATTACACCTTATTCTACTCTATCACCGCCACCTTATGCTTCGTTCATCGTTCGTTTCGCCGAACATTGTTTCGCACATCACGCGTCAGGCCGTGTTAAGTCGTATCACACACATTTCACCTTGCTGGGCATGCCGTCCGTTCGTTCGTTACGACCAGAACTTTATGACCGCCGTGACTTGTGATTCTATTTCACCCTTGTACCTTACTTAGTTCGTTCAGTTTGTTTTACGAATGATGGAAGTATCCTCCATTGTTCTATCAATCTAGTGTGTCTGTTCTTCCATTCCTGGTACAGGGGCATGTTCGAAGGCTCGGTTGGGTCGCCAGCGCTCGCGAGCCGTACCGTTGTTACGTACGTATACAGTAGAATACTTGTTCCTCAACGATCAATAGGCCGGGCCTTGATCAATATTGCGATTTATCATACGTGGCGTCACCGTTGTACTAGTCAGCGGCCAGCGGACCGAACAACGCACAACAACCAAACGGCTTGCTCGCCTCCGTGGGGATGTAAATCAATCGGCATATCGGAGCGGCGGTGCTTATCGTGCTCAAGGGATAACCTTCGATCTTTGTGCCATCCGATTAGGTAAGAGTAAGAGAGCGAACGTCCTTGCTTTGTAGTGAGACGAACAGGGATAGCAACGAGCTCATCATTGCACACGTCAAGCACCATATTGTACTTTCTTGCATGGCATCACACGTTCGTGAAACTCGAATTGTGTACATCGACTTGAAAGGAAAGAAAAATTGGTGGGGGGGGAGGGGCATGGCCACTGCTATCGTGTAGATCACAGCGATATTTGCGCAATTTATTCTTGTTCTTTTCGAATAGAAACGTTCTAGAATAGACTGAAGTTAGCCTTCCGCACAACAAATAGAGAGAAATCTGTTGGGGCCGGGCTTGCTCCCAGCTGGGCGCTTGCCTGAGAGGTCCCGAGCGTGGGAAACGCCGATCAACTTTTTACAGGAAGGATCCGGAAGCGGCCTGTTGCCCGAAGTTGGAGCGGCGAACGTTACCCCTTTGCTGACTTCGGGAGGGACCGCGCGCAAGAAAGCACAGCAAGCGCAATACGTTCGGCTAAGGTTGCTTAGGTAAGTAAGAAGTTGTCGTCATTGAGAGATATTTGACTGAAAAAAGCGCGATATACATATCCTGGTTCAATCAGTGAAAATTCTGCAAATAATGTCGTGGACGTACGAGTGGGATCCGGTGGATGGAAGGGTAGCATCGGATCTCATTTCATTGCCCCTTCAAAAAAAATTCCGCGAGGGTCCTGAGGGCTGAGGATCAAAAAGGGCGCGTTTTTTTCAGATTGGAAATTTCGGAGAGAAGCCAGGTTGGTGGAAGTGCGTCATAGTGACGTTATCAGACCTGAAGGAGGACTGACTTTGGTACGTCGAAGCGTGGTTGTACCCAAATATGTGAAGGAGTTGTCCGTTCAATGGATCATGTCTGATTAGGCTGAGCTGGCAGGGCTCCCAGTGATTGACTGATGCCCGATTACTTCTCCCGGTGACCTGGCGACAGCTGTCCGAGCTAAGCACCAGAAGAGGCTGGAAATGTCAGTTTAGGGTCGGGGCGATAGGCAAGGCTCCGGCTTGCCGGGGAAAAAAAGTCACCATGGAATTTTTTTTTAGAGCTGCATCTTCCTCAACAACTTGATCATGCATAATCCCGACGTTTACGTGAGTCTGGCGACCCAAACGGTATTGTCGCAGAGGGGGGATACACTGGCTCGAGTGTCCATCGTTGTGGGTCCAGTAACTTGACCACCGTGCTAACAGACGATAACGCTAGTCATCACTAGGATTATCGGGGGAATATCTTGCTTGACGCGCTCGTATTCCAAACCGACGAAGTGATTGATTATTACACTGCAAAGACTGGATTCGACCCATCGTATTTTGATCCGTCAGGTAGGCTTCAGGAGTGCTTTTCAAGGACATACGGCTGACTTGGGAGATCAACAGCTGGTGCAATGCCTTTTGCCCATGCTCGCGATCTAGCACAGCGTCTGTTGCGCAACAAGGTTATCGTGGCCTACGAACTTTGGAAGTCTCTAGATGTAAAAATGTCATGCCATTCCATAGAAAAAACAGCTCTCACCTTTTCCTTATCCGCGTTTATAGGCGCTACGCCTCCAGCATCCTGCCGACCTAACCCGAGACTTGGCGACGTACCTCCCGGTGCAGACTATAATAGGGGCCGAGGGGTGAGTGTGTAATGCAGCATCAATGAGATGATTACGCACTTAGATGGATATACTGCGGGTAATGAGTGACAATGGCTTCCAGAAATTGGTGCAACAATTCATGAATCGAACGATTCGTAACGGTTTCCACCATCCGGTGAGGAACGCATCGGGTGTTCCGAGTTCATCACCATGCTCATCATGTTCTGGTTCCCAGGTTGAGGATGCTCGGGCCGCGATGGACCTCTATCGATCGTGCGCTACCGATTGGGAAGCCCTGATAACGACTTCTGTATGGCCATGTCTTCTTCCTCCCGAGGAGTTTAGGCTTTGGTATTTGTAACATCGATTATGGCAAGGAGACCCATGTCGAAGCAAGCAAGTAGACTCGTTCAGTGTTGTGGCAAGATAATTCCAGCTAGGACGCCACTATCCCATCCCACGGCACAAGAGCCCATCCAACTTAGCGCCGAATTTTGAATCCGCTTTTCCAAAAAAACGTCTTTAATTTGTCGATCAACACTCATCCAATTTTGTCAAAAGAGACAGCGCACGTGTTTTCGTTCTTCCCCCCCTCGCTTCGAGAGTTGTCAGTATTTCTCGTGTGTCTTCTTGTTCACTGAGGTAGTCAAAAATCAAGCTCTCTGTTTCTGAAAAATTGATGCAACGCCGCCGAGTTCACTGTGTTCCATGACTTTGCTTTGAAGCATTTCGAAATGACCACTGAAATTGTCAATAAACAGCTGGTCTGAGCTCACGCCAAACTGGTCGTTCTCTGACCATTCCTGATGAGAACGCGCGATGATGCTTTCTAGAGCACCCTCCCTCGACCATCTACTAGACAATGTCGGGTCTGCGATATGATTCTTCTGTCTTCAGGTAGATAATCACGATTGATTCGACCAAGAAGAGCAGTAAAGTCCAGTTCTTTAGTGCTGGCCTACCACGTTCAGCAGATATCGTCCTCCCCATACGTCCAAGAAAGTTACGTTCTCCCCTAGAGACGGTTTCTCTCTTGGAATGACAATTTTAGGCGCTGAGGAAGATTCCTCAACAAAGAGCCTTCACAGAGACCGAAAATTTCTTTGACTGGCAGCCAAGGCTAGCACTGAGAAATCGAGTGGATAGCTGGTCGCCTGCGTTCTGACCAACAGCCTTTATTTGTATCGCGTTCTTCGGCTCAGTCACCGACTATTGGCATGATCGGCTTGTTCTGCCTCCCTCATCCATGATCCATGCCCAAGCGCCAGACACTGAAATTCGTTCAAGTGTTCTTGGGAAAAATCGGAAACTGGTACTTGTGTCGTCCCGCGTGAGTAAAAGCTCTCTTAGGGGAACAACGAGCCGTAGCGGCATCTCTCCCCCCCATAGTAGCCCAGTATGCATCGACGAGTAAGATGAAGGATCGGTACGAATAATGGGCGTCCATATCTAAGGAACTAGATCTCGGCGGGTGCCAGTTCCCTTGGAAGGGCTGGTTTTTAGATGTGAGAGTCATCGTGGAAGGCTCATGCACCTCCTCTGCAGAGCCCATGTTTGGCTAGGAAGCGGCCGCGATGTGGAGGTGCGAGGTGATTTGCCTAAAATCAGCCGCCCAACCACCAGCTTGACGGATCAGGTCTGTCACAGCCACTTGCAATGATGGGCCTATATCGCTTGTCATAGTGGTTTCAGCGCGTCATGATGGTGCAAACGCTTCAAGGGTGAGTGTCAGACGTGAGACAAGGCAGGGGAATAGCAGTTCTTGCGAAGAAGAAATCGTTGAACCCCGTGACGCCTCCCAATCCCGCCGCCAACAGCTCTTCGGCTACATCTCAGCACACGGCTAGTTCGCTTGCAGGCGAATGTTTTTTTCCGTCGGATGGGAGATGGCGCGTTGATTACCTATGCCTCTTTTGAGAGGATTCAGTGGCTTTTGCGTTGGATCATTCGCCATTTCTGCTTAGCCTCGCCTTTCCGCCGCTGCTCACGGGAGGCTTCGACTCCCTTGTTATTTGTTGTTATCTGATCGTCCCCTAGATCTGTACAATGAAACTAAAGAACGCGCTACGCGGCTCACAACCTGAAACGGCTGACGGAAAAAATTGGTTGTGGTTGGCAAATCGATTGTTAGCTTAAAAATGGCATTGTCTTTTTTAACAGGCCTTCCTTCACTGGTCCCTTGGCATTAATTTGATAACAGTTCTTCCCATCTCTATCCTATGGTGTTACGTCAGGCCACGCTATCGGATTGTTGGCTCCCTCCAGCCATTTCATCTGGTCGTGCCCGTGTTTATCATTCCCAACGCCAAGTTTGGGGTACCATAGTGCACCCCAAATAGCGATTGGTGGTATAAAGAACATGAAACTACGATATTTCTCGCTCCATTCCCCCCCTTCCACCTTCATACTCTTGAGAGTACTTTTACTTGTGGCAAAGTTCCATCATGTGCCTCAGCTTATCGACCCAGATCGTTGTGGGCAAGCAGGGTCCAATCTTGGCTAGCGTCTGCCTCGTGGTACATTCATTACACTAGGAAAATCGAATCTGCATCTAATTGACTCCCAGAACTATTCAGGAAGTGTCATACTCGACGTCTTAGTTTTGTCAACGGAAGAAGTGATCGACTACCTTACCGAGGGGACTGGATTCTTGCCCTCTCATTTTACTCCTTCTGGTCAAGGCAGATAACCGCATCGACGGCGGTCTGTTACTGAGTGCTCAAATTGCAGCCGATGTTTGGGAGTTCAGTGCCGTCCGGAAGCACGTTGAAGAGTGTATCCGAGGACATCGCCTCGTTGGATACGAACTGTGGATGTCTCTCCAGGTGAGGAAACACTTGCGCGTTGGACACTGGATTTCTGCTGATGGAGGGAGCGGCTGCTTCCCAAGGCGCTGCGATTAGTCCATCCTGCGGCCGAGGCGAGAGACTTGGCTACCTACAGTCCAATCCTACCGATGTTGACTCCTGTGTATGTGGAATTCATACACCTATCTTGAAAGGACCAGTCAACTCAAGTATGCTTAGGGACGACGGCTTACGTCTGTTAGCAGCTTATCTCCTCGGACGAAGTATACATGACGGGTACGAGAATGCGGTCAGTATCCTGGAGCGTTTCCCGATACCTAGGCCGAGCGTTTAGCATACCCTCCTTTTTTTTAAGGTTGAAGATGCCCAGACAATGATGTCCCTCTTTCAGGTATTGGAAGAAGTATGGGAAAGGACAATTACGGCGAATGTATGGCCGAGTATTTTGCCACCCGAAGAATTCTCAGAGTGGTATACATAGTACATGCACTGAATCCCGGGTACCGTATCCAGCTGAACGACCTCACCACCACCACCACCACCACCACTGGCCATCTCTAGTTCTGTCTGGTAATAACGGCTTTGATGAAATTTGTGGCCAACCTCCAAGTTTTTGCTGTAATTTATATTTGTTTCCTTCCCAAGCCCGGTATATAATTGACAGGATGCGGCGCAGCTGCCGTGGGCCGTCAATCTAAAAAAGGGAAACTAGTGGGCCGGATCGTTGGTTTGCCAATATTCTTATGGCTATGAAAAACATCAATACGCAGCTAATCCAAGTCGATCAAACCGATGATGGTTACTACAAGCAATCCATGGCACGATCGAGTCAGTGCAACGCGCGACTCCGAGTCGCGCGCAATTGTTCGTAAACAATCGGAATCTTGGTGGCAGCTCCCCGAATCTATGTTGGGGAGACAAATTTATTAGAATTAGGACTATGTCGCGCAAGACTGCGACAAGAGTTGTACATGAGTTATAAAGTAGAAGATATAGAATAGTTCTCGATCACCTCAGACTCGAATAAGAGATCTGAGGGAGAAAAGTCTAAGAAAGTTCCTCCCTTATATACGCGACATTCCTGAGTGGCAACGTCGTCGTACAAAGGGAGTTTTAAGTTAAGTAAGAAGGGCAAAACGCCCCCAACGCCTCAAAGTGCTCCAGAATAACCGCAACACAACTTCCCGATGTAAACAAAGTTGGTGTTCCAATAAAATTGACAGGTTTGGACGATAGACAGATATTGATCATGCAATCCCTTTTTGGTCAAGAGAGGATTAATGTCCGACATGCACGTGTCCGACTCTCACCTGAATCGATCAAAGCGATGGTCAAGCGCTGACACTTAGCCTTGGGCTGCCATATATATGCTCCAGGCTAATTTCTGGGGCAACACTGGCTTTCGGGGCCGGAGGCCGACACAATCGGGGCTGATGCTTTTGTGGTATCTTTATTTTGGCACTTACAGCTGGCTCTTCTAGCATCAGGTCCGTGGGGGGAAGGCGCTCAACCTGATGACATTGCTTGAAGTGTTTTTGATTCAGCTAATCATCAACTACGGTCGGTACCAGTGCGATAGCTGCCGCCAGCGGCGACGCGACGGCGGGACACACTCTGGCCATCATATCAGTCCAATCATAGTAGTATTATGTAGTCGAGAGACCTCCAACCTCCGGTACGCGCAAAGAAATGGGCCCGGGCTTCCATGAAAGCTGCCGGTGAAAAGTAAGATAGTAGAATTAAGCGATCAATATCAAAAATTGACAACTCTGAAGTGGCGGAGTGAAAGAATGTCATGGCTTCGCTACGCCAGTCTACCATTGGACTTGGAGCCAGCTCCTCGGACCCCGCTCTCCCAGGTCTTCTGGGATGGCCTTTGGGGACGCTAGCTGCCCCCCGCCCTTTCAGGCTTCCCACCGGAGCGCCCTTCTGGGATGCTGTACATGCACCCGTTCCTAGAATTTGGAGACATTTCTGTTGACCAAAATTATAGTGTATGACGGTGTGGAATAAACAGGGTATTTCCGCCTAGTATTCTGTTCATGGCCCTCTTTTGGTCAGCATTTGTATTACAGTAAGCCCAGAAGGCCATAATCAATACCTATCGCCTTTTTCAAATACCGCCCTAGGACTACGCTGGTAGCTTTGTCTTAGACCTGCTGGTATTACCGACGAACGAAGCCATCGATTATCTCACCGCCGGTATAGGCATTTTGCCTTCACACTTTGTGTCTTCGGGTGATTACGTGTAGCGCTTTGTAGAGATGGGGCTGATCAGTGTGTATTCGTCGACAGACGACGTGTTGGAATTCCGTGAGGTTCGGAGTCAAGTGCAGAATATAATACGAGGACAAATCCTCGTAGGCTACCAACTTTGGTTGACTCTTCACGTATAGATTCGGTCCTTCCAGTTCCCAACTCTCATTTCGGTGGTAGTCCCTTCAGGGTAATACATCCTGCGGACCAGACGGGGGACATTGCCACTTATCATCCATTGTTGTTGGCCGTTGTTCCGGGATATGTACTATTTTTCTGACCTCACTAACTATGTTGCTGCTTACTAAAACACGCCTAACAGGGAGATGGCACAACAATATCTGGGGAGGAGATTCATACCAGCCTTGAGCTGCACCATACATTCGATGATGCTTGAGCAATTGCTAACCCCAGGGCGACTACCTAGGTGGAAGATGCACAGGCAACTATGTCCTTGTTCCAATTATGTAAAGAAGCTTGGGAGGCTTCAAACAACGTTTGGTCCCTCCTTCGGACTTTGCCGAGTGGTACACCTAATTATTCCCCAGTCGTCACAACCCATCCTGCATTGCGTGCACAGCGTACGCTAGTTCCCAGTGTTCTTGCGGTTGGTCCGCCCTATTCACAGGTCCAATTTTGGTGTATGATGTCATTGGTTGCTCAACCAAGCGTGTCGTCAATAAAATTCGAAGTTTTATTCTGCGCTTGCGCAGCCAACATATATCTGTAAGCGCCAGACCACGTCCCTAGAAGGCTAGCCGCAGACTTCTGAAGTGGCGCCCCTTCCGACCGGGTTTCTGCATGTCTGGTTCCGAGTTCATTCTTTATTTAAGAGATGCTGACTGAGAACATAAGTGCCTCAACATCTTCCCACTCAATCAATACATCCGTCACAGAATGGTACGGTTTTCAAACACTCACTTATGCGTAGCGCGAGGCGGGAAATCAGGACTTGCCCATCCAACTTTGGTCCATTCTGAGCTCTGCTCAGATGCCCTGCGAAAAGGAGAAATCATACTCCGCGTGGAAACATTTGGTTTTAGTGCGAATAACATCACATATGGTTTACTTGGGGAGCATCCGCACTTTAGGTTATTCAAGGAAGACTTCACATTGTTCGTTATTCACGAATTTCGCCAGATATTTCGACTTCTTCCATGCTCCGGAAACCGCTTCGACGTCACAAGTATCTCATGGAGTTATCCCAGTTTGGGGATTTGGAACAGTGGTAGCTACGAGCCATGCCACTGTGCGAGTTGGCCAGCGTCTCTATGGATATTTCGCCATGTCAAAATACCTCGTCCTGCAACTTGACGAGCAAACGAACAAGTATCATGTAAACGTATCGTTGGGGAAATTTGGGAAGGACCGCCGGCCTTACAAACAGTTAACCATCTGCAAGACGGATCCCATGTATCAAAAGGACAGAGAAGCTGAAATTATGTTGTGTGAGTCCAATCACGTCGATTCACCGTTCTGAGCGTGAAGTCCTCAATTGTTGCGCCCAAGATCGCCCTCTTTTCTGGACCTCATACTGGTTTGAGGATTGGCTTTACGCAAAGCAGTACTTTGGAGCGCACACCGTCCTCGTGTCCTCAGCGTCTTCTAAGACTTCTTTCACTGTCGCATACAATATACAGCGCCGAAAGAAGACAACTGGAAGTCTAGATGTGAATGTTATTGGGTTGACATCACCATCCAACGTTCAATTCACCAGAAGCCTTGGGCTGTACGATGGTGTTTTTACGTATGACGAGCTCGATCAAGTTATGATGACTGTACCCTCACCACATCCTCTCGTTTACGTGGATGTCCTGGGCAACTCATCACTCAATTCTCGCGTAAACAAAGTCTTCAGCCCTTCCATGTTCGTTCCGCTGGGGATGTCCAATCCAACGGACCAAGCTACTGCATCAGCGATATCTGGGAGGATAAGACTAAGACGAACGTGAAGGGCTTTTTCACGCCCGAGTGGCTCGCGGTCAGAATAGCGCAGCTCAGCCCACAGCAAATATTAGAGATGCAGGTGGAAGCTTGGGCCGCACTTATGAAGGATTGCAGAAAGTGGGTGAAGATTGAGAAGACTTACGGGCTAGGAAATGATGGGGTGCAACGGTATTATTGGAAGACATTGGAGGGTAAAATTGCTGCGGAAATAGGTCAAGCTTTTTCGCTGTGGGAAGAAAGTGATGTGTTGGATTTCCAGAAGGGCAAAGCCAAACTGTAATATGTATAGCTGCCAATGAACCTGTCGACCGATTGTTGTGGATGTACAACCTTGGCCACCCACAAGCTAGCAGCAGCCAAACCTGCCATCGGGCCGAATCAAAGACAACCTTTGCGCCTTCGCGCTCAATAGTTGATTATGTATGTGTCGGATTATACTACACAATATATGCTCCTTAAGGATTTTGGTAAGGACTTCAACCGATTCGAAGACCAAGTGTGAAGCCCCCGATGAAGGATGCCCGTTGCTGGAAGTCGGCCGTCAAGAAATTGATCAACCAGTTCCAGAGACCAGAAATGTTTGGAACGCCTTGCTCGGCACTTGGTTCAATCGATTTGGAGGAGAATGATTTTTCGAACAGCAAGTTAACCCGTTTCCAATCCACTTGTACGATACGTCGAGAGTTGAGGTACTGTGGGGCAGTGGTGACTAGTATCCATAGATAGTAGGAAAATAGCATACCTGAATCAGGACAAACACGCCGCCGAAAAGGAACGCTAAAAGCTTGGCGCCTTTCTTAATGAAAACACCTGCGCAAATTCCGCACACGGTGCCAAAGGTCAATCCGTACACGTCCACGGCTCTGACAATAATGAGACGTTATATAGTATAAGGAAGCGAGAACGATGGCGCTACTTACGAAGCAGGTGGAGGCGGAAGTGGCCTTTGAGGTTGAACAAGCTGAACAGCAGGTGCTTTATAGTTCGGGATAAGTATATATACATTCATCACCACCCAGAGGACTCATAGATAGTGCTTATACTTACGCTGACATTCAACTGGCTTTCCTAGGGCACCAAATGCCCCAACGCCTATGGTAGTCGTTGCAACAAACACACCGACACCAGCAAACGAAATTGAATTGCGAAAGGCCGACCGGGAGTTGAGAACATAAGTTCTGATTGTGGTCCTTGGGATAATAGTATGCCTGAGTATGCCTGGGGTCTTGAGCACGGACGATCGGAAACGCAGGCTGACAATCGTCCGCCCCAATGTAATCGTGCTCATGTTGGGGTGTGAATTAACATAAGCGCCTTGGGATTTGTTTCCGGTGGCCTTTTTAATTCAGTCACGTCTCCATCCGCAATGGGACGGAAAGCCAAGGAGAAGCAGGGAGATCCCCACCCACTCGGGCTCGACCCAGACATTCGCTCATTTTCAGGAAAGCGGAAAGCAGATTTTTCCAGCTCAGGTGGTCCTCGTAAACACGCAAAGTTATCCTCTGGTGCAAGAAACCACAAGTCGGTCGGGGGTACCCAACTTTCGAGAAGAGCTAGAAAAAAGGCGAAAAAGAGTGGAGATGGTTCGGATGGTTCTGAAGAAGGGGGCGTCGCAAAGTTCAACGTCGCAAATGATGAGAATTTAGAGGCGCACCGAAAGTGAGAGCCACAAGCCTCAGATCTTTGTATTATGCTTATAGTCTTGCTATCAGGTTTTTGTTTGATGCGGATGATGGAGAGCCAAGTGCTGCAGAAGCTTCGGACGGAAACGATGACCATAGTAATAGCGGAGAGGAGGATGAGAACGAGGCTGTAGGGGAGGACTCAGGGGAGGGTGAGAAAGGGGATGAGAGCATAATGTAAGAGTCCATGTTCCCCATCTCAGCCCCCTTATTATTAATGCTCTGATCTTAGAGATGATATGTTGGTGAGGATCTTGTGTTCACGGAAGGGGCGCATCAACTCAGTAACATCAATAGAAGGGGGAGGTCCGAGAATTGGACTTTGGGTCAGACTCGGAAGAAGGGCAATCCGAAGACGATTTTGGTGGTGTTAACTCGGACGGGGACTCAGATGACTTGGGGGATGATGGTGGGCGCGTCACGGCGACCAATATGGAGGCGCGCTCTCGGAGGCTTGATCAACAGGCCCGGCGGGATGCCGAATTGGATCTTGGCATCAACCAAGGAGTCGAGGATGACGAAGATGATGACCTTGCGGCTTTCGACCTGCCAACCGCTCAGGAACGGGAGGTAGAACAAAAGAAGGGTGGAATTGAGCCTCACGAAGTGCACCATCGAATACAGGATTGTGTTCGAGTCCTGACGAACTTCAAGGAATTGCGGGATAAGACGAGGTGAGTGATCTGGCCAACTGATTGTAGAAAGTCTTATCATGTGGCATTGCCTAGATCACGATCAGAGTATATTGAACAGATCATAGCGGACATCGTTCAGTATTATGGGTATAATGAGTTCTTGGCAGAGAAGCTCTTTAATCTTTTCCCGGTAGCCGAGGTGTGTGTCTTGTAACATGATATGGCCTTTAACACAACGTTCTTCGTCCTCAGGCAGTCGAATTTTTCGAAGCCAACGAAGTGCAGAGACCGGTCACGATCCGTACAAATACCCTTCGAACGCGACGGAGAGACTTGGCGCAAGCACTCATCAACCGTGGCGTCAATCTCGAACCTATCGGTAAATGGACCAAAGTCGGATTACAAGTTTTCGAAAGCTCTGTTCCTATTGGTGCGCTACATAGTTGTCCCTCTTTTTTGCATGTGCGCTGAGTTTTTTGACTTAGGCGCAACTCCGGAATATCTTGCTGGTCATTACATGCTACAGGCGGCCTCATCTTTTCTACCTGTAATTGCTCTTGCTCCTGAGCCTCATGAGCGAATCCTTGACATGGCTTCCGCCCCTGGAGGGAAGACTACCTATATCTCCGCACTCCTTCAGAATACTGGTGTCGTCTTCGCCAACGATTCGAATAAGGACCGGACGAAGGGTTTAACTGCCAATATCCACCGAATGGGGTGCAAAAATGTAATCGTTTGCTCATATGACGGCCGCGAATTTCCTAAGGTAATTGGTGGATTCGATCGGGTGCTCCTAGATGCACCTTGCAGCGGGACAGGCGTCATCAGCAAGGATTCCAGTGTGAAGCGAAACAAGGTGAGTTTCTAATGCTCGCATCTGTTCTTTCATACTAAACCGATATCTTTCAGTCCGCGCAAGATTTTCTCTTACTTCCACAACTTCAAAAGCAGCTTCTTCTGTGTGCTATCGACAGTGTCAATCCTAGCTCCAAGATGGGTGGCTTTGTCGTCTATTCGACATGCTCTGTCACTGTGGACGAAAATGAGGCTGTCGTCGACTATGCCCTTCGCAAGCGTCCGAATGCTGCACTTGTGGAGACTGGTTTGGAGTTCGGTAAACCAGGTTTTACATCATATATGGGCAAGATCTTCGGCAACAGCATGGGGCATACGCGTCGGTTTTATCCTCACGTTCACAATATGGATGGATTCTTTGTGGCCAAGTTTAAAGTGACGAAGAAAGCTAAATCAATGCCGAACGTATCCGAAGAGGAGGATGAAGTGATGGACGCCGTAGCTGGGGATGATGCAACTGCGCAGGATGATGTTGCTTTTGACCCCGAGGAGGATAAACCTTACATAGAAGGTACGAGGTCATAAATTGTCAATTTTTTCGACGCTAACCCTTGCTCTTCAGAGGGCAAACGGAAGAGGATAAGAGCCAAAGGACTCCGAGTGCCTCCGAAGACATTCACATCACAGGCAGTGAGCTGATCTCCAGCGCCGTGTCGACAGTTACCTTTTAGTTCACCTGCATATCTATCAATCTGTACTCCTTAATAATCAATACGACTTCGTCTAGTGAGTGGCGGGCACCGAAGGATCTTGGCGGTGGCGTAGGGCGCGCTCATGTGCAAGATGATTGAACATCCCCTTCATTCTAGAACTATGGATGATCGCGCGTTTAAGTCTCCCGACCCGCCTGAACAACTGGGCGTGTCCCGTGAGTCCTCCGCTGTCCTGGAGGTGCACGATCGAGAGGATCTGCATGATTAGTTCGCGCAACAACCACTGAAGTCTGGAGACATGGTTTTGCAGGCTTGCCGCAATGCTTACGATCTCAACATGGGTGATGTGAGAGTGTAGCTAGGATGCATTTTCCAGGCGGTGTACTTCTGTGTGACCGCCATTCTTTGCTCCGAAGCTGGCAAGGGCACTTCCCTCATCCCTCACAACCAATTTTTGGTTAGAGAGCGAATTACATGGGCCCGCGGATTGTCGAGTGGATGTACAGCGGGTAGGGTTTAGTTCAAAGTGACTATGATGTATGCTCGGCGTGTGAAGTTCCAGAACCAACAAATTCCGGGAGGTGCGGCAGTAAAAATATCATAACGGCTAGAGTGCACGACACAACTCCCCCAAGCCGCGATAGACAAACATATGTCAGCTATGGGCGTTTGGCACCAGGGTCTGCCCATGAAGCGCGACGGTTCCAAAAAGAGCGCAACGACATCACTACCGCGCAGCTTTCTCGGCTCTGATACGTCTAGCAAACACCACCGCGAACATTGTGTCACATTGGCCAAATGACCACAGACTGCCGCTTGCGGCTCAACCGGCTAGGACAATATTATTATGGATTCACAACCAGAAGACCTTATCAATGAACGAGACTCCTGACCGCGTTCCTCAGCCCTTAAAACAAGAACTATGACGTCTGTGACGTCTGCGGTATCGGCTCTCAGACCGTGATTACTATACAGTCTTGGACGCAAGATGAAGGACCGGTTCAGCATTTGCAGTTCAGTCCGAATGGAAGTCTTTTCCTGGGTCTTGGACATTTGAGAGCAGAATTTCACTTATGAATTCTCCAAGGTAATTGGTATTATCAGTAGGGATCCGGTGTGAACCAGGCGGGTTCCTGACGCATGTTCTCCCACCCTTCATAATGAAGCGGTACCCCCCAAGATTTCCTCCCACTGCCACAATTCGAAACGCAAAGTACGTGCTATTGACGGAGTGAACCAAGATAATTCAGCGATAGTGTGCGCCGTACGCGCCGGTTTCATGCACAATATGGATGGGGTCTTTGTTGCCAAATGTAAAATAACAAGGGACCCAAGTGATGCAGAAAATACCTGGAAAGGACGATGACGCAACGGATATTGGAGTTGAGCACGGGATGGACTTGCCTTTGATCCTGAGGATGAACATTACATTAAAGATGCGAGATCATGGATTGTCGATTGACGCTAAACCTTACTCTTTGGAGGACAAATGGAAGATGAAGGCCAAAGAGCTCCGAGCGCATCGGCATCAGAGGCAACGGGCTGGTTAGGATCGCACGACCCTGATAATGGGACGAGACGAGCTCGTGAGTAAGGTGATTGAACAACGGCTATTCGTACGTTTGAGTTCCCCGACCTAGAACCCGCCCCAACATTCGGGCGCATTTTCCTAATAGTTTCACTTGTTTCTGCGGATACGATGTGTTGTACGACGCGTAAAACCTCAGTTCTTTATCAGGACCGGAAGAAGATTTGTTATATACGTGATGCAGAAGCTCCGGTAACCCCTTTTCGACGATGCCAGTCCAGAGAATCAGTACACCAGATCGCTCCCGAAGCTCGATGACCGAAAACACAACAACGGTCGACGTGAAACTGCCCATCAATCATGCCTGCCACCTTGGATGACAGGGAAGGAGCCTGAAGGCCGAGCTGGCGTCTGACTTGAAGAGCCAGGCTGGAGAATGCCCATGCTCCGAATAGAAGGACAGAAACAGCAACCCTAAATCACGTAAGCTATCCGGCTCATCTACAGGGGCAATAGCCGCATTCAAAGAAAGTTCACCCGCTGCATGATCGCGTACCAGCCAAAACTTCGCCTTCGGGACCGCGAAGCGCGGTTGTGCCACCCCTCCGAATAATCCTGCAGTGTGCGGAGGCGCACGATCAGAGAATCAGCATACATAGTTTGTGCACAGCCAGTGAAGTCTGGGGTGCTTTTGAAAGATCAGCGGGCTGGGTGGCGACAGAAGGGCAGAGCCCAATGAGATACGATCGCGCGAGCTGCTGGTGACCGCTGGGCTCCCGCAATAGACAGTGCTGATGAGTCAAGTGCGAAGCCTTATGGGGCTTCCGGGACTTGCCCATTGCCCAAAGGAGAACTCAACAATTTCATATGGTTACCGACTTTCCCTCATCGCGTCGGGAACTGCCGCTTGCAGAATGGATCGCGCCCTGTTCGGATCAACCAAAAGGCTTCCCCAATGTCTACCGCGAATTCGGTTCCTTGCTCCCAGAACACTATGGCACTTGCGGTATCCACCGCGCTGCTCCGGCTTGCTGCCCTCTACATAATGAAGTGGGGGTATGACCGCCTCAGCGATCTTCCTAACGCCAAAGTGGGTATTCTCTCTACTCCTGGTGTTGATGGAAAACTAACACCGTGTCCCCTGTAGGCTATTGGAGGTCAACGTGGGGGATACTTTCAGTTTTTGACTATCCAGGGTGATGAATGCACACTCAAGCACTGTACTGCGCTCGACCTGAACGATGTATACATTTTAGGTCTTGTCCTTGCATGGGTCACCATCTTCCTCGCTCTCATATCGGACCTCTTTCACAGTGTATCCCGTAAGTTATCTTCAACCCTGAATTCCAGATGGGGTTATCGTTGTTGACGCGACTCAGTCATTAGAACGGTCAAGCGGAAGCTTCTCATGATTTCCCTCCCGGTTGCTACCGTTGTTGCGTCAGTCTTTTGGACGCTTAATGCTAGCGCACCCCATCTCCTGCTCCCTTCAGAAAGTCCTTCTGCCTCTGCCACTCCTTCACTCATAAGGGCACCTTTACCCGTTGACTTGGCACTCCATGCCATCCCTTCCCTAGCAATGGTGTTTGAATTCTTCTTCAGAGAAGAGGCATACACGAAATATGAGATAAAGAAGAATGCATGGGTCATGGCGGTGTCATTCACAACATGGTACAGCGGATGGGTAGAGTATCTTGCATCTATCAACAAGAGATGTGAGGCCTCTCTCTTTGTTACAGCCAAAAACTGATGGCATCTGCCTGCAGACCCGTATCCCTTTCTGGAAGCTCCAGTTACCGTTCGCATTGGGATTTACATTGGTGCTGCAACATTCGGATATTTCTCATTCCGTGTGCTAAATAGTTTGCATCGCGGAAAGCCCCTGCTCAAGGGCTGACCATCGACGCTCATCCAAGTGCTTGCCAAAGTGCATTCCTCCGCTGTCGCTTGCGTCCAAGTTGTTTCAGTCGAATGCATGGACGTGCGGTGACGAAAGTGACTTTTCGCTTTGTTGCCTTATTTTGCACTCCATTGTGAAGCGCAAACTTTGCCGTAATTACATGTCAACTTAGACTCCTATTCGATGCCACAGTCCCGAGTTGCCTTTCCACATTGGAACCTCATGACATTTGAGTGCATGTGATTATTGGTGGCGCATAGCGAAGACTTATGTGCCTAGTTGTCGAGAGGAGCTCCAACTTCCCGAAAGATTCTTACGGCGAGGTGCGTTCAGGTGACCAATGAAGAGAAGTATATTATCATATCTGGAATATCCAATATGCTTGGCCGAGACTTCCGGCAGGCCATTGTCAAGCTGCTGAAGGCAGGAGGGCCGCACCGTTGTTGCATTGGAGGAGGGGAATTTGGACACAAACTGGCACGCTCGCGTTACTTCACACGACACACGCTGCACTTTCTCGTACAGTTGGCATTGTAGTCAGGATTGCGTGAACTGAAATAGTATTGATAGTTGTCTAACGTTGAGTGACCCAGCAGTAATATAGCGTGGAGACAGCCTACTGGGACTCCTGAATTGGTAGCATGACCTGAACCGGATTGCGGTACAGACATAGGGTACAAACGCCTCGCAAGCTCGGCCAACAACCAGGCTGGATGGGGGTGAAAGAGGGAAACATATATCAAAGGAGGCAGATTGGGGTATCGCACTTAACAGATAGACATATGAGCAGGAGACCGTAATTGTGTAAGACAACCTAACGTGAGCTGAACGAGAAGACACGACACCATACTGCAAATGAACGGAATCCTACATGCAGAAGCAATCCGAGGAACAAGGGTGCCTTCGCCATTGCAAGACCCAGAAAGTCTGGGACTAGGCGAAACCCTAGACAACGTGACTGATATAGGCAGACTATCGGCATCCGGTGGACGCGATATTAAAACCAGGAGATAAGGCGATGAGGTCTAGACAGAGCAGTTGGGCCTCATACTGAACAGCTGAGGGCATAGCGTGTCATGTCCGCGAAATTCACCTGCGCACTGAATAAATGGAATGCATCCAACGCTGGCTTCCACCTGTTGGAACGTTGAATTTCGCATGCACCCCTGGTACGCACAGGCTGCTGATGACCGTCCTAAATGCATTAGCATTGAGTGAACACCGAATGTGACCAGCCACGGGGAGTAACGACAGGATAAATACGAAAGGGACGAAACGAAAGAGAAAGGATATGTGTAAGAAGTTTACGTAATATTTATCACCCTCCTGTGACATCACACGCTGGAAGTCAATGGCCTTTTCTTAGTTCATTCGCGTATCTTAACTGAGGCAAGTTACTGGTGTCATCGCAATGCCGTATCAATGAGTAGCACGATAAGGCACAAGGACGAAAGGGTATCATGCTTGAACCGAAGAGAAGAGGGCAGAAGAAGCTGTAATGCTGCTTCGGTACAGATCAGCCAAGAAGCCCGAAGAACACCAGCGCAATTTTAAAAAAAGCCCCCTTGTCAGCCTAGATTCCGGACAGGTTACTCCGTAGCTTTCCCATGCTTCAATCCCCACCACCAAGCAGCGCATGTTGAAGATACCTGGGGCCGTAATGAACAGTCGAGTCAAAAGCTCAACCGAAGATCGAACACATTGTCTCATCTCCCTTGGTGATTCATTATGGCCCTATGTTTCTGAAGAGTTATTCCAACGTACCGGGTCACGATACATTCGCTCCCATTTTGGACACATCGCTTTCTGTGTCCTATCCGAGTATGATAGTTCGACAGGAACGCTGATGCGCGCGCATCGACTTGCCGATTTCCCCCACATTCATTGACTTATCCTGAATGAATAGCAGTTCAGAGCATAAATGGGCGCTCGTGGGGTCCTCGCCAGTCTTGCCAGAGTTCACTTTAACAGTTGGACCTCCCTGGTACTCTCTTCCTATTGTAAGGCTTAGTCATTCTACGTCCACCAACAATTCTAGAGAGGGGGTGATTATCGAATATGGACGAGGAGAAAGGTGAGTTGAAGCACCCATCTTCTAGCCTGGAGACCCTGGGTTCAGATACCAAAGGGCGCATCGCCTTAACCAAACACTGGTAATACAGTTGCTCCTGTCAAATTTGAAGACGAGGAGGAAGAACTTCCATTCGATGTTGAGAAATTCAATACATTCTGCGGGTCAGTGGAAGTTCCAATGGATTCGATAATTATACTCACTAGAAAGGCTCGTGGCAGAAAGCTTTTGTCCCTCAATCATGCACTCCGAGAATTTACGACTGCGATTCGTGAACTCGGGTCATTTTCTCTGCTCGTTGAGTACGCCTATGAGGTGCGAAAGTACCTTGCACGGGTTCTACGCGTCTTCCGCGAGAATGCAGCCGATCTTTTTCCCAATGCGCGTCTCGAGGAGCCCGGAGAGATTGTTCCTGCGGATCACATACCGTTACGTCCGCCACGCTCCAAAGCGGGGCCAGCACGAAAGCTACGCAAAAAGAACCTGCTTCACGACGAAAGAGATGATGGGGGTAGGATCCCTGAGTTGCTGCGATCACTTGCATATGCATTCCAGGCCTTTCGTGTGTGCTTGAACCAGATCCCCGACATTCCGGACGAGGCTATAAATCCTTCAATCGTTAGCTTTTACGCTGACCTAAGATATTGGTCAACGACACTGGAACAATATACAGGTGAGGTCCACGCGTTCCTCGAGTCAGCACTGAGGTGCAGGAAAGGCTAACCCCTTGTAGGGCAGTTCCGATCACCGTCCGTGCAACGGTATCTGAACGATTTGACGGGTGAGATGTGCCAACATTTTGATGGTCTCACGGAGGCGCTTGTTGATTTCAAGAAGTATGGTTAGTGGTTCATCCGTACAGCATCAGATGAGTGTTCTAGCTGACCTTTCCAACTAGGGATATCAAGGGTCCGCGAAGCCCAGCGTCGCGGTGCTGAAGGCATCTCGAATCGTTCAACTGTAGCAGCACTTGTGGCTGGGGTCGCCGCCACTGCAATACAGTTCAGCTACACGGCACCCCCAACAAGGACGAACAAGGCGGTGAATTTTTGCTGGGTTACAGCACTCCTCTTCTCGCTAGCAAGTGCAATTAACAGCCAACTCGCATACTATTGGCGGTACGCGTTCCCCTTTCTTCCGAGTCACTACACGCGAGATATTGATGCAAGGGTTTATTTAGTACGGCGATTTACCAAACATCACGATCTTACATGCCTTTCTACATCAGCGTCTGGATAAACCTTACACCGCTCTTGCTCCTTGTGCTATCCGGCCTTGCCTTTATGATTGGCTTGATTTGTTTTACATTCTCCTACTTCAGCCAGGCTCGATTTATAGCGATCTTCGTGACTGTGTGCACGTCCCTTTTGTCTGCGGCTTTCCTCATGGTTATGGTCTGGCTGATGCGTGAAGGGGATAAGGGGAGGGCACGGAGGAAAAGCGCATTAGAGGCACGTATCGAGGCTACTTTCCCCTCGAGGTTCGCCCCACTCGATTGGCTAACAGATGCGGCCATGCTTGTGCCTTCCGGAGCGGGTAACTTGATCCGAGCGGCCAATCAGTGGAAGTCTCAGCATCCAGGGGCAGGTGTGTTTAATATCGATGACCCCTCCGTCCCGAATGTCAGTGCCGCTCCGGGTAGCCAGCCAGTGCTATCACGTCAACCATCACCCGCTGGTGATACGCGGCGTGATGTGAACGATTCTGCCTCGCATGTTGCTCCCAGGGAGTCTGGTGACCTCGGCGGTGCGGAGCAAGGCACATCGAGGGCGGAATTGCCTCCTGAAGGCGCTCTGCCTCACCTTCCGAGTCAGAGCGTTGCACCCACACCTCGGCGAATCCGAACATTCAAGAATTTGGTGAACAGGATTGTTCAACAGAACCAGACATCTAGCGGCGCTTCACGGAGTCCAGTGGTAGCTCCTTCTAAGTCCCCCCACGAGGGGGTAGCCCAGAGCATTTCTGAGATGAGACAAAAAAATTTCCACCCGCCGGGGGTTATCACGGAGTCTCTCAAGACCTGGATTACTATACAATCTTGGAAGCAAAATGACGGTGCGGTTCAACATTTGCAGTTTAGTCCGAACGGAAGGTATCGTAAGTCCTAGGCCTTGAGTATTTGAAAGCAGGATTCCATTTATATTTCACGTTCATGGCAGTACTGTGTTCATGGGAGCGAAGAACGGTCATCCGCTCGGTCGATGAATCGATCATGATTCCTGCAAGAATGTTGGAAGGCAAAGATACCTACAATCAAGTCGTGTGGTCGCCGAATAGCAAGTATCTTCTGACACGGACCGCCCGCAATATCAAAATTTGGAAGGCGGAGGTGCGTATCCTAGCTCGGATATCAGGACCGCTGACGCCACTGCGGCGAGTAGGATGGTACTTGTCAAAAGACGATTGACCGGCGTCAGGACCTTCAATCTGTCTGCTGGATGCCAAATAGCCGCTCCTTCCTTTATGTGGACGAGACATTTATTTACATCTCAGTGCGACGAATCGTTTTCTTGGATTGCGTGCTTTTTGATGAATTTTCTTCTAGGACGTGGGAAAAGACAATGATCGGGTTTTGTCTAATCCCCGCTTGGAGCACATGCGTCTTGCTGTTGCCCCAGACTCGACTAAGTGAGCATCTCGGCCTTAGGGGAAACACTTCTAATGAGCGACAACTTGAATATAGGCTTGTCGTTGTTGGTACGTTGCAGTCCGCAAATGGATGGGAACCCTTGAAGTCCCGCCCCGAAAAGCAAATCATTGGTTCGTTCTGATTTGTTGTGTGCAAAATCCAGAATCCAGTTTTAATGATATCTTCAGTCTATAACCTAGGCGATCTGAAAAGAGTATCTCTTTATCAGTTAGCTTCCATAATCTTTGGTAATTAGACACCCCGACTCACTGCAACGCAATCTAGTCAGGCACCCTTCCTCGATTCAATTTCTGATGTGACTTTGTCAATATCTGGTGATCTCGTACTGATCAGTTACGATGACAGGGTGGGTCTCGGTTTACCACTGGAAAGCGATGACTACTGAACAGACTCCGAACAAGTCTCCACACCGCCTCCTCCAAATCAAGACTGATACTAGCCAACCGCGCCTTGTCCGCCGATGCACATATGTCACTCCCAAAAGGATTGACTTCATTGGACCTGCTCAGTTTGGTGATGTTTCTGCGGCGGTCGAAACAGCACGAGATCTTTTCGTTTTACGTGCTGGGAAGGGCAAGTCAACTTCTTTCTTGTCTGTGTTGAGATTTAGTTGACCACCTAACCGATTTAGACGGTGAGATATACATTTGGGATCGCCAAACGGGTCAATTGTTGCACACCTTACATACTTCAGAGGATGGGCTCCAGCTGAATTGCATGGCGTGGAATCAGGCTGGCGAGAACCAACTCATGTTAGCTGCTGGGGCTCGTGATGGAACAGTCCGTATCTGGACAGCGTCGTTGCCGCTGCCACCCCAACAGAACCCGCTCGTGGAGGTCCCAGAAATCGAGAAGCCTCCTCAAGGTGAAGGCGACCCTTCACCCACAGCTATTGTTGAAGGAACTAGTGGAGATATTCAAGAGGTGGTCGTACCTGTACGATTCCCAGAGGATATAGTATAAATATTTTTTTTTCGCTCTCTCTTTCATTTCGTTACGTCCTCGTATGCATAACTCACGATTTATGTCTGCACGTCCCGGGCCTGAGCGCGCACGCAGCATTGTATTGTTAAACAAATGATTTTTAAAATGTATCTCTTTATCGACGGCAGTATTGTTGACGTAGATGATCGATCATCCCACAAGCAAGGGCAGTGGATTCTTTGGTTGATCAACAAAAACCACGGATGCACCTTGGTTTCATGACCATGTTCCTTGTCCTTGGCCTGCATTGCCGCATTCATCTCCTTTACTTAAAGTAGGCTGACAGTGCGGCGAAGGGTGAATGGCACTCAGTCTCAATTAAGTGAACAGCGCAAAGGGGACTAGATCGTATAATGAATATTAACCAGGTATACATAAGGTGTCAGAAAATCCCCATGTGAAGCAAGGTCATGGTTGTGAAGCAACCTTTCTAGTGAAGAATCTTTGTTACTTTCATGCAAGAAAGCCACTCAAAGCATGGGAAATCACAAGGAAACACCGGGTTTTTCTGTTATTTCTGCCCCGGAAATTAACTGGACTTCTAAGCGCAATACGATAATTGATTCTGTGATGAGTAATAGGTATGCAGTGCAATGAAGAGGCCCCCTGTCATCCTGAATCCCGGACAAGTTACTCTGTAGCTTTCCACCCTCCCATACCACCAAACAGCACAAGAGGCCTCACGAACTCAGTCAGAGACCGAACATAGTGCCTCATCGCTCTCGATGGTTCATTATGGCTCTCTGTTTCTGGAGAGTTATTACAACGTAGGTTAGGATACACGCTCCCATTTTGGACACATCGCTTTCTGTGTCGTATTCCAGTATGTCGGGTGGTTCAACAGGAGCACGATACACGCGCATCAACTTGCCGGTCTCAACTTCTTATCTTGACCGAATAGCAGTTCAGAGTATAAATGAACATCGCGAAATCCTCGCCGGTCATGCATGCCAGAGTCCACTTTGGCATTCAGCTCAAGTTAGAGCCTCCCTGGTGGCACCCCGTTGAAAGGCTTGGCCATTCTGCATCTGCTCAAAGCCTGTCAACGGTTCCGAACAGAGGATTGATCATCGAATATGGGCGGCACGAAAAGTGATTCAACGGGCCCATTCTCTGGCCTGGAGACCCCCAAGTTCTGATACCAAACTACTGATAATGCGGTCGCTCTCGCTGGCATCAAATTTCAAGACGAAGAATACCTCCCACCCGAAGTTGGGGATTCATTGAGTTCCAATGGGCCCCGTAATTATGCTTCTTAGAAAGGCTCAAGGAACCGGGGATATTGTCCCTACAAACAACGTAGCATTATGGCCAGCACACTCTCAAACGGGGGTCCATGATGACAGAGGTGATGGGGATGAGATCCCTGAGCTGCTACAATCACAAGTTGCATGCACACTCTGGGAATTTGGCACGTTCTTGAACCTGATTCCTGACATTCCGTGCGAGAACACGAATCCTTCAATCGGAACCTTCTGCGCTGATCTGCAGTATTGGTCAACGTCACTGACGCAATATAGAGGTGACGTCTCCATCCACGCTCACCCTCTTACTAGTATGTTCATGGGAGCGAAAAACAGTCATCCAGTCATCCATGCAGCGAATCCATCAATCGTGACGCCTGCAGGAACGTTTGATGGCAATGATACCTATAGTCAAATCGCGTGGTGTCACCAAATGCTGACACGAACGACTCGCCGTATCAAAATGTGGAAGGCGGAGGTGTGTATCATGCATTTGGACATCGGGACTGACGTGACACAATGGATAGGACAACACAGCGTCGGGACATTCAAGTCTTTGGTGGATGCCAGATAGCGCTGTTGCAGATAAACAATCTGTCTTTAAATGGGTCCGACCAATGGATTGCGTCCTTTTTTGAACTTTCGGTCAGGACATAGGAAAAGGCAATGGTCGGGTTTCATTTACGCTTGGAGCGGATGCGTCTTGCGGTTACTGGAGATTCAACTAAGTGTGTTTCTCGTCCTTTATTTAATGCGACGCGTTTGATGAACAAAATCTCCAAAAGTAGGCTTGTCGTTGTTGGCACATTGCAACCCATAAATGGTCGGCCCCGAAAAGCCGGTTCGCCCTGACTGAATAATGCAGGATCTGGCCCTAACGATATCCTTCTTTAGTCTACGATTTGAACAGTCTGGAGGGGGAGCCATGTATCAGTCAGGTCCCTTAATCATTGGTGATTGGTGATTGATGCAAATCTAGTCAGGCGCCCATCGTCGACCCAGTTTCTGAAGTACATAGCCCCCTGTCAATGTCCGGTGAATTTTTGACAATCAGTTATGATGACGAAGTGGATCCCGGTCTACTACCGGAAAGTAATGTCACTGAATGGAGTCCAAACCAAGTCTCCACACTCCCTTCTCGATATAAAGACTGATGGGGCCGACCGCACCTTGTTTGTCACAGATAATACTCCCAAAGGGATTGGCCTGCTCGGTTTGGACATGTACCCTGCGACAGTTGAATCAGCGCGAGATACTCTCGTGATACAAGTCAACTTTCCCCATTGCCTGTGTTGAGATACACCTTTGGGATCACCAAACGGGTGGTTTTTTTCACGCCTTACACACCTCAGACAATGGGCACCAGCGGAATTGTGTGGCGTGAACATCATGCTGGTGGGGATCAATTCATGTTGGCTACTGGTGGGACAGTTCGAATCTGGACAGTGTCATTGCCGCCGCCTGTAGAAGCCATAGAAACCGACCCCGCAGCCACGGTTGATGGGATGTCCAGGAGATCGTCGTACCTGTAACAACCGGTTCCCACGGTATGCGGGAGTTGCCGGACACTGTCGATCAATCTAATTGTATTAATTTTTAATTCAATTCAAGACTTCGCGTCCACGCGTTACCGGTTGTTGGTCGAGCTATGTAGTGCAGTGGTAGAAATGATTTTACTGCATACAGATGATTTGGGCTTAAGTATGTATGCAGATTTCAGCCGTTGTATATTAGCCAAATGATCCTGTATGGGTGTGTCTTTCTTTCATTGATATATATCAATGTTCATCAACAACACTGCTGCGGTCAAAGTCTCGATGCGATACCATTGTGACACTATTATTAACACAAATCGACTAATATTAACGATAGTTACATTCCACAAGCAAAGGCAACAAATCCCCAGGCTGATCAACAAAATCGAGCAAAATCCATCCACGCACCTTCGTTTCATGATCATACTCCCTGTCATCGGCCTCCATCGCCGTATTGATCCCCTTTATTCGCGTTTTGATCTCACCCGAATAGTCGATAATATTATCACTCGACTGCTCCTTTTCGAACCGTGTCTCCGCCACCGTCGTATTCGCCGCACGCTCATGTTCGCGTGTGAAGCGATGCAGAAGCCAAGCGGCTAGCCTCTGATTAACGCCGTTCCATCCGAAAAATCCCCATTTGATGCCAAGCGCGATGAGAGGTGGTAGAGCGAGTGGAAACGTAAACGCGGACATGAACGAAATTCTTTGGCTCGGCATTTGGAATATGGGAGGAAGGGAAGTAGATGGTACGAGGAGATTCGAGGTAGCGAGAGTGAACTTCTCTGGTGTTGATAGGAAGGAGCCGATATTATACCAATCGTGAGTTTGAACGAGGGTATGATCTCGTGCATGCCATTGGAAGGCCTCCCTTGGGCTAACGGGCCAGGTGGTTGGGTGGAGGCCTAACCCGTGCTCGTCACCTCCTGGCCAGTCAGCACCCACGTCTCTGAATCGGCTGAAGAGAATTATTTTTCCCCGAACCTTTGGATGTTACGCGAAAGAACGCAGAAGCGTGGAAATGAAAGAATGTTGAATGTTCGATGAAATGCGGGTGGTAGGTATTGAGAACATTTCAACACAGCGGAATAAAACGGGGACAGGTTAAGATTGAATGCGGAGGGGAAAAAAGCGAGAGGAGATGAAGGGTTAAACTCACCTCTCCGAGCCTTGGAATTCGATTCTGCAGGAACCAGAGACTTCGGTCGGCATACACCTCTTCTTTTACTAACCGGCTGAAGACCGCCTCAGGCGTCCGCGCGCCATCTTCCTGCTTCAAACTCATTACAACACACTCAGTCTTATTCTCCGCGAGAAATTCTTTGATGACGTGAAGAATAGAGCTGAAGAAAACTCTCTGGGAGATGATACCGTGGAAGGCAGCGAGGGTGGGTTTGGTGATGCGTTTACCTGTCTTAGGGTCTTTAGCCTTTACGGGAAGGACGGCGAGGCGGATGTCGAGCGTGCGAACTCCAGAGCGGAGTTGGGTGGGTAGAGGGAATGTTGGGGATTGACACTGAGAAAAGGGGTAGCCATAATATGCTACCGAGTCATGGGTTCCTATGTTCATGTATCGAGGCCATCGTGGAATATCGTTTTTGTGGCCATGTTTAGCGGTTGACATTGAAAGTGAGATTTAATTCAGTGTCAACAAAGTGTGAACGGACGTATATACGTACCCGGCAAGAGGAGAGAAGAGAGTGGAACGAAATCGTTAAAATCTCCAAGGAAAGCAGACAAATTCCGCCTTGGAAGAACAAGGATTGTCGATTGTTTTGAGTCCAATGCTTCTTCCTGTGCGAGTATGAACCGTCAGTGGCGTTCGGCTCGCGTGTCAGCCCTTGATTGTAATCTCTACCATGAACGAATAGACCACATAGGGGCTTGGTTGCATATCTGACGCCGTGTTTTCTAGTCGCTTCAGTGGAAGAGCTTTGGTTATTGGAACAGCAATGTTGATGTTCAGCCCATCTTTGTCGTTGCAAACAATGATAACATGCTTAGCACGGCTATTCAGAGTGACTGCGGTGGGTATCCCAGGTAGTAAAGAGACCACTGCTGCTGAGGTATCCTGCACAGAAATAGGGTGCTGGGTAGCATTTCGAACGATGAATTCTTTGTCTTGGAGTTTGCCCCTCATTTACGCTTGTGGTCATCGGCGAAGAAAGTAGTGGGATTATCCGCGTGGCAGTGTGTCTCCCATCATTTAATTGAATCGAACACAATAGAGTAATTGGGTTGTAAGCGACTGTTATTGTTGTATATTCCTTATTGAATTAACATGTGCCTCTCATTCCATGTCACGTGGAGGGTGGCCGCCCTCGTTTCAACATCAAGGTCACTCATATTTCTTCTTTCCCCCCACAAACTTACCCGCCACCCATCCGACCAAGGACACCCTTTTTATTTTCGAGGGCGCTATTCTCTCTTTCAGTCATCCCCCTCTTTCCCTGACCTCTCCCTCTCTACCTGGAAAGTTTTTCCCCCTGACCGACAAGTATATCTACCCATCACCTTTCTTTCAACCTGCACTCCCTCCTTTTCGAGTCCACAGCTACCCCCTGCTACTACCACCGCTGCCAGTTAACGACTACGATGCGTCTTCCGACATCTCTCCTTGCTCTCATCCTTCTCTGCATTTCAGTCTCTGATGCAACACCCATCATGGCCATTCGCCACCGAGGCGGTGATGGCGTGATTCGTCACCGTTCCGCGTTCAACGCCACCAATGACCATCCTGTTCTCGCGCGAGCTCCACCTCCAGGGAATTTGCAGAGGTCCATTCAAGGCCGTGCTGCTCGACGATGTGCCGCGAGGTCGTCGTCATCCACACCTCCTGCTTCGACGTCGACTAGTTTTACCGTTCCAGGGAATGTCGGCTATGACCCGGGAACGTCAACCTCATCTACGCCATCTCCCTCAAACACTCCAACGAAGGTTATCCCTCAGTATTGGCCGACGAAGACTCAGTCTGGGTACACGTATGAGGCTACAAGAGCCAGTCCTACCGATGCGTTCCTAACTTCCATCTCCGAGGTCTGTACAGTACTTGCGATTTACTGCATTCTTCTTTGTTCTCAACCTGACCCTGCCCTTGGATGATTGTACGCAGGCCTTGAACAATGATAATAACCCGGCGTTCCAAAAGACGTACACTGGCGATCTAACATACTACGAGACGGGCATTGTTGCCTGCGGCGATGTGAGTCCTAATTCTCAATTCAAAATTTCCGGGTTTCCTCCTCTGACTAGAGTTCTTGCCTGAATAGACGTACACAGACGACACGCTCACTGCAGCGGTCTCTCACCTGCTTTATAACTCTTGGCCAGGTGCTATTTCCAACCCAACCCGTGCGTATCCGTCCCCCGGTTTCCATCGTAGCCAGTAGCTGACCTGTGGTCTTCGTCTCCTGACTCAGTGAACCCTATCTGCGGTCCTTTTACCCCAGGTCGCAAAGCCCTCAACAGCGCCGGCCTATTTTATGATGCAATCACCTCATCAGTAGGTTCTGTCTGGATCGGAGGTGATGGCATCCCATCATGCGATCCTTCAGTTAAGGTCCAATGCCACTTGCCAATGACAGTCACCATCACAAACCCTGCTAACGGGAAGAGCGTGAGCGGGGTCAAGATTGTCGACGAGTGTGCCGGGTGTAAGGGGATCGGCGACATTGATGTGACCCGGACAACATTCGGGATGCTGGGGGACGCAGATCAGGGAAGGATAAGTGGAATCCAGTGGAAATTTGATGCTTATTAGCCTGTTTTTTGTTCTTCCTTTCGTTTCCACCCTCATGGTGCGCTGGACTGCTCCACGATGCACTTCGGCCATAATGCTTGCATTAAGCCGGGTCTGGTCTTGCTACTGTTCATCTCGACGCTGGTCGTTCTAATTGTCTTTTGAAGTGGTTTGACATCACTGTTCCTACTTTACTTTTTCTGTACTTACATGTATTGGGTAGACGGGAAATGAACAAGGGAGAAGAGATGTCATATTGTGTGGCCGAGACTCGATGTCTCGGGACTTTAGAGTAATAGACTCTGCCCATAGAAACACTTTGACTGACTATTATGTGACGCCGTGAGCATTGACTCACATCGAACACGGGTTCTTGCTTGTGTCATTTGTCTCGTCGAGTAGGCAACCCCCTCGTGTTCCCTTAAAGGACGCACCTCTGATTATCATGAAAACTCTCGTTCCTCTTACCGTTTTTCCCGCCTCACAGCGTTTCATCGTAGACTGAAGATGCCGTTATCCATCTCCTCCAAGCTCACAGCGCTTCCTTCCCGGATCGACCCCAAGCGCAAGAGTCTAAGGCACTCTTCCATGCCTATGTCTCTCCATGTTGAGTATCGGCATGGCACTCCTACGGGGATGGGGATGAATGATGGTAGCAGAAGGGTGATAAGCGCAGGGCATGCGCCTTGTGTCAACAATGCCGAGACTACCTTCTATGGCAGACCGCCGACACCTCCCCTGAGTGCTATTCCCGAATTCAGCAAAGCATCGGGAGTGAAAACCACCCCGAGACTTAGGCCGCCTACACCTTCACGATCTTCCCTCGGTACTTCCTGCGCTATTGAAATCAAGGCTCCTCAATTAGATCGGCAAGAGATACCGAGCTTGATCATTACGCCTCCTGATGAGGATGGTTTTAGTGGAAAAATTCTGGGGGAAGACTCATCTTGCGTTCGTACCAAGACGTGTGGGTTCCTAAGAGTAGGTGCAACCTTGGATGTTGATATGACCAAGTCAGAGGATGAGCCTCCGAGGGGACGGTCAAGGCTGAAGAAGGTATGTTGTGTTACCTTTGATTCGTTTAAGGTCGTTTTGACGTGAGCCTGGTTGCTTCGTTCAGGTTCTCCACAAACCGGCTCCCTCCGTTACGCAGCCCCTTCGGAGCATCCATGATACCAGCCCCAACGACTTCACAGGGTTATCTAACCTCAAAACTCCCCCAGCCGAGGAGATAAACGGTCCCTTCGGAGACATTTTGGCCGCTATCAAAGACTCCATCGAGGAGTCCGAGAAAAGGCATGATCAGGATGAAAGGATCGAGTTCAGAGGCGTCATTGGGGAGCCAGACGTCTCAGGTATGTTCTTGTCTCTCTTTCAGACCACGAACGAGAGTGAGAATCGTACTGCGTGTGAGACATCTTTAGCCCCCGCGGAAGCTGATCATGGCCCACTGGCACTGGGTTCCAAGACTGGGGAGGTAGCTCCACAGAATGGCGACGTTGAAGTCACCGTCGGGTCTCGTCCCCGCTCAACTTTGCTCGGCCATGCACCGGGGAAGAAGTCGCTTAGTCGTAAACTCTCTCGCATCGTCACGAAAACACCTTCGATCGTGAACTTCTGGGGTCACCGGCATGCTGGACGTTCTTCATCATCACCATTCTTGTCTAGAAAGGGTCCCAGTGATCAAGCTCAACCACGTTCAATGTCTTCCTCGTTTAACCTGTCTCGAAGTCCGAGGATAGCGTTTAAATCCGATCAGATCGAGGTGCGGGTTCTATCAGCTGGACCACAGAACTGTTCTCCGATGTTCAACTCTCCCGAGGTCGTTTCGTGCAGCACTACCGCGGAGGGATCCCCTTCGCTGTTCGCTCAGTGTTCAGCAGAGACTGTGGACGAGTCTTCTTCTAATGGTGCTCCGCAGATCTCTCTACTCTCCCCGCAGAGGTTTAAACCGAAGTACGAGGCACGATATCCTGGTACTCGGGAGGAGCTTCTTGCTCCTCTGACCTCAAGGGCTGCTACTGCACTATCTCGTCTTCACGATCATTGAAGAGCTCATCTTCATCTCGTAAATTCGCCAGAAACGGGAAGTCACTTAGAGAGAAACGCAGGACGCACGACCTGTCCCAACCAGAACCACATCCTTCCGCCACTCTCATTTGACTCATTCGTTGCCCATGATGTTCTGCACTACGTGCTTGCCTCCGTTTTTATCCGCCACTACAGTATGTCCAAATGGAGGCGCATGGGTGGCCCCAACAAGTTCTCCGTGCGTTCATTGCGGAGGCGGTCGAACCGGACCGCAAGGTCCTCTAATGCTCGTCGTATGTCGAGTAGGAAGGCTTCTCCTGGGGATACGGACAAGCCACTGCCTCCTGTACCATCTCTGAAGGTTTCTACGACTTCTTCGGACGAACTTGATGGGGTCCCGCCTTCGCCTCTCTACATTTCATCCAATATAGACGTGTCAACATCAGGCGGTACCAACACCAAAGGCGCGAACGGGAATGAAGCTTTGAAGGAACCCTTCGTCGTAAATTTTGGTCCTAACCCGGTACTTGATTTGGAGATTCGAGAAGCTCACGATGAAGCCGGAACCACTGTGGCGGATTGGCTGCTTTAATGGACCAACTGTATGTGATCCCGTCCATATGCTGGGTTTTCGTATGTACAGCGAGCAATAGTGAACCCACATAGTGGGATTCGCCTGTAGAAATAGATTTTCTAAGGACAAGGTCGCTCCACCTAGCCGAAAAGTTCATATCCCCACGCGCTCGTATGTACAGAGAGTAATAGCAGACCTATACGAGGTTAGCTCGCAGCATTAATAGATCATCCTAGAGGACAAGTGTTGTTTCGCCATGCCGGAAAGTTCTTATTCCGGTGCGTGTGATCTTCAACAAGGAAGGACAGTTTGGGTCCGGACATTTGACCAGGGCATCCGTGGTCATCCAATCCGCGTGGGAGGTTGGACGCTGCTTTGCCGCCAAAAGGGGAAGGACGCTCGCTTTTATGGGATATCCATTTCCCAACCCAGGCGTATTTCGGGGTTCCGTTGTTGCCCCCAGGGATGATGATAGATGGTATGAGATAGTAGAATGAGATTCCGAATGTGTGTGAGTTTTTCATGCGTGGGTTTAGAACATTTAGTGGGGAATATGAAAACTGGACTAGCTTACCCAGGGAGTAAATCGAGATGCCCTGCCCTGGAGGTAAATATAGCATCTCTCCTTCAAGTGTAAAATAATCGCCAACATGTGCTCCACATAGCAAACGAGGTGGTGCACTTGTGTCGCTATGTGAAGGTTCACCAGAGCCCTGGTCGACAACCACCTCGACTTTGAGGTCGTACAATTGAAATTCGTCATTTCGAAGTAGCTCCCCTGCTATGTTTGAGCCCCCCGTCAATGCCGGCGAGGTCCCTTCATTGGTAGCTGGGATAGGCAATTGTGTTGGGGAGGACATGTCGACAGTAATTGGGGTCGAACGTATGAATGCCACAATGGGGACCTGGTGAGAGCTTGGGAATAGTATGACCCAGTGCACACAGCCACGGAGGAATGAAATTGGCACAAGAAACGAACGAGTATTGATACAGTTGGATAATGATGCAAAATCAGCGTGGATTGTGCGTAGACTTAACGACGATATGCAATACACATGCAAGCAATCCCCACCCAAAAACGACAGGTAGTGTCAAGGAGGATTTTCCAAAACCAAACCCCCTCTTCAGAACAGTTGGGGTGTATCTGTACGGCACAGCGTGTTCTTTGGCATTTGCTGGGGACAAGAGCGGAGTTTTCTTAACGCGTACTGGATTGCAGGCGGGTGGCGGCGCATCTCGGGCGGAAATGGGGTTCCTGAGCGTTCCTAGGTTGGTCACAGAAACCTCAACGATGTCGCCAGGTTTAAGGAACACGGGAGGCTTGAAAGAGCTACCAATGCCAGCTAACGGGGGGGGGGGGGGGTAAGTTCAGGCGTAAAGCATCGTGATATCAATGGCTTGCCTGGTGTACCCGTAGCAATCACGTCACCAGGTTGAAGACTACCATGAAGTGGCTGATGAGGGACAGCAAAGTTTGGAAAGTACTAAAACGGGCTCACGTTGTTCCCATGGAACAAGTCTCGACCAGAGTCGGGATGTCAAAGATCAAGTCATTGGTCTTTGAATGCTGCCTCACTTCTCCGTTCACTCGAGTTTCGAGAAGAAGGTTATCCCAATCAAGTGCAGACCCTGCGTGGGATCATAAGTACCAAAGCTGGGGCTGAAAGTTAGATTTGACTTACTATGGACAGCGAACGGACCCATGGGGCAAAATGTATCTAACGACTTGCCGATATAAAACTGTTTATGATCGCGCTGACGGTCTCGTGCTGATATCTAATGTAGGAGTCAGACATATCATAGGCAATGCACGGGGACACTTACATCATTAACAATGGTCGCCCCCCAAATATGTTTCCATGCCTCCTCTTTGGGGATGCCAAAGCCTCCTTTCCCAATGATAATTCCCACTTCTCCCTCGTAATCGATTTCCTTTGTGACGTTTAAATGGTGATATATCTCCGCCCCAGTCGGGATAATCGAAGTCGCTCGCTTAGTGAAGAACATCGGGAACGTTGGTGGCTGAGGGGCCGGCTCGCCATCCCTGGACAATGATAAGTCAGACACATCATAAACTGGCAGATATTTCTGCGATCGTGGAAGAAACATACTTCGGGTGGTCGCGGAAGTTCTTCGCAATGCCAATGACATCTCGACCCACGAACGGGGCCTGGATGTGGACGCTAGCTACGAGCTCGCTTGGCTTGCCTCGCCTCAACGATGGAGCGATCGCATCCCAATCCTCTACCAAATCATACATATCATCGACATAGTTCTCCCCAACCACGCATGGGTGAACCTCCTGTCCGGAGACGATGCCGATGACCCCTCGAGGGAAGTACTTAGACTTGTCTAACCAAGGTCACCCAATGAGCAATTCTGCACAAAGTATAGAACGAGGAAACTGACACGAAATGAACTTGGACTCCATCGTAGCCAGTGATGGGAATCGCAATTAAGTCTGGGGTACTGTACAACACATTCCGCCCTCCGGACCCGAGTTCGGTCTCGTGCTTTGGCAAGTTGCCGAAAGCAAACTGATGAGACGACTCTTCAGAGCAAGAGGTGACATTCTCATCAGCCGGGGTACCATCATCATCATCAAGCAAGCAAGCAGTTTGACAGCGGCCGACGGGGAGGAGACAAAAAAAACTTCCCCACAGCCGACTCGAACGACTGACCTCGTCATTACTAGTGACGCGCTCTACCAACTGAGCTAGCGGGGACAACCTCTACAGGGACTGAATTCATGTTACTGCAATACTTAGCCTAGCACATTAGATTCCTCAACACACCCCGATGGTATGTCGTGCTGCGCCAGGAACTCCGTTGGTCACACAGCCACATACTGACCTATGTCACAGAACCACCTGGAAAAGCCGGTGAGTATATTCCACTGAATGAACGCGTCGATCGAAGAACGCCCACAAGATCTTCACAGCGTCGATCAGCGATGTCCGTCCATTCGCGTCAATCTTGCGCGGAGTCATGCTCAGCAATGTCAGTCTGCAGTGTTGCTCGTATCGCCTGAGGCTTTAACGTCGTGTCATAGCGCGCGACGCTGATCATTAGTAATGCTGGCATCACTGTCACCGTTGAAGAGATGCGGACATCATTAGGGAAGTTGTGTTTATGACAGCGCCTCGTATAAATCACCTACCTTGCTTGTTGTAGCCAAGGCTTACGTGCTGAAAGCCTTTTTCGATGAATTCGAGTACAACCCTCCTCTTGAAGTCGTTCAAGATGGGGGCATGGGCGAGAGTGGCGGCCCGACGACATTTGAAATTGCGCTTGACACCTTTCTGGAGTGCTTGAACGTTTTTGGATCTGGTAATCCCTCAGCATCTTTTGCACCCGAGCGGGGGTCTGGAAAACGCGGCGGTTGGCAAATGCGGGAAGGCGAAGAGGACACGGAGGAACCCCGTCCTAGGGACAATGCTAAGGTGTCCTGGAGTAAAAATGCTGAACGAGCGACCATGATGAAAATGACATATCAAGAAATTGGGGCACCTTTATCTATGATTTTGTAAGTGGATCGCAGGCCCACTTTCCGCTCCAATGATCCAGATGAGTCGTTTTTAGAGCTGAGGAGGCCTCCGGACCGACGACCACTGTCGAAATGGTGACACTCGAAGCGGCAGAAAATTTGGATCTGCCGTTCGATGATGGCGAGACGTCGGTATCAAATAAGAATTTTCTTACTCTAACTCATTCATGCAATTTTGCAGAATTGCACGCATCATCATGAAAGTGAGCATCTGGCGCTGGCTTCGCGGTGAAATACTGACTATCCCCTTGGTCCGGCAGTCTTCGTTATTCCGTGATGCAGTGACTGAGGTTGATGCCACATGCGAGAGGTTATCCTTCATCTGCACTCCGCGATCTGCCCAGCGTGCCCAGATACAGGGCAGTAATAATCGTGGGCCTCAGATACGGGCTGTGAAACCAGCGTTCCGAATACACGCAGCTGGAGCGTATGGTACAACAGAGGTAGGCTTAATGTGATACACTCAAAACCCAGAATGAACCGCTATTAGATGGATTTTCCAAATGATCGAGACGTTTTGGAGACATTCGATTGCGATCAACCCGTTGAGGCCACGTATGTCGTCCTTTGTTCACTGCTCGTCCTCCCCGGTTAGCGAACATTGCAATTTTAAGATACAATTTCAGACCACTTTATCGTGTGGTCCGGTCCTTGACTTCCTCAGCCAAAACTTCAATACGAATAGAATCGAGTGGGCTGCTGAGTATTCAATTCCAGTTGCCCAAGAATGGCTTCGATCATGCTTTCATTGAGCTGCTGGTAAAGCTAGGTTTATGAGACCATCGGAGCACCTCTGATTTTCATTCCTTATTAGAGCTTGTCGAAGGATACAGAGGAGGTTGACGAATAAACGGTTTCGTGCATGTTGTACTTATTCTATGACATAAATATATATTAACATCTAAATCAAACCGTCGAAATACGATGAAACTGATGATCGGGATGCAGGAGGAGGGAGTGACAAGGATGATGAAGTTCGCTTCGATCGTGGCAGGTAGTCCTCAATGATGTCTGTAAAAGTAACCGGCGCTAACAAAGGCGTCAGTACGGGTACAAGTAGTGTAGCAAAAAAAAAAACTCACCTGTAGGTTTTGGAGTGGATAGGGGCAACGCGGCCTTGCTTAGGCCAGCAAGGATGATGTGGCGGACAGTTTCCGCGTCAAGTCCCTTCGAAAGGGAGAGTTACAGAACTGAAACCACACGCGTGCCTAATAGTACATAGTCATACCTTCTCTGGTACTGGCTTAGAAACTGAGGCGAAGAGATTTCCTGCTTTTCCTTAGGACCCTTACTAGTACCCCATGGGCTTGACGCCTTGCCTATGTGGGCTAAAATGTCACCTTTGGTGAGCATGCCGCGAACGCCTGTCCCTTTGATTGAACGGAGGTCGTGCGCCAAAAGACGATTCTGCAGGACTAATCGTTGCACAGAAGGAAACAGCGGGCGAGAATGGAAAGGTAGCTTGTGGTTAGGCTCGTGGAATGACTGGGACGCGAGTGAAGGCGGAGATGAGGGTTCGATTGGTGAAGGCGGATCCACGTTCTTTGGTTGTGGCGAAGACACCTTCTCTGAAATCTCAATGTTTGAGATGTCATCGCCCTCCTCCGCGAGGATGGCAATAACTTTCCCCACGGGAACGTTTTTGGTGCCGTCCCCCAACTGCAAAGTATGTGAACAATCGCCAAGCGCGGATCCGATGGGAAAAAATCACTATTATTTTTCCAAGGACACCATCCTCCTGTGCTTCGACGTCAATAGTAGCCTTGTCTGTTTCCTACTCCAGGTCAGAAATTGCGAAAGTGAGCATGTGAAGAGGGAACACGAACAATCTCGAGAAGTATGTCACCAGCCTCAAAGGACTCGCCTTCCTTCTTCTTCCAGCTTGCTATCCCTCCTTCCGTCATTGTAGGGCTCATGGCTGGCATCCCGAACTCTGTGATGGCATGGCGCGACCGCGAGGAATGAATTTCTGGATTCGAACAAAGTTAGCGACCTCTGGTTGGACGCAGGAGGGAAGCACCCACCACGCCTCAGTACAGCCCCATACAACCTCGCAGCATTCCTGACAGAAAAGACGGACGCCATGTGGGAGTCGCCAAACTTTGAGAAACTTGGCACGGAAGCAAAAGTACACAATTGGCTGCGACCTAAGACGCGCCGTTGTGGTGCGTGTTGGCATCGAGATCACACAAGTCCTTGACTGCAGTTGTCCTACGTAGAATTACTCGGACACAAGAGAGGTGGCCAACATGAGTACAACAGCTCCTGGTCTTGGTTTAGACGTTGTGAACATAGTCAACAAGCTCCAGGTGCGGCGCAGCCTTTCTTTAGTGCAACTATTGGAGGGCCTAATATTGTCCATGGCTTCCATAGGATGTCTTTACGGCTGTTGGGAGCAGTGCATCTCAAATCGATCTTCCGCAAATTTGTGTGCTAGGATCCCAGTCCAGTGGCAAGAGCAGTGTGCTTGAGGTGGGTCATTGTATATTCGCTCGCGATATTTGAACGACAGCGCCTTGGTGCCATAGAACATAGTTGGTGCGTGAAAAGAGTGACTTTTGAGGGGGACTTAACTTCTTTACATCGCATGCGTCTGCAGGTCGTGATTTCTTGCCGCGGGGAACTGGCATTGTCACTAGGAGACCTCTGGTGCGTCTAATTCGCTCACTCTATAGCGGGGATCTGAGCTTTCAAACAGGTACTGCAACTGATCAATCGACCTGTTCCTGCGACTGCCCCAGCTGGGGCTGTTAAGATTGGTTAGCATGCTCACGGTGGATAAAGTCACGCAGATATTTATACCCGTCATAGATAAAGGGAACGATCCTAACGCAAATGAACATGAATGGGGAGAGTTCCTGCACCTTCCTGGCCAGAAAATATACGATTTTGATGCCATACGGAAAGAAATTGTTAGAGACACTGAAGCCAAAACTGGCAAGAACGCAGGGATATCACCAGTCCCCATCAACCTACGGATATTCTCCCCGAACGGTAGGATTACATACTGGATTCCTTGTCATCTAATACCAGCGCTAATCATTCCGGCCAAGTCGTCACTCTCACTATGGTTGATTTACCCGGTTTAACCAAAGTACCCATTAACTTTCTGACGCCTGTGCCACAGTTGCTTGAGATTACGTTTTCAGGTGCCCGTTGGAGATCAGCCCCGAGATATCGAGCGACAAATACGCGACATGCTAATGAAGTACATTTCGAAACCAGGGTGTATAATCTTGGCAGTCACAGCAGCGAACGTTGATTTAGCGAATTCTGATGGTCTCAAGATGGCTCGAGAAGTGGATGCTGACGGTTCTCGAACCATTGGGGTTCTCACCAAAGTTGATCTTATGGATACTGGGACGGATGTAGTGGACATCTTAGCAGGAAGAGTGTGCGTGGAGACCCAACAACCGTCTTGTTTGTCAACTGCTAACTAACAACCAATGTTCAGGATTCCCTTAAGGCTGGGATACGTAAGTTCTATCCAAATTTTCCTCACATCAATGTTGACCTTATTGGCATCCCTAGGTGCCGGTTGTCAATCGGGGACAACGAGATATAGAGACGAATAAAACCATCTCGGCCGCTTTGGACCATGAGCGCCAATTTTTCGAAAATCATTCAAGCTACAGAAGCAAGGCTGTCTACTGTGGAACACCATTTTTGGCAAGAAAACTGAATATGGTGAGCAAGTAGTTCTTGGTTTTGAGCCCGGCGCTGATAGACCCTCATTGTCCAGATCCTTATGCATCATGTCAGTCTGTTCTGCACCGCCAGACGACGCACGGATACTAATATTATTTAGATCCGAGCGACATTGCCTGATATCAAGACCCGTATACAACAACAACTGCAGAAATACCAAGCCGAACTAGTATCACTTGGAGGTCCACATGGTGATTCATCGGTATAGACCCCATATTTATCTCTTCACTGCCCGTTCTAATGTGGAGTACTTCAGAGTAGCGTTGTACTCTGTACTATTACAGAGTTCTGTCAAGAGTTCCGCCATGTCATCGATGGTAGTATGAATGACCTTTCTCTCAATGAGCTGTCGGGCGGCGCACGGATATCATTCGTTTTTCATGAGCTCTTCAACAACGGCGTCAAGTCTCTCGATCCATTTGATCAGGTCAAGGATGGAGACATCAGGACTATTCTCTATAATTCATCGGTGGGAATTTAGCTCGTATTTTTCCGGAGACAGCTGAACACATCATCCAGGGCCACACGCCTGCGCTGTTTGTGGGGACGACAGCCTTCGAAGTCATTGTCAAACAACAGATTCGCAGATTAGAGGAGCCAGGCCTTAAGTGTTGTCAACTCGTCTATGACGAACTAATTCGGATTCTTGGCCAGCTACTTAACAAAGTTGTAAGTAGCAGTGCCACGATGTTCCCAACAAGCTTCGATTTTTTGCCCTTTTACAGCAATCATTCAAGCGATACCCGCCCTTCGTGAGAGGCTTAATGCAGTTGTCATTAATTTCTTCAAGACGGCGATGATACCTACAAATGCATTAGTTTCTGATCTCGTTGGGTTGGTAGAATACTTTATACACGTATGTATCCTTCGACCTGAAAGTTCTACACCAATAGCATGCAGGCAGCCTATATCAACACCACCCACCCCGATTTTCTTAATGGACAACGCGTATGCCTCCCAATACCTTTCAATACCATCCACGACGTAACTGTTTGACAGGCCATGACCATCGTTACTGAGCGTATCAACGCCAGCAAACCCCCGCCCGCAGCACCAGATCCGAAGAGTGGGAAGCTTGCACCGGGTCAGATCAATAACAATAAGGATTTGGACGTGGAAGCAAAAAAGGAAGAGCCTGGCTTCTTTGGCTCATTCTTCCCCAGCAAGGCGAAGAAAAAGGTGGGGCCTGTGATGGAAGCAGTGAGTGATTCTTCCTGACTGGAAGATGACCATCATGCTGATCCGGTTTCAGCCCCCGGCTGTCATCAAACCACAGCTAGCCTTGAGCGAGAGGGAAACGATGGAAACCGAGGTTATCAGTGGGTGTTGGACCAATATGTGCAACTCGCTATCTAACAACTGCAACCAGAACTCTTGATTCACTCCTACTTCAACATCGTGAAGCGCGAGATGATTGACATGGTCCCCAAGGCTATTTCACTGATGCTGGTTCAGCACGCGAAGGACAACTTGCAAAAGGAACTCCTTCAAGAGCTATATAAACCTGAGATCTTGGACGAACTGCTCAAAGAAAGTGAATTTGTTGTCAGCCGGAGGAAAGAAGTAACGTCGATGTTGACTGCATTGGTCAAGGCTGAAGAGTGAGTAATGCACAATCGTCGTTTCTTCGAGCCATGAATTGACATCTGCGGCCCACCAAGGATTGTGTCTTCGGTGTAGATATCACCTTGCTTCGAGTGCCTTTTTTAGTTTACGTTCATCCCGGGATTCCATCACCGTAATACATGATGTCTTTTTTGCTCTAGACTTGGGCACAAACGGGAAAAGACTATCCTTTCTACAGCATGTAGACAATACCGCCCGTTACAGACAGTGAGTCAGAACATCACATATGCATCACTGGGCAGGGCAATTGCATAGGCTTTACGGTGCTGCATCGTCTGCTGCTGGAGCTTATGCCAGAGCCGGGAGGGATTTTAATTGGTGATCGTAGAAACTACATCAGCAAGCCCGGGATTGGAATTCTTGTCACTCATATGGATATCCTGGCACTGCAACTGGCGCAAAGCTATGAAACGCGCGGCCCTGCACTGGCCGACTCTGCACTCCATCAACTTCTAGTCCTGTAATATTGTCCTCTGTAGTTTGTTCGGGGTGACGAGATGGATGGAACGTAACCAAGATAACCAGTATACATTACCTTGAACTTTTTCCGGACATGTCCCTGCTCCGCCATAGCATCTGGCGGTTGGTTCTCGAGAATCGAATTCCGGCTGTAAGCAAATGTTTTCAGCCTCTGAATTTCATTTTTTCCCGAAAGTCCTGTGGGTGCCTCAGTCATCGTCGGCGAAGGTAGCAGAGCTAGAAAACGTGAGGATCTGGATGAGGCGCGGCTGGGTTGCCGGGGGTTCGATGTCAGCGGAATGAGGCTAGAACCTGGCGACGTTGACGAAGGTGGACCTTCAAGGGGGTTACGTTCCATCATATCGAAAGGTCGTTTAAACGAAGCAGAGAAACCGGACGAAGTCTGGCGGGGCCTGACCCCAAGAGCGAGAGCAGTTGAAGTCGGGGAGGACAGCAGGAACGGCGAGGAGGAGCGGACTTGGGTAGTGCGAGAGGCGATATCGTCCATGCCAATGCCGCAGCCTACTTGAGCAGTTTCACTAGTAATAAACGGGAGCTTCTCGTTTATTAGTTGGTTGTGCAAATGCCATCCCATTCGAGTGCTGCGAGGTGTGCTCTCCAAACGTTCTATAAAGGAACCCTGACGGCCCCAATATTGACGATCAGTCGAAGATGCTACAAGTTGTGGACCAGAATCCCGGATGGGTGAAGAGGACGAGGGATCGGTAGGCAGATGGGGGACCCTGAGGGCGACCGGTTTGGGGGGGATGGGACGATGGTTAAAAGCATTACCGTCCATGTTTGGTACATTGCGAGGAATGACTTTAGCAAGCTCGTTAACAGTGTCTTTTAAACCTGTTATTTGACCTGTGAGTGAATGCATTGAAGCTTCATGAGCGGATTTTTGAGAGAGTATAAGCTCCTGGATTTGAGCCAGCTCCTTGGAATGTGTTCGCTGCATCTCCAGGAGTTGTTCTACTCCCTTGACATGTCTTTCGGCGAGCTCTTTTTGCTGCTGAATGGAAACGGCCAGTTGCTGGGTAAGAGTAACGCCAACCTGACAAACGATGAAAACTTCTGGCCGGCACCTACTGGAGATAACTTACTTGTCGGATTCATCTTGTTTGACTAGAATTGCATTTTGCTGTTCCCTGGTTGTGCTTATCAACTCTTTCGTCCCGCGCTGAGCTTCTTCAAGCGATCTCATGAAGTTGTTCTGTATATTCGATACTTGAAAGAGTGTGTAGAGCTCAGAGACGATAAGGACACGTAAGAACGCGCTAACATAGGAGTTTTGTCTCTTCGGTTGCCTTGAGTTGACTGTCTTCTGCAATCTTGGCGGCTTCCTCCACTTGACGTTTCGCGAGTACTACATCTTTAGCCAGACTGCTTACTTGACTTGAAAAACTTTCCAAGGAGCCTTGAGTATCGCTGAGAAGCAGCGAAGAGAAGTCGATGTCTTGTCCTTGGGATTGAGAGGTGGAGGCTTGAAGTTAACTGGGCCTTCGATTGCTTGGTTCGTCGATAAGAATGACCAAAGAGGAGTATGAACTCCTGAAACAATCTTGCTACTCTCTTCGCGGAGGTGCATAAGCTCAGGTATATCGAACATGATCGTTCGAAGTGTGTTCTCACGCCTCTCACCTAGCCTTTTTTTCCCAAAAAAATTAGCCACTTTGTTTTTCGGCCATATTTAACTCCACCACCACAATAACTATCCCCACTGGACCTGACGCTGCGACAATGACAACAAGACAACAGGAAGATGTGCTGGTAGCCACCATCGGCACCGTTGTCGAGAGGTCGCAGCGGACGATGAGGTATCTGCGATCGATCCACCTGATTCACCAATACAGAGTTGGGCCTCTCATCAATCATGGGATGGTAGAGATAAGTTCGAGATGAACAGCAGTGGCGATGTGGTTACCTGAGAATAGGAATTGGAGCAGGAACAAGGGTTTGAGCATTCGAAAGGGAGGAGGCCATAACGTCAACGGCGATCACGATTTCGTTATTTAAGTGTTGGTGAGTCAAAAGTGGATCGAGTTGCTGACTGTCGATCATTTTGCATCGGTTAAACCGTCGTCGTCGTTATGCCCTCCTTTCCACTATCGCGCGATCTTCGTCTGTCTCTTCCAGCGGGCGCACCGGGTGAGCCACGTTCGCCGTTATGTACCCGCATAGGATATTTGTCATACATGTACGTCCACCACCTGCCATGTATATAACGTTTTTGCTTACTTGCGTTTAGGTTCTTCTGCCTACTACATGTATATTATATGAGATGGCTTATATCGGGATTTTTTCAGGCCGTCTATCAAGGATCCATCGCACAGTTACGCGAACAAGTAATGGGCTCGCCTGTCACGCAACAATGTGGCGCAGTTTTGAGGGTTGAAATTATATGTCCAATCCAATGTAATATTGCGAAGTCATAGAGGCTGGAATATAATACGTCCTGCTTATCCGATCCTCACAAGCACCGTTCCACCAAAACTCGGGTGGACCAGCCGTTGAGCGTCAATCAGGTGGACGTGGGAGTTGATGGACGTGGGGCATCTATCTACAATGGGAAGGGTCCTGCTCATCGTGAATTCGAATAGCGGGGATGGTGTTACAGGAAAACGTCTCATTGAGGGCGTCGTTTGCCCGATCCTATCCAATGCCGGGGTTGGCTTCAGCTTACACTTTACATCATCTGCTGAAGAGGCAGGAAATCTCGCGGAACTGCACATAGCATCCTCATCGGAGTCAGGAAGACCCACAATTCTGGTTGCAGGAGGCGATGGGACTCTTCATGACTTGGTCAACGTCCTGCATACCAGGGCGGGCAGCCCCAGGTCGACGTTTCCGGGTGTTGATTTTGTGCTCATCCCCACTGGAACTGCAAATGCTTTGTACCACTCATTCTACCCTCCGGATGACCCCCTGCGCACTTATTCCAACATACCCAACGACATTCAAGAGGAAGACCTGTCAAAGCTGAAGTCCCTCATATCGTACCTTGAAAAGACGGGACGACGAGAGCTCGCGGTGGCCCGGACGTCTATACACCAGCCAGATTCTACTCAGCCTCCATGCACTATCCTCTCTCTTGTGGTAAATTCTACATCTCTTCACGCCGCAACCTTGGATACTGCTGAAAAGTATCGCTCCACGATTCCGGGCATCGAGCGCTTCAAGGTTGCAACTGCCGAGAATATCACGAGGTGGACAAATGCCGAAGTTCAGTTCTTGCCGAGTGGCGACACGAACAGTGTGCTCATCTGGGATCCATCAAAGCAGAATTCGTCCCCGCCCAAGATTCCGCGGACCCTGTGTCTATAAATGGTCCATTCTTCTACTTCTTGTCGACGATAAATGTCGATCGCCTCGAGCCCGAATTCGTCACGACGCCCTTGGTCAGGCGAAAACCAGCGGCGTCGAATCAAGCGCTGGATTTGGTCGTGATCCGGCCGACCCGAAACCCTAAGTATGCGGGCGAAATCGAAGGGGCACGTCAAGCTTTTGTTCAACTAGCTCTTCCATGGTTCAAGGCCGTATACAACGGTGGAAAGCATTTAGACATCGCTTATGAATCGGAGGGAGAGCTGGTGTATATGACGGAATACTATAGGGCAGGGGGCTGGAGGTGGACCCCGAAGGTCCGTGATTCTGTGCACATTCTACAGGGTATTCCGACAACGTTTTGACTTGACACCTTACGCTCAAAGGACGATGACTATGCATCCAGCCTCGTTTGCGTTGACGGAACTATCGTCAAAATCCCTGCAGGTGGATACGCGGTAGCGGATGTTTTGCCTAGGTGGCCAAGCGGGGATGGCTTTAATGTATGGGTTTGAACTCCTGAGGAGCTCGTGGTTTCAATTTTGTTGGCATCATCGATGGCCAGCACGATGATGCGATCTCCTACTCATCCTTCTGGGCTATATTCGTTACAAGTAAATGTTTTGCTGTTGCACATGCATCGGATCACGGGCGTGGGACAAAAAACCGGCCCGCCCACAGATCCGATCCTCCCCCACGTTTCATTGAATGTTTACTTCCCGGCTGTTCCAGGCTGCTAGATCTTATTTTCCAGTTTTCAGAATGTCCACCGCTCCGGTGACTCCTCCACTCAAAGCTAAACCTTTCCGAGTTGCGCTCGTGCAATTGGGTGGCATCACGGGTGACAAGAGCCACAACTTGAAACATGCTAAAGATATGATCCTGAGAGCAGCTGCCGGTCTAAACTCGCAAGGGGGAAAACCAGGATTAGTAGTGCTTCCTGTCAGTATGCTGGTATCCGATTCGTCCTGGCTATGATGATAAGGGATATCGCGCTCCTGTTTTCAGGAATGCTTCAATTCTCCCTACGGCCATGTACACTTTCCCGAATACGCGGAGACCATCGGATTCACTCCCGGTGAACCTTATGATGTCGAATCGAGCGAGAGCGAGAGCGTGAAAATGCTGTCAGCTGCTGCTAAGGAAGCTGGCGTCTGGTTGATTGGAGGTGTGTCACTGCGTTCTAAGATTTGCAAGCCATTACCTATTTCTTAGGCTCCATTCCGGAGCGAGAGGAATCTACGGGAAACCTTTATAATACTTCTACCGTGTATTCCCCGAAGGGTACATGCCCCATAAAGTGCTGATTTTGCGGATGCATCTAATCGTTGGTTGTTCAGGTGAACTAATTGCTTACCATCGAAAATTGCAGTACGTTCTTTATCGCTTCGTTCAGTCGTTCAGTAAATGGCATTTTATGATCTGAAAGCCTCTTTGACATCGACATTCCGGGAAAGATTACGTTTACTGTAAGGGTTTTGCGCGGGGAATCTCATTTTCTCTATTTTACGTTGCCCAACCACCACAGGAAAGTAAAACCCTCACTGGTGGGAAAGACATAACGCAGTTTGAAACTGGCGCGTAACCCCAAACTTTCTCGTCTGTAGTGCATGTTAACGATCTTTCAGATTTCGGACGGATTGGACTGGGGATATGTTACGACGTTCGTTTCCCCGAAATGGCTATGATTGCTGCACGTCAAGGTTGTATCGCAATGATATATCCCGGCGCATTCAACTTGACTACGGGGCCACTTCATTGGGAACTTTTGGCTCGTGCTCGGTCCGTGGGTTGCGGTTGAACTCAAACATTCTACCGACAGTCCGTATTGTATAGTGCGGTTGATAACCAAATATACATCGCGCTGTGCAGCCCTGCAAGGGATCTCACCGCAGGGTATCATGCAGTATGTCGCTGCCTAGTTTTTCATTTCTCAGTCGCTTATTGAAGGTCCGACAGTGGGGTCATTCTTCATTGGTCGATCCAATGTATGTCTGTACACATTGAATATCATACATGGAACTCACATTGGCACCACCCAGGGGAAAGGTCACAACAACTACAGATGAGAAGGAGGACATCATATACGGTGACGTCGGTGAGCCCTTTGTTTTCGTGTTTTACTGCCATGGCTTATCCCCCACCCACGATAGATCCCGACGTTGTCCAAGAGACACGGTCCAGCATACCAGTCACTGTACAAAGACGGTTCGATGTGTACAAGGATGTGGCTGCCTGATCGTTTAAAGACGTATGGACACACAACATTCTAAACAAGCTAAATTGTGCTGTGTACAACGGTTGAATAAAAGTTTTTTAAATTCCTTGGACCATAGTGTCTGAGTTGGATCAGACAAGATGGACTTAGGGGTCTCGTCGAGTGACAGCGATTGTCATAGCGCAGGAGAAATCGCGCATACGTGGCTCATTCCGGGGAAGTTGTGACGAGTCGTACTCCTCTAGTTTATCTGAAAGCGGAGCTATTTGCATGATTTACCTCCCCAGGCCTCCACGTCAGTGAACGAGCCGCACAAGACTACAGTATGCTCATAAGATCGCGGTTGGCAAACGCAGTATTTATATCATCGGGGATGCGGAAACTTCAAAATCATACTGATAGACGAAAAAACATAGGACAGGTACGTCTTGTTGCATGTATAACGTACGTCCGTGAGCCTCTCGCCTGACATTCAGCATTGACAGATCGATTACATTTTGACTGGCGTTATTAGTCGTATCTGCAGACCAGGCGAGTGTGTCCAAGGCCCGTTGTGTACTAACGCCTTCACTGTGGAGGTAAAAGTGTGTGTTGGGGTCCATTCACCTGTGACAGCTTAGGGACCTGAATCCAACACGGAGGAAACCACAGCTTTTCGTTGTCTAAGAGCGTCGCAGAGCCGAGTAGAAGTCCGAGGCGGCGCACACTAGTTGAGTATGCGCAGACAGATCCGGTGCACAGTTGAAATTGGGTGGTATATGCAATCTTTGCAGTTCCGCGGCGGGTAAGTGCCGGTCTACGTCGTCACTTCACTTTGGCTGGTACTGCAGCCTATCTGTTGTGCACAGATGCATCTTGTTCGCTGTGAATTTTTTCATGCATGCTGTGTTTGAGCTGAATTGCCTTTTGCAGTAAACAGAAATATTTGATTCCGAAACCATCACGAACAGCAAATTCTTGCCGGTAGGGGTGTGGCGATTGCTCCTCGTGGTGATCTTTTGACGTCTTCTAACGCCGCGCTGGACTACATAGGGGCTTTCTTGCTCGTTAATTCCGAGCCTGTATAGAGTGCTGTTCCCCAGTCCGCCTCAAGATGGCCGATACTTATTCGAAAGGCACGCGTGTCTGGTTTCCGGACAAAGAACTAGGATGGATTTCAGCCGAAGTCACCGCTGCAGTCAAGTCGGCGGCTGGGTCGTTGAAGCTGACATTCGTCGATGATCGGGGGAAGGTCCGTGTGGAGCACTGCCTTTGCTATTGGGTTCAACCATTCAACTGGACATCTCCCTCCGCAGGAAATTGTAATCGACACAACCGTCAAGGCTGCTCAGGGAGGTAATGAGCAACTTCCTCCTCTTCGAAATCCCCCTCTACTCGAGACCTGTGAGGATTTGGCGACGCTATCTCACTTGAACGAACCCTCCGGTAACGCGTTCTCCTAATGTCAGTTGACTTACGTTCTTATGATTTATTATAGTTCTCCACGCTATTCAGCAACGATATGCTCAACATAGTATCTATACATATTCCGGAATTGTCCTTATTGCTGTTAATCCCTTCCAGCGCGTGAACTTGTATGGGCCAGAAACAATTCAAGCATACACCGGTCGGAAGAAGGGCGAGCTTGAGCCCCATTTGTTTGCCATCGCCGAAGATGCTCACACCAACATGCGCAAGGATCGCATTGGGCAGACCATTATCGTATCCGGAGAGAGTGGAGCTGGGAAGACAGAATCCGCAAAGTTGATTATGCGTTTCCTTGCGTCTGTTAATGGTTCCGAAGGGGATGCCAAGCCTAAGACCAAGTCATTAGAAGACTCTAGCGAGATCGAGCGTCAGATGCTTGCAACAAATCCCATCCTCGAAGCATTTGGCAATGCAAAGACTGCGAGAAACGATAACTCTTCACGGTTCGGAAAGTATCTCCAGGCATGTGTTTTCATACTTTTTTTCGAAGAGAATTATTCTAAGTATCATGGGCAGATCCTGTTTGATAACAAGAACGAAATTGTTGGCGCACGCATACGGACATACTTGTTAGAACGATCTCGCCTGGTGTACCAACCAGAGACTGAGCGCAACTACCACATCTTCTATCAACTTCTTGCTGGAGCCCCCGCAAAGGAGCGAAAAGATCTCGGTTTAGACGATCTCTCCAAATTTTTCTACCTCAACCAAGGCGGTCCTGGTGCAGTCACTGTGGACGGGATTGACGACGCGGAGGAGTTTCGGGATACTCAAGCAGCTCTCTCGACTGTCGGAGTCAGTGTGGAGAAGCAATGGGCTGTGTTCCGCCTCCTCGCTGCCTTGCTCCATCTCGGCAACATCAAAATAAACGCTATGAGAAATGACTCTTCGATAGACGATCATGATACTTCTTTAGTCCTTGCTACGAGGCTATTAGGACTTTCCCCCGTCGAGTTCAAGAAGTGGACGACTAAGAGGCAAATCAATACACGTAATGAGAAGATCGTTTCGTCACTGAATGCTGCTCAAGCGACGATTGTCCGTGACAGCGTTTCAAAGTTCATCTATGCATGTCTCTTCGAATGGCTCATCTCGATGGTGAATGACAGTCTCGCAGGCGAGGATGGCCAGGGAGCCCTTCTTGCTGAGTCATTCATCGGCGTACTCGATATTTACGGATTCGAACACTACCCCTATAAGGCCCCATCAAGAGGTGGCGGGGGACCCCCCACGATCGCAAACTCATTCGAACAATTCTGTATTAACTATGCAAACGAGAAACTTCAGCAAGAGGTAGTTGGTTCCTATCCTGTTTACTCTCCTTTCTAACTCCTCTCTCATTCTAGTTCAATGCCCACGTCTTCAAGTTAGAACAGGAGGAGTATGTTCGAGAGCAGATCAATTGGACCTTCATAGATTTCTCCGATAATCAGCCTTGCATCGACGTTATCGAAGGCAAGCTGGGTATCTTGTCTCTCCTCGATGAAGAATCTCGGCTGCCAGCAGGAACTGATGCTTCCTTCATAACGAAACTCATGAACCAGTTGGCGACTGCGACCCACAAAGATGTCTTTAAGAAACCACGATTTGGGAATACGGCCTTTACGATCGCGCATTATGCCATTGATGTCACTTATGAAGCTGAAGGATTTATTGAAAAGAATCGGGATACTGTTCCCGACGAACATCTCGCTCTACTAGCGTCGACCAAAAATTACTTCTTCAAAGAGGTTCTGGATGCTGCCCTTGCTTCTGTGAAGCCCCCAGATGCTGTTCCACAATCCCCCGCTGTATCAGATTCCGGCAGCACCGCGTCAAGACGGTCCTCCGTAATCCCTGATCCTGGTCGGTTGTCATTTTCCGCTGCCAGTGGACGCGCCGGCTCGCCATCGGGTGGCTCAGGGACGAAGCGGGGTGTTGGCCCGGGTGCCATTGCAAAGAAGCCGACACTTGGAACCATTTTCAAGAACTCCCTGGCGAGTCTCATGGACACCATTGGCATGACAAATGCCCATTACATCCGTTGCATCAAGCCCAACGAACAGAAGAGGGCCTGGGAGTTCGCCCCTCAGCAGGTTCTGAGCCAGTTGCGTGCTTGTGGTGTTTTGGAAACCATCCGTATCAGCTGTGCTGGATACCCAAGTCGGTGGACATACGAAGAGTTCGCTGAACGGTACGCAATTTATCGTATCATCTTGGCTCAGCTGGCTTATTATTTCATTAAGGTATTATATGCTCCTTCATTCTTCGAAATGGCGCCTAGCTCCAGACACCACGACCTTATGTAACGAAATTCTTAGAGCTACTATCCCGGACTCAGACAAGTTCCAGTCAGGGTTGACGAAGATTTTCTTCCGGGCGGGTATGCTTGCTGCACTTGAGTCGTTGCGATCGAAGCGTCTCGCCGAGCTTGTCACCTTGATTCAGAAGAATGTGAAACGACGCCTTGCCCAACAAAGGTATCAACTGATGAGAAGATCTGCAATTAAGATCCAGACTTGGTGGCGAGGTATTCTCGCTCGGCGGTTCGTGCTTACTGTTCGCAAAGAGGCTGCTGCTCTCCGGTTTCAATGCGCAGCGAGGGCTTTCATCCAGAGGCAGAGATTTGTGTCGGTTCGGCGTTCTGTTATCAAGCTGCAAAGCCGTAGGTATTTTGACACCTGCCATATATTTCCACCACTGACATGACGTCTCATCAGATATCCGTGGCTCCCGGGAGAGGGCTCGGGTGCAGGCAGAGCGAATTACGCGAGCCGCAACGCTCCTACAGTCTCTGTTCCGTGGGGTGTAAGTGTTATGCGGTGATCATGGTTAATTCTTACTCAACCTGCGACTGGCGACCTAGTCTTACTAGAAGGTCTTACCGTTCAGATGTGAAGCATGTCATCTGGATGCAGTCCTGCATACGCCGTCGTTACGCTCGCCGTGAACTTAAAGCACTGAGAGCGGAAGCACGGTCAGCATCCAAGTTCAAGGAGATATCTTACAAGCTCGAAAACAAAGTCGTTGAGCTCACTCAAGTATTGCAAACCCGCACAAACGAGAAGAAGGAGCTTTCATCACGCCTTGTCGAGCTTGAGCGCCAGTTGCAGACCTGGATGAACAAGCACGAGGAGATGGACAATAAGGCTAAACAGCTTCAGAACGAGATCCAGACTGCGCACGTACCGAAGTCACAGTTTGAGGAGCTTTTGGCGGCCAAGCAGGGTCTAGATGCACGCCTGGGGGAGTCCACTCAGAAGATTGCCAGCCAGGAAGAAGAAATCAAGAATCTCACAGCGGAACTGGAGCGTCAAGTACAAGAGATGGAACAGAAGTCGAAGGCGGCAGCGGAGGAGATGGCGGCAGCTGTAAAAGCAGCGGAGAAAGGGCCATCTTATGCTTCACTCAAAGCCGAGCTTATGCAGCTACGAGACCAACTCAACCGCTCGAACGCGCTCAATGCGCTCACGAAATCCGCTCGCGAACCCACCTCACCAGGCTTGAAGACTTTCGACACTCAGCAGAACGTGCTTATTACCCCCACCTCAGCTAATGGATTTGTTGGGAGACATCAAAGGCGCCACAGTTCCGCGGCTGCGTACGGGAGCTCTCAAGATGCTGCCTTCCGCGAGGCGCCAGACGTTCCTGTCGGGTTCTCGCGAAGCCAGAATCCAAAGGCTGTGTCTATCGCCTTTAACGGTGTTGATGGTCTTCGAGGCTTCCGGCCCAATGGATTGGGTCGTATTTTTGACGATCCAGCTGAGGAGAGAGTGAAGCTGCTGGACGATGCTCAGCATCTTGACGAGGATGTCCTTGATGGTCTGATCAGAGGCCTCAAGATTCCCACCCTCAACCTTTCGAATCCACCCTCCATCAAAGAGGTTCTCTTTCCTGCGAATCTCATTGCCCTTGTCACCAATGAAATGTGGAAGTTTGGCCTCATCCCTGAAAGTGAACGGTTCCTGGCCAATGTGATGCAAACCATTCAAGCGCACGTTATGGTTAGTGATTTGGACTTCAGTTCGTGCTGCTCGCAACTGACATTTGCTTGCAGTCTTTCAACCGGGAGGATGCTATTATGCCAGGGATCTTCTGGCTATCAAATGTTCATGAGCTGCTTTCTTTCATCTGTATGGCTGAGAACGACATGCTTCAAGGGATCGGTCCTGGTGGCGAAGTCCATGGGCGCGAGTTTGACTGGGCGGACTATGAACGTCTGGTTTCTATCGTCAAGCACGATTTGGACAGCTTAGAGTACAACATCTATCACACTTGGATGCTCGAGACCAAAAGACAACTATCCAAGATGGTCATCCCTGCTCTTATTGAGAGTCAATCGCTGCCAGGTTTCACTACCAACGATGGGGGAGGCAGGCTATTTGGCCGTCTGATAAACACTAACACTACTCCCGCATACAGCATGGATGATCTACTGAATCTTCTCAACAAGTTTGGAGAGCTCTGAAGTGCTTCTTCGTGGAAGAGTCTGTCGTTCAGCAGGTTGTTGTTGAACTGCTGAGACTGATTGGCGTCACGAGCTTCAACGATCTCCTGATGCGTCGCAACTTTTGTTCCTGGAAGAGGGGTGCGTTGCAGCATATTTTGCATGCCGAGATTTCTGGCTTACATGCATCATTTCAGCGATGCAAATTCAATACAATATCACTCGCATCGAAGAATGGTGCAAGTCGCATGACATGCCCGAGGGCACTCTCCAACTGGAGCATTTGATGCAGGCCACTAAATTACTGCAGTTGAAAAAGGTATATTGAATGCTGGCATGCCTGAGGACACAGCTGACAAGCAATTCAGTCGTCTTCGGCGGATATTCAGATTATATATGATGTTTGCTGGATCCTTACCCCTCTCCAAATCCAGCGAATGTGCAGCAATTACTACGTCGCGGATTATGAGGTATGTTTATTTTTCCATCAATTCCTCAATTGGCTCACCTCGTCCTTTCTAGCATCCCATATCTCCCGAAATCCTCAAAGTTGTCGCGTCTCGAGTCATTCCCAACGACAAGACTGACCACCTATTGCTCTCGCCAGAAACAGAAGACGTTGGTCCATACGAGATCCCTCTCCCCCGTGAAATTGCCGGCCTTGAAACATATGTGCCTGCGTACCTTAACGTTCCTCACATTCGACGTCTTGCCAGTCTGGTAGAGTGAGGCATTTCTTTCTACTTTGTAATCTTTGGTTTTGCTGCGTCCTACCTTACGTAATATTCTCTTTCCCCGTATTGGTCTATAATGCATTGTTATTATTTCTTTTGCTGGCAACTTATTACTGAGGTCTGTACCCTCAAACAATCATAAGCAGGACGGCTGGGCACGAGCCTGTTACTGAGGATCTGGCCTGACTCTATTGCCCGCTTCCGGAAGCAAGTTTAACACGCGTCTCTATCCATCGACCCCGATCAGAGTTGTACATGATGCCAGAGTAAGTCTTTTTGCACATGGAAAACGCGTTATTCTCTCTAAGGAGAAGCATGATAGCTTCGTCCCGGCTGAAGGCTTTAATGCCAGCAATGAACGCGACTGGGCCGCTACTCTTGGTGAGAAGTGTTGAGCGTGATTCCGTGAATAGACCTTTTCACTGTCGTTCTGGGCAACCCAGGTATGCTTGACTGGGATAAGACCTCTGTTGTCTTCACCAAGCGTGAACTCGTTGATTTCCTTCGGTATTTTGTCTGTGGTTTGTGCCAGACTTCATCTCACCGCCTGGGCTGTAGCCACATGGGAGTGACCGTTGATACGGACTGGAGGAACGTCTCAAAGCTTCCCAGTGCGTTTTTTACTGTTCATACTCGGTCAAAATGGCTAACCACACGTAGAATATGCTTCGATCGGGAGGTTTAATGGTTTCTTGTCAGCAGAGAACAAAGAAACATGTACGCCCATGTTACGACCGGCGTGTATTTCGCCTGCTAAACAGTGAATTGTGCCGTGCTGTAGCATCTGCCTCCGCTCCTTCTGCTGCTATCCCACCACCTGTTCAGGCTGCTGGAGGCTTCAAACCCTCACGTCGTGTCCGTGTGAGTCCAGATCCCCGTTCACTGGTTGGTGACAGTATTAACATATTTAAGAGACCGTTCCTGGTGGCCCTTCTACAATCAATAAATTGTTCGGAGAGGATGACGAGTCTTCAACTTTCCCCCCACCTAAGGTAGCATCGGTATGTGTTTTGACCAAACTGCGCCCCATCTCCGCACTTCGACTCTCGATCACAGCCTCCCGCCACAGCCACCGAGCCTCCAACTTCTGATGAGCTAGAGAAGAACCTTGACGAACTATCGTTAGAGGAAACCGAGAGGCAAGCCGCTTTCAAAACCGCTTTTAAGCCCAGTAGGCGTGTCCGAGAGATACCAGGAGGACAGGACACCATTTCCCAGTTGTTCGCCGGTGAAGACGAAGGGGTGACGGGAAGCACAAGACCATCCCGTCGTGTTAGAACTGCCCCTGGTGGGGAGTCGAGCGGGGTATGCCTTTCATAACTGTGTTCCCATCATTTACGTTAATTGGTTGTTGATAGATTTTCGACTGAATTCTCATCCCTGCTGCGCCTCTTCGGGTCATCCGACTGTCATCCGCTGTTTGAAATGTCAGTCATCACATCAGACATGAATACTACGGGGCTTTGTGCCTCAGCCATGAAGAAATGTGTTGCCTGTTCTCTGACCCTCAGAATTGAGAGCCTCTGATCCAGCACTTGGGTCTGCCCCTTGCCAGAGGGATGGGTGTGCGTAAGGATCGCCTTAATATTTATGTTACGTCGACTTAGCACTGGTCAGTGGTGGGTGCGTTACACGCATCTGTATTAATATCCTGCATGGGAATTTAGCAACAACCGAAGCAGGCATCAAAAATTACACCGCCCCCTACACAGGGCATCGAAGTAAGATCCTGGCGGAGTTCCATGTAGGATTAGGGGATGTGACTTAGTTTAGTGCTAAGAGGCTGGTCACCTGCCTAGTTAGTACACCGCGAGAAGCCTGGTAAACCGTGGACGCATAGGTACGGTTTAATATGAAGTGGAGGAGACAAAATATAATGGGTGCTAATTGCCACATTGAAACCAAATAGTCATCTACTGGAGGGCCTCGAACGTCGAGGGCGTTTAAGACACCCTTTTGAGGCAGTGACTTGACTCTCGTTACATAAGCGGACATTCCCTTTTCAGGAACCCACGAAAAGTTGGTCGTCACGCAGGACAATGGCGTCCCTCTTTGGACGGAAGAGGGCAAGCCGACCTCGTACCAGCTCGATCTCCGGGTCAAGTGAGCTGGACCAGAGGTCTGTTCCATATAATCAACTCCCAGCGGGTGGTTTACCCCCAGCAACCATGTCCCAAGGGACGCGCAGTGGCATACCTTCTGGCAGTTATATATCTGCCCCCATGACTAATCCGACCCTAACATCTGAAGGCGTTGATATGAATCTGCATGCACGACCGCGTGACCGTACACCACGATCTCCAGAGAAAGAGCTCGATGCTGTAGACACTTCATCCGTTCGGCCTTCCAGAACTCACCCATCCTATGATTCTCGGAGTGTTATTGGCAGCGATTCTGGCTATTCACTCAACGGAAGCATGGGACAGATGCGTCGTCTGTTGTTTCCGGTTCTGCGTCTTCCTCCTATCTTCGCAGCCCTCTGTCAAGTACGAATGGACTGCCAACTCCCCCTCTCCCGGAATTTGGGAATTATAGCAATACCACCATCTCGCGGCCATCCTCTTCAACACGGCCATCCTCAACTGCTACGGTCAAGAGTGATGGCGGCCATCGTGAACGCATTTCGAAATACGCGAATTCGATACAGTCTGGACTTCAAGCATTTAGTGCCGAACATCACTTGCACATGTCCAATTCGGATGAGTTTAATTTTCCTCGCCCCGAGGATCCAGCAGATATCGAAGCATACTTCGCGCATGTCAAAGCGACACGTCAAATGCCGGACTCTTACAACCCCGATATCAATCAGAAATGGATGATTGTTCGCAATCATGAACAGTTGCGATGGCAAGAGGAAAGGGAACAATACGTGCAGGCGAAACGGCAGACTGCGCAAGGACAGAATCCGATTGGAGTGTATGCAAAAGACTCTCCTGAATGGTATCTGAAAAAGTTCATGGACATGACCATTACTGCGAAGCAGGTCTCTGGTCTCGGCATCAATTTGCGGACTCTTCCTATTTCGTGGGTCGGGCTGAATCTCGGTCTGGCTCTCTTCTGAATCCCCCATCTTAACAGGTGGATGCAGAAGTTTGTCGATTTGCAGGGGGTGTCCGTGCTTGCCACGGCATTAAATACAATCAACCGGAAAGGCAGCAACCGAAAGGAGGCTGACATACAACTAGAGCACGAGATACTGAAATGTTTTCGTACTTTGGTTGGACAGGGGGTGCGTTCTGTTGACCTCAAATCCTTACTTAATTCGGTGATTAATTTTGCAATGTTTACCAACTTTCTAGCCTGGTGCAGTCGACCTGATAGCTCATAACTTAGCCATTGATCACGTTGCTTGCTCCCTAAGCACCATTCACATTCCTACACGAAAGCTGGTGCTTGAGATTCTAACGTACCTATGCTATTACCACGAGTCCACCGCACTTGACGACGTTTTAAGCGCACTTGACGCCCTAAGTCAGGCCAATAATCATCCCGGTCGATATGATTATTGGTTTAAGACGTTGACCGCCACCCTCAGTGGCCGCGGGAAAATGGGCAGCCTCGTTGGTGCCAGCGACGAAGTCCGCCGTAACGTCGGTGTAGAGAATAACCTCAACGACTATGCGGTGAGTCCCAGGTTTGGTAATTTGGCCCGCGTCAACCGCCTCATTCCCTATTGAAGCAAGCCAATATCATGCTGGTGGTCGGCATCCTTCAACAAACTGATGATTTTGAGATGCGGATTCACCACCGTTCCCAAATGGAGGCTGCCGGCATAAATCATATCTTGGACATGTGCAAGGAGTTCTATTTCAACGGCCTCGACACTCAACTGGAAAAGTACGAAGAATTACTGGAGGAAGACCATAAACAAGTTGTGCAAAACTTCAACCAAGAGATACTAAGAGATATGACGGACCCATATGATGTTTACCGAGCGATTATGTCCAGCATAGAGGGAACTGATGCCTTTAGGTACTTCTTGTCCGCTATGCAGCACCTGCTCTTGGTGCGGGCAGATGATGAGATCAAGACACATTATTACCAGCTTATCGACTCTTTGGTAACATCGGTCGTGCTCGACAAGAAGCGCTCGTTCGCTGGCGGTCTCACCAACGCCATCGGCTTATCAGTTGAGCAGCTAGTAGCTCAATTCGGGGACCAGGAACGTGCTCAACAGGCAGAGAAAGAAGCTACCGACCTCCGAGTCCAGTTTGGACGTCTGAAGGCCGAGAAAGAGACTCTAGAAGAGGAGCTTGCTGCAGTGGACGAGGGCCTTGTCGGCATCCTGAAGGGCAAACTCGTTGCGACTGAAGACAAACTTCGCATTTCGCGTGAGACGACTGAAGCTCTTCAGGCCCAGGTTGCTGACCTCCAACGGGGCCACAAGGAAGAGGTGTTACAATTGGAGCTACAGATCTCAGAGCTATTCAAAATGCTCAGAGAATCCCGCGGTATCGCTTCAACCCTGCAGTCGAATGAAGGCATGGATAGGAAAGAGCTCATTTATACATTGTCAAAGCAGATGGAGCGCAAGAAGACCATCGGTATCTTGGAAGGTCGCCGCGGCAGAGATTCCCTCCTCGATTCTGACAGTGACGATAATGACGGTGCTGCTCGGCCTCACGATGCTACCGAACGGCGTAGAACAGCAGCTACGCGGCGCAAGGTGCAAGTCGGGCTGAGTGGCATGAACACGGAGAATCGCATTTCGCAATTCGCGGACGCTGACGAAGAGAATGTCAGAGAGCACATTGAAGAGAGCTTGGCCGCTGGCGTCGAGTTGATGGCACGTCTATTCGTCTTGTTGGCCTTTTTTCATGCACTTTGTTAACTCAGATTCCCCCTAGTCCCCACCATTGGCCGCTGCGTCCCATTCTCGCAGTGTTCGTACCCAGAACGGTTCACCTCGGAGAGTGGGAGGTCCTCGCACCAAGGCGCCTAATGGGCTCTTGAATGCACTGCATTCTCATCGCTCGGCATCAAGTGGCAGTATCTCAATTCGCGACGAGCGCGATTTTGACAGCGAGTACGGTGTTTCCAGAGAAAGTGCTTTGACCACTAGCGATGACACGGCTCCTACCTCCCTCAGCTCTGTTGACGACTCTGGGCAAAACGATGGCCTGCCAACTGCCCAAACCCACTGCAGCAAATTCTAGCAAAGAAGTTATTAAACGTGAGTGGGGGCTCGTCCTTAGAGCCGACTGGTGAACCTACTCCTCAACCTGGACCCGAAAGGAACGCCACATCATCTGCATTGGGTGATGAGTCCCCCGCACCCCCGCCGCCTCCGCCTCCGCCTCCGCCACCACCGCCACCACCGCCACCACCACCACCACCACCGCCCGCCCCGCCGCCCTCTTCGAGTCAGTCTGGTGCTTCACCATCAATCTTATCTCCGCCCCGCCCCGCCCCCACCCCCGCCTCCGCCGGTAGGTTTCTCGTCGCCTGTGCCATCATCCATCGGCTCGCCGGCACTCCCATTTCCTATGTCAGCGAAGATGCGAGCGCTTGTCTCATCTAACTCCACCCCAACATCTCAAAGATCCTCTACATCAACATCCCTCTTTGCTGGTATATCGAACGCTCGTAAGGATGTTCCCATTACCACGCACACCCGTATGAAGCAGCTTCAATGGGATAAGCTTCCTCAGCAGCAGGTCACGAAAACTCTTTGGAGTGCCACAGAGTCAGCAGAGAGAGAAAAGGAATGGGCTAATAAGTTACAACTTGATGGTGTTTGGAGAGAGATGGAGGATGGCTTTAGAGCCAAGCAATTGGTAGCAACCCTTGTCGGTGAGTAAGCGGAGAAATATCTCACCTGAATGCCTATCTGAATCAGACCAGCTGCCAGACAACGGGCGGAACTTAAGAGTGTACTGGACCCTAACACAAAGAAGCGAGTCGGTATGTCCGAATGGTCAAACTTCTCCGAAGAGCTAAGCTAATTTCTACTTCCTTTCGCACTTAGAAATCATCATGCAACGTGTGAAGAGACTCAGTCCTGAGGAAATCGCTCTGCGTATAATCCAGTGCGACCAAGAGGTCTGCGACGAGCACTTCTTGCGGGAATTGGTCCATGTTCTCCCTTCGCCCGAACAAGTGAGTACCCTGCTTTTCGCCAAGGCCCCTGGCTTAGGTTCCTTTCCAGGTCGGCAAGCTCAATGTCTACCGGAATGCTGCACCAGAAGAACTCGCCGAGCTCCATCTCTCGGATAGACTGATGGTTCAATTGATTAAAATCGAACGACTTGGTCCCCGGATTGAGGGCATGGCCTACCGGGCGAAGTTTGACGAGTCGTATTGTATCCTGGAGGATGTGGGTACATTGGTGCAAACTACATGACATCCCCGCTGACAGCCAGTTACAGTCTTCCAAAAAATTGATTGAAGGTGGCCGCACTCTCCTTAGCGCCAATCACTTCAAGGAGCTGATGAGCGTAAGTAGTGGTAACGTACTCTAGACCAGACTGGGTGTGACGCACTTTACTCTTGCAGCTCATTCTCCTTATCGGCAATTTCATGAACGGCGCAGGCGTGAAAGGAGGTGCATTTGGTTTCCGGGTTAGTAGTATAAACAAGGTACGGGAGCTTCTGACACTTGGGTGCATTTGACTCATTGCTGTGAAGCTCGTGGATACCAAATCTGTGAACAATACGACACTCTTACATTTCCTGGAACGAACGGTGGCGAAACATTTCCCAGACATGGAGGAATTTTTAGACGAACTAGACCCTCCCGCCGAAGCCCACCGAGGTCAGAATCTAATCCTACGCATGTGGTGTCGACCCAAGCATGAATTGATACCCGCTTTTTAGTCAACCTCCTGGAAGTGCGGAAAGGCCTCACTGAACTTCGAGATGGACTGAAGCGCATAAAGCTTGAACTTACAGAACACTTTTCGGATGTTGAAGCCTTGCCTCCGGAGGACCGATATGCGAAAAAGATGTTCCGTTTTGCTTCGGAGGCAAGCGACCGCCTTGCTGATTTGGTCGACAGCGTCACACTGGCGGATGCCACGTTCAACGAAGTCCTCAAGTACTATGGTGAAGATGACCGAATGATGGCTTCGACAGAATTCTATGGCATCTTCAAAACTTTCGTGACTTCGTATAAGGTAAGTTGCCATCGCCGGACAGCCTCACCGATGTTCTTTAAGTTAACTTTTGGGACAGAAATGTAAATCAGAGAACGTTTCTTGGGCTGAAGAGCGCGCTCAAATGGATAAGCGCAAACAGGCCAAAGAGGAGGCTCGCAACGCTCGAGATGAGACAAGCAAGAACAAGGTCTCTACAGAGACGCCCCGCGAAGACATGGATACGCTCCTGGCCAAACTTCGCGCTGGCGATAATGTCGGACGCAAGACCCGGAACCGTACCAAAGTCACAACATCCTCTAAATCACGATCCTCCATCACTGCCGTTCCAGAAACAACAGAAGGCGAGATCACGAATAGTGATGCTGCTGATATGGCCAAGAATATGCTAGCGGCACTGAAGAAGGATGGGTCCAACAATTCTGCGCCATCTCCTTTGTCTACTTCACTAAGTATGACTTCAACATATACGTCGCGAAGAAATCGATTGCGTGCAAGTATACGTGCTTCCGGGCCCGTACCGCTTGCTACTGCGGCACTCGAGTCAACCCCTGAAGCGGAGCCGACGATACAAGAGGATGGGTCGGATGTGAATGCAAACACCGATATAGAAGCTCATCATGAAGATGACGGCGACGATGAGACACAATATCAAGCCTCTCCTACAGTCCGTGTGACGCAGCTCACATCGCCTCCACCACCCCCAGACAAGGACGAGCCTGTGTCGTCCTAAGTATCAACGGAGTACGTGTCCAACTCGACGCAGCTTAAAAGAAACCAGTTCATTACTATGCCTCAAGTTTCCCGAAAGCCGTGCTGTCTTGAATTCGTCGTGTACAATCCTCATGCTCTCTTACTGTTCATTATGTTATGCTTCACTTGCTTTCAGTTGACCCAGTTAACTTATGTATTGTATTTTATTCAGCACGAGACGCCCTGTAATTCGTCCAAGACAAGCTTGTACTCGACTAGCTTATTATAATCTTGTGCACCAGTCGTGAACTCGCTACTCCTACGCGCATATCATCGAGTGCGCGATAGAGGCTTGAGTAAAATCAAGGATGCCCAAGGAGCTATCAAGCTGTTAACTTATTGATGCGATACATAATACTACTCGCGATCGCTTCCCCAGATTAATAGAAATCAAACGTGTCACAATGAAGCCAACGTGTCATATGCATTACGATGATCGGCCATCGGTGGCCCATTCAATGAAGACCGAGAACTTCACGTTCGTCAATCACCTGGAACCGGCACCAGCACCGGCGTTGTAGGTCCTTCCGGCGAAAGCAGAACGAACGGTCGTGCCGGGCTTCTTTGGTCATCCAACACCCATTTCCAACCAGAAGCGGTGCGGTTGTTCCACAAATTATATTCCTACTTGGTCAGGGCTCAGCTAGCAAAACGGCTCACACCGAACGACAAACCGGATCGAGGATTCCGCGCGCATATATGGTCACATATATCATCAACCAAATACAGCCATCCAACGTTTGTTTCTCGTGTACATAAGCACCCAACCACCACGCAGTCGGACTTGTTACCGATCACCCACGATATGAATCATAAAGGGGGCTGCATGGTATCGCAACTTGGTTATTCCTCGAGCTGAGACATACGTTGGAAATCGGATCGGGAATGCCGCTCAATTATAGAGTAACAAAGTGCATGTGCGCAGAGATGGCTTGAGGGTAGCTAGTATAGCGCACAGTAGTCGCAAGGGATACTAACAACTGACGTGATATGGCGAAGGCCTTCGTCAATGGCGGGATCCGTGACAAGATCGAGCGAGACCGTGAGAGTTGGGTTGCCGCCAGTTGCACTGCCCATGCATATACAATGCGACTTTGCCACGCCATCCACAGCAAAGATGCGCAAAATGACGCGCTGGGGGCACTGTATCGCGTTTGAGGGGCTAGGTGGCCGATGACTCCTGAAGGTGATTATGGGGACCGGAACTTGCCAATCCCGGTTCAGGCTAGGGTATAAATCCTCCCCGATAACACCCCTCTTTGTTCTTTAAGCATCCCTAAGGGATCCCTTCTTCGCCCAACTGAGCACCATAGACACGTATTTACTCCATCCATGTCTTCTACCCACATTTCTACGCCGACGGACGCATTGACTGCGAAGAACACCGGCACCCAGGCCACCGAGGCTCCTGTCTTCCCACTCCCTACTACCCCCAGTTCGATGTGAAAGACCGGAGAGAATACGAGCATGCACGCCAGCGCGCTCTCAAACCCTCCGATCGTGTGATCAAGCGTATCTTCAAGCTTCCCAAACGCCCAGAGGGCAACATTGGGCGCGGAGCGAAGAAACACCTAATCAACACTGGGCATAACGCGATCAGATACGCCCCTAATCCCCGCTGGGACGCATGGATCAAGAAGGTGGACCTCGTGCTGTATGATGATGACGTCGTGGATGATGTGCGCGGTCAGTTGCAGTTCGAACGCGCTGAGGACCGCGCGGTGGCACCTCGCGATCCCGTGCGTGTTAGCCTCGATGACTTAATAAAGTCACCACGTAAGCGGAAAGGTATGTCTACTCGGGCTTCTATCGTGTGTTTTGCACATCATCGACAATGGAGACAGGTATTGCGCACGATTACGAGATTATACCTCAACTGCGACCTGTCATGGTCATGGAGGAAACAATAGCCGATGATAGCTCTTCCTCTGAAGAGGAGCTTGGCTGGGAAATGGTTCCTGCCCTCAATGCCAAATCCGCCGTTCGTCTACTCAAGACGCCGCGTAGTTACGCGTCAGTCGTTTCCTCGTCTCTTGCCGGCGCCAACGTTTCCAATTGAATGGACTTCTCTCTCTCTCAACTCGTCGCCGCTCGTTAGTCCTCCCCCCAAGTTATGCACAACCATAGAACATACGACGAAGACAAATCTATGTAACGACACGATGAATTGTGTGGACTCTCCGTACTGTTCCCTCCTCTCTTTTCTTGTACATCTTGCAACGCACATTCCTTCTGTATCTGTACCTTTTCATATATTGGGTGTCTTGCCTGCCTATGTTAATCTCATTCTTCTATGTTCCAATTTTAAGCGTATGCCACCCCGAAGGGCTCATGTTAATGGGATCCACGTTGTTGGCTGAATTTATGTTGTCCGGCCAAACTACATCTCAACCGAGGATAGAGGCGAGGCTTTAGCTAGTGTGCCTCCTTGGCTTAGTGGTATGAGCGTCGCTCTTGTATAAGATGAGAAGCGAAGGTCCTGTGTTCGATCCACAGAGGGGGCAATTTTTTTTCATGTCTAAATCAACCACGGTAGTAAGCAGGAACAAAATGCGCGATCAAAAGGATTAAGGATTGGCAATACGCCAATAGATTAAGCTGGCTTTTCCTCCTGCAACCGGCCATTCCTGCACCTTCACGTTCCTCCCATGGCTCGTCCCCTTCATATCGAGCAACTGTTTTACTATACACACCCTCAGCGACATCCTCTCTGGGATCAATCCATACTCCGCTGCTGCCTCGTTTGGATCCGAAGTAGGGTTGTAGGTCACCATAAAGTCACGCATGTATGTCGGCTGGGGAAGGTTTGACCGTTTACCGTTGCCGAGCTGGTAAGATCCGTTGGCTCCCCACGCGAGGACGTCATGTGCGCCAGAAAGGAGGGTGAGCGTGTGGCCACCCGTGGGTGAAGCGGTTATCGTTATAGGGCGGATAGCTTGCGTTCGGCCTTCTGTTTCGTTATCTAGGGAAGGGTAAGCGTTAAAATGATTAATTACACAAATGGGAGGCCCTTACGCATTGCATTTCCACTGATTACCTTAACTTTGACTGGTGTGCTCTGTGCTTGGGAGAAGGACCCATTTCCCAGTGCACCCCATTGTCCCATTCCGCAGGCAAAGACGTCCACAGCCGGAACAGGAAGCTGAAGAGAACTGCTTTCGACCGTAAAGTATGCCGCATCGCCTCCTAATAGGCGCCATCAGGTAAGTCAGAAGGATGGGATGCACAGATAAATACCAGCTGCGAGATCGGTGCATTTGATAGAAGTGCCCGAAGAGTATGTCCGAGCTAAAGAAATCTCTGTTGGGACAAATACACAAGGAAGTGTAACAAGTGCTCCCAAACCCAGCTGCCTTGATTGGAAGAAAACACCTCAATGTTATCAAGATAAAAAAACGACGATATGCTCACCCATACTCATTCGCCCCCCACGATAAGACGCGACCATCTTTCGTGCGTACATAACTACTTCTTCCACCTGCAACTGCTTGTGCAACATTGATCCCTCTCAGCGAAGGAATTTCGTACAACAGTCGCGAAGGACGTTTCTCAGGCCCAACAGGAGTGTCGGGGGATTTAGGACGAGCGAAAGGGGTATCATTTGAGAATGGGTCTTCCTGTAATTTAGGGATAAGCTCAACCTGCTCTCTTGGAGACGAGCCACCGACGGTCTCGACGTGTATTTTACGCGTTCCCAGCTGTCCATGGGAGTTTGCATTGAGAGTTATGGGATGGGTAAACGTACGCCCGGCGGAAGTGACGGCAAGGAGATGATTATTGCCAGCGGAGATGGACGTGAATCTGGGCGAATAACTTTAAATTTTGACCGTCTGGGAAGGGGGGGGGAATCAGACCTCACTTTTCTCCCGAGTGGAGCTTGGCATCAGAGGTGAGCTGATATGGCGATGGAGACCAATTCAGTATCCAGTATGTGCTCGTTTGAGCCACGGGAACGGAACCGTCAGATGGCAAGGAGAAAATTCGACCAGAACGGGAGAGAGCGAATATGTTTGAAGGCGAAATAGATAAATGCATTAAATCCTAGAGACAGCGGGCTATATGAGAACCCCAGATTGCACGTTCCGTTCACACCCACTTCGCCCTTCAGTGTGCATCTAGGTGTGTCACCAACAGCATCTCCCCATTGATGTAGATCTCCAGCTGCATCCACTAGCGCCCCGTGAGTATCGTGAAGCGCAACGTCCCGGAATGCATGTCCAGATAAGCGGTCAACTGGCAGAGGAAATTTCAAAGTCTCAGCCAGATGTGGCTAATGATCTTAGGCGAACCCCATCCATGTGCAATGAGTTCTCCAGACTCTAGTACAGCTGGATGGGAGCCAGTTACTCTCAGCTTTGATTCCGCCTTTGGAATGGCCAGCTCGCTCTTCTGGTCATTTGAAATCTTCTGCCGCAGAATAAGGTGGGAGGCCACAGAGCCACTAGCGACAGCGAGCAGGAGTCTTTGGCTGGATAAGAGCCTCGAGAACACGGTCCCCTAAAGGCACCGAACATGATGTTGCCTCAGAGCTCAGAGGGGTTTCAATGACGTCCAGTTCAAGTGTTAGGAGGATTCCCACGCATCCGACCCATTCTCTTTGCATCCGTTTGGGCTTTGTGAACGATGTCAATGCTTGTTCGAACGGCCTATCGTGATGCTACTCGGATATCGTCGAGAATCGTATCGAGACCATTCTCGATGACCACTGCCACTCGTTCTGATCATCTGTTCGTTGTGAGTATGATGCGACTTGCTGGGGACCTTTACTCACGGCCAAAAACCTTCAAACAGCATCGGGATACCACCTATAACAACCCTAAGGTTTGTTGTTCTGATTACTTGGGTTGTCTCGGGGCTGATTGGCTCTTTGTAGATCCCATTTCAGTTCACACCTGAAAACCTACAGCGAGCAAACGAAATAATTGGGCGATACCCATCACAATACAAGAAAGCCGCAGTCATTCCTTTGCTTGACCTCGGGCAGCGCCAGAACAAGGGATGGACTAGCATCAGCGTCATGCAATACGTTGCCAAACTGTTAGAAATACCACCGATGCGTGTTTACGAGGTTGCCACATTCTACACCATGTTCAACCGGTAAATCACCTTTACAGACGTGGCTTACTTTTACTTTGTCCCTTACATCCTCACTCCCTTAGTGAGCCGATTGGGGAGAACTTTGTGCAAGTTTGCACGACGACTCCATGCATGTTGTGTGGGTCGACTGACATTTTGAATACCGTAACTTCGCACTTGGGTGGCATCAAACCTGGCGAAACCACTACGGATGGAAAATTTACTGTCGTTGAAGTCGAATGTCAGGGCGCATGCAGCAATGCACCCATGATAGTTGTAAATGATGATTTCTACGTATGCAGGCTATCGTGTTCATCTCTAAATTCCCGTTATGATGTTCTGCATTCCAGGAGGACCTTACCCCGAGACCACCAAGAAGATTCTGGACGCTTTTGCCGCTGGACAGAAACCAAAACCTGGGCCGCAGAGTGGTCGTCACACCAGCGAGAACTCCTCGGGCTTAACGTCTTTGACTACAAAGGTGTGTCCGCTTTGCCCTTTCCGATCTGGATACCCTTGTAAACCCCATCCTCCCAGCCTTACGGTCCTGGAGAACATTGCCTTCCAGAATTCCAGTAGATTTGTATGATTATCTCTTGGCTAATATGTTAGTGAAGATGAAGCCGCTCTGATGCCAAGGGGGACATCCGCCCTTGCATGGATACAATTTGCGAAAAACACTCACGCCGCCAGCTTCAGGCAACCTCGAGTGTGAAGACTAAGGTCAGGGTCAGGCCATTGCGACTTTGTGCCAAGCAAGGAGGGAAATTTATCTCAGCGAAGGACCCAAACTACATTGCATAAGTAGCTAACACAATGGGAAGCAGATTACTTTCTTTATGAAAACGAGACTCTGTCATCCGTGGTCGAGCAGATAGCAAGGGAAGCATGAGCTTATGTTCATTCAATCTTGGCAACACCCGGAGTGGAGGAGTCCTCAGGCAACTACGCGCGGAAACGTGATAAGTGTGACGTTTAGCGCATAATCGATCGAATAGTTGATGGCTTGAGTTTACAGGATGTAAGTAGCGTGCAGGCACGTACTTGAACTACGAAGCTAATCAGGGGTCCTGCATATGAGACGGACATGGAAGACTGTCTTACACGATAAGAGAACCGAACATTTGTGGTAAAGCGCAAATTGGGGGGGGCAGAAGCGGTAATTACACAAGCACCACCCTCTACATCAGAACGTATTGGGGGTACACACAGTGATTAGGTGAAGCTGAGGTGGAAGGCATAAATTAACGAAGTTGCATGGAAGCCGGACCCATTTCTCATGACAATACGTACGGCTTATACTATACTGTTCGAATTCACCAGGGGTGATGCGGATACCCGGGGAATCGGAGGCAAGAGGGAATAGTAAGTGGAATAGGGAACTACCCAGTTGGTTGAGCTCACAACTACATAGTCGATTTTTTTGGGACGTTTGCTTGAATGTGACCTGTGCCAGGTATATATTGCGCTGCAGTTTGTGTTAGATTGGAAGCATACATAATATAACTTTTGACCCCTGCACATTTTGATTCACAGCTTCCCAGCAGAGGGTGTGACACACTCTGGAATATAGATAGAAAGTACGAACTTTGACCGTCGCAAGTCGGAAATAGTAAAAAGCAAAAAAGAGGTTCCCGATGCCCCGCCGACGCCACCGCCGAAGCGACCCAATAATGGGCCGAAACAAAATTGCACACGACCCTGGTCACTGCGCTGACTTTAATAGATTTTCCCGAGGCTCGGACACCGTCTATCAGCTGCTCTGTTAATATGATCGAAGGCTGCTTCAGCCTATAGTTGACCAGTGCCTGTCAATTTAGCCACACCTCCATCTGAAACTCGAGAGACATAAAACGAATGAACGATTCGGGTTCTTTAGCTGCAGGTGTTGCGTGTCCGCATACTCACAATTCCTTCCCACGCATTGCCATGGACGCATGCATCCGTTAATATAATTGCCTCGATATATGTAGGCGACCACGAAATGGCTCGTCTAGCGCTGCAGCGAATGGCCCCTGATCGAACGTGGAGTGTCCATGATAGTTGTGGGGACCAGGTGATAATGAGCGAGAGTTCGAACGCTTTGCGAACTTTGCCCCCGCTAATTATACGTATTCAATGTTGCTTCAGTATTAATGAGCAACGATGATCAATGGATTTATGCAGCCAAGATGGGCAGCATTGACGTAGACACCTATCGATCACTCATGCGCGCATCGGGTCAATGCTCAGAGCGAAAGGTTTGCAAAAAGAAAGCGACAACGTTAGGTCGTAATATACGTAATACGTTACTGACTATATAAATCATTCAACTTGTAGTGGGGGATGTTGGGACAGGTGTAGGTGTAGGTGTAGGTGTGCGGTTGGGTGTATGTGAGTGAACAATGAACAACACAACATTGAAGACAAAAAATTGAACAAAATAAATCATCCGATGAGAAGTGATTCTCGAAGGCGAACAAGGGTGAGAAGGGAAATTTTTGAAAGAAAAAAAAAACAAGGAATAGATCACATTCACCAATCGTCCCTTTCCGCAAACTTCCGGTTCCGCGTTAACCGTCTGGTGGCTTTGAATGCATCATCGACGCTATCAGGAACAACTTCTGTCCCATAAAGTGTTCCTTTTCCAGGACTCGGGGGCGGCGCATCATCTGCTGTGACGGTCCATGGATCTTCTTCGATGTGAGGAGTCGGTAAATCACTCATCATCTCAACGGGTATCCTGGGGCTCTCCGTCTCTATACTGCTGCTACCTGACGGCTGGCGCGGAGTGCCGTATCCAAAGGGAGGTAATAATCCTCCAGGCATGTCTTGTCCTTCAACCGATGATAAGCCAAGACTACGATTGAAGCGACTCGGAGGCTCGTAGACGGGGAAAGCGGGGGACGTATCCCCCGGATTTCGAGCACTTGAGTCTATCCGCTCGAGAAAGGTAGCGGGTGGTTGCAGGTTGCCTATCCCTGAAACACCATATTCACCGTCCCTGGCTCTCGAAGACACCGGTCTGGGGGTGGCAGGGACATCCTTTGCACTAGATGATGAAGTCCTTTCCTTTGCCGTTCTTGATTTGGATGGTGAAGTCAAAGGAAGAGTGTTCCCTACGATCTCTTTGCCCTTGCCCTTTCCCCTTCGGGGGCTGTCTGTAGTCGGACTCCCTGTTGTCCCCGGGAGCTTACGAAGGAGCGAAGTCGGAGCCGCGCCACGGGGACTCTCAGGGGGAAGTATTTGTCGTCGGGCACTTCGGGTCAGTGGAGGGGTCCGCGGTGCAAGCTCATGAATTGCTGGCACTGGCGCGATAGGCGACGGAGGTACTACCGCCGCTCCTGTCTCTGCGACGGCGTTTTCGAGAAGGGCAGCCGTTGTGTCAAATGAAGGCATCCTATGTTTGAGTCGCTTGGACACCCGCGGGGACTCGAGCTCCGCTGACGAGACACGTTTCCTTCCGGGACCGGGTTGTATCAGAGGGGTGTCATCACGGAGAGAGGGGTGGAGGAGTTCAGAAGGATCGAGACCAACAATGCTTCCATCCTTTGAACTACCAGCGCCGGGTGTGGACAAGAGAGTAGGATTGGGGTCGCCATGGTCGAGTTCCTCAAGGGTAGCGATTCTTTTCGAAAGCGAATCTATTTGTGCGGCTGTCCTCTCACGTTCGACCTCAAGTTGTCGCTGCATTTCAGCTTCGTTTCCAGATGGCGTTAGTTTTTGTATTCGCAAATCGATGAGCTTCGAAACTTCATCCATTATTCGTGATCTGCCGGTGACAATGTCATCCTTGACACCCATCAAGTCTTTCTCCTGAGATGAGAGAGTGGAAACCAGCATGTCTCTTGAGGTAATGAGTTGGGCTATCTGGAGTTCGATAGAGGCTATTCGTCGAGATATCGCAGTGCTTGTCCTGGAGCCACTGGGTTCTTCTGCTGGTGGGGTTGTGACTTGTGGTCCGGAGATGGGAGCTGGCCTTGTCGTAAGCAGGAGAAGAGCAGAGTGGGTGTATACTTACGTTCTTCCTCCTCCACAACAGCCTCCATTCGTCCATTCCCTTCGACTATATCTACTCGTGAACGTGTCCGGGGCGCGGATCGACTGGAGACAATTCGGGTGACGGCGCGGGCACCGTCCCCTCCGGCTATACGTGGCTTCCCCACTCCGAGACGTTTCTGAGTATCACGGGCTTTCCGCTTTGGTGGTTCCTTCTTGTTCTCTTTCTCAGATTCTACTACCGCGGACTCGGACACGACTGGGGTTGGGGGTGCAGAAGATCGGGCGGCGCTTCCGCTATTGGCACGCGTAGCGCGACTGGGCTTGCGGCTGCGTTGAGTTTGGGCAGGGGGTTCTTCGGTGGCTCGGGGAGTCGGAGGAGAGGATAGGGGTCGAGAACCCACGGGGGGGTTGCTCGTCCGCGTCCGATCGCCGGAAGAAATTAGAGTATGCCTGTCAAGTGCGACAGGGTGAACCACTATCTGGGGAAAGGTTTCAAAGTGGTCAAAACCTACCCTTGAGCAATGTGCGACTCCAAGGATGTGATTAGGGCGTCTGTCTTTAAGTTCGCCTTGAGGTTATTGTCCTGCAGAATGGGGGGTGGGTTTCAGATCGTTGGGAACAAAAATTGACAGAAAAGTCGAACTTTGCACAACTGCTGTAGTTGGGTTCTACTCAACGATTCCAGGTGGATGTCCATGGCAAGGAAGTGGAAGGATGAACAATCCAATTTGCTTCCGGAGTCAGCTAGCTGCAGGGAATGTAAATAAATCAACATACTTCAACCAACAGGCCTTAACGAGTCAACAGATCGCCTACTTGCGGCACGTTCCTGGCAAAAGTAGAGGAGTAGTTACGAAGTCATAGAGGCTGAAGTCCTGCCTAAGGGGTAGTGTCGTACCACGCGCCTCTTGTGACCCACGTTTCGTTATTCATATCCGTCGACACGCTGTTTCACACGGCCAGCTTCTTCAGGCTTGCCATTTTCAATCTCCCAGAAAGCACATTCGAACTGCTGGTTACATACTACTAGCACCCTCTTCTACTCCGATGCAACTACCCCTAGAATCCCATTCCAAATCTCTCATTTGCCTGGAACGAAACACGTTCCCCTGTTTGCCCCTTGCTTCTTCACAGCTCAGGGGACAGCTCCTCATCAATGCACGGGGCCACGCGTTATTGACCTGTTATGGTGCTTGCTTTTAGGGTTCAGTTACTCAAGTCTAAAACGAGTTTGTTGGAGATGACATTCCCGATCAGTTCGCCAACCCTATCAGAGATTATTGCCTTAAGCTGTAGATCCCGTCATGTTAAGTAGTGAATTTGTCCAAATTGCCTCGTCTTATCGAATCTTTGAGATGTGGGCACTTGGATCACATACATATCCGTGGTTACGGCGACAATTCATTTTCGATTGATCGCAGAAAATGTACATACTGGAGATATTTCACTTTGACCACGATGCCAGGTGAGATGCACGGGACGGAACCAAACTGACCGATTCCGTGGCAAGTGGGAGCCCACACACCGCAGCATAGTCTTATTAGGTGCTCGCACCTTCTTCATGTGCCCAGGGCACAGATAAGCCGGTGGAATTGATTACAACGGGCCAATAACATTCATCCATGACTTAGATACTCCGGCGTAAAATCAGTACAAATCCCGGTTGGCTCTAGGGAGCAATGCCAACTTGCAAAAGCGCATTATATCCGTTCCGAACAGAGCAACCCTCATGATCGACACCTTCCCCCTTAACGACAAACAAATAATCTATTCAAAGAACACGTTGAGGAACGGTCATTTGTAAATTATCATTGCTTGGATTGTGATGGAAAGGGGTATTTCCTGGAAAAAAATGAAAAGCTAGCTTTTTTGGATACGTGGATGATCGAACATCGGAGGGGCAAGCCCTAGCTCTGAGAGGCCAAACTAAACAAGTGGTGCGTGTCCCTTGCTATTTGCGGTGTCAGAAGGTGATAGAGCAAAGGCCTACATCCAGAACAAAGGGTGTAGCACTTCGGGGCATTGCCTATTGGTGGGAGTAGACTTCCGACCCAAGCAAATCGATTCAGGCCTATGTCGATGTGAAATACGTGAGAAATTCCGAGTGAGTCCATAGGCAGGAACCATGATACCGTTGATTATCATGGCACGTCTGATCATACTTATCATGTGCACAGCCGCACTTGACCGGAACAACGAGACACGTTTAAGTTATCCCACAAACTAGACCCCTAGGTTTGCATTATGTAGCTCGTTCCCATGCAGATTAAAGAAAGGCACTCGATTTAGTGCTCCGAGCAACACAGAATGGACTTCTACTCGAGAAGCGCTTCATGAATTTCACAAAACGTTAGGAAATCTAAGGCCGAAAGGTATCAATTGTACGTAGCATGCAAGATCATGTGTCTCGCCAGCTCCCTAAGCCGCCGCCCGCGAGTTCCTTCAGCGTGTCGTTCGTTTGTACTTGATCAGAAAGAGCTGCCTCGTGTGGCCCCTGATTGCATGCTCCGTACTGTCTAGGAAAGCGAGTTCCGAGCAATGGAAGGGATGTCGAACCAACTCCCTGAATAGTGATATGCACGTGGAGGGAGGGTGGGAGGGTGGGAGCAAGCAGGACGCTTAAGCTATGGAACAATTCTCCCGCCGGAGTTTCAATAGAACAAGGAAACACCGAAGCAATATGCAATAGGATTTAACCGTATGTGGGGACGATACGGAGTTAGATCGCGAGGTACTATGTGTCATGCTTAGGGGGTCCGCATTCCCCGAGTATAGGCATCATGAGGACTCAATCTGTGGCATCCTCGTGCTTCTCTCTGATTCTCCTGGCCACAACACCGTGCAAGCATTGCAGCGCACAAAGCGACATCACCCCTGGGAACACCTGCAACCGAAAGCAACACAAAAAGCTTCCTGAACGAAGCCCTTAGAATTGACGGTTAGGCGGCCGGGTACTACCCCCTAGCGTGACACTATTTGTTTAGAGGCACGACCTACCAGTATAGGCCACCGAGATGATTAAATCCCGGATATCGCGGTGGTAAATAGACGACACCTGTAAGTACCACTATACTGACCTGCCCATAGAGTGGTAAAGGGATCAACTGGACGGCTACTTGCGTGCCTTCCAAAAGGCCAGCATTGAATCCCTTCATGACAAGCATCACAACAACTTGAGCATGAAAGCGCCATATCATGCCATTCTGAGTAGGCATTTGTCGAGCATATGTATAGGTAACCGCATCAGCGAGCTTCCTCCACCCGGAGATGTTTTGACGGTGGGAAGATCGACAGGGAAAGGCCGGATGTTCTGTTCCCCTGTCTTGCCATGTTGAATGGGAAGTTGTGAAGCTAGAACATAACATATGGAAGTTATTGCCTTCTCTCCAGCAGCATGCATGTGTGCAAGGCCTCCCCCCTTGTTACATGTAAACTACAAATACGCACACATAGAACAGGTCGGTGCCGGAAAATGGATTACTAAAAAAGACATCTCGCAGAACTAACACACCACCACAGCCGATTGAGCGACTGAGAAACACATAGGAGCCCAGAAAAAAGCCAGCTGTGTCAGCCGCAGTTGACGTAAGCCATCCCACAGAAAACCCGAAGCGGGTGGCTTGTTTGGATAGTAGCAAGCAGCTTATCGTCCAACTCACCCCCCAAAAAAAAGTATTAGCTCTTGACAGCCTCAACCACCCTTGAATACGGCGCCTCGTGGTCCTCTCATATCAGTACGGCTGCACGCGTGAGGAGCATGCAGGCAGCTTCTCTCCCGCGACCCTAACGAAATTCGGGAAGGCAACAAAACTCCCAAAGCTTGTGATTGCAAGCTTCGTAGCACAAAACCTCTTCCCCCCAACCTTTCCTAGCAACGCATGATGTTTCTTCGCATAGAAAGCCACGAGGCCTAGTACGAATCATCATCAGACGAGCTTTTTTTTTAAGGCATAGATATATATATCAGACGTTGGGGGGCTATCTGGGCCCCTGATCAATAGAGTAGCAGAAGAAACGGGCGGAAGAGCCCAAGGATCGAATCGACGCTTTCGTGCCCCCCCCCCCCCATACAAGAGTCATCACGTTGATCATCCAAGATGATAAAACAAAATAGGATATATATATATAGTCCAAGCCCGACGAAATCTCTGAACCTTCAGCACAACGGTCAACGAGAGCAATAGAAACCAACTAACGAAACCCACGAAACCATCAAAGTTTCATGCATGCCCGTATGCGGTATTTTAATTCTATGTTTCCCTGAGAATCACTGCTAGCCAGAGAGAGAGAGCAGCGAAAGAAGAACCGAACTGGAAAGAAAGAAAGGGGGGCTTGATGCCATATAACTTGCGACTTTGGAGTAATTCATCGAATGGCCGAAAAAGCTAGTTATCGGTGCTATCCACCTTTTACTTCGAGAAAGAGTCTCTATATATAACACGAGTTTGACCTCCCTGCTAATACAGGTAGATGAAATGGTCACTTTGTCCTGTACGAAAGACCTGTTGCAGCTTAGCCAGCTAAATCCGACTTTTATGGTAATCCCGATGCAGCTGCTGGCTTATAGGCTGGCTGGGTCGGCCGTCGGGCACCAGACATTACGTCGGATCGGACTTACCAAGAAACCTCAGCAACCCAAGAAGAAAAAAAAAAGGCTTCCTTTTTGGAGTGATGACATCGGCCGATAAGACTTTCCGGCCGAAAGCCTCCAGCTTTTTGGTATTTAATGTACCCGTGCACGCAGGTACAGCTTGCCAAGAATTCTGCCAAGCATACCGTACTTCAACCCATCGCTCACGTTATAAACAAGTGCGAACATACCAGGTAAATAACGTACGTACGTCCCATAAGGAAACAAAAGTTCCGGTTTATTTCTGACAAAGCACCAACCCCATATTAACTCGGTGTTCTAGCTTCCCCTCATGTCATCACCGCTATCCACAGGGAACGTCAAGGCGTCGAACCAGTAGCAGCAGTGACACTACCGCTTCTGTTCTACTTCCGCCTCCAAATCAGAAATACCTACACGGTCATCATGAATCGGTCCTCCGTTCCCATACTTGGCGCACAGCTCAAAACTCCTGCGCTTATCTCCTCCCACACCTTTACCGACTTTCTAATACCTTTTCCTCGAATGATCTTTCCGCCACTCCTAACGGTAGTAGTAGTAGTAACAGTACCACGCCACCCACTACTACTACTACCACAAGTGCAACGACCATACCAAACTTGAAAATTCTCGACATTGGCTGCGGTCCTGGAACTATAACGAATGATCTTGCGTCGCTTATCGCTCCTGCGGGAGGCACGATCATCGGTATCGATATTTCGGAAGACATCCTGGAGCAAGCTAGGGAAGATGCGAGGAAGAAAGGGTTGGTGAACGTAACCTATTTAAAGGCGATGTTTTTCATTTGGTTAAGAGGGGAAAGGGCAAGGAGGGTCAACAAGGCAAGGGTGAAGAAGAGGGGATGATGAATTGGGTTTATTCGAAGAAGGGACTACTTTCGACGTCGTTCATGTTCATCAGGTCCTGCAACACGTTCAAGATCCTGTGGGTGCCTTGAAAGAAATCAAACGCGTCACCAAACCAAGGCCAACATTCTCGAAATCAAACTCGGGATCGAACGTTGACAAAACCTTGGCAGCACCGCCATCATCATTGTCACCGTCATTACCATCCTCGTCAGGGGCGGGAGAAGAAGAAAGAGGAGGAGGAGGGATCATTGCAATTCGAGAATCGATATATGATCGATTCATTTGGTATCCTGAATCGAAAGGGATCGAAGAATGGAGTAGGAAATACATCCAAGTGGCCAAATCCATCGGAACCGAACCGAACGCTGGAAAGATGTTACACGTTTGGGCCAGAGAGGCAGGTTTACTACTTCAAGTTGAAGAAGAAGGTGGGGCAAAAGTGGCGAGGGCGGGAGAGGGAGAGGCCGGAACAACATGATATGCAGTGTGAGCAATTGGTGTTATTCGACTGAAGAGGAAGTGAAATGGTGGAGTGGGTTGTGGGCTGATAGAGCGACCAAGTCTAATTTTGCAAAGATTGCGATCGAGAAAGGGTTAGCGAGCATGGAGGAATTGGAAGGGATTAGGAAGGCTTGGTTGGAATTTGGAGAGAGTGAAGATGGTTGGTTCGTTATTCCTAGCGGGGAGATTTTGATCTGGGTTTGAACTATGTAGCATTGAAGAACTTAACTATGATATGACGGGAGCGTTAGAAAAATGAGTACATGGTCTTCAGTCTATGGAACAATCCCCCGGATCCGAATTGTCAGATTTGCACCATTTCCGATTGTCTCTTTAGACAAGGAAAAAAAAAAAGTGCATTGGCGCTTATTGTATACGCCACGTGTCAACTCGCTTGCCAATTTTGAGTTTAAATTGAATCACATTCAAATATGGGTTGGTGAGCTAGCGCCTAAAGTGAAATCCAAAACACGCTTCCAACCATGGCACCACATCATTGGCCATCGAACGTACAATACATCTGTCAGTCACGTTTAGCGAAAGACTTTCCCCATGACGTCCTCGAGCAAATGACTCAGCCTCGTGGGGCTTCTACCCATGGAAACAACCATCAAGCTGCATCGAGTCGGCGAGACGTGGCATCGGCATCCCGGATGAACATTCCTGATAATCGAGACACGCTGCGCGTTTCCACTATTAGACGTAATGATAAGACGACTAGCAGCGCCAAGAATAACAACATAAAACCGAAAACCCAATCCCAGCCGCGCGACACCATCGACGCTGCAACGTCCTCAGCGCAATCAATCCACCATCAACCTACTTGGAGCGGAACTGTCTTCATCCAGCCCATCACCGACCCTTCCCACCCTGCATACAACCAAAAAGGCTTATTCGCTTCTAGAAAGATCAAACCTCATTCGTTCATTTGTGAGTACGCGGGGGAGATACATGTCGATGAGAGAGTTGGATCAAACTATGATTTGTCATTGTTCAAAGCTGTGAAACGCTCGAGAGTTTCAGAGGTGGCCGGCGACGAATGGTGTAGTGCCGGTAAAGGTACAAAGGACGTAATAGGGGCTCGACTGGCGTGAGGACCGGTAACGGTGGAAATGGCGGTGATGACGTTGCAGGCGAAACAGGGGTGGCATTATCCTCGAGTGAAACCGCCACTCAAAATCGTTTTTGGGGAAATGGCAGTAGTGACTCCCAAGACGGTGAATCTGCATTGGCCCCAACGTCACTCGCACGTACAGGGAAACTCACACACTCAAAGCTGTCATGTTCGAAACCCTCAAACCGCTCAAACCGCTCAAACCCTTCGCTGATCACGGCGCATACTCACGAGACCAGCAGGAAACTGATGACAACTAAAGAAGCGCTTCACCCTCTTCGACAGCTTTCGGGCTGCTGCTGAACGTTTCCGCGGATGCTTCCGTTCTTTTAGAATCTACAATAGAATACATCAACGTCGGGATAGATGCCGAGAAGATGGGAAACGAAGCTCGATTCATCAACGATTATCGTGGCGTACCCATATCCTTATCCAGTAGTACTACTAGTGCGAAGAAGATACAAACGATATCGACCCGGCTGGGACCGAATGCGTTCTTTGAGGAAGTTTGGATTGAAGGGATGTTGTGCATGGGTGTTTGGAGCGGGAAAGAAGGGATTAGGAAAGGTGAGGAGATCATAGTTTCGTATGGGAAAGGATGGTGGAGGGCGAGGGAGTAGTTCGGCTTGGAAGAAGCCGGCGGCTGTCAAGGTGGAGGTAATGTGTGCGTTATGTAACGAAAATATGTAGATAGATAGATCCACGAGGGAAGCGCATGGACGCTTCAACAACTCATTTGATTTTGTTTTATTTGTAATACAGATATGATATAGATGTCAACCGCCGGATCCTGCATACATAACTTTGGTGAATCGAGTTATGTATGTAGGCGCTTAAGTAACAACTACTCACTCGACACCCTTCGTTTATCGGGTAGATGTCATCATCACAACCAAAAAAAAAACAGACGAGGCAATGAATTGTCACGACGGCGACGTCGGTCTCATTTATTTAGCATCAATGTCTCCGCGGATAAATTAGCGGGGTCCTTGAGCCCTGACCACTTTGTTAAGTAATTGTCATAGGGCACTCAGCGGAGATACTCAAATGGGGAAAGATCTCTCTCTCTCCATAACTTTGTAACCGCGCAGCGCCTAAGGCAATAACAAGATATCAGACAAAAATTGATAAAAGAGATAAGATGCGAATTAAGGCGCTACACGTAGCGCAACAGTGAAACGTGTAAGCACAGTGGTATACTTAATGATATCAGTAACTGATATGAGCACGATATGTGTACCGGCGCGCGTCGTCATGGCTTGTTCATCCCCAGACGAAGAGGTGAAAAGGTAGGCCGAACGAGAAGCAGCCCGCATCAAGCCCGCATTTCCTCATCCGCGTTCAGGGTCTTTTTTTGTTTTTTTTTCTGGCCTATATCACAGACCGCGCGCTTGAGCTACTGGAGTAGTAAATCCCCTCTTTATTCTCCATCTTCCGAGCGAAATCAGATGAAATTTGGACATCAATGATGTAGCAGTACTATCCTAACAACCAGAGAGATGCGTTTTGGGCGCTTGGCTAAACTGAGTCACGCGAGGAATACTAAAAGTATTACCTAAAGCAATCTCGAGAAATCAATTATATTACAATTCATACATAAGTTGCAGATATGAATTCGGTATTGTACATATGTTACATACAATACTTCTCGTTCTTTTTACGTCCTAAGCTTCGTCCGTGGCAAAAAAATAAATAAAACCCCTCGTTCTCCAATCCCTTTCTTTTTAGTTATCTCCCTCCTTTCCTTTTTGTAACATTCCTCCTCCTCCTCCTCCTCCTTCCCCCTTCCTTTATAAACCCCTCCATCCCTTGAGGCATTTTTTGCCGTTCATCCTTGTCGTGCATCTCTCCTTGGGCAGCGACGCGTAACTCCCACAGAGCAAACAGTCGAACAGCCGCCTCCCTATCTCATCATGTCTTCCTCCTTATCAGCTCTCAGACGACTTCGCACTGCTCTTATCTTATTCGTCACATCAACATCCCTATTCACATCTACCGCCAGAGCTGATCCGACGCCTGTTCCACCACCTGGACAACCTAGCAGGACGGGACCAGCCAACACCTTCCAAGGTACATAAAAAAATCCATATCCAGTAGACTCATCCCATCTGTTCCATCATCTGTCTCTGTGTGTGTGTGTTCATGAAGATCGACGATAGTACTCATGTCTGAACTCTTGATTCTTTCTGTTTTGAAACATGAACTTTGGTGACGATATGGACCGCGAACTCCGATGATCTCCTGGACTCTCTCTCTCATACCTGATCGGTTCCCGTGGTTTTCGTCGTGTTTCCGGAATAACTTTGAACAACCTTACCCGTTCTTGCACTTGCACCAACCTCCGGTCAGTCATCGGTACCTCGGGTGTCTCTGCGCAGCAACTGTTCCTTGGTACCGCCAATAAGGTTTTTATCTTCCTCATTTGTCGTTTTGTCACAACTCATATTACTTATTATTTCCCCTTTGGACATTTTGCGTCCACCTTTATTTCAAATATCATCTTATTCTCAACAAGGTCTATGTCGTGGACAAGACGGAAGATAACCCCCTCCGAATAAAGAGTCATCCAGCTTGGGGTTCCGAAATCACTCTGAACCCAACTTATTCTGTTCGAGCTATGGACATATACTCCAATACGTTCTGTGCTGGTGGGTCTTCGTTAGGGGATGGAAGGTGGATAAATGTGGGTGGGAACGAGGGTGTGTCATGGGGTGGAGTAGCACCGGGTGTGCAGGGTAACAACCCTGCGGCGTACGGAGGAGCGCCTTATGATGATTATGATGGAGGTGCTGCGTGAGTTGTTGTTTGCCTCTGGTGGTTGATTTTTTTTTTTTTACTTTTTTGACTGAATGTCTTTTGGGGGGGCGTAGGATTCGTTTGTTGATGCCGCGTGATGATGGGACGTGTAATTGGGACGATAATCCGAAGAATTACATGTCCTCCCGCAGGTGGTATCCAACTGTGTAAGCTCCTATTCGCTCATTCATTTATTACGAATCATCTTCCTCCCCCCTTCCTCCCCTTTACCCCTAAATGCTCACATTCTCGTATCAGTGAACCCCTCGAGGATGGAAGCGTCGTCATCATAGGAGGAGATAACATCGGGGGCTATCTCAACTCTGCAGATCAGAATAATCCCACATTAGAATACTGGCCATCGAAGGGTAACGGAACTCCCGTCTATTTACCTATATTAGACGAAACGTTACCAGCGAATTTGTTCCCGTTGACGTGGTTGTTACCCAGTGGGAATTTGTTCATACAGGTTAATTGGGAAACGGAGGTTTATGATTATAAGAATAATGTGGAGCATAGACTTGCGAATATCCCTGCGTGAGTCCAGAGCCTTTTTTTTTTTTTTTTTTTCTATGACTGACGGACGTGATGGTTATATGGTATTTCCCCCCCCCGTCCCCTTTGATATCTCCAAAATGATGAACAACAACAGTGCCGTTCGAACGTACCCCGCCTCTGGAGCAAGTGTTCTCCTACCACTGACGCCAGCCAACAACTACACCGCGACGGTCCTGTTTTGTGGAGGATCGAACGTCGCCGCTGGCCAATGGACGTCGTCGAACTGGATCGTGCCTACGTACCCTGCAAGCACGAGTTGCGTGAAGATCAATCCGGATGACAAGAAACCTGTTTGGGTGAACGATGCGGTGTTGCCGGAAGCGAGGACGATGGGTAATTTCATCCTTTTGCCGGATGGGCGGATCTTGTTGGTGAATGGGGCCAAGCTGGGTGAGTTGTTATTTTTGATTTTTGATTTTGTTTGGGATTTTCTTGGCATCGGTGGCTGAGAGCCCGGGAGTGAGACCATCACGGGACGCGAACGGGCACATGGTAGCCTTTGCGGCGTTCCTGAACACGGTTGCTCTCTTTCTGGTGGCCGCAACTGATGATTCCCCTGCTGCGAACACGGTTGCGCGCTTGGGAACGGTTGTGCTGGTTCTCCTCATCCCTGTGGCCGCGTGTTTTTTTTGGGTGGGTTCGATTTTGCTGAATTCGCGCTTCCGTTATCAGGTACTGCTGGATATGGGAATGATAGCTGGGCTATTGGGCATTCATATGCTGATTCGCCCATTCTGACACCTTTGTACGTCAAAGACCTCCTTTACATATTTCTAATCGGCTAAATTGGACCTATGTATATCCTTCCACCCAATTTTCTTGTGGCGTTCTCGTAGGATTTATGACCCTCATCCGGGTATTCCCACATCCCGGCGATTGTCACGGGCGGGTTTGGGGTCATCCAAAATTCCCCGTATGTACCACTCTACAGCTATCCTATTGACGGATGGGTCTGTCATGATAGCTGGTTCCAATCCTAATCCGGATTATACCGTTGGCAATGGCGTCCAGTATCCTACTGAATACCGTGTCGAGTTGTTTTACCCTTGGTATTTCAACTATACGCGTCCGAACCCTTCTGGGTTGATTGACCAGATCGGATACGGTGGGAATTACTTCGATGTTCAACTCAGCGCTGATGATCTAAAAATCAACGATGGAGGGAACGGTCCATTGTACAGCTTGAACGGTACGAAAGCGATATTGATTCGTACCGGCTTCTCGACCCATGGATTGAACATGGGACAGCGGTACCTTGAGCTCCAAACGAGTTACACGTTGAATTCGGATGGGAGTGGCATTTTACATGTTGCGCAATTTCCACCGTTGCCGACGTTGTTCCCGCCTGGACCTGCGGTGTTGTATATCGTTGTCAATGGGGTGCCGTCCGTGGGCGTGTTGGTTACGGTGGGGAATGGGCAGATTGGGACGCAAACGGTGAACACTGTCACTCCTCTGCCGGGGAACGTCGTTCCGGTGCCGACGACGAGTACTGGCACCTTGACGACTATTGGGCCCAAGTCCACGGGGCGTGTGAAGAGTGGTTCAGGTGGAGCTCTGTCTCTTAGGGGGAGGGTACCGTGGATTATGCAATTTGGTGATGGTGCCAGTGGTGGTGGTGGTGGTGGGATTGTTAGGATAGCGTTCTTCTTTGTCGCCGGGTTGGTTTGGTGCTCGATGATATGATCGATGATGCTCCATGTGAGCATGGGCAAGTTCATTGGTGGGCTTCCAAGGTGGTTGAGATGTTTCGGCCCTTGAAGTCGGTGACATTTAAACCTCGATTCGGATATTCTTTTTTGACCCTGTCGTGGCTTCGCTTCGTCGTGCCGCTCTTCTCCTCGCCAGGCGCGTTCCTTGACCAAATTGGTGGTTCAAGCTTCTTCAGTGTGACTGGCCTGACGTGCTTCACAGGGGCAGGGGGTGGCAGCGTCTCGATTTGTACGGCCTCTGCTTCCGCTCGAACGTTCATCCCCCTCTCTTGCGTCCTTTCCCGTGGATACCAAACCCTCTGTATCTCACGCAGACCCTATCCTATTGGACCATATGTGCCCTCACGTCCATGTCCCGTCCGATGAATCGGTCTGGCTACTCGTATCCGCTCTCTTCTGTAACGATGCCTCTTATCTCTTTCTCACGAACTCTAGCTTCTCTTTCGTACATTTGCTCGGCTTGTAGCTTTCCTCTTGCGCCCTGTCTCCTTTTCTCCTCGTCCTTCGTCATCGTGATACCCTCTCTTCAAGTTGGACTTTGGACTCGTTTTTTTGTCTCTTCCACAGTCAGTTGTATGACTTGGACTCCTAATTTTTTCTTTCTTTCTAATTTCCCCCCCGTATCCATATTTGTTTCTTGTTCCTTACTTCATTTCTTTATCTATTTTTTGCTTTCCTTCATTTCATTTCCGGGTTGTTGTTTACCTCTTTGTTTCCCCCCCCATCTTCATTACTCTCCACACACATCCGTATTCTTACTCTCTAAATCTCCTATCATCTCTGTCTTTTTGTTCCCTTGCCACGTTTTCTCGGGACGCTTTGCCTCCTTTCTAGAAACATTCATCCTTGCACGAACTTGGACTCGCCATCTTCATGATCCATTTGTCATGATTTCTGTCCACTTTGCTCTGTTGATATATAGCTAAACAATGCATTCATTACATTACTACCGGTCCCTATGACGGTGACCGGACTGCATGGGCTATTTTCCGTTTGCACTGCGCTTGGCAGATGCCCTTTGCACGATTCACTACAGAGGTTGTTGTGCGTACGCATTGGTTGCCATCCATAGGCATACATGTGTAGTGCTTTCGGCACCATTTCCATCATCCTACATAGACCAAGGACTCCCGGCTACCTTGAGGATCAATCTACAGCCATCCCAATTGAGCCGTCCTGCCGAGCTAGTGCTTCAACACTGGGTATGGGTCTGCTTGGAACTACGCAGTTTTGCTAGCTAGATTCAGCCGCTAACATGTTGAATCATGTAATTTCGTGCAAATTGCATGCCTACGCACCCCGCTTTTCTGCAGTCATATTCTTTTGGCAATTTTATCAAGTATTTTTTTTATCCAATGAAAAGGCGATAACAACGGGCCCATGCGGTTTTCGTTCGAATTACACAAGGACGTCCTAGAACGTTGATGCTTGGGTCCAGTCACGCACTTGTATTTTTAGGCCCTCATCAAACACGTCCTGAGAACTCTCTGTAGACATAAGGTGCAAATCATTCATCCAAATCGATCGCAGTATAATATGAATTTAACTCCGACGGTCGATCAAATGTTCATAATGGGGGTCGGCAATCCACGTTGAAGCGTGCCACCCCCACGTGACCCACTTTTCCCCGCGAAACCTGGCGAGTCCTTTGATCATCCAACAAAGTGCTCAAACTCTCTCCGATCTCTTGATTATTGTTATTAACGTCAATATATGGTCTCTAGTAATCTAAATGGCCAGTTATTTTGAAAATTACTCTGTGGGATTGTGCTGATCGGCTGTCATCATCTCGCTATCTCCCGCATCCTCCATTTCTCGCCCTCTCCTGCGCTCAATTGCTACCACCAGCTCTCTAACCTTGTCGGCCTTCTTTGGCATGCGACTGCTGAGGGGAACTAATGCATCTTGGAGCCTATATGCGTTTAGCTGAGGCTCCAGCTGCGCGATAGTTGTCTTCGGGTTTCTTGCCCATTCTATGTCGTTGGTGAGTTCAACCGCCTTTAATGCCTCGATTTTAGCGGTGTATTTGAGTTCCTTTATCTGCCTTTTCCTCCTATTTTCTGCAACCTTCGCTATTCCAGCATCTGCAAGCAATTTTCTACGAGCTTTCTCGGATCCCGATGCGCTGATACATCGACCGGCTGTCCGCAAGATCTTGTGTTTTCTTGGCGTAAGCTTTGCTGTGATGAATTCGTCGACATCATTATGACGGATCATTAGTTCTGCGTTGAGAGTATCTAAAGTCTTTGTTGGGTTTTTGGTCAGTGCACTGCGCATTTCTCCTAGAAGTCCCTCATTTGTGTCGTTGGTTGTAGGCATGAAGGCAAGCTCCTTCTCCTCTGGACTCATCAAATCGATCTCAGACCCTTTCATGAGTTCAGCTGAGAACCGTGTAAGGGTGTCAAGTGCCCGTTTGGTGAATGCGATGAATGCGTCACGGAGGTTGGGGAGGTGTGGAGAAAGATGTTGGATGGCCTGAATGGTATCGGGTCTAATCCAATGGTTCCGCTTGTCAAGGTGAGCCATGTTTGGTTCTGCATCTTTACCCAAAACAAGGTCGGGATTAGCTATGAGGGATTGCATGAAGGTAAAAACGTGTTCATGCCATGCTCCCTCATTTAGCATGTTTACTTCCGTTGGCCTTCCCCTCCTAGCGTGTTCCACATATGGGTGAGAGACACAGAGTGAGAATAGAGACATGACTGCAAGTTCCGTGAGCGTAGGAATATCGTTGAGTGCATCATAGAGGTTTGCCTCAATGTTGGTAAATTCTTGTTTGTCCTTTAAGTCCCGGATGTACTCAAGGAAGCTTCGGTACAATGGTGCTCTAGCAATTAGCTCGCTTGCCGCATCCCCATGTGAACAATAGTGAGTGTTGGAGACATCCGGGAAGGGAGGACAATTTTTTCCGAGAGTCCTTTCCATAAAGTGACGGTAGGTATCATGATATCCTTTTTTGTCGTCACGGTGATTTAGTAGGAGACCAGCAAGCATTGTAGCTTTAACCCCTCCAGCATCACGTCCCGAAGATGGCTTTGACTTTGCATCAGTAGAGGCTGATGCTTTATCTTTGTTGAGAAGTGGCCGAGGTGGGGTAAGGTTGTTATTCCTCCAGAAATCATCAAGAGAAGCGCAGCCAGCCTTGAATATATTGAGATCTTTGTGCATGGAACACCCAACCCAGACAAAGTTGAAGATGTCACGGTGTTCGTGATCTGTGAGTTTGTCCGATACTTCGGTACCAAGCTGATGAAGTGACTGAAGCTTGGCCGCTTCAAGACTTTCCTCCCTCTGAGCATCTGATAAGGCCTCCCAAGCGCTGTTCCCACCCACTGCTGCAATGGCAGCAATCTCGTTCCTTGCATTGATGAGATTTCGCTCATGTTCTGAGAACCCCGACCAAGCATTGTGGCCAAGCTTCTGGATACAGTGCTCCGCCTTCTTTGCCTTCATTAGCCGAGCCCTTTTCTTCTGGTCCTCAGCATGGTCAGAATTAATCCCCCTGAGTTTTGTATAAATCGAGGAAATATCCCCCAGAGTATCAGGCTCGGAATTGCAGTGTCCAGTACGCGTCTGTAGGATATCCCGGAGCGCATCTTCAAATCCTTGCACCTGTGCCTCACTACGATGCGATGTTGCAGTTTGCATGGCAACAAATCGGTTCTTCCGGACTTGAGGGGTGGTGATACCCTGCTCCTTGCGCTTGTAATCGGGAACCTTCATCATGATGCTTGTGGCTTCATATTGTGTTTTCCTGTGAGAAGTTCCATCTCCACTCGTAGTAAAGGCTGTCAGAAACTACTTAGAATAGATATGTGTCTGTAATAGTAATATGAGGCAAACCTTCGGTGCGGATGAGTTCTGAAGCTAACTGGAGCTTCCCCGCTTCAAGGGCTTCTAGGACTATTCTTTGTATGGTACGGGGGCTTGGAGGGTTTTTGAGTGGTTTTCCAAGCATTTTGGAGACCTCATATACTGCCTTTCCAACACTCCGGAAGGGAACTCCATCTCGGACCAAGCGACGAATCAGCGTGCGGGCTTCCGGTGTGAATGTACCATTTAAGATCAATGGAGAAGACAACATGTTCTTCATGCATTTTTTTATCTTGCTTATTTGCCGACAATGGGACCGTTTGAGATTTTTGACCTTCTGACGGAGTTTTGCTATCAAGTTGGACTTCTTAGTGCACGTCTTCTGGGCATCCCTGGCGGAAGACTGTGCGATTTCTATCTCCTTTGCATGGATTTTCGACTTCCGGATGAGCTGAGCCTTGATGTCTGCACATTCCTTCTGTAATGCAATATTCTTTTCTGCCCGGATTGCAGTTGACTTTGCTGCACGTTTGATCCTTTTGTTTTGGTTCCATATTTGACATTGTAGGTAGTTCTTCTCTTTGTTCCTCTCCTTGATAATTCCTGAGTATGTTATTGTTGCTTTCTTTTTTGTGCAGGCTTTGGCATTAGAAGGTAATTTGATTGATTCCGTGCCATTGTGTTCCATGATATTAACAATTGATGCAGCTTTTTGATTACGAGAACGGCCATTCCTTTTGACCCGGTTCCGCTGTGAAGCCATGCTACAATAGGATCCCTCATCAGTACCTAACCCCATCCCTTATGGTGTGTGAATGCACTTAAAAGAGCAAAAAGGGCCCACTTTGCGCGCGCGAATTCGGGCTTCGGCAACTGCCGCATGCTCTCGATAACCACAAATCCCGCTGCCCAAATTTCTCCTTCATCTCATAGTGTCTTGACTTTACAGATGAATTGAATATATATTGTATTGGATGTATCTAGGTATCCGTAGGTTTTGTTTTTAAAGTTAATGGCATCTTTCATGTTTTTCACTGTGATTTCTCGCCATATCTCAACAAAGAAGCATATTCAAAACGAAAAAAACCTAAGGTGCACTGGTATGGGTCACCAAGAACACTATTTTGCAATCACTTGAGTTCTATATCTGTTGTGTAGAGAGTCAAATGTCCTGCCGTTCCCAGCTTTATTCGCGATAGACAGCACAGCCACAGGTGGGTGGACGGTCGTCAACCTGAATTGCCGACCCCCATTCATAACGACCAGACTCGTACCCAGTCGTCGTCACTCCGTGGACGCGCCAAAATCAGGTAGCATGGGCAATGTAAATACAGGTTGTAATATAAATTTTTTGATCACATGTTATTTACGGAAATAGACCTTAAACCCGATCATCTACTCCGAAAAGACAAGCGCGACACTTCGTTCCGACGACTGGCACAATTCTGCAGTGGCAGTGCTCCCGGCCATTGCCGAATTCGACGTCGATCTCTGAGAGAGCTCACGGTCATCACATTTGCTTCCTCTTCCATTCTACTACATGAACAAAGGGGTTGAGAATGGTAGTAAATCCCGATCACCTTCTGTAGAAGAGATTAGAGATGCAAGTGAGAAGGATTGGAAGAAACGTGCCTGTATATTTCAAGCAGAAATAGCACACTTCCTCCTTCGGAATCCGAAGCACAATCTTGTGGCAACTGCTGCTACTGGCACCGGAAAGACATACACCTTCTTCCTCCCTGCACGATATGAAGAAGGTGTTACCTTCATCATCGTGCCTCTGAAGAAACTCGGGGAGCAGCACTGTGAAAGTGCCTTGCATTTGGGATTCCCAGCCATCAATCTTGAAGCAAAGACAATCAGCGAAAAAGTAATACGGGTGCGTCACAATGAAAATTGAATTTAGTAAATTACTGATTGCATATAGGATATTGCAGCATTTCCACCTACCTACCGTTTTGTTATCCTTGGTCCTGACCTCCTCAGGGGCGATCTTCTATGCTGACTGTGGAGAAATCCCTCTTTTGTCTCAAGAATCAATCGCTTTATTATCGATGAGGCCCACTGTGCCAGCCAATGGTCATCTTTTCGTCTGTCCTACAAAGAATTGGGCTGGCTCTATGCTTACCTACGTGACCGATGCCAATGGTACCTCACCTCGGCAACATTGGATCCGCCAACTTGCAGCAAGGTCCTGAAAGAGATTGGGTTGGCACCATATTATCGGCTACCTGGGTGTACCTCAACAACATGGATGCGCCGGTCCAACGACCGAGGAAACCTCCATTACTGTGTCAAAAAAATGGTGCATAGCAAGGACTCTTACCTGGACCTTGCTTTCCTGGTTCCTCTGGGCCTGAAGGCAGAAAACCCAATCCCTGTACCATTCCTGGTATATTGTAACTCTCGTGAGGATGCCCGTCTCAGTGCTGAGTATCTGCAATCGCGGGTCAGTAGAGAATTAAGGAAGAAGATAGTGTGGGTGCATTCCAGCATGTCGGATGAGCATAAGATTAGGATCGTTCAACAATTTAATGAGGGAAATTTGATTGGGCTAACGAGTACAGAGACACTCGGGCTTGTGAGTCACATAGCATCAAAATTGGCCTGATACTAACGCAAATGATTATTAGGGTCATGACTTGGTTAATGTGACGAGACTTGTACAGTTCTGCCCACCTGATAATCTTAGCACCCTTACCCAACGCTTTGGCCGTGCAGCTCGAGACCCTTGCATTTCTGCTGTTGTTATCCTGCTTGCTCCAAAGGATTATTTTCAGGACACACACCAAGAACGAGCTGAAAGGGCTCGGAAGGCAGCTGCAACTAAAAAGCACAAGGCAGATCCACTACTCGATGTTACAAATCAAAGTGCGAGGAAGCGACCAAGATGCGCCCCAAAGAAAGATAATCAGTCTCGGTTAGAAGAGGTCATCGAGGAAATGCTCAACTTACACCAAACAGAACCAAACCAACAACCCAGGCCTGATGTGTGGCCATCGAGCGACTTCGACATCCCCGATGACTTGGAAACTGGCCAGTCTCTATCAGATGCCGAAAAAGACAACCCTGAACCAAACAGGGTGGCACTGATGAATGAAGTTGACGTAGTGCACCCTGACATTCCTCCCGACCTGAGTTGGGTTGACGTTGATATGGAGGATGTGGCGCTGGGTGACTTGGAACACCAAATTGCTAGTGAGAAACCAGCATTCTACCTGTAACAAGTATAGGCTAACAGCTCCGAGATCAAGAAGTGGGGCCTGCGACTAGTCGAGCACTCACGGGTGAATATGACCAACCTGACACTATGGATCCCACAGAGATAAAGAAACACAAAACCACCAACACTAGTGTCAGGCATCACATGAATGTAGATCCTGGAATTGATTCTTTCATCAATGCTGAGTTCCTGCAGCGAGATGATCCTCGTTACAACTGTCGACGGAAGGTGCTTAATGACCATTTCGGAAACTGCCTGATCCGTACGTTCAGTTCCATGTCATCACCCCAATCTCTCACGGCTCACCTCTCAGGAACACCTAAGGCATGCTGCAAGCGCTGCGATCTTTTCACCCCTTCAACATGCTGTGACCTACATCACCCAGAAATCACGGCAACAATGTTTGAAGCAGAGCACGGAGAAACAATACCTAAGTTCCGTCCAATGCATGCGAAAGAAGACTATGCCATGGACCCATCCAAATCAAATGCACTAGAGAAGGCCTTGTACAAGTGGAGGGAGCAAGAGTTTGCTCAGCGGTATCCAGACCGTCATGATGATCCATGGACTGGAGATTGGATTGTGCTTCCTGACAATATAATTGTCGACATCATCTACCTCGCGCATGTGAAGAAAATTGCTACTAGCGAGAAGTTCACTCAACTAGTTGACTGGATAGACTCGGGCCGCTATGCTGCTGAGCTCCTTCCCATCATCCATAACATATTTCCTATTTCTCCCATCATCATGCCAAATGGACCAGCTCCTGACACACGCGAGACTACACGGGTGAAGCGTTGTGGGAATTGTCGGAATGTTGGCCACAATGGTAACCTTGTTCCCCTGGAATTGTCGATGCAAGCTAATCCAGGGTTAGTTGCAAGTTGTCGACAACCTTGTTCAACTTGTGGACAAGATGGCCATGTCAGTAAGTGGTCCAAATTCTTTCTTATTCAACGCCACACTACTAATTGAAACAGGTCGCCGTTGCCCACAAAAGCTTTTGCACAAGCAGACCTAAGTCCGAAGGTCATTGGCTTCTACCTCGTACATCTCAACCTCTGTCTGTTCCTCTCTGGGATTGCTGACGGATTTCCAATTGCTTCTTTTCCAATATTCCGCTAATCCCTTCTGGTAATGATCTGTCACCAAACATGCTGCCTTTCTTCCCTTCTTATATTGATGTGGCCGAAATTCCCGAAGTCTCTTTCTTATCGTGTTGAGTCGTGACTGGATGTCTGGGTGGGCATGGCGAAGTGTTTTGTCAGGTATGCGATAGTCATTCTCTGTCTCTTCCAAACATGCACGATAAGCCTTAATAATCGATGATTGGCTGATAATATATCGAATTGTTCTCCCAGATCCAGATCCTGAATACACGACCTGTACCATAGCGTCAATTCCATCAAAAAACAATCAACTTATCTAATGCACCTTCGTGTAAAGGTTCATGAGTTCCACCAACCAGTCAACTGGCCGAAAGCCATCCCTCGTGCCCATTGGATTACATAGCCAGCACTTTAGAATCGCTGTTCGAAGCGGCCGAGGGTACTGCTTGAGTCTGAACGTGAATTCGGAAATATACGATGCATACTTGTGCTTTCCACAAGCAAAGAAGATCGGCACCCAGCAGGACAGTACATCGAGAATAATGTCCATCATGCCATGGTTGATAGCGTGTGCCAGAATTTGGTAATACATGGCATCGCGATTGAAGAGAACTTGATTTTCTCGCTGCTGATCTTTCTCTTGTTGAAAGGTATGTATTCCTTTCGTCTCAAAGCAACTTGACTGGACCAATGCTGCCTGAGATTCGATTTCATCCCAGGTTGGCCCTGACTCCTTATATTTATCCAGATCACCGACACTTTCCGACCATGCATCAAGGATTGCGGTCTGGAGGACATAGCTAATCCCGTCGTTCATCATACGAAAAGGTGGGACCTTCTTGTTCAACTTTGCGATGTCATTTGGGAATAACAAAACAAGCTGCTTGTATAGGCCATAGGGATTCTGCCGCATATCGGGGCTCGAGGAGTGAACCCGGTTGATCGCATCAACGCATGCCATCTTGACATGAAAGAGACCTGGCAAGGGAAGCAAGTAGTGCATGCGTTCCCCTACACTCTCCTCAATGCGCCGTGACCGCAGGATTGTGTCAATCTTTTCCAAGCTACCAAGGTCTCCATGAACCAACACTACATATTTTTTGAAGACTTCAGCATCTCTAATCCCACTCTGTTCAAGCAGGGAGTTCAACGCCTCAATATTGCCATCAGTTGTGGATGCTTTTGCATACATTGCTTCAGCCGTTGAGTATGAGGTCTTCTCTGGTTGCAACCTGAAGTTGGACCGCGGTTCTCCAAGCTTGGACTTAAACTCAGGGAAGTACTCGTTCACCAGCACCGCTTTTATATGCCACTGAAAGTGTTCCTTCAGTCTTCGAATCGATTCCATGTCCGGTAGAATATCCCCACTGGAAACGGGTTTGTCGACTCCTCATTGTTTGGGTGCCGCTCCCAGATATACTCGGCATACTCCAGGTCTTCTGGGAGTACGCCATTATGCATATTTAGGAATAGACCGGTTGTGATGCTTTCGAAGGTCCGATCCTTCAGGTCAGTGGGCTGACCAACAGTGAACTTGAAGTCGCAGTTATCGTACGCGAGGTTGAGGACCTTTGTTGCACCCAACATGCAATTCAACTCCTTCTGGCCCTTAATCAGCGAATCTCTTGCATTAGCGATGGAAGAGGGTGAGACCGAAAGGCCAGTGTGTGCAGCCCATTGACGAATAGATTTGGATGCATTGGATGCGGCGAGGTAGAGTCCATTTCTTACTTGTAGTGCGTTGCATTTCTCATTTGAACTGTGAATCAGTATTGATGCGATAACAACTCCTTTCTAAAGGTTGTAAGTGTGGATCCATGAGAAAGGCAAGAGTCTAAACGTACTATCTCAAACAGATGGAGTGCTTCATTGTGATCATAGGTAATGGGGTGATCCCCTTCGGTTGAGTCACTGTTCTCTGTGGCAGACATGGTCGCCGCGGCCACACTTGCAATGGGGTAGACAACCCGGGTTTTATTGGTCCTGCTGTCGGCATTGAGAAGATGGAGGAGAAGATCCCAAAGCATAGGTGCCTTGGTCTTGTAAATATCCTTCAGGTTCCGCATCCGGGCCACTTCAAATTGCTCCATCTGCATCGCGCTTGCATTCATACGAAGGTTGGTTTCCTTTCTGAGTAGATCACGTATCTCTGCCTCGTAGATATTTCTGGAGCTCCTAAGTATCCATTCTCTGACAATGTCCGCCTCCCGGGATGGTGTAGTAGAGAATAACATTGTGTTTTCAACAGCGCGTATTTCATGGCAAAAGAATACTGATGATATGGCAAAAGCCAAGAATGAAGCCAGGGTAAGATTGTTTTCTTTCAAGCAGTTGAAGACTGCCTGAACTCGTTCAACCCCTTTGTTCATGGAAGAGGAAGCAAATGACCGTGAGCTCTCTCAGAGATCGACGTCGAATTCGGCAATGGCCGGGAGCACTGCCACTGCAGAATTGTGCCAGTCGTCGGAACGAAGTGTCGCGCTTGTCTTTTCGGAGTAGATGATCGGGTTTAAGGTCTATTTCCGTAAATAACATGTGATCAAAAAATTTATATTACAACCTGTATTTACATTGCCCATGCTACCTGATTTTGGCGCGTCCACGGAGTGACGACGACTGGGTACGAGTCTGCATAACGACCACATTTCATTGGAAACGTACAAGGCATTTAATTCGAGAGAGAAAAACCACAAGAGACGGACAAGAGTAAGAAGCTAGTGGAAGTACTGTGTTAACGCAAGTATGCATCATTCATTCTGCGTTGTTCCCCTTTTTTTCTTTTCTTTTCTTTTTTCTTTCTCATTCGTTCGTTCTTTCCTTCTTTGCAATCGTGGGGAAGCTAGAGCCTCAATCGGGACTTTTGGGATCACGAAGGTTAGTTTATATGTATAACTGACATCGGCTTAAAAGTGGTGGTGGGGATACATACCTGCACATTAAACAAAAAGGCTGCCGAGTTTCAAGCTTTGTGGTCAAGAGGGGAATTGGGCTCCTCGGGATGTTCGGAATGTTCGGAAGCGCCATGCACCCTCGGTGCGTTGAAAGCCTGGGCAATTTGGTTTCCGAAATTGTAATGCTGACCGAGGGTGGCTGTGAATTGGACGTTTGCTTTCTTCTGGAAGACCATCACGCAATCGGAACCACCACATTGGAAGTAAGAAATTTCGTCTCCTTTCTTCAGTTTTTGGCCTTCTTTGACCGTGAGTCTGACGGAGGAGACTTGAGCCATTCCGATGGGTAAGACGGCGACCAGACCGATGGTGGGGTTATCAATCACGACCAGTCCTCGTGCTTGGAGGAATTGGTAACCGGGAGTGTCAGGAGCTGAGATGTCGCTCCCAGTGTAGGCTGCGCCACCCGTGCCCTTGGGAGCTCCACGACCTAGCAAGGGCGCAGGAAGACCTCGTCGCATCGATAGAGATGTATTCCCACTTTCATCCGTTACCGCCTCCACCTCCAAGTAGCAAAGACCTGGGATCACTCTCGCTTCCCGCACTATTCCTGGGACTGGAGCGTGCTGACGGTGATAGTCGTGCGGGGCAAGGAAAGAATGTGTGAAAACACCACCACCGAACTCATTTTTGTACTTGCTATCCTCCAACAATTGCTGGATATGCCAAGGGACGTACTTGAGGAAGACGACGCTGTTATCTTCGATCGGCCAGGCGCCGTCAAAGACGGAGTCAGCGGGGCTCACGATGACGGTGGGATCAAAGGGAACGTCGATAGGTCGAAGGGCGGGATTAATGTTCCGGGCGAAGAACTCGTTGAAAGACTTCCAGTCACGTTTTGGGTAATCTTCCATGCGATAGATGGGAGACTTGTAAAAAGTTCTAAGCGATTCTTTGGTTAAGGATTCAGGTTTGTCCAAGTTGCTACCCATCACTTGCGCAAATCGGATGATCCAATTGGAAAGCCAAGTCCATGGTCGTTTGGAGATGGGAAGGATTGGCGTTTGGAGACTCCTTATGGGAGACAGATCGAGAACGAAGTAGAAAAGACAGAGATGGTAGTACACGTTCTTCCCATCAAACGTTTCGGTAGGTATCCAATGTAGAAGGCGTTTGTAGAAATTAAGGTAGTCATTCAGATTGTGGATATGGAACTGTTTCAACTGCGGTACGTTTATTCTAAGGGCGATTTGAACCCCCAAGTTGAACGCGGCGAAGACATCAGGGTGCTCTCTGAGATATGCCGTTAGCTCATCGACGATGTCACCGGCCTCTATTCGATGAGTAGGAAATAATTGGTTCAGTATCCAGCGAGATAGTGGTGACGATGCGACGCACTCGAGTCTTGCTGTGTGCTCATGATTATTTGCCTGGAAATCAGAAAGGAAAGCTGAAGTGGGGAATGAGCCGCTGAAAAATCGTCACTTTATACCGCTCAAAAATAATACAAGCGGATACCAGTCAGGGGCGTTATCAGTCAGTGGTGCTATTCGTGTGCCTTACCAGTGTGTTCTCTGGTCACCAGGTGTTATCATACTGAAATTGCTGAATGCTAAAATTTTCTCTGTGACTAATGAACCATGCAGCACCCATGACCTGTATTCATGATCAAGAATAATATAATTGGGGGATCGCAGGACAGCCTCCGGGCATTTGGTGCGCTCCGATCCCCCCAGGTAGCTTAGGCTGCTGCAAGTTGGGGGCACGAGAACGAAGGCATCCGAACGGAACCACCTCGCAGAAAGCAGAATGGACAATTTCTTTTGGTTTTCCTGGGACTGAAACGCAACCTCCGAGGAGCACACTTTCCCCAAACACCTATCTTAAGGTGGAGAGAGCTGCGATAGGATCCATCCATCCGGGCCTCATATAACACGAGAGGATGCTTCATATGGGAGGGACCCATTGATCGTGCCGTTCAGAGTGCTCCCCGCTTTGGCTGCGGAGATCCGATGTGCAAAATGTGTAATAGCATTCAAGTGCACGATAAGGAGATTGATCAAGGCTCTCGTCACCAGGCCGTGAGCTTCCAACACGGTATTCATTGTCCTATCTTTTGGTCGCTTACGAACCATCATTTAAGTTCAAATGTTGAGCTGAGGAAAGTTGGATGGACTTTGCATCGCCATGAGATTTGTCACAAGGGTCTTAGAATTCCACAACACCAGATAGATCATCAAGGGGCCAATTGGGGCGCTGGGAGCGATCGCCACGGGGTCACCAGCGCAATACAGCATTGGCTGTACAACAACCTTTAAATCGGAAATTCGTTCCCACGTGAGTGGGGTGATCGAAAGCTCAACTACGAGCGGCGGATTCCATGTGGCGGTCACCATCACAGTCTGTTGGGTTATGAGGCTGGCGGACGAGGATGACAGACTATAAGTTGTACCGGATACAGATGTATTATACATGTGACATGCACGTGGTGCCATGTTGGGCCTTATCACGCTCGAAGCTGAGGTGCAACTATTTTCGTCCAGTAGTCAAGAACTCATTTATGACGTCTTCTTGACGTCCAGCTCAGTACGGGTCCAAAATCCACCTTCCTGCTGGCTGAGTGTTATGAAATACGGAGTCGACCAGCCGGGTTGTTGCCTCGTGATCCAGCATAATATAAAACCCAATAGAGTGCGCAAGCTGTCCCTTGGTCATGATAGGTAACATCTGGACCAGACACACGTGTGTGTTGTTGTCAGACAATCTGCTCTCACCTCTGAGAATTTCCTTCGAGGTGCACGTCGTTATAGATCGGATGGAGTGAGGGGCAAACAAACATTTTACCCCTTTTCTATCTCGTTGCTCTTTTCTTAGTCGAACCTCAGTTAGCTTTCGTGGTGGACTTGCACACATTGAGGTTCGGAGGAGGCTTTCCGGGCTGTTTTTTTTTATCAATCATTTTTTTAGATTTGTTGCAATCGTACAGAGATCGTTATGAGCCAGGGACTCTGGTTGGAGCTTTTGAGATTACGAAAGTCAGTTCGCATGCATAGCTAGGACGGAACTCCAGGGACACGCACGTTAATACAAATGTTGCCGAGTCCAAGTTTAGTGGGCATTATGAAGAGCAGACTCGGGACCTTTGAGATGCTTATGACGCTTGGGAGCAGGTTTGAAGCCTTCCTGCGGTATCCCGTCGGGGAAAGCCCTGGCGACTTGGATACCAACGTTGTAATGCTGACCGAGGGAAGTCGTAAATCGGACGTTTGCTTTCCTCTGGAAGAGCATCACGCAATCGGAACCACCACATTGGAAGTGAGAAATTTCATCTCCTTTCTCAGTGTGTCCGCCTTCTTTAACTGTGAGTACGACGGAGGAGACTTGGCACATTCCGATGGGTAACACAGCAACGAGACCGATGTCGGGATTCTTGATCACGATTAGTCCCCGTGCTTGGAGGAATTGGTAACCGGGAGTGTTAGGAGCCAAAATGTCGCTCCCGGTGTGGATTACGCCACCCGGGCCCTTAGGGGCTCCAAGACCTTACCTTGCCGCAGGAAGGGCCCGCTTGGCAGGCATTCCTGTCGCCATCAGTTGTCGCGTCTACCTCGAGGTAGCAAAGACCTGGAATAACTCTCGCTTCTAGCACTTCTCCTGCGGCTGGAGCATGTAGACGATGATAGTCGTACGGGGCGAGGAAAGAATGAGTGAAAGCACCACCGCCGAACTTGGATTTGTAGGGGCTGCCGGCCAACAATTGGCGGATAGGCCAAGGGATGTGCTTGAGGCAAACGATACTGTTATTCTCGATCCGCCAGCAGCCGTCAAAGACGGAGTCAGCTGGGCTCACGATGACACTGTGGTCGTCGGGGTGTCCAGAGACAGGCCGAAGTCTGCCTTTGATCTTCCGGGCAAAAAAAATGGTTGAAACTCTTCCATGTGGTAAATGGGAGAATTGCGGAAAGTTTCAAGTGATTCTGGGGTTAAAGATTCATGCTTGTCCAAGTTGCTGCCCATTGCTTTCGCAAATCGGATGATCCACTGAGAAAGCCAGGTATAGGGTGACCTGGAGGTAGGAAGTATTGGAGTCTGAAGCCGATCTACGGGAGACTGGCCGATAATGAAGTAGAAAATGCAGAGATGGTAGTACACGTTCTTCCCGTCAAATGTTTCGGTAGGCACCCAATGTAGAAGGCTTTCGCAGAACTCAAGGTAGCTCTCCAAATCGTAAATATTAAATTTTTTCAACTGTGGTATGTTCATGTCAATAGCAAATTTGACCCCCAAGTCGAATGCATCCCGGGCTTCGGGGTTATTGCAGAGATAGTCCCTAAGCTCATCGACAACATAAGAGGGGTCTATTCGGTGAGTACACAACATCGGTTCGGTATCGAATGAGATAATAGCGGTAATTCGACGTACCTGCATTGAGGGATTGCTGGACATTAACAGAATTAAGGCTCATGATTGATTGCTGGGGGGGGTGCCGAGAAGCCATCATTTTTATAGTGCTTAAGAACAACTGAGATAGTTAGCGGTCAGGAGTGTTGTTAGTTGGATAGTGGTTGTGCACGATGCGGATCTGCATATCATGAAGGCTGATTAGTATTGGCAGAGCACTGTCAGGAGAACCTCCATATGGGGCCAGCGTTCCGACTCGCCATATACAAAGCTAGCTGTCACTGACATGCGGCCACAGCTACCCAAGATGCCAAGCCACCTGGGCTATATTGAGTCAAATGGTGGCGTCGCGATGCGTACGGTATTCTCTATTCCGCAGCATTGCGAACACATGCGCTCTAGATATCCTTCTGAACCGTGGCTTGCGGAAGCTGCGGCACAAGGGATGGAAAACTTGCGGAGCCTTCGATCAGGATTCGTATTGCGAACACTAAAGGATATGGCTAGCAGCGGCATGATCAACCTTGGAGAGAGGCAGGCGTATGACTGCATCACGAAAATCGACAGGCAACTAGAGCAAGTCCTGGTCAGAGCACTCGGAGCTCCAGAGCACCTGGAGCATCTGGACATGTGGAGCGCCAGTCGATTTCGTGATGTGCTCCTGTTAGGAAATCCAATTTTCCGCTCCACGCCAGCCATGATCATTACATCAGGTTCTGATTTTATCGAGTGCTTATTCTCGACAAAAGCGGTGCTGTGCAATGGGGATGATCCGATGCGCCGCTATCATTGCCGGGCATGTATTGACATGGCGATACACCGGTCCTGCTAGATCCCCAGCCAGGGCTACTTCGGGAGGACAATATGAGAGCAATGTTTATCCAGCTCAAGAATCGTTGTACAACTAATGAATTGTGCTCCTTGGGGCGGGGGGATCGATATATCGGATCAGATAGTCAGATGGTCTTTGATCGACATTTAAGTAGAATTATAAATGGCCCCCCTCGATCAAAGGTCATGCATAACAACCATTGGTCATGATATTTCAATGAGAACGAGCTGGCATTTCGAGAAAGTCACAAGAGTGGGAAGCTAGGTACGTACAGCGTCGCTCGAGCCGAGCTAAATGATTGATATCTTGCACGAGTCGATCGATCGAATTCTTTTTGATCAATCTTGGGGTAAGTAATATTATCCCTGGACAAGCGACACAACAGCAGCCGCAACCATAAGCGGGGATCGCGAAATGTCCGGGTTTGGGTACTCTTTAAAGAGTCGCTGGAAGATAACGTCGTCTTCATCGTTAGCATGGAGTGGGCCACTCTTGTGTAGGTGGGACCCGTGGTATCGCCAATCGGCCGACCAATGTTACTCATTTGGTCCAGAGATAATGTAATCTACGAGGTGAGGCAGGTACAGCAGACTTTCACGACGTTTGGTTCACGAAGGCGTGAAAGTTTCACAATCGTGCTTCAGCAATTAACCATAACCTCACACAAACGTACCCCGACACCAAACTACTTAGTCACACATTTCGACATTGTGTGTCGCGCGCGCGTCCACCAGCGAAGACGACTGGTACGGATCTGCCTGGAACTACGCATTTTGCAGGTCATTCATCCAAATCGGGGGTGGCATTTCTTTTGCAACCCGCTGTGATATGAATTCAACTCCGATCAAATGTCATAACGACCACATTTCATTGGAAACGTACAAGGCATTTCGAGAGAAAACCACAGATATAGACAGGAGTGAGAGGCTAGTGGAAGTACTGTACATCATTCTTGCTGCGTTGTTCTTTTTTTCTTTTCTTTTTCTATCTCATTCGTTCGTTCATTCTTTGCAATCGTGGGAGTCGTGACGCCAGAGCCTTAATTGAGATCACGAAGGTGAGTTTATATGTATAGCCGATATCGGCTTAAAGTGGTGGTGGTGGAGGGGATACATACCTGTACATTAACAAATAGGTTGCCGAGTTTCAATTTTAGTGGTCAAGAGGGGAATCGAGCTCCTTGGGATGTTCAGAATGTTCGGGAGCGGGCACGAGATCGTCATGCGGCGGTCGGGGGGGGCGTGGGTTGGGGAAAGCCTGGGCGACTTGGTTTCCGAAATTGTAATGCTGACCGAGGGTGGCTGTGAATTGGACGTTTGCTTTCTTCTGGAAGACCATCACGCAATCGGAACCACCACATTGGAAGTAAGAAATTTCGTCTCCTTTCTTCAGTTTTTGGCCTTCTTTGACCGTGAGTCTGACGGAGGAGACTTGAGCCATTCCGATGGGTAAGACGGCGACCAGACCGATGGTGGGGTTATCAATCACGACCAGTCCTCGTGCTTGGAGGAATTGGTAACCGGGAGTGTCAGGAGCTGAGATGTCGCTCCCAGTGTAGGCTGCGCCACCCGTGCCCTTGGGAGCCCCACGACCTAGCAAGGGCGCAGGAAGACCTCGTCGCATCGATAGAGACGTATTCCCACTTTCATCGGTTACCGCCTCCACCTCCAAGTAGCAAAGACCTGGGATCACTCTCGCTTCCCGCACTATTCCTGGAACTGGAGCGTGCTGACGGTGATAGTCGTGTGGGGCAAGGAAAGAATGAGTGAAAACACCACCACCGAACTCATTTCTGTACTTGCTATCCTCCAACAATTGCTGGATATGCCAAGGGACGTATTTGAGGAAGACGACGCTGTCCTTCTCGATCGGCCAGGCACCGTCAAAGACGGAGTCAGCGGGGCTCACGATGACGGTGGGATCCAAGGGAACGTCAATAGGTCGAAGGGCGGGATTAATGTTCCGGGCGAAGAACTCATTGAAAGACTTCCAGTCACGTTTTGGGTAATCTTCCATGCGATAGATGGGAGACTTGTAAAAAGTTCTAAGCGAATCTTTGGTTAAGGATTCGGGTTTGTCCAAGTTGCTACCCATCACTTGCGCAAATCGGATGATCCAATTGGAAAGCCAAGTCCAGGGTCGTTTGGAGATGGGAAGGATAGGTGTTTGGAGACTCCTTATGGGAGACAGTCGAGAACGAAGTAGAAAAGACAGAGATGGTAGTACACGTTCTTCCCATCAAACGTTTCGGTAGGTATCCAATGTAGAAGGCGTTTGTAGAAATTAAGGTAGTCATTCAGATTGTGGATATGAAACTGTTTCAACTGCGGTACGTTTATTCTAAGGGCGATTTGAACCCCCAAGTTGAACGCGGCGAAGACATCAGGGTGCTCTCTGAGATATGCCTTTAGCTCATCGACGATGTCACCGGCCTCTATTCGATGAGTAGGAAATAATTGGTTCAGCATCCAGCGGGATAGTGGCGACGATGCGACGCACTCGAGTCTTGCTGTGTACTCATGATTATTTGCTTGAAAGTCAGAAAGGAAAGCTGAAGTGGGGGATGAGCCGCTGAAAAATCGTCACTTTATACCGCTCGAAGCGGATACCAGTCAGGGGCGTCATCAGTTAGTGGCCATCATGAATACAGGTCATGGGTGCCGCATGGTTTAGGAATGCTCTATTAGTTATTGTAGAGAAGATCTTAGCATTCGGAAATCTCAGTATGAAAACACCTGGTGACCAGAGAACAAACTGGTAAGGCACGCGAATAGTGAGAATAATATAATTGGGGGATCGCAGGACAGCCTTGTGGGCATTGCTTTGGTGCGCTCTTATCGCTCAGGTAGCTTAGGCTGCTGCAAGTTGGGGCCACGAGCACGAAAACATCCAGGCGGAACTACCTCGCAGAAAGCAGAATGAATAATTTCTTTTGGTTTTCCTGGGACTGAGACGCAACTTCCGAGGAGCATTTTCCTCAAACCCCTAAGGTGGAGAGAGCAGAGATAGGATCCATCCATCCGGGCCTCATATGGGAGAGACCATTGATTGTGCCTTTCAGAGTGCTCCACGCCTTTGCTGCGGAGCCCGAAATCCGATATGCAAAATATGTAATAGCATTCAAGTGCACGATAGGGAGATTGATCAAGGCTCTCGTCACCGGACCATGAGCCTCTAACACGGCATTCATTGTCCTATCTTTTGGTCATTTACGAACCGTCATTTAAGTTCAAATGTCGAGCAGGGAAGTTAGATGGACTCTGCATCGCCATGAGATTTGTCACAGAAGCACAGTCCCAGAACACCGGATAGATCATCAAGGGACTAATTGGTGGTGGCGCTCGTGGTGGGGCACTGGGGGCGATCGCCACGGGATCACCAGTGCAATACAGCACTAGTTATAGAACAGCCTTTCGACCGCCTAGCCCAGTGACACTAGTTTGACTCCATTTGCAGTCCTGACAGCTGCATGGGCATTGAAGCCCAACTACGAGCCGCAGATCCCATATGGCAATCACCATCACAGTCAGCGCAAAGGGGAAATCTAGCGTGGGGGGCCAATCTGATTGCGAGTAAAGTCTGACTCACGCCAAATGACGACTCCATGAGAAAGGATGGGAGGACTTATTTATGACGTCTTCCTGACGTCCAGCTCAATAGGTCCAAAATCCGAGGTTGAACCTTCGTGCTGGCTGAGGGCAATGAAATACGGAGTCGACCAGCCCGCCCGTCATGTGCCTCGTGATCCAGCATCATATAAACCCAATGGAGGGCATCAGTGACTGATTCTTTTCTCTCCATTGCCTGTGCTTTACTGTGATGATCCGGACCCGCGGCGCTTCAAGACACTGATGGTTGCTTTACATAAAATAATAGTGTCTGATCACGTCGTGCAGGCGCTGTGACACATACAATATGACAATTTGACAATTTGACAATATAATTCGGACAACTCCGCTGCCATGCAATACAAAAATATCATCACGGGGTTGATGAGCGCATGAACGCTCACCTGATGCCTATTACTATAGGCTGGTCGCCTGCCTAACTCCATGCTCAGTGATCCAAATTTCCGTGAAACAGTCCAAGTTACCGAAACCGGAAACCTGTAATATGCGATCGGGTTTGTATTCGTCTTCTTGTGTGCACGCCGGAGGAGACGCAACGAGATAGCGTGGCAACAGTCCCGGCTAATGCCAGAACCTCTTGAATTTGAAGACGACCTGGCTAATTTACAACAGGCAGGAGACTGGGGACGGAGGAGGGTAACACGAAAAACAAGGATAACGAGGAACAAGAGGGAGAAGAGCAGAGGTTACAAAGAGCAAGGAAACAACCGAAGGTAATGAAACCTAGGAAAAAACACTGAGTAAGCAATCGGGATCCCACCCACCGAGTAACCGAAGGTCACAACACCTTCCCCTCAGCGAGACTGAAAAGCTTACCGGAAACAAGAAGCCAAACAAAAAACTTCAACAAAAAACAGCTTGTAGGCCAAAGGGAATAAGACTTAAGAAATAAAAACATCTTCAGCAGAGGTCAAGGTAAAGTGGGCTAGAGCCCAGTAGCTTAGGCGGACGAACAACACGTACAGAATTCGTCCGAAGAAATCGATCCAGGAATGCAGCGGCAATTAACCTGAAATCGGCATGACTGCAACCTCGGAAGGCACAGTATGCGTAAGGCCGACAGCGGGTACGGCGCATAAGATGAAACATCACCGGGGATTGTGCCAGACGCGGAAGAAAAACAGAGAGCGCGTTTTTAGACCGACCACACACAAGTCTAATTTAATCTCGTACCTCCATTAAATAACAATTAAAACCAAAGGCTATTTGCGTAAGACTCAGACTCATAGATCGTGCTAAGAGGTGATGAGAAAACAATTGTTCGCCACTCCTTATCTCCGTTGTCTATCCAAATATCTTTGGCCACTCGGTAGATGGGAACAGACGTTGAACTTCTAATACAGTACCTTACCCACGGAGTATGCGTCAGTTGAGGGGTCAGTGATTCTGGCTGTCCCTTGGTTATGAGGTGTAGGTAACATCTGGACCAGACACACGTATGTGTTGTTGCCATCACCTCGCGAGGATTTCCTTCGGGGTGCACGTTAACAGATAATATAGTCGATCAAACGTCGTAACGACCACATCTCATTGAAACAAGGCGCTTTGAGAAGTTATAGGTTGGATAGAGTGAGAGACTATCAGAAGTTCAGCGCAACGCAAACAAACGGTTTGCTCCTTTTCTATCTCGTTCCTTTTTCTTTTTCTTAGTCGAGCCTCGTTAGCTTTCGCGGTGCACTTGCATACATTGGGGTTTGGAGGAGGGAGACTTTCCGGGCTGTTTTTTGTTATCAATCATTTTTTTCCAATTTTGGATTTGTTACAATCGTACGGAGATCGTTATGAGAGCCAGGGGCTCTGATTGGAGCTTTTGATATTACGAAAGTCAGTTCACATGCATAGCTAGGGCGGGACTCTAGGGACACGCACGCACACCCCTAAATGCTGCCGAGAGTTCCAAGTTCAGTGGCCATTAGGAAGAGCGGACTCGGGACGCTTGATATGTTTATGACACTTGGGAGCAGGCTTGAAGCCTTCCTGCGGTATCCCGTCGGGGAAAGCCCTGGCGACTTGGATACCAACGTTATAATGCTGACCGTGGGAGGTCGTGAATCCGACGTTTGCTTTCCTCTGGAAGAGCATCACGTAACCACATTGGAAGTAAGAAATTTCATCTCCTTTCTTCAGTGTATCGCCATCTTTAACTGTGAGTACAACGGAGGAGACTTGGCACATTCCGATGGGTAACACAGCAACGAGGCCGGTGTCGGGATCCTTGATCACGATTAGTCCCCGTGCTTGGAGGAATTGGTAACCGGGAGTGTTAGGAGCCAAAATGTCGCTCCCGGTGTGGATTACGCCACCCGGGCCCTTAGGGGCTCCAGGACCTGACCTTGCCGCAGGAAGGGCCCGCTTCATCGATAGACAGGCATTCCTGTCGCCATCAGTTGTCGCGTCTACCTCGAGGTAGCAGAGACCTGGAATAACTCTCGCTTTTATCACTTCTCCTGCAACTGGAGCATGCAGACGATGATAGTCGTACGGGGCGAGGAAGGAATGAAAGCACCACCGCCGAACTTGGATTTGTAGGGGCTGCCGACCAACAATTGGCGGATAGGCCAAGGGATGTGCTTGAGGCAAACGATACTGTTGTTCTCGATCTGCCAGCAGCCGTCAAAGATGGAGTCAGCTGGGCTCACGATGACACTGTGGTCGTCGGGGTGTCCATGGACAGGTTGTGTGGTAAATGGGAGAATTACGGAAAGTTTCAAGCGATTCTGGGGTTAAAGATTCAGGCTTGTCCAAGTTGCTGCCCATTGCTTTCGCAAATCGGATGATCCACTGAGAAAGCCAGGTATAGGGTGACCTGGAGGTAGGAAGGATTGGAGTCTGAAGCCGATCTACGGGAGATTAAAGTAGAAAATGCAGAGATGGTAGTACACGTTCTTCCCGTCAAAGGTTTCGGTAGGCACCCAATGTAGAAAGCTTTCGCAGAACTCAAAGTAGCCCTCCAAATCGTAAATATTAAATTTTTTCAACTGTGGTATATTCATGTCAATAGCAATTTTGACCCCCAAGTCGAATGCATCCCGGGCTTCGGGGTTATTGCAGAGATAGTCCCTAAGCTCATCGACAACACAAGAGGGGTCTATTCGGTGAGTACACAACATCGGTTCGGTATCGAATGAGATAATAGCGGTAATTCGGCGTGCCTGCATTGAGGGATTGCTGGACATTAACAGAATTAAGGCTCATGATTGATTTCTGGGGGTCGGGGGTGCCGAGTGGAGTTGAGAAGCCATCATTTCATAGTGCTCAAGAACAACTGAGACAGTTAGCGGTCAGGAGTGTTGTTAGTTGATAGTGGTTGTGCACGATGCGGATCTGCATATCATGAAGGCTTATTAGTATTGGCAGAGCACTGTCAGGAGAACCTCCATATGGGGCCAGCGTTCCGACTCGCCATCTACAGGATCTAGGCGGTCGGCGATCTCTAAATGAAATTTCTTGGTAAGCAAAGAAACTGGTCATGGCATACGGACAGTTGTGGACAATACAACGGAGGTATCGCACGATAGCCATCCGGAGATTTCTTCCCAACAGCTTACGAATGATCTCTTGTAGTTTGGAGCAGTCCGGTTGGCCAGACAGCTAAGCTGGAGGCACAAGAATGTCTTTTCGCCCTGGAACAGGAGAGCAGCTTCTGAGGAGCACGCATTCGCTCAAGCTCCTATCCCAAGCAAGGCATAGGGAACCACGACAGCCTCATGCAACAAGAGAGGTGTCAGGAAGTCCACCCCGGGCACCGCGTGCATGGGTCCTGGACAGGAGACGACAATGTCAAATCGTGGACAAGTCCAGCGTCACCTCTGGATGCATACGACATGCTAATCAGTTACACCAACTGCCCCGTCATCTAACATATAAATAACCGTCGTTCTGTGACCGATTAGTTGCTTCGGGGGGATCACTGTATATTAATCACACGACTAAACCCCGGCCTGACAAAGGATAAGGATTTGTCACACATCACTTTGAGGCTTCTTGGGGAAGTGAAGATGCGTGATGCTCTCCAACACATGTACCCTCCCCAGACCAGCCCGTCCAATGGATGCTGAATTGCGCTTCGGGACGCTGGCGGTTGACGAGTGGATTTATTAGAGGGGAAAAACATGCCAGGTTGGTAGATGCGCAGACGGCAGTGCACTGAGTGAGGCCACGGCTGTTTGAGAACAGGAAGAGGATCGGTCCAATTGCCATGAAACACGACATGAATCAGTTCAGCACAGATCAACCCATGTTTTGGCTCTGGAGATACTGCGGCTTTGTATGGGGTCAAGGCCTGTTCACCAGAAACACATCAATTAGGCAGGATCCCGGCCTCCACTAAAGTAGAATGAGTGACTCTAGTTATTCCTTGGTCATGAATCGCGTATAGGTGAAATTGGGTAGCACCTAGGTCAGGGACGCCCTGCATATTAGACAAAATCATCAAGAAGTTCAGCGTCCCTTCTGTTTGATCACGTTGTGTCGGCCATGGCATCAAAGCACGCGGCTATTTGAACACCCATGCATCCTGATCTCAAAACATGGCTGACTCTAATGCAAGTTGCCCAACACCCGAAGAAGTCGATACGATCTGATGGGGGTACTTCCCACAGTAGGGGTCTTGTTCCTGGTCATGCAGAAAAAGAGCCGTCCGCGAGTTCCAAGTGCAATGTTGCATTGCAAGTATGAGTGGAACGGGAGTTCGCCGCTCGACCACCAAGCCATCTTCGTTCAGCAACCACGTCATAAGTGTTGAAGTTAGGCACACACTCAAAGCACTCATCACTACTTTTGTCTGCGTTCTTCCCGGCACTTGCCGGTTTACCATATATATACATTGAGTCCGAGACCCTGTGGCAAACTTACCAGTTTTGCACAGCTTGTAGAGGTCAGTTTCTATAATAAGGCCAGTCCTGAAGATACCCTCCAAACGCGGTGGGCGCAAGGGGCGCATGCGTGACACTCCCACCACCTCCAACAAGACACGCCACATAATTTCGAATCCGTTGGAGCGAGAGTTGGCAGCCATCCATTCAGAAGCTGGGTTGGAGCGAGTAAATGCATATTTTCCCGGAAGTGACTTCCTCTCTCCCTGTCAACGAAGAACGTGCTGTATTCCAGCGTCTTCATAACAGGCACCCCAACCCAACATCCAAAACGTTGAAGTTCTTTTTGCTTTTTTGGCTCTAATATTATATTACCCCTATTTACGGCCAAAAAAGTGCAACACGATCGTAGAGGCCTTCCAAAAGCGTCCCTTAGGAAGGAATGCGTGTTGCTTGGAGGCCGAATACCAGCACTTCTCCCAGGCCAATCTACTTCATATGCATCCCAGGCAGGCATGAGACCCAGGCCGCCCTTCGCCATAGTCAAACACCGTGTTCTTATATTGGGGCCTCCTCTGGCGATGCTCGTTGGCGACTTGGTCCAAACTAACTGCCAATTCAGATGGGGTCCATGTTTCAAACTTTCACACGGATGGCCGGGCTTCGTGTCAGTGTGTTCGGCCAAGAGCTATTTGGCTCGATCAAAACTTGCAGGTATTATAAGAAGTTACGCCAAGGAAGGAAAGCTAGCTGTCACTGACATGCGGCCACAGCTGGATTACAACCCAAGCTGCCAAGCCACCTGGGTCAAATGGCGGCGTCGCATATACGTACGGTATTCTCTATTCCACAGCATTGCGAATACATGCGCTCTAGATATCCTTCAGAACCGTGGCTTGCGGAAGCTGCGGCACAAGAAATGGAAAACTTGCACAGCCTTCGATCAGGATCCGTATTGCGAACACTAGAGGATGTGGCTAGCAGCGGCATGATCAACCTTGGAGAGAGGTAGGCGCATGACTGTGCTCCTGTTAGGAAATCCGATTTCCTGCCCCACGCCAGCCATGATCATTACATCAGGTTCTGATTTTATCGAGTGCTTATTCTCGACAAAAGCGGTGCAGGATGCTCTTGATTGCCTAGTTCGTTTTACGCATTTTTATCGGCTGCATGGCGAGGAGGTTGCATGCACCACAGGCTGTGCAATGGGGATGATCCGATGCGCCGCTTTCATTGCCAGGCATGTATGGCCAAGTATTGACATGGCGATACCGGACCTGCTGGATCCCCAGCCAGGGCTACTCCTGAAGGACAATATGACAGCAATGTGTATCCAGCTCAAGAATCGTTGTACAACTAATGAATTGTGCTCCTTGGGGCGGGGGGATCGATATATCGGATCAGATAGTCAGATAGTCTTCGACATTCTAAGTATGAATTACAAATGGCCACCCCCCTCGATCAAATGTCATGCATAACAACCATTGATCATGATATTTCAATGAGAACGAGCTGGCATTTCGAGAAAGTCACAAACGTGGACAAGAGTGAGAAGCTAGGTTCGTACAGCGTCGCTCGTGTTGGAGGAGCAAGTCATAACGGGTGTTGTGCACTTTCCATACTTGTCTCGATGTGTATTTACATGTATTTACACCGACAAATATATCTTTAGAGTCTACTGCCATCCCAACCGAGCCGCCGCACTGAGTGGTGCAACTTTAGGTTATGAGCCCAGAGCGGCTCACCTGGGTTGGTTCAAGTATAAGTCCACATGACTCTCGTGGCACCCTGGCCAGGTTCAAGCGGCTTATGAGGAAGACTTCAAGTTTGTCTGCGATAAGTCCTTGAAAAGGCACGCATCTTTGGAAAACCCGAGGCTGAGATACAATCTTGGAAAGCCCTATTTGAGGCTGATTGCAAGCCCCTTGGATGAAGCCCTCACACTGGGAATGCGGCACAGACTACCACTCCTTTATATTTTCCGTCGTGCCACGTCATAAAATTCCCACGGTCTTTGCGCTGCGAACTATAACCCTCTGAAGCATAGAATGCTCTCAGGAGGGACTTGGAGATCTCTTGGGCTGATCTACTGGATCTTTTCTTTGGGTCCTACATGAATGAGAGGAGGACTACTTGGATTCGACTTGAACATGCGCGCGCGCGTGTGCGACACTTTGTTCCACATCCACCTCCTGTTTCCATCCCCACTTCAACTCCAAATTCACTCTGGCTCAGATCACCTCGACAATTATGCAGAAACACCGGACCAATCTATGGCCGAGCTAACACCTCTTTTGAGGATGAAGATCTATTACACCAGTGATGTACTCAAGCGGGAGATCATGCAAACTACCATTCATATCCCATTGTCCCATTTCATTTCCACTTTCGCGAAACCACTCAATGATCTCTTGGGCTGATCCTTTAGATCTTTATTCTTTGGGACTGATATATTCCACATGAATGAGAGGAGGACTAGGAACTGATTTGGACACGCGCGCGCGATTCTTGCAGCTTTTATGCATGCAATATACTCCCTTAACATCGCCTCAAGCAATTTTACTGTTGACTCCACACCCCTTGGGCTGGGGGCATGATGCAAATTCAACAAGGCCGGGTTCAGCTTGGCTCCGGACCATGCTTTATAAAAATGCGCAATATTTCCACTTCCACCTCCCGTTTTCGTCCTCGCTATCACACCAATTGGCTCCGGCCTTAATCCACCTCAACAAATCAACAATCACATACTGCAACATCTACAAATGCGGCAGCATCCTATGAGTCAGCTTATAATCAGCGACTCCGATGCAAATAGCTATGGAGCGCGACCCGCTTTTCAATGCATGCAGGGGGGGGACTAAGATTCCCTTTTGAGGACAAGGATCTTTTGAAGCGAAGACATGTGAGCAAAAACTCATGCAAAACTACCATTCATGTCCCATTTGCCCATTTTACGATCATTTTCGTGCACAATCCAATTCCTTTCCAACAATCGCCCTGTGACCAATCCGAACCACCATCACACATGCCCCTTTCCCTAACACCTGAGGGGGAGAATAGTCGCTATGCTTCAATCAGCTGTCATAGAAGGAGGGGGAGCTGCCTAACTAAGGGCATTGATAATAAGGAGTGGGTGGTATAATGCGACCAAGAAGGACGCTGAGGGGGAGGTCATCGATTTAAGGGCACAGCAAATGGAGGAATCATAAGGCCATCAAACATTTCTTTATTGGCATAGTCTTTATGACAGCCAACACCTTTGTTGCTCATCATATTGAATATGGTAATGATTTCTACATTCATTTTTGTCCTATGGACAATTTTCTATCAACCTCTCCTATCAAGTTGTTACTTGATTCCACATTCATTGAATATTTTTGGATCATGACTTGAGGGGGAGTGTTGGAGGAGCAAGTCATAACGGGTGTTGTGCACTTTCCATACTTGTCTCGATGTGTATTTACATGTATTTACACCGACAAATATATCTTTAGAGTCTACTGCCATCCCAACCGAGCCGCCGCACTGAGTGGTGCAACTTTAGCTCGAGCCGAGCTAAAGAACGATTTTGGACATCTTGCACGAGTCGATCGATCGAATTCTTTTTGATCAATCTTCAATCAACTTGGGGTAAGTAATATTATCCCTGGACAAGCGACACAACAGCAGCCGAAACCATAAGCGGGGATCGCGAATATATGTCCGGGTTGTTGGAGGAACCGTGTGCTATGGGAGGCCGGACGAGTTTTCCGTACAGCCACATTCCTACATCCGAGCGAGGAACTCGCCCGGACAGCCACATTCCCGCGGTAGCGTGACTATTTGGTCACAACACCTTTTGCTTCTTACTTATTTTGGTCACTTCGGACTTATCCGCAAAGACCACAAACTATATTCAATCTTTTGAATTAGTTTCCTTTTCCCTCAGTTCTCGCGCATATTGCTTGAGACTGAGGTTAGTTACTCTCTTTCATTTCTTATATCTTGTAACTTATTGTATATTACCTTACAGCTATCTACTAGGTAATATAATAGTTCTCGCGCATATTGCTTGAGACTGAGCTATCTACTAGAGCAAGCGGTTATTCCGTTACGGGTTTGGGTACTCTTTAAAGAGTCGCTGGAAGATAACGTCGTCTTCATCGTTAGTATGGAGTGGGCCACTCTCGTGCAGGTGGGGGACCCGTGGTATCGCCAATCGGCCGACCGACATTACTCATTCGGTCCAGGGATAATATAATCTACGAGGCGAGGCAGGTACAGCAGACTTTCACGACGTTTAGTTCACGAAGGCGTGAAAGTTTCACGATCGTGCTCACATTGCATGCTTCAATAATTAACCATAACCTCATAGTCACACATTTCGACATTGTGTGTGGCGCGCGCGCGCATCCGCCAGCGAATTAAGACGACTGGGTGTGGGTCTGCTTGGAGCTACGCGCATTTTGCAGGTCATTCATTCAAATCGGGGGCGACATTTTTTTTGCAATCCACTGTAATATGAATTTGTAATACGAATTCAACTCCGACGTCGATCAAATGTCATAACGACCACACTTCATTGGAAATGTACAAGAGATATGGACAGGAGTGAGAAGCTAGTGGAAGTACTGCGTTCACCCAAGTGTACATCATTCTTTCTGCGTTGTTTCTTTTTTATTTTTTCTTTTTTCTTTCTCATTCGTTCGTTGTGACGCCAGAGCCTTAATCGGGACTTTGAGATCACGAAGGTTAGTTTATATGTATAGCCGATATCGGTTTAAAGAGGTGGTAGTGGAGGGGACACACACCTGCACATCAACAAATAGGCTGCCGGGTTTCAAGTTTAGTGGTCAAGAGGGGAATTTGGATGTTCAGAATGTTCGGGAGCGTGCACGAGATCGTCATGCGGCGGTTGGTTGGGGAAAGCCTGGGCAACTTGGTTCCCGAAATTGTAATGCTGACCGAGGGTGGCCGTGAATTGGACGTTTGCTTTTTGCTGGAAGACCATCACGCAATCGGAACCACCACATTGGAAGTAAGAAATTTCGTCTCCTTTCTTCACTTTTTGTTCGCATGTGACCGTGAGTTTGACGGAGGAGACTTGAGCCATTCCGATGGGTAAGACGGCGACGAGACCGATGGTGGGGTTATCAATCACGATCAGTCCTCGTGCTTGGAGGAATTGGTAACCGGGAGTGTCAGGAGCTGAGATGTCGCTCCCAGTGTAGGCTGCGCCACCCGTGCCTTTGGGAGCCCCACGACCTAGCAAGGGCGCAGGAAGACCTCGTCGCATCGATAGAGATGTATTCCCACTTTCATCCGTTACCGCCTCCACCTCCAAGTAGCAAAGACCTGGGATCACTCTCGCTTCCCGCACTATTCCTGAGACTGGAGCATGCTGACGGTGATAGTCGTGCGGGGCAAGGAAAGAATGGGTGAAAACACCACCACCGAACTCATTTTTGTACTTGCTATCATCCAACAATTGCTGGATATGCCAAGGGATGTACTTGAGGAAGACGACGCTGTTCTTCTCGATCGGCCAGGCACCGTCAAAGACGGAGTCAGCGGGGCTCACAATGACGGTGGGATCCGAGGGAACGTCGATAGGTCGAAGGGCGGGATTAATCTCCCGGGCGAAGAACTCGTTGAAAGACTTCCAGTCACGTTTTGGGTAATCTTCCATGCGATAGATGGGAGACTTGTAAAAAGTTTGAAGCGATTCTTTGGTTAAGGATTCGGGTTTGTCCAAGTTGCTACCCATCGCTTTCGCAAATTTGATTATCCAATTGGAAAGCCAAGTCCAGGGTTGTTTGGAGATGGGAAGGATAGGCGTTTGGAGACTCTTTATGGGAGACAGGTCGAGAATGAAGTAGAAAAGACAGAGATGGTAGTACACGTTCTTCCCATCAAACGTTTCGGTAGGTATCCAATGTAGAAGGCGTTCGTAGAAATTAAGGTAGTCATTCAGATTGTGGATATGAAACTGTTTCAACTGCGGTACATTGATTCTAAGGGCGATTTGAACTCCCAACTCGAACGCGGTGAAGACATCAGGGTGCTCTTTGAGATATGTCCTTAGGTGATCGACGACGTCACCGGCATCTATTCGATAGGTAGGAAATAATTGGTTCAGTATCCAGCGAGATAGTGGTGACGATGCGACGCACTCGAGTCTTGCTGTGTGCTCATGATTATTTGCCTGGAGGTCAGAAAGGAAAGCTGAAGTGGGGGAGGAGCCGCTGAAAAATCGTTCACTTTATACCGCTCGAAAATAATACAAGCGGATACCAGTCAGGGGCGTTATCAGTTAGTGGCGATCATGAACACAGGTCATGGGGTGCTGCAGGGTTCACGAATGCTCTATTAGTCATCGCGGAGAAGATCTCAGCAATCGGCAATCTCAGTATGAAAACACCTGGTGACCAGAGAACAAACTGGCAAAGCACACGGATAGTAAGAATAATGTAATTGGCGGATCGCAGGACACGCAACTTCCGAGGAGCATTTCCCTCACCCTTACCCTAAGGTGGAGAGAGCGGAGATAGGAATCATCCATCCGGGCCTCATATGGGAGGACCCATTGATTGTGCATTTCAGAGTGCTCCACGCCTTTGCTGCGGAGACCGAAATTCGATACGCAAAGTGTGTAATAGCATTCAAGTGCACGGTAAGGAGATTGATCAAGCCTCTCGTCACCGGGCCATGAGCCTCTAACACGGCATTCATTGTCCTATCTTTTGGTCGCTTGCAAACCGTCCTTTGGGTTCAAATGTTGATCAGGAGAGTTGGATGGACTTTGCATTGCCATGAAATTTGTCACAGAAGCACAGTCCCAGAACACCAGATAGATCATCAAGGCGCTGATTCGTGGTGGCGCTCGTGGTGGGGTGCTGGGTCACCTGGGCAATACAGCACTACTGTAGTACATACTGGTTATAGAACAGCTTGTCGGAAATTCGTTCCCACGTGCTCAGAGATCGCGCGGGTGATCGCCTAGCCCAGGGAAAGTTTGACCCCATCTGCAGTCCTGGCAGCTGCACAGGCAGTAAAGCTCAACTACGTGGATTCCATGCGGCAATCACCATCACAGTCAGCGCACGAACGATGGCAAAGGGAAAATCTGGCGGGGGCCAATCTGATTGCGAGTGGAGTCATGACTCCATGAGAAAGGATGGGGAGAACACATTTATGACGTGAATACGGAGTCGACCAGCCGGCCTGTCATGTTGTTGCCTCGTGATCCAGCAATATTAGAACCCAATGGAGCTAGCGCATTAGTGACTGATTCTTTTCTCTCCGTTGCCTGTGCTCTACCGTCCTCAGACAAGCGATCCAGACTCGCGGCGCTTCGAGACACTGATGATTGCTTTACATAAAATAGAAGTGTTTAATCATGTCGTGCAGGCGCTATGACACATGCAATATGACAATATAATTCGGACAACTCCGCCACAATGCAATTCAAATGTCATCACGGGGTTGATGAACGCATGAACGCCCACTTGACGCTCACCTCATGAACCCCATGAGTGATCCAAATTCCCGTGAAACGGTACAAGCTACCGAAATCCGAGACCTGTAACATGCGATCGGGTGCGTATTCGTATTTTAAAACCAAAAGCTATTCGCGTAAGACTCAGACTCGTAAATCGCGATGAGAAAACATGGAACAACTGTTCGCCACTCCTTTTCTCTGTCGCCCACCCAAACATCTTTGGGGGTCAGTGACTCTAGCTGTCCTTTGGTTATGACGTATAGGTAACATCTGGACCGGACAAACGTATGTGTTGTTGTCAGATAATCCGCTTTCACCTCGCGAGAATTTCCTTCGAGGTGCATCGTAACGACTATATTTCATCGAAACAAGGGGTTTTGAGAAGTTATAGATTGGATAGAGTGAGAAGCTATCAGAAGTTCAGCGCAACGCAAACAAATGTTTTGCCCCTTTTCCATCTCGTTGCTTTTTTCTTTTTTCTTTTTTAGTCGAGCCTCAGTTAGCCTTCGCAGGTTGGGGGAGGGTGACTTTCCGGGCTGGTTTTTTCTTATCATGGAGTTGTTGCAATGGTACGGAGATCGTTATGAGCCAGGGGCTCTGATTGGAGCTTTTGATATTACAAAAGTCAGTCCACATGCATAGCTAGGGCGGGACTCTAGGGACACGCACGTACATCCCCAAATGCTGCCGAGAGTTCCAAGTTCAGTGGCCATTAGGAAGAGCGGACTCGGGACGCTTGATATGTTTATGACGCTTGGGAGCAGGCTTGAAGCCTTCCTGCGGTATCCCGTCGGGGAAAGCCCTGGCGACTTGGATACCAACGTTGTAATGCTGACCGAGGGAGGTCGTGAACCCGACGTTTGCTTTCCTCTGGAAGAGCATCACGCAATCGGAACCACCGCATTGGAAGTAAGAAATTTCATCTCCTTTCTTCAGTGTGTCGCCTTCTTTAACTGTCAGTACAACGGAGGAGACTTGGCACATTCCGATGGGTAACACGGCAACGAGACCGATGTCCGGATTCTTGATCACGATTAGCCCCTTGCTTGGAGGAATTGGTAACCGGGAGTGTTAGGAGCCAAAATGTCGTTCCCGGTGTGGGTTGCGCCACCCGGGTCCTTAGGGGCTCCAGGCCTGACCTTGCCGCAGGAAGGGCCCGCCTCATCGATAGACGGCGTTCCTGTCACCATCAGTTGTCGCGTCTACCTCGAGGTAGCAAAGACCTGGAATAACTCTCGCTTCTAGCACTTCTCCTGCGACGGGCATGTAGACGATGATAGTCGTACGGGGCGAGGAAAGAATGAAAGCACCACCGCCGAACTTGGATTTGTAGGGGCTGCCGGCCAACAATTGGCGGATAGGCCAAGGGATGTGCTTGAGGTAAACGATACTGTTATTCTCGATCCGCCAGCAGCCGTCAAAGATGGAGTCAGCTGGGCTCACGATGACACTGTGGTCGGCGTCAGGACAGGTGGTCTGCTATCCCCAATGGGAAACTCCAGCTTCGGTTTCGTTCTCCATGTGGTAAATGGGAGAATTACGGAAAGTTTCAAGCGATTCTGGGGTTAAAGATTCAGGCTTGTCCAAGTTGCTGCCCATTGCTTTCGCAAATCGGATGATCCACTGAGAAAGCCAAGTATAGGGTGACTGGAGGTAGGAAGGATTGGAGTCTGAAGCCGATCGACGGGAGATTAAAGTAGAAAATGCAGAGATGGTAGTACACGTTCTTCCCGTCAAAGTTTCGGTAGGCACCCAATGTAGAAAGCTTTCGCAGAACTCAAAGTAGCCTCCAAATCGTAAATATTAAATTTTTCAACTGTGGTATATTCATGTCAATAGCAATTTTGACCCCCAAGTCGAATGCATCCCGGGCTTCGGGGTTATTGCAGAGATAGTCCCTAAGCTCATCGACAACACAAGAGGGGTCTATTCGGTGAGTACACAACATCGGTTCGGTATCGAATGAGATAATAGCGGTAATTCGGCGTGCCTGCATTGAGGATTGCTGGACATTAACAGAATTAAGGCTCATGATTGATTTCTGGGGTCGGGGTGCCGAGTGGAGTTGAGAAGCCATCATTTCATAGTGCTCAGAACAACTGAGACAGTTAGCGGTCAGGAGTGTTGTTAGTTGATAGTGGTTGTGCACGATGCGGATCTGCATATCATGAAGGCTTATTAGTATTGGCAGAGCACTGTCAGGAGAACCTCCATATGGGGCCAGCGTTCCGACTCGCCATCTACAGGATCTAGGCGGTCGGCGATCTCTAAATGAAATTTCTTGGTAAGCAAAGAAACTGGTCATGGCATACGGACAGTTGTGGACAATACAACGGAGGTATCGCACGATAGCCATCCGGAGATTTCTTCCCAACAGCTTACGAATGATCTCTTGTAGTTTGGAGCAGTCCGGTTGGCCAGACAGCTAAGCTGGAGGCACAAGAATGTCTTTTCGCCCTGGAACAGGAGAGCAGCTTCTGAGGAGCACGCATTCGCTCAAGCTCCTATCCAAGCAAGGCATAGGGAACCACGACAGCCTCATGCAACAAGAGAGGTGTCAGGAAGTCCACCCCGGGCACCGCGTGCATGGGTCCTGGACAGGAGACGACAATGTCAAATCGTGGACAAGTCCAGCGTCACCTCTGGATGCATACGACATGCTAATCAGTTACACCAACTGCCCCGTCATCTAACATATAAATAACCGTCGTTCTGTGACCGATTAGTTGCTTCGGGGGGATCACTGTATATTAATCACACGACTAAAGCCCGGCCTGACAAAGCATAAGGATTTGTCACACATCACTTTGAGGCTTCTTGGGGAAGTGAAGATGCGTGATGCTCTCCAACACATGTACCCTCCCCAGACCAGCCCGTCCAATGGATGCTGAATTGCGCTTCGGGACGCTGGCGGTTGACGAGTGGATTTATTAGAGGGGAAAAACATGCCAGGTTGGTAGATGCGCAGACGGCAGTGCACTGAGTGAGGCCACGGCTGTTTGAGAACAGGAAGAGGATCGGTCCAATTGCCATGAAACACGACATGAATCAGTTCAGCAGAGATCAACCCATGTTTTGGCTCTGGAGATACTGCGGCTTTGTATGGGGTCAAGGCCTGTTCACCAGAAACACATCAATTAGGCAGGATCCCGGCCTCCACTAAAGTAGAATGAGTGACTCTAGTTATTCCTTGGTCATGAATCGCGTATAGGTGAAATTGGGTAGCACCTAGGTCAGGGACGCCCTGCATATTAGACAAAATCATCAAGAAGTTCAGCGTCCCTTCTGTTTGATCACGTTGTGTCGGCCATGGCATCAAAGCACGCGGCTATTTGAACACCCATGCATCCTGATCTCAAAACATGGCTGACTCTAATGCAAGTTGCCTAACACCCGAAGAAGTCGATACGATCTGATGGGGGTACTTCCCACAGTAGGGGTCTTGTTCCTGGTCATGCAGAAAAAGAGCCGTCCGCGAGTTCCAAGTGCAATGTCGCATTGCAAGTATGAGTGGAACGGGAGTTTGCCGCTCGACCACCAAGCCATCTTCGTTCAGCAACCACGTCATAAGTGTTGAAGTTAGGCACACACTCAAAGCACTCATCACTACTTTTGTCTGCGTTCTTCCCGGCACTTGCCGGTTTACCATATATATACATTGAGTCCGAGACCCTGTGGCAAACTTACCAGTTTTGCACAGCTTGTAGAGGTCAGTTTCTATAATAAGGACAGTCCTGAAGATACCCTCCAAATGCGGTGGGCGCAAGAGGCGCATGCGTGACACTCCCACCACCTCCAACAAGACACGCCACATAATTTCGAATCCGTTGGAGCGAGAGTTGGCAGCCATCCATTCAGAAGCTGGGTTGGAGCGAGTAAATGCATATTTTCCCGGAAGTGACTTCCTCTCTCCCTGTCAACGAAGAACGTGCTGTATTCCAGCGTCTTCATAACAGGCACCCCAACCCAACATCCAAAACGTTGAAGTTCTTTTTGCTTTTTTGGCTCTAATATTATATTACCCCTATTTACGGCCAAAAAAGTGCAACACGATCGTAGAGGCCTTCCAAAAGCGTCCCTTAGGATGGAATGCGTGTTGCTTGGAGGCCGAATACCAGCACTTCTCCCAGGCCAATCTACTTCATATGCATCCCAGGCAGGCATGAGACCCAGGCCGCCCTTCGCCATAGTCAAACACCGTGTTCTTATATTGGGGCCTCCTCTGGCGATGCTCGTTGGCGACTTGGTCCAAACTAACTGCCAAATCAGATGGGGTCCATGTTTCAAACTTTCACACGGATGGCCGGGCTTCGTGTCAGTGTGTTCGGCCAAGAGCTATTTGGCTCGATCAAAACTTGCAGGTATTATAAGAAGTTACGCCAAGGAAGGAAAGCTAGCTGTCACTGACATGCGGCCACAGCTGGATTACAACCCAAGCTGCCAAGCCACCTGGGTCAAATGGCGGCGTCGCATATACGTACGGTATTCTCTATTCCACAGCATTGCGAATACATGCGCTCTAGATATCCTTCAGAACCGTGGCTTGCGGAAGCTGCGGCACAAGAAATGGAAAACTTCGATCAGGATCCGTATTGCGAACACTAGAGGATGTGGCTAGCAGCGGCATGATCAACCTTGGAGAGAGGCAGGCGCATGACTGTGCTCCTGTTAGGAAATCCGATTTCCTGCCCCACGCCAGCCATGATCATTACATCAGGTTCTGATTTTATCTCGACAAAAGCGGTGCAGGATGCTCTTGATTGCCTACCCATTGGTAATGGGACGGTCAAGCTTTGTGAGAAATTTAGGGATGCTCAGTTCGTTTTACGCATTTTTATCGGCTGCATGGCGAGGAGGTTGCATGCACCACAGGCTGTGCAATGGGGATGATCCGATGCGCCGCTTTCATCGCCAGGCATGTATGGCCAAGTATTGACATGGCGATACCGGACCTGCTGGATCCCCAGCCAGGGCTACTCCTGAAGGACAATATGACAGCAATGTGTATCCAGCTCAAGAATCGTTGTACAACTAATGAATTGTGCTCCTTGGGGCGGGGGGATCGATATATCGGATCAGATAGTCAGATAGTCTTCGACATTCTAAGTATGAATTACAAATGGCCACCCCCCTCGATCAAATGTCATGCATAACAACCATTGATCATGATATTTCAATGAGAACGAGCTGGCATTTCGAGAAAGTCACAAACGTGGACAAGAGTGAGAAGCTAGGTTCGTACAGCGTCGCTCGAGCCGAGCTAAAGAACGATTTTGGACATCTTGCACGAGTCGATCGATCGAATTCTTTTTGATCAATCTTCAATCAACTTGGGGTAAGTAATATTATCCCTGGACAAGCGACACAACAGCAGCCGAAACCATAAGCGGGGATCGCGAATATATGTCCGGGTTTGGGTACTCTTTAAAGAGTCGCTGGAAGATAACGTCGTCTTCATCGTTAGTATGGAGTGGGCCACTCTCGTGCAGGTGGGGGACCCGTGGTATCGCCAATCGGCCGACCGATATTACTCATTCGGTCCAGGGATAATATAATCTACGAGGCGAGGCAGGTACAGCAGACTTTCACGACGTTTAGTTCACGAAGGCGTGAAAGTTTCACAATCGTGCTCACATTGCATGCTTCAACAATTAACCATAACCTCATAGTCACACATTTCGACATTGTGTGTGGCGCGCGCGCGCGTCCGCCAGCGAATTAAGACGACTGGGTGTGGGTCTGCTTGGAGCTACGCGCATTTTGCAGGTCATTCATCCAAATCGGGGGCGACATTTTTTTTGCAATCCACTGTAATATGAATCTGTAATACGAATTCAACTCCGACGTCGATCAAATGTCATAACGACCACACTTCATTGGAAATGTACAAGAGATATGGACAGGAGTGAGAAGCTAGTGGAAGTACTGCGTTCACGCAAGTGTACATCATTCTTTCTGCGTTGTTTCTTTTTTTATTTTTTATTTTTTCTTTCTCATTCGTTCGTTGTGACGCCAGAGCCTTAATCGGGACTTTGAGATCACGAAGGTTAGTTTATATGTATAGCCGATATCGGTTTAAAGAGGTGGTAGTGGAGGGGACACACACCTGCACATCAACAAATAGGCTGCCGGGTTTCAAGTTTAGTGGTCAAGAGGGGAATTTGGATGTTCAGAATGTTCGGGAGCGTGCACGAGATCGTCATGCGGCGGTTGGTTGGGGAAAGCCTGGGCAACTTGGTTCCCGAAATTGTAATGCTGACCGAGGGTGGCCGTGAATTGGACGTTTGCTTTTTGCTGGAAGACCATCACGCAATCGGAACCACCACATTGGAAGTAAGAAATTTCGTCTCCTTTCTTCACTTTTTGTTCGCATGTGACCGTGAGTTTGACGGAGGAGACTTGAGCCATTCCGATGGGTAAGACGGCGACGAGACCGATGGTGGGGTTATCAATCACGATCAGTCCTCGTGCTTGGAGGAATTGGTAACCGGGAGTGTCAGGAGCTGAGATGTCGCTCCCAGTGTAGGCTGCGCCACCCGTGCCTTTGGGAGCCCCACGACCTAGCAAGGGCGCAGGAAGACCTCGTCGCATCGATAGAGATGTATTCCCACTTTCATCGGTTACCGCCTCCACCTCCAAGTAGCAAAGACCTGGGATCACTCTCGCTTCCCGCACTATTCCTGGGACTGGAGCATGCTGACGGTGATAGTCGTGCGGGGCAAGGAAAGAATGGGTGAAAACACCACCACCGAACTCATTTTTGTACTTGCTATCATCCAACAATTGCTGGATATGCCAAGGGATGTACTTGAGGAAGACGACGCTGTTCTTCTCGATCGGCCAGGCACCGTCAAAGACGGAGTCAGCGGGGCTCACAATGACGGTGGGATCCGAGGGAACGTCGATAGGTCGAAGGGCGGGATTAATCTCCCGGGCGAAGAACTCGTTGAAAGACTTCCAGTCACGTTTTGGGTAATCTTCCATGCGATAGATGGGAGACTTGTAAAAAGTTTGAAGCGATGCTTTGGTTAAGGATTCGGGTTTGTCCAAGTTGCTACCCATCGCTTTCGCAAATTTGATTATCCAATTGGAAAGCCAAGTCCAGGGTTGTTTGGAGATGGGAAGGATAGGCGTTTGGAGACTCTTTATGGGAGACAGGTCGAGAATGAAGTAGAAAAGACAGAGATGGTAGTACACGTTCTTCCCATCAAACGTTTCGGTAGGTATCCAATGTAGAAGGCGTTCGTAGAAATTAAGGTAGTCATTCAGATTGTGGATATGAAACTGTTTCAACTGCGGTACATTGATTCTAAGGGCGATTTGAACTCCCAACTCGAACGCGGTGAAGACATCAGGGTGCTCTTTGAGATATGTCCTTAGGTGATCGACGACGTCACCGGCATCTATTCGATAGGTAGGAAATAATTGGTTCAGTATCCAACGAGATAGTGGTGACGATGCGACGCACTCGAGTCTTGCTGTGTGCTCATGATTATTTGCCTGGAGGTCAGAAAGGAAAGCTGAAGTGGGGGAGGAGCGGCTGAAAAATCGTTCACTTTATACCGCTCGAAAATAATACAAGCGGATACCAGTCAGGGGCGTTATCAGTTAGTGGCGATCATGAACACAGGTCATGGGGTGCTGCAGGGTTCACGAATGCTCTATTAGTCATCGCGGAGAAGATCTCAGCAATCGGCAATCTCAGTATGAAAACACCTGGTGACCAGAGAACAAACTGGCAAAGCACACGGATAGTAAGAATAATGTAATTGGCGGATCGCAGGACACGCAACTTCCGAGGAGCATTTCCCTCACCCTTACCCTAAGGTGGAGAGAGCGGAGATAGGAATCATCCATCCGGGCCTCATATGGGAGGACCCATTGATTGTGCATTTCAGAGTGCTCCACGCCTTTGCTGCGGAGACCGAAATTCGATACGCAGTGTGTAATAGCATTCAAGTGCACGGTAAGGAGATTGATCAAGCCTCTCGTCACCGGGCCATGAGCCTCTAACACGGCATTCATTGTCCTATCTTTTGGTCGCTTGCAAACCGTCCTTTGGGTTCAAATGTTGATCAGGAGAGTTGGATGGACTTTGCATTGCCATGAAATTTGTCACAGAAGCACAGTCCCAGAACACCAGATAGATCATCAAGGCGCTGATTCGTGGTGGCGCTCGTGGTGGGGTGCTGGGTCACCTGGGCAATACAGCACTACTGTAGTACATACTGGTTATAGAACAGCTTGTCGGAAATTCGTTCCCACGTGCTCAGAGATCGCGCGGGTGATCGCCTAGCCCAGGGAAAGTTTGACCCCATCTGCAGTCCTGGCAGCTGCACAGGCAGTAAAGCTCAACTACGTGGATTCCATGCGGCAATCACCATCACAGTCAGCGCACGAACGATGGCAAAGGGAAAATCTGGCGGGGGCCAATCTGATTGCGAGTGGAGTCATGACTCCATGAGAAAGGATGGGGAGAACACATTTATGACGTGAATACGGAGTCGACCAGCCGGCCTGTCATGTTGTTGCCTCGTGATCCAGCAATATTAGAACCCAATGGAGCTAGCGCATTAGTGACTGATTCTTTTCTCTCCGTTGCCTGTGCTCTACCGTCCTCAGACAAGCGATCCAGACTCGCGGCGCTTCGAGACACTGATGATTGCTTTACATAAAATAGAAGTGTTTAATCATGTCGTGCAGGCGCTATGACACATGCAATATGACAATATAATTCGGACAACTCCGCCACAATGCAATTCAAATGTCATCACGGGGTTGATGAACGCATGAACGCCCACTTGACGCTCACCTCATGAACCCCATGAGTGATCCAAATTCCCGTGAAACGGTACAAGCTACCGAAATCCGAGACCTGTAACATGCGATCGGGTGCGTATTCGTATTTTAAAACCAAAAGCTATTCGCGTAAGACTCAGACTCGTAAATCGCGATGAGAAAACATGGAACAACTGTTCGCCACTCCTTTTCTCTGTCGCCCACCCAAACATCTTTGGGGGTCAGTGACTCTAGCTGTCCTTTGGTTATGACGTATAGGTAACATCTGGACCGGACAAACGTATGTGTTGTTGTCAGATAATCCGCTTTCACCTCGCGAGAATTTCCTTCGAGGTGCATCGTAACGACTATATTTCATCGAAACAAGGGGTTTTGAGAAGTTATAGATTGGATAGAGTGAGAAGCTATCAGAAGTTCAGCGCAACGCAAACAAATGTTTTGCCCCTTTTCCATCTCGTTGCTTTTTTCTTTTTTCTTTTTTAGTCGAGCCTCAGTTAGCCTTCGCAGGTTGGGGGAGGGTGACTTTCCGGGCTGGTTTTTTCTTATCATGGAGTTGTTGCAATGGTACGGAGATCGTTATGAGCCAAGGGCTCTGATTGGAGCTTTTGATATTACAAAAGTCAGTCCACATGCATAGCTAGGGCGGGACTCTAGGGACACGCACGTACATCCCCAAATGCTGCCGAGAGTTCCAAGTTCAGTGGCCATTAGGAAGAGCGGACTCGGGACGCTTGATATGTTTATGACGCTTGGGAGCAGGCTTGAAGCCTTCCTGCGGTATCCCGTCGGGGAAAGCCCTGGCGACTTGGATACCAACGTTGTAATGCTGACCGAGGGAGGTCGTGAACCCGACGTTTGCTTTCCTCTGGAAGAGCATCACGCAATCGGAACCACCGCATTGGAAGTAAGAAATTTCATCTCCTTTCTTCAGTGTGTCGCCTTCTTTAACTGTCAGTACAACGGAGGAGACTTGGCACATTCCGATGGGTAACACGGCAACGAGACCGATGTCCGGATTCTTGATCACGATTAGCCCCCTTGCTTGGAGGAATTGGTAACCGGGAGTGTTAGGAGCCAAAATGTCGTTCCCGGTGTGGGTTGCGCCACCCGGGTCCTTAGGGGCTCCAGGGCCTGACCTTGCCGCAGGAAGGGCCCGCTTCATCGATAGACGGGCGTTCCTGTCACCGTCAGTTGTCGCGTCTACCTCGAGGTAGCAAAGACCTGGAATCACTCTCGCTTCTAGCACTTCTCCTGCGACCGGGGCATGTAGACGATGATAGTCGTACGGGGCGAGGAAAGAATGAGTGAAAGCACCACCGCCGAACTTGGATTTGTAGGGGCTGCCGGCCAACAATTGGCGGATAGGCCAAGGGATGTGCTTGAGGTAAACGATACTGTTATTCTCGATCCGCCAGCAGCCGTCAAAGACGGAGTCAGCTGGGCTCACGATGACACTGTGGTCGCCGGGGCGTCCAGCGACAGGTCGAAGTCTGCCTTTAATCTTCCGGGCAAAAAAATGGTTGAAACTCTTCCACCCGCCTTCGGGTTCTTCGTAATCTTCCATGTGGTAAATGGGAGAATTACGGAAAGTTTCAAGCGATTCTGGGGTTAAAGATTCAGGCTTGTCCAAGTTGCTGCCCATTGCCTTCGCAAATCGGATGATCCACTGAGAAAGCCAAGTATAGAGTGATTTGGAGGTAGGGAGGATTGGAGTCTGAAGCCGATCTATGGGAGACTGGCCGAGAATGAAGTAGAAAAGGCAGAGATGGTAGTACACATTCTTCCCGTCAAATGTTTCGGTAGGCACCCAATGTAGAAGGCTTTCGCAGAACTCAAGGTAGCTCTCCAAATCGTAAATATTAAACTCTTTCAATTGTGGTATGTTCATGTCAACAGCAATTTTGACCCCCAAGTCGAATGCATCCCGGGCTTCGGGGTTATTGCAGAGATAGTCCCTAAGCTCATCGACAACATGAGAGGGGTCTATTCGGTGAGTACACAACATTGGTTCGGTGTCGAATGAGATAATAGCGATAATTCGACGTACCTGCATTGACAGATTGCTGGACATTAATAGAATTCAGGCTCATGATTGATTGCTGGGGGTGCCGAATGGAGTTGAGAAGCCATCATTTTTATAGGACTCAGGAACAACTGAGATAGTCAGCGGTCAGGAGTGTTGTAAGTTGGACAGTGGTTGTGCACGATGCGGAACTGCATATCATGAAGGCTAATTAGTATTGGCAGAGCACTGTCAGGAAAACCTCCACATGGGGCTAGCGTTCCGACTTGCCATATACAGGATCTGGGCGGTCGGCGATCTCTAAATGAAATTTCTTGGTAAGCAAAGAAACTAGTCATGGCATACGGACAGTGGACAATACAACGGAGGTATCACACGACAGCCGTCCGGAGATTTCTCCCCAACAGCTTACGAATGATCTCTTGTAGTTTGGAGCAGTCCGGTTGGCCAGACAGCTAAGCCGGAGACACAAAATGTCTTTTCGCCCCGGAACAGGAGAGCGGCTTCCGAGAAGCATGCATTCGCTCAAGCTCCTATCTAAAGCAAGGTAGAGAGAACCACGACAGCCTCATGCAACAAAAGAAATATCAGGAAGTCCATCCCGGGCACGGTCCTGGACAGGAGACGACAACGTCAAATCGTGGACAAGTCCAGCGTCACCTCTGGATGTATACAACATGCTAATCAGTTGCACCAACTGCCCCGTCAACTGACATACAAATAACCGTTGTTCTGTGACCGATTAGTTGCTTCGGGGGGATCACTGTATATTAATCACACGACTAAAGCCCGGCCTGACAAAGGATAAGGATTTGTCACACATCACTTTGAGGCAGTGAAGATGCGCGATGCTCTCCAATACATGTACCCTCCCCAGACCAGTCTATCCGATGGATCCTGAATTGCGCTCCAGGACGCTGGCGATTGACGAGTGGCCTTATCAGAAGCGAAAAACATGGTAGATGCGCAGACTGTAGTGCATTGAGTGAGGCCACGGCTGTTTGAGAACAGGAAGAGGATCGGTCCAATTGCGATGAAACACAACAAGCATAAGTTCAGCACGGATTGACCCGTGTTTTGGCTCCTGGAGATACTGCAGCTTTGTATGGGGTCAAGGCCGGTCCACCAGAAATACATCAATAGAAGGGTCAGTGACTTAGGCAGGGCCCCAGCCTCCACTAAAGTAGGTTATCCCTTGGTCATGAATCGCGTATGGGTGAAATTGGGTAACACCTGGGTCAGGGGCGCCCTGTATATTAGACAAAATCGTCAAGAAGTTCGGCGTTCCTCCTGTTTGATCACGTTCTGTCGACCATGGCCGCGGCTATTTGAATTTTGAACACCCATCCTGATCTCAAAGCATGGCTGACTCTAATACAAGTTGCCCAACATCCGACGAAGTCGATACGATCTGACAGGGACACTTCCCACAGTAGGGGTTTTGTCCCTTGTCATGCAGAAAACGAGCCATACGCGAGTTCCAAGTGCAATGGCGCATCTGGAATGAAAATTTCACTGTGAGTGGAACCGGAGTTTACCGCTCGACCACCAAAATCGCGAGAACAAGGCCATCTTCGTCCAGCAAATACATCATAAGGACAGTCCTGAAGATGCCTCCAAGCGTGGTGGGCGCAAGAGGCGCATGCGCGACACTCCCACCACCTCCAACAAGACACGCCCAACGGACATAATTTCGAATCCGTTGGAGCGCCATTTAGGATACAGAATTAGAGCGAGTAAATGCATATTTTCCCGGAAGTGACTGCCTCTCTCCCTGTCAACCCAACCTGACATCCAAGACGTCGACTTTGGCTCTAATATCACCCCTATTTACGGCCAAAAAACTGCAATACGATCGTAGAGGCCTTCCGAAAGCGTCCCTTAGGGAGGAATGCGTGTGGCCCTGTGTTGCTTACAGGCCGAATACCCAGCACTTCTCCCAGGTCAATCCACTCCATATGCATCTCAGGCGGGAATGGACCCAGGCTGCCCTTCGCCATAGTCAAACACCGTATTCTTATATTGGGGCCTCCTCTGGTGATGCTCGTTGGCGACTTGGTCCAAACTAACTGCCAATTCAGATGGGGTCCATGTTTCAAGCTTTCAAACGGAAGGCCGGGCTTCGTGTCAGTGTGTTCGGCCAAGAGCTCATGTATCTAGCTCGATCAGAACTTGCAGGCATTGGCCGGAACTATAAGAAGTTATGCCAAGGAAGGAAAGTTAGCTGTCACTGACATGCGGCCACGACTGGATTACAACCCAAGATGCCAAGCCACTTGGGCTATATTGAGTCAAATGGTGGCGTCGCATATGCGTACGGTATTCTCTATTCCACAGCATCGCAAATATATGCGTTCTAGATATCCTTCTAAACCGTGGCTTGCTGAAGCTGCGGCACCAGAGATGGAAAACTTGCAGAGCCTTCGATCAGGATTCGTATTGCGAACACTAGAGGACGTGGCTAGCAGCAGCATGATCAACCTTGGAGAGAGGCAAGCGTATGACTTGTGCTCCTGTTAGGAAATTCAATTTTCCGCCCCACGCCAGCCATGGTCATTACATCAGGTTCTGATTTTATCGAGTCCTCATTCTCGACAAAAGCGGGTGCAGGATGCTCTTGATTGCCTACCCACTTGTGCTGGGACTGTCAAACTTTGCGAGCAATTTAGGGATGTTCGGGTTCGTTTTGCGCATTTTTATCGGTTGCATGGCGAGGAGGTTGTATGCACCACAGGCTGTGCAATGGGGATGATCCGATGCGTCGCTTTCATTGCCGTACATGCACAGCCAGGCATTGACACGGCGACATTGGTCCCGCTGGATCCCCAGCCAGGGCTACTTCGGGAGGATAATATGATAGCAATGTTTATCTGGCTCAAGAATCGTTGCACACCGGGAAATGTTGTGGCCTACAGTATAGATGTTGATGAGCTATTCTTTGATGGAAATCAGCCATACATAACTCTCGTAATGGAGTTACCTCAGACGCGGGTTCGACGAGAAAGGAGGGATGCCTCTAGACTGATGGAATCCTTTGCTCCTTCGAGGTTGACTCCAACAACGAAACAATCAAGGAGTCCCGGTTGAGCATTCCATGCCCAGTCTTGTCGCGTATGGTTGTGGCCAAAATGTGTATAATATGGAGGACGAAGCGCAACGCTATTATACTTTGTTGCAGAAGGGGTGATCTCTTTGCGGGACGTTGTCGCAGGGGCGATAGATCTCATCATTTCATTCCGTTCCCCTCGATCCCTGATTACAAAGTGTGGTCAGCACCACTTGGGATCATGGCTGACACGGCAGGGAAAAGACACATTGTTGGATCGGAGAGTGTTGCATTGTTAAGTTTGAAGGATTTGTAGGGCCATACATACTCAAGTTTCCCTGGTTAGTGTCTCTGTCCTTGTAGCACATACTAAAACTTGTGTCGTTGTACATGGAATGCATGATTTGAACTAATGGCTTCATGTCCATTTCGTGACAGGGTGAGCTGAATATATATATGCATGGTGATGGCTACCGACTCCACGTTTTGACTCCTGCAGATACTGTAGCTTCGTACTGGGTCAAGGCCCGTCCACGGGAATACATCAGTGACTTCAGTTGTCCCCTGGTTGTGACACGTGTATGGATAACACGGGTGACATCTGGGCCAGGCCGGCGTACGGCTTCCGGACTTAATGTCATCTTTTTGCCGGATGTGCGGATCTTGTTGGTGAATGGGGCCAGAGTTGAGCGAGTTGTTGTTTTCCTTCTTTTTCCCTACCCTTTTTTTCTTTTCAGATCTTTGTTTAGGGTTTTCTTGGCATCAGTAGTTGAGGGACTGGCAAAGCGCGACCCGGCAGGTGGTAACCTCGGCAGCATTCCTAACGCGGTTGCTCTCTTCCTGCTGGTTTTGATTCCCTCGCTGCGGACGCAGCGAGCGCCCGGGAATGTTTGTCCGGGTTGCTGGTTTCCCCTGGGGTTCTCGGTCCCTGTGACCACCTGCTAAACTCCCGTTTCCGTTATTAGGTACGTACTGCTGGATATGAAAACGATAGTTGGGCGATTTGGCATTAATTGTATGCTCATTGACACCTTAAAACCTCCTATATTTCTAGCGCGTTCAATCGGCTAATTGAACCTATTTATATCTTTCATCTCTTTCCTCCACCCACCCCCATCCTGGTGTTCCCTATCCTATTGGCGGATGCCTCGTCAAGCTGGAACATCCCACGTTCGTGTGCCGTAGGAAGATCTCCGTGACAGTTAAACCGAAGGTTAGCAGTATTGTGGCGGTACGGCATATCCTCCTCCTTTGGCCTGGCCACTCCTCTAGCCACCGTTTCTACTGTTTCCCACAAGCTTGGACTTGGCGCTTTCGCCGATACCGACCTGAGAGACTACGGGGTTACTTTAAATCATGAGGCTCCCAAAATTCATGCATGCATTGTGTACCCCTGTTCCACATTCAATCTTGAGGGGGAAGTTACTGGGGACCGACGTCGGATGCGCTGCGTCGTATGATTATGGTACGCAGGGTTTAGTAATATGGACTTGCGGTCCTGTGAAGTGCTGCCGAGACACCCGTTCAGCGGTTCTGCCCATGGACAGCGTCACTTCTAAACTTCGTGTGGCTGAGCATGCAATACTCAGCCGGCCGCCACCCAGCCGTGACAAGCACAGCCATTTACATGATGCACTCTCGCACTAGTGAGGACTTGATCTATGATTTGTATTAGGTAATCGCGCCCTAATGTAGGATCCCTTGAGAGATTTTCCATCAAATCGGACTCCAAGGGCGGCCCCATGACATCACGCATCACGTACATACCAACATGAGTTAGGTGTAAGCCTAGCAAACTCGGACGTTTGTTACCATGGATGCCTTCATACTTAGTGCCGTATGCTTTTGCAATGATATGCGTCGTCGTCGACGTCAAATAGCGCCCTTGGCAGGGCCCGAGGGGGCGCATTAAAATGGATTTTCCAAATTGGAATACCAATTCCCACATTTTGAGATTATGTAATTTGGTGGAGTCTTCCACGTGCCTGACCCGATTGGGTAACGGCCCGTCCATTCCGCCTTTTTTTTCCCCAAGAACACGACATAGCGGCATTGCAAGTCGCCCTCAACGACGATTATCTTTGTTGGTATCTAGAGTATATTTACCTTACTTGCGCACAATTCACTCCTCAATTAAATAGCACGATCTTTTGCTAACGTGTCTCACGATCTTGCCACGCTTTTTTGGGACGCTTTCGCAGCCGCCTTGAGGCACGATACCCTTGTTCTTACCTGGCCTTGTGGCTCCGAGGCGCCACATCGACCATTTCGGGCTGGAAGCGGGCTGGTTGTCGACGAGCGGAGGCTTCGTGTCCCCACCTGCCCCCACCAGCTCCTTCATGCTTTCCACTAGTACTGAATCTGCCCCCAATTTTGAGCCAGCGCCGACGTCTACATCATTTTCTGGAACAAGTATACCAGCTGGTACCCCCACGTCGTATACATACGCTTCAATCACAACTAACAGTTTCAGTTATACACCTTCAACGCCCATATCAACATTCACTGTGGATGCTACATCCTCCATAATCAGCGCGATAATCATGACATTCCCATCGACCACGTTCACTACTACTCTGGCTCAGGCAACCTCGTTGCACCAGGGGACAACAATCTCCTCATCTCGTGCATCTCCATCCAACATAATCGATGTCAACTCAGCACATGACGTCTGTGTCGGTCATGGTTTGGACTCTTTGAGTACAGGCGCTATATCTACACTGATATTTTCAGTTGCTGTCGCTTCTATAATATGGGTATGTACATCCAGTTACCTAGAGAGACGTCCATGCTGATGCTTTTCGCTTAACAGCTCTTGTTTGCTGTCGTTAGACCAAGAATGCGGGAATTGTATGCGCTGAGAGAATGGTTCCTTCGGCCAGAGTACGTGCATACATATTCGTATCGTATTGATTGCGAACCTCATGAACGAACCACCGAAAGTCTTCGCCCTCCACCTCTAGGCAATGGCCTCTTTTCGTTTCTTCATCCCCCAGTCCCAATGATTCCTTCGTTACCGAGCGATGTCTCGAATCTCGGCGACTCTCCGGCTGGCGATGCTCTCTTGTTCCCTTCCGATGACGAGCTTATTCAGAGAACAATTTGGGTCGCGTTCCTTCTGGTCCTCGGATGGACATTTGTCGGACTTTCCGCTTCGATTCCACTGTATTTGGTGAAGATGCCTTGTTTTGGGAATACAGTGGCGGCGCCCGAGCATACGGAGAGTATTCCGCTCTTCAGGACCTTTCAGTTCTACGTTTGTTAAGGCTCTTGGACAACGGACGTGTTAATACCTCATCACACACTGGATCGAATCTTGGCCGCTCACCATCAAGTCTCACCAAGCGTCTCGTTGTAGATGGCGTGGATGAAGCGCACAAAGCTAGGGTGCGGTTGGTGATTCTGGCAATTGTTCTTCTTATTGCAGTCGTTCCCGCACTCATCAAACTACTTCGGGAATTCAATGCACTTGTCGCCTATCGGAAGCGATGGGTTACACTTCGATGTGAAGGTCACGAGATGGGATGGCTTAGCGTCGATAGGGTCCCCGGTTTAGCTGGTCTGGGGGAGAAGGATGTCAAGGATGTGATCATCAAGTATGGACTGAGCGTTTCACTCGAACCACCATCTGGTATAGATCCGCGACGGAGAACGGATGAGATTCAGAGGCGTTATCGGGAGAGCTCGGCGATGGATGACGAAAATGGTGCTTTTGCCGCGCCCGCCCCAAACCAGGAGCACGGCGCCGACATAGATGTTACTGGGGTCTTTTCCATCGTGTGAGTTGATAAAGTTCTTGCTTTTTGTTGCGGTGATTGATTTTACGTATCCAGAGACACCGATGTTCTCAGCGGCCTTGTCAAGACTAGGGCTTTTGTCCTTAACAATTTGGAGCAAGCAGAGTGTCTCTACATCGACTCCTTCAAGGTATCGAGCTCTGAAGCTCTGACGTCTGCTGAGGACGATATTGTGCCGCTCGAGTCTCCCGATACATACGAACAGGCCCCACGGGAAAAACGCATCGGTCGCCCTCGCCCTTTGAGATCATCGCGGCTTGTGAGTACTTTCAGTCCTATCAATCCGTCTTCCACATATGTGACCCGGGCACCAGAACTATGGCAGGAGAAGCGCATCCTCATCCTCCAGACCTCCTACAACCTATATAGCCCCTTCATCGTATTATCGCCTCAGGGGAATTCGTCGTGTTAGCGATGCGACAACTGATCGTAATGGCAGCAATGGTGGTATGATGTCAGAGTTTGGTTATCGTGCGACTCGATCTAGGATCGATGAAGCTCCCCCACGTCAATCTGTGACATTTGGACCTCTGCCTCAAGATGGTCATCCTCACGCAGAGAGACCAGAACCCATCAATTTCACGCAGGGCCCAAACTATGGCGAACCGGATCCAGAGGAGGAGGCTCGGTGGCTTGATCAGGAAGGTTGGGATGTCATGCCTGATAGAGAGAGGCTTCCTGAGATTCTCGAGCGACAGAGTTTCTTGTCGCGTATAGGTCTTGGATTTCCACCTCGTGGCTCTCGACTTGTCACGTACCGGGAAACCATCTCAGAGGAGTCGTTTGCGTCTCCCCACGACTCTTCTGAGGATCGCCATGCTGCAATTCGCAATCTTGATTTTGGAGTTGAGGGGGAGCCGTTAACTCAGGTCCCCTCACTAGCCCCTGTCCCCCGCCTGAGATTGCAGGAGCCCATTATGCGTCCCGTGTCCGGGCTTCATCAAGAGCACTTAACATCCTTGTATCAGGATATCCGAAGATGGCGTTCTCAATTGAAGGCTTTGAATATCGAGATCGAGGATCAGCAAAAATCGGCCGTTGATCAAATAGCGCAGGGTCGTAATGTTCGTGGGTGGCTTCTCGTTGGAAAGGGTATTCGTTTCTTTCCTGGAGTTCGAATGATCGAAGGGCGAAGTAAGGATGACATCCGTTGGGAGGAATTGCAACATGACGGGGGGCTCATTGGACGGATTTCCTTCTGGATCATTGTCAGTATAGTCGGGGTTGTCCTTGCCGGAGCTTGTAAGTGGTCCTTTTTTTTCTATGGGCGCGTTGCTAAGGCCAACTACGCAACAACAGTGGTCCCTGTACTCGGTTTAGCCCTTGCCAATGCCCAGACTTTGCATACTATTTGCCATTGCTCAACACAGTAGACAATTACCCCGACTTCTGGCCTGGTGTACTTACCACGTTGGTACCAGCAGTAGCTGCTTCGCTCTTTATGTGCATCGCTGTTGGATTGGTTCATTGTGCGTCGTATTGCGAGAATCGTTTCCATCACTCTGATGGGTTGCCATAGATGCCGCAAAGTTTAGTGGATCGGTGTCAAATTCCGGGACAAGACTTATGGCCCTGAAAGCAACTTTTTATATCATGGTTGTGATTGCAGGAGTATGGCTGATCGGCATCAGCTCTATCCTATTCAGTATCAACTCCTTCAAGAACGGCTCAGGGGAGACCCGTAGCCTTTCCACAGGGGCCATATATATTGCTGCATTTTGCATGTGCATTGGCATATATGCAGCATTCATTGCACCTGGGCTTCTTTTGCTGCAACCCTTACGTTTGTTACGAGTCCTTCGTGCCCGGTGGAAAGCGATTACCCCTCGTCAGACATTTCGAGGTAACATACATCTTTCCTCTTAATTTTGTGTATTTCACCTCACCACTTGGTCTTTCCCAGCCGTATATCCTCGACCTTACAATCCCTCCTTCGGCATGGCTGCTTGCATTCTTGCAGTCTTCTTCACTGCAACTTTTTCACTGCTCTTTCCATTGATTGGTCCGCCGCTAGTCGTTTTGGTTTTTTTAACCTTGGTCGCGCACAGATACCTGATAGGCTATGTGTACGGCCGCGTCGAGCGTGGCCAAACGGGTGGTTTGCTTCACATATGGCTCGTTGGACGGTTCGCCACCATGCTCTCCCTCCAGCCATTGTTACTTGGCCTTCTTCTGTTGGTGCATCGCATGTGGGTCTTAGGAGGTATTCTCTTGGCTGCGGCAGGTTTCATCATCGTGTTCGTGGAAGCCTATACCACAATTCGGCTACGTGAACCGGGGACCCGTTCGCTTACCAACACAACTCGCGACTCTCTAGACGAGTTCTCCCACGTCATTACCACCGCAGTGCTGAGAGAAGATGATGAGAAAACCTTACCCTCCCTTCCAAGGTCGAGGTCCGTTCCTGACCTTACACGCAGTCGTACCACTTCTTTTGCCAGCCTTCTTGATATGATCTCATCAACATTGGCTGTCACTCCTTCTCGTCGGGTGAAGGGCCCCGTTCCTCTGCGTGAGTATCATTGTCATGACATAGCATTCCTTCGTTTACCATGGCTCCCATTTTCTATTCATTAGCAACCGAATCAATCGATGACCTCATATCAACCGCCCGAGCTGCTGCCACAAATCCCGACACCCCTCCACAATTAAACCCAGATGATCCTGCTGATAACTTCGCGGATCTATTATACCCCCCTGAAACTCTTGCGCCTCCCCCAGCAATTTGGCTTACGAATGATCCTGCGGGGATTGGCAGGTCAGAAGTTAGCGATTTGGAGCGGTTCCACCGTTTGAATGCGGTGCTTGACACTGCACCAGCTAGACGGCCTGGAGGCTATCATTAGCAATCACCCAGATGGACACGCAGCAGTTGGACATTTGTTTAATTTTTTGCCGTATCTTTTCACCCTTTCCGGACCCTTTTTCCTCAGCTTTCATTAAAGGTTTAATCCAAGAGCATTGGTACAGGGATTTGTTCATCATTTCAGTATGAAACTCTTAGTTTCCTAACGAAACCAGACATGTTGAAGGACTAATGCCGATGCGCGAGCACGAATGTCATGGGGTTCAATACTATTGATCCGCAGTAGTTATACAGGACTGCAATGATACCAAAGCAAACGAATGCGATAAAAGCAACATGATTGGGGTCAAGGATATGAATACAGACGTGGGTGGCTGTAACAAGGAGTGAAACAAATGTCGCCTTCCACGAAATATGAAGTGCCATACATTAGCTTACACATGGCAACATACTCTAAACTTAGTCCATAATGGAGATACTTAGGAGTAGAGTCTATTCCTCCAGCCATTTCTCCCCTTTCTTGACATATTTGTCAAGGAGTAGGCCAAGGTCGCGAATGACCCAAGTTAGCACTACCGAAGCGAAAAACTCCGATGAGCGCCTTAAACGTGTCTCGATTTGGTGTCGTAGATCAGGTGCTAATGCCGAGTATGGTGTAGGTAAGAAAGAGTTGGAAAAGGCTTTGATGTGTTCATCTAAAATGGGGGGCAGAGCGCCACTGAGGAAGGCCGGAGTTATGACAAGAGGAAATCATACCAAATGTTTGAGCTTGCTGGAAGAGCTTCGTTAACCCGTTGACGTATAACGATGGAGAATCAAAACTACGGATCGGTCAGAAAAGACCAAGAATTACAACGATAATCATGGTTCACCTCTTGTTATTCGTCATGCGGTCCAGTGTTCTAGAAAACTTTCCGCTCCAGGAAGTTACCTGGCCAAAAAATGACAGAAAATCAATGGGAGAACACGTAAAAATGCGCGGTAAACGCTGCATACCCCACTTCCCTTCCTCGCGGATACAATGCCTTCGCCAACACCCAGCTTTTTGCCGACACTGCTTAGAACACCTTCGCATACTGTTGAGAACTCCTCAAGGCACTTCAGCCACCGCTCGGCGCTTGACCGACCAGCACCACGAAAGAACTCGCCACTGCCAGTAACAACCTCCTCGAGCGCCGTATTGAGGGCTTCTACACACTTGCCCTTCTCGGGCAGATTGTTTAACTTGGCGCCCCCTTGGGACCACACGTCGTGCGGGACGTACAATTTCCTTGTCAGAAAACCACCTTGCTTAGATGACATGGACGTAAGGAGCAGAGACATGAGGTGGAAAGGCCGCCGCAACGGGTCTACGGGTGGACTCGGGGGAGGAGGCTGCGATGCAGCCACCTGCACTATTGCTTGGGTATGTGTACCAGCAGCTTGAGTAGAATGCAAGCCGAAACCGGTATTTGTTGCCGTACGAACCTGAGCCAATGAGTGGGGTATTGAAATCTTCCGAGGAAGGGTACGAATGTCTGATGCTGAGCGAGGTGCGGCAGACTGCTTCGCCGCAAGCGAAGCTGACTCCGGAGGCGCAGTACCCAATGCCAGAGACAGTGGCGCACCAGTTTGGGATGGCCGTCTCCCTGGCTGAGAAACAGCGCGGAGACGTCCCGGGATGCCTAGGCTTGCGGCCGTCGTAGGGGGTAATGCTTCAGCTAACCTGGGAGGAATGACAGAAGTGTTTGATGTTGGAGTCGGTAAAGGGGGCGGGGGACTTGGTGCGCCAGGATAGATAGATCTGCGTCGCTGAGCAATTGAGCTAAATACAGTGGAAGTTGATATGACTGACTGCTGCAATTGTCGAGATCCCCTTTCCAGCAGTTCGGGAGTAGCAGCATCGGACCATGAACCTATAGAACCCGACGCAGCGTTTCGAGACCTAACTGGATGAGGATAGCCTGAACTCGACGTAGATTCGTTGTCATTACTGAGGACTGAGCCTTGGGATGAAATAGACTCGCTGCCTCCTCTTCTGCCATGCAGTTCCGAAAAGCGAGGCGTCAAGGGAGATGGAAGATTTGGAGAAACGGGTCGAGACGTTGATGCTGATGTTACGACGTGTGGAGTGGAAGCTGTTGGGGTTGGAGGAATCACACAGTCTAATATCTCTGATACCGGCGTACCTTCCGAGTGTTGGGGACTGTCTGGGGATTTGACATAATTTACTCGGTCGCTGCCACTGGATGCCACACGGCGATGACCCAAGGATCGCTCGGGAGCTTCTAGCGTAGACTGTGCAGCAGCAGGGACAGTTGGTCTCGCTGTTGAAGGAGTAAAGGGTTTCGGCGGTGGAAGACCAGCGGGCGGGGGTCTGATTGGAGGCAAATTGAGGGCGCGGCTAGGTGCCGCAGTTCGGACCGCTTCAACTTCTTGGGACTCTTCTATTGTCAGAGAAAGAGCTACCATGGAAGCTCCGATGTTCTCTGCACCTTCAGTCCGAGGCTCTGCAGCCGGCTGAGTTGGGACGCTGGTGAATTGGGTAGGTAAAGAGAGTGGAGCTGGCGTTGTGCTCCTTGACCGAGTCTCGACGCTGGGACTGGCAGCGGCTGCTTGGTTCAAAGCTACTGCTTCGGCTCTAACATCTGCTACTGAAACGTTGTAGATGTTACACAAGACTTCCATGCGTTCGGCGTAAGTATCATGCTGGTGGCTTGAGGATGAGCGTGTGATGTGGCATGTTAGGCCAGTGACTCACTATTGATCTTAACTTTCGGACCTCCTCCTCTCTTGAGGCCAAGGATCTGGAGGCCGACCATTTGATGACTGCGAATGGTCTCCGTTGACAGCCTTTTCCATCACATCACTCAACAACGCCACGCTTCGTGCATAAGCTTTCACGGCCGCGAAGGGGTTCCCCCCAGAGGAGTCGAGCTGCACTGCCTCCTGGGCTAGTTGAAGTGCAGCAATCAATGCTTTTTGCGGTCGAGATGACCGGCTGCTTGAACGTGGGGGGGACGTCAGTGTTTGACCCGACACGGAGCCAGCAGCCGATTGACGCAATGATGGTTGGGGATCACGGGAGACAGACTGATTAGAAGACACGTCGGAGTTCACTGGGCGGCTGGAAGCTGGGCTGGATGGAGCATTTTCGGTCGGTACCCTGTCAGAAATAGCATGGCTGATGCGCGCTGATGTCGCCTGGGAGGATGTAGTAGCAGACTCAGAGGCTCGGTTATCGGCAGCTGCTTCATGCTCGGTGGAGAAAGGGCGAGCCTGATCATGAAGTTGAGAGAGATTCAGAGGTGAGGTGATTGAAGGCGACGGGCGTCGCGGAATCGGATGGCCAGGGCGTCGACTTTGCAGTGGAGCTGTTGTGCTTTGCACACGCACTGCCGCTGGCTCCCAGGATGGAGCAGGAACAAACCTGTCGTCGTAGGACGGCTGCTGCATAAGACGACAAGCTGAAGAGACAATTTTGCTTCCGGAATCGCGCTTCCTACATGGAACAAGCGCGCCAAATCCTGAAGAAGACATTTGGTTTCTCGGAATTTAGGCTCTCCCAGGCCCAGGTAAGTTCAGAATTGGCATTTACGTGTGCTCCAACGCGTTTTGATGGACATTGCGTTAGGTTGTTGAAAGACTCATCGAAAAGGACAAAAATGTGCTCGTCCTCTACCCCACAGGTGGGGGGAAAAGCTTGTGCTACCAAATTCCTGCTCTATGTTGGTTTGTTATATCTAATTTGAGGCATTTCATTGATCCTCAATAGGTCTTGATGGATTAACCTTGGTCATTAGTCCCCTGATCGCGCTCATGAAAGATCAGGTAGACGTCCTACGTTCCAAGGGTGTCCAGGCAGCCAGCTTGGATAGTTCCCAGACCGTGACTCAGTCGAACCTCGTGAAAACGTCCATAAAAGAAGGGACACTCAAGATACTTTACGTTGCTCCCGAAAGGTTTGCCTCCTATTGCACATTGCGATTCGACTTTAACAACTCCCAATCGGTTGGACGATTAGGCTGAACAACGAAACTTTTGTTGAGATGATGAGGAGCGTAAATATATCCTTGGTGGCAATTGATGAGTCGCACTGCATTTCTCAGGTTCGACGCATAGTGTAATTGGTTTAAATGCCCATATTCACCATTTGGAACAGTGGGGAACAACCTTTAGGCCGGAATATCTTAAAGTTGCAAGATTCGTTCAGGAGTTTGGTGTTCAAAGGCTAGTGTTGACCGTTGTCAGCACCATGACATCCTAACTGTAGGTGCAATATAGATGCCTCTGTCTGACGGCAACAGCAACACCCCCTATTGCTCTTGACATCTGCAATGGTTTTAATATTGACCCTGAAGAAGGGACATTTCGCATCCCCATGTTCCGACCCAAGTGCGTCTTCAAGTAGATGCGTGATTAGGGACTGATTCTAGTCAGCCTGTCCTTTCTGGTCAAGGTGGCTGAAAATCTGGAAGACAAGTTAGCCCAGGTCGTTCCGATTCTCAAGGAACGCACTGGTCCCGCCATTGTATATGTGACACTTCAAGCGCATGCGGAAGAAGGGGCGCGTCTGCTCCAAAATCGTGGTCTAGAAGCCAAAATGTACCACGCTGGTATGAGCAGTGAAGATAGACAATCCATTCAGGATTATTTTATGGCATCTGAAAGGGGAATAGTGGGTCAAATGTTTTACCTCTACTTCTGCATCGCCTCTCAGTTGGGTGTTAAATCAGGTTGTTGCTACGATCGCATTCGGGTAAGCCTCGAGAAATCTCCACCATGCAATGATTAACTTATTCTCCCAAAGTATGGGGTATGTACCATGTGATTCTGGATGATGACCATAACCTATGAAGCACTCTCTGCAGTATCGACAAGAATAACATTCGTCAGGTGAGGGGACTGCGGAAGCTAGTGCTCTAGCAGCGAGGAAACATGTCTGACCAAGGTTCATTAGGTCATTCATCTCTACATGCCGAAAACATTGGAGAATTACTCGTACGTTCACCCTTCCAACACCCATTTCTGGACTGACCTCGCCTCGTGGGTCACGTTAGCCAGGAAGTAGGGCGCGCAGGACGAGATGGACTTCCCTCTACTTGCATCATGTTCCTCTCCGAACCAGACATACCGACCTTAGAGGGCTTCTGCCGTGGTGATACTTGCTCGAAGACATCCATCCATCTGTGGCTTCAGGAAGTAATGTTGAAAGAACCTGGTCAGGATGGCACGATAGCCATAAACCAGTACGAACAGACGAGAACTTATGACATCAAAGTTAGTTTGCTTCCCCGTTGATCCTAACCGTCTGAACTTGTATGCACCAGAGCACAACCCTTGCGCTTCTGTATGCCGAGCTGGAGCTCCAGGAAGGGCTCATACGGGCGGTCACACCCTACTACGCCGTATACGAGTTTAACCCAAAATCGCCCCAAGCAAGCCAGATTATTAACCGAGATGAGCACCCTACCGCAAAAGCGATTCGAAGTTGCATGCGCGCGAGGAAAGCGCAGTACCAATACATTGTATGTATTATTCCTCTGATCAGCGATCTTTGCTTGAGCGTATATATTCCTTGTCAGATCGATGTCACTGGAGCAGAAAAATTGACCCCTTTTAGCCGTTCAGAACTCTCAAAATGGCTCATGCATTGGGAGATGGATGGGTTAATTGATATCAAAGCGAGCCAAGTGCGCAATGTGAGTCTACAATCCCAGTCTAGAATTTAATATGAATCACCTCAATCTGGTGCACTAGCGCTATCAAATCTTGAGAGAGAGGCCTACATCCCAAGAGGAGATAGAGAAGCTGGCTGACGTCATGCATAAGCGAATGGTAGAGCGAGAGGAGACGGCCGTCGCTCGTTTACGTTCTGTGGTTCAATTTGCTACTGACAATAAATGTGAGCTTCTTATTCCTCTCACAATCTAGCCGTCACTGAATCTCGACCTCTCATAGGTCTAGCTGACACCCTTGCAGCCTATTTCGGAGACTCTGATGTTGTCCCTGATCATCATTGTGGACGATGCTCCTATTGCATCGACGGGGCCATGCCTCCGTTTGATGCGCAGCTAGACAAGATCCAAAGCTTGGATCCTTCACTTATTCGTCGAGTTCTTGATATCTGCCCAGATCGGGATGACCCACTCTTGCTGACCCGCATTGCCTATGGCATCTCATCTCCGCGAATCACGATGCTAAAGCTCGGAAAGAACCCTGTATTCGGCAGTTTAGCGAGCGAGAACTGGGGTATGTTGGTAAAGGCATTTGAGGAGGCCTGTGAGAAGGGGGACCAGACGAGGGCGACTTCAGCGCCGTCAGAGGCCATGGCTGCTCGCACATCAAGTGTCAAGCGCAAGCAGGACGCGTCATCCTCGGCCTCAAGGAGTTCCAAGCAGCGCAGATTTAAGTAATTGATTTCGTATTTATTTATTCCGTAATACAATTTCTATTATTGGTCCTCTGGTTCTCAAACCATTTTCTACGAATAACAAGGCATGAGCTATTCCAGACTCCTTCCAGTCGCTCACATGATTTCTCCGAGTTTAGCCGCAACTACGTTGCCCTCCGAAATCTGTCGAGCGACTGGTACAACTTGCAACACGTGATGTTCCCACGCTAAGTTGTAATAAGTTGTACATAGGTTGCGGAATATAATTTTTAGTATTTACGCATGCGGTCATTGCACCAACCGTGGAGACTAGGGAGCACATCCAAGGTTGTGAAGTCAATATCCGAGTGTGCGCGAAGTTCAATAGTTTATATATTACTTGGTTACGAGTTACTTGTTTGTGCCCAGTGGCATAAGTGGTAGAGCGTTAGCTGAGGCTATGCAGTCTTTTTGAGTTGCACATGTTCGATTCTCACTTGGGAAACTTTTTTCGGGCCTCCATGGAATCATTGTGTGAATCGTTGTTTTATGTACACTAAGGAATGGAGGGTGTGAAAAAAAGTTTCATAAGCGAGAATTGAACATGTGCAACTCAAAAAAACTGCATAGCTCCAGCTAGCACTCTACCACTTATGCCACTGGCACAAACAAATAACTCGTAACCAAGTAATATATAAACTGTTGAACTTCGCGCACACTCGGATATTGACTTCACAACCTTGGATGTGCTCCCTAGTCTCCACGGGTTGGGTTGGGTGCAATGACCGCATGCGTAAATACTAAAAATTATATTCCGCAACCTATGTACAACTCATTACAACTTAGCGTGGGAACATCACGTGTTGCAAGTCGTACCAGCCGCTCGACAGATTTCGGAGGGCAACGTAAGTTGCGGCTAAACCTCGGAGAAATCATGTGAGCGACTGGGAAGGAGTCTGGAGCTATTCCAGAATCGGAGCCGGGATGACACGGGTTTAACCAATTCAACAAATCCATTGCGCTGAGGGGGTGCTAAACCAGAGATTGGTGATTCTTGCGCCTTGTTGTAACGTGCGCAATCGAACCTTGTGTGCAAATGGCTCCGCCACCTCTCTTTGAGGTCCGTGGCCTCTCGTGGTCGAAGACGGGAGAGAAGTCACCATTCCTCTCTGACATCAACTTCACTTTAAATCCTGGAGACATAATTGCCCTGACTGGAAAGAGTGGCTCTGGGTATGATCCAACCCTTTAACACGTCTGGCTGGCTGACACGGCCACTCATTTCTCAGGAAGTCGACTCTCTTGAAATGTCTCGCACACCTCAATTTATATGAAGGAGAAGTACTTCTCCACGGAAAGTACGCCGTATCTTTGTATCTCAACGTTTTGAGATGACCCAGTTTTTTTTTAATCCCAAGAACCCCCAAGGCGTGCGGTAAGCACTAAAAATCACTAGTGCACACTCTTTCCTAATATCACCATGTAGGTGTCCCAAAGTACCGTACAAAGGTGCTCTATATCCCCCAAAGGCCTGCGATCCTTCCCTCCACCCCAATCGATTTTTTGAAGAAAGTCCTTGCTCTGGCATCTCGAAGTACTGTACGTCCACTAGCTGAATTCTTACGTAGAGCCAAAACCATTTCATTGTATAGACGCCAAGCGCCGAGGATCCCGAAGAGAACTTAAACTCCGCCCAGTACATTGCGTCGCGATGGAATATTGACGAGGAGCTCTGGCATCGCAAGTGGGTCACTCTCAGTGGTGGAGAAGCACAGCGAATTGCCATGGCCATTGGGTTGAGTATGCAAGGCACAGAGATCCTTCTACTTGATGGTAAGGTTGCCTACCCAAGAAGACTTGATTCCGTTGACCATGACCGGCTGTTTTAGAGCCTACTAGCGCGCTTGATCAGGGTTCAGTGGATTCAGTGGAGAGATATGTGGCCGAGCTTCCATCGACGGATCACTCGTCAATCAAGGCCATTATCTGGATCACTCACTCCGAAGACCAAGCTAAGAAGATAGCCACTAGGAGGATACGAGTTGAAAATGGGACAGCGACGGAAATTGCATAAAATTGGTGTTACCCACAGCTTCAGTGCAAATCGAAAGCGTCTGGAGAATGTGTCCTTAGAAATTGATTATGTACATTATGATTATTTTTACAGTGAAAAATTCTAGTCTTCGTCAGAGAGACGTGAGGCCTGCCCTTGGACATCATTAGCGGCATCGATCCAGTCACTGTAGACATCGACCGGCGCAGACAGGTCTGTACAAGCACTGTTGTCGAGATAATGAAGATGCAGAACGAAGAATACGTACGGTGGATATTTGTCTGGAATGACACCCCACAGACCTTGCAGCTCAGATGGCCCACATTGTCTTTGTGATCCAATTTACAGGATATCGACTTGGAGTGGTGGCAAAACAAGCAGTCAAAGGCGGTATCTGTCGCATTGCGGAATTTGCTTGGTTAATGTAGCATCACCGATAAATACAGGTAGCTGTACATACCTAGCGGCTCTTTCTTTTTGCGTCCTGCGCCTGGTTTCCTACTGGATTTCTTCCGCTTGCCCATGAGTGAAGGTCGATTCAGATTCGTTGCGGGCCTGCACGTGACCGGAAACCGACGCGTACGCCTTCAGGCTTAAACCACGACATGGACGAGATAGGCATTGAAATTCAAAAGGAGGTGAGCTGGGCACACCAGTTATTTCTTATCGTTTTGATTGATTGAGAATATGCTTAGGAACCCGCCTTTGAGTCTGTAGTAAATGAGAAGACCACTCTGTTCGAAGATCTTCATGAAGAGGACTACTATGTCAAGTGGAAGAAGCTCAAGCGTCATCTAGAGATGTTGGATTTGCAGGAGTCCTACATTAAGGACGAGCAGGCTAATCTGAAGCGTGAACTAATCCGTGCGCAGGAGGAAGTCAAACGTATTCAGTCCGTACCGCTTGTCATTGGACAATTCCTCGAGCCCATAGACCAACAAACGGGTATTGTCGGGAGCACCACCGGTAGCAATTACGTATCCAGGATCCTATCCACTCTGGACCGTGAACTGTTAAAACCTTCCTCCTCCGTCGCCCTTCATCGTCATTCGAATGCCCTCGTTGATATTCTGCCACCTGAAGCAGACTCTAGCATTGCGCTATTGGGTACTGATGAGAAGCCTGACGTCTCATACCAAGATATGGGGGGTCTGGACTCTCAGAAACAAGAAATACGCGAGGCAGTGGAGCTTCCCCTCACACATTTCGACTTGTACAAGAAGATCGGTATTGACCCACCTCGCGGTGTGCTGTTGTATGGGCCACCAGGTGCGTCTTATCCTCCATCCCCATTCTGAAGGCACGTACGACTTTCCTTCTAGGAACTGGGAAAACCATGCTTGTCAAAGCAGTCGCTCGTCATACGAGCGCCGCTTTCATTAGAGTGGTTGGCAGTGAATTTGTACAAAAATACCTTGGTGAGGGTCCTCGGATGGTCAGAGACGTTTTCCGGCTCGCACGTGAAAATTCCCCCGCTATCATTTTCATTGACGAGATCGACGCTATTGCCACCAAGCGATTTGATGCTCAGACTGGTGCGGACCGCGAAGTCCAACGTATCCTCCTGGAGCTCCTTAATCAAATGGACGGTTTCGACCAAGGGAGCAATGTGAAGGTACGCGGTTGCGTGTCTTCCTTCCTCGAGTCGTGCCAATATGTTTCACAAAGGTCATCATGGCAACAAATCGCGCTGACACCCTTGATCCTGCACTTCTTCGTCCCGGGCGGCTAGATCGTAAAATAGAGTTCCCCCTCCCTTCACGACGTGAGAAGCGTCTTATCTTCCAAACCATCACTTCAAAAATGAACCTTGGTCCTGATGTTGATCTCGAAGATTGTGAGTTTACTCTCGATCTTGTTCCAATGCTGGACCCCGCCGAAATTTTTCGTAGATGTCTCAAGACCTGACAAACTTTCCTCTGCCGAAATTGCATCAATTTGTCAGGCAGCTGGGCTGCAAGGTGTGTATTACTCGCTCTTTCGTATAAGCGAACTACATGCGGGCATCCCATTCCAGCTGTACGGAAGAACAGATACATAGTGTTGCCGATAGACTTTGAGGAGGCTTGGAAGGTTAGTTGATGTTTGTTTACGTCCAAGCCCAGCTATATAAACTTCTTTTTCTTCCCACAGCAAACCGTCAAGCGGCAAGACGATACTCACGAATTCTGTACGCGCTTTCCCTTACCCCGGACAACATGCTCTGACTAGTTGTCCTGTAGATCGATAACTGCATTTCGTTTTCTTTCACCTTTGTCCTGTAGGTCTCATACTTCCCACTCGACACCCTGAGCTAACTTGTGTTGGTTCGCAGGTATATATACAATCAATATATTCTAATCCTAACGATGGCGTGTGTAAATCCAACACCTTCAAGTGTTCTGTTTTTCCTCCTCCATGCTCTGTCACTTTAGCACTTCGTCCCGTTCATCCCACGACGATGTGCCCATTCAAGGAGCAAAAAGTAAGGAATAGACCTCGGTCTTCCTTTACGTCCATTTCATATACCAGCCTTAGGGTCAGCGATCTTTGGGCGGGCTTTTTTAATTGCCTCAAAGGTCTACCTGAATTGGACCCACATATACATATCTACGCATTTGTTTAGGAATGAGCAATCATCTCCGTCGTGCTTTCACCTTTAGGATGCCGTCGTCGTGCCATTCGAGTCATCCTCACTGAGGAAATAGGGCTGTATTCTGTCAACATGTGCCGATAAATTGTATCAGAGCTCAGTCTCCAGCCTCTTCGGATATTTCCGAAACGGGTTGCACGCTTAGCCTTGTGCCTTGCGGCACCAATATTCATATTCATCAATCGTCATCTGAAGTGACGAGTCGGTAAACCTTGGCGTAGCTCAAACATTTTCACCCTGATTTTTGGTCTGAAGCTCAGTTGGGTTGGAGGGAAGCATCCCGCTTACATAACAGTTGCTAATGTAGCGTGTCGCATGGTGCCGAGCGTTGAACCAATTGAGTTGACATTCACTACAGTGCGCGCTCTTACTTCAGCCCTCCTGCTCGTTTGGACCGTTGTTTCCGGACATACACTTCCCCTAAGACCCAACCATGCCACCTAGTGTCCTCGTTCGTTATGTTGTTATCGGACTGTGTGCACTGGTGCGTTGTTTGCATTCTCAGTGGGCCACTCGTCCAAAACTGCCCGTTTACAACAACTCTAGATAGGCATACATTATACTCTAAGCGTCTTGCATGAGGATATGGGAGGAAGACGGCGCTGTCCAATTGGATTAACTCGCCGCCCTATAAGCAAGGCATACCAGACAGATATTATGAAACCGCGAAGACCAACACATCGCAGACTAGGAAAGCCAATGCGGCTTTCGTCGTGTTGGCAAGGAATAGTGACCTTCCCGGGATTTTGGAGAGCATCAAGCAGATGGAGGATAGATTCAACAAAAAGTTCCAATATCCATACGTTTTCTTGAATGAGGAAGATTTCTCTGAAGACTTTAAACAGTGGGTAAACCCTTTCAAGCGCTCTTTGGGAGTAGGCTCTTACAGACATTTACTTCGGCGTGAAAAGGTGGACTACTGAGATCACTTCGTCACCTTGCGTATACGGAAAGATCCCTCACGATCATTGGTTCCAACCTGATTGGATCGATGAAGAGAAAGCTACTGTTTCTCGTCTCGACATGATCAAGAATAAGGTGTGTTTTTACTTGATAATTGTGCAGTGGTTAGTCGGTTGACACAGCAATTAGGTTATTTATGGACACTCGTAAGTCCAGACATACATCATCCTCGAGTTAAGCTCATACCCGCCATGCCATTTGGTGTAGCGTACCATATCGGAACATGTGCCGGTTCAATTCGGGGGTATGAAACATAAACGTGCCCATTCAGGCATGGCACCTGCTGAAGCCACACTAGTATTTCTTTAGACACGAGCTCCTGAAAAATTATGACTACTACTGGAGAATAGAGTAAGTCATTATGTGACATTCGGCCCCTCATAACTGATTATGCCTCTTTCAGACCCAGCGTAAAATTGTACTGCGACCTTGATCACGATCCGTTCCTATTTATGCAAGATCACAAGAAAGTTTATGGTTTGTGACCTTTCTTGTTATGACTCCCTGACCGAGCTAATGGAGTATTACTTCCACCAATAGGCTTTACGATATCCCTTTACGAGTACATTGAAACCATCCCCACGCTGTGGGATGCTGTGAAAGAATTTATGCAGTTACACCCTGAGTATATGCCAAAAGATAACGCTTTAGGTTTCTTGAGTGATGATGGTGGCAAGACGTACAACCGGTGTCACTGTAAGCACTGGATCATCTTAATGCGGCGACCTAATGTCTCGATGTATCCCTTTCGTAGTCTGGAGTAATTTTGAGATTGGTGATCTCAACTTCTGGAGAAGCGAAGCCTACATGGAGTTCTTTGAGTTTTTGGACTCGAAGGGCGGCTTCTATTATGAGGTGCGCGTGGCACGATCTGGTGCATCGTCCTCCCGGACTTATATCCTTCTCGTGCTAGCGATGGGGTGACGCACCCGTACACAGCATTGGCGCCTCCCTATTTGCGCACAAAGACCAGATACACTTCTTCGAAGATATCGGGTACCGTCACGAACCTTTCCAGCATTGCCCTCAAGGGAAGTCGCATGCCAAAGGAAAGTGCTGGTGTTCAGTCAAGGATAATTTCGGTTAGTTAACAATGTTTTTATAAACCGCTCCACTCATGTCATTGCCGCAGACCGAGAGTGGTACTCCTGCTTGAACAAGTATGATGCCTTATTCCCGAAGCTCTCAGGGCGAGATGCCTTGGACAGTAGTAGATGATGGTATTCAATGTGCTAGTTTGTGGAGGACATTTACCTGGATCTCCAAATGATTTGGTGAGGTGTACATGTGTGCGACTGTATAATATTAATAGCCCCCAAAAAATTGCCAAAGCAGCAGCGATGACCGTATTAAGCGCCTTAGGGCGGAAGGTATAGAAAGGGATATGCGTGAACAGTTTTTGGCATTTCATAAAATCGATTGCGAATAGTATTGATACTGTGGTGTGCGATTAAATTCCACTAGGTCGCGGACTGGGGTCAAAAGCTTACCGAGTCATAGAGTCTGGTCCAAGCTGAACCCATACTATTCACTATCAGTTTGTCGACGTAATCACCGACCGCAGAATGGGGGATATTCTGCTGAAAACGTTCCCTCAGATACACTGACGTCTGCTCCCCGAACGTTGCGAAACAGTCCAACGACGAGTCTGAAAAGAAAAAGTCGCTTTAGTCAGTTTGTCGCGCTCTGATTTGAAGTAATACACCTTTCTGCATTAACTCAACCAACGCTATAACATGCCCTGTCAGCTGAAGAAGTGTCCCTAGTGTTGTACACACTCACTGATTATGCTGTCACAATGCTTCCTTGCTGCCTCGAAACCTTCGCGAAACAACCGCTTAAATTCCGTGAACGCTTCGCTGTCAGTTCCTCCCAGGACTTCAACGTATTCAAGCGGAAGCTTGAACGGAGCTGCCTCAAAACCCATATTACCTGGCGTGTTCCCCAGCATGAATCCGAAATCAATATGGACCAGATGACTGGGAAGGCATGTGAAATGAGCCAAGAGTGGGAGATAATGATCAACTCACCCTTCACGATCAAGTAGTATATTCCCGTTATGTCGGTCTTTGATCTGCAGTAAATATGTGATGATAGAATAACCTGAAAATACGAGGATGGTTCCAGTGCAATCATTGAATATGTGAAACTTACCTGCTAATGACCTGACAAAACAGCGCTGCGCCCGTGCAAATTTGGCTGACTGTGGGTCGCCATATGTCTGATGATCAACAATCACTGAATACTGTTTGACATGAGTCCGTAGATACGTGCGTACAGCAATAAAGTGATCCAATAGCGTGACATGCTCGAAACGGCCTTCTGCAATACGACGTGCGTATTCTGCCTTCTTGATCGAATGAACGGATACAGCATCTTTGATAGTTTCCACAAGACCAGACGCGGTCCAGTGATGAGGATACGGAAGCTGATAACGATTTTACAGTCAGTAGTGAGGCACTGGAAGAAAAAAGCTCACTGTTTGACCCAGCAACTGCAACTCTCTTGCTTCCATATGTTATCGAATACCTAAGGGTGTCGTTTGAGAGGCTTTCGACGAGCCCAACAATTGGCATACCTGTATCAACTGAACTGCCATTTGTTCTTGGCGAAGATCTGCTCCTGTTTTGACAATGACAGATAAGCACTAGGATCAAGTCAGTATGAATACAAGCCCAAAACCATGCAACCCACATCCCAAGATGCTAAATGTCCATATGGAGAAGCCGATCTTATTCTCGCCTTTTTCGATACCCATGACTCTCGAACCACAGCCGCTACGGTAAGGAAATGGTGACGCAGTCAATAGAAGAACGTTGAGAGAGTAACATGTGCGTACCAGAAGGATCTACCTTGTTCAGCTCCCGCCGAACTATGGTTTCATCTTCGGCATTTTTCGCACTTATCCGAGGCTGTCCGATCGAAACAGTCACATCGTTATCGGTTTCCTTCATCCGTTCTACTCTCTCCTCTTCAAGAGCCATCATTTCCTGCATAATCTTATCTCGAATGGCCGCAGCCTCAGAAGGCTGAAGTTTCATGCGCATCGCGGGAGCCGAATTTCCATCATTGCTAGTGTTGTTTATGATCCAACCGGATCCTGGGATCCAGCTCAGAGCCCCGATGTCCATGATGTTAGTGTAGTGGCTGGTGGCTGGTCATCCGATCCCATTGTGCCTGGAGGCGCAGAAATGGCAGTAATTGGCTCCCGTACTAGATTTGCATTCAATTGAGCTAGCATGATGGCCGCTGTCCTCATTCTTTCAGAATAATCCTCCAAAGACATTACAGGCTGATGAGAGGCAAATGCTTGGGAATGGGGGGAAGATGTCTGGGGCTGTAATGTTGCGGTTTGAAACTCATCAGGAGCATCGAGCGATGATTGTGCAGGGTGGGTGGCGGGTGAAGGAGGGCGAGACGACGGAGCCTTTGCCCAAGCAGCTATATCGAGGGCTTTGTTCTTCGGTGTCAGAGGTAGCACAATGGAATCAGACAAATCTGGCGGCTGCAACCGCACGGATAGATCAGCTCCATATAACTGTTCAACGAGGTCAACCTCTTCTTCCTGCGCTTCAAACGTCAGGTTCGAAGGAGCAACGTTAGGGTGTGAAGGGGTATGGTTACTCTCTTCACCAAGATCAGCATTATCAACGAATGATGGTCTCACTGATCCCCCCTTCGAACTTGTAACGCCATTGCGCGGGGCTGGGTCGAAGCCATTAGAGTTCACTGCTGTACTTCCCTCACTGAGGACAAGACGTCTGAGGACTTCCCTGTTTCCTCTCTTGCTGGGATTAAAACCCAGTTCCCCAACTAAAACTTCAACCAGGAGAAGATACGGAGTACGCTCAGCCGAGTTCAACACAACACTTTCGCCAGGCGGTATGCGAACGATCTTGTTGTGACCTCGAGTCACATTCTTACCCGCAGTTGTGGCCCCATCGGCGTCTGACGTCCACATCGGTATATCAATCTAAGTGAGAGTAAATACCAGATAACAAATAGCACGGTCCTATACCAACCTCAGCGGGCAATTTGTGGTTCAACGCCGTGAGCTCGGCACGTAGCGCGCTGACTCTCTTCATGATGAAACAAGTGTAAAGACCATCAATGAGCGAAATTTCAAGGGTCCCCCCGATACGTACCGCCAATTTGGGCACCACTAACAAGCGGTTAGATATACTCTCCAGAGCAAGAAGGAATTGGACCTCAGAGCGACAATAATGACTTTGGAGAAGTTGGGATTGGTACGTTGAATCCAATTTCTGGAGAGCAGCGTCCTCGGCCTTCTGGGCGGGAGACGACGGTGACATAAAGGAGACGGATGGGGAGGAATGTGAGGGATTAGCAGATGTGTCCTCAGATTTGAAAATGCGAGATCGATGTCGGAGCAGTGAAGGACTGGTGGCTGAGGGGCCCACGGTTTTCCTTCTTATTAAGGTGGCACCCTTAATTTTCGGTGACCATGAAAAGGCCCTCAAGTGCTCTTTTTCCAATTCTTCGGGGAGGTCCAGTTTTGACATAGTGGATGCTCGGCCGAAAGTGTCGACATCTTCCTCTTCATCGGACTCTTCTTCATCAACGCCTTCCTCCGCTTCCTCCGGCTCCGGAGATTCAGTCTCACGGGCAATGAGACTCCGTTTAGAAGTGTTGACGGGCACCGCTTCGTCTTCTGCTACATGGACAGATCTGGATTCTGCGACATCATCCGCTACACGGCCCTGTTCAATTGCTATAGAACCCGCATAGATAGTCAGACGCGGCATTGCGGCAGCACCAGCCAAGATGGAACCGAGGCCAACAACAGCGGGGGCTATCCGGGGCTTGACCTTCCGCTTCCAAAAACGCGACTTTCCAGGCAGTCCACCCATCAAATTTCCATATGGTGTTTGCGGTTGCGGTGGGGGGTCATTAAATATGATGTTTTGAACTTTGAGGAGAATTCGCTGACAGACAGTGAACGAGGGAGTCGTCCTTCGCGTCGTGGACAGATCGGCCAGATATGCTTGCATAAACCAGAAAGTCTTTGCGGCGGCACCCCTAATGTAAGCCTGAACCAAAGCAATGTGTGTGAGAGGGAGTCGTACCAGCAGTGCAGAATGAGTGGATTGTTCTGCCCGTTCTATGATGAATGTCTCCAGTGCGCAAGACTTAGATGGACGAGTGACGAGCAAATGGCTTCACAGCCGGTCATCCAAACAACTCTACGGAGAAAAAAAAATAACATACCACACAAATCCCCATACATCATCCAGCTCCGTCGCATCTATTTCTCTCAACCGTCCAGCAAGGTAGTGCGTAATGCCAATGTGATTATAGTATATAGACAGGTACTGTAATGCCAGATGAACAGAGAAATAGGACTGCGACTGAAAAAGCCTGAGCAAAAGAGCATGAGAGCCCGACATGGCTTCTCAAGCGGAGAGCTTATTTAATTCCAAAGTGGCGATGGCCAACGGCAAGTTCCTGACGCATCCCTCAACTCAAAGCTTTCAACTGCGTGCTCTTCTGTAATGTTCAAGAAGTTAGTGGCTGATGATGCCACACCATATTAGATATCACTTCCAACATATTTCCCATTTTAGATTCTCACCCTCCACTGATATCGCATCACAAACACAGCTAAAATTTTCTGTTCAGCGCGGAATCCGATCGTCCCTTATCTCGCAGTATCCTCTCCTAGGCGAAAATGATGGAGCTATCCTTGAACAAATCTGGCCAAAGAAAAAACCTTTGGTCCAGGTGAAATGGTCCGTAGTTTCCTGTGCTCGTGTGAAGCACCAACCCATATTCTATACGCTTAGCAGAGGATACGTCTCTCTATACACGCTTGATGGAGTGCCTGTCTTCTCCCAGCATTCTAATGGGCCATTCTTTCTGACCCTGAAGTTGCTGCACCAATGTAAGGTCTTATCATTCCGAAGCATCCCGATCCCATGATGTCCCCACCAGATCCATCCCTGCTTCCGCATCTTCAAGTCGATAGAGGAGCGATCAAATACCTCCTGGCCGGTGCGAATATGATGTGTCCCGGCTTTACATCAGCTGGGGGTCGACTTCCTCCTCCTGAGTCGGCAATACCAGCAAAAACCCTGGTGGCAATCCATTGTGAAGGCAAGGAGCACGCTGCTGGGATAGGTATCACGAAACTTGGCACTGAAGAGATGAAGAAAGTAAACAAGGGAGTTGGGGTTGATATCATGGCATACTTGGGCGATGAGTTGTGGGTGATCGAGAAGATTTGATATTACATTAAATACAACATTCCAAGGAAATAAGAAGACACAGGCACCAAGCATTGGGTGATGATGATGGCACGGTCATAACTCTACAGTTACCGCTCAGGAGTACGGGGAATGTCAGAAATGAGATCCCAGATCTGATTCGTCTTGTCGAATGGGGAGCTTCCATCATTGAGGTCAACAACATAAGCTTCAGTAGGTGAGTCTATGCGAAATCAACGTCAGATGTTGTGCAAAGGGTAGGGCGGACACTGCACTGACGAAGAAGAACCTTCCCCGATGACACCAAATCGACTCCTAATTTCGTCATTATGTTTAGCTGTATCCTAGATCAAATTGGATGTTATGTGAGCAGTTTGGACACCGACTGCCTCGAGAACGGAACATACGCAGCGGCATCGACAGCCGATTCGCCAGGGACGTCTCGCGCTTGGAGCTTCGCATGTTCGTCGCGTAGCCTACCAAGCTCTCCAGAAGCATAGTCCGTGTCTCGTTCAATATCGCCGATTTCCTTCGTGAGGTCAAACTTCTCCCTTTGGAGACGTTCGATCTTCTGTGCGTGTTCGGGGGCACTGAGCACTCCAGCAGGGCGTTCAGCGTCAAGTTTAAGTTTCTTCAGCTGCTGAACCCGGTCTAGGGAAGAGAAGAGAGTAAGCTGCGCGGTTATCTGCGCGGTGGATGATTCGGACGTTCGTACATCGATGCTCCTCGTCGAATCGGTCGGTTTGTTGCTTCCTTTGCGCTGACATCTTGCTGACGCGGTCCCTCACGCGTGCAATAAACTGAAGATCCTGAGAAGAACGGAATTCGAAAGCTGTGGCTAAGCTCTGGATGATTGGACTGTTCAAGTGAACATCGACTTTGATCATGCACGCCAGCGGCGTCCAGCTTACATTGTCTCAGCAATCGAGTCCGATTTTCCTGTCTCTTGGTCTTCAGGTTCCCCGACACGCTCCAGCGTCATCTCTTGACTCATGAAGGCTAAACCGGGCACTGTGGACATCACGCTTGGAAGGCTGCTGCCTCGGAGCAAATAAATGTAAAGTATTCAAGTTCCCGTCAATGGAATTGACACAATGACAAAGCACAATCCTCATTGCATGGTGCGCTGAGTAGCGCTCAAGTACTGAGGATATTCCTCTCATCAAGACCACCCCCTTTGGGTTCCCAACGGCACCAAAGCATGAATTTTCTCGATGAGGGCTCGCTTCATGAATTGTTCGCCAGCCAGCTCCCGGGTAACCTAAACAAAATTTTATTATCGAACTATTCTGAGGAATAATGGTGGGGAAAGGCATACTTTGATGTATCTGTCAAGGTCGATGCGCCCTGCGTTCAATGCGCGATGCAAATGGTATAATGTGTCTTCAATCGCATTGTCCTCGGCTACCAAGTCGATCAGCCTTCCAACGGGAGATGTCAGAAAAACGTAAAGAGAGACGTGGAATAGAAAACCCAACTGATTTCCGACGATGCTCGTGGCGCAAACTAATTCATCGACCTCAGGCTCACCTCTCCGCTTGGCCTCGGCCAATCTTGATTCGGCATCATCTACAAACACCTTTGTTCTCTGTGCGACGGTTCGGCAGACATCCCTAACGGCCTCAAGTCTTGCCATCTCGTCTCGAATGGCAGGTTCCCCAGCGAGCAGGTGTGCTTGCGTTGCACGCAGCCTCTCGCCGTCTTCAGAGAGCGCTCGAGTGACTCGAATGAGTTCTGCGGAAAGTTTATCGTGAAGCTTACTATGCAGACTGAGGATTTCAGGATTGAGGGGGCGCGGTGGCGCAGTGGGCGAGATGCTCGGAGGAAGCGATGAGCTCCCTGTATTACTTGACGACGTGATGTCCAAGTCCTGGTCTAGGAGATCTGGGGTGGCGTGCGACGAATAGTAGTTTGGATAACTGGAGCTTGAACAAATGGGATAGATGTTTGGTTTGTGGGCGTGGGACCTTGTGATTCCGAAGGGGAAGGTGAGTTATGTATCACCGAAGCAAAGATTGCTTGATGGCTAGGGCGATGAGTACGCTCTGCCTCAGTAAATAGCGAGACACCCCGGCCCCGAATGGGTTGGACGGGAGGATATTGCTGTGGATGTGGATAGGTCATAGAAGGATGCTGGAGAAGCGGTGGTGGGGGTGAAGTAGCGGAAGAAGACCCCAAATTAGTATCGTGATAGGGTCGGGTAATCGGCGGCGAATGGCTCCCCGATGGGTGGATAGACGAGGGAGGAAGAGGAGGGGTCTTGTTCGCTAAAGTCGGAATCGTTGATGAGGTTGTTGAGTCAAAAGTGGTGCCGCTAATACCGGAAGGTTTTGGAGGAGGTCGCGGTAACCGTGGAGGAGAAACGTCCCCGTGAGGAGCCCCATGGGGACGAGGTTCAGACACAGTGGGACGCTCGATAGGCGATTTAGGAGGTGCAGGCGGACGAGAGGGCTTTCCGGAGGAAGAGACTTCAGCAGAAGGGGCAGGGTTGCGCGGTTTGGAGTAAACCGGGGGTTCTTGGGAGAAGAGGTCCGTCATGACACGGAATAAAGCCAGCAAAGAGGCGCTCTTGATGACATGAGACAATGCAAAGGGCTGTTCAAGGATACATATCTCACCCGCCAGTCGGTCTCCCACCCCGTTAGATACTGAAACGTACATAGTCCACTGACGTTCACATTCTTTCCTGATCGAACAAGCATGTCGCTGGTAGGGACAACATAAGTCATGGGGGGTTGCTTCGGATACTCCGGAGGAATCCAGCATGCGATCGGGATGTTATATATCGCGCCGCGGTACTGAATGGGTAGAAGCCCATGAACGCATAGGAGTGTCTTCACGCGGCCATCATCATAAGCTTTGTAGGGACTTCAGTGATCACGAGAAGCCGATAACCATGTCCGCTCACTGTAAACATCTGTCTTGGGACGCAACATAGGAAACGCTTCAAGCGCTGCATCCACATGGGTATAGACGGTTTGGTTTTCTTGATAACGTCCCGCTTGCGTCGCTAACCACTTCTGTGTTAGGACGCGCTGAGCCATGCGCTAGTCCGATGTTTCTCACGGCGGCCTATCACGTGCCTGAGGAATCGACGTAACGTCGCTGCCAAAAGCCAAATCCGTTGTAGGGAATAGAAGTTCCATGTGTCGGAAATGTGAGTCCCCGTAATCCCTTGTCAAATCGCGATGGGGAATTATTGCAGAAAGCTGCTGGGTTGTCGGACAACAAATCCTGACTGCCTTGTTATTGTGGGCTTGAGCAAGTTCCGGCAATGCAATTATCTGTAGATGCTGTTTATCCCCTTTGAAGTTCAAGCTTGAGCATCAAAAGGGGGCAAGGCGCACTCGCCGTCTGGGACTGCTGTGGACTCTGGATAAATGTACTCCTATTCTGCGTTTCAGCCTTCGTTGGACATAGTACGTTCGTCTTACTTATCTTGGTCGGCCATATCTGCAGTCTCTTCCCTAGTCTCAGGTGCCTCAGGTTGGCTCTCTCGTTGCGCTGCACTTCTTGCTTGCCAATTTATTTTTCCTAATCTTGCTCTATGGGATTCGTGGGAAATTGTTGTGTATTGTCATCATTGATTTGCACGTTTTGGATATCCATCTGTTTCCGATTTGTCAAGCGGACGATGTCCGGCTGACAAGCGCCGCTTTTTCTCATCGCCCTTCGACGCTGGCAGTGATTCGGTAGATATTCACTTCACAATCTCCATGTATGATACTTGTTATCCAAAAACTGATATCGGATAGCCTAGACAGTGGGCGCAGAGGTGGAAGGGGACGTTAGAAGGCGTGGATTTGTTTCTGTATGGAACCAATGCGATATTACGGTCCGCAAATTCTTCCATGTTAAATCCACCAGAAATCACGATCTCAAATCCCCAGAGGCTATCAGAACGGAGCGGGAAACCACGCAGATGTCGGGGTCCCCATAATTGGCCCAGACTCTTACCCAGTTTGTCACGTCGTCGCTCGTGGGCGCGCGCTACGAACACGCAATGTCAAAATCTGACTTTCAATACAAACCCAACTAGGTAAGAGTCTATAATTAGCCGAGCATATATTTGTTTCCTCTAGTCCGTGGAAATTCCTGGGCTCATTTCATCCCCTTCTGTACACACCGCATGAAGAATCTGTTCATCGGATCGTTCGTCGATACTCCCCAGCTCGGGAAGCTCAGAATTGTTAATGACCAAGCTTTGCTTGTGGATGAGCAAGGAAACATTGCTGGCGCTATCGATGTCGACGAAGCCGTATCCCTCTCTGACAATCCACAGATCCAAACATTCAGAGTGCCTACAGGCAGTTTTCTTATTCCCACATTTTGTGACCTTCATCTCCACGCTCCACAATACCTCTATTTAGGGACAGGATTGCACCTTCCTCTTATGGAATGGCTCAACGAATACGCATTCAAAGCCGAGGAGAAGATAGATGATGATCCGGAAGGATTGGGTCATCGGGTTTATTCTTCTCTCGCGAACAGACTGATTCGATCAGGTACTGGTGCCGCCCTTTTGTTCGGCACCATTTGCGAGGAATCGAAGTGAGATAGCGCCGATCTTTGCCCTTGCTTGTGCATTAACAACCGATAACTCTGCTCTAAGTTTGGTTCTCGCTGAGACGTTCCAGTCAGCTGGTCTGCGAGGGTTTATCGGGAAACTATCCATGGATAAGTCATCTAGGCCGACTTATGTGGAAGCATCGTCGGATGCGTCTCTATCCGCCGCAGAACGCTTCATTCATCGTTGTCGAGACATAGTGAAGGCTTTGCCTGCAAATAAGCAATTTGTGGAGCCAGTTTTGACCCCCCGATTTGTTCCAACATGTTCGGACGAACTGCTGAGTGGCCTAGGTCGACTGGCGTCAAAACATGGGGTCAAAATCCAAAGCCATCTTGCTGAAGCTCGGGATCAGGTTAACTGGGTGAAATTAGAGAGGGGTGTTGACGATATCGATGTGTTTGACAGGGTATTACGTGTTTCGTTCACACTTTGTTCCTTATTAAGCCCGTTCCCTTCAGTCATCACTTCTGACTTCTCGCACGGTTCAAGCACACTGCACTTTTCTCGATCCCTCATCCTTAGTTGTCTTACACGAGAAAGGAACTGCAATTGCGCATTGCCCCTTATCGAATGTCTATTTCTCTTCTCAGCCATTCCGGCTCCGTGAAGCTCTGGATCTCGGCGTTAACGTTGGGCTGGGCTCTGATGTCGCAGGCGGCTACACAGCCGATATCATGAACGCGATGAGACAAGCGGTTATCGCCTCGCGTATCCGTGAGAGTTACCGATCAGAGAACGAACAAGAGATCCAACGGACCCAACCTCTGGAAGGAAGTTCAAGCCAAAGCACGAATCAGTCTACCACTCTTGCTGTGCATTGGACGGAGGCACTCTACTTAGCGACCAAAGGTGGCGCGGAAGCTCTTGGTTTGAGTTCAGGCTCATTCATTCCTGGGGCTGCATTCGACGCGCAGCAAAGTAGGCACTGTTTCTTTCTCTAGGATACGACATTCACGATATCTCTCTTAACGCAGTCTCACTGATCGACAATATGTCGGGGAAGGGTATAGGACAGCTTGACTTCTTCGAACCAGTTACAAATATCACTGAAGATCTCATCGAGAAGTGGTGGTGCCTTGGTAACGAACAGAACCGAACAGGTGTCTGGGTACAAGGATGCAAGTTACTTTGAGTGCTCTCCATCATGTTGATTAGGCACATAGCAGCATGTATGGGGTCATTATAAAGCTCAATCTCCAGGGAACCAATCAGCCCTTGAGGCTAGCAAAAGAACGCGCTTTCAACCTCACTTGCTCGTCCACATGCCTCCTAGCCAGTAACTTGACCTCCCAGAACGACGTCGCGAAGACATTAGCCATCTGTGGGTCGTCGACATCCGGCCGGTATACACCATCCGTAACACGGTCTTCGGTTGACAGCATTGCCTCCAAGGTCGGCTCTTTCACCAGCAGACTATTGACAAATTCAAGCGTCTTCGACACTAGAGGCGAAGGCCAGTGTAAGCATGTCGTGAGTAGCCGTTTGGCAAACGCCGCCGCACGCCACGATGGGTGGCTGCCAACAGATGCCCGGGTCATAAATATCAGCTCCAAGGCGCGGAATAGAAGATCACCCAACGGGGCCTGTGATCCATGTGTTGTCTTCCGGTGATTTGGTTGCGATAGGACCGTTGAGGATGAAGTCGATGACGCTTCATTGAGGTTCTGGACAAAGGATAATTGAGGAATGATGGCGTAAAGGAAATTAACAAAATCTCGGAGATCGATGGTCAATGCCTCTCCTGTGTTAGAAGGATCGTGAGGGAGACCAATGAGACTGCTGTATTACATACCCTGACCCGAAAGCAACTCAAATGCAGTCACTATGCACTGCAAGCGGTGACGGAGACTTTCCTCATGACTGCGTGTCCACCGTGATTGGCCTGTCGCCTCGTCGTCCGATTCATTTCCGTCATTGTCATCTCGGGTGATTAAAACCCTCAAAACGGCCAACAAATCCCTGAAAAAGTCGATATTGATGAAGTGTGCAAAACGCGTGATGCCATCCAATGCTACAGGTAACAGAGGTGTGGATTTGTCGCTTTTGAGTATACGGAAGTAAAGGACGAAAAGTAATTTGAGAGTTTCAGTATGCTAGACGCGGCGTCTGTCAGCTGAGGTACCCAATTGCACATGGCATAACACTTGCCGTGTTAGCTCGATCTTCTTGGTTAACTTCCGCTACGGCTTCTAGCATTTCTTCTTCAATCTTCTTAGTCTCCTTCATCTCCTTCTTCTGCTTTTTGCTGAGACGGGGTTGATCGTTGTTCTTGCCACGTTTGTCTTTCCGTTTTGTGAAATTTGCAACACCATCGCCTTCCTTGCTCGCCTGGCTTTGGGACGCGCGAACCCCTCCTAATTCACTTCTCAAGCGGAGATGTATGAGGCAAGATAGAACATTTGGGTGAACTCGAAAATGTCGTTCTTTTATCATCCTGTTCAACAACCTGACAACTTCGAGCGAGGGTTCGCCAGTGTTGTCCTTCCGAAGCACAGTGATGAGCGTGTCAAGGCAATGCTGAGACGACTATGACAAGGAAAGACTGAGAAGACCATCCGTTGCAGTGACGAAGATGCGCCTACCTCATCCCACGATTTTCTACTGAGACGGGCGACAATAGCGGTCATCAAATTGAGCCGAAAATTGAAGTGTGTTAGTTCAACCACCAAGGTGCACATGGCTTGAAGTGCGATTTCCGAAAGCTCAGATTTCGCTACGGGCAAGGACATCGGAAACTGGCCAGAAGTCAGAGCGGCTCACTTACCCTTGAGTTCGTTTTCAAGTAGTTGTAAATATGCTTGATAAGCACTAACTAGTCCTTCTTCGTATTCTCGTTGGTGTTGTACCATCTGGCTCACTTTCTCAGCTTTCTCTTGGTCCGTCAAAGCCCGTATCCGGTACCCTGGAACAATGTCTTTGAAAACAGCGAGCTGAGAAAGAATGGCAAGCTTCCGAATCAGCGGATCATTGATAACGGCCTCTGATTCTGATGAAGTGACGGAATATTGGGCAAACGAGGCGAGCCTTCGTAGGAGACCGAGCTGAATTCACGTCACTCGTTAGATGATGATAGACAGAATGGCATGGATGACCTACACTGTTCTCTGGATCAGACACAATATCTTGACATATACTGGCTATTTGTTCCTTGGCAAGTTGGATCCGAGCTTTCTTCGATTTCGTTCCAATGACACTGGTCACAGCAGGCCGGCCAAATCTTGCACCTGTAGCCACATCTTCAATCCTTGGGAGATTTTCCATCCGCCCCTTCATCTCGTCGTCTGACTCCGAATCTGATTCAGGAGGTGGAGGTGGCAGATGCCCACGGGGTTGTATTGTCCCGTCTGCCAACTTCACAGGGAGCCGTTCAGGCCCCAGTTCCTCCTTCATTTTGGAATCCAGTTGTGGCCTCCTGTTAACTTCGTACCACTGTTCCAAATCGTCGTCCTCCGAAGTACTTGATTTGTCTGAAGAGTTCGAAGCGTGCGAGGCATCCTCTCCGGCCTCGCTGTCTGGAAAACTAGCGGTGGCTCCCCCGAAATCACTGTCTGTGTTGTTTTGCACATCGGACTCCCAAGGTCCATCGTCATCCGAATGGATGGATGGCAAGGTATCGTGACGAGGTAGGCGAGGTGGACGCGCACCTTTCTCTGACATGCGAGCTTTTTGCCTCTCGTGCTTGCTCCTGCAGGGCGGTGAGGAGATTTTTAAGTAACAACGTAACGAACTGGGGCATTCGCGCACTTTGCAATGGCAGCAACATCAATATTGGCAAGGAAGTCTGCTGAATGAGCAGCAGATTGGAAAAATTGAGCGTCTTCCTCGTCTTTTTCGCTGTCATTCCTTATACCATTCTTTCTGGTTGGAATGGGGATGGCCTTGCGTTCGGATGCCCTCTCTTTCGGTATCTTCGGGCCCGTGGCTTTGGATTGGTTTTTGGTACCAACAGCAATTTTACGCCGCTTAACACCATCGGCCTACCTCACGGGAAGGTCAATTGTACAGCTTAACTCTTGAACGGGGAGAAGTGCTTACACTCCCATGCGATGCCGCTGGGCGCTTCGAGGAAATTTTGGGCATTTTGGATCCGAGTTGAGATGACTTCGATTACATAATTGTCGGTGCCGCCATTGTCACCCTCTCATTAATGACCAACGGCGCAAGCAGCACTAGATCTTTCAAGGATATTTCGAGATAACGAAGCAGAGCAAAACAGCAACGATTGCTTTGGATCACTGTATATGTACAAATAGATGGCGGTCTCACAACACACTGGTTCACACAACAATCTCCTTCATCGAGGGAATGCGGCGGACTCCCCTAATACGGTTTGGATTCCCTATTCCTCCCAGAAATTCCTTTGCATCAGGTACCTCAAATGTGGCATCAACATCCTCGTCATCCAGTGAATCTGATAAGTGTGAATTCAGCAATCTAAAGCGCTACCTGGTGTGTGAACGTACCAGCATAAGACGACGCATCGTCGTTGCTATCATAATCGCTGAGTTCCAGGACATCATCTTCCGGTGTCTCCTGTTTGAGCGTTCTGTATTTCGCGAGCATGTCCGTTAACAATGTTTTTCTTGCTCCAAGTGCGCGAGCGACAGGCTTGGACAGGATCCCAACCTCTGCTAAAGTGAAAGGCTGCGCGTTGATGGGTTGTGGCACAAGCTGTTGGATGGTGCCTTTGACATCAGTATATGTCGCTTTCAGAGTGCTTTCATCTTGTTGAATGGGGTTGTCTTCTCGCACATTCTCCTGAGGGAGATTCCGTGGCTTAATAGATGGGGATAGGCTCAAGGGAGTAATAGGAGGAAGTATGCCATCGTCATCAAGATCAGAATTGAGATCTGTCAAATCGTCTGAATCATCAGAGCTGGAGATATCCGAGGAAGCGGGACGCCGAAGAAGGGCGTTGAGGTGGTGGATGCTCGGCGATTTCAAGGTCGGTGGATAAGCTGAATTCGGAGTAATTGGATGCTCGATCGAGAGGGGCGAACTGAACGACACTTTCAGGGATTGACGATCCAGGTTAGGAGTGGCATGTGGCGACACGCCGCCATCTCCTGCTGCCTTTGTGGAGAGTGAGAACACATGCTGGGGAGCCGATGGCGAGATCAGCGTCTCGACTATCGAAATGGCGGCAGGGACTGTCTCGTCTTCTGACGTTCGCGCTGGCTGCATAAGTATGATGAGCGGCGTTTTGTTCGGCAAGCTAGTTCAATGTACCTCCGGCTTGTTATCTTCCTCTCGCTCGCTAGCGACGAGGCTGGCGATCTGTTTCGCCATATCAGCAGTAGATGTGCTCTGCTTAATCTCATTGATCTTGGTTACAACAGCGCCCCAGCGTTTGGCACATTTCATTCTCTTGTCAAGGGCGTCGTAGACCCTCCGCATCTGTTCCTCGTGGATTCGCTCCAACGAGTCCGCGTGCCTCGAGATCTCGCGCACCTTGATCAGTTCTTGCTGGTGGCGTGTCAAAGCGTGCACTTCGTGGACGTTCATTTTGACGCGTCAAGCACAGGCACTCGCGACGTTACAGCAAGGAGGGGTTACAGGAAAAAGGTCCATTGACTGTCATTCCGTATTATGAAGGGAGAAGGGACTTCGTTTCGTCAGAGAAGACACTAGAAACTTCGAGGAGCCATCCCCACTTGGTAGGGAGCACAACACGAAACAACTGAAGCAGTGAATGATGTCTCCTCATGGATAGCACGCGCAAGGCGATCAATCGATTGTCGTACCGTTGAACCCTGGGCTGCTTCGCGCTTCTCAGCAAGAAGCTGCCTGGACCTGATCAGACGCACCCCCGAACGGCAAAAGGACCTCCAACGTGTCCCCCGGAGGGTAGCTAAATCTATATTACCGAAAACGTTATTTAGGGTGAACTGGGATCCACAGTGCTTGAATGAGCAATATGCACTCGGAGCAACAAGATATCTAAGACTATGCTACATCACCATCACGCCACCATGCGGAATTAAATTAATAGGTATATGGATGCAAGCGACAGCATTGGCTGGCCGGATGTGGTGCTTCCAGGGAATGGCAATATCCCCTATCCCATTATATAATTCAGAACTATTGTGGCTCGCGTCCCGTTAGCTCTATTTGTGCTATATCACCATCGATATACGGGTGGCAAATTCGTTGTGTTCCACTATAATTACATCAGCCAGCTGACAGATCTACCCCATTTTTCCATTACTTCCTGTACTCCAAGTGTGACACCTGCCGCCGCTCTTCGCGCTCTGTTCAGCGTGCTGCTGTTGCTCCCCAAATCCACACTTCCTCGCGTTTCCAGCAACCTGAAAATATCACCTGCCCATTCTCGCACTGCTAACAATAGCGAAGTTCTCTCCAGTGCGAGTACCCTTCCACCGTCAAGATCCTTGGATGCGTCTAAGATCACGAGTGTGAGCTCCAGTGCTGCTGCAACGACGGATGCATGCGTTTCTCCTTGATCGCCGTCGCCGTCGGCCTCATCTTGGGATGCGATGGATCCCAGAGGCGAGGTCAAGCTAGCTGGGCGAGTTCCTATACTCACTGCGAGTTCCAACGTTTCCGGGGATAAGAGGGAAAGAAATGCTATGGAATGACGAGCAGCATGCAGGAGCACAGCTAAGGTGTTAAGTATTTGTCTCAAGACAAGGGCATCAAGTATCATCCCCGTTCCAGCTCCGCGATACCGGTACCGCTGACCGGATCCCTGGTACGAGCGGCTTTCTCGGGCTTGTTCATCTCGAAGGTACTGCCAAAACCTGGAAACGAACGGCATGATGAAAAACTCTGCTGCAACATCCTTGAAACCACTGCCCAACTGCTCGTGGGAACCTGTTTCACGGACTAGTCGTGATGCATCTGATTTGAGGCGGAGTTGTTTCTCTCGGATAATTTGAGGGACCTTCTGCTCTGCATCTTCTTTGCCACGCTGAAGTGCCATTTGACTAATTGAATCGGCTAGCAACGCGAGTGTGGTTTCTCTTGAGGACCCTTCCATCATATATCGCTCGTGAAGGCTGCTTGGGAGCATTTTGCTCGGGAAAAGCTTGCTAGGTATGTATGGTGCCGCAGTCAAGCCCGCCAACTCGCGAGCACCCAGGGCCAATGCAGTGAGCATCGCAAACCTTTGGGTTGTCGAATACTGGTTGTGGAAGAATTGCTCAATTATGCATCTTTCACAATACCGTTAATAGAGCAGCCGTAAGCTTCAGGAGGACTTACGGGGCGGCGATTCTAGGGCAGCATGCAACTAGCGCCGTGAGCCCTTTTTCTCGATATTCCTCAAACTTGCTCATATCGTAGTTGTCTTGCAACCCCACGAATGCAAGGGTTAGGTTTGCTGCATTCTCCTCTAACATCATGTTACAATGCATTGATATGTCTCAGCAAAGTACCACATACCAAGCTCGGTCCCGTAGTCCTTCTTTCTCCGTATAAGTTCCTCACCATGAGTCAAGGCCATCTGCAGCTTCTGGAATTGATCTTCCTCTTGGGCTTTGGAAGGGCGCAGTAGCTCGCCTAAAGTGACAAGGTAGACGGGGCGCACGATCCTCTGCTTACTCAGCCCTCCCCCGACACGCAATGTAGGGTCGTTTTCAATTTCATCCAATTCGCTTGGCGTCGGCGATGGGGGACGTGAAGATGATGGAGACGAGCCGTATCCAACAACGGATTCATCATCTGAATCAGCAGCCTTGAAAATGATGTGAGAGGCATCCTTCCTCTCTACAGGAATTAAATCTCTTGGGTTGAGCTCATCAAGTTGGTCTCCGACATTCATTTCATCGTTGTGATGCTGCGCCAGCACGTCCGGTGATCGAACAAGTACCCTTAGCTGACGAATCCAATCTCTGCCATCTTTGTCTCCGTCCCAGTCACCGAATTGGAGTGTTCGGCCGCTCAGCTCCGCCAGATACTCAGCAAGGGCCATTCCTAGCCGACGAATTATGGGATCCAGATTGCCAATGTACTTCGATACCGATGATAGGAAAGAAGGTGAAGTGGCAAGTTCTTCGAGATGCTTGGACGACTTGGGAAGATATGAAAGGCATAAAAACAGGATGCAAGTGATATCTGGACGGGAAGCTCGCATGAAACTTTACATTAGAATGTATTTGCTGCATTACTTACACCGATGCCGAGAGACTAGAAGATTTTGCATGTGTGGCGTTGAAGCCCACACTGTCAACGTTTTATGTAGGAGATTTATAATATCTTGCAGAAGTACACGGTAAGTGACCGGGAAAAGTGGACTACCGCGAAACGCACTGTGTTCAACGATCTCACCAGTATCGAGTGCATTCGATACCCAACACACTAGAACACGGGCAATCCGCTCATCCCAGGACCGCCCAAGGAACACTGCCTCCAGCGGAATCCACAAATCATCGGATTCCGCCCGAATGCTTCCAAATATGCTTTCGACCAATTTCGCAAGCCCCTTCACTCGGGAGCGTACTTTCCCATGGGCAGCTAAGACTTGGGGTTCCAAGGGAAGATTTGATATTAATGATGTTAAAATCGGTTGCGACAATGTGACGGGTAATGAAGAAACTAATTTTGACCAGACGACTGAGTAGTTCCCGTCACTATCAGTTGAAAAACGCTTGCGCATGATGGGAAGGCAACAGGGGAAGAAAGACACACGCATGTCATCTCGAACGAGGGGGAATCCTCCTGTCTGGACCAGTTTTCGCAGGAAGTGCAATACGGGGCTCACCCCTGGTGGATCTCCTTTCCGTAATATGATGAGAGGAGGAAAGCGCAATGCTGATGAAACATACCCAGCGAAGCTAAGTAATGCACGATCAACTCGAGCTCCTCGTAGATATGCTTCCGGAATTCTCTACCCCAAACTACCAGTTTGAGTCGACGGAGATCGGCGAATAAAGGACGCCGCACCTATCCAGTAATATGGGAGGCAACTCCGCCCTCACGTACAAATTGGAGTTGGCCACTCTGGTGCTTATTGATATGTATGCTTGAACAAGAGCCTCCCATTCGATGTCACTAATACCCGAACGCTGATATTCGATAGATGAAGTGAATAGCTTGTGCAATGGGTGGGCCATCAACAAATTTGACAGCATGGTCGCACCGAAGTCATCAATAGATGGCACAGATAGTAGTATGTATGCATTGGAAGAGAATACAGGAGCCATCTCAGAGTTAACGTCGACAGGACAGAAGTATTGATTCAGAATATCGGCCTGTCCTTCGTCTTTCAGTGGTTGATACCAGTGTGGAACGACATGTTCCAAAAGCACGCTCAGTAATGCAGGTACCCATCGATGCCACGCAGCACTGCAGGAGAACGGATATGGCCGAGTATTGCAACGTTGAAGTGCTGGAGGGAGAAGACTGCAGGCAGCTAAAGGCGCGGCTAATAATTCAATGAGTTCATTCTTTCGCTGCACGCCTGCACGCAACCGCGAGGTGGTTTCGCGTACTGAGTGCTGGAAGCCTCCATTAGCTCCACTCCTGTCCATGGTCCAGTGTGTGAGCACGGGAGGTACTTATGGCTTCAAGGCCTCGTCACGTAGGTGTGACGTTAGGCAAGATAGAATCACTTAATGTGACGCCGTCCTGAACCTTGTTTAAGCGCGCGCCAAGGCGAAATCGCAGATCACATCCAGGATAAACAAAGGAATAAGGGATTGCATAACAGTGCTATTTTTACGAAATGTTTGTGGCATTCATAGGCTGTGCCCTCGTCAGGCTGGTTCTTGGAACAGGCGTTTGTTGAGTGCCTGATAAAGCACATCCACGCAAGTGATGCAAACGCGATGTCAGCCCTCGTCTCCATCGTCTGGAGTCGGGGCCGCCGGCCCGGCCCGATCAGGGTGAGGGTCATCCTTCTGGTGCTTGCGTTTTGCATTCTCTTTGAGTTTTGCCCACCTCTGCCTATACCGTGAAATTTGTGCTTTCTTTAGGTGTTAAGCAGTGTTGGAGCCATCAGGTATTCCTCAAACAGCCGCAATCGCAGTGCAACTGACCTGTTGTTCGTTCTCGTTCTTAAGAGTTTGAATTTGGGTCTCTAAGTCTTGCATGCGTCTCAATGTTTGCATGTCCAAGGCAGGGTCTAATATTGGGACCGCAGGGGTGATTGGAGCCACAGGCTTCTCAGGCGAAACCTGGTGGGGACGAGGAAGAGGAATAGGCATGTAGGACGGGTTGGCTTGGCCCATGAGAGAGGCCTGCAGCGCCTGAGGTGGCTGAGGGAGGACCGAGCGTCCAAGATTCGCAGAGGCTGCCATAGCTCGCTGAGCCTGGTGGGGGACTCAGACTGGGCTTAATGCGAACGGCGGTCTTGGGATGCTCACTTCTCTTTTTACCATCATGATGCTGTCTCGCATTGCCTTCTGCTGCTGCTCTCTAGCACGCAACACATCTTCTAACTCTGAGATACGTGCTGTCAGCTGCCCAACCTGCGACTTCAACTGACTATTCTCAGTCTGGAGTAAATGAGAACCAGCTTCTTTGGCTCGTAAAGTCCCAGTCTTGCTTGATGAGGATTGGAAGAGGGGGGGTGGATATTGAAATTGTGATCCAGAAGCCGAGTCAGGGATCGATAATGCGGGATCGATCATATAAAAAGATGAATCAGAGTCCTCAGATTCTGTCGGGAGATAGATGAGCGTCCATTATAGACAAATCCTTTCAAAACCTTACCGTAACCATCCGTGTCAATGGGAGTAGATTCGCTTTGCACGTTACTTTTCACCTTCTGAGGAGAGTTACACGTCCTCGAAGAGCCCGAAACTAGTGGTGCCGTGGCGAAAGCTATGGGCTGGCTAAATTTGTCCAGCATTCCTTCGATGGCCTTGAAGAAAATAGTGAACGAGTCTTGTGGTTCCTACAAGCGATTGTGGGAGTGCCCCGAGCTGTGTAACACACACTCGATACTCACTTGCCCATCCCCTAAAAACATGTAACTCCCATCAACCATCTTCTCTGTTGTGTGGGAATCATGCATCAAGTGAGAGTTGGACGGCGATAGACCTGGAGATTGTGTGTGGGAGTTATCATCGTGCGATAAAGTAGAGCGTTGGAAACGGGGCGCCGTGACGCGTCCCTCTTGGCACAGATTATTCTGTACACTTCTTCGGTAGACATCTCGAGGTCTTGTTTGGCGATCAGGATTGCTAGGTAATTGAGGCTGGGTTTCCTGGATCCCCGTAACGCTGGGGACAGCCGGTAATGCACGACCTTTCAGTGCTGTCGGGGATGTGGGATGTTGTTCATTGTCAGATATTCTTCGTTTGAGGTCTCTCGCCAATCGGGCATGATCATTGTGCAACATTTGTAAAGTGGTGTGCAACTTGAAAGCAATTAGAACGGATCAGGATCAACAAGGGTACAGCGGGACATAAAAAAGAAGAGTCTCACTCCTGGATTGTGGGTATAATTCAAGCATTCTTTGTACTGCGCAGCCGCTTGTTGGTGATGTCCCAACGCTTCCTGCCACTTCCCAGCGAGGTATAGCTGCTCAGCGAGATCGCCATGCTCACGAGCCTGTGGTGCACGTGTAAAATAAGTACATCCAAAGGATTAGAAGATCGTACGGTGGTGATGGGCGCGCCAACCGCCAAGCTGTCCCTGAGGTCCATCGAGCAAAGTTCGGATGCAAATTCAGCAGCCAAGTGTGACTTCCCTCTTTCACTCAAGTGGCCTTCCGTGAAATGGCCGTTGAAGTACCTTCCCCGAACGGGCGTTCTGCTTCGCCAGCATCTGCGGTGAATAGCGGTGCTCCCGAGGCTGGGACAACAAATGGGGCCGAGCCAGCGAAGCCGAAGTTCATTGTGGGGATGATATACCCTCCACCCGACATAAGAAGTAAGGGCTGATTATTTATCGCCAGGTTACAGCTCAATAAGCATTTCTACCCTATAGCTATCGTCGATTCTACAGCTGGTAAGCCGCCTCATTGTTTGGGACCAAATGGACATCCCTGCCCAACACTGACCATTGCTGCCCTACCATGAATCGTTTATCAACCAGGCTTCGTCGCCGTCTCCGCAAATCCGATCCAGTTCGAAGAGAAGATTCGTGAAAACCACAGACAAGATCCCAAATTCTCCTTTTTGAATCCAGCTGATCCATACCATGCCTACTACCGTCATCGCATTGAGCGGACGCGTGAAGGTGATGTTGATGGCGCCGACCGATCTGTTGTACCAACTCCTGCTGCGGAAACTGCACGACCAGATGGACCGCTCAGCACGGCTCCAAAAGAACCCCCAACTCTCCCTTTCGTTGTTGAAGTTCCCCATAAAAGCGCTCTTGACCTGTCAGTCGCCACTGCCCTCATAGTTCCCTGCTTACTAACATTTGTTTCTAACTATCGCCTGGTGCACCTACCATAATCAAAACTAGGGACATTCTCAAGTTGACGGCTCTCTTTACCGCTCGAAGAGGACCGACGTTCCTCAGGTCACTCTCTGTGCGTGAAGGGAGAAATTACCAGTTTGACTTCTTGAGGCCCGACCACTCGCTCTTCAGCTACTTCAACCGTATCGTTGAACAATACTCCCGGGTTCTCTATCCACCACCGGAAGATATCGAAAAAATAGAATCTTTTAAAACGCCGGAAGGTCGTGACAGGTTCCTGAAAGACGCGAAAGCCCGTGGCGAATGGCAACGGTATGAAACTGAACGCGAAGCAAAACGAGCCAAAGAACGAGATGAAGAAGCCATTGCCTTCGCTGAGATTGATTGGCACGACTTTGCTATTGTCCAAACTATCGAGTTCACTCAAGCTGATGCTCAATCCGAGCTCCCTGCACCGATGACCATTCTCGAGATGGAGGAACTCACGGAGAAGCAGAAACGTGTGGCCGCTATGATCACGGAGGACACGGCTCCTGAGGTCGAGGCTCATAAAGCGAGCCAGGCTGCTGCGGATGCCGCTGCCGCTGCCTCTCAGAGCGCAGTCTCATCCGTGAACGGAGTTAAGAATGGAATGGACGCTGTGGACGATGATGATGAAGAGCAGAAACAAGTGTTGGCCATGCAAGAAGCGGAACAGTTATCCAAGGCGAAGGAGCTGCAAGCTCGCTCTGTCGAATCTGGCGCACCAATGAAGATCCGCACCGATTATATTCCGAAGAGTGAGTTCTGTTTCCCATATTTTCTATTTCTTCCGAGGAACTCATCCCGCCCGATGCGCAGGTATCAAGGAGCGGAATGCAAAAGCTGCAGTCACGACATGCACTATTTGCGGCCAGCAAATTCCCGTCAACGAGCTGGACGAGCACATGCGTATCGAGTTGCTCGACCCAAGATGGAAGAGTCAACGAGATACCTTGGAAGCTCGGAAAGCGCAGGCATCCGAGCTCCAACGAGGTACGCCTCATTAGTTATACTGCTTACATGGGGTCTAATGGCCCGCCCAGGTGCCGATGTTGGTTCTGCACTCAAGCAACTCGCTCGTGCGCGTGGAGACCTCTTCGATGGAGATGATGAAAAGCGGAGGCAACAAGAAGAGGAAGAAAGACTTCGCCGCAAAGAGCGCGAGAAGGCCGTTTGGGATGGTCATACTGCATCAAAAGAAAGCACACTTAACAAGTATCAAGCACACGTCAACTTTGATGAGCAAATTGCCGCTATTCACAAAGCACACGGTCTTGGACAGTAAGTTTCCGACTCCCTTTTATCTTCCCTCCCCAATGTTTTTAATGGATTATCTTCTTAGAGCCGATGTTTCCACCATCGGTCCTACCATTGGACCTAATATCAACCCCATCCCAACGACATCAACACTTCCACCACCCCCACTCTCCCTCCCACAAAACCCCAACACACTCGCAGCCTCCCATCCTAACGCAGTCATCACCGCCGAACCACAACCCGCATCCGCCACGAGTTACGCACCCACTCAATTACCCCTCCCTCCAGGTGGAGCTGCAGCTGGGATGCACCCTTCACGACTTGCTGCCCTTGGCGGGAATTTGTCTGGTAGACCTGCAGATGGCGCTCCGGAGGGTGAACCCATTGCGAAACGTCCTCGGATTGAGAGGATCGAGGGGCACTATTATCCTGTAAGTTGGTCCATTCTTGATGAGATTGCGTCATGACTGAGTATCCATGGGCATTTAGGAAGAAGATTGGATCAATATGCACCCTGTGAGTCGCGGTCATTTACCACTATCTCACCAGACCCGTTTCCTTACCCTTTCCATAGGAAGCCATCACACTGTCCGTCCAACTGCCCAACTACTCAGAAAAATCTGAGTGGAACCTTAATGGAGCGGTCATCACTATTCCCGACATCCCACTCACATTACTCGTCTCATCATTACGTGATCGAATCATCGCGAACGTTAAAGCAAATATACCTGCGAGTAGGATTCGGCTATCGTTTAGGAATAAGATGTTAACAAATGCGAATACGTTGGCAAGCTATAATATGGATGATGATGATTTGGTTGTGATGACGCTTAAGGAGGCAAGGAAGTGAGTAGGGTTGTCGGTATGTTTAGGAGGACGTCTGGAATTAGGGATAGCGGGACGGCAGACAGGATGATACAAGTGGGTGCATGATTGGGAAGCTGTTTTTGATCGATGAGCCCAAGCTTTTGGCCTCTGATATCCTGGTCCGGGCGCACTGTTCTGCTTAAACCTGCCCATAGCTAGTTTCCTGGCAGTTCAGGCTAATGTGTATGTGCTTGCGCACATCACACGAAATACCCCTCTTTGTTTGTGCAATTGGGCTTGTATTTCTTCCACATCCCTTCGCCCCCAATATAGTGTGCCCTGCATGTGTATTATATTATCGCCCACGATATCATAATTTCATGGATGCCAAAAAATATTGTAGTGCTGCATAGCGACGATACCTAGTACCATCCGTGGTTCTCAGCAAATGATTTTCGTCAGGGACCTTTGATGCAAACGGTAAACTGAAAAATCCTTGCACTTGTACGGGGGGCGCCGGCTCGGCCACATTTTTCTCACAACCTAATTAAAATTAAAACATGAACAAGTGGACAGGTGGACCATGTATGTGGATAAGTATGCCTCGCGCATGTACAAGGGTGGCGGCCCAGAAACTTCGTGTTTCCGCCATTTGACTTGACATACTCATACTCATAAGTGCCCCTCATAAGATCAGATTTCAGCTCGTCACTTCTGTAAGATTTCTGTGCAATACGCTAGCTACTTCTCACCATTAAGACGACTTAAGAGCCAGCATCCGAGCCTGGCCTGTGGACGTTTTTCTCAAGATTCGAACACGCCAGAGGGTTCTTTCGGAAATGACTGAAAATTACTACTGGGGGACGTAGTCCATCATAGCTAGTCTCAACCAAGAATTAACTGTACAAGTAATTAAACTTTGCTCTTCGGCGCCAGTCCCATCTCAATTGCTTTAATCCACAGTGCAAGATACTTGGAATGAATACGTGAAAGTAGGATAGTCTGGATGAAAGGATAGTCAATAAATGAGTGCGATCACATACTGAATAAGACTTACCCCACCCGTATACCAGAAGCTTGACGTTTAATGATAATAAAAAGATGGGAAATCCGCTACTCAATGAACATGGGGGAGATCGAGAACCACTAAAACTCACCCAGGGCAGCCCGTTTGTCTCCAGATACCATTCACCTCGCCTGTAGCATCGAGACCCCACACACGGTCAGTCTGATCGGCAACCTCATCCCCAAAAATCTTTCGGCACGTCTCGCGGATAGAAAGATACCCTAAGGAATGGAAAATTAGGTTCATGACAGCAATTCGAAGGGATTGCCCTCGTAATGTGCGCACCAGTGGCTAAGATGACGATATCCGCCTCGAGGAAACTTCCATCTACGCATCGAACACCATTCTCCTCAAAGGAACCAATCTCAGTACCCTGTTTGACCTTCACTTTCCCATCAGTTATCAATTGGGCACAGCCGACATCGAGATAAGTTCCCTAGATGCAAGCTCATAAGGACCCTTTCGAAAATCTTGCGCGATATGGTGATGGGAGTCGACTTACGCCACCTTTCCGCAAGAAACTCCAGTAGAGTCCAGGACCTCCCTTGTCTGCGACCCTATATCCAACACGCTCGAGACCATCGATCATTGCCTTATCTGCTTCGTTGACTGCCGCATGACCGACTTTAGCAAACGGCTCGAGCGCATTGAAAGGGAACGATATGCTGGCAAGGTCCACTTCCTACACACGACAGTGGTAACACAAAATCAGCGTGCCGCCAAAGAGAGAGGAACAAACGCTATACCTCCGCAGGCGGACCACCCTCGAAGTAGCCAGATACCACTTGAGGTAGTCCGTTTTCTTGGCTGATAACACATGTGGAGGATCGCTGCACCATCGTGATATCTTCTACTCCAGCGTTGTGGAGTTCATGACAGATATCATGTCCTAATGTGCAAAAGAAGGATCCCAGTGAGAAGGCAGCATTGAGGGCTGGAAATTGAAACTGTACCTGAGACTCCGGCACCAATAATTACTGCTTTCTTCCCTTTCCAATTTCCGCTATTTTTATGAAGACTGGAATGATGTACTGGTCCTTTGAACTTCTCCACGCCCTCAAAGTGAGGAATGCGTGGATCCGACCTAAGGGTTGTTAATAGACATGCCGGCGTGACAGCCTATCGGTTTTGAACTCACGCATGACCGGTAGCAAGAATAACATGCTTGCACTTGATCTCGCGTTTAGAATCATCGGCTCGCTGTATTTCAAGAGTCCAGTTCTCAGATGCTTTATCATAAGCAGCTGTGCCAGGGACAACGGAAGAATTCAGCCACTGAGGCATCAACCCCAAGGAATCAGATACGGGTGAAATAGGCGATTATCATTGTGAAAGCCGCTTACAACGTTAAGGTCCATGGCTGTGGCGTATATCTCAATCCAATCAGCAAATCTGTGAGCATATTCTTTAGTCCCAAAGGCGCTTTTGGAAGACCTGCTAGACACTCACTTGTCTTTGGGAAGGTAAACTGGAAAGTCATCGGGGAATGGAAGGTACGGAAACTGGTTTATCCAAATGGTATCTTGGAGTTTCAGGGAATGGTATCGATTTCTCCAGCCGTCTCCGACGCGACTGCTCTTCTCAATTATCAGTGAGACGATCCCCAATCGTTTGAGCCTAGCTGCGATCATTAAGCCTGCATGACCAGCACCGACGATGACGACATCTGGGTTTGGCTTCGGAGAAGGGGAAGTAAAGGATGACTCCAGCATGCGCCTTTCGTGCCAGTTGAGCTTGGCTCGGCGCTCGGATGCTGGAGTAACAATGGGTCGTCTAGCGCCAGAAAGTTCAACATATCTCTTGAACGAGTCTAACACCAGCGATAGCGTAAGTGCTCGGAATCTTCGAGTGACGTTGTCCCATTGAAGACGAGCAACTCCTACACCGCTAAGCTCATTGTTTCCAGTTTCAAAGACGAAAAACCCCCTAAATGAGTTTGGGGAGGAATGCAAGAACGGTTAGCTGGAGTGGGGAGTGAAACTGGAAGTAGCAAATGGTCTAATACATACTCAATCCCTCCGAATTGCGACTTGTATTTTACCGGTGAGGTTTTGGTTCCATCTATTTTGATGGAAGCAGGTTTGATGTTTGGCAGTCCGCCACACACATCGAAGAACTCCCTCATGTGTTCTTTAGCGACCGAAGAGTAATTCCAGGCACAAATTAAGATACTTTAGACACGCATTCACGCATCAGAAGCCGGCAGAAGGAGGGCCAGAATGATCTCACTCACTCGCGGAGGTATCCATTGGGCTGGAACAGATCAATGAAAGTGGAGATATTTCCCGACTCGGAAGCTATTGCTAGTGATCGCAGAAAGACTGCGAACTCGCTGGAGATTGCCACTACAGTGTCGTCGTGTAGTTGCATGCTTGATAGAGTTTTCGTTTTGCAAGTAGGCTCGGGGGTGAAATGCGGTTGGTAGACGGACCAGAGCTGCAGAAGAGGCAACATGTATATATACACGTACGGCTCGATTCTTAGGACATCGTCCTCCGCCTAACTCCACTCTCCCCTTCCCCTGATTTTCAAACACCTAACTAAAGATATCCTCAGACGGAGTGCATGTCCGTCAACGCATCAGCTCGGCCGCTGCCATAAAATCAAGCACGCAATGTAAGCATAGCCGAATGCACCATTCCTGAAAATGGGGGACTGTTTTGCAAGACGCTCAGAATGGAAAACACAGCCCCCGACCCCCGAAGCCTCTTGAGAGACCGTGTCCACACAGATGCCTAGCAAAAGTTGCGCATGGCTGAGTCATAATATAAGAGCAGGCCACGTAATCAAAGCACACAGGTCACACTGCATTTGAGCTGGAAGGCTCAATGGCGCCCAACTTGAAGTTGGGGGAGGCTGTGTTGTGCCCAGATTAAATGGGCGGCATACGACCGCGAGTTCCACAATAGGTCAAGCATGAGTCAAGCTCTGCAGTCCATTGCTGATGACTCCAGATCTGGGAATCCCACCACAGCCAGAGATGCACTAAAGCAGGACATCAAAAGACGAGAGGTTACCTGGCCAGCACGATAGGTCTACATTTCTTGTCTGCGCTGCGCTGTCCTTTGGCCGGGCCCGCTAAGTCCCCACATTAAACCAGCGGAAAGTGATTTCCAACTCCGATCACCGCTGCTTTTCGTCACATTTGATTCATGAAGAATTTGCGTACATATCCAGCGAGAGCCGTCCTGAGGTGTCTCTTCGGAGGAAGTACTCCAGAGTAATCATTCGGCCCAGACCATTGATACGGCTGTGCCCTATTAAATAAGAGCTGCGCGAGATGAGAAAGCGTAACAACGCGTCCACCTCAACAGCTCTAGCCTTTGTAATACTCAGGAGCTATACCAAGTTGGAGGGTTGCCTACTCGGGTGTAGGTGCACACACATAAGGGCAGGTACCACGATCTGCTTAGCTCATTTACGGGCTTCCGGTTACCGAACCAGACTGGCAAATTTACATCGGAACCACGGCAATTCCCGACCCCGATCAGTGTGTGAAATGCCTATTGAATTCAATGACTCCTTTTTTCCATCCGCGCGCCTTCACTTCTTACGCCGTACCCGCTGTCAGCCTCATATATCTGTCATGCTCATGCTCAGTCAGCCATGTCGGTCTCTACTTTCCCAAGTCCCAGATTGATTTTACCCACGTATGTTGCTCCATCTGCTGGCCTCTCATCTACCGCATGCATCGGCATCAGGGCTTGCGCGCCTTCATTGACTGATTTAATTATCTGGTCTCATTGTTCTTCACCGTCTTCCTACTCTCCAACGGTAAGCTTTCATTTCGTAGCACCGCTTAGTCTGTAACTAGTCCTCAAGTCAAGAAAAAATGATGCAATTATGGACAGAAAAGAGTAAGACAAAATACTACATATGTAACCGTGATAGACAAACACGACACAGCTCAAACGCAATGTCGTCGGTAAAACTCACGGCATCGATCTACGCAAAACTAAACTTCCAGCTGTAAAAAAGGCAGCTGGAAGAGATACTTTTGCGGCAAGTACAATAGCGTAGCCATTCAAGGCACGCTCAAGGACCAACCAAAGGTCAAGCTGGTGTTATATAGCTGCCACTTGGTCGCTGACGTAAGCTAGCACAACGCCTTGTGCATAGCTGGTTAATATGGCGGTCCGTTCAATTAAGGACAATTCTTTTTCTCCTCAACCCCTTGCTTTCATGCAGGCGAAATATAAGCGGGTCGTTCGCCACTTGTCGGCCAACATCCCACAACCTTATGAGTGCACAGACATGAGCGCGTCATTATTTAGAATCAGTATAGTAATTCAGTATCAAGATTGATTTTTGCTTTCGATCGCC